TTCAACAAACTGCTTGAAAGACATGTTGTGGGGCATTGTTGCGATAGGTTTGTGTCGCTCTAGACATGAACTCAGTGCACGAACAGCTCGGGAAGCAGTTATATCTTGCACTGCGCGAGTCACGATGCTGCGCGCATCAGGGGCCACTCAGAAACAGAGCATCCCCAACATTTCCCAATACGGACAAGGAACAGCTACGCGCGGTCATCTGACAAGGCCGCAACCTGGTTAGTGTGCAGAGGGCTGCACACGGCTAAGCGGGGGATGCTGTTACGGACCGATCCCAGATACCAGGACCGGGATCGGGATCTCAACCATGATCTTGACCTTGATCATAATCTTGATCTTGACCATGATCTTGATCATGATCTTGACCTTGATCATGATCTTGACCTTGACCATAACCTAGACCTTGACCATAATCTTGATCTTGATCGGGATCATCATCGGGAATGTCCAACACATCAATATATATAGGCAACCAATTTACCCTCATTGTATATTCCCTCCTTTGTATTTTCCATTCTTCTCTTCAAGAAGAATTATCATATGTTACACTCCTGACATACTTGCCACCTACCAACACTACACTATCCACCAACTCTCAGCAACGGTGCTCTCGTCAAGCACTTCACGGTTAGACATAAGGATTAGTCAACCAAGACTTCTAGCTGAGTTCTATCTGCCTTAGCACAATTTCTACTGACGCTTTGGTCCGCATAACAACAGTTCCTGTTACTGTCGGACACCTCCGTAACAGGATGCAAGCTGAGCATTGGAAACCGTAGATATCTTTTCCGGCTTTGGCCCAATCCACAGTCTTGTCGAGTCTTCCTTCTTTGCCAAGCTGAACCACCGAGCGAACGTTGAGGTGGCCAAGTCTGCGGTGCCAGTGGTAGAGGATGTTGTCCTCTGTGACGTTATTGGTGGCCGTGATGAGTGCGGCCTTGTGTCGAATAGGAGTGCTTGCCGGATCGAGGACAAACAACCCATCTTGTCGTGTTGCTGTGATGACCGGTTTGCTGGGTCCATCTTCAGTAGTGTTGAGGATCGCTTTGTCTTTTGCAAAGGTCCAAGAGTGTCCGTCGGTGCTCTGTGCGGCACCAACACTCAGAAGGTTCCGTCCCAGTTCGGGTACGTGAAGAACATCGTGTAGTGTGATGTTTGGTAATTTGAGTTGTCCGCATTCTCTGGCGGTGATGTTGGCGCCGTTGCCTATGGTGATGTTTGCCTGGATGGGTAGTTGTTTGATTCCAGTGAGTAGGTTCCTGTCGTGGACCATGTGATGAGTAGCTCCAGAGTCTACGACGATGTCGAGTGCAGACGAGTGGGCCAGAAGGGCATTGTGATCGATGGTGATGCTTGCCATGAAAGCAGAGCCGGCGTTGATGCCATGATGTTGACTCCTGTTGCTTACGAGTGCGGCGATGTTGGCACTGTTGTTTGTGTACCTGTTGGCGTTGTTGCCGGTACTGAAGTTGGCGGGCTTGGTGAAACAGTTTGCTGTTGAGTGTCCATTCTTCTGATGGAACTCGCAGAAGGCATTCTCGTCAAAGGGAGATCGAGGAATGAACTTCTTCTTGTTTCCGGTGCCGCCGATGTTGTTGTTGTTGTTGTTCCGTGCTTGTTGACGGGCAGCGATGAGAGCCGTAGTCTCAATTCCTTCTTCCTGAACAATCCTCCTCCTGTACTCAGCTCGGACGGCGTCAATGACGTCCTGTGAGTGAAAGTCCTCCTTGAGATAATAGGTCTGAACGAGGGTTTCATAGGAAGAAGGAAGCGACATGAGGATGGCAAAGGCAAAGTCCTTGTCGTCCATCCGGGATCGGCCAGAGACGGTGATAGCGGAGTAGGCCGACTTGAGTTTTCCGGTATGGACAGTCGGATCTTCTCCTTCCGCGAGTTGGGATCGCCAGATGATTGCAAGAAGCTCAGCCCGCCTGGATCCCCTTGCGGCCGAGTAGGTTTCCTGAAGATGTTTAAGTAATCTTTCAGAAGCAGAAGGAAGCGTTGCTCTGTACTCATCGGTGTGAGCGGAGTCCCTTTGGACCAGAGCGTGCCAGGTTGAGAGGTGAGACGGGAGGTTGTGATGGACAAGCTGAGTGAGACTTCCGTCGATGATTCCGAAGGCCTTCTTGTCTTTCTTGATCCATTTCGCAAGTTCCTCGGCTGTAGCTGGAGTAGTGACCGTAGTAGTGGTAGTAGTTGGAGCGTTGTCCGTGCTGGCGGTGGCAGCCAAGGTAGAGATAGGTAGGGTATTAGGTCGAGGAATAGTTCCATCAACAATGTCGTCCAGATCCTTATCGATCAAAGTGTTTTGAATCGAGCGAGACCATTCCGCGTAATTGTCGGGACCCTCAAGGTAGGTACGCTTGGTAACCTTGAGAGTGTCGAGGTCGAGACTGTCGGCCATGATGAGACTAAGTCGATGTTGAAGAGGGTTGGTTGATGTAAACTAAGGTGATAGCCCGTTGAGCTCCGTTGGTAGAGCAGCCGACTCTTAATCTGTTGGATATCGAGTTGATCACCGCTGTATAGTTTGCATGAGGATAAAATATACAAGAGGGGATCAGGAAATCAGACCAGGATGGCCTGCTATATATATTAATCTGGGAAGGCCTACTTGCGACCAGAGTCGCAAGTTGTGACTGAACATGCGACCACAGTAGTCGCGACTTTGCGACTGTGGTCGCAACTTGCGACTGTGGTCGCAGATTGCTAAGCGGGAACAAAAGGAAAGGTGTGAAGAGTGGATGTGCTTTATTGTTCCATACGGTCTATTGTTCTGAGAACAATAGACGTGTTGGTGAACAATAGGATTCGACAAGAAGAAGGACGAAAAGGGACGTGCAGGTGACTTCAATGGGACTCCTCGCCGTGGAGAATGCGCACGCTGTGTACGGCACAAAAAAACCTGCCTCCCGGGTGGAGGGAACGCATGCAAACGGTGTTCTGCTGCAAAGGAACAATATATTATGCCTTGACTGTTTGGTGCCTTCAAGACTGTCTTACATCTATCTCCACGAGTCTATTCTCTGATCCTCATGGAGACCTCCTCGCTTGTGTATCGTATGCTTCTTATCCTGTAAAGACGAGCGGAATCGATCAATATTGGTGAATCGAGGTTGTGGGTAACAAATCCTGGAAGCCTTCTTAGTTGAGTGCGTATGAGCTGACAGATCAGGGTCCCGCTCCAAGCGAGCACTAACAATGCACATGAGGCTACGAGAAAAAGTGTTCGAAACCCTCAAACCCAGATCGAACACCGGCATGAAGCGATCGCTCAGCACACAAGGGAGTAGGCGACATGGGAAGATAGCCTTGAGGGGGAAGAATGGAGACAGACCATAGTGCCGGCACAGGGAGGAAGACCTGTCTGAATTACCTCCGCCTCGATATGAGGTAAAGAAGTCCAGGCTCGGAGCTGTTGATCAATGGGGGCAGGCATAGCCAAAGATAAGGAGAAAGCAGGAGGGAAACGAGATAATGGAAAGGGGGCAGTAGCTTCTTCAGGTCCATCGATCGCTTGTCATTCACTCCTTGGCAGGAGTACATTGTTTTTAGCTCTGAAATCCGAAGACATGGGGGATGAAACCTGACCAGGCTGTCAGCCGTAATTATACTTGTGGTAATTATGGTGTCATGATGAGCTTCAGGACTTGCCGTCGCCGTGAGACTCGCCGTGAGACCCCATCGTGCCATGGACAACTGTTCTCGCGCACGTGGCAAGACACGCGACTTCCGCGGGGATGTGAAAGGAGGTGAAACACGCTCTTTTAGGTGCCGCTCTCATGAAGGCGAATGAGCAAAGTATTAAATATACCGATGTCTAGGGTCGTTGCTACAAAGCCCAAGCTGAAGACTTCAGCAGAATTAATCTGTGAATCTATATCTACCAACATACTATTTCACTACCAAGGACATTTTACGGAATTGATGGCCGGCTATTCATCGTACGAAGGTGACATCGGGTTGACGCATAAGCAAAGCGCGACAGCGTTTCAGGGTCAGAGATCTGTAACTACCAGAAATGAAGACAGATCGCCTCACAGCGATGATACAGGGTCGACGGTCCAACAAAGCACAGAAACACCCGGTACCGTAACATCAGATACACCCACGGACTTGCCTTTTGACGCAACGGACAGTGTCCAGGCTTTCGGGCACCATGGCGTCTGGTCGGGCGCGAGCTTACAAGGCTCGTACGGAAGCGGAGACTCGACTAACAATAAACGGGGGGGAGACCTCTCGCAATTCAACGCTACTGGCTGTCTCGACCACTTGGAACTGAGCCACGTAGCCGGGCATCCAGAAACATCCTCCCATACTATTTATAGGCCGGAGAGGTCAGACAGCCACACATCCGGCATCGACCTACCCGCAGGTGTACCGATCAAGCGTTTGCCGATGGGCAAGAACGGCAGAACCCAAGCGTGTTACCATTGTTCTGAAAAACGAGTAAAGTGCTCTGGCTCCATACCATGCGTGCGCTGCTATCAGAAAGGTCTACGCTGCATCAGCAGAGATCCGGCTCCTACGGGAGGAACAATAAAGAAGTGTGATCAATGTCGTGATATTTGGAACAGTCGTTGCGACGTTCAAGAGGGAGATGAGGGAGATGAGAAATGCACGCAGTGCGGAGCAAACGAATGCACATGGAGACAAAGGGATGCACAACGACTGGCCCGACAGAAAGCGCCAAGGTATGTGAACAGAAGTGCCAGAAAAATAGCTCGACAGCAGAACGGAACCCCTCACGACCGGGATGCGTCAAATAGCTGAAGAAGCACTCGAGGGTCGGCAGTGGAAGGGTAGCTTCCGATAGTCTCAGCAATTCGAACGGTGTATCAGGGTCCGATTGTCATTGTTCTTGATCTAAATCCTGTTGCGATGTAGCCATTTCCCGTAGCCAAGAACTTGAGGAACCATCGTTTGACGATTTTGTTTCGGATCGATATGTCAGCCGATAAAGGCAGGCACATATGATCGAGCAGGAATAGAAATGGCGTGCAGCAAAAGAAAAGAGTCAAAGAATGTCCATCTGATCGGCCATGTGACGGCCTATTCACTCGTCAGGTTGACTGTCGATCCAGCCCGCAAGCAGACGAGAATAACAAACCAAAAAGGGGGGTATATAATATAGTTGTGTCTCGACGGCGATAGTACCGTTCTCCACGAAAGCTCTCAGCTCCAACGTCTCTCTTTCCGGACCAGCCGCTTAGAGCACCACCATGGCACCAAGGGCGACGGCGGCGAGAGCAGCAGCGCCAGTGTAACCAGGAGCGAATCCAGCAGCTCGAGAGGCGGCGTTCTGATTGTTTCCAGTGCTGGCCGAAGTGGCGGCGGCTCCGCCGGTAGTCTGACCGGTAGCGGCGGATCCTCCCGAGGTGGTGGTCGCAGCAGAGCCACCAGTTGCGGTCGAGTCTCCGCTAGCCGAAGGAGCGGCGGCAGATCCGGTGTTGTAGGCGACGGGGAACGAAGTGCCACCGGACTGCGCGGCAGGGTCGGCAATGACAGTGTCGTTGCTCGAAGTCTCGATGTACGACTCGGACTCGTCCCATCCGAGGCATTGCGAGAGCGACTTCAGGGTGTACGGGCTCGTCTCGTTCAGGGCCATGGGCAAGACGTAACCGACGGCGAGGTCGACGGTGGACTGGTACAAGTCGTGCTGCAAGACGATGAACCCAGTGTCGAGCTGTTCGGCCGTCTCCAAGATGGTGTTGAACCTGGCCAACGAGGTCTGACCGTTGGCACGACCTCCGGGAATGTTCCAGTCGTCCGTGTCGAAGATGACGCCGTTACCGGTGGTCCAAATGATCGGGGTCAGACCCATCTTGGCAGCGACGGCTCGGACACGGTCGTCGATGTCACCGTAAGGAGGCCTGAAAGTTCGGGGAGTGACACCGATCGTGTCCTTGATGACCTTCATCGTCCAACCGAGCTCGGCGACAATCTCGGCGTTGGTGAGGTTGGTCAAGTAAGGGTGGGACCAGGTGTGGACCGAGATCTGATGACCGGACATGTATTCGCTGATGACCATCTCGGGTCGGGACAAGACTCGGGAACCGACGACGAAGAAGGTGGTCTTCAGGTCGTTGGCGTTGACTGCCGTCGTAAGGGGTGATCGTCAGCCCCGTGCGTTTTGCGAACGATTTCAGACTCGGACTCACGGTAGTCGAGTAGCAAGGGAGTGTAAGGCGAAGGACCGTCGTCGTAACTCAGGCCCCAGTCGAGCTTGTCAGGGCAGACGGTGATGTCGGTCGATCGGGCTACAAGATGGTCGGAAATGAGCATACGCGTAACAATCACGCGTGTTCATGCCCGATACTCACTGCAGCCACCACAAGTCCACCAACAACGTTCCGTCTGGGCAGCAGCCTCGGGCGAGTTGTAACACTGCCGACCGGGGAAAGACCGAAAATGATCAGTCACTAATCGAGGATCAATACTGACCCATAACATTGAACTCACAGCTCCGGTAGTCTGACCGAAATCGGGCACGTCGCTGAGGTCCAACTCGCTCAACCACTGTTGAACCTGAGCCGAGTCCGTGGGCGGCTTGGCGTCGAGCGGGGGGTACTCGGCGACTACGGGGAACGAGGTCGGGATGGGAGGAGCGCCAGCAACACCGGTAGGCGAGGCTCCAGCGGAGTAGGTCGTGTCCAGGGGGACGGTCGTGGCGGGAGGCATGTTGGCCGTGATTGAGGCGAGGTCACTAGTATATCGGCGAAGAGTGGGTTGTTGGATCAGTGATTGGGTTCTTGATCCTTCGAGGTGATCAGAAACAGAAACTCACGGAACGCTGTATCCATCTGGCAAGTTGGTAGCCAGAGCAGTCACAGGCAGACCCTCGGTGTTGACAGTAACGGTCGGAGTAGCAGCCACGGGAGCAGCGACCGACTGGCTCGAGGGCAACAAGCTGGTCGCCGTGATCGAAGCCTGACCGGCCGAAGCGACGGCTGACGAAGCCGAGCTGGCGACGGCCTGAGCGTTGACGTTGACCTGGCTCCCGAGCAGGGCTACGAGAGCAGAGAGGAGAAAAGTGGTCGTCCTGGGCGACATGTCGATGAAAGTTCTAACGAGAGTGGAAGAGTAGTGGTTTGGTCGGGTTGTTGGGGAAATATACTTTTTTTCCTCGTCTCTTATTGTCCTTGATCAGAGACCGCTCCGCGTTCCGGTTGATGGGATTCGAGAAGCTGTTGCTGATGCGTTCGACGACGGGCGAAAAGAACTCGTATGAAACCTCTTTAAACACTGAGATGTGTGTCTACGGGTTTGAAAGGGCTCCTAGTAGGGATGATCGTTCAGGGAAAGCCAAGAGAGGGGGATGTAGAAATCCGAATGTCTCCTTTGTCGTGTCGTGTCCGTGTTTGGGAGTCGATGTGTGACGCGAGTCGGTCGTAGGCAGACGAGTAAGTGGGTATGACAAGTAGAGTGAAAAGTCGAGTGGTGGTAGCTATTAGCAGTAGGTCGTAGCAGTAGCAGTAGGTGGTGGTCGTCGAAAGTGGCAAAGAGTCCTGGGAGGTACAAATATCGTGGATGCTGGATGCTTGGATAATATGATTGTCGAGGCAAAACTCGTTCCGCGATGCCGTGGTACCCGTGGTATTTGTGTACACAGCCCGCAACTGGGCGCGTGCTTCTCTCCCTCTCCTCCCTCTCTCTCATTGTGCTCCGGGCACGCGCGATCATTCCTCGGATCAAAACAAAATGAATGAGGTGGGCGGCGCAGGAGGGACAGCGACAAAAGCGAGAGAGGGTTCACCACCCCCGAGCGCCCATGCCTCTGGCGTTTCCCCGTGATTACCTCGCTTACAACCATCGGTCTTGGCAGGTGAATTGATGAGTTTCACTTGGCCCACCGGTACTTATCAACAAAAGGAAAGGGGGTTGTTTCCCGGGTATGACGTGTTAAACAAAGTATCAAACTAACTACACCGAGGCCTTCCACTTCAACCCCCACTCTCCCTTCTGATGCGTCACATCCTCGATCACCTTGCCATCCCATCCAACGCCCTTGACCTCCCTCGTCTCGCTCTTCAACAGCTCGATCGCCTCGGTCTCCCATTCCAGCGGGAACATCCTCGAGCGTTTGGCCGCTAGATGCGGGAAACCAAAGTGCACGAGCAGCCGGGCGGAACGGCGGACGAGTTCGCGGTTGAATGCGTTGGCCATCCCTAGAGCTTGGGCGGACGGCGGTGGAGATGTCGACATCGATGCTGTTGTCGATATAGACTCTATCTCATTCTCTCTCGACGTAATGGGGACCAGCTCCGGCAACCCTCCTGCCAGCGGACCCTCCCGAGTCCTCGGCCTCCCCGTAGTCTCGTCGAAGACCCTCCCCTGAACGTCACTACAAAGAACGACCCTCCCTTCCTTCCCGCTCCCCTTGCCCTCGTTCAACATCTCCCGCCATACCAGCCCGATCACGGCCGAAGCCCTGGGTTCGTTCTTGCAGCGTTGAGAGCAGTGTTTCTTTGCGTTTTCCGGGTTGGGGTTCGGGTCGGAAGGACGGGCGGCGTGGGAGGTATGCCGACCGCAAGAATGACAGTAGAACGGAGTGGGTCGCGTGGTCGTGGACGAAGAGATGTTGGGGTTGGTCTTGGTGGATTTCGAAGCCGAATGAGGCATAATGCAGGGAGGAAGTAGTGTGATTGCGGTACGTCGACGTCGAATGCAGGACAAGGCGAGGGGCATCAAGTCAATTTCAAAAGAAACGAACTGGCTGGATATGGCTTGACTGAGCGACTCTTATTAACGAGATGTGTCTATCACCTTTCGCCCATCGCCATCGCCATGGATTTGCAGGCCTTGCGGATTGAAGGTAGAAATGCTCCGACGCTCAGATCGACGATCGGGCGCGCGAAAGAAGTGACGAATCGTGAGCGGGATCCGGTCGGTTGCGGCGTTGCGACAGGGTGAGCTAGGGTTCAAGCGTGGAACAATCCGAAAAAAGAGGAGAACGCTCAGGTCTCAGTATCAGAGAGTCGCCTAGTTATCAATTTGTGACTATGTGATAATGCTCACCGTAATCGTTCAAAGCACTACCTTTTCTTTGCGTGTCCGGCACTGGTTGGCCTTCCCATTTGCTGCCGTTTGTTATGAATGTGGAAGCAGGAGGGCGACGCGCATCTGGCCACGACGAAGGCAACATCGCGTTCAGCCGGGAGAGCATCAAAGATCAGAAAGCACGCTTGGTAGCTGGCACAACTGGTTGATGGCCGATGGAATGTTAGAGTCGACCTCCTGTTAAAGACTGCATCGACCGGTCTGTGTAGAAATTCTGACGGATACGGACACTCTTGGGAGGACGGAAACTTACATGCGCAGGTAGGCACGAAATAGACCTTTTTACGACCTCAACACGACATCCGGGAGATCAACGGACCTCTCGAGAGAAGGACGAAGGAGGAGACGCACACGAAAACGATGGCTGCCCTCGTCAGCAACATCTCGGGCGGGGATGATATCTCGTCGATGATGTTGGGCCGGGGAGGTGGAATATCGTTCGATATCAGCATGATCAGGAGCTACTTGGCTTCCCTCCTCTCGCCAGGTGAGTCTCCGCGTCGTGACCTTCTGATTCGCATCAAATAGCTAACGTATACGGGTTTCGTGTGATGTGGTAGTGATGGCGGCGACGAGGACAGACTTGGAATCTTCCTTGTTTGGAGATGTGACTTTCGAAGACAAGGCCGAGAGGTTCGCCACGGACGGATCTCACATGGTTGCCTACATCACCAAGGAGAGAAACCAGAGGCCGGAGGAGGATGATGATGGCGAGGATCAGGGTCAGGATGGTGAGTGCGGGAGGTTCGGGCGCGATGTTGAAAGGTGGCTGACCTTGTAATCTTGCCTCTATCATCAGGAGATCACGTATCATACACTTATACGCTCCATCTCCCTCCCGTCCCATCCCATACGCCATCCCTGATCTCGACGCTGTCCTTGATCAAGAAGAAGCCCATCCTAGATCCCTCGACCCCCTTGGCTCACCAGCTTCACTTTGTCATGCTCTCCACTACCAACAATCAAAGCCTCGTCACTTCAGGGGACAAGGCCGGCGATGAAGCAGCGGGCGACGACGCCGGGAACGAGAATACGACGATCGGGACACCGTACGAGGGACTGCATAGTCTGGTGCATTTCGGTGTGACCCCTTGGTTTGACGCGTACATCAGCTCGAAAAAAGTCGGGGTCAGCTTAGACAGCGCTGGGGGCAAAAAGGCAGGCGAAGCACAGATGGGTGAGTTGAAGAGGGACTGTCTTTGATCGCTGCTAGGTACTTTGTACGAAACTAATTCCGAATTTCGTGACGCTACGCATATAGGTATCCCGGTGGCCAAGAGGAAATTCGCTGAGCTTGAGCTATCGCTTTTGCACCTCCAACAAAACGTCGAAATTCCCGAGACCCACTTGATCATCCACCCTGCCGTCCAGCGTGCCGTCGAGCAGGCTCACGCCTCGGGCAACAGGTTGACGATCGATTCCATTCAGCCGGCTTCGTTGTTGACCGACGATGCCTTTCTGAACCGCTTGCAGTCGGACGTCAACCTGTGGATCAAGGAGATCCAGGCGGTCACCAAGCTGAATCGGGATGTAGCCTCGGGAACGGCTTCGCAAGAGGTCAACTTTTGGCTCTCGATGGAACGAGCCCTGGAGGGTATCGAAGCGCAGCTCGCAGGCGAAGAAGTCCAGCTCACTTTGAGCGTGCTAAAGAGCGCGAAACGATTTCACGCGACGACGAGTTTCGTCTCGGACACCGGGCTCAAGGAGGCTACGGATACCGTTATCAAGTACAATGCGTTGATGAGGGATTTCCCGCTGAACGAGTTGTTGAGCGCGACCGAGCTGGAAAAGATTCGGGAATCGCTCTATCTCGTCTTTGGGCACCTTAATAAGAAGCTCAAGGTATCGTGAGTTCCAGACCGCATACACGTCCTGTCAACAGACTGAAAATGTAAGCTTAATCTGGCTCGGCTCCGTATAGGCCTTATCCGCTTCGTCGAACGCTGCCATTGGTCGAGGCCATCTCGAGCGATTTCAACGAGCAATGCGTCAAGGTGTTGACCGCTCAACGCTTGATGTATATGGACTACGCCTCGTTCGAGAGCACGATGACTGCGGCGATGGAGGTGTTTGCGACATGGGACGAGAACATCAAGGAGTTCACTAATGTTGCTCGAGAGGGTGAGACAAGGGATTTTGTTCTTGTCGACTTTCCGCGTTGATGACTCTCACCCTTAACCAGTAATGCGAAAGCGAAATGAAAAGTTTATCCCTGTCAAAATCAATTCGGCACACGTCAAGACGCAAGAGAGGGTCGCCTATCTGCGAGACTTCCGACGGACACACGAGCAACTCAGGGTCATGACCGGGACTCAAGGTGGTCTCAAAGGCCTCGGCAGCGAGAATATGCTCGACGTCAACATGGAGGAAGAGGTTCGTTCGGCATACGAAGGTCTGAAGCCCGTGCCTGTTTTGGACACCTCGCTCGGTAAGTCACGCGATGTCCGTCAAGAGCAACCTAATAGCTAACGGGAGACGATTCTTTAGAGGGAACTGAAATTTGGATCACGGCCGAGAGTACCTACAACGAACGGGTCGCTCGTGTTGAGAACCAAATCATCTCTCGCCTGAGAGACCGCTTGGCCACCGCTCGGAACGCCCATGAAATGTTCAGGATCTTTTCCAAGTTCAACTCGCTTTTCGTGCGACCAAAGGTAAGAGCGAGGCATATGTAGCAAGTGCATTGCGGCATTGACACTTTCCCTCCTGCCGCAGATCCGCGGAGCGATCCAAGAATACCAGACTCGTCTCATCGACTCGGTCAAAGAGGACATCAAGAAGTTGCACCTGAAATTTACCAGCAACTACCGGAACTCCGAAGCCTTTCACATGTCTCAATTACGTGATCTTCCTCCCGTAGCGAGCGCCATCATCTGGGCCAAACAGATCGAAAAGCAACTTTCAGCCGACATGAAACGCGTCGAGGACGTATTGGGAAAGGGCTGGGAAATGTATGCGGAGGGAGAAAGGCTCAAGGCGGAGAGCGACTTTTTCCGGAAGAAGCTCAATACGACCCCCATCTTCGATGCATGGGTACAGGACGTGACCCGACGCGAACAGCGAGTCGGAGGACGTCTGCTAGAAATCATCAGGCAACGAAATGCGCCCATCCAAGCGAACGGTCAGCCTGCACTGGAGCTTGCCGTCAACTTTGACCCCCAGACTATCACCCTCTTCAAGGAAGTCCGAAACTTGCTCTGGTTGAACTTTCCGGTTCCGCATACCATCATCAACTATGCCAAAGAAGCGAAGCGCATCTACCCGCACGCGGTCAACCTGATGGAATCGGTCAGGATATACAACCAGCTGGTCGAGGTCATCGATGAGAACGAGTCGGTGGGCATGTTGATTGCCGATTACCGTACCAGGGCGCAGGAGCTGATTGTCAGAGGTGAGGTTTCTATGTCTCCGTCGAACTGATCTAGATCCCTGGGCTGATATGCTCGCTTTTCAGGTCTGGGTATCCGTTGGGAAACCGTCGCCTATTCTTACGGAACCCCTCGCACGCCTGCGCCGGGCAACCGAGGAATGGAAGAAGACGGTTCGATAACCTTCTTCAGGGAATTTGCTAGCGTTATCGCCATCCTGCAGGAAAAGACGACCGTGGTCATCGAGGTTGACGAACAAATTAGCGGCCTTCTAGAGGAGCTAGCCTCCTGTCCGTACGAAAACGACGTCCTCACCAGGATCATGAGCACTCTGCAGCAGATTGTGGGTTTGATCTTCCGGCACTCAAAACACTTTGACGCATTGACGTCCGAGCTACCGCTGCTAACCTTATCCAATCATTACAGGCTGATCGGTTGAACCTGGAAGGATACACAAATCTGGAAGAATGGGTCAACGAGCTCGACGAAAAGGTGATGAACATTTTACGAACACGACTTACGAACAAGATAGACGAATGGTGCAAAGATATAGAAGCGCTGTCGAAGGACCCAAGCTCGGTCGCTCAGCTGCAGGCTATCGCAGGCACCACCCATGAGCTTCACATCAAGAATCAGGTCATCTACTTGAACCCGCCTCTAGAGATGGCTCAAGCAGCTTGGCTGAAACAGTTGCAGCGCTTGATGGGCGTTGTCTGCGGTCAAGCTCGGATCAAGAGCGCACGCTACGAGATGAGCTTGCAGAACGGAGAAACGGCGCTCGAACGCAGAGACTGCTCGGTACTGCTGCCGACTCTCCCCGATACAGTTCTCGAGCGACCTTTCCGTCTCATACAAGAAAAGTTGAATTTTGTGCGAGGATACGTCGATCGGTGGCTCCAGATGCAGGCGCTCTGGGACTTGGAGCAGGATATCGTCTACGGCCATCTAGGTGACTCGCTTCCAAAGTGGTCAAAGATTCTGACCGAGATCAAGCAGTCTCGCGCAACATTCGATACTACGGAAACGCAGAGAGACTTTGGGCTTTGTGTCATTGCCTACGCCAATGTTCAGGGGAAAGTTGCGGCAAAGTACGACTCGTGGCAGCGGGACATTCTCAACCGGTACGGCAGCAAGCTTGGTGAGCGAATGAGAGACATCAACACCAGCCTGTCCAAGGCTAGGCAAGAACTCGAGCGTCAGACGATCACTGGTTCCTCGACCGCTCAGGCCGTGACCTTCATCACCTTTGTCCAGGATCTCAAACGGAAAGTGGGACAATGGTCGCCGGACGTGACAGCCCTCGAGGAGGGACAGCGAACGCTGGAGAAACAGAGATATGCTTTCCCGGACGATTGGCTCCATGCAGATCGTATCGCTGGCGAATGGGGAGCGTTCCATGAGATCTTGAAACGCAAAGATGCTACCATACAAGAACAGCTGGCAGGACTTCGTCTAAAGGTGGCGGCCGAGCACAAGGTCATACTGGAAAAGATCTCTGCGTCTCAAGCTGACTGGGATGCTCACAAACCCATCCAAGGGGGGATCAAGCCGGAGGCGGCTATCAACTCGATCCAGACTTTCGAGACTAGGGTGTCAAAGTTGAACGATGATCACGAGATGCTCAGAAAGGCGCAAGACGCACTCAACATTGCCGTCTCCGAGGACAAGCGACTTCAACCCATTCTCGACGAGATCAAGGATCTCCGAGCCGTTTGGCTGGCTTTGTCAGGCGTTGCGACTCAAGTCAACGAAGTACGGGACACGCTATGGAATCTGGTCCAGCCTCGGAAGGTCAGACAAACGCTCGACAGCATCATCGCTAACATGCGGGAACTTCCGACACGCATGCGACAATACGCAGCTTACGAACACGTGCATGAGGCTATTAAGACGCTTTTAAAGTTCAACACTATAGTGACGGAACTCAAGGGGGATGCCATGCGGGAGCGACATTGGAGACATCTCTTCCAGAGTCTCCGAGTCTCATACCCTTACCGGGAAAGCACGCTGACTCTGGGAAACGTCTACGACCTGGATTTGAAAACCAATGAAAAGCCAATCAAGGCTATCTGCGAACAGGCCCGTGGAGAACGCAACCTTGAAGAATACCTACGTACCGTGAGGGATTTCTGGACAGACTTCAACCTCAGTCTGGTCCAATACCAGAGCAAGTGCCGTCTGATCAAAGGGTGGGATGATCTGTTCAGCGCTTGTAGCGAGCACTTGAACGGGCTCACAGCAATGAAGTCCTCACCCTACTACCGGGTCTTCGACGAGGAAGCTGCGTCTTGGGACAACAAGCTCATTGCCATTCAAACGCTGTTTGACGTCTGGATCGACGTGCAACGACAGTGGGTCTATTTAGAAGGCATCTTCACCAACAACGCCGATATCAAGCAGTTATTGCCAGTGGAAAGCGCACGATTCGGCAATATCGACTCAGAGTTCCTCGCGGCCATGCGCAAGGTGTACAAATCCCCGCTCGTCCTCGACGTCCTCGTAATCCCGGGCATTCAGAAAACGTTTGAACGCCTCGCAGAAGCACTGGGCAAGATTCAAAAGGCTTTGGGGGAGTATCTCGAGCGCGAAAGGTCTACGTTCCCTCGGTTTTACTTCCTTGGAGACGAGGACCTGCTCGAAATCATCGGGAACAGCAGCGATGCATTGCGTGTGACGAAGCACTTGAAAAAGATGTTTGCTGGATTGGCATCGCTCGAAACTAGTGCTGACGATACAACGGTCGTCGCGATGACTTCCCGAGATGGAGAAACCGTGACACTGTCCAGACCGATCATTCTCGCGGAATATCGGAAGGTCAACGATTGGCTGGCTCGGTTGGAAAAAGAGATGAAGACGACCTTGGCGGATACGCTGTATCCCGTCATGACGGGTCTTGAGGCGCTCTACTCGACAAGCAACACGATCGAAGGCCACGCAATCCGCTCATGGATCGAAGCGCATCCGGCCCAACTGGTCATCCTGGCCATACAAGCAGCATGGACCCAGCTTGTTCAAGATCGCCTTTCCCGAGGCCACACTCTCCAAGCTGTGCTCGATCTCGTGCAAACGGTTCTGGAAGCATTGGCAGATGCCGTTGTGGGGGACCTGAATTCCATCACTCGACGTAAATGCGAACACCTGATCACCGAGCTCGTCCACCAAAGAGACGTGACCAGGTCCTTGATTCAGAGCGGTGTTACCTCGGCAAACGACTTTGAATGGCTTCGTCACATGCGATTCTACTTCGACGCCGATGTCGAGGACCGGCTCAAGTGCTTACAAGTTGAAATGGCCGATGCCGTGTTTGATTACGGTTTCGAATATCTCGGAATTCCCGATCGCTTGGTCCAAACACCCCTTACCGACAAGTGCTTCTTGACGCTCACCCAAGCGTTACATACTCAGCTCGGAGGTTCTCCATTCGGACCCGCAGGAACCGGTAAGTCCAAGGAGATTTCTGTTTCAAGCCAAACACTGACAGGGATGTCGATGTCCAACTTGTAGGCAAAACGGAATCGGTGAAAGCGCTCGGAGTCAGTCTTGGGCGTTTCGTGCTCGTATTCTGCTGCGACGAAGCTTTCGATTTCCAGGCCATGGGCCGTATCTTTTCGGGAGTATGTCAAGTGGGCGCGTGGGGTTGCTTTGACGAGTTTAACCGGCTCGACGAGCGTATGCTCTCGGCGGTTTCGTCCCAAATTCAAGTCATCCAGCAGGGGTTGGCATCGACCAACGGCAAGAGCGTAACCGAGATCTCCCTGATAGACAAGAAAGTTCAGCTAGACCCGCAGACAGGTATCTTTGTCACCATGAATCCCGGATACGCGGGGTACGTTCTTATTCGATGAGCGCGATGCGGTAGGGGAGCAACACTAAAGAAGCTGTCTCTGTGGCACTGCTGTTACAGACGATCTAACCTGCCAGACAACCTGAAAAGTAAGCATTGCAGATCCCTCTTACACATGCCGTTGCAAGCTAACTTGATTACATCCTCTCCGGCCTGCCTACGCAGAACTTTTCAGGGCAAGTCGTTCCAAGATTCATTTGAATAATCGGACACGAGCTGATGTCGCCTTTTTACAGAGCGTCGCCATGTCACAACCTGATAGAGAGCTGATCGCTCAGGTCATGCTGTTCTCACAAGGTTTCCGTCATGCGGAGGGTCTGGCTTCGAAGATTGTACCCTTCTTTGAAATGTGTCGAGAGCAGCTCTCCGCGCAGTCCCATTACGACTTTGGGTTGCGAGCGCTGAAATCTGTTTTGCTACGCGCCGGCATCCTGATTCGAGAGCACCTCGGGAGTATATCGACTCCCGCCTCGTCAGAAACGTCGGAGCAGAGAGAAGTAACCGAGCTCGAGTTGATGGTGCGAAGTCTTCAAGAGACACTTGTACCTAAGCTTTTGGGTAGCGATGTGTCGCTTATTCGAAGGTAAGCATCTATCTGTCTCACACTCACAGAGATGACAAATATTGAGTAGTTCCGATCTCACCTTTACACAGCATCGTCACAGACGTCTTCCCCAATGTTTCGGGGCGTCAGAGTCCGCTTGATGAACTAAGGAAAGCGATCGGGATCGCATGCGATAAGAGACATTTACAGCAGGACGACTCCTGGATAGAGAAGGTGATACAGCTATACCAGGTCCAACAGATCTCACACGGAGTGATGCTCGTGGGACCCTCTGCTAGCGGCAAGAGTGAATCATGGCGTGTCCTTCTGGATGCACTAGGCCAAATGGACGGGATTGAAGGCGTATCATATGTGGTCGATCCCAAAGCCATTCAGAAGGACGATCTGTATGGGGTTCTCGACAACACCACGCGAGAGTGGACGGACGGTCTTTTCACGAGTATTCTCCGTCGCATCACAGACGATGCTCGCGGCGAGAGCGGCAAGCGGCATTGGATCGTGTTTGACGGTGATGTAGATCCCGAGTGGGTTGAGAATCTGAACAGGTATGTCTCCTTGTCACGACAGCGATACAGGTCAGATCTCTTATGCCCAAGCACGTCAACGTTTTTAGCGTCCTAGACGACAACCGACTCCTGACCTTGCCGAACGGAGAACGGCTGTACCTTCCCGGAAATGTGAGGGTCATGTTTGAAGTCGACTCGCTGAGGTACGCTACTCCAGCTACCGTCAGTAGATGCGGCATGATTTGGTTCAGCCAAGGACTAGTCACTGCGCAGATGCTCTGTGCCAAAGCGATGGAGACTTTGCAGACGACAGTGTTGCCCACAGATGAGCAGTCCCAAAGTCTGGATTCGGCCTCGAGCGCTATGCGTCTACGGACCCAGCAAATCGTCGCACAGGCCCTTACACCGTCGTTTTTGGTCAACGGACTGGTGTTCAAGGCCTTGTCTTTTGCTGAAACTCTGCCCCATATCATGGAGTTCTCCCCGTCGAGAGCACTGTCGACTCTGTTCTATGCCATCAACAAGGCCATCCGCACCATTCAAGACTACAACGACAATCATGCGGACTTCCCGCTTGCCGACGACCGGATAGAGCTCTACATGCGCAATCGTCTACTACTCGACTTGGTCTGGGCGTTCGTGGGTGACGCCTCAGGAAAGGACCGTGCCATCTTTGCGCGTTTCTTGCAAGAGGAAACTGGGATTCAGCTCCCGGTCGACGCAAACGATCACAACACATCAGTCATCGATTTTGATGTCGACCTCAAGACTGGTAATTGGATCAATTGGCAAGAACGGGTGCCGACGATCGAGATCGAGACGCACGCTGTGACTGCAGCGGACGTTGTCATCCCAACTATCGACACCGTCCGACACGAAGAGGTCCTATATTCCTGGATCATCGAGCGCAAGCCTTTGGTTCTTTGCGGACCTCCAGGCTCTGGGAAGACGATGACACTGATGAACGCGTTACGCAAATTGCCGGAAGTGGAAATGGCTGGTCTGAACTTCTCGAGCGCCACAAGCCCAGAACTTATCCTGAAGACCTTTGAGCAATACTGTGAATACAAGAAGAACAACAACGGGATTGTCCTCGCTCCAACCTCGACAACCAAATGGCTCGTCGTTTTCTGCGACGAGATCAATTTGCCGGCCGAAGACCCCTACGGTACACAGCGCGTTATCTCCTTCATGCGACAGATGATTGAGCACGGTGGATTCTGGCGGACTTCAGATCTCTCTTGGGTCAAGCTCGAGCGAATCCAGTTCGTCGGGGCGTGCAATCCTCCAACTGATCCTGGCCGTGTTCCTCTCAGTACGAGGTTCTTGCGACATGCGCCCGTCCTCATGGTTGACTACCCTGGAAGTATCGCTCTCAAGCAGATCTACGGGACGTTCGCTCGAGCACTCCTCAAGGTCGTTCCCACGCTGCGACGCTTTGCCGAGGCACTGACAGAAGCGATGGTAGAAGTATACCAGCTCTCCCAGAGTCACTTTACAGCTGATCAACAAGCTCACTATGTCTACTCCCCGCGAGAGCTTTCGCGCTGGGTGAGGGGTATCTATGAGGCTCTGAGGCCTCTGGAAAGCTTGGATCTGGATGGTCTGGTACGGCTATGGGCACATGAGGGACTCCGGTTGTTTCAAGATCGACTCGTCCATGAGTACGAAAAGGTCTGGACAGATCAACTCATCGACGACGTGGCGCTTCGCCATTTCCCAACTGTCGACCGCGGACTCGCTCTTCAAAGACCGATACTATACTCCAACTGGACGACAAAGGATTACTTGCCGATCGCACGGGAGGCTTTGCGAGACTTTGTCAAAGCTCGCTTGAGGGTCTTTTACGAGGAGGAGCTTGACGTGCCTCTGGTTTTGTATGACGATATCCTCGACCACGTACTCAGGATCGACAGAGTCTTCCGCCAGCCACAAGGACATGTACTTCTGATTGGTGTCAGCGGGAGCGGCAAGGTTAGTCGTCACTTGCCGATTCAATGAAGCTCGAGCTGATGGCCATGGTACATTCTCCACAGACGACTCTTTCCCGGTTCGTTGCTTGGATGAACGGATTGAGTATATTCCAGATCCAGGTTTCAAATCGGTACACTGCTGCGGATTTCGACGAAGATCTCCGCACGGTGCTCAGACGTGCTGGTTGCAAAGGCGAAAAGATGTGCTTCATCATGGACGAGTCGAATGCGTTGGACTCGGCATTCTTGGAACGCATGAACACCCTCTTGGCTAACGCCGAAATTCCTGGATTGTTTGAAGGCGACGAGTTCCAAGCTCTCATGAACTCTTGCAAGGAAGGATCGCAGCGAGACGGGCTTATGCTCGACTCGACGGACGAATTGTACCGATGGTTCACGAGCCAGATCTCCAAGAATCTGCACGTCGTCTTTACGATGAACCCGCCATCCGATGGTGTCGCAGGCCGCGCAGCTACCTCGCCCGCATTGTTCAATCGATGCGTCTTGAATTGGTTCGGAAACTGGTCGAACCGCACCCTATTCCAGGTCGGAACGGAAATGACTGTTGAATTGGATCTAGACAACCCTGAATACGATGTCCCAGCTACCCTCGTGCCATCCAACCCGGACATGCCCAAGCTGCCGAGTCACCGGGAAGCTGTTGCCAACGCTATGGTCACGGTGCATTTGCAAGTCGAGAAAGCCATGCGCAATCTGCAAGATCAAGGCAGAAGCGTTCCGCGCATTACTCCGAGACATTTCCTGGATTTGTGAGTCGTTCTCGTCATCTTATGAGCTCATCAAGTAGGCATTAACTTGGGGAGTCTACAGCATTACTCAATATGTCAAGATCGTGGGAGAGAAGCAAGACGACCTACAAGACCAGCAGCGTCATATCAATACAGGTATCGACAAATTGCGCGAGACCGTAACGCAAGTCAGCGAACTGAAAAAGGAGCTTTCCATCAAGGAAAAGGAATTGCACGAAAAGAGCGCTGAAGCCAACGCGAAGCTCAAGCAGATGATTGCTGATCAGCAAGAGGCTGAAGCCAAGAAACTCGCTTCTTTGAGTATTCAGGAGCAGCTGAGCTCTCAAGAGGAGATCACGAAGCAACGGCAAGCTACAGTCAACGCGGAGCTGGCCGACGTAGAGCCTGCAGTGGCTGAAGCATCTAACGCCGTGGGCAGCATCAAGAAGCAACAGCTTGCCGAGTTGCAAAAGCTTCGAGTGCCGCCAGCTGCGATCGTCATGGCAGCCGAGGCTACTTGTGCTCTTTTGGGCCATCAGAACCTTAAAGATTGGACGGCGATCGCTGCTATCGTCCGCCGTGATGATTTCGTCTATAGCATTCAGCACTTTGACACTTCCAAGGTGGACGCGGCACTCTGCCGTCGTCTCCAAAGGGACTATCTGAGCAGGGAAGACTTCACGTTCGAAGTGGTCAATCGAGCTAATAAAGCCATGGGACCATTGGCTCTTTGGGTCATGGCCCAGGTCAAGTATGCGACGATCCTTGACCGGATTGAGCCCCTCAGGCAAGAAGTCGATGAGCTTGAACATAAGGCCTACACTTTCAAGGAACAGGCTAAAGCCGTGCAGGAGATACTCGAGAAACTCGAAGGCAGTATCGCGACGTATAAGGATGAATACGCTGCCCTTGTCAGCGAAACGCAGGCTATCAGGACGGAAATGAAGAAGGTACAAGAAAAAGTCGACCGCAGCTCCACCTTGCTAGCGAGCCTGTCACAGGAAGAGACGCGATGGAGTCGCGATAGTGCAGAATTCGCTCAAGAGATGACGACTCTGATTGGAGACGCGTTGCTCTCAGCCGGCTTTCTCACCTATCTCGGATACTTCGATCAAAGGCATAGGAGGAGTCTTTGGAACGAAATGCTTGATCACCTCGTCGCTTCCAATATCGCAGCTAAACCTGATCTCGCTCTGCCGGAATATCTTGCCACAGCCGATGATCGCGCGAAGTGGATCGCTGCGGGACTACCGGTCGATGACCTCGCGACCGAAAATGCGATGATGATACAGCGGTTCAACCGGTTCCCTCTGCTGATCGATCCTACGGGCCAAGCCTCTGGATTCCTGACTAACCTCTATCGCGAGAAAAAGGTCATGTCCACCAGTTTCATCGATGCTTCGTTCGTCAAGAATCTGGAGAGCGCTCTGCGTTTCGGGAGCCCGTTACTCGTTCACGACGTGGAAAACCTCGACCCGGTACTGAACTCTGTACTTAACCGCGAGGTGCGGAGAAGCGGAGGACGAAACCTCATCCGGATCGGAAACCAAGATATCGATTTGTCGCCTGCATTCACTCTATTTTTGGCGACGCGCGATCCCCTCATCGCCATACCGCCCGATCTGAGCAGCCGAGTGACCGTAGTCAACTTTACCATGACACGTGGTAGTCTGGAAAGCCAGTCACTCGATAAAATTCTGAAGGCAGAGAGGCCCGATACCGAAAATCGTAGAACCAATCTGATCAAGGCTCAGGGCGAATTCCGATTGCGTCTCCGACACTTGGAGAAGATGCTGCTGAACGCGCTCAACGAGTCGAGCGGCAGCATTCTGGAGAACGACAAGCTTATCGCCACTCTCGAGGGTCTGAAGCGAGAAGCTGCTGACATTTCGCAAAAGATGCTCGAGACAGAGTCAATCGCGTCGGAGATCGAACAAGTCACCAAGGACTACAAACCCATCGCGCGATCCGCAAGCGCGATTTACTTCCTCCTCGAGCGTCTTGGCGACTTGAACCATTTCTATCGGTTCTCGCTCGACTTCTTCTTGGATTTGTTCGACGACGTTCTGCTCAGGAACCCTCGCTTGCAAGGTGTAAAGGATCTCGCACAACGCCAAGAAATCATCACCCAGGATCTTTTCTCGCTTTCGTACGAGCGTGTCGCTCGGACGCTTTTACAGGACGATCACGTCCTGCTCAGTCTCGCTCTGGCGCAGATGCTACCCCTCCAGCAAGATCAGCAACAAGCGAAGAGTCTCTTGCAAAGCATGACCAGAACAACCGGACCGAGCGATGTTCCCATGCCGTCATTGCTCGAAACGGTCGAGCAGCAACAAGTGCTGTCTCTGGTGTCAGAACCGAAGCAATTGTCTGCATCGATGTCATCCGATCCCGGGGCATGGCAAAAAGCTTTGGCGGAAACCCAGCCGGAGGTTACGGTACCGACTTTGATCTCCGGTATTTGCACTGAGCGTGAGTTTTGCGCATTGATATGAACGTGACAAACCCCACTAACCGGATCTTTGTTCCTCAGCTATTGCGAGCGCGGCACTCGTCGCAACGATCATGAGCTGCCTTCGCCCAGATCGATTCATCGCCTCGTCTGCTGCTCTAACGAAGGTCGCCTTTGCTGCGCCTTTGCAGACAGTGGACTCAGGCAGAGCGCTAGAGGACTACGTCGACGCCGCGAATGCATCTACGACTCCAATTGTCCTGTGCTCTGTCCCCGGGTATGATGCGAGCTTCCGGGTGGACGCTCTCGCCGCCAGCCGGAAGCATGATTGTGCTTCTATTGCCATGGGCTCTTCCGAGGGAACTCGTCTCGCTGATCAGGCAATCAGCCACGCCGCCAGAACGGGAAGTTGGGTACTTCTCAAGAACGTACATCTGGCCCCCGAGTGGCTCTCTAGCCTTGAAAAGAGGCTCCGAACGATCCACGCCGACAAACGCTTCCGGCTATTCCTTACGATGGAGACTAGCCCGAAGATTCCGGTCAGCATCTTGCTCCAATCGCGCATTATCATGAACGAACCCGCTCCGGGGGTCAGGGCTAGCGTCTTGGAGTCGCTCCAAGGCTTCGAAGCGCTAGACAACGATGCTGGACCAGCAGAAGCGACCAGGCTATATTTCCTCTTGGCTTGGTTCCACGCTGTCGTCCAGGAGCGATCCCGATACAATCCGCTCGGATGGAGCTCGGCGTACGACTTCAACGACGCTGATCTCTCCGCCGCTGCCGGAACCATGAGAAGGTGGTTGTCCGGCGTCGCTCGAGGGCGCAGCAACATTGATCCTGCCCAGATCCCCTGGATCGCCCTGCGCTCGCTACTCAATGTCAGCATTTACGGTGGTAGAGTCGACTCAACTTTCGACCAGCAGATTCTCAACAGCTTCTCCCTCTCGCTCTTCCACGCTGGAGCTTTCGAATCTGACTTCAAGCTGGTTGATGATGAGAATCCAGATCTAGCCTTGAAGATGCCGGATGCTCTCACGCTTGCCAGTTTCAAGAAGTGGGCTCACGACTTGCCAGAGGAGAACCCTCATTCCTGGTTGGGACTGCCAGCAGAAAGCGAAAGGGTTTTGCTCGAAGCCAAAGGTGAGATCGATGCAATCATTGGTAGCGTTCTTGATACTTACGCCTTTCACCCTGCTCTCAGGTCGGCGAATCATGACCAGGTTGCGAGCTCTACGAGAACCGGAAGAAGTTGATGTCGCCGTGAGTAGCTCATCCTCTCAGGACGCAGGCGGTCGTCCGGAATGGATGCAACAACTCGGAGCCAGCTGTACGCAGCAACTTGGAGCTCTGCCCAAGGTAAGTCTTATCCTTAATGATATCGATCTCGCATGTTGCTGAACCTATTATTACCGGTGTGTTCCTAGTCTCTCCCAGCGACCCAAGACAACAAGAGCTCGGACCCGATTGCGGTCGCCTTCGCTCGGGAAGCCGAGCAAGGCCGAAAGTTGCTCGGCACCATCAGGGAGGATCTGCAAAACACGGCTTCGTACCTGGCAGGCGATATCAAGCCTACCAATCATATCACCCGACTGGTTCAAGCGATGCGTCGAGGTAAGTGTACTGCCGATGTCTCGTCATTGTTCGTAGCTGACTGACATACTGACTGCATGCTAGGCGAAATTCCAAGCAACTGGAAGCGTTACACTGTCCGAAGAGATCTATCGCTTGTTCAGTGGTTGTCCGACTTTGCAAAGCGGCTCGCCCAGTTGCAAGCCTTCCTGGAAGGCTCGCTCGAATCTGTCGATATCGGGTTGCTCTTCCATCCTTCAGCATACATTACTGCAACCCGTCAATCAACTGCCCAAAAGAATGGCTGGTCGCTCGAGACCCTCTTCATGGAGATTGATCTTGGCTCAACCGACTCCACTAGAGGTTATGTCGTGACAGGTAAGCAATCCTGGTTCCGTCTAGAGTACAAGAGCTGGGCTGATCATAGCTGGTTCGTGACAGGCTTGCAAATCGAGGGGGGTCAGGTCGAGAATGGTGGTCTATCGCTCAATGAAGGCGGGACATCGTTGGTCGGTGCTTCTACCATCAGATGGCAACAAAAGGCATCCGACACCAGGTCAGGTCGTGCAGATAACTCGACCGTCGATCTGCCCATGTACGTCAACGGCGAGAGGCAAGCGCTTCTGGCGACGATCAAGGTCGGCTTGGTCGACGATTTGACTCGCGTCAAAGTCGTTCAGCGTGGTTGTTGCCTCAAGACGTCGATGTGATTCGGTACTGGGAGTCTATAGATAGCATGTAACCGGGATGCCTATACATTTACAGAGATCTTGTGCTTTCGAGACCGGTTGCCATAAAGGTCATGTTCCAGAAAGTCATTTCGGGTTTGCCCGATATCAAGATGGCGTCATCCCGCTCGCAGCCATGACCTCGGGCCGCCGTGCCGTCAGAGACCTCAATCTTCGTCTCTACAAGACCTCTTGACTCTGTCTCTATCAAGATATAGCCTGGCCATCATATACCACTCTGATCCTAGTAGTCTTCTATCATAATGCCCGCCCAGACTTTTCACACTCTACTTACCGAAGTATCGCCCTCGGCCAAATCGGGTTCTGCGGCCATTACCATTCCCGCAGCGGGTTCCACCCCGGCGGTTCACCTGGACTACAACAAGCTGAACGATTATGTCGGAGCCTTTGCCAACGCTCTCAAAACCTCTGGGGTACAAGGTGGACAGGTCGTGTCATTGTCTCTGGTCAATTCGCTCGAATTTGTCGGTGCTTTCCTGTCTACCGGCTGGTTGCGAGCCGTTTCGGCTCCCCTCAACCCGGCTTACTCGCAGGACGAGATCGAGTTCTACTTGACCGACACCAAGTCTAGTATCCTGATTGTCAAGGCAGGCGAGACCTCGGATGACAAGCCGACCCTGAAGGCCGCCAAGAAATGCGGTGTCAAGGTGGTCAGCGTCAAACTGTCTTCGGGTCAAAGCGGAAAGGTCGAGGTCGACTTGAAGACGGTATTTGACCCTTCGGCGGGAGGAGCTAAGAAGGTAAGCATCTTGACTTGTGTTCTCATTTCTTAGATCTGACCCTTACGACAGTCGGCAGAACAGTCTGGCGGAATTGCTAACAAGGATCAGCAGCAAGGTGGACCCGTACAGGAGCAGGATGTCGCTTTGGTACTGCATACCGTGAGCCCAAGGAGTAAAAGGGCTAGAAGAGACCGAATCATCAATCTAACCAAAAAACAAATCCCAGAGCGGTACTACTGGACGTCCCAAGGGTAAGCCGGACATACGATGATGGTAGTACCTACTCGAGCTAATCGAATGGGTCGAATAGCCGTCCCCCTTACGCACCTCAACATCATGACCACCATGGCCAACATCGTCAAGACTTACGAGTTTACGCCTAAAGATCGAGGTCTCCTAGTCATGCCTCTCTTCCACGGTGAGTGCTAGCCCTGATGAATTCTTTGAACAGTAGCACTGACCTCGCTCGATGTGCATAGTCCACGGTCTTGTTGCAGGACTTCTGGCTCCCCTGCTTTCTGGCTCTTCTGTTGTCATCCCTACCAAATTCAGCGCAGGTAGCTTCTGGAAAGACTTCGTGTCCGAGAGCTGCACTTGGTACACCGCAGGTAGGTCACGGCGATACGAGTGGATTCCAGTATCTGAAGCTGAATTACGGCGATCCAGTGCCAACGATTCACTCGATCTTGCTGTCTTCGCCCCTTCCTAACCCTTTGCCCAAAATCCGGTTCATCCGGTCATGTTCGTCTTCGCTCTCGCCCACCGTCTTCCACAAGCTCGAGGATACCTTTAAAGCCCCTGTGCTCGAGGCCTATGCCATGTCCGAGGCGGCGCATCAGATGTGCGCCTCCCCGTTGCCTAAAAACGGGCCGAGGTACCCGGGAAGCGTCGGGATTCCGCAAGGTGTCGGTCTGAGCATCAGGAATGCTGATAATGGCAAAGAGATCAAGACCAAGGGGGAACAAGGGCGAGGCGAGGTCTGTATCAGGGGGAAGAACGTTATGCTCGGTTACGTCAACAACGACAAGGCCAACAAGGAAGGCTACTGGAACGCGGAGGAGAAGGATGCGCAGGGTGCTAAGGAGAAACGTTGGTTCAGGACCGGTGACGAGGGTTATCTGACAGAGAAAGGTTACCTCGTCCTGACCGGAAGATTGAAGGAGGTGAGCCGAATACAGATTCGGATTCAATCGGATGACGTTGGGAATCATGTTGAACATCATTCATAAAATAGCTCATCAACCGCGGAGGCGAAAAGATCTCGCCCATCGAACTTGATTCCGCTATCTTGGCTCTACCGCTCGTATCTGAGGCGGTAACCTTTGGCGTCGCCGACGAAAAGTATGGCGAAAAGGTCTGGGCCGCGGTCATCATCAAGGATGCCGGAGGAAAGAGCGATAGCCAGATCGAAAAGGAGCTGAAAGCAGCTCTTAATGGGAAAATTGCCAAGTTTAAGACCCCCGAACGTATCATCATCACCAAGGCGATCCCCAAGTGAGCAGCATTAATGATAAGCTTTCTGATTGGGCAAGACAGGCCGACGCGCTAATGCAACGATTCCGTTTCACCTCGCAGGACCGCCACCGGTAAGATTCAGCGCCGCCACGTTCGCGATCAATTTGTGAAACAGGAAGCCGAAAAGGCCAAGAAGCAGAGGCAAAGCAAGCTTTAGACGAGCAAAAACATCGATGTGCACTGCTTCTGTGGTATCAGGTGATAAAGATCGAATACGGTAGATTGACTGGAAAGTACTTGCCAAAGTGATTCTACACATCAGCCAATTTCGAAGCTGCGCTGTAATGGGCCGGTTTACCAAACATTGTTCAACCTTGGATCGACTACACCATCGACTCGAGGAAATTCCTCATTCCAACATCGAGGTCTTGCGCAAATGCTCAGATGTCCATATGTCGAAATGCAAACATAATAGAACACCCAAGCGACTTGTCGCGGATGTGCGAGGCACAAGCTAGTCTTGCCTGAGTGATCGTCCTAGTCGCCGTCCAAGTCGTCGATCACGATGACATCATCCGGGTCCTTGGTCACAATCACCTGCTTCCTTGAGGCCTTGGTAGGACTCTCGTGCTTTTATACTTGGTGCTGTCTGAGATATAATCTGTCCTCTGGTCATGGCACAAGCAAAGGTGAAGAGGTTCCTGGCAGAGTCTTGCTTACGGTGAGTTCAGAAATGAACCAATCAACTAGCTCTTCTATAGCGCAAATGAGTTGTTTTGTTAGAAGTCTGTGGGTTGTGCACTTGGCCCAAGAACAATGCATGCCAGAGCGCTGTGGAGACTTTCACAACTGAGACATTGACCTAGGGCACAGAAAATGCTCTGTTGACTGACGAGGCTTTTTATATGTTCGCCGTTGTGGCGAAACTGCAATTACCGATGCATACGACGACGACACAGCTCAATCAAAGCTATCCGCCCGGCAAACCCTACCACCTTCAGATATTCACACCCACCTGTCCCACCCGTCACCGCCGCACCGACTCGAAAAGCTCACTATGCCCAAGGTGCGCGAGCTACGCAACATAACCGCAAGGGCTCATGCCTGTCTTCGTGGCGACACCCCTCAACTCTACAAAATTTAACTGCATCCTGACCACCTGCGCACAAATGGTCTGAAAGATCATACAAAAGCTCCCATACTTGAGCCCACAAACCCAACACCAAGTGTTGCTGTCTCCTGCTCATGTGCGATATCACGGCAAAAGCATGCTGATTGATTTGCAACCTGCTGGAGGGGAACCATCTGCTCAGCTCCTTGAGATTCAGTTCTTTCTCCAGGGGCATATGCTGGTGATCAAGGAGAAGGAGATGAAGGAGATAGAGGACTACTGGGCTAGCCTGGACAAAGCTGGCTTCCAGGGACAAAGACATCCTCACAGTGGGATGTGCTTGAGAGCTGTAGAAGCAGCGAGCAGGTGATTGTTATAGCCGTCACGTGACGCGTCGCTACTCCCGCGAGAGACCCCCTCGGAGGTCCCCTCGGAGACACCTCTCGACATCCCCACAGGGGTCTACTTTTACATCTCCTATAGGTGCTTATTATAATAGGCTCATTGTATGTATATACTTCATCCGTTATTACACCATCGCCCTTAGACCTAGCCCCGTGTAGACTGTTAGTCCTTCCCCCTAATAGAATAACGGATCATCCTCTTCTACCCCGGCTAGCGAATTTTCCTTCCCTCGTCTCTTCCTTTTTCACGTCCTTTTTCTGTTATAGCATTCGCGGTACGCGTATCGCACACCCGCGTCGGGTAGTTTTACAGGGACCTCCGAGGGGAGTTCCCGTACGGAGTATATCTAGAACACCCCCTATGTGTTTACTGTAATGTAGTACTAGTTGTACTACATCCGTTATTACATTCATCACCTTACCCTTACCTTCTAGTCCCGTGTGATACTATCTCAGGCTTGCAGGCAAGCCTAATAGAATAACGGATCTACAAACTTCACCCCGACTAGAAACCCCTACGCGATGAACACTTCCTTCACCCAGTGTTTTCGCCCCGATGGGACCCCCCAGAGAATCCCGCCAGAGATCTCGCCTGTGCTGTCCGAGGATGGACAAAGCCAGCAGGTAGATGGGGAGGGAAGGTTTTTGTGGTTGCGAACGACGGACTCCGGAACGGAGACCACCGCAAACGAATTGCGGGTGTTTGCCAACCAGCAACCTCAAACGCAGGCCACGCCGGCCAACAACATGGGAACGGTCCCCCCACAAGTGGTACCAACCTCTCCTGCGAGCAATCCCGCAGCCACCCCAGCTCCCGTTGCCGCCGCGCCGGACTTGAATGCCCTCTTTCAATTGATGGCCAACATGCAAGTCCAGGTGCTGGAGTTGGCGAGGGCAAGGGAGTCGCGGTCGTCGTCGGACGAGGCCCGGGCCAAACTGTTTAAGTTCGGAACGCCGGACAAGTTCGATGGCAGCAAGAAGGAGAAGGTCCGAGGGTTCCTGGACCAATGCAACCGGGAATTCGAGGTCAAACCGGGCGTCTACGTTACCGACCGCCTGAAGATGATGTACGCGGAGTCGTACATGGAAGGACAGGCCGCCGATTGGGCCCGGGAGTACTCCACGGGTCGAGTGCCGGCTACCTGGGAGCAGTTCGAGCAACTGCTCATCTCCACTTATGGTGGAGGACGAAACATCGCGGCAACTGAGGCCGAATTAGTTCACTTAAGGCAAGGCACCAAGAGCCTCGCGACGTACATCACCGAGTACAACGACCTCTTGGCCCTCCTCCCCAACGTCTGCGAATACTCTCGCCGGATGCTGTTCAGGGCCAACCTGAACCAAGCGTTCAAAGACGCCATCGTCCCTATGCCGGGCCAAGAAACAATGACCTTGGCGGAGTTCCAAATGGAATGCCGCCGGTACGAAGATCAGGCGGATGCCAGAAGGCATGCGTCCTTGGGAAACCGCTACCACTCGGGCGGTAACCGACAAGCGAGCAACCACTCCGCTCCCCGCAACCCCGTTGTGGTCAATACTACCGTTGCGACTCCTACCCCCGCCGCCAACGCTTCCACCGCTGCCCCCATGGAACTCGACGCGGGCAGGATGAGGCGGAACGACCCCTGCTACCGGTGTTTCCAACACGGCCATGTAGCCGTCAACTGTCCCAATCAGAGGGTCCCTGCCCCTGCTTGGTTCAAGGGTAGGAACAACGGGCGGATGAACGTCTCTGGTGCCCGGGTGCAACCCGTCGAGACCGTCCCGGAGGGAGGTTGGGAAGCCGAGCTCGCGAGGCAGAACGGAGAGCAGCCTTTGCTCTGGACCCCGACTGATTAGACGTACGGTTGTGTTGTTATTGGCTCATCATTTGTTGTACCCCCACGGCAGGCCCGGCGGGGATGTTTTTATCACCATTCACTTTTTCAAGCACCCGACTTCACAGTGACTACGAGAGATACACTCACCAAAGTATACGCCATCAACAGGTAACTGTACAAGAAGTACAATACGAAACATGTCCCTCGCGAGGAGTAAACGCATACTACTGAAGAACACAACCTGAAACGAGTCCCTCGCGAGGAGTAAACGCACAAGTCCCTGGCGAGGAGTAAAACGCACAAGTCCCTGGCGAGGAGTAAAACGCACAAGTCCCTCGCGAGGAGTAAACGCACATAGAGAGAAGAAGACGAAGTCGGGACTCTATTATGGTATATCAAAATACAAGAGAAAAAAGAGACCCCGACGTAAGAACAATCCGGAGAGTACAAACACGACGAAACTCCAAAAGACCCGGGAACCCCTCACTCGTCGCCTTCCGAAGCGGGGACGACCTTCTTCTTCTTCTTCTTGCCGGCGGCGGGATTCGGCGTCGGGGACGGAGGAGGGGAAGGCGTAGGGGTGCGGAGGACGTCGGCGTCGTACTCCTCGCCGACCGGTCCGTCAGCAGCGACGGGGGGTTCTCCAACATCCTCACCATGACCTTCGAAGAGGAAGTCCCGATAGGACTTGTCCTCGTCCCACGCGTCGCGATCGGGGATGGTGACGGTCCCGTTTTCGTTGGCGACGTACGGGTGCTTTCGGCACCACGACAGGAAGTACCTCTTGCGGTACTTGTCCTTGACAGCGAGCCAGGCGGGATAGCATCGGGTCTCTACAAGACAATCGGTCTTGTTTGAGAGAAGGGGAAGAACCTACGCGAAAGGCGAACGTTAACTCCGAGGCAGATTCCCGCCGGGGGTTCAAATCGGAGCGACTGCTTACCATGAGCTTCATGATCCTCTGAAATTCGTCCGCGACGGCGATGGCAACCGGATTGGGGACGTTGGGGATCGTAAGGACCTCACACGCCGCCTGGTACCGGGTGCGGATACCGTAGGCCGGATCGAAAACCGTCATGAAGGTGGACGGCAAAGGGGCACACTTGATGTTCGTTCCCCGGCAAGGGAAGCAGGAACTCCCCTGTCCAGAGGATTTCCCCGCGTCCGGTAGAGGGTGGCGGCAAAAGAAGATGCCTTCGAACTCCATCACGTTGTACCACCCTTTGACCCCATCCTCGACGTAACCGGGAACCGAGTTTTCGGCGGAGAGGTGGAAGCGGTCCTCGTGACCGAAACAGTTGAGGCAGCACCACTTCCAGCCACCACGGTACTGAGCCTACGTACGCACGATTGGAATCAGCATACGACAACCCCACCGGAGAGAATAAAAGAAAAGAACAATACATACCATCAAACCGTCGAACCCCGCGACGTTTCCCTCCTTCCACAACTTCTTGAGGGAAGGGATGGAAGGACTATCGGCCAAGAAGGCCGTGCGAGCAAGTTCTTCGGACCGAACTTGCCCCTCTGAAGGAGCGACCGACATATTAGCCACAGCGGACCCCACCCAGACGGATACCACTCACTCTCGTCGGCGGACTTGGTCTTGGGGTATACGAAACCCCTGCCCCGATCTTGCTCGAGCTTCGACGTCCCTTTCGGAGTCGACGGAGAGTACGGCTTATCGCCGTGGTTCTTGGAAGTCTTGGGAGTGGGAGGCATGTCGAATGGAATAGACAGGTAGATGGGGGATAGATAGCGTAGGAGGGGAAAGTGAGTAATAGCGAAAGGACACCTACGACTTACTCCCCACCTCGCAAACGCGAACGCGAACCCCTTTATACCCTACATCCCTGCTGCTACGGCGGCCCAAACAAAAGAAGAGTTGCGATACTAGCAAAGAGAGCAACTAGAACAATACTATTGCTATGGATATGGGCATATGGAGAGAGGGTATCGTACAACAACAGCGGTATAGACGTCAACATCAACGACGGTCTCCTTTGTTTACACCTCCCGAACAATGAGTCGGACATGCGCCCATACGGATGTCCGCGCCAGGACAAAGAAAAGAACAACAAACGAGACGCGCCCCATCGGGCCCGAAATTCGGGTACCCTGTGAAACAGGTAGACGTGTGTAAGCGACGAACGCTTACCGGTGGGAAGGGCAAAAGGAGAGAACAAAGGCGCCTACATGAAACACGACCGGCGCTGGCCGATCTGGAATCTCGGCCTAGGGGGGGGATCCTGTTATAGCATCCGCGGTACGCGTATCGCACACCCGCGTCGGGTAGTTTTACAGGGACCTCCGAGGGGAGTTCCCGTACGGAGTATATCTAGAACACCCCCTATGTGTTTACTGTAATGTAGTACTAGTTGTACTACATCCGTTATTACATTCATCACCTTACCCTTACCTTCTAGTCCCGTGTGATACTATCTCAGGCTTGCAGGCAAGCCTAATATTTTCACCCTCCTTTCGACACTCCTTTTATCATGTCCGACGACGGCCACATTCCTTCTCATCCGGTTCCTCCCCCTGCACCTTCTCCCATGGAGGAGGCACTCCGACAGATGGCACAGGCCATGACGCTCTTTGCTCAGAGCCAGCAGCAGCCTGTCGGCGGTCAGGGATCGAACCCCTTTCGGCTCGCCCCGCCGGGACCCTTTGATGGGACCGATACCCCGGACAAACGGGAGAAGGCCACCACCTTCATTCATCAGTGCGAGATGCACTTCGAGACCGCTCCAGCGGTTTACTCTTTGGATCGGATCAAGATCATTTTCGCGTCGACCCACCTTCAGGGTCGCGCCGCTTTATGGGCCCGGTCGTACACATCCCCGGAGGCTGCACAACAGTGCACCTGGGATGTCTTCCGGACTCTCTTTCTCACTTCTTTTGGGTTAGCATCCCGAGAGTACCTCGCCGAAGGGGAACTCTTAGGGTTGCGACAAGGGAACACCTCGGTCGGCGAGTACACCGCGAGGTTCAATTCCCTTGTGGGTCTGATGCCGGGATGGAACAACGCCGCTCTCCGGGGAGTCTTTCGTCATGGACTCCGGTCGGATGTTGAGCTGTCGGTTCGTGCCCATGATGGGTACACGGAGATGTCCCTCTTGGACATCCAGAACTTGGCCGCTCGATACGATCGACCCGCCATCCCCGCTGAACGACCTCGCCGGGAAACTCCCCGCGCACCCACCTTTCAGCCTGCCGAGATGGCAGCTCCTTTTCCTTTTGCCCCGGGACCTCCCCCGGTTTCTTCTTCTCTTCCTCCTCCTCCTGTGGACCAAGGTGGCCCTATGGATCTTTCGGCCGCCCGGCAACCTAACCCCGCCGTCCCCTGCTTCAAGTGCTACCAGATGGGACACTTCGCGAACCAGTGCCCGAATCCCCGGGCACCTCCCGAATCGGCCCCAGCCTGGATCAAGGCCGCCAAGCAGAGGCATTCCATGCAGGTTGCCGGCGCCACCCTCCAACCTTCCTCCTCCGCTGCGTCAGCCGGGGCTGCGTACGACCTCTCGGCGTACGATGACGTCCCACTGTGGACCCCCAACTAGGCGCACCGGTGTCTCTTTTCTTCTCTTGTTTCATGGCACCCAGGCCGGGTTTATTACATTCATTTTATGGTCCCTCAGTCCGAGGTGTTTTCTTTACGGCTGCTCAGTCCGAGCGTTTCTTCCACGGGGATCGACATCCCCCTCACCCGACTATATGTCGGTATGGCACCCAGTCCGGGATTCTTTTACGGTGGCTCAGTCCGAGTCTTTTATGGTGCCCAGTCCGGGTGTTTCCTACGTCTCTTGGGATCGGGTCGGCTACGTCTTTTACGGGTCGTTCGGGGTTACGATACCTCCCCTCCATCGCGGGGATTCTTTTCTCTTCCCCCTCGGGGTTTTACGGTTGCTCAGCCCGAGCGTTTCCTTTTGGGAGTCACCCCCCTTCGCCTCGACATCTCTTCTTCGAGGGTAGAGCCCAGATGGGCAGGTTCTTATCACACCCCTTCGGGGGTTTCGGTCGTTTTTCATTTCCGGAGTTGGTCATCGGGACGATGACCTAGGGGGGGGGATCCTGTTATAGCCGTCACGTGACGCGTCGCTACTCCCGCGAGAGACCCCCTCGGAGGTCCCCTCGGAGACACCTCTCGACATCCCCACAGGGGTCTACTTTTACATCTCCTATAGGTGCTTATTATAATAGGCTCATTGTATGTATATACTTCATCCGTTATTACACCATCGCCCTTAGACCTAGCCCCGTGTAGACTGTTAGTCCTTCCCCCTAATAGTGATTCTCTCATCTTGCTGGACCATAACATGTTGATGACGTTGGAACTCTGGGATAGGGATGGCACCTTTGTCTCCTGGAAAATATCCAAGCCTGGGCCAGATTCAACTCAGCAACCTGATGCCTTTGCTTGGGCAGTAGAAAGCCACCAGACTAAGAGTCTTGACCCTTTGCTGGAATACACGGGGAAGTAACAGAACATATTATGTGATCTGGGTCGATATATCATCGATGAGACTCTCCATAATGCTAGGTTATATCCTCTAACTCCAACAAACACGGTCTTCAAGCAAGATGCACATGCTGCAAACTTGAGGAAGAGGCTGCCTTCGCGTTACAGTAGCGCTGGAGGCGTAGCCGCGCCCGCATGATAGGCATGACTACTGAAAGATGTCCTACGTGAATAAAAGATACACAAGGGTAGGTAACCTTGTGGCGAGTCGAATCTGGTGTGACAGCCTCAGATTTTATGCACATCGTGTCTCGAATCACGCAAACCTCATAGACGGAGCTTAATCAAAAGTGAAGCGTTTCACGTTGTTGTGGGGGCCCTGTAGGTATCTTGAGCACGCGTTGGCACAGGTCGCAATGAGTGATTGCTGGAGTTGCTTGACAACGACCTCATGCTTTTGAGGCCCAATCAGCCATCAGTCCTTCTCCCACCTTCCGACATACTTGCGGTAGAACGGTAGACAAAACTTCTCGAAAAGCCTTGTGACGGCCGCAATCCCTATGCCTCCAGCTGCAACGATCCCGCCTCCGCTTCCAGCTGCAATCAACGCCATCTGACACGTGGCTGCGTGACCGCAATCGCTTCGATCCATGCCCAAACCGTCAAGGTCGCAAGCTCATCTATATGCTTTCGCCTGAGTTTCTCGCATCTTATGCAAGTCTTAGGGGTTCACAAAGAAAAACACCCTCGATATACGCATACGACCTAGAACATACAAATAGCCCTTGCCCTATGTGACCCTCGTGAATGACAGACCCAAAATCCCAATGTTCCCGGTACAATAAATCACAGCTACCAGTACTGCGTAAAATCGGTATGTTTGCCATCAGCATTTCTCAGCAAAGCGACGTTGCTGCTCAGAGCGGAGAACTAGCGTAGGCATGAGGAACAAACAAGAGAAAGTCCCGCTTGTGAGCTACGTGGACCTCGAACGATACAGACCCGATCTGACTCACGCCGTTGCCCACAAACACGCCCGAACGCCGAGCGATCTCGGTATCGACGGCCTCTACAATCTCTCGATCTTCCCACTTGTAAGCGACATCGGCGCTGGTCAGAACCCTGTCCCAACCATCGGATTCTAGCCACTTTCTCGCCTCGGCGACAAAACCATAATCCCCGTTCGAGAGGATATAGATCGAGCTCAACGTCGGGTGATTATCTCGAAGCCGACGTGCTCGAGCGATGATGTCGAGGATGGGCGGGTCGCACTTTGCTAAGTATAATCCTTGACGAGCGGCCGAGACCATGCCGTTAGGTGGCGGGACGTTTTCGTTTCCAGGCAGTTTGGGCAACTTATTGAACCCCACGAACGGGCTGGTAGGGTTTCGAAAACGGAACAAGATCAGCTCTGACAGTTCCAACACTTCCGATACCGAGCGAGGGGGGGGGGGGCTTACGCGGATCGTTCCCCTAGACTTGCGCAGTACTCCGAGTCCGTGCTTTTTCTCAGATGCAGTGCCAACAGGTTCTTCCAAGGTTTCGCCCTCCTGGGCTTCTTGACCATCTCGATCTCTTCGTCGTACGGTTTCGCCCCAGGTGATAACAGCTCCAAGGAGCGGTTGATTATCCGAAAGACCCGAGGGGAGAACGAAAACTGCTTGACCACCGGGGATGTCGACAAGGAAGGGAACAATGCTTCGGGGAAATGGGATTCGAAGAATCTATCACCGGGTTGTCAGTCCATCAGCCTTTCCTTCTTTTTGATCGCGGCCTTTGCTTCGCTCTTCGACTCACCCTCTATCGAATGGGTTTACCGAGACCTCGACACACCTCCCCAGACTCTCGTCCTCCAATTTTCTCGCCATATTCTTCATCATCTCCACGGCCTGTCCTTCGTCCCCAGCATGCGCCATGTCCACGTGCAGCTCGACACGCTGGATCTCGTGCACCCCACAGACGGTCTGGAAATGTTTGAGCCTGCACGTCGTGCGCAATGTGATGTAAAGGGGAGAGCGTATGTGACAGATCGAAGTGTATCGTATCAGCGTCCAAGACTGATCTGACTCTCTCGAGGACTGTCCCTGACACTCACGGGATGCCTCGTCTTCGATCAAACATGCCCTCGAATCCGCTCGACACGGACCAGATCAACGCCGTCATTGGGATCCTAGACGATTTCAAGGGCCAGTGTGTGGGCGATATAGGGAAGATCTATGGCAAACAAGCCGTTGTTTCCGGGGACCCAGCGTCAGTCCTTGAACATGCGGGTTTCAAGGGTATGGAGAACTCACGGAGTCGTGGACATGATAAGGGTGGTAAGCCAGCGATCTGTTTGACAGAAAAGCAGTGTGCTGTTGTAATCTGATAAAGGGGAAAGTCGGTTGAAAAAAGCCTCCGAGGTCAGATATGATGACAAAAGATCAGAGTGGCTGCTGGGTGACTCACATGAGGCTTTGAAGCTGGTAGTTGAAGCCTGCACATGAGGAGATAAGGAGGGTAGAAGGAGGGTGTCAGTCGGGGTCTTGAGCTAGAATCTCACTGGGAGATTGATGTTGATGTACCTTCTTCCTTGATCGGTGCAAAGCTACGGCGAGAAACAGCAGAAGGTATTGACAAATTGATCTCTCATGCCGATATGGCAGGTGAATGGCCCGAAGATGCTTACTTGACGAATCTTCCCTCCTCCTTACTCTCCATGTTCCCCTCAAACGCCATCTGAGGCAACCACCTCTCCTCGCCCCATTCGGTTGCATAACTCGGAGGCAACGGCGGGCTCAGGGGTACGAGCCAGAGAAAGACCAGGCAGACGAACGGGAGGGCGAGGATGTTCCATCGATTTCTTCGTAGACGGTTCAGAGTGAGTTGAAGCAGGTTTGACAGGTTCGAGGCTGTCCGGCGGGTGGAAGGGAGGATGGACGCCGGGTCGAGCTGAAGGGAGCCTTCCTTGTTGAAGCTGGCCATCGTTCAAGGAGATTCGCGTTCTCGCTGGCTGGGTGGGGGCTAGCAGGGCGGGCTTGGCCGATTAGCTGGATCTGTCCTACTCAGTATGGTCGCTGGTTAGTCTGGATGATTGAGATGTTTGAAGTGTCGGACAACGATGTGACATATAGAGTGGTGACTTTGCAATCAAAACGACAAACGGCTCGGTCGACCTCGGGCACAAGGACGAAGCGGAAGCAAATTCGCAAGCACACACGAAACTCCGATTACGGCAAGTAACCTCATGTCTCGTTACAGAAATCACACAGGCAACATCCCTACCTCCCTCCCCGTCTCAACTCGGCAAACATCCTCGCCATGCCCTCTTCCAGTCCATCTAGATCTCCTACACCCTGGCCATGGCGATGCGGATCGTGAGGATGATGGCGGTCGCGAGGCTGGTTGTGCCGCGTGAACGTGTCTACCAAGTCGACCATGTCCGATACCCAACCCCTCGGTCCGTCCAGGAACGATCTCCTCCCCATTCCTAGTCCCGGAACTGAACTTGAGCCCATGATCGAACCTGACAGACCGGGTAAGGAGAAGGTGCGGTGAGCTCGGGGCGGGTATGCAGGTCGCGACGTATCTGCATGGAGACAAGCAAGCGCGTAGACCGCCAGTCATCGAGCATTAGCTATTTGTATACATCACTTGACCAGAGCCGAACTCACACCCAAAGGCGTCCATGAAAGGATTGACTCCCGGTTCAGGGAACCTCGGACGTTCGAAATCCCCTACCGAGAAATTCCTCGTCCAGCCCATGGTCGATGTCGCTGTCGAAGGAGACGTCTGCATCTGCATCTGGCCGTTGGCGTGCGGGCTATACGCTTCTTGCAAAAAGTGCGTGTAGAATGGGTTGTCGTTTAAGGACCTAACACGATCCCAAGGGATTCCCATAGGTTAATACCGGTTGATGAGTTATACGAAGGTCGCTGGCGAAATGGCGAACTCACTCGACCTCCCTTAACCGGTACTCTTCCTCTCCATCCAGCCATCCACCTAGCCCAATTGTAGATGCGTTTGCGGTGGCAGCCGTGTCGAGAACGCCATCTCCCGTAGATTCCGACGCCTGCGCCTGGGTCTGTTGTCGCTGCGCCTCTTCCTCCTCCTTGATGACGACCTTTAACGCCTCCCACGCTCTAAAACGCAAGGCCGAGTAGTTAAATGCGACAATCAGTATGAGCACGGGTGCGATTCGAACTGTCCCGACCTTATGATGCACTCTCTAGACTTACTCCCGTCGATCTTTCCAACCTTGCAATCCTTCCCAATCCTCGCCCTGCGCGCGGACGTACAGTTCGATCATCCGATCCATCGGTAAGAGCGGGACCATAGGTGGTTTCGCCGTCGAGGTGCGGCAGATGGGACAAGTATCCTGCAGATGGGTCGAGAGTGGTTCAGTCAGTTCGGAGTTGTCTCACTCGGAAGGAGGAACGTGGTGAAACGCGGACATACGTGGTCCGTAAGCCACTCTTGAACGCATCCACCTGTTCACAACGGTATCCCAACCAATCTGAGCTGATGTCCGCTTGTGAAAGTGTTTCAGAAAGCAATGATCATTGTAAACAACTTACCGCACATCGTGTGACCACAGGTCGTCAGAGCGTGAACGGCGACCATGATTGACATACAGCTGCAGTGATCGGAGGGGGGCTCGCACATCAGTATCAAAGATAGTTGGCAAGCGGGTATAGGACATATCCGACTTACATTGGGCAAGTAATCTCGTCCTCCATCTCTTCCAACCTCGCCGTGTCCACCGGGATCGCTGCAGGTGCCGCTTCTTCGACTACGGCTGGTGCGCTCGCAGTGCGGACAAGTGGTGCCGCGTCAGGGGTATGCGCAAGGACTTGATCGACGACAGACGCGTTGATGTGAGATTCCGGCGCTATTTCCGCAGCCGGGACAGGCAGCGTCGATGGTAACGTCGGGGCCAGCGCTCGAGCTTGTGTCTGAGCGGGATAGGACAAGAGTCGAAGATCTTGACCAGGTTTAGGTTTCGTCGGGATCGGTGGCGGACGATCGTCCTTGCTCTCACTGGCCGTCTCGGGACCTTCAGCGGACCTTGAAGTGGCTTGCCCACCTGTCTCCATGGGCGCGCTCGGATTTGTGACCGCCAAAGAGCGTTCGAGTGAGACTTTTCCAGGGTCACTCTTCCGGCCCTTGCTATTGTCCCGCTCAGGAGCAATTTCCTGTTCATTCCTCTCCCTGCCCAACCTCAGATCGAGACCTGCGCCCTCCTGCTCAGCTGAAAGATATCTCGCTCGCCGCTCTTCCTCCCGTTCTTCTTCGATACGTGCCGACCCCGACCGTAGGTTACGCTCCTGCATCGCAGACAGACCAATCTCGCGTCCATCCCGTATCCGCTCATATCCGTGACCTCGCCGTTCACCAGCTGCATACATCGGCTCCCGGTCTCTCTCCACCCGGAAAGCGGACGAACGAACAGAAGAAGTTGCGGAGAAGGCGGGGCTAGTGGGACTGGTCGGCGAGAAGACAGGACCCGACACGCTCCTCCGAGTTCGAGGTAGGCCTTGTACGCTCGGAGCGTAGTAAGAAAAGGTTGAAGAGGGTGGGGCAGGTGGATACCGCAATCTGGGCCGTGGGGTAGGATTTGGGATCGTCTCTTCCAGTTCTGGAGCTTGATCGTAGATTCGATGCAGGCCATGCTCCTGACTCGCATACGGTTGTGGTCCTGGTCGTGAACGCGATTGAGGGACTGGAGAACCATACCTGTCATCTACCCTCAACCCGGCAGCTTCTTCCTCAAGATCGAATGTCTCTCGCTTCGAGCTAGGTTCGCGTCGGGATTTAGTCCTAGGCCTGTCTCCTCGCTCCCGATGTCTATCTCGACCCGTCTTCTCCTGACCCGTACCCGTATCCGGCTGATACTTGTACGATCCCTCGACCAGATCTTCAACCAAGGGCGCAAAGGTCACACTCGTCTTCCTCGATCCCGGTGCCCGATTCTGGATCGAGTTCGGGATTGGTCCTGACGCTTGTCTCGCTCGAGTGTGACCTCGAGGTTGATGTCGAGATTGCGATTGCGCTTCTGAGGTGCCGGAGATCTCGGTAGGTGGCTCGTGCGGGACTGTCGGGACTGTGTCCGTTTGCTTGTCCATGGTGTTCGATCGGGATCGATGCCGAGATCGGGTGGCGTAGGCAGGGTCACCCTGCGTCTCGAGGTCGAGTGGTTCGACCTCTGCACCCCGCTCAGGGTAAGACGTCCGTGACCTGAATCTGCCCTCCGCTTGACCTCGACTCCCCATCTCAGCCTGTAAGATGTGGGGAGGATAAGGGTCGACCCGTTCTTCCTCTTTGGTCCGCCTTGTCCTTGCCCTACGATCCTCGTGATCCAGCTGATCGTATCTGCCGACAAGAGCGCGACCTCCATCACGACCATTCTCAAGCCTCGATCTCTCCCTCCTCTTGTCCTTTTTACGCTCGTGATCACCTAACGCTCCTCCATCCTGAGGACTGTAGGGTCTCATCCTAGAAGAAGAACCTGATGCCTTGGTGGAGACGATAAGGTAGCCGTACTTGTCAAACTCTTGAACGGGTTGTCGAGGCATGGCTGCAAGATGGTCGTTCTAGCGGTATGGGAGGGCCTCACGGGTTCGGTAGAACAGCGTGATTATAGACCGGGGTGACTATGGACTCCGAACAGGTTGAGATGACGATGTTTGGAAGAGGCAAAAGCAGGGAAGATGGATCCCTTTATACCATATCGCCTTCCGGAGTGTCACCAAAGGACCTAGACCTGGTCGAGTATTTCCGCTTTTGTCCAATACACTTGATTCGGATGATCATCCCGGGCAGCGAGCAGGTGGATCTGTACGTCGAGCCGATGATCGATCGCAAGTCATCTGATTTTGTGGACAGACAGCTGCTGATTGTTGGTTCATACTCCTCGATATATGTTTCGACATGACCGGTATGACCATGCGGCATGCTGGTAGATCGATATTTGGCGGGAGTGTTTCAAGTTTCTCTTTCATGATCTTTTTGTCGACGGCGATGACGATGATGCTATCGATATTTGACCGGGATTTCAGGATCAAGGCTCCTCTTACTCCTCCAGCTCGTCTAGATTGAATCTACTGAGTGTTTCTTGCATTCTCCTAGGTTGCAAGTGTGAATGAGAAGAGATGTATCACCACCATCATCATCCAGGTTGTCACCACCCCAAGCGCTACCCCGCCGGTGGTCGTTTCGTCATCCTACAAGTTGATATGGGCCAACCGTACATAGCTAATCGACCTCTTTTATATTCCACAACGATATCTAACACCACCACAAACTAGATGCTACTCGATCACCGAGGAGGACGACCAGGATGAACATGTCCACCCCACCCCTCTTGCCCCCACCGCCCCGGTCGTCAAACCCGTCTTCCCGCTCCAACACACCTCGTCCGCCGGATCGAGATCTCTTGTCCTCTTCTCCATCTCGACTCGCCGAACCTCTCTTTCCTATAAGCAGTAGCAGTAATCGAGGCACAAATTCGAGCTCTCAGCAAGATCAGGGTGACACTTCGTTTGGCTCGTTTACCGATGCTACATTCACGGGTCATGCCGGTCATCTGCCACCTCATCATGGTCAGATCCCTTTCAACAGCAGGAAAGCTTCACACGACCCATTGAACGATGGACGTCGGCAGATCCAGGACGAACACGATCTACTCGGATCGTTCGGGGATGAAGCTGAACCCGGATCCTTGACAAAGTCGGGAGCTGGATCGGGGGCAGAGCAGGGAATGGGCATGGGGTTGAGCTTGTTATCGGGGTCCAAGTTGATCCCTACAGCCCACCCTCAAGAGCCCTTCACCTCTAACAACGTACCGCTGGGTCAACAAGATCTCCTAGGCGAGATCGACGCTTTCCTAGAAGCCGAGAGACCCTCTCCGTCGGCCTCGAGCTCGAATGCAGCTCATCCGTCGTTATCGACCTCCCCTCTCCGTTCTACGAATACCACCAATCCTACTTCCCATCCTCATGCTCCACCACGCAGGCTCTCTCACTTCCCTTCACACTCCGGCCCGTCCTCTCCGCCCGCAATAAGCCCCATCTCGAGCTATTCGTTCCGGGGCAAGTCGCCAACAGGGGACACGGCCGAGACAGAAGGGTTGGACGATTTTGGAGCTTGGGCCTCAGCTTCGGGGTCAGCTTCTGGCTCTGGAGCGGGTCCCTCGGCTGGTTCGATCTCGTCACGGAACGACACCCCGGATGCGTTCAGGGAGACGGTAGATCGGATGCGTCGGCTTTCTTTCGATCGGGAAGGCAAGTCGTCGTCCCCCGAGGCCTCGAGAGAAACGAGGTCTACATCGGGTGCGGGCGCTCAGACGGTCAACCTGGGGAGGAAGCCGAGCTGGTTAGGAAAGACTACCGGGATGGTAGGGTCTTTTCCTGTCAAGAGACAGGTATCGGCTGGGTCTAACGGGCACGGGGAGAAGACGACCAGTAAGGCGCCAGGGTTCGAAGATGAGGGCGGTGCGGATCTCGGGTTCACGGACGAGCCTGGAGTATATAGTGACAAGACGCAACCCGTACCATCACGGAACCAGCCTTCGGATCAACTTCCAGAGGGGAATGCTGTATCGTCTTCGACCTTGTTGGCAGAGGGGACGAGGCGGATGACGGGTCTCGTTCATGCGTTGGGAACGTTGGCGACCAAGACGGCATCGACGAAACCCAAATCGAAATGGAGAACAGTTATGGGTCCCTCAACATTCACACCTCCAACACAAGGTCGGTTGGATCCGTATTTTTCATCAAATCACGCTGGCGGGTCCTCGTCAGGCTCGATGGGAACTGATGAGCACGCTGGGACATGGGGAAGGTCGTCGAGCGGGTACATGGACGATTCCATGGGTGTCGGGCAGGAAATGGACCGTCCGACTCCGACGGCCCAGCCGATCGAGATTACCCATCATACTCCTTTCAACCTGAATTCGAGCGCGAATCAGCACTCGGTCTACATCCCGGGCACGAATACGATCATCCAGCCGACGGGGTCGTACATGCCTGCACCCCCATCAGGCGCTCCTGGGTTCAGGAACGAACAGGTAGGGGTTTGGCAAGGCGATAAGAGTCAGCGGAGGGATGATTGGGGAGGGACCAAGTTGGTCGGACGGCGAGAAGGGACGTTTCAGGTCTTGGACGATCATGCGGCCGATGCGGTGCGTAACAAGGCTTTCTCTCTTAGCAGGCTATCCATTCAGGCTGACTCATGGACAACTTGTGGATATAGCTGAGACCAAACTTGCCTGCGAGACAACGACTATCGAATACCTGGACATTACTGTGTGAGTCTTGGCTTCACCCATTCTTGAATCTAACGTCCTCAACTAACTTCTCGGGGCGACTCCACAGTCTCGCTGGACCAGCACGGCGGGTCCCTGTCCACTTTTTATAGGCTCATCGAGGCTTACTCGAAGAAACATCCTCATGCTGGGAATCTATTGATCGTCAAAGACGAAAACGATAGACGGTTCGGTGTCTATATGAACGAGTGGATAAAAAGGGTCGAAGGGACGTATACTGGAAGTGGCGAGTCGTAAGTACCGCGAGTCTACTGGTCAGGAGAATGTTAGCTGATAGCCATTGCATACATGCTCGTAGATGGCTTTACAAGATTGCCGGGAACGACCTGGATGCTCGCGCCAAGGTGTTCAAGTGGACCGGACGGAATACCTATTTTGCGTTGTGTGAATCGGACTTCATCTCGTTCGGGGGAGGGTGAGTCTCGAGTGGCAAAGACCTGCCGATTTGACGCGCTGACCGTCTCGTCCATTGATTCATAGCGACGGCAAGTACGGTCTATGGGTGGACAAGGTGTTTCAAAACGGCTCTTCGGCGACATCGCCAGCCTATGCGAACGAGGTGCTCTGCGCTCAAGAAGGTAGCACGCTGGAAAAGGCACGGTTCGACTGCATGGGCCTCGAGGTATGGGCCACGTCGGGATGATACCGCGACTGAACCTAGATTTTACCCATACACCTGCACACATCTACTTGTATACTGCCGTAGATAACAGGACATCACTATACAATCCTTATACCCGCGCTCCCGCAATCCATTCAAGCCATCTCCGTATCCTCGTTCGCTACCACCGGTGCCTCGCCAACCACCTCTGGTGTCGATTTTTGCACGAGGTTCTTGATGTCGACACCCTTCGCCTTGAGCCTACCCAACGCTCGCTTTCGGTTGTTCCCGCTCTTGTCCTGTATGACCGGGTTGCTCAGGTCGATCTCGGCTGCAGCTTCTTCCTCGTCCTCCTCGGTTTGCCATTTGGGGAAGAACGTCAGGTTGTTATAGGCTGGAATAGCAAGGACCTGGTCCACCGGGGCTGTTGATACGTGACATGATTAGCTCGACCAGATCAAGCTTGTAGAGACGAGACTTACCCGTCGGCACGGTAAACTGTTTCAGATAGTCCGTATAGCTCGAAGTCACGTCCTCTAGCTAAATGACGAAAACCACATCGGTTTAGTCCTCTAGACCAAACGCGTTGACCGACTAGGGCCGACTCACATTGCCATCATCCCGCACCCGTACGACTCGGAATGGCGACCCACTCATCTCCTTGATCTGCGTCTTGGTAAACCCAGCCAAGTCCCGTACATCCTCTGCAGCATCGGCATTCAACGCGGCCTCTTCCTCGTCCATGACGACGTCCTCCGCTGCAGCCTCCTTGGCTTTCCCCTTACCGCCCTTGCCGCCCTTACCTCCCTTCTTCTTGTGTTTCGTCCAAGCCGAGCTGTCCAAGTTGGGAAAGAAGCTCTTCCCTCCGTCCTGCCGGTACTCCCAAGCCGGATCCGTACTGAGCAAGATGGTCTGCGCTTCCGAGTCTGGCGAGCTTGTTGAGGGAAGTTGGCAAAAGTCGAGGATGGGAACGGGGAGTTGTAGCGAGTGGACGGCCGAGAGGACGCTTGTGGGTGCGACGACGTTGGCGATCGGGATCGAATGTATCGATGAACATCTGGCAGAGACGCAAGGATTAGTATCGAAATGATTGGAGATCAACGCGGCCAGAAGCTTGTGCTCGACTCACCCTTCCGAGAAAAAGATGACGCTCTCGCCGACGACCTGCATCTTGCCTACACAGATCCCATCCCCCTCTGGCAAGATGTACCCCCTAATCGGCGTCTTCCATTCCTCTTCCGTCAGACTTCGCGTCTTGACCCCCTTGCCTTCCAAAGCATCCTCCACCTTTTTCTTCATCGCCTCCACCTCGTCCCCTTTACCCTCGGCGACGAGCCTAGCGTCCTCCTGGGCGATGGCCTGACGGACGCGTTTCCCACCTCTACGCATGGCCGTTCGAACGGTCCGGAAGGGAGAGAGTGTGGGGAGGATGGGTATTTGACGGAGGAGATGACCGGTCTGCCAGTTGTGAACTTGAATGTGGGGATCTCCACCGCCTGATAGGAGGAGTTCCGGGTGCGAGGGAGGGATACAGAGGGAGGAGACGAATCTGGAGAATCAAAATCCCAGCGGGTCTGAGCAAGCTTTTTGCGGCAGACAATGCACGACCGACACAAGACTGACTGTTTATGCCCAAACAAGAACCTGACGAGCACGTAACCCTCGGGGTACCGGCTGACCCTGATATGCTCGTCCCGGTCCGCAGTAATGATATGGTTCCCATCGAGCGTGATCAGGTGGGCCGTGTTGGTCGATACGTGGCCTGCGGATGCCAGCACCGCGCAAATAGACGGAACAGACATGAGAAGACGAAACGGAAAAAGATATATTGAATGAGCAATCAGCATTCAAGACCAAGATACGATACTAAAGAGACAAGTGCGGACTCACCGAGTACCAACTTGGCATCCGGATTCAGAGAAGGATCACCGGCGAGCGCAACCGGATCAGGTCTGAGGTTGGGTGATATTTTGGGGACCCCGTTGGGCGAGGGGGAAGTGTCGTCTACGAATGGGTAGCTATGTGATTTTTTACGCGGGGTGGGGGAGGGCAGGATTTCATTCGGTTTGTGCACGATGTTATAGATTGGTTTTAGGATGAAGACAGGAGATCAGGACAGAAAAGGGCGGAGGAGACTCACGCAAAGACGTCCCCATTCTTGTCAGAGACGATCACCGTACCGTCCTCTTCTACCGAGATGGCACTGGCCTTCTTGATCAAGGTCCTACACATCATACATCAAGATCAGCAACAGATCCCTTCCAGCTCGGGAACACCCGCGGCTAACCTCTCGTAGAACACCTTGCCCGTCTCTGCCTGGATCAACCTGACGATCTTGTCCTCGGTAATGACCGCGACGACGGGTTCGACCGATTGTTCACCCCCCAACGGCTTCCCGTACGGCGCATATCCCGTAGCTACTAGTTTTACGAGCTTGCTCTTGAGGTCCTTCTCCACTTGCGGGCCCGTCATAGCCGGGGATACGTATAGCGGCTTGCCGGAGACCGCATCATGAGAGACGGTCTGAGTGGAGGATATGAACGAGATGATGTCTTCCGATGAAGACAGCCGGACGATCGGGGCTGGAATCGAGACCGGTGCCATGATGGACAGATTTTGCAGCCTTGGTAGTACGCTAGGTCCGAGCTTCGATGGCGTGTTGTCCAGAGAGTTGAACCGGCGTCGACTATGGTCGTCGAAACTCAAAATTCCACAAGTTTGAACTTCAAAACGCTCGCTCACTTTCACGATTCAAAAAGGTGGAAATAAGAAATAAAAGTTGGGAAAGGAAGCGACTTCAACAACTTTGAGTAACTCGTTTCAACCTTGCACATCTTCCTTTCCCTTCTGATCCTGACAGCATACAACCACAACCACAATCAGACCCATTCACAGCCCGTACGATGCCTCACAAACGCAAGTCGTTCCCGTCATCTGTTCTTGCGCTCCGCGACTGACCGCATCACCTCCTCATTCGCAGGTGCTAAACGATCCATCCGAGAGGAAGAGAAGAAAAAGATGCAAGTCCCCTCTTTGCCATAGATCAATACGCTCGCAGACCGATTGACCATTCCTCCATTTTACTGTATCTGTTCGCTCGTCAATAGTGGCTTCAACAATGTACCCAAGACGACCAACGTCGGCGGATACGTCGAAGACACTCCGAAAGGAGCTTCCCGGATCTTGAACTCGTTACAAACCCAGGCGGCTTATCGGGAACGTAAAAACGGCGGTGGAAGTGGGGAGGCTGGGCCTTCTTCTGGCCGGAAAAGTGGCAGTGGTACCGGCACATCCACCACGACGAGTAAATCGAAAACAAAAGCCAAACCGACCGGACTGCCCAAGATCCTCCCCGGCGAATCCCTCGGAGACTTTAACCGTCGGATAGAAGATCATCTCCGTCCAGAAGTATCCCAAGCGATCAAGAACGCTGCTGCGGTCAAGGCCGCTCAGGAGAAAGCGGTCTGGCAGGAAAAGAAGGCGAACAGGGAGGCAGCCAAGGAGGCTAGGAGGCGGAAAGAGAGGGGGGAGACGGGCCCGGTGGAAAAGAGTGGGAGTGGGAACGGGGAAGGCAATGGGGTGGCAGGAAAGGGAAAGAGAAAAGCGACGATCTTGGACGATACCGACAACGAGGAGGAGGATGATGTCAACCCGGCTGGCGGCAGATCATCGTCTTCGACCAAGAAACCCAAAATGACGGAATTCGCTACCCTCTCCCAACGACGCTCTGTCAACGACGTCGTCCAAGCTCCGCCGCAACTTCCCGGCCTGAAACGTTCCGGTTTGAAGAAACCCGCTACGAGCGCTTTCTCGGCGACGGGCAGGACGCCGTTGAATCCAGGGCAAAAGAGGCTGATGGAAGAGGAGCGGGAGAGGGTCATCAAGAGGTATAGGGAGATGAAGGAGGAAAAGCTGGCTCAGAGACAGGGTCAGAGTGAGCGGAGTTGAATCCATGGACGTATGGTCATCCTTGAGCGAATTGGGGATCGAGTTGTATCTGTATAATGCACGAGGATAGCCTCTATGGTCGTCCTGTAGGTATTGAACCGCGATCATGCTCGGTTATATACAACGTGAAGACGAACAACACCGCCCGCACGCCGCCGTTGACAACAGCGAGAACGGCCCGAGCTCCACGCTTATCGCTTGGCAGGGCCTCCCTTCTTGGCCTTGGGGAACACGGGTGGTGCTTGCAAGATGGCCGTCGACGCCTTGGCCTCTTGACCGTTCATGCCCAACCTCTCCCTATCAGCGGCCGTAGGCCTGTCCACCGTACACCCGATGCTCTTGAAGATCTCCTTGATCCTACAAATTCATGCAAAAGGTATCGAGTCAAGGTGATCAATTCTTGTTTTGCGGCCGCCGTATAAGCAACTCGGGACTCACTTGTTGGTCGGCAGTTTCAGGTCGGCAGCAATGGGCTCAACGTCGCAGGCGTAATTTTCACATCGTAACCGCAAAGCGAATTGGTAAGCCATCAGCTTGTTTTCCATAGCGGCAGTGATCGTTGGGCTATAGTCAACAAGGAAGAGACGATTCGTCAGCACAGTATCGTCGAGCCAAACCGTCCCATAGGTCATGTGGCGACTCACGTCGAGCTGCCTTTGGCAGTCTCGGTGAACCGCTTGACGAGCCCGTCGATGATGACCTTGGGCATACCGTTCATCTTTTCCACCAGGTCGTCCGATCGTCCCAAAGCCTTTTTCATCTTTTGGAATTGTCGGATACAAGAGATGTAGTATAACACGCGTCTAATAGATCCGCGTTTAAGCTCGATCAGCTATTGATTATAGGCAGACCAAAATAATCGCACGAGAAGACTCACACTGTCGATTTTTTCGCTCCAAAAGGCATGTTCAATGCCAACCTCAACTTTTGCTCGATCCATCGACTGTGAGGGAAGGGTAACATCTGCATCCTCTCCCTGTCGTCTGAAGCCTTGATGATCGGATCCGGGTCGATGCTGGCGTATTCTTCTGTTGGGATGAGCTTGTCCAAGGGGTACACTTGCTCTGGGTCGGTCGTATCCATGTTTGCCGGAGGATGTCGTCCTACAGAGTTGGCTAGTTGTTCTAGAGCTTCTGCTCGGGGTGCATCGTATTCAGCACGAGCACGGGTAGCCATTAGATGGACTCGGATCCATAGCTTGTGTACTCACCTGCAGTAGGGATGTTCTGTGCTGCAACCTCGATACTCGACAACAGATGATCCTTGACCCCGGCCTGAGCCTCAGCGTCCACCTTGTTCCGCTCGACAGCCTTGATCCTGCTCTTGGCCTTTCTCGTTCCGAACGTCTCTCCGAGCTGGTCTCGCTTCAACATGCGCTGCTCCATAGGGTTCGAAAGGTTGGTCGTCTGACCCATACTCTTGAGTCGTTTCACTCGCTGAGCGAGGATGTAGGTCGGGGTGGAAGGGTGGACCACAAGGGAGTTTGTAGCAGGGTCATATAGGGCTGGCACATATCTGGACCGAGAAGAAGCTCAGTGTTGGACTCAAGCTCGAGCTAAAAGCTTGCCAACAATGAAGCCCACTCACTGGCAAGTGTAGTTCTCCTCGGGAATACCTAAATCCTTGTTCACACTGTAGAACTCCATGTCGCCCGTCTCTCCCGCGATCAAGGTCTCTTGTCGAGCAAAATCCAGCTCCTCCGTATCGTTCTCGCGTCGGTACACCTTGAAGGGCGTCTTTTTCGATGGCCTATTGGCGGGAAAGTTGACTTCAGGCGGCATGGGGTATCAGTATTACCGATCACAAGCCTCGTCCGATTGAGGGCTTATGCTTGAGGACTCACCCCATGCAGGACCAACAGAAGTGGAGGCTTCGAGAATCGTGATTGATGTCCCGGATCCCGATGCCTCGGGCGCCTTTCTTTTCGTTCCACTGGGCGTCGATGACATTGTATTGGACAGAAGCTGTACGGGGAAGAGCTCTAGAAATTTTCTGTGACTCGATTCGACCTGCAATACGAGGGCGATCACATCGTCGACTTTGAGCATATGATGATGCAAGTTCACTGCTCCCGGGTCACCTTCTCGTCGCGCTTGTCGGAAATTCTAGGCAGACGCGCGCTTTTATCTGGTTGCAAGTTTCAGGATCACATACAGCTGGCATATGTTTCTCGACAAAAGTTACAGGTCGGTGCTCTCGGGGGGATAGCGCGGGCGGTAGATCATAAACAGAGGTACCACTTCGTTTCCATTACATATCAATTTACCCGCTACGAAATAGCTCGTAAAGGCAGTGCCGAGCTGAATTCCGCAAAACTGGAAGGTATCGTCTCCGACCGCCTCGCCCGTCGATGCCTGCGCATGCTCCAACGCTATTCCGTCTATGCTAGTCAGCGATGACTAACGGTATCGAGACCCGGGCCACGACATCTGACTCACTTTCTGTTTCCCAGGTCATCAGAATCTGCTGGTCGAGGGTGAGACTGAGTGTACCCGACACCTTCCTGTTGATCCAGTCCCGCTCGTAATTAGCTGGTGGAATATGCCACGACGGACCGGCGCCAAGCGGAGTCGTTTGCGCTTTGACATGAAACGTCCCGTCAAATCTCCTCAGGGCGGACTGGTCCCTGGCAGGGTTCTCAACGAGCTCTTCCAAATGAATGGGTGCCGGCTGACTGAAACGTAGCTTGAAGACGATATCAAGCACCCTACCCGTCGGGCTCAGCTGAAAGGAACGTAACTTTCGGGGAACCCCTGACCATCTTGTATTCAAAGAACGTCGTGGTTCCTCGATGCTGCCATTACTTCGCCAAATCGGAAAATACGACCGGTCGGCATATCGGTGCCTGACGATGGCGAAGAGGCATCCCCAATCGGTAGCTCCGTCAAGGCCTAAGACAGTATCTCGGTCAAGGTTTCCAAAGATATACGGACCACAGCTGTTCCACTTGTTGAGCCCACAGTAATCGCCCAGAGTGGCGAAGAGCAGGAGCCAAAACTTGAAAAGTGAATTCAGTGCCTGTTGTGCGCTCCTAGCGGTATTCGGGTCCTCCAAGAACCCGCAAATGTCATCGAGTATGTCGTTGCCCCGAATGTGGTTCGCGTACGACACGCAGGTACTCATCGGTCTATCAGGGAGCCCCGACGGGAAGTGCGTGGTCTGACGGTCCTTTATCGTTTGAGCTATGTCGATGTGGGTCGACAGGATCCCTTCCACTCGTTTCGGGAACTGCGGAGACTACTAGGAAGAAGATTTCCACATCGTCCAGGTCAGCAGAGGAGTACATATAAGACCGGGATCGAGACGACAAGTACCTGACGGTCGCTCAAATACTGTCCCGTATTGAGATCCCGGTAGGAACCGTGCTCTATCTCGCATCGCGTCAGAACCCTCGCGCGCCAGTCGATGTCGGGCTGAGGCTTTCTGATCCGGTCCGTCAACGAGTAGCGGCGGTAGAACAATGTCCTCCAGTAGTTCGACGGATTCTGTTGCAACATCCACGGAACCGGGTGAGACTAATGATGCGAATGAGCCGAGACAAAGAGTGTGATAAGCTACCTGGTAGATCCGGCGATCGAACATAGGCGAAGCCAAGGCGAGGTTGTCTACATCCCGAGGATCCTCGACGCCAACTTGTAGGACGATCTCATCCAGAATCTTCGCAGGGGTCAAGCTTCAGCAGTACCCTGATGCATTCGGGCTGACAATATAAGTGCTCACTTCGAAGGGCAACTTGGTGATGACGCACTGCCCGGTTGATTGTTCATCGTCCGAATCGCCGTCCATCGTTGATGTCGCGCTTACGACGATCAGTCGATTAAGTTGTCAGTCGAGGGAAGGGGTCTGGTTAGATGGAAGTGTAGTCAAGAGGAACGATACTGGAGTCGACATGGACGAAGTCCGTCCTTTATGCATTCGGCCTGAACGTAGGAGGAAGAAGAACTACGTCACGATCCCGAGGCCGATGAACCGATTTGATCGATGAGACGACGAGATGATTCAGTTCTAGATGCTCGATTGAAATTAAGGTTCCGCCGATCCCCGTCGGCGTTCTCCGATCGGAAGTAACCTCCCTTTAGCGCCGGAAGTAAACGAGCATGCACCCCTTGACTGACCGACTGCTGGCAACTTGAACGACTCGGTAAGCTTGAAGTGTATAGTATAGCGTAATGGCTGCATAGCCAGTGATATCTACATAAAAACACTATCTAGAAAGCCTTGAGATGCAGCTCCCTACCCAGACCTTCACAACGCACCGCTTGGTGACGCTACCCTCGAAAGATGAACTCTGCAAAGCCTTCGTCGGACAACCGCTCTCATCCTTGCGATCTCCCGCAGCCATCATCGACCGCTCCATATTCAAGGCAAACTGTCAAGCCATGGCGAAAAAGGTCAAGGATAACGGTCTCAGATTCAGGGCTCACGTGAAGACCCACAAGACAGTCGAAGGCATAGCTCTCCAGGTCGAGGCGGGAGGAAAGGTGGACAAGGCCGTGGTCTGCTCGACGATGACGGAATGCTGGCAGATCGCCGAGAGTCGACTGGTCAAGGAAGGCCTAGTCAACGATGTAAGCTGGTATCTGCCACTTCTCGGCAGGTTAAATGCTCATGTCATGCTTTGTGCTTCCTGTGCTAGATCCTCTATGGCATGCCGATTGCTCTAGACAAGCTCGAAGATGCGAAATCTCTGGCCAACTACCTTCGGCCTCACAATGCTCAATTCCGACTCATGGTAGACTCTTTCACGCAAATTCAAGCCTTGGGGCAGTACGCACAGAAATCAAGCCAACCTGTAGGTCAGACGCCTTGGTCGGTCATGATCAAGCTCGATGGCGGGTACCACCGAGCGGGTCTGACCGTCAACAGCGACGAGTTGAAGCAAGCCATTCGACTCTGCTTGGATTCGCCGTACGTCGAGCTGTTTGGATTCTATGCTCACTTTGGGCGTGAGTCCCTTGATTGGCTCGCTCAGTAACGTTCTTGAGCTGACATGAAGCCAACGAGTATACAGACTCTTACAATGCTCGATCTGAAGACGACGCTCATACTTATCTACAGGGAGAAGTGGAGGCAATCAACGGGGCCGCAAAGATGGCTCTCGAAATGGACAGCAGGAGTTCTGGACCCGACGACCCATACGTACTATCTTTCGGGGCTACACCGACTGCTCATGTCTCCAACACCCTCGTCAAGGACAAGGTGTATGGCGAGCTAGAACTGTGAGTGTATAATAGGGTTACTTGGGAACGCAGACTCACACCAACTGATCGCTATTTTCGATTACCTAGACACGCTGGAAACTATTGCTGCTTGGACCTGCAGCAAGTCGCTACCAACCTGACAAGTATAGAAAATGTCGCCGTCTCGGTCCTCTCCAGGGTCATCTCGGCTTATCCGCATCGAAACGAAGCTCTATGCGACGCGGGAGGGATCGCCATGAGCAAAGACACGGGTCCATACCCTGGCTTCGGGAAGATCGTTTCACCCAAGGAAATGTCCGAGCGGGAGCTCGGCCGAGTCTCGCAGGAGCATGGAATATTGGTTCAAAAGCAGGGTGCAGCCAAGATTGCTCTTCCGGAACCAGGCCAAATCATCCGGATTTGCGGCCAACACGCTTGCATGATTCTCTCGAATCATCCTTGGTATTACATCGTCGAGGACGGTGGTGACAAGGTCGTGGACGTCTGGGTACCATGGAAGGGTTGGTAGCCGGCCTAAACGCCGCGGCCGCTGGTCTCTATATGTCAACCTATGAGAACGCCCATCCTCAATATGTTATGGTCATGATAAGAAGTTGATGAGTCGAACCGCTGTGTCGGCTCGTCATGGTGATGTGTCTTTCGTGCTCTAGACTGGCGTTATCGCTACTTTAGCAGCAGCAGCCGTCAACCTCCGTAATTTTGCTCTCTTGTCGTCATCCGGGGTAGCCAGCCGTCTTTTGCCGTTGGAAGTGGGCGCATGGTATGCGTAAGTATGCTGGAGTATTGCAGAGGTCATGTGTTCTTTCGTAAGAGGTTCAGCCGCATCAATTTCCGGCTTTGCAGCAGCGATAGCGGCTTGCAATCGTTCACTATGATGGGATGATGCATGAGCGGATTGTTGCAGGGAAGCAGCCCAGCAAACTTACGCAGCGCTGAGGTGTGGCGCGACAGCCTCCACTGACGGCGTCACAGATTGTGATAAGACTGAGAGCCGAGGCTTCGGCTGCGAGGGCGTAGCAAGCCTAGTGATCTCACCACGGATCGCTTCGACGTCGTCCTCGTAGCGAACCACCGCGTCTTCCCCGATCCGATCCGCATCAGCGATTTCAGTTTCCGGTATGCAAATGTCTAGTTCGCAAACGTGTCTCTGTATCGCTGCTGCCTGCAAATCGACGAAATGTAATGCAGACCCGATCGGGCGATCTACAACGTAGAACGTTTAGTTACCGCTAGACGCCTCTGAGGGTTTCTCGGATCTCACCTTCGAGATCTTCTGTCTCCTTCCATTCGTTCAATGCCTCTGCGATAATTTCGGGAATATCGTCACCGTTCGGGACGGCTGTGAGAATAGCTGAGCGCAGTTGACTGATGGGACCCTTCGTCAGAATTCGGTGAATGGCATGAACCGACAGCCTCGACATACGAGGGAAATTCCAGACCTTCTGGACAAGGTGCAACAGCAAACTCCACAATGGGGAAATCATCCGTCGTGACTTCGAGGGGAAGGAGAAAATCGTGCACGATCCTCTGTAGGAGTTCTGTCAGCGACTGCAGGAGCAGTCGCACGGTCCGGGCGAGTAGTCCTAAGTCTAGTATGGTGACGTTGTGAGTTGGACTGATTTGCAAAACCATCCGGCCTTCAAAAACGTACCGAGTTCCTCCTGGTTCAGTAGGGAGACGGCCACGGCACGAAGACCTTTCCAGTGCGGCACCATTGCCTCCAGGACGCCTGACGTACTGAACGTCTTCGTTGGTACGGTAGTCACTTCCGGCAACGCATCGAACAAGCTTCTGTCGAATGCTTGATCGGAGGCGTCTTTTTTCAGGCAAATGACATGGTGCCAAGCAAAAGCCGGCTGCTTGTCATGCAAACCAAGCTGATACAACAAAGGACTGTCAGCGATATCGCTGCGGATGCTTCCGGCTATACATTACTCACTGATCCGAACAGATCTTCGCAGTCGGCTTCGACCCAGGTGACGAAAAGAATGCCTAATTGAAACCGCCTTCGAGGCGGTATCTTCGCCACGATATCGCGATAACGTTGTTGATTTCTGATGAGAATAGCTTTTTGTAAGCGAGGTCGCAACGTATAACAGACCCTTGTCAGCATACCTTGACAATTCAGCATGGCATTCAAATACCACCAACCCGACATCTGCCGCCCAATCTTCTTCGTCATCGCTATTCGCAACCGCCACGATTTTGGCATCCCGACACGACCCTGAAAAGTTCGCTTCATATCGTCCATCCTCCGTGAGATTGAATTTGCGGCGCAGCCACTCCCCACTAGTTCCGTCTGTCGTGTCGACCACAACGTGCCATTCCCCTAAATCCTGCACATCCGCCTTACGTGCTTCGAGGGCGTCCAATTCCGATTCGATGTTACAGACGTGATTCCCAACCAGTGAGAAAAAGGTGCCTTCCTCGAGGATTGCCTTTTGTTTTGTGCGGTGATCCATAACGGCGACCGTATCTTCGGCGCCATGATACGCTAAATCGAGCCCGAGCGAGCTTGTGCCACGTCTGCGTACACTCTTGCTGATAGTCTCATCGAGCTGTCCGTCCAAGTCTGTCCCCCCAGCCTGAGATGCGCCTAGACCCATACCCTGAATGCGGGCGGCAAATCTCTGGCGTTTCGCCTCTTTAATCTCGCGTCGCCTCCGCTTGCTTGAAGCCTTAGAAAACCAATTTCCGAACGATACGTGCAGACTGGTCAAGCGCCGGCACTCCTCCAAGTAAGCCTGTGCCGCGATCCGACCGCACGTGTATTGCAGGCAAACTTCCAAAGTGCGCTCAGTCAAGCCTTGTGAAATACCGTAGACTCGCTTGTTCTCCTTGTCTCGGAGTTCAGCCGCCCTGCGCTTCTTCTCGTGCTTGACCGCTTCGGTGATGATGGCTTCCTTTTGTTGATTGACTACTTCGAACAACACTCTGCTAGCAATATTCCTTGCTATGACCTCCATCTGCTCTGGCGACGGTCCTTTGGGCCTTTCGGCAACGACTCGCTTCAACCTATTCGGGGTAGACGAGGAGGCGATCGCGTTGACGGGAGGTTGATCACTGATCACATCAGGTCGAGCTGGCGGTGGTCCAACCAGAGCAGGTATGACGGGCCTTTCCCCAATTTCCGGCTGAGAGAATCTAACAGCTTGTTCGGGTTCAGCCTTCTGCATACTGGGTCTCGCAAAGGGTTGACTGGCAGAGAACGAGGTTGACGCAGGGAGAGATGGGGCCGTTTGACCGAACGCGCCGCGAGTTTCGGTGGCAGAAGAAGGTCTCGAAGGTGGCTCCATGACTAATGGCTGTCTTGGTGGAGGGGCGCCGACACCGACATGAGGTTGGGGTTCCGGTGCATTACCGGCTGACCAGCTCTGACCACTGAACGCTGATTGTTTTGAAGACAAAGCTGGTCGAGCTTGAACCTGAACCTTTGCTTGTTGTCGTAACGATTCGGTCGGAGTGAACGCAGGTCGAAGTGATTTGCTGCTAGTCGTTGACACCTTGCCATCGATAATCTCTTGAAACGAAGCTCCCGAACGTTTCGCCTCGATATCGGGCCACTTTTCCGATGGGGGCGCGTCGGCGTTGTCTACAAGGCGGAAAGGCCCCGGATCAGTCACAAGACTTAGACAGGGTCCACAATAGATAACCCTTACCGTTATAATCGGCCCCGGCACTGATCAAGAATCCCATCGGCATGCCCTCGCCCTCTATCCTCCCATCCTCCCAGACTGGCGTCACGTCCAACGTCACCGCCAGATCGAAGGCCTCATCGTCATCCACACATCCCATCATTTCCCTAAAGACCTCGATTGTCATCACCTTGGTCTTCATGCCGCTCGTCCCGATGTTGGCTGGCTGAACCCTGGCATACGACCTCATCAACGCCCTCACTCCCGCTCTTCGGACCTCGCCGAGCTTGTTATGCGCTAGGCAGGCTACGAGGAACGGCACGTCTGGGCTCTTGACCCGCTTGAAATATCGAGTGAAAAAGTTCAAACTGATCTCGGCGTTGCTCTTGCTTCCGACTTTTTGGGTGTCGAAATTGCGCTGAGCAAGAGCTCGGAGATCAAATACGATTTGAACGAGCGGGTGATTGAAGATGTGCGCTGGAAGGGCGAGAATGGAACGGGCGACCTCTTGATCGTGCAAATGGGACAGAAGTTGGTACGCCCTGAATTCGGGTTCATTTTGCGAATCGTGCCCGTCCAATCGTTGATCCTCGTACAGCTCGATGAGCGAGATGAGTGCTGCGAGGGATTCAAGAATCGCGCATTGACTGTTGGCTCAATTTCGGGTAGAGATTGTCCCTCGGAAGGCTCACTCTTGTTCAATTGCTCCGCCTCTTGCTTCAGAAAATGCCTCTCCTCTAGTGTCCCCAACATGTAGATACTCAGTATGTGAAACCTCGCTATCCGTTCATGGCACTCGATGTTCTCCAATACACCCCATTGCCGCTGATAGGTGAAATCCTGCCTGATCCCTCGGGTCCGATCTCGGAGGAAATGGTGCGTGTGTTTCAGCGAGGCGAGCGGGGCAGGAAGGACGGGTTGACCAGGATCTGTTGGAGGTGGAGCAGGGGTGTCGAGGACATGATGAAAGAGGTGGTCCAGCGTGCGCTATAAGTACGTCATGACAATCACCGTCAATGTTTCGTCGCAGACCGTACGAGTATAAGGGATAAAGTACCTTGAGTGTCTCTGGGTCTCGGACATCCGAAGGCAGAGGCTGATCGATTCCTGCTGCAGATCGATGATACATCGTTACCGCCTTGGCCGGATCGATCCTCCCCGGCTGACCTTCCCTCTGAGCACATTATCAAGAAAAGCAGATCATCAGCTTATAACCTCGGCCGTATGGCAGCTTTTCATAGCTCATCTTACCTGCTCCAAGGGATGGACATTCTTCTTGAACTCTCGCTCTTGTTGTTCGAATAGGGGACACATGTCCTTGCATGTTCCTCGGAATTCAATGGCATGTTCTAAAGAGGTTGGCTTGTCGGGGTCCGATATCAGTCCGGCTTTGATAGCGGCTTTGCGTTCTTCCACTCGTCTGGCTTCGAGCTACGAAGAGAACGATGCAACAGTCAGCTCAGCTACGTCGCCGAAGACAAGCTGATATCTTTTGGGTACAGGAGGAAGATTGATACTTACCTCCCTAAAACTATTCCCCTGAAGATCCGTAGCAAATCTCTGTGCTCGAGTCCCATCCTCGTCGACCAGAGAGTACTCGTTGTCGGAATCCGCAGAGACGTCTGGGGTTCCCGAATCGTCGAGAGCTCCCGCCATGCCCAGGGCGTTGAGCCGTTTCGGACCCGTGTGGGACCTTTTGAACGGCTTCATCTGGATTATTTTGGGAGCCGGGACGCTCGTGCGGGAGAGATTATGGTGGAGAGAAGCTTCGGGTGGCTCGTGCGGCATTTACGAGTTGATGATCTTAGTGTTGCTCTCGATGGTCGATGTTGAATGAGGGTCGTCGGACATGACCTAGATTAGGAGACGGACATTTGAGTGTTTTCTTTATGTCCGCTCTCCCTGAAATGACATCATCCTGCTGGCACGGGTTTGGGTTGGGGGTTACGATTAGGGGGACTCGGAACATCCATCGACCTCAATACAACAAGTCGAACGACCTCGATAGTAAGATCAAGCTTCCGCCCAAACACGCCCATAGATCTACTGCTCATTTTGGGAGAATCATATCACACAATGGACAACTTTGTCACCGAAGCACGCAAGTTCATGTCATCCGACGAGGGCAAGGACATGATGGCCAACTTCAAACAGGTACGTCCCTTCGAAACGCTCAGTCTCCTATCCCGCAAGTTCCTCCCACTGAACATATAATTACATCCTTTGGTTCGTTCGGTTGGTAACAAATCTTAGGGAGAGAATGAGACGCCTGAGGAATCCGACTACACCACTCAACAAGGCGGATCTGGATCCAACTCGTTCCCCTCTGGCGAAGCTCAGTACGGATCGAATGCCAACACCGACAACCAGTACACTGCCCAGAACGTCAATGCCGATGCCGAGAACCAAAGTTCCGGAGCTGGCAACCAGAACAAGGCTGCTGGCGCGAATGCCGAGGGAGAGTTGCAGATGGGAGGTGTGAACAAGGACAAGATCAAGGGCGCGAGCGATTACGATGGGTACGAACAGGGGGATTGTGAGTCGGGCGTCAAACATTGTGCGATTTTATCGTCTTTTAAACACCTTGTTCCATCCGAATCGTCGTCTAGCCGCTGCTTCGGGTGGATGGGGCGCCAACCGGAAAGGGAATTCGTTCTCCCGAGAGGTAAGCACTACACCCTGCATTACACCTCTGTCATCGGGACTTGACCGTAGCTGACCGGCCATCTACACTTCTCAACCTATCCTACCGTGATGACTCGTCTGTCGACCCACATACAGAACCAACTCGGTGCCGAGACCAACGGGCCCTTCACCTCGGACCCGAATACCAACGAGAACGCGGTCGACGCCAACAGAAGCGGTACTAGTACTCCGGGCTATCCCGAGGAAGACGGTAAGCTTCTCAATAGTCTTCCACTTTGAGTAGGAGATTGCCAACACAAGCTGATCGAGGAACCCGAATATGGTGGTATGATGGTAGAGCTGGACTCGGGTAGGAGAAAGACCCAAGGAGGAGGCGGCTCGTCCGGGCTCGTAAGCATCGAGTCATCTTGGCACTTCCGTGTTTCTCTTGCTGATTTGATCCCTGCGTGTGGTTATGATCAAAGAACCCGTACGGCGACAACGAAGAGGATGGTCCTTCCAACGAGAACAACCCTTATCACGAACAAGGTCGACGCGTATAATTCGGCTTGTTGCGTCTCCGTGGCACGAGCTCGGATACACTACGAGACGACTCAATACGCTGGACGGGCCGACTGGGTATGGGGTCTTTTGGATAGCCCGAGAATACGACAATGGTTCGGGTAGCAGATCGAGTCTAATGTATATTTCTTTAGCATGAAGTCAACAAGCCTGGGGGATTGACCTTGATGAGTTTCGCGAAGCCATCATCTGTTATACATGTTTTGACTACAAGACGCAAATCAAGACGTCAGCTTGAACGGCGGAAGCGTCCGGCGTGGCTGCGACGTTGACTCTCTTCAGCCCAATGACATCGGCTGTTACAAGCTGAGCCATTTCGGCTGAACTGGAAGCGATCCGACCTGCACATGATCTGTCCCAAGGGACGACCAATTCCGCGGTCCTCTTCGAATTTTCGACTCCTATTCAGCTCCCAGCGGCAAGTCAATTCTTGTCGTGCTGATGGATGCCACATGTGAACTTTGTTCAATTATGCCCTCCAATATCAGCTGCAGCCTCCCCGTAGATTATTGTTACAGCCACTAGTATGATACACTGGGACCTCTCTGGAAGGATCATATGACAACAAACGCTAGCTTAAGTGAGGTGATCATGAAAACGAAAAGGAACGAGCAGGGTCGATGGTCCAGGGCCAAAGTGATCGTTTTTCCAGCCGCGCATGCGCCCACAACAGTAACAGCTCGAGAACGGAACTCTTTTACGTGATGATATATATAGTATGGTCTGGAAACCGCTATCGGAGCCGACACCCAGTCTGCGACTGTGGATCGATCTTTACTTGCGAAAAGTATCCACGCTGCCAGACCAAATCGAAATTGCATTTTGGCTCAATCTTCGCCAGAGCTGCTGGACCTATCACCGCTGTACAAGACGATCCCTTCCGACGCTTGAATGTATACATGTGCAGGTGAGTCATCTTCCGACCCATCATACTCGGCCTTGCTCAACCTCCACTATCATATTGACCGATGGCGCCGTGCGGAATCTGCATCGGACAGCAGCAAGGGCAAGGACGAAAGTAAGGGCAAGAGGCAGAGCAAGGGCAAGGGCGAAAGTAAAGCTAAGGCTGAAAGGAAAGGAAAAGGCAAGGGCAAAGGCAAGGGCGAGGGTCTAAGCCAGGGCAATCGGGGCAAGCGTAAAGGTGGTATCACTACCGATCCCTGTCCCGGCGCCCAAGAGACAGACACCGATGACGAAGACGATGAGGAGGAGGAGGAGGAGGAAGGAGAAGGAGTGCACCAGAAGATCACCTGGAAGTATTGCTACACTGTCATCGAAGACATCCCACAAGTAGGACAAGTGCCTCGAGACGCCGAGTCCGGCATTCAAACCAGCACAATCAAAGAATCGACAAGAGTTTGAGCTATTGATTGGAAAAACTCTAATAGACGTCCGCTGCAAACTGCTCGGTAACATCGATCTGGACCTACATGACACGATATGATCGCGCTGCAATGTGAAACGCTCATCTCCCTGCTCGACGGGACCTACCCTAGGCAGGTAGAAGCGCAAAAAGAGTAGTATTGTAGCGCGCGCGTGGGAAACGCATCATCGTTGCATGCCTCCCACAGCCCGCGTCATCGCCCTTTTCCTCCTCCCGAGCCCCTCTCACCCTCACTCTCGCACATTCCCAACCAACCTTCACATCCATCGACCTCTTCTCATCTCTACATCACCTCGCATCCAAAGTCCCACTCCTCCTCGTAACAGCTTCAGATATCTCTCAAAACTTCTCGTACCGAATCGTGAGTACCGCTGTGTCAGCATTCTGCTCAGCCAGCGCTCCGGTCGAGCCTGGATGACGACGACGTCACACGAGCAGAATGACGCGATTAGAGAATCAGCAGGGACTGACGTCTACCCCATTTCTCTCCGTCGTCTCCTTTCATCCTTGTCTTGCCATACCGGACCCTATATAACTTCTCTCCTCCTTGCGCACACTCAATGCACCTATCCACCCGTAGAACGACCAACGAATCACGAACCTAACACGACCACTATGTCCGCTCAACATCAATCCGCCGAAGTCAAGGCCCGTGCCAACCAGACCAAGAACCAGGTCCTGAGCCACCCTTACGTCCAGCAAGGTGCTGCTGTTGCCAACCAGTACGCTGTCAGGTTGGACAAGCATGTTAGTACCATTCGGTCCATCAGATGTACAAGACCCTTATCTCTGACCCGCGATTTCGCTTTCCGGCCTTACCCACAGCTCTCTCAATACCCCATCCTGAACAAGGCCGAGGAAAAGACCCGAATCCCCAAGGTCTACGGTGTCCTCTCCACCGCCGGAGCTTTCATCTTTTTGATCTTTTTCAACCTCTTTGGCTTGGCCTCGCCCTTGTCCAACCTGATCGGATGGGCCATCCCCGCTTACTTGAGCGTGCAGGCTTTGGAGAGCCCGGGAAAAAACGACGACAAGCAGTGGTTGACTTACTGGGTGAGTTTTCCTCTTTCTTCTTGATCTATTGCTTCCCAGATGAAACAAGCTGAACCTGAGACTGAAATTGCTATCGGGCGAATAGGTCGTCTTCGGTCTCTTCAACTTTGTTGAATCCGCCGCTCTTAGGCCTATTCTTTACTACTTCCGTGAGTCCGGGCTCGATTTACGGCCAGAATCACAAAGCGCCTGTATAACTGAATCTGTATTTTTCATGATTGTGCAGCCTTCTACTTCGTTAGCAAGACCCTCTTCATCTCTTGGCTCATGAGCCCTCAATTCCGAGTAAGCCCTTCTGTCTCGTGATTTAGCCTGTTGTGATCTTATCAAGCTAATCAACATCCTCATCATACTTGAATAGGGCGCCGAGATCCTCTACCACAACGTCGTCCGAAAGGCGTTCCTCTCCCTCCACCAGCAACAGCGAACCGGTTACCCCACCGCTAGCTCCACCCCGGGTTACACCACCACCACCAGCTCTTATGCCCATGCTCGTGAGTCTTCTACTCTGCTCCTTTTGGCTTTCGCCTGAGCGTGTGGAGTTTCGCATCGATGAAAAGCTGTTTGCTGATATCGATTGCAATGGCTTATCTGAAGATGCAGAGTAAATTGCTCTCTGATGCGAGTCTGAACAAGAGGATGGACCTAGGAATGAGAGTGAAGGAGAGCCGATAGATCGGACTGAGTATTATGGAGGCTCGTGCTCCATAGCTCACTCAGATCATCTCGTGCCGCGATAGTAGATAGATAAAAGTCGAATCGAACGAGTCAAGCAGTAAAGGCTAGTAGAATTGTGCGAGTTTCGTGCGGAAGAGAACGTATAGATAGATATTTAATAAGCATTCGTGATCGTCCGAGTTTCGAGGTGGTTTCGTGAATAAAGACGTCCCAAGTCAGGTTCACTGATCTGCTAGAAGCTCGCAAATCCGGATGGTCGATATCGCGTTCCCAGATCAGAGGGATCACTCGGGATTTCATCGCTCTGCTGCCTCGTCAATACTCTCTGCAAATTGTTAGCCTCGTTCATGTTCGTTGCAGACTCCCCATACCACTCTGTAGCCATTGCATGCTTCTTTGCACCCTCTGATGCATCAAACCTCGAGCTCACACTATGGCTAGAGTCCGGGAATCTCCTCTTTGATATCGACCTTGTTGGGCTTGCACCTAGAAAATTCAGGCTCGTTGGTTTGCAGTAGTCATGAAATCAGATCATCATCATCATTACGGGTCGTGTCGTCACAGAAGTACAGGGTGATACTACAGTAAACATTTACAAGCCATCTGGTCAGTTCCGTATGCGATTCCAAGTATTAAGAGTGAACGTAAAGACAGGTCGAGTTGGGTTGTTCCAGATGCGCTCAGCGCGAGAAGAAGTAAAGGTGAATGATACAGGTAAGACGGGTAGATATATTCCGTGGCGGTGTGAAAGGTGGTATGGCGGATGTGAGGTAGTACGCTAACAGCAGCCCCCACTGGCAGCCTGTTTCCCGGCTCCTGCCTTGCCCTTGGAATCGGCGATTGGGTCGAGGTAGACGCTCTCCCGTTGTTTGCGCAGGTGTTCCATGGTGATCTGTCGACGCCGGAGAACCAACTGAGCGGTCATCGAAGCGAAGAGGTCATCGATGCCTGCAACGATTTCGTCGGATGGAGATGTTAGCCATTATCCGTGAAGTCTGACTGTGCTCGACAGATCGGCGCGACTCACCTCGATCGAGCTTGGACGAGACCTCGCCGATGCGCACGTTTGTGCCTACGATCTTCTTACCCCAATAGGGATCTTCCTCGAACAGATCTTCGGCCTTTTTAGCCTGGGCGATCTCATGTTTCGCTTGTTCGCCCGCCTTGTCCCAACCGGCGAGGATCTCTCCGGATCGACGTTTCCAATTGTTGTCACCGCTGGCATATGCCGAAAGGTCACCCTGGATGGCCTTGAGCGCTTCGCCTCTGGCTCGGCTGTTGCTCCAATCCTCGCTCTTCCTCCGCGGCGCGACCGAAGTTGCGGCCATCAGGTTGAGCCCCGAAGTAGAACCCGAAGTCGGCAAGGGAGAACGAGGTCCCGTGGGAGAGGTCGAAAAGGACATGAGAGCCGCAGCTGACGCCGAGTTGGATCTTGCGCCCGTCGCTCCCCTAGAGCCTGGAGGCAGGTTTTTGGTATCGGGCACATCCTTTTTACCATCCTCGCTGGTAGTAGAAGAAGGTGGTTGGGATGACAGCAGGGACAAGAACCGGTAGGCTGCAGGTCGGCTGTTCGCCACGACGCTGGGGCTCTCGACGACAGCCTTTTCAACCTTGAGCTCCAACGGCGAACCAACAGTGTTTGACCGGAAGAGGCTGGTCTGCCGGCTCCTCGGTTGTTGGAAAGTGGGACCGATCGGCGATCCCGGTCCAGGGCTGTTCATCCGTTCGATATCAAAATCCAACCCACCGTCCCCGACGTCGAGTCCCAGCCACCTGGCGACCGTCACCCTGGCGCGTTTGCGTTCGACCACCCGTTTGCCTTCCTTGGTCAGGTCCCACTTGGCACCGACGATGAAGATCAGGACTTCGTCGATCATATTGCGCAACTCGGACAACCAGGTCTGAACGTCCTCGAAGGAGGATTCGGAGGTGATGTCGTAGACTATGATGGCCGCTTGGGCGCCTGGCGGAAGAACCAGTCAGTTCGGATCAGAGAGCGACAGACAACACGTCGAACCACTCACCTCGGTAATAAAGCTTGGTCAAAGATCGATGCCGTTCTGTCATGCAGATTGACTGGTATTAGCGCCTAACTGTCACCCAAGCCGACCAGCAAATTCAAAATCCCCTAGCTCACCCTCGCCGACCGTATCCCAAATCTGCAACCTGACCTCACCACCCTCCCAATTCAACTTTCTTGTAAACAAGCTCCCGTTCAACGTCGGCCTCGTTGTCTGCGGGGAAAACGTCCCTTCCGCATACCTCCTCGCCAAGGTCGATTTGCCCACCCCTGGATGTAGTTTCAATGCATCCGTATTTGTCCAGATCAGCATTCCCTTCACAATGCAATGTATGGAGAGCAGGTGCATGTCCAGCTGAAGACGACGCGACTCACCTTGCGATCCTAGCAGGACGACCTTGACCTCCAACGTCTCCTCCTCGCTCCCCCTCCTCAGATCGCCTTCGACCCTCAACCCCCCACCTTTTCCTCTCAACAACCCTCCAGATTTCTTCTTCCCCATCCCGCCTGCGGTGCCACCCGTCGAGATCCGTACGCCCTTTTCGATCTCCCTATCTCTTAACCGGTTGGACTCGGTAACGAGCGCCGTACCCACATCGACCGATTTCCGCGTCCGGTGTCGGGACAAGAGCGGCGAGGCGGGGTAGTTGTAGTCGTCCAATTCGTCGCCTGAAGGATCGCCTGCGGATCGAATGGCAGCAGTGCTGGTGGGATTAATGTTGGTGTTGTTGTTGGACAAGGAGATGGACAACGAAGGCGAGCCGAAAGACCTGGTGGAGAACGCGCTTCCGGAAGGACTGTTCAGGCCTGCCCTTGACCCTTTCCCGCCCCCATTCATGCCCTGTACGCCAAACTCGTCCGTACCCAGGTCCGATCTCAACGAACTCGTCGTCGAGTTTACCGTCGATCCCAGCGGTTTACCATGGCTATGATGATGAGCCTGGTCGTCGTACCTCGGACTCCCTCCTGCACGGTATCGCTGTATCTTTTCTCGTTCCCTCTCGGCGCGTTCTTTATCTCTCGCCGCCGCACTCGTCGTGGTCGTGATCGTCGCCACCTTGCCACCTCTGCTTGGTGTCGGCTGCGATTGTTGGTGTTGATGCTGGTATTGATGACGACTGACAGCCGACTTGGACCCTACGTTCCCGCTCATCAACCTGCCCTCGATCGAGTCGTACAGCTGTCCCGACCTGGACGAGGCCGAGGAGAACGAAGGAAATGCGTAGAGTTCCTGTGGTGCTCCGTTCCCCACGTCCATGGTCGTGTTCGTGTCCCTGTTCTTGGTGTTGTTGTCGATAGACATCGTCCTCGTAAATCCCATACTGCTCCGATCTTGAGCTTGGGTCTGATGTCGAGGTCCATAAGACCCACTCCGTCCTTCCGATCTCAACCTCGGCCTCGCCCCCTTCTCATTCTCGTTCGATCCATAGTTGGACAAGTCGGGAGAGTAAGATTGATGACGCTTCTGAATGGTCGGGCGTCTTGGCTGCGGGACGGTCGATTCCGATTCGTGCCCGTTCTTGTACTCTTGGTGAGAAGGGTGGTGGGTCGGAAGTGAGGTGTGTGGCTGGGTGAGCGTGTGCGTCGAGGACGGCGGGGTCGGGAAGGAGATCATCGTTTTCGAGGTCACGTTGATGCTGTGTGGGATGAAGGACGGGATCGGCAACAAAAGAGGCGAAGAGGTGGTTGTTGTACGTCTCTTTGTAGGCCAGGATCACGTTCGTTGCCGAGTTCCTCGTTGAAGATCGTCGTCGTTGTCGGTCTTGTGGTTAGACCTCTGAATATTTCCAGCCCGACCAGTGCTCCAGTTGGCCAGTCGTCGACTCTTTGCTTGTTCAAAAGTCCATCATCAAAAAGTTTTCTCTCGCTGTTCGCGGTCGGGTTCAGGGCGAGATGGCAGGTTCGCTTGAAAAGGTGAGAGAGTTGCTAGAATCGTTCGACGAGAGGAACGAGCGATAGGCGATTGGAAAGAGAGAGCAAAGAGCGCAAAGAGAAGGTTTGTGATTGTGTTATTGTGTGTCGGTTATACGAAATACGAGATGTCGAAGCGACTCGTGGTTGATGATCGATGCAACTTCTAGCTCAATCAAAAGGTGACCGCCTGTCGATGATCGTCCCTCCCTGATGTCAGTCCTTGTCGTTCAGTACGATAACCCTCGCCACGTCCTCCGATCTTGGCCTATCTTGCTCGCAACGTCGCGATGTCGTGATGGATATGGCGATGATGATGATGGCTGTCGTCGATCAGAACTGACTCAAAGGGGGGAACGGAGGTCATAGCGCTCATAGCCCCTTCCTCTCTCGCCCGCCGAGCCCGCGGTCTCGTTTGTTTTCTTTTTCGATTTGTTGATCTTGTCTCGCTCTCATCAAACCTTATCGCTCTCGAAGCGGGGAGAGGGCTTACGGCAGTCAGGGGCAGAGGGGGCTGTGCACGCGGGGCACCGCGCCTCTTTTGTTCATCGACATTCTCCTTCTCCTCGAGCAAGAGATCCAAGAGGACCAGCCTCGGCTCGACGTAAACGCAGCGCTTTCTGAGCCATCGAACGTTAGCAGTCTCCTTATCAGCACTTCGACATACATCCCGGTCTCTCCCTCTCGACAGCATCTTAATCGAATCTCTTGACGACAGCAGCGACAACGGTTGTTCAGGCCGTTCGTTGTAGTACAACGATCACCATATGAATACAGGCTTTGCAGCCACTGGTGAAGGGCCGATGACCGAATAGCTACGAGATACAAAGATGCTGGGCGGAAAGCTTGGCTTACCATTCAGCAGCATCAAGAGTCACGATTTGGGGATCGTGAGTCAAGAGGGCTAACGAATTTCATCGTAGGCTTCCATTACTACTGAAGGTATCGTTTCTCTTCGCAGTTCGCAGGTTTATTTACACGGAACAAATCAATCCATCTCTCTATCTCGAGCCTCCTGGCTTCCGGTACAGGATGTAATATCTTGTGCTATTCTACAGTACCCCGACCGCGATCCCGATACCTGAGCTCGCGTCGTGGTCTTAGGCCATCCTCCCCTCTCTACTGCCGCCTCACCCGCCGTCGAGAGCGAGAACATGATCGTAATCATACCCTCTCGACCCCCTTCACCTCAGAAGTAGACCCGGAGCCGGCACGCAGGCGGAAAGGCTCGTTGTCATGGTGGTGCGGGTCCGGGTGTGATCCGTGTTTCCTGACGTGGAAGAAGAAGGATAGGGCGATGTACGCTGTGGGGATTGCGAGGACGCTGTGAAGGTAGTGAAAAGTCATACGGCCAAGGTCAGTCGAGGCACCGCAATCACGAACATTCGCGCTGAGGAAGAAGCGGGTGGACCGGGACTCACATCAACGTGATCGTGACCAAAATGATGATCACTCCCAAGACGCAACTCGTTCCCGAACACCGTCTCGACAATCCCATCCCCATGATGATCGTCGCCGCCATCCAAAAGACGAACTCGATGCAGTTCAAGATCGAGTAGGCTTTCAGGCTTCCCCAGCGACGGAACTTGGGGACGCGTTCGGTGAGGACTTCGTAGAGGAGGACTACGAGGGATTTCGCGCTCTATAGATATTGAGACGAGTACCGTCGATCAGTAAAGCGCAACGATGACGTTTGTCAGAAGGGCCTTGAGACGCACCACACCGATGATCCAGCTATCGGACCGGCTCCTCCTCCCCGTTAAGGTTGCCAACCGGGCGATCCCGAGGATGAAAACCGAGATGGTCAGGATACCTTGGGCGATCTTGATCCAGTTGATGATCCGGACTTGGCGCTGGACCGACATGTTACCGGGTACAGGGAAGGTCATCTTGAGATTGACGGCAGTGAAATGGATCGAGTGGGAGGAGGAGGGGGGCAGGTGTGAGATAAAGGACCCGACGACTTGTGAAGGTTTGGGGGAAGAGGTTGTTATACAGAACGAAGGATCTCTTTCCCGCAGCCCCCATCTCTCTACTTTCAGCCTCCCATCACCTTACTATATACTCCTCCTCCACTTGTTCTCCCTCCTCCCATAAGCCGTTCATGCTGTGCACCTCGATAAGACTTTCGTCTCAACCCCCTGTTCGATGTCGACTTTCCAACGGTGACCGAGGGGTGAGCTGGGTGTTGGTCCCCGATCTTCCGACGGAACGCGCCGGGGAAGCAAATTCGCGACCGAGCGAGGGGGAACGTTTGGATCACGCTCGAACCACCATAAGGAGAGCCAAGGGATTGTACAGTCTTGCAAGGAACCCGCGGGCGGGGATCTGTAATAGTGTAGAGTCAGCTAGATCTGATTCTTGCGTACTAAACGATATCTTTGAGACTCGCGCTCCCGGATTCTACTCGATCATCTGCCATCTATCGCCTCGCGCCTCGGATCAAAGCCATAGTATCGCATAGTGCCCAACTAGTACCGACATATACAAGGACTTCCTATGCTCAATTGATGAGCTCTCTATCATCGTTAGATTTCGATCGGTCCAGGGTCAGCCAAAAGTAGTACCTTTACCACGTGAGTATATAGCATCACCGGGCACATTGGGCTGGACCGTTTGATAGCCCGGATCATGTTGATATCGTACGCCAATCAACGAGAACGACTCGTGGCAAGATTATGATAGACCAAATCAACCTCGTAGGTCACCCATCTTGGCTTGTCTTTGGGAGACGAGAATTATATCACAACAAGCGACAACCGAGCCTCCTCCAGGATCATATACAAGCGCGTCCGACCCTGGGCCCAGGCAAGTCGGACCTCGCCCAAGCCCCATGTAAACCTGCACATATTTACCTCCTCCACGACATCTAACGAACCACACTCAAAGTCGAACCCCCTGAACTTCACACGACCTCGAGACCAACGGCCGTCGCCTACCAGGCCAACCAAGCGTCGAGCAGCGAGCTCCGGTGGATTCCCAGCGCCTTCCTCGCCTTCCAGGCGAGCAGGGTCACAAAGAGCCACATGACAAAGATGACGATCACGTCGATCCAGCTGCGACAAATGCGGCAAGGCGATCATGTCAGTTTTCGTATGTTCGCACGATCGCAACAAGACGAGTCGAAGAGGATGAAAAGGGGAGGAAGAGAGAGCTGGACGAGAAGACAGGGCGAAACTCACGCGACGACGACCAGTCCCTTGACGATGTTACACCGTCTAAAGGCGTCCCCTACGTTCCCACACGAGGTCCCGTCCGTGAGCGAGGTCAAGGACGAGTTTCCGATCAGGAACAGCAACTACGGCGAAGTATATAGTATGAAGGCGACTTAGATCAGCTGTCGATCAGGTTGGGAGTACAAAAGGCGAAAGGAGAAGGGGTAACTATGGCAGAGAAGGCGACTCACGAATCCGATGGTCAAGGCGACCCAGTGAGCGAGGATCCCAAAGAGGATGTTTCCGGGAGCAAGCAGGAACCCGACTAGGAGGTAGACTGTGAGGTTGACAGCGAGGAGTAAGCGGGAACAGGGGAGAGAGACATTGCAAAGGAAGAGGCCGTTCAAAGAGAATCAGCTCAGGCCCAAGAGGAAAACGAAGAGGCGACCTGACGACCACGAGAACCACCGGGAGGGACGAGATTTCAGATCGAAACCCTTGACTCACTACTGAAAAAGGCCATCCACACGCTCGCCACCAAGACGATCCGGATCCTCGGCTTGTAATCCCCATCGATGGCTGGGTAACCGTTGTTGTTGTAATAGTCGACCAAGGATGCCGAGATGGCCAGTGCTACTATGGAGGTGATGGTCTGCGAGTGCGCGGAGATGACACGGGGCGATCGATGCGAGCAGGAACGGACGTCAATGGTGAGTAAGGGATGACAGGATCAAGTGTGAGATGAGACGGAACGAGCAGGCTTACGGAGAGGACGAGCCAGGGGGTGTGGAGGATCTTGAGAGATCTTTCGGAGGGCATGTTGGGCGAATTTGAGTTACTTGATTTGTTTCGTTAACAAGGTGTTATCGCGATATCTACGAAAGAAATCTACAAGCTACAAGTTGCAAGACACAAGAAGACGGGTGTGGCGAGTTCGGTCTCGCTATATATACCCCAGCGTCAGCGACCGTTTTCCTTACCCAGATCGTCGGAACGTTGATCGGGCGGTGGGACAAACAAGGGAAAGCAGCGTGATGGCGAGAATGTCATTAAACACAACAAGAGAACGATCGGTTTGTGACGTCACACATTTGTTCCCGCAGTTCCCCTCCTTCTTGCGCTGGGGCACAGCGTCGGAGGCTGATCCGAGCTAGTTTTGGTAGCGCCCGAGCCGAGGAGGGCAAACGGCGCCAAGAGGACAATGCGATTGATCGGATCCGCGTTTCAGATCTCGGGCGAGAGCGTGGGAAGCAGCGGCGAGACGTTTTGCTTCCGATGTGATCTTGGGTTATCGGAGATTCCCGCTCTCAGTCCCCGCCTTTGGGTTGATTGTTCGTTGTGCAAACCTCGCCATCGTCCCATAACGTTTCATCCTCTCGACTCGCGACTTTGATTGTTCTCCTTCATCGTCATCGTCGTCGTCGTCATCCCGTAGAGCAGGTCCTGGACCATATAACATATTATTCACCACGCGATCCCGGTTTGATCGAAACTTACAGGTAGCGAACGAGTCGGCCGACCAGCAAATCCAGCCCGAATCACTCGACACGGGCAGATAGCAATCGGCGTGATGGTCGTCTTCACCCCGCCTATCGGGGAACACCTCGTCATCCACCTCTCATCATCCAACTCGTCATTCCATATCAGAACCATCGACGTTCAATTTCGAGCACGGGACGTCGACCGAAAGCTTCAACCTGGGGACCGGGTGGAAGTGTGGACCGATGCACCGGATCAGGAGGGCAAGAGGGTCGAGGGTGGATGGAGGGCCGTCAAGTTTGAGGGCGAGGATGTTGGTGTCGAGGAAGGAGACGGAACCGTGAACCCGGACGAACGGGATGGAGACGTCCAGGTCTTTCAACTACCTACCCTTGCTCTTCCTCTCGACCCTTCCCGCACCGATTCGACCTCGTCTCAAATTCAAGTCGATACCACGAACAACCTCGTCGCCCGCATCTCCCTCCCCTACCCTCACTGCACTTCGGAATCTGACCTGAATTTCGAATACACCTTCCGTATCGTCTACCCGGACGGCAAGATCTGGTGGTTGGGCGGGCTGGGGGCGAACGGGACCGTCAAGTTTCAGCTCGGAGGTGATGACGACGGTGCCGAGACGGACGTCTGGAATGGGTGGAAAGGATGGGGGATCTTGCAGGAAGGGTGAGTTACCCGTGTCGATTCCTCTGTGCTTTCTCTCTTCTGTTGTGGTTCGTCATGGGTGGCACGCAAAGAGGGTCAGGTTCGTTGACATCAGCCGTCACGTCTTTCTTCTTGTTCTCGCTGTCCCTTGCCCTGATCGTCCCCCGTTTGTGTTGTTCTTTGCAATTTTCGATTGACGATTCGGTGTCGATACAGTACCATCGCAGCCATCCCCCGATCCTCTGTCGAACGGCCGAGCCAGGCCGACCAAGACTCCGGAACGGCATACTCGCTGGCTGTCCTTTACCAAGAAGAGCCTCGTGCTACCGATACGGGATTCTACAAGTTCTCCCCGTTCGAAGCTGGATCGAAGCAAGGACAAGCCAGGGAGTCGGTACTTCTTTTGCCCAGGACGCAAGGGCAAACGTTTGATATCACCCATGATAGCGAGGGAGAGTATCGGATAGTTCCCCTTTCCCAGATAGGAACCAGTTCGGTTAAAGATGATGTTTCGCCGTACGTGGTCTACAAAGGCCAGGGCACGGTCCACGGGCAAGAAGTCTTGGTCTTCGGGCTTGAGAAAGACGATGAGAACGAGGGATCATCTCTGGCAGCGGGAGCGGGGAAGGTGTACGTCTTTTCCCGTATGCCCGCTATAACCGAAGTCGAGGGGAAGGTACACAGGGTCAAGGTGGATTCGGCTTCCCTTGGCATCGAGCAGGGAAGAGGCAAAAGTAGGAAGACGGCTCTGTGGGATCGAAAGAGCAGGCGGTCGGTCTTCCTCCCTGGTTCCACCTCTGTGTCTGAGAACAAGACGGAAATCGTGCTCGAGCTCGCACAAGACGAGCATAGCTTGACGGCGCTGTCGGTCATGGAACGGGTAGTGATGCACCCTTTCGGGGACCACAACATTGACAACAAGGAAAAGGTTCGACCGGAGGTTTTGGGCTGTGTCGAGCCAGTCTCCGGGTTGGAATGGGTACCGTCGGTAGAGAGGGAGGAAGAAGAGGATTTCGAAGAGGTCGTCCTCGTTCCTTTCGATCAGGAAGATGACGATAATGAGGACGGTGCTGGCGCAGGGGCGAACGGGTTGGTTACCATGTCGCAAGACGGATCTACATGGGCGACCTTGGGTTCGTCTGACCGGTCCATGCCGAGGTCCAGGTCAGCTTCGGCGTCGGTGAGCGCAGACGTCGGCGAGGAGGGCGTCAAGGGCAAGATGGAGGAGGAAGGGCTATTGAGCCCCAGAACGGTCGATCTGCACGAGGTCGAGGATGACCACGAGGAGGTCGATGGGGTTGAGGCGGAAGACGGCAAAGACGATCATGCATCGACGAGTCGAGCTAAAGCCGCCGCTGATACTAATACCGATACGGACGAGAGCGAGACCTCGACTTTCGACAAGGCTCAACCCGCTCCGGCCACATCGGACGACCTGGTCGCTGACCAAGACCTCCCCGTCACGAAGCGAAACCCTGATCCCGACTTCAAACCGTTCAGCTGGATCGCGATCATGCTTCGTAACCTATGGATGCGGACCTTGGGAGGATTCTTCAGATGGATCGTGGTTAGGTTCAAGGGCAATCAGATCGAGAAGGAAGGAGATGGTGGAGAGGGGGCCAGGATCACGGAGCCAGAGGAGGTCGACGAGGAGACGCCGTTATTGGGCAAGGTGAGTGCGGTTGTATGTTTCCCGGGTAGACAAGGTCAAAAAGACTGAAAACTGTGTTCTTCGGATATCATAGAATCGTAGCGCCGGCTCTAGCGATCACGAGGAGGAGGAACAGGAAGAGGTTGTTTCAACCCCGGTCCATAGGGCTGACGAGGACGAAACTCGTACCCCAGAACAACAGCCTGTCAGCCTCTTGGATTTGCCTGAAGCGCCACCCATAAACAAGCCTTCCATTGCGCCGCAAGACATTGCCCCGATCCGACCGGCCCAACCACCCGTCTACAAGGTTATTACTAGGACCCGAACCAGGCTCGTCAAGGAACCTGGCTACATGAAGCTCGTCAGCGGCAAGACCGGGAGGATCACGCTGTTGACGGATCTCGAGGAGACGCTCAGCATCATCCATCGCACTGGCGCAGTTGGGGGCTCAAGCGAGGACGTCAAGCTCGATTTCGAGATCGTCCGCGCGGATGAGAAGGAAGGGCGGGCTTTGACCGTCGTCAAGGTCGATACGGCGGGGTTGCCTGATCCATTCGATCTGCGGATCAGCCAGGATGAGAACGCCGCCGCCTAGGACGGATTGGTATTGGAGGCGAGGTTGCGGCGAACCGATGGACATACGAAGATTAACGATACGACAATGGACTGTGACGCGGACTGGATTTGGAAGCGACTGCGACTGAACTGCCGATGCGAGGAGGATATATAGAATAGACTGCTTTACGTGCGGATACACGAGATCGATAGGTCAGTAGGACCCGGAAAGTGCTTTGCGACGTGGCCTTTCCGTGGCTCGTGGTTTTGCTTTATCTTACGACTATGATAGACGCGTATGCATATGATTTTCGTCACTGCAGCCAGTTCTGAACAAGCAGTCACGAGAAGTTGAACAGGGTCCTCGTCCTCGTCAAAGCCAGACGGCAGCTTGCCTGTCTCCCCGAACAGTCCGTACAAGGTTTGAGACTTTTTGTCAATGAAGTCGCTGCCCCGATATCTGGTATCTAGATCTCTCCAACCCGTGTCGTGAGCTTCCGCGAGATCACCACTAGCTCTCGAGAAGCCTTGAAATTGTCTGCAGCAAAGAATCTACAATTTGCCCAGCGGTCGCACCAATGTTTGCCCAATTCTATTCTCGGGAGAACAGAACGAGAACCTGGCTGCAAACTCTGGAGGCCTTGAACTTTGCCCTCGATAATCGCAAGTTCTCGGCGTGAAACGCCAATTCAAATGGGGAACGTGTCGCGCGGGCGCGGGACCGCAGCCGGGCTGCTGGCCGAAGCTTCCCTTTCACAACCTCGTCTTGTGTATCCTGCATTCGTGTGTTCTTATTATCATATCCTTTTCTTCAATCTCGCCGCCTACATCATCAACATGGAGCTATAGATATTCTGCATCTCCTCTTCGACTGTGACGTGATCAATATACCCTCACCCCTTCTGCGGTTGAAGCGATGTTGAGCTGGACGACTATCCTCTTCCTCACGACCCTGCTTGTACTAGCTGGTCTCGCAGCGGTGAGTCGTCAACGAATTGTCAGCTAATGTGCCCTGCTCACTATGTAAACCTACTTTGTCGTGTGACCAGGCCTACCTGGCTCTCATCGTCTTTACTCCCACCACGCTTCCTCGATCGACAGCCGAGACGTTCTACTACTCTGCCAAGAATCCCGAGAAACCTCTGCCTCTATCGCCGCTTTCGGAATCCCCAACTTTCGGTCTCAGCATTATCGTTCCTGCGTACAATGAACGGGAACGACTCGGAATCATGGTCGACGAAGCCATGGCCTACCTGACGGATGCGGTATTCGAGCCTGAGCTCAAGCGAGGTTCCGGCCTTGACCCGAGTTGGTACGAGGATGGAGTCGAGCTCGTCGTGGTCGACGATGGATCAAGGGACGATACGGCCAGGATAGCTATCGACCTAGCGAGCCGATGGGAGAAGAAGTTACAAGCTAGGAGAGCCGCCACGGATGAGAAGCGAAACTGGCCCGAGGTGGACATGCGAGTAATCAAGCTGGAACGAAACCGTGGAAAGGGAGGAGCCGTGCGGCATGTAAGCGGTCACGCCAGATTTCTTTGCCACATCACGTCTCAGACTGACGTGTCTCTTCGAATGGTCGCAGGGAGTCCTCTTCGCTCGAGGTCGACGGATCCTCTTTGCCGATGCCGACGGTGCATCCCGTTTCTCCGACCTCACCTCGCTACAACTCGCCATGGACGCCCTGCTCGACGCGAGCGCTTCGTCCGTTAAAGGCCCGAACGGACACGCTAGGAGAAGATCCATGGACGGTGTCTTCGGCAAACAGTCTTTAAAGGGGGATTTGGTCGGGCATGCGATGGTCGCTGGGAGCCGGGCTCATCTTGAGAAGAGTCAGGCGGTCGTACAGGTGGGTCATCTCGGGACTCAGAAAACGTATGGAATTATTACGCTGACGGTGGGATCCACGTAACAACTTGCAGCGGAGCTTTGTAAGAAACTTGCTGATGCACGGTTTTCACGTCTTCGTAAGGACGATGGGCGTGAGCGGGATTCGCGATACGCAGTGCGGTTTCAAGGTGAGCAGATGGCGATCTCCCTTGTATTTGCGTCCCTTTTGGGCTGATGTCTTAAACGCCTGTACGCAGCTCTTCACACGGGAAACAGCCCGTGTCTTGTTCCCGACGATGCATCTCCATCGCTGGTCTTTCGACGTCGAGCTCTTGCTGCTCGCTTCACTCGTCGGCATCCCCGTCGCAGAGGTCCCGATAGACTGGCACGAGGTTGCAGGTAGCAAGATTAGCGTCGGTTGGGATGGGATCGGGATGGCCAGGGATCTTCTGGTCCTGCGGGGCAACTTGTTGGCGGGTAGATGGAAAGTACCACGGGTTGTAAAAGCATCGCCTTTGAGCAAAGATCAGGAATAAGCATCGCATGTCATATTCAAGACGACTTCGGTGACGGCGGGGGAGGTATTCCGGACACACCATAGAATCTTAGAAACACACCATAGGGTTCACTAGTAGTATCACCTTTAGAAAACCCCCATTGAGCAAGCCTCCCGTCCGTCACTCTGTTCCTGGCACCGGCTGCAATAGCTTGTACATAGGTATTACTGCTTCGGGATAGGGGTTAGGTCCAGGCAAACGGACTTGTGCTTCTCGCGATATCTACACACTGTTACCATGGATCAATTCTTCGCATCACCTATCGTTCAAGATACTCTGAATACCTCCCGAGATCAGCATCTTTGGGAAGAACGGGTGGATCTATACAATTTAGCTAGACACATTCAACTCGACTTCGATCAAAGCCACCGGATCGATCCGGTGGACGAGTTAGCAGATGATGATCCCGAGTTAGACGTCCCTATTCCGCCAGCTACTCACTGGCACACAGCAAACAACACCGAAGATGACGACTTGGCTAGTCTCCTTACTCCTGTTACGCTGGAGAACAAGCGAGGGGTCTTTCCAGCCTTGCCGGATTGTCGGTCCGATCCAGACGAGGTGATCGTCTCAACATCCGCGTCGGATCGATCCGAAACGCCCCCCCGACTTCTTTCCCCTCCTCCCAGTCCCCTTGCTACAGTTCAAACGCAAGTTCAGACGGAAGAATGGGTGGTAAACCTCCCTCAGTTCGACCTCTATGATACTCTCGATGCAGCAGTGGATGCTGTGAACAATGTCGGCCGGCAACAGGGCTTTGCTGTCAGCAAAGCCCGAAGCAAGAAGGATCCCGATGGTCGTCTATACCTCGTCCATCTCAAGTGTGTCTACAGTGGGACATACAGACAAAAACACGACTACCAAGCAGCTCATGGTAACATACGTGTCAAACAGACATACTCCAAGAAGAGGGGGTGTCTATTTCAAGTCAATGCGTCGTGTACCAAAGGTCAAGACTCTTGGCGACTTGCAGGGAAGGTTTTGACGCACAATCATCCGCCGGATCGATCCGCCAGAGGGCATCACGCCCATCGCAAACCGACGCAAGCCGAGAAAGATCTGATTGTGGCTGGTTTCGATTCTGGTATCAATTCCGGTCGGATCATGGGTCAAATCCAAAGCTTGGCAAAGAAGGAGAAGCGCGTCAGTTATGTTTCGCGGCAAGAGATATATAACCTCAAATCAAGGTATTATCGCATCGACGGGGGTGCAAGAACCCGAACAGACGCCTTGATCACACAGCTTGAGAACGCCAGGATCCCCCACAAGCACAAGCTCGGCGAATACAATGAGTTAACTCACTTACTGGTCACCGATCCGATGGCAATCACATTGGCGAGGAAGTACGGGGCAGTTATCTATCTCGACTGTACGTACAGGACAAACTATTTCAAACTCCCTCTGCTTCATGTAGTGGCATCAACCGCCGCCAATCTCACCTTTACTGTAGCTTTCGGCTACATGGGAAGGGAAGAAGAGGAGGATTACGATTGGGCGATGAATGCGCTGGCAGAAATCCTCCGGAACGTTCCGGTAAAGACATTCCTGACCGACAATCAAAAGGCTCTTCGCAACGCCTTAGATAAAGCTTTTCCCGCCGCCGACAAGTTACTCTGCATCTGGCACATTAACAAAAACATCGTGAAACATTGCAAAAAGAGACTTTCCAAGGATACGTTCGAAAGCATGGTAGCGAAGTGGTATATCATCGTTCGCAGTCCTACGAAATCCGACTATGACACGGCTTTGAAACGGTTCAACCGGGAATTTGGCTCCGACAAGAAGACCAAGGCTGCATGTGCATACATGATTCGCCAGCTGGTGGATGCAGCGTCATTTGCACGTTATGCAACGACTGGAATGTTTCATCTCAATGCCACCGCCACATCGATTTGTGAAGGGGCACATTCAGCTCTGAAACGTTCCCTGAACTCCCGCGCTGGCGACCTTTATCATGTTACTAGCAACGTGTTAAGGTGGATGAACGTTTGTCAGCATCGAATCTTCGACATCCATGCCAAGGAAGCAGCAAGAGTGATGGTGTCGGCGCCACCTGCCTTCGTTTTGGTAAGCAATTACAAAGCGCGTGTCGATTGCTCAATGATTCACGTGTCGGATCGATCCGACGGCCAATTTGTGTGGACAGTTACATGGAACAATCTCTCGATATGCTATCCGAAAGATGATGGAGGGTCCTTTTGCCTGGGCAAAGTCAGCAGTGAAGAATAACGAGGATCTGAAAGAATGTACGGGAGAATGGACCGCAAGCATGGGAATGCCATGTCAACACGAATGCCTCCCATTTGTCAGAACGTATCGACGCCATCCTTTCGGCCGAGATGAATTTGCAGCGCACTGGCTGTTGTTTCAAGAAGAGGATCTCATACCCCTTGCTCGACAAGAAGGAACGTACATCCCCAGGCATAATCCCACGTCCGTTGAAGATGAAGTTCAACGGCTGCGAGAGCAAGTCGTTCCCCATCTGCGTAACGATTACATCGATGTCGACCAAGAGGATCTCACCTATCAAAGGTCGCAGGCTCAAACGATCCTCGACCCAGTGCGACAGCAACATGTGGGGCGTCGAAACGAAGCTTTCATCTCACAGCGCACGACAGGAGGGATCAATACGGTCGAAGTTCTTTCAGGGCGACTACAACCAGCACCGAGCATTCGGCCGACAGAAGCTTCTGGAAGACCATCGTCAGGGTTTGAAGTTGTAGAGCGCGAGACAGCACCCAAAGCACCTACCATACGTTGCTGTGGGGCGTGTGGAACGCCAGGTCACAACCGGAACAGCCCAGACTGCAGATACGCCGCCGACATTGCCGTCAGTGATGTCAATTTTGCTGCATCACAGCGTCTTCAAAGACCTCAACCAAAACGACGTCGACTGAACAACAAGATCACAGTCGCATCAACGTCTATCTCAGTCTCCCAAGCTTCGATTCAAGTCTCAAACTCATTTGTCGACTTGACTGGGGAAAATACCTTGGCGCCAGGTTCCCAACCGAACGATAGGGGATGAAACGACGACAGTGAGCTGATGAATAGGATTTCGGATCGATCCGATGGATACATTCTAAATAAAACATCCTTTGGTTGGTCGCTTAGATTTGATACCGCTCGTCTAGCTGATGAAACGCGTCTTTGTCGATACGCGAGGAGGCTAGGCGATGGAAGGTTTCGACAAGTCTCGGTGTTTGCTTTTTACAAGTGGATCTATCCACCTAAAGGATGTTCAGTGACTTTCTCTTTCTCTCGGCTAGACGGATCTTGAAAAAAAAAAAAAAAAACAAAGATAAGGTCATCCTCGTGATGGGGATATATACACGTACTCTTGGGAAGGAATTCCTTCCTTTTTTTCGACTTCAACTCTTCTCTACTTCACACACTTTCACGGGTACTATGCCCAGTTCCTCTTCCTCTAATAATTCCAACCCATTCGCACCTCGAACTGGTACCCCGGCCTCAAGAACGACCGGTAGCCCTAGGTTTTTTCAAAGGTTGTTGAACACGTGAGTGACGAGACGTTTGGCAGTTTCGGATCGATCCGACGTCCTTTTGCTCATGTGTGTTGCTTCGTATGGTTCTTATAGTCCTCTTGTTCCGTGAGTAACCTTTCTCGAGCATCGTGTGATCGATCTGAAGCTCACTATTCTTGTTATCGTTGCCAGTTATCGATTGTCTCGATCGTTGTCTCGATCCCCTTCCCCGAATCCCAACCCCGCCAACCCCCCTGCCGCCGTCACCCCTGTCCCCGCCATGGGAGATCGACGCTTTGGACGTCCCCGTAGTCCCGAACCGCCTGTTCGAGACGATGATGGGTTGTATCGCATTCCGGTCGAGGAGAGAGAGAACTTCGATGAGTTCAGGAGGTTGCAGGAGGCGGAAAGGAACTTGTAAGTGCCGTCGGATCGATCCGACTTTTGACAGCGCGGCTGACTGACTCCGAGACGTACAGCGATGCGGCCTTCGAACTCCGAGCCCTTCTCAAGTGGCCTAGGGATCTCGACAACTTTGAACTCGAGATCAAGGTTCATCCGTTCCACTTCCAGACCTTCGACCACTGGAAGGTCTCGTACAAGAAGGCCGTCAAGCTCTCGAAGGAGGCTCAAGAGGCCGCCCGAGTCGGGGACCGAGCTCCGACTTCTCCCTCCAAGAACGTCCGCCGATTCTTGAAGGCCAACCCCGCCGAGCCGCCCGGCCCTCCGACTCTCGGCAACGATCCCAAAATTCCTTTGGGAAGGACGACTACGGGAGCGTACATCGGCTGTGTCTTTACTACGGTCGACAAAGGCGGGAAGGACCAGGGTCCGACCAAGAGGGACGATGCGACGAGTAAGTCCTCCCTTGTTGGCCGTCGGATCGATCCGATTTTTTATTGATTATCGCTTTGCCATCGACACAGTCGCCAGGTTGATCGCCGACGAGGACGAGCTTCCTCCCCTCCCTAGGGAGGTTCCCCACGCCATGCTCGCTAACCTGTTGAGGCCGACTCGGGCCGGAACGATCAAGACCGGTTTGGTCAACGACTGGTTGGTGAGTCTGACTTTTACATCGGATCGATCCGACTCATGGGTGACTGGGACACTAACTTCTCTTGTTCACAATCGCAGAAGAACTATCAGGGAGGGTGGAGGCTATCGTGCGTCGCTTGCAAGATGGCCTACCCCAACAACGAGCCCCCCATCTACCAAGGTCCCGACCAAAGGATCGATCCCGACGCCGACTCGTCCTTTACCCGGCACCATCTTCCCCTTATTCACTGCGTGAAATACGGACAGGTGTATCTCTGCCGCGGAGTCATCGGATCGACCAAGGAGTCCGACAACGCCGCCCCTTCTGTCGGGAACTGTGGATCGTGCCAGGGGTCCAAGGGAGGTTGCCGCCCTCTCGATGTCTTGAAGCCCGACGCCGCTACCGACGCTCGGATCCATCCGATGGTCCGGATCTTGAACATCCTCTCGGTGATCGCTACCATGGGTCAGATGAACAAGGAGACTCGCCAGATCTACGTCGACCGGATCGTCACCATCTTGCAGCACGAGAACTGCCACGCCCGGTTCGACGAGAAGGGTCACAAGATGGTCGAGCACCCCGAGTTCTTCCCCGACGAGGACGACGAGCAGGAGTAGGGCGGCGGATCGATCCGACCCGGACGTACGGCCAGTAGGGCCTTTTTTTTTTGTACCTACGATAGATACGGGGGGGGGGGGGTCGTCGGGAGGTGACCCCTCTCGCGACCCCCCCCCCCCCCCCTTACAATATGCCATGGGCTACGGGCCCTTTTTTTTCATTTTTACATCCGGTTCGGTCTCTGAGCGCAATATCTCGGATCGATCCGACGGAGGGGTCGGTGGCTTGGTGGCTGTGGCTTGATGGCTTGGTCGCGTGAGTTCTGGCAGCAGTTTGCTTCCGCATGACCAATTATTGGCAGGTTTGACACATTTCGCGAGTTCAAGGTGTGTTTGTAAGATTCTATGGTGTGTCCGGAATAGTTCCCGACGGCGGGCTCGATGTCGTCAGCACTGAAGGGGCGACGCGCATCGTAATCACTTAAAATGACGTCGAAATGATGAGAAGGACCCTCAGAACCGAAGTGGTCGTTTGATCAGATTGACCTGACCACGACTTCAGTCGAACACATCGTACATGCTCATAGTCTTGCCAATCTTGCCACTACCTACTCTTGTCATGAAGAGTGACAGAAGATAGACATATAATCCTGAATCGCGACTTGGGGTGAGCCATCCGCGGGCTTTCTACACGATGCAAACTTCAAAGAACGCATTCGAGCTTTTTCCGGCGGATCAATTTGATGCCTGGGTCGACGGAGTCCGTTCCAAAATTATCGATGGACTAGAGCGCCAACATCTGCCTGGAGGATCTCAAGTTCGAGTTCCCGAGCTCTCGAGCAAGGCGCTCGAAGCCATAGAAGCCGCTCGCCGGGATGAAGAGCTGACTCGTCAGGCAATTGCATCTTCGTCATCTCTGGCGGATCATATGGATGTCGTCAAAGACACGGACGCGATTGTTGAAGTGACCGAAGAGGTGACGACTACCACCGTTGTCACCGAGTATGAAGACGCATACAACGGAGGCTACGGGAATACTACTGGTCTTGAAGATCCAGCTGAAAATGTCGGCTCCGAGGTCAACTATGACGAAGAAGCCAGCGAGACGGGCTACGCATTCGAACCCATAGCCAGACCAGATCTTGCGTTCCAGCAACACGTCAATGCTTATCCCGATAATCGAGAATTCTATGGGGAAGGCCAGGAGGCCGAAGACGAAGAGGCAGAAGAGGAGGAAGGAGAAGATGAAATAGGAGACGAGGATGAGGGTTCGCAAGACAACGAGATCGACGATGACGAAGACGACTTCGAAATTGTGGACGAGGACGAGGAAGGGTCGAACCGCGATACGATGGACAACGAACGCGACGAACTGGAGTCCAATGGCGATCTTGAAGAATCGCGGGAACCTCTTGCTGATGGCGGACGCTCTGATGACGGACTCGATGAGGCCGAGGCGCGCTCTGTTGATGGAGGGTCGCGATCCGCCGACGATCGTCTAGCTTCGTTCGGGGAGCTAGATGAGGAGCGATCTCAAGCCTCCGCAGGTGATCTAATGCCACGATCAGAATGGCCCTCCATAGAAGATGAGGAGGATGTAACCACTGAACGCGACATCGACGATGTAGGGGATGCAGCCGACACAAGGGATGTCGACGTCGAAGCCGAGGAGTCTGATGCAGGCGGCGAAGACGAGATCTACTCTGTGCAAGACAGCAGCGATGAAGAGGCTCGCTCTGAGGTGGAAAATGAAAGCGGACCAGATGAGAGTCGAGAACATCGAGAAGCGGGTACGAGAGTTTCTCAACTCAAAGATGAACAAGAGGATGAGGAAGAAGATGAGGTGTTGGAGTTGGACGAGGAGGACATGAGTGAAAAGGGTTCGGACCAGGAAGGGTCTATGGATGATGCAGGCAGGGATGAGGGAAGGTCGATCGATGATGAAGAGGAAATGCAATCCCGTAAGTATGACCGGAGCGTTGTCCACAGATTGGAACTGACCATCGATCACGATGATTTCCTGGACCTGTACAGGTTCCTTCGAGCAAGAGGATCGTGCTCAACGTGAAGGATTGGCTACAGATATTCGTCAGCCGGACTTGCCGCCTACCACCGAATCAGATGGTATTTACCGAGGTACATTCGAGGTCGACGGGACTGCCCAGGAAGGTGTCAGGGTAGACGAAAAGTATGCTCTAGAAGAAGGTGCGTTTCTCACCGCTTTACATCTAGGATACTCTTGCTTAGCCATCTCGCTTCTGCAGACGACAAGGATTCACAACAGGACCCGGAGTACTCGGCCGATGAGCGGGAATCAATCGAGGACATCCAATATGCTGACGACGACAATGGTAAGCCGAATGTATCTCGCAGTTCGATAAGACAGGAGCCTGACGATGTAATGACTTCAATAGCCGGAATTTTCGCTCAGACCGATCGCTCCCGTCCATCACGAGACCATATACCCTCGACCGAAGAGGTCTATGCTGATCAGATTCAGCTCGAACCTCAAACGAAGGAAGAGATCGAAGACGAGATTCGGCATCACGACAATAGAGAAATATTAGATGACACGATCATGTACCCAGCTGATCGGGAAGAATACGATTTAGACGGAGAGGATGGCAACCATCACGTTGACGGAGTTCCCGCTGGTCACGAAGATGAAGAGGTTGTCGATGAAACCGACCCCAGAGACATGGAGATGGCGGCTTGGAGCAACGAACAACCGGCAGCCTTGGGATCTCTCCCGACACTCCACAGACGAGACACGGGACAGGTATCAGAACCTATGGAACTGGTTCGTGCAGAAGATTTGGCTGCTCAAGTGCACGAGGAGCCTGACGAGCCAGTGGAGGCAATGGCAGATATTCGGGAACAGCAGTCTCCTAGACCAGACTCCGATGTGAGGGAATCATCGACGGAACTCGTTTCTGATGCATCCGATTCTGGTATATCTACCGGGGGCAACGAGTCTGACAACGAGGACAACGATATTCAGATGATCCCTTCGGACAACGCGGCGGTAATCACAGATGAGCTGGATGAACTTGACGATACCTCAATGCCGCCTTCTCGGGCAATGTCTCCGCTCCGACCTTTGGGACCGGTCGTGCAAGCGAGTCCTTCCCCTGGCAAGATCATCGCTCCTACCACATTCAAGAACGATGTCGTACCTGGCGAATGGAAGGAGGGCATGGCCCTGAAATTCTCTCAGACCAGACCTTCAGCATCATCAGACCCACTTTCTACAGATGTCCCGGAGACACAAGAGCCCGAGCCCACAGCAATTCCAGCAGAGGGATCTGAACATGGGCAGGATACAGGATATATGGGCGATGATGAATTGCCGGTACAGCCTGTTGTCGGACGTTTGTCGGATGAAACGGCAGATCAGGGCGATGACTCGAACGCGGTGACTTCTGATGCCGTTAACCGTGAAAATGCCAGTAAAGACAGGGAGACGGCATCGTACGATGCACCGCTTCAGCCAACCGGGGAAGAGCTTACCGCGACACACGTACTGGAGGATAATGATGAGCCTGCGATTACTCAGACCTTGAGTGAAAATGATGCGCCAATCAGCTCGTCAGCACAACAACAATCGATCGTAGGTCACCCTGCGCTGACAAACGAGAACCTGGCTCAAGTCGCAGCCGGTAACGAACCCACGGCGACTGGCGGGGACCTACTTGACAGTCGCGTTGGGACTGAGGAGGTGTCAACACAGTCGGTAACAGGCATCAACGAAGAAGCACAAGCTGAGAGTGAAGGACTCTTCGATGCAACGAAAGAGACGAAGGAACCCATTTCGGATCGAGCAGAAGGAGAAACAACAGGACCAGAATCAGGGGAGACGAGCCGACCAAGTCAAGAGGAGTCACTCACAACTAGTGTCGACGGACCGATGGACGTTGAACCAGGTTCCTCTGGAGTACAAGAGCTTTCTTTCACCGACCTCATCCACACTCCCGTTGACAGCCCGCGAATTGAGGAAGACATGTTCGACGTTTCGGGAGGCACTGTGCTCGAGTCCACAGATGGGATGGAAGTGACAGGACTAGCACCTGATGATCCCATCGAGGTCAACGTTCGGAACCTGCCTTCACCTCCTGCGAGACAGCAGAGCCCTACGCCCGAACCTCATCTACCGATTGACAGGGAAGACCCTGCGCTCGCCATCACGCCGGCCGTTCTGCAAGAACAAGGTTATGCCCGTGCGAACCACCAGGACCACGTCGCCGAGGTGCTGCATCAGGCTCATGACGCACATCGCCGAGCGTTCGAAGCGGCCATAGGAGAAATCGGCGAAGACCCTGCACAAACGTCTGCACCGGCTATTGTTGAGATCCTGGAGACTCCGTCTGCCGAGATCGTGAACATGATGCTGGCCATGCCTCGAGATGAGCAAGTCCAGGCGGGCATGCAGGCCTCGGCAGCTCAATCGGAGTCGGCTAACGCTGAAGAGTCTGTCGATCCAGGGGTCAACTCGGGCGACGCCTCTCAGCCGATGATTGACGATATATTTCACTCTACGGGTCCACAAGCTACTTCGGCGGTCTCGCATGATGCGGAACTCGATCGTGCTGAAACTTCGGAGCCGTCAAGCGCTAGCGCTGCTCAAGCGAGGATCGACGAGGTCTTCGAACCTGTCGAGGATAGGAGCGATGAATCGGCGAATCAAGCGAAGGAGGAGGCTGCCGAACCTTTGATCGAAGAGGGGCACGGAGAGGCGCGTGACGCCATGATGGATCGGGCGTCATCACCGCAAAGCCAGGTAGTAGACGACGATGAGCCCTTGTCGCACGATAATGAGAACCTTTCCATCGCAGCGGAGAAGAATACCGCCTCTGCAGCAACCCTTCAGGCGGAGGAACCCGAAAGGTCAGAAGAGGGGGACGAGCCGAGACGTTCTCCCACCCCTTCCGCACTCGCTCAAAGCACCACTCACGACGAAATCATGACGGTTGACCAGCCTCATTCGGTTGTCCCCAGCCTTGTCGAGTCGGGACCGGCATCTGTCATCCCAACCCCTACAATCGACCAGAGGAACACTCAGCAGAATGCATCACCGCCACCGCCGCAGACGCCTCCTACTCGGCCTCGTGAGCTCGATCTCCGGACTCCGGAGCTGACGCATCATCATCATGGTCCGGTGAGCACGGCTTCACGAAGCACGTTGCATGAATCAGAGAGAATGTTGCACGCCGAGTCTCCTGCGAGCCATACTCGTTCTCAGTGCCACTATCACAAGATGCGGTTCGACCGTGGTGCCCATTCGCACACGATGTTGATCCCTGGGTGTAGTCTCGGCTCGGCCACCCAGAGGGCTGAATTGGACGTCGAGGATCTGGGTAAAGCTTCGAGCGAGGAGATGAAGAGGAAACAAAGCCTGTTGTTCGGAGAGAATTTCCTCGGCCACATGAAGAGCGAGGAAGAGGGAACCTTGCCTAGCGATCTGGAACATCGGTTGTCTGTCCTCGTCGGGCGGGAACTCATCAGAGAGGGACATATCTATATCCTCCCGCTCGAACAGGGAATGCCTCATACGCACGCCGAGGAAGAGGAGGAAGACGGTGGGATCGCAAGTAGGACGCGGAGGAGGACGTCCCAGACACCCGGGCCGGGTTCGGGACTTGGACTCGTCACCCCGGTCAGGGAGGGGGACAAGAAGCGTAAGCATAGGGGGTCTTCGGTCGGTCGAACGCTCGTGTCGGCTGGCAAGAAACGAGCATCCGAGCTTTTGAACGTGCAAGAGGTCAAGGAGTCCGAGGACGAGGTCAAGCGCGACGAACAAGGCGACCAGCGTGAGGATGCAGGACCTTCGAGCAAGAAACGGATCGTCGAAGTAGACGGATCTCCTCAGGCCGTGAACAAGGAAGACGATCACGAGGACGAAATAGTTCCCGCCAAGAGGGACCGGGACGAGGAGGATGGGGACCGGATGGACGTCGACGAGCGGGTCGATCAGAGTACGGACCGGCAAGCCCTGGCGCCCGCACGTAAGGGTTGGTTCGGATGGCTATGGGGTCGGAAGTAGGAGATGTATATACCAAGCGCACGAAAGGGGCGGTGCGTAGATGTTTTAGCAGGCTGTGACGATAATTCTCTTGACCTGTTGTACCATTTGGATGTCTTCGTGTCTTTGATCTTTGAAGACGTTTCGAAAACCCTAGAGCACGGACGACTGTCCTTTACGAATGACGAATGTGGCTTTTCCCCTGATGACGTAAATCGCGTGCATTTGGCTGGGCATTCGCATTGTTCCCGGCGCGTCATAGCCCTCAGCTACCTACCTACCTAGCCTACCTAGCAACCTACATACCCAGCTCTCGACCTCGATCATCCTGCATCCTGCCATCACATCCGACGGATCTAGACCCCAGACAGATTGATTCACCTAACCCTTGTCGATCAGCCTCGAGTTACAGCTCTCAATTGGGACGAGCCAGTATGTCTCACCAACACGAACCTGAACTGCCCGACCTACCCGAAGGTGAGTCTCTGTCGTCGCGATCAGCTTTTGGTGATGGCGTTGTTCCTCTACCTATACCCTTTGCTAATCGCCTCATCGTTCTCGTGTAGCCCCGCCTTCGAGGGTCTACGGTCAAGGTTATGCTTTCAACCACCCTGCCCCGACCGTCCAGCAGTACAAGGCCGACAAGACGGCCCACGAAAAAGAGGCCGAGGAGTATGCGCAGCAGATGGAGGCTATACGGGTTCGCAAAGAACGAGAGGCCGCCGAAGAGCAACGTCGAATCGATTCCCAGCGCAGGTCTGTAGATACTGATCATACTCGGGTCAACGGGAACGGGGATCAGCATGGGCAGCACGGACGAACTCCTAGCAAGGGAGGAGAAGGTCAAGCGGCCAACGAGAAGAAGCCTCATCACCGCAAAGCGACGGGCAAGGAGAAGACTGAGGGTCAGATGGAAAAGGAGCAGATGATGGATAGGATGAACGCCAACCAGGTCGACCCGATCACTAGGAACAAGAAGGGTCCTAAAGGCGAACGTCGGGTATGCTTATAGAGCAAACTTGATCGTGATGTCTCGCACGAGCTGATCTGATGGTCCACTGCTTGTCTCGCATTGTTTTGCTTCGCCTTGCAGGTCAGAGACCCCACGACCGGCGGCGAGGTCATCATCAAGGATGCCGACCCCAAAGACTTTGATCCCGCCCGTCCTTCGAACAAGGGCTCCAACGTCCTGCTCCACCCCTTTCCTCCTCCTCGTCCTGCCAAGCTCAACTACATTCAACACAAGATCCAACTGCTTGGAGTCGCCTGTGCCGTGGGAATGGGCTTGATCTGGCTCTTCACGGCGTTTGGGAACGGGTTCTGGAGGTTTGTCAAGAACAGTTTCATCTGTGCTGCTGTCGGTGGTGTCTTGGTCACGCTCGTTAGCTTTATCGGACGCGGTCTTGAGGCCGAGGTCGATGCCGTGAGTCGTCCGAGTCCTCAACCGACAATTCGACAAGTTCGACCTGCTGATGTAAACTTTGCAGATTCGATATGACATGCATCGTCAACGAGGCGAAATCTACTCTCCCCCCACCCCGGAATCCGTCGAATGGCTCAACAACCTGATCAAGCTATTCTGGGGATTGGTCGACCCCGGTCTTTTCATCTCGATTACCGACATGGTCGAGGATATTATGCAACAGTCCCTCCCCGGATTCGTCGATGCCGTCAGAATCAGCGATATGGGGCAGGGGACGAACCCTTTGAGGATTCTCTCTATCCGAGCTTTGGCAGACGAGCAGGGCACGCCGGGTTATCCGAAAAAGCATTGGATTGACAAGGGCGAGAAGAATGCCAAGAGCAAGGATACGATGGGCAAAACCGTGGAAGAGGACGAGGCTGGAGAGTGAGTTTGCGAGCAAACACGCGTTTCAAGTACGGTTGCTGATATTGACTGGCGGTTTCTAGCTACTACAACTTCGAGGTCGCTTTCGCCTACCAATCCGTTGATAGTAGCCACCCCGACTCGAAGTCCAAGAATATCCAGTATGTTTTTTATATCGCTCGTGTGCAGGATCATATAACTGACCTCGCCCCTTTTGCGGATTTGCTTAGTCTCCTGATCGAGTTCTTCCTGGGAGCCTTTGACTGGTTCCACTTGCCAATCCCTATCTGGATCCAGGTCGAATCGATTGCGGGAACAGTGCGTCTTAGATGCCAGATGATCCAGGAGTTCCCCTATGTCAGGAATGTGAGTAGGATTCTTCTGCAGGAGTCAGTCAGGGAAGAGTCGCTAACGTGATATTGCGGTCATACAGCTCACGTTCGCTCTTTGTGGAGTACCTCACGTTGAGGTCAGCGCGATCCCCATGTCCCGCAAGCTTCCCAACGTGCTCGACTTGCCTAGTAAGCCCGGCCAGAAATCAGGCAGAGGATTGGATGGCCAATTGTGGCTGACCCTCTTTCCGGCTTGCAGTGATCTCCAACTTTGTTGATATGGCCATTGCGGCTGGTACGGCCGAGTTTGTTGCGCCCAAGTCGATGACGTTGAACTTGAAGGAGATGCTTACCGGCGCTGCTCTCGGTGGTGAGTCGTTCTCCGCGACCAGGTCCGCATAATCTAGCTGAAAATCCTCACGCTGTCTGTCTCACAGATACTACCGCCATCGGCGTCTTTGTCATCACCGTTCACTATGCCGAGAACCTGTCCGCACAGGACAGTAACGGAAAGTCGGACCCTTACGTCGTGTTGGCCTATGCCAAGGTGAGCCGGTTCTCGCAGGCGCTCCGGGGATCTGTTTGCTGACCTCCCTGAGCAGTTTGGGAAACCCTTGTATTCTACCCGAATCATCTTGGGAGACCTGAACCCGGTTTGGGAAGAGACAGCCGTCTTGCTCGTTACCATGGATGAAGTTCGATCCAAGGAAGATCTCTCTGCCATGTTGTGGGACTCTGACAAGCGAAGCGCCGAGTGAGTCGACGGGATGATCTATTCCGATTCGATCTTCAACTACTGAGCACCGTTTCCGCTTTTCTCATCACAGCGACCTGGTCGGCCGAGTGCAGATTCCGGTCAAGGAGTTGATGGAAAACCCTAACCAGATGGTGCGAAGGACTGACGATCTCATGGGATTTGAGGACGCCGACGACATGAGCGGTAAACTCAACTGGAGCATCGGATACTTTGAAAAGGTTCCCCTTCGTAAAGAGCTCGAGAGGGGTCTTAACGAAGAGGAGAAAAAGCAACAGCCTGCTCAGCCTACCAGGACCGCGCCCGAGATGGAGATGCTGCCTGGTGATGCCGGTAAGTGGCGATAGCGGCCTTGCCCTGGTCTACACCAGTAGCTGATCCTGTTACACGATGACAGCGCCTAACCCTGCCAAGAAGGACCTGCCCCCTCCTCCTCCTGATATCCTCCGAACTCGTCCCGATCCAGAATTCCCTTCGGGAGTGCTCAATGTCACTATTCACCACGTGAGTCTGCTTCGGACAACGTGATGGAGCTGCGGTTGATGAGAACTCTTGTACACTCAGGCTATCAACGTCGAACGTCAAAACCTGAAGGGCAGAACCGGTGAACGCGAGGGCGAAGCTGGACAAGACACTGATCAAGCTTCGGAACAGGCCGACAACTTGCCTAGCGTCTGTGGGTCCAAACAATAGGTTGTGCATGTATCCAGCTGCCCGTACTCACAATTGCTCGGGACACCGTTGCAGACTGCGAGATTATTGTCAACGGTATGTACGCTCAACCCTGTTTCAATTCCGAGTCGATCCGCTCAGTATTCGGTTGTTATAGATGAAATGGTTTTCAAGACTCGAGTCAAACAATATACCTCCAACCCCTTCTTCGAGGCTCCGGTTGAAGTATTCTGCCGTGACTTCAGGGACACTGTTATCAGGGTCGTCATGCGAGACAGCAGGCTGCGTGAGGGAGTGAGTTGCGAAATAGCGAATCAGGCGCTGCGCATCCTGTGGCTGATCCATTCTTCTGCACGACAGGATCCTATTCTCGGAGTCGTTTCCTTAAGGGCAGCCGAGATCTTCTCTGAGGCTTCCAGTGTGACTAGCACGTGAGTCTCCGCCCCTTGCAGCTCCCCCGTCATCTAGCTTTTAAGCTAAGCTGAGCGTATACTTTCGCAGATGGGCCATCACTGAAGGCCAAGGATTCGGAAAGCTCAACATGAGTCTCGGATTCCGAGGCATGCAGACTCGATTCGCCAAGAACATGCGAGGATGGCAGACCGGCACGCTCGAAGTCGGTGACGTCCAGATCGACATCGACCATGAGAAGAAGTCGGACTTTTCGGCTTCGAGCACTTCCCTTACTATCAAGACTTCCGATTCTCAGGAAAACCTCTCCAAAAAGGAGGCCGAGGTCCACGGCGACAGTGTCTTCTGGGAGAGCGAAGACTTGCGTATGCCAATCTACTCGAGGTATTCGTCTTCGGTCGTCTTCGAGCTCGGTTCCAAGGGCGGTCTGAAAAGTCTCATCGGCAAAGCTGGTCCTGCGGCTATCGCTGTACTCTGGCTTCAAGATTTGACTGATGACGTGGAGCAGAGCGTCAAGCTGCCCATCTTCATCGGCGAGAACTTGGAAACCTTGCGACAAAACGCCATTAATGATCAGACTGCCGAACACCACAACTTTGAGCTTATCGGCTGGATGACTGTCGTACTGAAGCTGTCCTCGGGACTTGACTTGGACCAGTAAGCTGGCCGTCTCGTGCGTTGCGCTGTTCCTGCGTGTCTGCGGCGCTAACGGCAATTGTGATTACAGCGAACGACTGCGAGAATCCTTGTCTAGTGCCAGGCGACATGCCTTGGAAGCGTTCGAGTGAGTGACTGGTGTCGAAACCTTTTGTGCTGCACCAGATCGATTGACTCGTCCTATGTCTCGTTTATCAGCCGAAGTATGTCAAATATCATGAACGATACAGTTGGATGGCGGATGTAGCTAATTTGTTCCATTCAAATCGTTCACAGTTGAAGGCGAGGCCCAGATTGCCGAAAAGAACAGGTAACTTTTGCTTTGATTCCCGACTCTATCTCGCACGTATTGATCGAGTCCTCGTTCGGGGTTGCAGTCACGCTATGGACGATGGTCACATCGATAAGAAGGAGCAAAAGGCCATCGACGAGGCGCACGAGCGGCAATTGCTTGCTCGTGGCCGAGGAAAGGCTCAACTCAAGCCTTACCGAACGGGCAAGTGGATCAAGAACGGTATCAAGAGCCGTCTCATGCCGAACCACACGAAGAGTCGAGAGCGTAAGTCCTCGCAAAGATGTGTCCAATGTGCAGAGTCGCTGAACCTTGTCTGCACGATCTGCATCGTAGCAACCGTCATGACTGAGTAACAGGCCATGCGTTTTTGTGGGGATATCTATCAAAGGGCAGACCATCGAGACTTCTTGTTCCATCATTACTTTCCACGAAACTGTATCATGCAATACCTACTATATACACGGATATCGACTTCAATGCATCGAAACGCGATCTCCTGCTACTTTTCGCGACATTGCGGCGTGGATCACGGTACCACCTCCTTGCTTATCCAGTCGTCCCCCTGCTTGGTCCACCTTGTCCGTCGATCGAACCCGCTCTTTGCCATCCTGACCACGTCAACCTCGTACGGCTCGAACACGATGAGCGCGAAGTTCTTGTATGATCGAGTCTCGGGAGTGTCGGCTTCGCGGTTCTGTGATAGCAGGATGAGCTTCAGTGAGAAGAGATCTCTACAACGGTCAAAAATCACACTCACCTCTAGTATCGATGCCAATACTTCATCAGCTTTCAACTCGGCTTCTTCGCTACCTAGTCCACCAGTACTCGGGCGTGCATCGTGACCCTATGCAAGAGGTCCGGGAATACGTTATCAGCGAGGAAAGCGCTAGTCGGACCGGCCAGACTCACTTCCAAATGCGTCGTCGAGACCGCCAGCTGTTCTGTCCACCCGTCCCTCGAATCGTCCAGGTCCGTGCCAGGCGTAGGGTTCGCATGCCAGGCTCGTGTCCGACCGTGAAATGATTCGCTACGCCACATCTCTCTCCGCAACCGTTTCATATCCACCTCGACCCCGCTGACGGCCTCTTCACCTCCGATCCAGCCTTGAGAAGAGTACGTCCGGGCCATCGCTTGGATTCTGATCTGGAGGAGTTCCTCGGGAACCCAGGTGGAGAGGGAACATCGAGGGTTCTTGACCAGCTGCAAGACTTTCGGGGTTCGAGCATCGGTCGAGCAGAGCAGGGCTTGCCGGTCGGGTCGGGCGGAGGGGGAGAGGGATATCAGGTCTTTGATTCCAACGTTGCGGATTTCAGGGCGAGACTGGTCTAGAGACAGAGTGGCAAGTGCGTAGGCTGGGCGAGCTCGTCCGGACGTAAGTGATGGGTGGGTCGTAAAGCTGGGAATGATGCGGCTCAAGACTGACTGCATGATAGGCCGGGCTTGCTGGATTCGACGTCTTGCACCCAACCTGGCGTCGATCTCGTTGTTTTAGATGCTACGATAGACATGATGACTTGACTGCAGGTGGATATATTTTGATTAGCCCCTTTGCCAAAGTCTAGTAACATATTGATATCACTTGGTGATCGTGACCTACCTTTGTGCATCTGCCCGTTCATCGGTTTCATCCGATCGAGAGCGGAATCAAAACAACCTCCGGCAGCAGTGACGAGACACGGACATGGAACTATAATTCATCACGATATACGATGATGTCCGCATCTCCTCGCACACTCGCGGCGGGCGCATATCCAAAAGTTGAAAGCGAGATCTCAAAGCAACCTTCACTTTTGACTTCAGTCACGTCTCAAAGAGTCGATAAGCCTCGAGATCTAGGGCATCGTATTCGGGATCTAGTCAATCAGGAAAGGGGCCCGAAATACATCTTGACGCAATGGCCATCTCCATCGATGACCCTCTCCACCCTGCGGGGCCTTCGAGCTCGAAGCACACCTTCAAGACGCTCGAGCGAGAACGCATGAACCGACATCCGAGCGAGACCGGCATGGATCACCCGGCACTGGAAGAGATCGTCAAGCCACATATCGCCAGTTTCGATGCGCTTACGGATATGAACGGGGACGGGACCGGGCTGTTGCAATTGGGCGTGCAGAACATCCTGCCAAAGACCGTCTTTGATGGCAAGAAGCGTGAGGGTGCTGCACCCGGTTCATCGGCTTCTTTCGGCAACAAGATCACCTGTTAGTCGATCGCACCTCTCATATTTAACTCAGAACCTTAACAGCCTGCTGAAACCGCCCGGTCGTCACGCCCAGTCTCGATCACCCACGTCACCCTAGGTAAACCCATGGTTCCCGACAAGGACCGTCAGGCGACCGAACGACGAGTTTTTCCCTCGGAAGCCCGTGAACGGCTGACCTCTTACCGAGCCAAGTTGGCCGTCAGGATCAAGTGGGTCGTTAGTGGAGACGACGGCGAGACGGCTACGTTTGAGGAGACCAAGGATTGCGGGTTGTTGCCCATCATGATCAAGGTAGGTGTCGGAGACCGTGTCTTGGCGGGGCTTGGTTGTCAGCCTTGGTGCTAGTTTCAGCACGACTAACATGGTTTGCATGCTATGAGCAGTCAAATCGATGTAATCTACGAGGGATGAGCGCCGCACAGCTCGTAGGCAAGAACGAGGAATCCAACTCGTGGGGAGGGTACTTTATCGTCAACGGAAACGAAAAATTGATTCGGTACCGTGAGTGGTCGCGTGAAAACGGGCAACTTAACGCATGGTATCACGCAATGCAGGAAGATCAGGACCTAACGATGGGTCTGGCGGTGTGGACTTTTCAGTGATTTTGCCGAGGCGTAACCACGCCGTCTCTCTCATTCGACCCTCGTTCGAAAAGGTCGGTGAATTGCAACTCTTTCAGCTTCATATCAGCAACGCGCTAATAGAGGAGTTTGACCCTCACCACACTTACAGCGAGGACCTACCTATTCGAAATACGGTGTTCAGCTCCGAGCGGTCAGGAAGGACGAGACGGCTTGCACGAACACTTTGCATTACTTGACTTCGGGTGGTGCTACTATTCGTTTCGCATGGAGGAAGAACGAATGTGAGTGGGAATAGCTACCCTACTGCCGGCTTAGTACAACCCGTTGACTGAAATCACTCGAACGGACAGACATGATTCCTCTCGTCCTCGTCCTCAAAGCATTGACCGACGCCAGTGACCGTGAGATCTTCCAAGACCTGATCCAGGGCGAGAACGACAACACCTTCTTGACGGATCGTGTCGAGCTCTTGCTCCGATCCGCCAAGGTCTGGGGTCTACATACGGGGAACGCCGCGTTGGAATACTTAGGTGAAAAGTTTAGAGTCGTCATGGGTTGTCCTGAAGACTGGTCCAACCTCGCCGTCGGAGGTTATTTGATGGAAAAAGTCGTCATGGTGCACTTGGAGAGTCCGAGGGACAAGTACAGAATGTTGATGTGAGTGGACAGCGTTTAAACGGAATGCGCTAGTCTTCAGACAGAAGAGACTGAACTCTACCCTTTTGCACACAGCTTCATGCTCCGAAAGCTCTACTCGCTGGTGTCGGGCGCCTGCTGCGCCGACAATCCGGATTCACCTCAACATCAAGAGGTCCTCTTACCCGGTTTCTTGTACTCGATGATCATCAAGGAGCGATTCGACGAGGCTTTGAACGGGGTCAGGGCTTTCATTGCGCAGGACGTTCGAAGGGGAAGGGCTGGGGATTTCTTCGATCGTGAGTCCAAAAAGAAAACAGCTTATCAACCGCAACCGTGCTAATGGATCATATGCCCTGCCTTGCAGCCAAATACTTCATGAACGCACTGGCAAAATCAAATTTTGACGTCGGTCAAAAGTTGGCCTACTTTTTGGCTACCGGAAACTTGGTCTCGCCCACCGGTCTCGACTTGCAACAGACTACGGGTTATACGATTGTCGCGGAAAAGCTGAACTACTACCGATACCTGAGTCATTTCCGATGTATCCATCGAGGTGCCTTCTTTGCCGAGTTGAAGACGACGACGGTACGAAAGCTGTTGCCGGAGGCTTGGGGTGAGTTGCGGATTCGAGTATCACGACTTAGGATGACCGCTCAAGCTGATAGCTTGACTGGTGATCTTAGGATTCTTGTGTCCCGTGCATACACCCGACGGTTCGCCTTGTGGTCTCTTGAACCACTTGTCGCATTCCTGCAAGATCATCACCGAGACACTCAACGTCGACCATCTGCCGGCTCTCTTATCAGATCTGGGTATGACGCAGGTGTTTGCTTCAAATATTGACGGACGACGGAGCGTCTGCGTGCAACTGGACGGACGAGTCATCGGATGGGCCAGCCCGACCGAGGCCAAGCACCTTGCCAACGCTTTGCGAACCTGGAAGACGGAAGGCAACATCAAGGTGCCTCTCGACCTCGAAGTCGGATACGTACCCGTCAGCAAGGGTGGACAGTACCCTGGATTGTACCTCTTCTCGAGTCGATCGAGGATGATGCGACCGGTCAAGTACCTTGCCAATGACAAGGAGGACCACCTGGGAACGTTCGAGCAGGTCTACATGGAGGTCGCATGTACGCCGGAAGAGATCGAAAAGGGCACCTCGACGCACGTCGAGTTCTCCCCTACCAACGTCTTGTCAGTCATCGCCAACTTGACGCCTTTCTCCGATTTCAACCAGTCCCCCCGTAACATGTACCAGGTGAGAGGATATCACAAACTTTGTATCAAAGCCTCGAAACTGACTAGTGAGCATCTCTCTACAACAGTGTCAGATGGGTAAGCAATCGATGGGAACGCCATCTACTGCTCTCAGCCGACGAACGGACAATAAGATGGTAGGTCAGGCGGGGATATTTTGTCGAAACCTACGACTGATGTCGAGCCATCCCACAGTACCGATTACAATCTGGTCAAACGCCTATCGTCCGACCCGGTCTGCACAACACTTATGGATTCGACAACTTCCCCAACGGTACCAACGCCGTCGTAGCGGTCATTTCCTATACGGGTTACGATATGGAAGATGCCATGATCTTGAACAAGTCGGCACACGAGCGAGGCTTTGGATACGGAACTGTATACAAGGCGGACATTTTCGATCTTCAGGGCGAACGAGGAGCCGTCAAGTCGCTCACCAACCCGAGCTTGCACTTTGGTATGGGACGGGATGTCAAGGAGGACTCGCCGTGGAGGAACTCGGTTGATGACGATGGTCTACCGCGTGTCGGTGCTCGAGTGGTGCCAGGCGACGCATTGGCTGCCTATCGGGATGACCTAACGGGGAAGACCAAGGTGCACAAGTACAAGGGAGACGAAGTGGCATACATCGACGAAGTGCGAGTGCTAGGTGAGTCGACTAGGCCGTTTGTAGTTTGCGCACACACTCTCTTCACCATGCTAACGTCCGTCGGCCATCAGGTGGAGACGCTGGTGATACCGAAGCCCAGAAGATTCACATCAAGCTGAGGATTCCTCGATCACCTGTCATCGGAGACAAGTTCTCTTCTCGACACGGACAAAAGGGAGTGTGCTCGCAGAAGTTCCCCATGATCGACATGCCCTTCAGCGAGAGCGGAATGCAGCCTGACGTCATCATCAACCCTCACGCTTTCCCCTCGCGAATGACTATCGGAATGTTTGTCGAGAGTATCGCCGGAAAGGCCGGAGCGATGCACGGTATCGCACAGGACGCAACGCCATGGCAGTGAGTGCAGGGTGCCAGTTTGCGAGATCTGGCAACGTTGCTAATCACGTAAACCCGACTCTAGGTTCTCTGATTCGGACACCCCTGTTGACTACTTTGGTGAACAGTTGCGAGCCGCTGGATACAACTTCTACGGGAACGAACCCATGTACTCGGGTATCACTGGAGAAGAGTTCCAGGCCGACATCTATTTGGGTTGTGTCTACTACCAGCGTCTGCGACACATGGTCAACGACAAGTTCCAGGTCCGAACGACTGGTCCCGTCGATCCGCTTACCAGGCAGCCTATCAAGGTGAGCAGTATCTCGCACATCAGCTCATGTCTAGAAACCTTCTCACTGACGAATCGCTCGATAGGGACGAAAACGAGCCGGAGGTATCCGATTTGGAGAGATGGAGCGAGACGCTCTGATAGCGCACGGAACGTCTTTCCTGCTTCAAGACCGTCTGATGAACTGTTCCGACTATTCGACAGCGTGGGTCTGTCGAAAATGCGGTTCGCTCATCTCGCTCGGGTACGAAGAGACGGTTGGGGACGTCAGCGGGGACTCGTCTGGTGGAGAATACTGCCGAATCTGTCGCAACGAGGACGAACACCACAAGGGCGATGGTGTCACTGTCAATGTGCCTGGGAGTGTCCGGGTCAGCCCTCATAACGCCAAGGGCAAGAACATGGACGTCATCGCTGTGCCCTACGTCTTTAGGTATCTGTGCGCCGAGATGGCCGCGATGGGGATCAAGATCTCGGTCTCGGTGCAGTGAGGAGGGATTGCTAGAAGATAAGAGCCCGTCTTGTGTATATGTACCATTGTTTGTATTCCGGATTGCACACCATCTTGCATATGATTGCGGGCAACCTTGTTTTCGAAAGAAAAGAGTTCCAGCCTTACTGCTCGAACTGGATCGCGACGTTACGACAGCAAGCATCACGGCATCAAAATAGGAAGCTGCAACTTGCATTCGTATCAAAGCCTGCCCTACCCAGATGTGCCAATTGTGGATGTAGGGGTGTCAACATCTTGGATGCGGTCTACTTTATTAAGACCAAGGACGGCGGGTTGACTCTGATCGTAGACGAGATCGCGCTTCCGCGGCTTTGCGCTGACACTCAATCGCTCGTCGAAAAGATGCTGTGCGGCAATAATACCATATGATCTCGTGCATTCATTTGTTAGCCGATCATGAGGACATGCTCAAACTCAAAAGGGTCCCCCCCCCTCCCGAAGCGACATGTAAGACTCAACGTGATTTCAGGTGAGAAGCAGTTGCCGCATGTTTCAAATGTTTTTTTCTTCTTCTTCAAAAGACACGTCTACTGCTTGACCGGTAGTTGTGCTCCAGTGATATGTGATGCAATACTTCACCACTGCCCACAACCCACCACGGTCATAGTACCCATTCTCTGCGAGATCTTATCTGACCGGCGCATAGAGTCTCGGCCTCGTGGCTTCATCACATCTGCAATGCCAAACAAGCTGTTTCAGACGGGACTCTACTGGGAGTGAGTGTCACGGCACAATCAGTTGGCCAGACAAGATATGGCAATCTTCATGCTGGCTTTAGTGTCAGCCTGAGTCCATTCAATCGAATAGGGTCCTCCAGCACGAGTGCTGTATCGAATTGTCTGTGCGAGACAATCTAATTCATCGGGAAATGTGAGAGGAGTCGACTGTAGTTTATAACAAGCATATGATTGACAGAAGTCCTTGAGCGCAGTCAGGGATCGTGCGGGAATTTGCGCGACGGCGGATGTGGTGAGTAGTTTGACAGGTTCTTGGGCACAGGTCTCAGAACGGCTAGGACACCGTTGCGCATCTCGTAGACAAATACGGCTGACCTCAATGACCCGGATCTCTGTCGAGGCCCTTTTGCGTATCTCTCTTTGGCTCCCTTTGGGGAAACAGCCGTTGTTCGCTGCGCACCTGACCGACAGATGGCGTGATCGATATCGTCATCCCAAGACGTCACCCTCGAAGTGAATTCTCGTCGTCCTACCTCCTTTGGTGGCGATGCGATCGTCGCTATGAAACGTTTAACATCGAAAGGACCCAAATCCTTGATCCACCTGGGACCCACGTTCCTACTGTGATGACTGTTTCACGTGATCGCGAATGATCTGTTAGCGCCAATTCCCAGCCTCGGGCGATGGCGTCATGACGTTTGAGAGAGTGAGCGGCAGCGACAGATCGGGAAACCGAACCAGCCCCTACTTGTCCGGCTTCTGCTGTTCACGCCTCGACGTACGACGTAATATACCGGTGTCCCATGTGCGTGGTTTCGGGTCGTCCGGCTATACTCTATTTCGTGTCTCTCCCTTCTCATGCCCGGTGATCCCGGTGACGCTGTTTGACTTGGGATCGGGGCTCCATGCGGTGGATTCCAGCAGTTTCAACGTTTGTTGTCATTCTCTGTTTTTCGAATATTTAGACTCCCGAGCAGCTAAGCAGCTAAGCAGGGGCATGTGCTGGATGATGTCGTAAGGTGCATCCGGGCATCGTCTAGTCCTCGATCGATCGATGGCGGGGATCGTCACTTTCGCAGCGTCACGAGCCCCTTGGCTCTTTCTCGCCTCTTGAGTGCTTTCTTGTTGTGCTCACATCACGTTGTGCGCTTCGGGCAATCGGGCTTGGACAAGGGGTATATAACTAAACATGGGTTGTCGGGATTTTGATCGAGGATTCTTTTGGACTGTGACAAGTTTGAAGATCCACAACAGCCGCAAAAGCACCATATAAGATACAGAGCATTTTCACAGCGTACACTCGGTTCCGGTTTCCTCTCTCATCTCTCGACATTCTACCTCCCCCACTTTCATAAGCCAACACCAACAGCAATAATATGATCGCGGTGACCATTCCGACGCTCGGATCGAGCCAACCTAGTACGACCATCCACCTTCCCTTCGACCCCATCCTCCTCGGCTTCCTCATCCCGCTCACCTTGATCGGACTCCTCGCTCATTCCTGGCACCGTCATGAACGACGGAGACAGTCTTCCATGTCGCTGCGGTACGACGACGCTCAGGATATCAAGGGCGACAAGCACGCAAAGACGTTAAGCGAGCTGCGGTCGAACCCTGCTGCCAAGGACGTCATTGAGAGCAACCAAGCGGCGGCTTCGGAGCAGCGACAAAAGGCGGAAGAGAAGGAGTATCTGGGCGTCTTTCCTGATCTTGCTACAAGTGCCGAGAGGGCGACGGTGCAGGAGAGGGAGAGGATGGCGATGGACAAGGAATTGTATTGGAAGTTGCAAAACTTGGAGGATCATCCTGGTGAGTTTATCCACATTACAACCTTCGCTTAGACGTTGCGTTTGCTCACGTCATCACCTTCACCGACGATCAGACGCGATCCCCGAAGCCCGAACCCGGTTGATGGATCTCTTGGACCAGACGATATCGGAAGCCACCACTCGACCGAAAGGTACCATCGTCGACATGCCCACCTACGACCGCCAGAACCTGAGAGACTTCTTGTCGACCGCCCACAAATCTTCGGCATCGCGATATGAAGCCTACATCAAGCGGAGAAAGGCTGGCGGACCGAGAGAAATGTTCCCGACTCGCGAATACGCGCAAGAATGGGTCAAGCTCGCCGCGGTCGTCAAGTACGTCGATGGAGGTTGGTTGGGTGGAGTCCTGGATATCGGGTCGGGCAAGAACAAGGGATTGGGAGGGCAAGGTGGGGGAAAGTTGGAGAGGATGGTGGGCAAGATGGCTTGGCAGGTCATCTCGGAGGAATTCGGAGATGGGGATCTCGAAAAGAATCACGTCTACGTCTACGAGCAGTTGTTGGACCAGCTGCATCTCGGAGGCAAGACCGAGGACGGGCATACTCGACCGGGATACATGAGGGACTTTGACGGTCTCGCCAAGGACCAAGGTGTACCCCGATGCTGGACCGCCGCGATCGCTCAACAATGCATCGGACTGCTAGCCTCCACCCGAGATTTCTTCCCGGAAGCCATCGGTTTCAACATGGCCTACGAGTCTCTACCCTATCACCTCTTGGTCACTACAAGAGAACTGAGAGAGCTCAAGATCAACGACTATTACTTTGCCTTGCACGTCTCCATCGACAATGCCGATAGCGGGCATGCCGCACTCGCCCGGTTGGCCGTCGAGCGTTACCTAGAAGGTGTCCGAGAGAGGGACGGAGAGGCTGCCATGCAGTACATGTGGAAACGAGTTCAAGCGGGTTATACCCTCGCCGAGGGACTCCCTACTACCCCCTCTGGTCCAGTCAACTTTGAACAGGTCAAGCGGGAGGAAGACGGATCTACCCGCTGGAGGGCTGTTACAAGTTCCAAGGTCGTCCCAGCTCCCACCCCGATCGAGGACAAGGTCGCTGCGCTCATGATCCGAAAATCAGAAGCCGCCGCCAAGATGCACTGTCCTTCCCGTATGACCATCAAGGGGCAGACCATCGAACAGTGGTTGGAACCCAGCACGCTCACTTCGGAAAAGGCTCTCATGTTCATTCGAGCTCTGGGCGAGAAGAAACCTTGGGTCAAAGCTGGGGATGCTGCAGGGAGCAAACTGATCAAGGAGCTCGAATGGGGTGGTCGGATGTTCGGAGCGTTTTCGAGGGCAGAGACCGAGTTAATGCGAGAATGGGTCAGGAAGATGGCAGATGAGGAGGAAGAGGTCGTGACAGCCGGTGCTTACCGCGACTTTGTCGGAGAGTACAAGAGTCAGGCCGGCGCTCAGGCCGATTCGGCTTCAGTCTTTGGCAAGAGTCTCGATGAGCTGGTGTCGACAGATCTTTCCGTCAACCCAGCCGATATCGTCCGAGGTTGGAACGTCAAGGACATTGCCGGTGACGACCTCGAGACCCTCTTTACTCGACCCATACCTGCTACAACCACATCACCCCGCATGGACAACCTCCTCCCGCTCTGGTTCCTCTCGACCTCGCTTCTCGAACACTTCCCCCTTTCGCCTACCAAGTTTGCCACACCGCTCGGGATGACAGTCTTACGCCTGCTCCGCTCGCAGCTCGGTTTCGGCGCGCTGCATCACCAGCAAGACATTTGCGCTGGGATCGACGACGTCAAGTCGGAGCACGAACAGGGGGACATGGTTGGGCTGTGGGAACTTGGAGAGAAGCTGCATCTCGCCCGAGGTGAAGGGTCGCGGCCGATGGGGGACATTACCGATTTGAGAGTGCAGACCGAGCCGGCTTTGGAGGCTTTCTGCGCGGAGTTGATGGAATTGAGGACAAGACCTTATGCCAACGAGTCGGTCTTGCTCGGTCTCACGCTCGGCTTTGCGAGAGCCTTGCACGGAACCGGGTCGATGTCGAGTTTGTTGCAACACGAGGACGACCGCGCGACGTTGAACAGGATCGTCGAGGAAGAGCAGGAAGCCATCTTGGATCACGTACGGCGGAGAAGAAGAGAATCGATCAGAGACGACGACTCTTGGATCATCGGCTTTGGGAAAGGTTATGAGAGGGCTGTCAGGGCTGTACAGGATCACGCTTGAGTTTGGGTCTGAAAGCGGGACGACAAAGGGTCGCAATCCCATCAAAGCAAGAAAAGGTCATCGAGAAGTGGATAATAACAAACATCCTCACAAAAGCCCTGCAAAAAGGTAGTATCCGTTTCGGAAGACCACCTCATGTACATTAAACAGTCACGCATGACTCGTCTGTACCTCCCGCCTGTACTGCATATGCATATCTCGCCATCATCTCATCGTGTTCGTTCGAAATCGCCTCACCCCGCCATCGTCGAGTTGAGAGAAACCTAGAAAGTTGCGCAGCTAAAAGCGGCAGCCTGCGCGATATCGACTTTTTCCAGCGACCGAGGTGACCAGCCCAGGTTAATGTACCTAGCTTTCTGTCATCCCCCAACGCTATCAGCCAGCTACCCGCTCAGTGACATCACCTCTGAATATCATTTGCAGCTTGGCAACATGCCGAGGCTCTACCTACCCGACTTCGAGCTCATGTTCAACTTGTGCGCCATCGTTCGCTCGCTCATGGGCACCGGATCGGAGTGGGAGTGTTTCCATCCTGCCTTCAAGTATAACCCAACTTGTATGAGTACACCTCCTGAACATCTAACTCGCACGTTCTGGGGTTCAAACAGTCACGTGAGGCGTATATCTTTGAGACGAAAATGTCGTCATCGCTGAAATCGCTTCCGGAACAAAGTGACGAATCATCTCTCCGACCCGTGATCGATGTTTGTTGCGAAGGGGGAGAGGGGGGGAAGATGTCACAACGTCAGGCAAACCACTACTATCGAGTACTATTGCAGCCACGCCCCCGACCTTCTAGCTACTGCTACCGCAGCGTCTCGTTTGGATCTCGATCGATCGCCAAATCTGCGTGATGTCGACGTTGTTCCTCGTGTCCGAGGTCGGTTACCGAGCCAGGTGACTGCCCTCGAGCGAGCGAGGGGCACGGAAGCAATTCCCTCCGAGGGAAGGTGAGGGGGAGGGCATCGAGTGGAGACACCGAGCTGGGGGAGTGCTAATTGCTAATTGCTAACCCTAGCGTACGTCGTCTCTCTAGATCTCTCTCTAGGATCTCTCTCTCTTTAGCTTCTTCATTCTCGACTCGGATTTCTACTTCTGCAAACCAAGCTCACAGTCAATCTCGTGCTTTCATACCACTCATCACACCTCGACACGATTCCCCGTGGAACCTAGCATCGACAAGCGCTCAACTAGATAATTATACTCATCCGCCATGTTGACCGATTTCCATGGAGCTAGCTCTGGCGAGAACATTACTCGCCAACAGGATGAGCAGGAGCCTCAGCAGCCTTATATCCGTGGTATCCAGGTGAGCCGGCGGGTGGCCTTGCCGCAGATGACTAGGTGAAGAAGAGGCTCAATGCAGATGCCGCGTTGAATTACGACAGGACCATGCCTTGATCGGTAACCTCAAGGTGAGTTAAGGCAGTATGATCAGAAACTCGAACATTACGACTAATACGGTATCTGTTCTGTTTTCTCGGTCTAGACCGCCGCGCTCATCTCGCTCGACGGAAGCGTCGAGCAGTGGTGTGTGCCTTACTTTGACTCCCCCTCGATCTTTGCAAGGTGAGCCTAGACTGTTTTCTGCCCGAACTCGTCCTTCTCCAAGGGCGTACGTTTGGGTTAACCGAGCATGTTTTGCCCCTCAGGATCGTGGACGCCAATAAGGGAGGTCACTGGTCTATCTCTCCTCGATGGAAGTTTAGGACCAAGCAGCAGTACATGCCCCAGTCCAACGTGTTGGCCACAAAGTTCCTCAACGATGACGGTATTGGGATGGTCACTGGTAAGCCCGCTGCACGATATACTCTTAGCCTTCAAACTGATCATGAACCTTTACTCCGCGGTTCCCTCTCCCTAGATTACCTCATTCCTAGAGAAGCTTGCGAGACCGCGGGTCACTCGGCTCATCTGACCTGGATGATCCGTAAAGTCCACGTTATCCGTGGCAAAGTTCCCTTCCGCATGGAATGTGCCCCGGCTTTCAACTATTGTCGTGATAAGCACGAGACTGTGTTCGAAGAGGACTCGACGGTCGCCTCGGAAGCCCGAAACCACACCGAAAAGGTCTCGTTCAAGTCCAAGGACTTGACTATGGATCTCCGTTATTTCGTGGAATCCGACGACAAAGAGGTGCCTCTTCCCAAAATCAAGCTCGAAAAGGCCAACCTCGACCGAGGACTCTTAGGGGAATCGATCGTCAGCGAGTTTGATTTGGAAGAGGGACAGACGATCACCTTTTTGATGCGGGAAGAGAGCAAGCGCGAGTACGCGAACAAGGAGCATCAGAAGGTTGCCAACCCGAGCGAGGAGAGGGCGGCCGAGTTGGGCATCAGTTTGAAGGCACTCGTCAAGGGGGCTTCCTTGTTGCGCCCCGAGGATGATCCGATCATCACCAAGGTGGGTCCTGCAGGCAAAGTCGGCTTAGGTACATGTAAGCATACCGGCTGATTCGAACTTGCCGATCATCTTTGTAGGAACTCTTGGACAACCTCGAACGCGTTAGTCGTCCTGCCATACATGCTCTTCTCCGCTGTGTCTTCCCTATCTGATCCACGTACAATCCACAGCAAACCTTGAGGTTCTGGCAAAAGTGGATTGGCAAGAGCAAGTACAAGGGTCGATGGAGAGAAGACGTCCACCGTTCGGCCTTGACCCTGAAGATGCTCACCTTCGAGGAGACCGGAGCTGTCGTAGCGGCGCCCACTTTCAGTCTGCCCGAAGCTGTCGGAGGACCTAGGAACTGGGACTACCGGTACACCTGGATCAGAGACACCTCTTTCGTGCTCTACGCGTTGATCCGTCTCGGATTTACTGAAGAAGCCAACGCATTCATGGACTTTATCTTGTGCCGACTGAAAGAACGAAACTCCGATGGATCGCTACAAATCGTGTACACGATCCATGGTGGCAAGGACCTCGACGAGGAAGAACTGACCCATCTCGCCGGTCACAAGGGATCCACACCCGTCCGAATCGGAAACGGTGCTGTAGATCACTTGCAATTGGTCAGTTTGGTATCGCTCGGTCTGCCAGGTAGACAAAGTCTGACTTACCTTTTCGTACACAGGACATCTACGGAGAATTGATGGACGCCATCTACCTGGCACAGAAAAACCGGTAAATACCGAGCTTCTGTCCGCCGCCATTGAGGTCAAATTTGCTAATGCTATGATACGCCATTCCGGTCCTTTCTAAACGTAGACCGCTCGTCAGTGCCAAGACTCGGATCCATGCCGATATACAATAGCTGATGGCGCATTTCTCTGGTTTGAGTAGAGCTGGGAAGGCTGGGTTGCTGTCCGACAGGTCATCGACCATGTCTGTACTCAGGTCGGAGAGAAAGACCTCAGCATCTGGCAAGTCTGCTATCCTTGATGCCTCTTGACGACCCGCTAACAACAATAGCGGCTCTGTAGGGAAGTACGAGGCGAGAAGAAGAATTTCCTGTACAGCAAGGTCAGTATCGCGTTTGCCGATTCCCATGGCTGCACACCGGCTGATAAGCATTCGCTCCATGTAGGTTATGATGTGGTGAGTATGTCCGTGCAACACCACCAGTGCCGTGATTTGACGTTTTGACTTGATATGAAGGGTCGCGATCGACCGCGGCCTTCGATTGGCGGAGAAACGAAACCTTCCCTGTCCCAACCGTGTGAGGTGGTTTGAAGCCCGAGACAACCTCTATGAAGAGGTTCAGACCAAAGGATGGAAGTAAGTTCAGGGGGTCCGTGCATGCCATCTATCCACAAGCTGAATGTAAAGCTTGCGTTGTCAGTGCCGAGAAGAAGTATTACGGACAGAGCTACGAAGACCTCGACATCATGGATTCGGCCGTCCTGATCATGCCTCTCGTCTTCTTTACGAGCGCCGCTGACGAGCGATTCAAGTCTACTCTCGATGCCATCCTGAGGACACCGGAGAAGGGAGGTCTTACCGCCAACAACACCGTCTTCCGTTATGACACGGAAAAGGCCGACGACGGTATTGGCGGAGAGGAGGGGGCGTTCTCCATGTGCACGCTCTGGGCTATCGGTTAGTACTCCCGCTGAGGTTCAACATTCAACATCTGACGGCTCACGCTACTTGCTGAACGCTCTATCAGAGGCCTTGAGTCGAGTGGGATCTTTCGGAAACAAGGCCTACCTGCAAAAGGCCGTGGAGATGTTCGAGGATTTCCTAGGTAAGCATGTTCGTGGGTCGGATCTCGATGTGACATCTGCTAACGATTTTGCAACTTTTCTAGGTTACGGGTGAGATAGCATTCTCATGAACTTGGGTAACATCGTGCTGACGTTGCATCGATCCTGTAGCAACCACGTCGGCCTTTTCAGCGAGGAGATCAGCCGAGGAGGGGAAGGTTTGGGTAAGTCAAGCGTGCTTGCCGCATCGTAGATCCGCTCGACTGATTACATATTGCTATTCCCAGGTAACACACCTCAGGCGTTCAGCCACGTCCAGCTCGTTAGTCTTTCCATATGCAATGCTACCGACGGAACCAGCACGCTGACAACCTGCCATCACTTCACTTCGCAATCTCTACAGATTTCATGCGGTAAGTTCAGCTCCATGACTTAGACAGTCATATGCATAGCTCCTGAACGTAACAACGTGTCTTGCAGCTTACAACCTCGATCGATGCCTCGAGGGCAAGTGGTCGGGTTCTTAAACTCCCGCATAATTGCGTTTTGTATCCCAAAGACCTTCCAACAAAAATCTGTATCATGCATGCTACCAGAGCATTGCGTAATTCGTATTCATTGGCACTAAAGATACACTGTACTCGAGGATATCGCCGCAGCTCCCTCACGACTCGTATTATTATTATTGATACAATCTTCGGGCAAAATCGAAAAACCTTGATTGAGAAATCGAAAAGGGCGCTCACGTGTAGCGGATAATCACTAATTCAACCCGGAAGAAGACATCCCGAAGTGGTAGATGGGGTGCGGCTGGTAGTATGGAACGGCAGCAGCATTTCCCAGGGCCGCGCTGTCGAAAGCGATGTCGTCTGGCTCTTGCTTGGCGCGACGCTTGGATCGATCTTGATTGGGAGACCGGAACTGAGGAGGGGAGGAATACTCGTCGCTGGCATTACCCTCGTATTCGTCGCCGGAAAAGTAGCCCATGCCAGTCTCACGAGACCTCGACTGGTCGGGGTGTTGATCGTGCGTCTGCAAGGCGAGACATCTCGTTAGTCCGCCGTTCTTCGATGTGATATTGCGGAACTCTCAACTCACCCGCACGTGACGTCGCATATTGGAGAGAACCGAGAATCTCTTGCCGCATGAGAGGATCGGACATTGGAACGCTGAAGAAGGTAATGAATTCGTTCGCGAACCGTCAGCATTGCCAAACGCCACTACCATCTCGGTCGCGGAGACAGACTCACGTTTCGCGCCAGTGTGAACGGCTTGATGAGTCTGCAGTGCAGAGGGCCTCGCAAACACCTTGTGGCAAGTCGGGCATCGGTGTTCCTTGCTGGGTCTCGCGGTCGACGAACGTTTCATGATCGGCCTCCCGAGCGGGTCAAAGGAATTCTCGTATTGCGCCATGAAAATGTCGCTGCTTGTCGGCCAATGACGGCGAGACGGGCCATCATCGGTGGGAGGAGAGCTTGCGGGGAGACCTTGTCCGTCGCTATTCACCATGTTCGTCGGGGCCGGAAGGATAAAGTGGGGCTGAGAGATCGATCCAGGAAGCTGTCGAGGAGGGAGAAACTTGAACTTGTCCCCCATCGGAGCCGAACTCGGAGTCGTCATCAGATGAGCTGGACGTCGGCTCGTTGGCGTGGGTGTGGCGTAGACATGCGCGGTCATCATCTGCTGCTGGGGCTGCTGGTGATAAGAGGGCGGATCGAGATGCCAAGAGGGAGGCGAATCGTAGCTGTTCTTAATATGAAAACCCATTGTAGGGTATGACATGACCTGTCGACCTGTCGAAGGCGTCATGGCCGTCGTATAGGCCGCGCTCGAGGCAGAGGATAACGGCGGCGGGTTACGCGCTTCCCAAGATTGGCTGGAATGAGGAGGCGCACGAGACGGAATCGGCACGGGCGTCGACGGCATCATATTCGGATGAGTGTCGGGAGGTTGGTACGACCCTGGACGGTCGTTCATCGTGATCGCCATGCCAATAAAGCCGGCTGATGGCGCATCGAAGCTACCCATCTTGGAGTCCATCGAATCGCTCTGTTGGTGGCCACGAGTCGCGGAGGTCTGATACCTCGTCGGCCCGAGCGAATTGGTTCCCCAGATAGATTGCTGCTCCCTCTGGTGAGAGGATCGGGGAGCTGGAGAGCTGGAGAACCCATCGAAGTCGCCACCGGGGATGATATGCTCGCCCGGATCTTGCCTAAAGGCGTTCCCAAAGGACCGTCCCAAAGAAGACGAGTAGGATGTCGAGTTCGATTGGAAACCTGCTACTTGAGGCGAGTCTCGAGGCTGGGGCACTTTGAAGGTGAAATGAGTCGGAAGAGGTGGCGAAGACATCGTGCCTGCAAGCTCGCCAGCGTCAGCCGATGTCAGCAATCGGGCAGTACAGCACAATGACATACTTTGTTTGCAAGATGATGAACGGGACCGGTGAAGAAATGTCGATGTACGTTCGCTTAGAAAAGATCGACGACTCTGATCAGGACAAGATTTGAAGGACACAAGAGGATCAGCCTGAGTAAACAAAAGATCTCCACGTCAGAACCAAAACGCAGTTTCCTATATACACCTCGTGGGCGCTTTGAGGCGATTATGGAACGTCAGGCTCGGAAGGATGTTTGATGCCTTCATGCCAGTATGAAAGGACTTTGTCGGTCCTTTCCCTTTCTAGTATATATGCCTGAAGAGGCATGAAAGGACGGTTGTCTGCACAGCTTTTCGCTGAAGAGATTTTGCGGCGGCTCCCACACATGCGTGCTACGGCTTATCAAGACTCGAGCGGTTGTCGACCGTAGGCTCCCGTCGATACGAAGAGAATGATCGGAAACACGGGGCGAAAGGCAGGGGTCGAATTGAAGTACGGCAGCGATGTAGCTCACCTTGATACGAAAGAGATCTGCCTTGCGCCGGGATCTAGTAATGTGATGGTCTATTGCAAGGCGATGACGATCAGTTCCGCGATTTCAAGTCACCTTATCAGGCAGTACTCACTTTTAAAGAGGTTTCGGTCGTAGAGGAGAACCGCTTAGGCACAAGGAGTAGCAGGTGATCAAGTGTGGCTAGATGAGACTACATGATCATGTAGCGGTGGCGGAAGGCGATGTAGGAAGAGAAGAAGCGGAGACAGGGCCTTCAGTATGGAGCATCTGCTCTCACAACTCTTCGCCACTCACCGAGAAGCCCTGTCCAGAAGTATGAAAAGTCGAATGTCGATGAACCTTTGGCGTTTGGTGTGGATGATCGCGTCGCTTGCTCGGAATGTGAAGAAGGAATGTCTCTCGTCACCAGGTGATACGCGATACGGTAGGTCGCGATCTTCTTCCTTTGACACGGGAACAACGGATCTAGATCTGATCGCGTTTGAGAGGTGGCGAGATCGGTTGTACGATGTTCTGGTGATGAGAGTAGATGTTGATGTCGTCGATGGGATGAACGGGATGGATGGGTGATGTGCGTTTCGACTTTCGAAGAAGGTCGATCGACTCGCGTGAAGTAGACAAAGGTGACGACGGGAGGAGATTCTCGGAAGGAGGGGCGACGATGATGATGGTTGGTTGATATATCTCTTCTCTTCGTCCAAAGGTACACTCAGCCGAACGTGTGTACGTTTGACCCGATGACCCGATAGAGATGATTCGACTTTTTCGATCAATCGAGGACAGGACGGCCAGCGGTTCCCGACAAGATCGAATGATATCCACCTCGAGTGTGTCTGATCGATCGTCCTTTGGATCTGCAAGCGATAAAGGTCCAGGTTCGAGTGCCGGGCCGAGAAACGAGGGGAAGGAAGCGGGCGAGAGATGTCGAAGGAAGGGATCGTCCGTTGATATCGATGATCCAAAGGGAGGCCAAAGTATCAAAGGAAGGGGAAAGGGGATCGAACTTGATCAGCTTCGAGTGCGCATGACTATATACAACATGTGGGAGTCTTTGACCAACGGGAAAATACCTCTGTCCTCTTGTTCTTTGCTACTTGTAGGTGCAGTTTCAACTGTCGTCTTTGTCCACTTCAGGCAAACTGAGCAAGTCGCACAACGGCGAAGTCCGAGGACAATAAGGTGGCGTCGACAAAGGAACTGTCGATATCGACTTGAAAAGATCCAAAGGACCCAGATATCCCTCGCTTAGACGAGTTCGACCAAGTTACCTTTGTATATTCCGGACATTCCATACCTCTCGGTCATCCCCGAATCCTCTCTCTCTCTCTCTCTCTTTCAGCCGCGGGTACCAGCCCGCAAAGCTGGTCTCGTGGGTCAGCAGCTCAGCAGATCAGGTAGATCCATTTTGATGAGAGCCCCGGCAGGAGTACGAGAGAGTAGATAAGCCGAAACGCGCGATCAAGGGGTCTACCCGAAACTGCACGACCCATCATCATCAATTCGGCTCGGCCTTCTCGCATCGTCATCATCTTTCACGGAATCACGGCCGAACTCCGGGATTGGAAGATCAGGGAAGGCCGAGAATCATAGGCCTGATGGGCGCGAGAGCGATGGAATACTGAAGCACGCGACGGTTCTGGGGTGGATCTTTTCTGTTGCTAGATCTGATCTCACGTTGAAACACCAGCTAGCCGAGGATAGGGGCCCGGCATTCTTCATGTCTTCACACGGTCTTGTCGTTACGAACGTTCTCAGCTTTATGCGAACCTTGTCCATCTCATGCTCATGATCGACATTACGATGAAGAGGACGACCAGGATTGTGGGGACATATGATCATCAATCCTTGCTCTGCTCTGACGTAGCGAAATCCACCTGGAAGCCTAAAATCCAAGGATGACGCGCGTGGCACGCCGACAGAGTTTGATGAGCCGTCTGCCACGGATTTTCGCTCGGAGCCTCAGCCAGCAGCATCGCCGAACCCCTATCCACACGGTTCCGGCCGACAGAAGGAAAAACTCACGTTTCCACCCGATCAACTTCCATAACACTACCCGAGACTTTTCTCTTTTCTTCTCGTCGACCATGATGAAACTCGGATCAGACTGCGGAAGCTGATTATCTGACGCGAGAGATTGTTCTCACGGATCCGGCTTTTGGCCGTCCCACGTGATCTGGACGATCATATTGGGTTGGGTTGTTCGGGCCGATCTTCATGACCAAGAGTCTAGATCGGTGACATCGTCTCAATCGCCAGGACAGGGATGAGGTCGGGGTGCGCTTACCAACCAACCTCTCTCGTATCGTGGCGTGAATCTTGAACCGGCGCTTTCGGCCTCTTGGCGCTTTGCTTCGCGGTGTTTGAGACGATGACATCTGAGGCGCCTGGCAATCAATCACGAGTGTCAAGTGGATTCAGGAGGTAGCTGGCCAGACTGTTCGCCAGCGTGTCAAGAGACGAGAGAGGTTCGGATTGTGTAGCTGTGCGCATGCTACTGCTTATGCACCTACTGTACTGATTCGTGTATTCAAGAAGCCCCCCTACTAACTTTCTTCAACTCGAATACTTCAGCTTGCAAGAGCGAACGGTAGGATGGGTGATTCTCAGTCAGTGTTTGAGAACGTTGACCTTCTTGTGTTGCAATGGAAGCTTGTCTTTCGATCTTCAGAGCCGATTTGCAGCGTTGGGTGAATCAGCGGAGCTGAGAAGGGTTGTCCGACGAGTCACGAAAGATAACCGACCGTCTTGGAAGGGATGAGGCTGTTCAGTAGGGAGGTTGGAGTCCTTGATTCTTGATCCTCGGCCAATTCCCTCATCATGATATGCGGTATATTCTTGCGTGTCTCCCGCCCATCCTTGTCCCTAAATGGCGCTGTCCTGAGATTGACAGGGAGACGACGAAACGACGAAACCGGATCAATACACGTTGCATCATGCTGAATGCTGACATCCCCGACTCTCACACAAGTCCTTATCCATATACTTGCACGAGGCCTTTCTTGAGCTTCGACCTGCTTCAACACCCCCTGAAACTCGCAAAACGACATAATTCATCATGTTTCGTAGCCTTTTGGACGGCTGTGTATCGAGGGATACTTTATAAGTACAAGGAATGTCGTAAAAGATGCGCCAACTGTGCGGTGATCAATGCCCAAAACCCAACGAATGCTCGAGAAGAAATTATAGACCGGGACGAGACACGGTCGACACTGTTCAGGAAGAGAATCGCTGAACCAAGGCGGCCCTCTCCTCGGAAGACAAGCTCTCCATGATCCTGGCGAATCCAGCCAAGGTACCGTCTCGGTCCGAGTCGGCAAACTCGACGATCTTGTCCGAGATGTACTGGCTCTTGAGCTCGGCGGCGTACTGGGAGACGATGTCGGTGTGCGATTCGATCCACTGTGCAACGCCCTTGTCGGACTTGGCGTCGGCGTCAACGAGAGAAGCCAAAACGTTGACCCTTTCGGGGTACGACATGTTGGGGTGAGCCACGCCGAGCTTGTTGATCATGTGCGACTCGTTCAATCTCCTCCTCAACCTCCAGTAGAAGTGTCGACGAGCCTCAGGCCAATCGGCGGTAGTGGCACATCCCTTGGCCTCCATTCGTCCGGCTCGGTCGTGAAGATCCGAGTACAAGAGCGCGATTTGCTGGTAGGTGGGCCACAAGTGTTGCTCCCTAGCGAGAAGACTCTCCTTGGCGGCGGATTGCTCCTCGGCCGACTTGGTCTTGTCTTCAGAGGCAGCCTTCAACGAAGCGTACTCCTCGTCCAACCTGGCCATGGTCGCCAAGACCTTGTCCTTCCTGTACTTAATCTCGACGATACCCTCGGGCTCCAAGACACCTCCTCGAGCGTCCTTGTCGGCGTACATTTCCATGTGATCGGGGTTGATCGAAGGGTCCAAGACGACCCACGCACCTCCACGCAGCTCTCCGTTGGGGACGATGTAGACAAAGACCGGCTGCTTGTAGGCGCTGAGACCGTCGACAATCTTGGAACCTTGCTTCAAGATCTCGTCGTACATGTCCTGCTGACCACCCGAGAATCCTCGCCAGTTGGCAAAGATCATCAAGGGGAGGCCTTCTCGGTTCATGTCGAAGATGGCCTGAGCGGTCTTGTAGGCCGAGTTGGGGTACCAGACCTGGCCGGCTTCCATCAACCTCTGTTCCACCGAAGCCGGGTTGGCCGGATCGGCAGGTACGATTCTCTCGATGGTCCTGGTCTCGACGGCGATGCATCCCATGGGGATACCACCCAATCGAGCACGACCGACAACGACTGTCTGAGCCCATCCGCCCAAAGTCTCCTGGAAGGATCCCTTGTCGAAGAATCCAGAGAGCCACTGCTCACCAGCATCCGTCTCTTCCATCTTACCCTCGATGAACCATCGGGGATCGTAAGGTCCCTTGGGAGGGCAGTACGTGATGGGTCGGTCCCAGGTGTCGTCCGAAGGGAAGATGGGGATGGCCTTGCCCTTACGGTCAGGGACGTACGAGAGCCACTGCATGATTTGCAGAGCTCCGTCGAGGTCACTATCGGCAGTGAGATGAGAGACACCGTTCTTGTACATGATCTATGTTAGAGCGCCATCAATATCAGCTCGAGCCGTCCGAGATTCGATCCTTGAATTCGACAGAAAGCTCACCTGAGTGCCACCAAGTTGCAAGTTCGAGGTGTACACCTCTCGACCAAGAACCTTGTTGAGAGCGGGAGCTCCGGTCAAGATGATAGGTTGACCCTCGACCTGGACAGTTCGGTGTCCCAACCTCAACAAGTATGCTCCGATACCGACGGAACGGGCCGAGACCAAGGAGATGGTAAAGATGTCATCGTAGGCTCGCGAAGTGGCACCGGCGATGAGACCAGAACCCTTCAAGCACTCGACTCCGAGACCGTTCTTCAGACCGATGATTGCGGTGATCTGGTGTCGCCTCTCGCCATCGACCTCAATCTCGTTTGTGACGACGCTTCCAGCTATGGGAAGAGAGAAGAGACGGATTAAGTTAGCAAGAGATTATGGTTATACCGTCTGTACAAGCAGCTTACCTCCGTTGTCCTTGAGCTTTGCCATGTTTTCGGAGGTAAGGTAGAGGTACTTGATACCCTTCTCAGGGCGAGAAGCGTCGTTGAACGCGCAGCTGAACAAGCTGATGATCTCCTCAGCCAAACCGATTCGGGCTCCAGAGTTGGCCGACAAGTAGATCCTAGGCAGACCCAAGCTCTGGGCAAACTCGGTGACCTTGTAGAAGAAGTCGTCTTCCGAAGGTCCGAAGGAACCGATCTGGAAGGTGATGTCGTTGGCGACAACGACGACTCGTCGACCCTTGGGGTATTCGGGCGTCTTGACGGTGAAGACCCAACCGACCATACCGCAACTGTTCATGCCGGGAGGTCGGGGAACCTCTTGCAACTCCTGGTTCTCATCCAAAACGAGCTCATGGGCAACCAACAACTCGGAGGGCTCCTTGAGTCCGGGGTAGAACTCGGCAGCCTTCTCCCAAACCCGTCGGATAGCCTGACGGAACAGGTCGGGGAAGTCGTACACGTACGTGGTGCCGACGACGTGCGCCTGGTATCGCTTGGGTTGCAGCGAGTTCTTGGTGGTGTAAGGGAAGTTGACACGCTGCAAGTGGAACTGACCCTGGGGTCCGATAGACTTGAGCATAGCAGGACCCTTGTCCGTGGCAACTTCTTGGTAAGCCTCGTACTTGACGACGAAACCGCTGACGTTCTCGATGAACGATCGAATAGGGGTCTGGATGCCATCCTCGTCCTCGATGACGATACGGATTTCGGCCTGGGTGACACGCAGACGCCACAATCGCTTTCCGTGACGCTCGATGAATCCAGCGAGAGCTTCTTGGACGTCGTCGAAGGAGACGGGCAAGGTGTGAACACAATTGACCATAATGTGGTTGCAGTCGGCTTGACGATGCTGGCTACTATGGATCTCCAAGGTGTCCAATACCGAGTTGACCAGTCGGTCAGTCTCGGAGATAAGGTACTCCTGCACCTTCATGCCACCACGGAGACGGCCAGGTCGGAGCAGGGCTCGAACGAAGAATCGAATGTCCGACGTGTTTTCACGACCCACGGCCTGGTAGACGTGGATCTGCCTGTTCGACGAATCCTGGGGCGTGATGGTGAAGTTGGACAATCGACCCAACTCGAGCTGGTAAGCGAGAGCAGGCTCAATGTTCCTGATGGCTTGCTCTTCTCGCCAGACGTGATCGGAATCGCTCGGTCGAAGGGTGTAGTACCAGGGGTACTGGTTCTGCCTGCAAATGAGCAAGGTGATACGTCGGATACCCTTGGCAGTGATCTTGGAGTCGTTTTCATTGACCAGCTTGGCAAATCGCTCGGAGACTTCTTGGTCGTTGACGGCGTCCCCGTACGCTCGAAGAGCAATGTTGAGGACATGGGGGACCTTGGCGTCCTTGCCGTGCTTGTCGGTGAACTCGGCATAGTTGAAGGCAGGGTACAAAGCCAAGAGCTTGGAGAGACCCTTCTCGATACCGCTAAAGTCGTTGTAAGAGGTCATTAAACCGAATCGAGTGGGTTCGATCTGGTTGCGGTTGATGGTATAGCTGAGATCACTCATGCTACCGATTCGCGAGACATCACGCGACGAGTCGACTCGAGGGGTCATGGGTTCGCCAGACGGGGTGTGTCCGAGCTTGAAACGCCAGGTGACGACGTGAGGGTCACCACCGCTAACCGAGTCGCCCGCCTCGTAATCGAGATGCATGACGTTGTAGACACGGTAAGCTCGTCGAACGTAGACCTCGAGGGCAGCGAGGGCGACCCAAGCATCTTCGTGGTCGAAGAAGTTGTGCAAAACATCGTAGACGGTGAAGCGCGAGTCGGTGAGCTCTTGCAAGACGTCGGTCGACGGCAATCGCTGGGCGAGGCCGCTCTCTCCATATTGGTGAGTCGTGATGGACGACTTGAGGATCTGAAGCATCTGAACGGATCGCTCTTCGAAGGTGGGAAGACTGGCGAGGACCAAGACTTCACGCGCGGCGAGAGCAACCTTGGTGGTAGGCCTGCTTTCCAGCGCAGCCAATCTCCTAAGAGCAGGATTGATCCTCTTGTCGTTGAGAGCGGCGAGCCCCTTGTTCATGTTGGCCTTGATGACATCCAAGATGGCAAACACGAGCTTGTTCTTGAGAGCAACCTTGCTGTGAGACAAGATCAACTTGGCCACAGCGTCGACATCCTTGTTGTCTTCTCTGAGCTTGAGTACGGCCTGTTCCTCGGTCTTGCCCTGGCTGAAGGGCTCCTCGATAGCGGCATAGGCGTTGAGGAGCTCGGCCCAGATCTGCCATTCGTGCGACTTGAGACCACCTTCGAACGCGTTGACGATGGCTTGGAGAGGGTAGACGGAAGCCCTAGCAGCGGTCCTGTCTTTAGGCGCAACACTGTCCTCCATGAACAGCTCGATGGCCTTGCGGAGCTTCTTGGTGGGGAACTCTTGCTGGAGATCCTTGGCAGACTTGATAATCTCACGGACTTCCTCCTCGAGCTTGGCGGGCATACGTCCGCTCAAAGTAGACAGCACGTCAGAGACGTTCGAGTAGGGCAAGGTCGGGTCCTGCAAAGTCGTTTCGACGATACGCAGGGCGGACTGGACCTGAGCGCTGTTGTCGTAACCGGCCAAGTTGTCGTAGAGGATCTCGAGCTGCTCACGCAACCTTTGGTGAGGCTTGGAACCGTAACGACCGTGCTGCAGCTCGAAAGTGGGCAACAAACCCTCGAAGGGCTTGGCAAACTTGACCTTGGTAGGGTCGTCGAGAGTGAGGATTCCCAAGAGTTCTCCCGAAGAGATGGTACCACCGGGCTGCTTCATGAACTGGGCGATACCGCTCTCGCTGGCGGTGACGGGCAAGATCATCTTCATGACCTCGATTTCGGCATAAGCCTCGCCAGCATCGACGTGATCTCCCGACTCGATCATGTAACGAACGAGCTTTCCGGGACTGGGGCTTCGCAGCTGAGTCGGGTCCTGCTCGTCCTCGATCATGCAGGTCTTCGAGTCGACCGAGACGACGAAAGCACCGACTTCCTCACGGAAGTAGACGGTGTGAGAAGCACCAGCAAGGGTGATGAGCAAACCACCATCGCTCAGGCTCCTGGATCCGACAAAGATCCTGCCTCCGTTCAAGTAGAGGGTAAACGAGTTGGGCGAAGCCTTGGCCATGGCAAACGAGTACCGGGTGTTGTCGTAGATGAACTCGGTCTTGAAGAATGTCTGGAGCGTATCCTTGGAAGGAACCTGACCCTTTTCCAGAATGGCCTTGTAGTTGGCCATCGATGCTTCGTAGGCGACGTGAGCCTTGACGACAGCACCGGCGATCACGGCAAGGGTGGTATCAGGCCTCTCCGAGGTCATTCCCTCGGCGATCAGACCGTCCAACCATTGAGTAGTCAACGTGTTGTTCTCGAATTCGGGCTTTTCCAGCAGCTTGATGAGGTATTCAACCGTGGTCCTGAACTCTCCTCGAATGCTCAATTCCTTGAGCGCGACGACCATCGACTTTCGAGCCTCGCTACGTTCTTGTCCATAGGCAAAGATGTGACCGAACTGAGAATCGGCATACTCGTGCAGACCTCCGGCAGAGGAGACGGAAAAGTAACCCCAGACGTTCGAGTTGGACCTAAAGTTGAGCTCGGTCAAGTTACCGGAAGAGGGCTTGAACCCGGCGTCGGGGTTCTCTCCCGTAATTCGACAGGCAACGACGTGACCTTTGGGCTTGGGCTTTCGCTGAGTGTTGGCCGAGTCGGGGTTCTCGCCGTCAAAGTCGATCTCGGAAACGCCGTGGGGGTCGAGTCCGTACAAGGTCCTGATATCCCTGATCCTGTGAAGGGGGATACCCATGGCGATCTGCAGCTGGATGCTGGGAATGTTACATCCACTGACCATCTCGGTAGTAGGATGCTCGACTTGAAGACGAGGGTTGAGTTCCAAAAAGTAGAACGAGTCGTCCGAGTGACTGTAAAGGTACTCGACGGTACCGGCACTGACGTATCCGACCAACTTGGCCAACCTGACCGCGGCCTTTTCCATCTCTTCGAACTTTTCGGGTCGAGCGATGGTGACGGGGGCTTCCTCGATGATCTTCTGGTGACGACGTTGAACGGAACAGTCACGACCAAAGAGCGAGATGGCGTTTCCGTACTGATCGGCGATCAGCTGGACTTCCAAATGACGGGCGGACCCAGCGAGCTTCATGATGAAGATGGGCGAGCCTGCGATGAACCCCCTGATGGAATCAGATACCTCCTTTTTCAGATCGCACACTGAACTCGCCCGCACTGACCTGGAACTTCGCTAAAGACGGCCTGGAAGGCGACCTTGAACTTTTCGGCCGAATCGACCATTCGGATACCCTTTCCACCACCTCCCTCACTGGCCTTGATCATGACGGGCCAACCGATCTCTTCGGCCTTTTGCAATCCTTGTTCCCACGAAGTGACACAGGCGTTGGCATAGGCCTCGTCGGGGACGGTCACGTATCCTTGGTCGGACATGACCGTGTCCGAGATTCCGGTCCCGGACCAAGGCATACAAGGTACCTGAGCGTGCTGGGCGACGATGGTAGAGGAGATCTTGTCTCCCAGGGAACGCATGGCGGATCCAGGAGGTCCGATGAAGATGATCTTGGACTTGGCCAAGGTTTCGGGCAGACGAGGGTTTTCGGAAGCGTGACCCCTATTCAACACAGTCAATGGTAAGTATGTCAGTCGTCGTGTACCAGGCCTCTCAGATAATTCTCGTCGAGCAGAGCAGCCACCTACCAACCAGCCCACACGGCATGCACTCCCGCTCGCTCGGCAACATCCACGATGAAATCTACGTTGGCGTAGTTGTTGTTGTTGCTGCCTCCGGGTACCTCGACGTATCGATCCGCCATCCTGATGTACTCGGCGTTGATCCTCAGATCCTCTGGAGTGGCCATGACGGTAAACTCGACGGCGCGTTCGTCGCCAAAGGTCTCGTAGGACCATTTCCTGATCGAACGGATCTCCTTGACGGCGGCGATACCGTTGTTGGCGATGAGGACCTGCATGCAAATTGGACGTTAGGTTCTGGTCAGCACATCAAGTCTTCGGTTTGAACAAGTGTAGGAACCTGTTGGCTGACCTTGGTGATAACGGTGTGACCGTTATGGGCCTTGACCCAGTCTGGGACCTTGCCGGCGGGGGCATTCTCGAGGGCATTCCCACCTGTGGAATGAGACCATGGGGTCGAGTTTGTTTATGAAGAGGGTCAACACCTGAGCTTAACATTCGCATGTGCTCGTGACCAGACGTTCACAACTCACCGATAAAGTGTGCTACTCGACCATGGTCGTAGCGATCGGCCGAACCGTTAACAGCAGCCATGTCTGTCTCGTTCCTTCTCCCCTGATTTGCTCGTCTAGCTTGATGTCGTCGTCCTCTTCAACACCGAGTATATAGGACTGTCGTCTGCGACCCGTTTTCTGGTAGGGGGTTGCAGTGGTATAGATTGTTGCGTGGTCGTTAAAGGAGAGAAATCGATGATCCCCCGGGTTTTTGGTGTACGACTTTTGGGGTTGATGTGGATTCCACTCCGAACGGGGGGTATAGGCGTTAGGTCCCGTTTACACTTCGCTTTCAGGCCAAAAGATCACGAGTGGAGGATGATCAGAAGGAGGTGAAGGAAGGGTGAGGTGTTGATGGATGTTCGACGAGCTGATGATGATGGAGGATACGAATATGCTCTTCGTGAGTGGGATTTGGGGAATGAACTCGCTCGATCGTTAGCTGCCCTAGCCCAAACATTCCCGCGGCCACTGCTTCACTCTGCCCCGCCTGCCGCTGCCGCCGCCGCCGCCTCGCTCGGCCACTTCCCCAAACCATTTCGCAAGGGTGATGGGAACGGAAGCAAATCGACCCAAGAATAGCGGCATCTCATTTCCCCCAGACCGCCGTGCCGTCACCTGTACGGCATTAGTGACGGCATGCGAGAGGCGAATACCGCTCGAAGCGCATCGAGTCTGGCCCTCGGCTCCCGGCTGCGCTCCCATCGACCTCGAGTGGACCCAATCAAAGACGGGCCATCCCGCCGCGCCGCTCGACGACTTGCCCGAGGATCGATTTCGAACTCGATCTGATGGGTTCGGAACGATACACATAGAGCTGCAGACCACATATCATAAACCTCTCACGCTAGACCCTCCATAGAACGAATACACTGCAAAAATGGTCTGGGGTGCTCTTTCCTTCTCGCAAGTCTAGCCCCGGTCGTCGATCCAAGGGGTGCACAAAGTTTACACGACACAATCCCATCCATGTTTTTGACAGTCTCGCTCCTCAAATCAAGACGTACTCGCCTTCGCTCTTCAAGGCCCTCAAGCCCGTCGCCGAGTTCTACGCCCGGGCTGCCGGTCACCGATCGATGGGATTGAAGTGGGACGACCTGTTGATGGAGGAGCGTGAGGATGTGCAAAAGGTGAGCCGAACCCGCCTCTCGAGATCGAAGGTCGACGTTGCCTTTCACATGGGCAAGTCGATTTTACCGTCTTGTTCTCGCACTGACATTTCTGAACCTCTGTCGATCGTAAATGTTATTCACGATAGGCCATCTCCCGTCTACCTGAGCGAGAGCAGTACGACCGTGCTTTCCGAATCAGGACCGCCGTGCAGCAATCCATCCTCCACAAGGGTCTTCCCAAGGACCAGTGGGTTACCCCTGAGCAGGTGCGTCTGGACCATGTTCTGATTTCTGCAAGTAGAATGAGCACGACCGGGGCTGACCGTATCCTCTTGTATCTCTTCTTCCAATCGACCCCACGATGGTTCTACCTCGAATTAAACAATCGCTTTCCCCCCTATCTTCGTTCCCGTTTCCGTCTCGCCCTTACAATGATACCGAACTTCACCTCTCCGCTATCTTCGTCCGGCTTCATAATTCATAGGACACCCGATACATGACCCCCTACGTCCTCCAAGTCGAAGCCGAGAACAACGAGCGGGCATACTACGACAACATCGAGGTCGAGAGGAAGAAGTAGATGTCCTCCCGTATAGCAAGAGGATGATCTGCGGGGGTGCGGTCGGGAATGGGTGTAGGTGTAGAGCACAGAAGTTGTGCCGTGTGATATACATAACGATTTCGGGACTCGGACGGTTTCCCCCGGGAAGATCTGCGTTCTTGACGTCGATAAAGAAGGGGTCCAACGGGTGAGGGCATGAAGGGGCGGCTAGCCTGAAAAGACAATGTCCTGATTGCGCCGCAGGCTCGGCGATCTAAGGAGTTTGACGAATGTGATCGAGAGCGACGATCTTCACATCGATAGGGTCAAGACGGTCCAATCCGCGCCTAGAGTGTGGCGAGAACCTTCTTATGTAGGGAGACAGTGGAACGACTTCTCGTCGGCATGCTGTGCTTGCAGTCGGCTATTGAAGCAGGCGGGAACTAGAATCGAGTCGATCGATGCTAGTGATAATCGGGGACTTGCATGGAATCTGAGAAAGCAGCTCACACAACTCGATTGACATGGTTGCATGAAAATGAAACCGACACCCAAGGTTAATGGCAACCTAGGAGCAACAGACAATGCCAGTGGGACGCTACATTTATGCACTCATCTACAAAGAACGTCTCTCAACGTCCGACCTAGCGCTTCAGAGTCCTCTGCTTCTCCGCATGCTCGACCACCTTTTGTTCTACAAACATTCCCTTTCGTTTCCTCACGCCATCAGTGTATGTCCGCGCGATGTTGGCTTTGTCCGCCTTTTCACCAAAGTCTTCCAGTTCTTCCTCGGTCGTCGGTACCCAGAAGGGGTCCTCGTCCAGCATCTCGAATCTGCGCAAGTGAGAAGGCGTGGAGCGATCAGAACATGCCGTTCCAATCAACGCTCGTCAAGCTTACCCGTTGAAAATCAGTTGAGGGCTCGCAGCTCCAGACGTTCTTTTACGAATTTCTGTGGGACCGACAAGACGTGTCAGCGAGCATTTTCAGTAACAGAACCGCATCGATGACTGACCATCAGCAAAGCCGAAAGACTCGACAACGGGCAACAGAGCTCGGATGGTGAAGAACGATGTTCCCTCCTTCATCTCCTCGGAGACGATCCTTCCCCGTCGTCTAGCCACTACTGCATAGACCTTTCCGAGTACGTCAGCTGTACAACCAGGTCGAAGTGGCAAAGTTAGCGTCTTCATGGGCCTTGGGGATTTTCAATCGCGCTCTTACTCGAAGCCTGGATGTCACACGAGTACATCGCAAGCATGATACGTGGTGACCAGTCTAGTAGACCATTTCGGCACGCATCCCGAACAGCTGAGATGATAGACCCAGTGACTTGCGGCATTCGGCTCTTGACTATGAGTACAATAAGAACGGTCAGCATCTAGCTTTACCGACGCGACCCAGACCACTCACGACTGTCATCGCCGTCATCACCCTTGGCGATCTCGATGTTTTCTACGATATATGCCATACCGATGACGGGCTCGGCACAGAGAGGTCCACGGTAAGTGGCCAACTGGAAGCCGGTCTCGATATTGTTGTCAAATTCGCTGAGCAGTCGCTGATTGGCCTTTTCGTCAATCTCGCCCATGATGGCCTCTTCACTGATGTTGGCTTCATGCAACTGCGTCACGAGATCGGCCACCTCGGCGGCGGTTTTGCCTTGGGCCTTGGCCTCGGAAATGAGCTGACTTTTAGCTCGAAGACCCCTCGACGAGGAACCGGTCTTGTCGATCAACAGATTGGGTCCGATCCGCTTGGGACCGAATGCCCAGATGTGATCGGCTGTGCCTTTCCACTCAGGGCCCGCTGCGTCCAGTAAAGCAGAGAGCTTGTTCCAAAAGTCGACCGGCTGCAGCAATTGGGCATTCCTGTCCGTGGTCACGTCGTCTCGGCTCTCGTCAGTCTGCACCTGTCGATCCTGATCTTGAAGAGTTTGGATAGTGCTAGCGGTATGTTGCAAGAATTCGACAACAGATTCGGGTAACAGCGCAGATTGTACCGTGACCTTGACGAAAGAGGCAACACTGGTACCGACAAACTTGCCTCGAGAACCTTCGGTCGACTTGGACGGGTTCATCTCAGCGACTTTTACGGCGGTCTCGCGGAAGGGCACGATCGCTTCAGAAGCGCTGATAGCGCACTTGGCAAAACGCTCACGCAGATCCTTAAGGCATCGCTGTGGTGGCGAACTTTTTGAGCTTTTGTGCCCCATGTATCCGCTCAAGTCGTGAATAACATACCTCCAGATGCAACTCTCCAGCCGTCAAGATGACATGCTCCCCAGTTTCCTGAACCAATACCTCCACGCAAGGATCGGCTTGATTCAGCAATCGCAAACCTTCCACCAGTTTAGGTAGATCGGCTATGAGAATCAGAAAATATGGAGGGTTAGCAAGACCGGTACGCATGGGTCATCATTCTAGTTACGCTCACAGGGTATGGCAGGCTCCAGAGCGACCCTGACAATAGGCGCCGTCTGCATAGCGACACCAGCAAGGTTGACGATACACTCGTCCGAGCTAGCCGACTCCGCGACCCCATCAGTACCGGGCGCGCATAGAGTGGCGTTCCGCAAGACCTTGCCCTCCAAACCACCAATGGCGAAAATGTTTCCCGCTGGAACGATCTCGACGGGTACCAATTCCCGACCCATCATCATGTACAGGTTCGTGATCGTTGCCGTCTGAATGAACCGGGCGTTCTTGGGGTGATCTCGCGGTACGGAGGCATCGAACTTGGGCAGGATACAGTGAACTTGACTGCCGCGCCTGATCGTACCCGAGTAGATCCTCGCGAACCCGATCAGCGCTTCTCCAGTGTTGTCCTCGGTCTCGTCGGAAGCCTGCTCCTCGGGCGCGACGGTATCAGGCTGACCATTCAGGACCGCACTATCAAGAGGAACATATGCCGCAGCCTCCTGGCCACCGTTTTCAGCTGCAGCAGCCGCGGCAGCTGCCCTCTTTTCCCGCTCGATCCTACCCCGCTCACGCATCTCGGCAGCAGTCACCTCTTTTCGGCGCTTCTCTGGAAGATCCGATTTCGGAATCGCAAACATCTTGCTCACGTAGGCTACCACGTTGTCCTTTTCACCTTGGCGGCAAGCGTAAAGGTCCTCCTCGAGCTTGTTGTTGGGCTTGATCGCACCCGCCGACGGTGACGTGTAAACGGTAGGATGAAGCATTCGAGGCAGTCGGATCGGTTGAGCGGTGAGTGGCGAGGGGATGATGTCTACGACGGCTTGGAAAGCGCATGTCGATAGCGGCAGCCATTGTTGGAAGATGACGGTGAGCAGGTTCTTGGTATCCTTGCTCTTCAACTCTCGCGGGTGGATCTTCAGGTTGAGGGCCGTCACGATCTTTTGCACCTTGTCCGGGTTACTAGGTACAGCGCCATCAGCGTCGACAACCGAAATGACAACCGGAGGAAGCCCAACTCACTGCTCTTCCAGAACCGTCTCGTATACTTTCCAGATGTTGTCCAGAACGAATTGCACAAATAACGGCTTCAACGACCTCCCCTTGCCTCCCTCGAAGGCCTTTTTCCTGCCAACGACCCGCTTGGTCTTCGGATCCAGGTAGAAATCTCCCCATAACACCCGCCTCAGCTTTTGCTCCTGGATCCCCAATTTGGCCGCATAGAGCTGTGCGAATCGACCTAATCGGAAAGCCCACCCGTTGATCGCGGAAGCGAAGATGACGTTACCCCTTTCTGGGGCAAAGTAGAGGTCCTCGTCCTCCTTCTCTTCGAATTCGCCATCGTCTTCCTGCTCGGTCTCGGCCGTCTGGTCATCCATCTCTTCTTCTCTGGCTTTCCGTTCTTTCAATCGGCTTTCCCTCATCTCTCGCCAACGGAGATCTTCCTCCATCCTCTCGCTCGCGAAGAAACTGCCCATGACGGCGTTGACCTGCTCGATGAGCTGTGACAGGTGGTGGTATGCTTCGGAGGGCGAAAGTTTGAGCTCGGTGATCAAACGATCCATCTTGTTGATGACCAGGATGGGTTTGAGGTTGTCCTGCCAAGCTTGACGTAAGACAGCAATCGTCTGGGAGAATTCAAGGTGCACACATCAACGCCTGATCGCATCATAGAAGAACCGATACGACCGACTCGCCTGCGTGCAGACACCTTCCACGACATCGACGAGGACGAGCGTCCCGTCACATAGACGAGAAGCGGTCGAGACTTCCGAGGCGAAATCGACGTGTCCTGGAGTGTCGATCAGGTTGAGGATATGATGACATGCAACCGGGTCTAGAGGAGATATGGAGCGATGAGTCTGTCAGTATAGACACAATGTACATCCAGCGGAAGCACGTACTGGGGTCTTCTTTGGTCCGTCTTAGCATTTGGAATGCAAGCGAGACCTGCGAACCCAAGCAGATTGTCAGCTCCTGGATTGCGGCAGACGTCGGTTCGCTCCTGGCGCAGACTCACAGCACTACTCTCCATGGTGATTCCTCTCTCCTGCTCATCCTCCCGAGAGTCCAAGTATCGGATCTTTCCCGCCAGACGAGACGAGATGATATTGTTCGCGGATAGCAGCGAGTCGACAAACGACGTCTTTCCATGGTCAACGTGAGCGAATACCGTGACGTTCTGCATCCACAAACCAAAAACTTGGATTAGAATCTGGTATCCTGATGACTCAGGTAGCAGTCGAAGCTTACCCGGGTGTTCTCGATGGGTACGGCAAAGGTCTTGACAGATGACATCATGCAAGAAAAAAGTTGATGCTGGTTCGATCGAGTTGGAGGCGAGGGTATCGGATGGCCAGTGAGATTCCTGGAGCGACCTGGTCTATTATAAAGGATGCGGCAAAACTCTGACTCGACTTCAGGTTCTTTCAAGTCAATCTCAGGATGAACGGAAGTGATAGTCGTCTCGGAACCGAGGTGTTAAGGTAAGGGAGGTGGTAATCTGAAATATCTGCCTCGATCGGCGTGAGCCGTAGCTCGGCCAAGCTAGGGCGAGACGCGCTTTGAACAAGGGACTAGATCAACCTCTCGACCTACTTTTTATCAAACTGCTGCAAAGGTCATCCTCGGACTGCTACATAGCAAGCAAGGTAACTTTACGATCACATTCATAACCGCGCTACTGCCCTCCAGAAAGGAACAGAGCCACAGGAATAGCGAGCGGCGTCTGCGACGAACATGGCTTTCAACTATACACAAAAGGAAAACGTACTCTGCTTTCACGGACCATTGATTTACGAGGCTCAGGTGGGAACAACTAGGATGTATGTCGCTGTATCAGTCGATTGATATCACTGTGGCACGGAATTACATAGGTGCTGGACACGGTCGAGTGGGATGCCAAAGAGACCAAGAGCGGGGTTGTAGGCCCACACTATAGGGTACATTATAAAGGATGGAGAAAGTCGTAAGTCGACCCTCGATGTCGCTGCGCACTAGCATACAAGCTCAGAAGGACCACCGCACACCTACGAATCGGATCGGGCGTTCAGATGGGACGAATGGGTCCCCGAAACCAGGCTGATGAAGGACGACAAGGCCGGACGAGACAAGCAGAAACGACTGAGAGAGGAAGCCATAGCCGCTCAGACCGCTGCTAAACTGGCCAAATCGGGCGCGACGGAAAAGGCTTCGAGTCGCTCGGATGCCGCTTCTCCTGCGCCGAATGGAACGGACAAGGGGAAAGCTGCTGTCAAGCAGGATACGAAAGGGAAGAAGAGGACAAGGGGGGAAGCTTTCGACACGGTCAGTCTCAGGCGCGGGCGCGAGATATTTGCACTCGACCGCATGATTTCTGAGATTCGGACTATTGCAGGAAGAACAATATCTGAAGCGACCCGAGGTCAAGATACCCATCCCGGACGTTCTCCGGGTCAAGTTGGTCGACGACTGGGAAGCTGTGACCAAGAACAACCAGGTCAGGACGAAAACGATGATTGATCGGGAAATATATCGCGTCTGACGAAAGGCGCGTACTACACCGATCCTACAGCTCGTAACATTACCCCGGACACCAAACGTCAAGGAGATCATTGAAGAGTACAAGGAGTACTGCAAGAAGAAACGAGCAGACAAAAAGGCTACGTGAGTCCGATCTGGTCAGCTGAAATAGGATCCCGCTAAGTCGAACCCGGTCCATTTCACAGTCGCGCAGACGCGCTTTTGGAAGAGATCATGGCCGGTCTCGTCGTCTACTTTGACAAGTGCCTGGGCAACAACCTCCTATACCGGTTCGAGCGAGCACAATACGTCAACATGCGCAAAGAGACCAAGGAAGAAAAGGCGATGAGCGAGATCTACGGGGCAGAGCATTTGCTGCGATTGTTTGGTGGGTCGTCTTTCTCACGCGCGACCGGTTCGATGGTCGGCGCGACTGACGAGATCTTCTTGCCGGTGCGATAGTCAACTTGCCATCGTTCATCGCACATACAAACATGGATACCGAATCTATCAATCTACTGCGTGACCACTTGGCCGAATTTATGAAGTAAGCCTTTCCTGCAGCAGCATACTTTGCTTGCCACCGCATCGCTGAATTTCGAATTTATTCGGTGCAGATGGATGATCAAGGAGTTGGACAGGCTGTTCCAGAAGGAATACGAGAACACGACGACGCAATACCAGAACCTATCTCGAGCATGATGACCACGATTTCGCGCCATGTGTTCGGGGTTTTTTCCGTCAGTGGTCTTCTTTCTTTCCCGGAATTCACTACACCACGTATTGCCAGGTTATATTTGTAAAACGTGCCCGTTCTGACGACGACGACGCAGCTTGTATGACGCCTTGCGATGCGGCATGTCACGATCTTAATGACCGATAGGGCTCGCGGTTTACGGAAGTCGAGGGCCAGCTGTAGATTCCGCGACGACAGCGTCCTATCGTCACACACAAAAGGTTATCATTGCGCCCATATATCCATGACTTATATGCCCAAACACTACAAAATTCTTAGTTCTCATTTCAAACTTCTTACACAATCAAAACCCCTAAATCACAACACGGTTCACGTACACTGTCGGGCGACAGGTATCGGAAAGTCTCTGGGGCAATATCTGGGTAGTTGAACCGGATTCGCCTGTGCTTAGCTCAAGCCAAAGCTGAATTGAAACAATTGGAACAGGAAGAAGGACGGTTTCAGTATGAGGAGTGCGTGACTCAGGGGGAGAGACAAAGAAAACTTACCGCCCATTGGGTCCCATGGCTTCAAGACGACGGGATCGCCCTTTTTCAGGATCTCGACCCACTTGCTCTCGGCCAGCTTCTCGGGAATGACGACTTGGTAGACGTACCTACGTGAAGAGACCACATCAGCAACACTATCCACGGATGCGATCAACAGTCTGAAGGACTCACTCTCGGAACCAGTCGGCCGTGCACATGAAGAAGCCTTTGTTCCCTACGGCGTCGGACCACGAGTTCTCGATCTTGTACCGAACAGGTGTTCCGTTGTCGTCGAGATGGACAGCGGTGATGACCATCGCGTGGTTGGCGAGGCTGTCACCCGTCTGAAGCCTCTGCGCCTTGTTCATGCCGAGCGAGAACCCGTAGGCTTTCTATGTAGTCGCGCACAGACTCGTCAGCAGTTGAACATTGGGGAGTACAGACGAATACGAGACGTACCTGGTAGTCGAACGCCTTGGTATCCCAGATCCCGTCAGCCCTGATTCCAGGAGCTCCCGCATCGCTTCCGAAGAAGACCGGCTGGTCCGCCTTGATACAAGCGATAACGGCCTTCTCGAGAGCCGAGGTGGGCGCGTTGACGTCTGCGGTAGAGGTCCCTCATGGTTTAGCAAGAAAGTATCGCCTTCTTTGACAAGAAGTTTCGCCGACGAATCAACTCACATCGCACCGACATCCCTCCCGAGACATTACCCAGCCTGTCGACGGTGTACAACTTCTCATACTCGTTCCTTGGATCGTTGATTAACGAGAAACACTCGTTCGGCCTATAAGGCCCCGTGTACTTCTTGTAGAAAGCCTTGGGGGTCATCTCCACCTTCAAGTACTTGCCGTCCCTATCATAGGTCTCCCAGAAGAACTCGGCGTCGGGTTTGGGTGGCGTGCCCATGGAGCAGGAGAGGACGTCAAAGACGGTCCGCATCATCTCGTCCTTCCTCGTCCTAGCGCGTTCGGTAGCGCGTTCCTTCGAGACGCTGGCCGAGGAGGAACGGAGCGAGTCGACGATTTGACGGAGTTCGAGACCGAATTCCCGAAGCTTGGAGGTGACGATCTGGTTGATCGGGCCGGATTGAGAGGAAGTGAACGATTCTGGGTAGACGGCTTGGGGGACGACTCCGTATTTCTAGCCACGTCGACCGCAATCACGACATGATCAGCCTGCATCTCTCGGTTTACGGGAATGCTAGCTGCTCGCTCCATTGACTGACCTCGACAATGTTGACAGCCATATCGAACTGCCCGCCATCTCCAACGGGATCCCTGTTGAGGAACTCCATGATCCTCGAATCGATAGGCTCGTCTACGAGGTCGAGGACGTTCCTGCGGATTGTGGAAGGTCAGATCTGTAATTCGGTTTGAGTAAAGGGTGAACGAAATCGACTCACTCTAGGAACCAGTTGGCCTTCCTGAAGACCCGGTCAAAAAGGGGTGGTGTCGTATCAGCACAGAGTATGTTTCGTAAACGAATGGTGTAGCGAGAATTTGGCAAGCGCACTCACTCGAGCTTGTCGTAGAAGAACAAGTACGACTGGGACAATTGGAAATCGCCCAAGTTCAACTGGGGAATGACTCGGTACCTTAAACAGTTGGCTAGACATAACAAGAAGAGCAAGACCCATCAGATCTTTTCCCAGAGAGGCTCGCAGGACACTCCACCACTCACTGGTAGCGAACAACCAACACCTCCCGGAATTCTTCTGGTTAGTCACCGGACCCGGGTAGACTCCCTTCCTGTTCTTGCCATCCTTGTCGGGGACGCCCTTGAGCTCGAGATTGAAGACGGGTTGGTCCTGGATGATCCGTTCGCGGGAGATGAGCGAGGTCTTGGGATCGGCGTTGGTCAGGATCAATTGGGAAAGCTTGAGGGTGGGGGTCTATGATCCGCCCGGTGCAAAGAAGGAGAGACCAGAGTGAGCTGAGTAAGCGCTCCCCGTCAAGTAACAACGTGATGTGGAGATGCGACTCACGGCATCGAAGTCTTGCTGCCAGGCGTCCAACTTGGACCTCGTCAACCCCATCTCGGTCGTACCCGAAGCCGAACGATCATCTTCGACCTGGCGGTAGACCTGGACCTGTGAGACGGCCGACCGCTTCTCGTCGTACTTGACGGGATCAGCGGTGTAGGTCGGGACGGGAGTTGCGGGTTTGGAAGCGGCGGAACCCATGATTGCGTGTTGCGTGATGAGCGTGGGCAGGATGGAGAGGATGTATGAGATGTCTTGCGAGGTGGAATGCGTAGTTGATGGCTGATATATATAGCCCCCTTGCCCCCTTGCTCCCTTTCACGATAAGACGCTGTGTGCTGCACATGGCTGGTGGTCGACTTGACCCCGACGATCCTCCCTTCCGGGGGGGCGACGCGCGTGACACCTCGTTCTCCGTCGTCGGACTTGACCGAAGAGTTGATCTCGCTCGATCGATCGGGGGATCGGAAGCAATCTTTGCCGGTTATGAAACGCCGAAATGGGAACAACGGGGGGGACATTCCTGTTTCAGAGCGATAAGACTGCCTTTGACGACATTCGACGATCGGATATGGAAGAACTGAGTGATCAACAAGAGACCTTGACGAGTTGCTCAAAGAGCAGTGTTGTCGCCTTGATACTGTTGTGCTCTCGTCTTCACCGTACAGTACTTGTCCTCTTCCCTCGCTCCCTCGGTCTTATCAATCCCCACTGTTCTTGTTACCTTTTGGCAGACTGGCGTATCGTACGATTTCGTTCTGCGATAGGAAGCACGAGACGGAGCAGGTTTCCAGGGCACGACAGCCACATCGAACATGTCTATATTAGTGATCAAACAAGGGGGTCGGGACGCTGTGACTGGAACGCACTTCTACTCCGACCACCGAGATCCTCCAAAACTCGCCATCAATGCCACGGGACCCTCCCACGTCCCAATGCTCACCTTTTAGATTGATCCATTATTAGTGACTTGTCTGCTAATCTCCTCTGTTGGCCGGGTCCTAACCATGACCGCCTCAACGCTTTGGTAGACTGCATCAGCCAATACGATGAGTATGAGCATCTCTGAAGCGATCTTGTCGCCTCCACAAAGCCCCGTATGTCAAATCAACCTCGTTCCGTCAATCGTCATCTACCATGCCGAGGATGCCAATGTCCAACCTGGCTAATTCACTCCCGTCAGATCTAAATCTCGTTCAAGTTTCTTGTTTTGCGGGTGGGATCAAGTCCTTCATAGTCGAGCGGATCTTCCATCTAATTCAGATAGGGATAGGGATTGCAATCGGACATTGCAAGTCATCTGCCCATCATGATCCTGGAATTTTCGGTTTCAGGCCTGAGCACAACCTGAATGCAATCGATTTATCCATCCTCGCTGATCCTGTACCCATGAGCCTCGCTGTGAGGCGCATCATGCTTTGATCGAAAAACATACCCAGAAAGACGCTCAATCGAGTCTCTCTCGACGGCGCCAATCTCACGCTGATGTTCATCAGAGTCACAGCTGAACCTCACCGAAACGTCCTCTCAAGAAGGTGGACAGAGGCGAACGTTCGATTTGTGTCGGCGCGACGTGCTACCGTAGGCATATATCTCAAACCGACACACATTACATCCCGTCCTTCCACCTCTCCCGCTTCCTCTCCCTATCCCGTTCATACCGCCCTTCATCCTCCCCCACACCCTTGCGTTTCCTCTCCCGCTCCTTATTCCTATCTCTGTCCCGGTCGTCATCCCTTCGTTCACGTCTCGCACTCAAGCTCGACCGTCCAGCAGGATCGAGTGGGAGGACAAATGGGTAATCCGACTCCCTCTCCTTCTCTTTCCCCTTTCTCGAGCTCGATGTCGAAGCGGGTGCGAAATCGATCCCCTTCCTCCCGCCTTCCTTTTGAACGCGTTCAACCGCCTCCCTCTCCCGCTTCTGCAGGTCCGACAAGTGTTTCGCACCCCAGACCGGTCGTCGATCTTCGAGACCTCTACGGGTCAACCAGCCGCCGTTAGGAAAGGCCGTCCCGCGTTCATCGATGTTAACGAATTCAACCTGCAACATCAAGCAGATACGGTAAGGTATGCATGTTCAACATTAATTTCCCATCAGCAGTCATTCCGTCAGAAAAGCATGTCCGAACGCTCCAGCGTTTTGTACTTACCAACTTGGAGTAGATGTGCGGGTTCGCAAACGCTGTCGAGGACAACAAGGTGGTATTGATGTGCTGGTCCCGTTCGAGTTTGAGCTTCAGATAAGTGTCTACCTTGTTCTGTCATGTGTCAGAGGCAAAGATCAGAAGCGTAAACACGTGTCAGTACAGGACTTCGATCGTTCATTTCGAAAAGACTACGAGCGGGCATAGAAAGCGTTACTAACCTGTAACACCGGATCCGGCAACTCGCTCGTCAATTCCGGGATATTCCACGGTTCGGCCCCCTTGTCCGCCGTCGCAGTGGACGTCGTGGAGCCTCCCTTCAATGTATCGGGTCCAGGGTCGGCTTTCGCCCAGCCTTGCGAAGTCCATCCGCGAGGGGCAGTCATCTTCCTGAACAATTCGTCTTCCGTCAGACCGTCCTCCAGGTTTGTAGTCTGGTTTGACAATTCGCCTGGTTGCGAGTCCAGACCGACCCCTACCGAACCTTCCCCCTGCTCGGCTGCGTCAAACCTCGACTTCGATCCCGTTCCTGTCCGACCATGAAAAGATCTAGCTTGAGAGCCCGCAGGGGTGGTCGGGGTGGAAGAGGACCGATTGAGCTTTTTAATTCCGATCGATAGTGGTTTCTTGATCGATGTGCTGGTCTGGACGGTCTGAGGCGGTGGGATCGAGGGCGGGTTCGGTTCGTGGTCACCCTCGGTCGGATTTGCTATCCGTCTAGAGCCAAGATTTGTCGTGATCAAGCCTACGCATGAAGCGATCGAACCGGTCAGATACAGGCGATCTCCCTGCCGACTACCTCCCACTACCTCCCGACGAAGGCTACTGATACTCACCTAAATTCGAATCTCGTTGGTTAACCTCCTACATGGAAAAAGACAGTAGCGAGCCGCCCTCGACCCCGGGGATCAGAGGTACCGAATAACAGGTTTAGGAAGAGAAAAGGCAAGGCAAACAGGTGGGGGACAGTTTTCCAGCGCGTTCACCACCCGAGTCGTTTCTCCGCCCATCTCGACCAAGAGGGGTCCGCGAGGGCGATAAGAGAAGAGATGCACATACATCTTGAACTTCTTGCTTTCTTGATACAATCTTTGTGGTCGACGATCTCGAGACGGGTGGGTTTGTAGAAGGTGGTGATTCGGGGTCCGAGTCGTCATACGAAGTTAGGCCTGGCGCCGGATCATCAGCCGGAACGCACGAGGGCCGGACAGCTCGGCTTCGACTCACTTTGCATCTTGCGTTGCCGCAGAACCACTCCGCTCGACCAATATGTATCGATGCTGTCCTGTTGGCTAGAGTGAAATGAAGGAGAAGTACAAGTAATTCGTAGAAGATGGTAGAATTATTGACGACGGTCTCTTCGAGATTGCGAACCGCTTTCTCTCGAATTAGCATCCGACGAGTAAACTGTTCGGAAGCTTTTCCACGGCCCGAAAGTTCAAAAGTAGTCGTCTCGAAGAATGCACGTTCAACCTGTTTTTACTTCTCATGCCAGCTTTCTCAATCATATCATACCACGTCTGCTGCTATATAATATCCTCACAGTTACAATCGAAATGCCCGGAAAGCAACTCGTTGTCTTCGACTTTGACTGGTCGTTCGTCGATCAAGACACGGACCGATTCGTGCTCGAGGTCCTGAGCACCAAGCTTCGACGAAAGTTGCAGACCATCAAGAGCGGTGGGAGTCAATGTACCCCGGATGTTGTGTGAGTCGGCTAATCGGTAGATTATTCTGATCTCATGACTCGAAGCTTATGAGATTACGTGCCAACATCGCAGCGCCGAGTGCATGATCGACCTTGCGAACGATGGGTTCACCAAGGAACAGGTCCTCGACGCTCTTCGTGTCCTTCCCCTCGTAAGCAATTCAGATTTTATTTATGGTACTGAAACGCCGCTAACTATCATCTTGTACTTCTGCATTGACCTGTAGCACCCGGCCATGAAACGCGGCGTCACCGAACTTCAGAAACGTTCGCCCGATACCACCTTCATCTGTCTTTCAAATTCGAACGAGATCTACATCGATACCATCCTCAAGGTTGGTAATGACCATGATACCCATTCGGCTGGCTGAAACCCATCAATGATGTGCTTACTGTTGCGTTTCTTTCCGGTTGCTACCGCAGCATCACGGTCTGACCGACCTCTTCACCAACATCATCACCAACCCCGCCCACTGGGACACCTCCTCCCCGAACACCCTCCTCGTAGGCCGTCTGATCCCCAAAGACTCGCCGAACCAACATACCTGCCAAGTCGGATGTCTCGTCAACATGTGCAAGGGGGACGAGCTCGAAAAGTGGTTGGCTTCGAACGGAGGGTTGGAGGCTTTCGAAAAGGTCGTTTACGTCGGAGATGGGGGCAACGATTTCTGCCCGTTGTTGAGGATGCGAAAGTGGGTCCCTGCGCTGCGATCTCTCTTTCCATCTACCTGTTTCCGGACAAGTCCCCGAAGCTGATTTGAATAAACCTTTCGATCTCATCGCGATCACAGGCAAGACGTCTGCCTCGTCCGAAAAGGATACGAGCTCGAAGGCCGAATCAAGTCTGAAGCCCAAGAAAAGGGTCTCAAGGCCGAGGTCGTCTACTGGAGCGCGGCTTGGGAGATTGACGAGTGAGTGTTATTGAGTTGAAGCGTTCCGAGGACGATGAGGATGTTGACAAGTTGTTTGCGTTTTGTGTTGTTGTGTGGCAGGTATTTCTCGGCCAGCTTGTAGAAGGTCGTCTTCAAAAGCCGATGACCTGACATATGCAGCATTCATCATACCGAACAGACCTTGCGTGCTATCTTTCTTTCGTGTCTGTCTCTGGCGGGCTTAAAGCGAACAAAACCCTCGAGTTTGCCCGTCTGGATGGGTAAATGTAGCGTCGCATCAGTTTGCAAGCCTTGATCATATCTTGATATCTATGCTATCGACTCGATACCTCGATTCTCGACATGTTCAGTTACAATGGTCTTCTTCGGTCTGACGATGTAGCGAGGTTGCGCGCTTGTCCAGCGTGACGGCTGTTCCCCCAACAACGAGTCGGGTTCCATCTTCTGTCACATCTAAGCTTTATTGTGCCGTGAAGGTCATTTTGCTGTCAAGGTTCATGATATATGCCAGAGGCTGTCAACCAGAGCAGAGGGCTATACAGTAGGGCTACCGACGATGAATCGTGGGGAACGTCGTGATCGATGCTCGCGGTGGAACTAGTTCGGGGCAACGCAGTGGGTGAAACGGAATACTGATAGCAGGGCCGTCCTCGGAGAAAAAACAGGTCCTTCGTAGGGAGCTATACTATAGCCCCAGAGTCGATACGAACAAGTCTCAATTGGGGGCGAAAACTCATCTCATCCAGTCCAACAGGAGGGCAAAAGACGGCTTGAAAGGCCGAGGACGATTACAATGTGAGAAAAGAGCGTACGAATCCACGTCCCACCCCTGCTGTCCTCTTCTGACCTCTCCAAGTTCCACCGCTCCCGCAGCCTAGACGCGATTCGTCCTCGGGATATCGTTCTGCGTGCGTGATCTTCATTACACCCCCAAGCCAAACCCAAACCTCAAGAAAGCGAAACGAGTCTCGTCTACTTGAGGGGGATGAACCTGGCGGCGGTGGCACCGAGACCGGCACGACCGTGTCCGACGGGCTTGTAGGTGATGGAGAACTCTCCGAGGTAGTGTCCAGTCATCTCGGGCTTGATCTCGACGGTGGTGAACGACTTTCCGTTCTGTAAACATTATCAACGAGAGCAATAACGGACTCGTCAGCAAAGCACTTGGAATCTATATGTGCTCAAGCGTCTCAAGACTCACGTAAACACCACAGACGGAACCGATCATCTCAGGGACAATGATCATGTCTCGCAAGTGGGTCTTGACGGTGGCAGGCTTCTCGTTGGGGGCAGCCTCCTTCTTGGCCTTTCGGAGCTTCTTGATCAATCCCAGAGGCTTTCGCTTGAGACCTCGCTGGAACCTTCTCCTGGCACGGGCGTGGACGAGCTGCGGGCGAGAAGATCGTTGCGACATTGACAAACAGATGTCAGCGTTGAGAAGCTTGAATTTGGTGGCGCAGAACGTGCGGCCCAGGCCAAAGTGAGACTCACGTCAATGAACTCCTCGTTCTTCAAGTCCAAGAGCTTGTCAAGCTCGATACCTCGGTAAGTGTACTTCTTGAAGGTACGCTTCCTCTTGAGCTCGGCGGCCTCGGTGGGGTCGGTGAATCCGGAATCAGCCTATGTGAAGCAAGGGTGAAGAAGTATTTAGTCTTCCGCTAGCAGTCACTTCGAGTGGGGTGGGCGGCCAGTCTAAGCAGGATCTGTGTGGGCAGGGCACGGATCGAGGCAAGTCGAGGCGGATCCTATAGGGCAGGATGATCACGCGGATGAGGGGCGAGGAAGGGCATTTCGAGATCCGGGCAGAGGAGTGCGGGCGATGATCTGGATCTCGAGAGGCGGATTTGCAACGAGCGCTACTTGGGCTGGGTCTGAGGTCTGGTCTTGCGTTTGGGTTGGCGCAAAGGTGTGTCGAGAGCCGGATATGGGTTTTCGTGGATACGGTCGACCAGTTCGCTGAGAATCGTTGCCGGAAGATCTTGCGGTTTCAAGTGAGAGGTAAGATCCACCCATTGACTAAATCTAGAGTTTGTGCGAATGTGTCGGACTAAATCGCGGGTGCCAGGAAGCGTGAAAGTCGACGTCGAGTGGCGTATCTTTGGCTGTCTCCGTGTGTCTAGACTAGCTTTATAATGGTCGGCCATGCTGGCGATGCGATTGATGTCGATTTCCAGAGGCCTGCGCTATGATTGTGGTCGATGCTCCTTCATCCCAAAAGACTCCCTGACCCTGATCCTGACCCAGACCCAATTCGCCTGACCGAGACGACCTGTTCTCCGAGTTGCTCGCTCTCCCCGTCGACTGATCCTTCGCTGCGTTCACTCCTTCGCTTCATCTCGATCTCTCCTTGACTCCGTGTCTTCCACCTCGTCAACCTATCCCTTCTTCCTGCTGATTATCTTCTTCCATCCGTGCCCTTGGTTGCCTCCCCCGATAGATCCTGTCGACTGGCCGGGTAGAGGTAGAGAGGACCGTCGGACTCACCATCTTGATCTGTTGGGTTTTTAGTGTCGTAAAAGTCCGGCTAGAAAGGGGAGGATTCGAGTGTGTCGAGGTGGTTTGAATGGCTTCCAAGTCGTCGGCACGATCAACGTCGAGAGGGGATGGACAGTGCAGCAAGAGTGGGGAGACGCGCATCCAGCCCCAGCCCAGCGAGAGAGAGGTGGCTGAGGGGCTGAGGGGTACTGCTGGGTCGAGGAGGGGAGTCTGCGTGTGCGCGTGAAAGCAAGGACATAGAACGGGGAACAGTAGAAGCGCGAGCAGCGAAACAAGCGCAAAACGTCAAGCGCGACTTGATCTGCGCTTCAATCTGGTTTTACATCGCGCGCGTATACACAGAGAGACACCTGCTTGTCCCTTGGGTTCCCCCTTCGGCGTCGACCGATCCCCCCGTGCAACGCAACTCTCTCCCTGTCCTCGACCTCAACTCTGCACCGAGTACCATCCCATCCACCTCCTCTCGCCTGCCGGACCTCTGCCGCTCTCTACCTCGTCGTCTCCTATCTCGTTTTCAAACAAAAGGTAAGCACTTGTTTCCCCTTCGGCTGCCCTCTTTTCCCCCTTTCAGTTGCAACTCGTCCGTTCTTTGAAACTCACCAGTCAGTTCTTGCGTTTCGATTTTTGGACGATTTCGCAGGCGTTGACGTATACCGGCTCTACTCGGCTTAAATTGGTTTACTAGCCCCTTTAAACAAGTGCGTATGGCTGATGTTGCTCGTCGAGAATGAGCGTTAGACTGACGATCAGCTCTGCTCTCCCTCCATTCCGAAAATTAACCCTGGTGGAATTCGAATTATAAAATTGCACTCGGAACCGAAACTTGATCCATCATGAATTCGACGTCGACCACGCAGAAATGAAGAACATCGCTGCTTACCTCCTCCTCCAGCTCGGTGGCAAGGCCACCCCCACCGCTGCCGACATCACCTCGGTCCTCGAGGCCGCCGGTGCCGAGGTCGACTCGAGCAGGATCGAGAAGTTGATCTCCGAGCTCGAGGGCAAGGACATCAACGAGGTGCGTCGCGACCGCCCGCTTGGTTCCACGTCGTATGGCATTGGATCGCTGATGAACTTTCCTTCCACTTCACTCTCGCCTGATTCTCGTCATCACGGGAAACCGGTACACATCAATAGTTGATCGCTGAGGGTTCTTCCAAGCTCGCCTCTGTCCCTTCGGGCGGAGCTGCCCCTGCCGCTTCGTCCGGTGGAGCCGCCGCTGCCGGTGGTGCCGCCGAGCCCGCTGCCGAGGAGAAGAAGGAGGAGGCCAAGGAGGGTGAGTTTAGATATTCCCGGAATCATCAATAAGTCGGCCGAGCGCACGAAACTGATCGTCTTTGCCTATGCCTCTCCGTTTGCTGTTTGTTGTGTGCAGAGTCCGACGACGACATGGGATTCGGATTGTTCGACTAGATTCAGTTCTCAGTTCGCGATCCATCCCCCCTCATGCTTCTGGACGAAAAGTCGGACAGTCGAATCAGATCTCAAGGAAGACACGCTGGTCATTTCTTGGCCCGGCTTCTCTGTTGTTTTCATGCTTTCAGATGAGATGCCCGATTTGAATCTGGATAAACCCCCTTGTCGAAAACAGTTCGGCCGTGTTGAAGCAATTGCACCGACTCAGGTATTGCCGTTGATTGCCCCTCGAACGGCGATGTTGAGAGGAATGGACGTACCCATCCCGAGATGTTTCATTCGATATCCTCTGTCTCATGCGGCGGTACAATAAGCCAGGCGTATAGCATGACTTGTCTCCCTTTATCTGGGTTCAGACAACCGGCAACAATTCGCCCGGCCCAGTGTGGTTGACTCACCGTTGGAAAGGGATCACCCAAGTCTGCAGAGCAGCCGCTAGCAATCAGCACACGATCAAGACGACCCCATACCCTATGGCAGGAAAGGTTATTCCAGAAGATTGAAAGGTTGTTCAGCATAGTCAGGATGGGCTTGTTCTCACCCACAAGGTCACGGGCTGCCACCAACTTCAGCTTGACCTTATGGAAACAATCTCGCTTGTAAATCTCCACCTCGATCTTGAGCCAACAACAGAGTGGAGACGTGTTGCAGATCGGTTCAAGTCGTCGAGAGGTGCCCTCAATGCGGTTTCATTGCTGTGCAGTCTGGGATCTGCTTGCTTGTGGTTTCAGCCGATATTGACTACCCAACATCAACCAAATCCTTTGCGCGGACTGTGGCGGAAGATCCCATAGTGATCTAGTGATCGTATATATCTGGTGGTATCGTGTACTGTGTCCTTCCCACCGGTACCACATGGACGGCATATCGATGCATATTGATTCAGCCCGGAAGGACAAGTATCCGCGCGGGAGGTGCCGCCGTGCTCTTCGTGAATAGCGAATTAGCCCTCGATTCGGCCATCTCCGATGAGCGAGCCCAGGGGGGGGGGGTCCAACAGCGACGACCTCTCCCAAAGGACTTTGCGTCGCTCAAAGGAATCCTCGTGCTTCTCGATGGCTAGCTGTACATGCAAGGGGTTAACTACCCTTTCAGTATTCATCCATACAAACTCCATGCCAGATCAACAATCGCATTGCACAACATGTCTTTTTGGCTACAAGCCGCACTATTCCTCTTACTGGGTCATCGCACAATGGCTCTCCTCTTTCCCCTTCCTCAAACTGTCACCAGCGGGAACACTGTCATAGCTATAGGCAACAGCCTGGACGTCATTTTCAATGTACAAGGTAGCATTCCTGAGGACTTGGCGGCCGCAGCCGAGAGGGCAGTCGGATACGTGACCGAAAGCGAACATCATTACCTATCTCCCGAACGCGGGAAAGAGTTCCTCCTGAACAACGATCCACCGGTGCTCACTGCTCTGGAGATCATCTTACAAGGTTCTGACTACGGCACGATCGCTTCCGAAGTGTCTAAAGAGGCGGGTGACAGGAGGGAAGCCTACGAGCTGGATATCCCGGCGGACGGGGGGAACGCTAGGTTGACAGCTACGAGCAGCTTGGGAGCACTCAGGGGTCTGGCTACATTCGAGCAATTATTCTATGGAGTTCCGGTCAGTACATGCTTGATGAGATGATTCATATCTGCGGCTTAGGTGAGGCTTCCACTTGCGTGGTAACATAGCCTGTAGAGAGCGGAAAGGCAGCCGACCTCTTGTCACCGGGGTCGCAAGAGGTCTTCGGACAGCGGATCCGTTACAGGGCATTCAGCCCGGCGGCACCGTACCATATCGAAGATCGGCCTGCCTTCCCTTGGAGAGGGTTCATGCTTGATACATCTCGTCACTACTTTAGCAAGGAGACTATTCTTCGAGCAAGTTTCAGACTCTGATCTCACCTTGAGACGTTGACCGTGCTGAAGGCGTAACGATTACAGACTCTGGACGCGATGGCGCTGGTCAAGCTGAATGTGTTTCACTGTAAATCCAGTGGTATCCGCCTATTGCCCTTCAGAACTAAAGATGGTAACGTTCGTTGTTAGGGCACATGACGGATAGTCAATCCTGGCCATTGTCTCTGCCAGGATTTAGAGACTTGGCAGAGAAGGGCGCTTACTCTGCGAGGGAGACCTACAATGAAGAGGACGTCGGCGAGATCACAAAATACGCCGCCGAGGTGAGTCGAGCCGCGTTGTTCCGATCCAGGAACTCGCTTACCTTTTGGCGTCATCTGCCAGCGAGGAATCGATGTGGTCATCGAAATGGACATGCCAGGACATACCGCTAGTATTCATCATGCTCGGCCGGAATTGGTGGTCGGTTACGCCAGAGAACCATGGACCCGCTATGCCGCTCAGCCTCCCGCGGGCCAGTTGCGCTACATGGAGGACGATGTTACGCAGTTTATGGTGGATCTGCTTGGAAAGCTCAAGGCATATATCCCGTCGCCGTATTTCGCTACGGGAGGGGACGAAATCAACGAGAACGTCTACGTAAGCCTAAAGATAGTGAATAATGAAAAATTCAGAAGGCTGAAGTCGCGCTTGCAATGCAGAAGGACGATGACCGATCTCGAGCGACCTTGAAACGCAAAGGGTGGACGCTGAAAGAGGCGCTGAACGCGTTCATGGATTCTACTTGGCAAGCGCTGCAGCCAAAGATTCCTGTCGTGTGGCAAGAGATGGTATAGTTGTTTCGAATTCAGCCATTCTATGTCAGCTGATTCAGCTTTGTTCTGCTACCATAGGTGCAGGAGCATCGAGTGAGCTCGTTGCCCGATAAAGCGGTGGTTCTCATCTGGAAGTCCAGCAAAGACGTCTCAAACATCGTGAAACTCGGGCATCCCATCGTTCACGTTGGCTTCGATCACATGTACCTGGATTTAGGAGGAGGGGGAAACATCATTCCTCCTTCGGGGAAAAAGGAGCCGAGTTGGCATGCTCACCCTTTCAATACCTGGTATCACATCTATAGGTGTGTTCGACGGCAAGAATACCTCAGGTCAATGTCGCGCTACTGACGGATCCTCTTGTCAGCTTCGACCCGTACAAAGGCGTCAAGGCCAGCCAGCGCCATCTTGTCTTGGGCGGCCAGACTGTCCTTTGGAGTGAGACAACGGACGAAACCAATGTGGACAGCAAGATCTGGCCGAGAGCGGCAGCCATAGCCGAAATATATTGGTCGGGTGGGGGCGATAATGGGTTCCCCTTAGGTAAGTAGCTAAACATCTTTATCGCGAGAACGACTGCTGACCGAATCGACCTCAACAAAGATCCGTCAAAAGCCCTCGCGCGTTTCCAGGATTTGCGCTATCGGCTTGTAGCCAAGGGCGTTTCTGCGACGCCGTTACAGCCTCATTGGTGTGCGATCCGACCGGGTAGGTCCCTTCCGAACGAGCGATTATACAGCCCCGACGACAACTGATGTGAACGTATGTCAGGCTCTTGCGAATTCATATAGGCTGTGCACTCCCCTATCCGCGCTTTTTGCAGCTTTTTGTACAACTATTGCTTCGCTTCCTCTTGTAGGTCAATCTATCTACGTAGCTTCCTGCACTCTCGTCATCGTCGCGGAACCGTACGACCCTTTGCTTTCGGTCCCCTCGATATCGTCCGAATCGCCCTTGTACGGCAGGGAGGTGTCGACGACAGGGCCGACGTTGCCCAATTCCAGCGATGTTTGTGCTACCTCGTCGTGTCGGATCATTCCGGGATCTTCTTCATCGGGAAGGATGTTCCACATGATGACGCCGATCAAGAACGCGCACAAGTAGGGCGTCGATAGGATGACTTCGATCGAGTCTAGGAATCCCTTGAGCCCGTCGCTGTTGCTCTCGACGGTGTCGAACAGGTGCGTAAAAAAGTCGGGAACGAGAATGTTGCCCAGACCGACCGACAGGCTGATGGCGAGCGTGAACCTTTCTTTCCGGGTCCAACGGAGGCCGGCCAATACTTTAATACCAGAGGAGACAACCTGCGAGGTGAAAGGTCGTTAGTTGTTGGTACCCGGGCAAGCCCTTCAGCGGGGGTCCGACTCACTTGGGCGAAGAGGAAAGTGGTCGCGCCTCCAAGAACGCTGGGGATTGACGGCAACAGGGACAATTAGCTCTTGGCACCGTATCGCAACCTCGAAAGACTTGCCTGTTGGGTATCGACAAGAACACGCCAGCCAGCTTGCCCAATATGCCAAAGAGGATCAACAAGGAAGCGCATGCGTACCCCGCCGATCGGTTCGCGCATTTCGTGAGGACGATCACGCCTGGTTTTCACGATTGGAATTGTTCATATCAGTATGCTATTCGACCCGCAGTGAAACCAGACGAAGCGGACAGAGTATCGAACGCATATGCAGTCGGCCTACGACTTACCTGAGTTTTGAGCGAAAATGCTGACCGGGGTCATCGTCATGAGACCGCTCGTCAATCCTGCCAGTCCATCCGCGGCAATTCCGCCTTGGACTCGGGTATCGAATATCGGGCCCGATGTTTCGAGTCGAGACGCTTCGGCGCTTGCGGTGATGTCGCCTGAGGGCATGGGTTCACTTATTAGTTCAAGTGGCGGCGGGCTCTGAAACGCCCTGAAACACCTACCTGTCGCCTCGACTGCAAGAATCGTGAATACGCAGATACCGGGAATAATGGCAGCGGGATAGAGGGAGAGCTTGAAGGTTTCCACCCAGAGAAAGGTGATGGCTGGGGACGTGTCGATGGCAGCCGAGTTCATGTGACCGGTGGCGCCAGCGATGATGGAACCGACTAGGAGGCCGAGGATGATACTGGCGTTCCTCATGAACGGGCTGCCAAAGAGCTCGGTCTGGTATGTCAAACGGGCAACCAAGAGAGTTCTCGATTAGAGGCGGCGCGTCACGCTTGTAGAGCAAGACACCGGCACTCACGAGAATGATGGTGACGAAGCTGGCGAACCCTAGACCGATCATCCTGGGCGAACCGAACGCGGCGGGTCGGGGCGCGGCAATGTTGGGGCACAGGGCGAAAAAGCCCTCGGGAGAGCCGTGGCAGTTGGAACCACCGCCCCAGTTGAGGACACCGGATTTGCCAATCAGACTCGTGCCGATCAGGCTAGGCATGAGAACGAGTCGATCCCCGGTCAGAGCGGTTGCAAAGCACAAAGAGACGTGAACAAGCCAGGCGAAACTCACACAATCGCCGTTCCGGTGATGACGGGCGGGAAAATCTTTTTCAATTGTCGAGCAGGGACGAACGAGAGTCCCATCTCCCACAACGAGCACAGCATCATGGTCCCGATCAAGGCTCCGTATGCGTCCGGACAAGCTCCCTTGACGAGCGTCCCGTCCGCCGCTGTCGTCGATGGGCATTTCCCGCTGGCGTACATCTTGTCAAACAGAGTAAAGGCGGGCGAGATGGTGGCGAACGACGCGCCGACGACGGTGATCATTCCGGTGCCCAGGTAATAGTTTCGAAACAGGTGGATGCGGGACATCTGGACCATGGAGAGGATACCGGATGAGATGAGGGCCGCCGAGATCAGGTAGCTCTGGGTCGAGGCGGGAAGGGCGAGGTAATTGGCAAAGATCGTCGGAGGTACGATGAGCCCCCCGAGCATGGCTAGCGAGTGCTGCAGACCGGTGACGAGCTGGATGAGGATGGGCAGGTCGTCCTCGAGTCCGTAAAAGGGGGACGGTCGGCGGTGTTTCCGGTTGTTGCCCCAGGGTAGGACCGGCATGCAGAGCCATTTGTAATCGAACGTGCCGAACCAGCCGGATTTGGTCGTCAACTTGCGTCGAGCTGAGCGGGCGGTCTCGTGGAGCTTGGCTTTCCTGCTCATGGGCGGGGTGGCCGACGGTTCGGTGTCGACGATGTAGTCGGACATTGTGTGTGTTGCCTGTTGGTTCGCTTGGTCAGCCTAGGGTGAGCTTGCACGGATATGTCACAGGTCCAACTCCCGTCATCTATATATCTATATATCTCTCATCTCTCACACGATCTCACACGACCTGCTCCGATCTCGAGCGAGATAACGAACGCTCAGGCTGATTAGCGGCGCGTGAGATAACGGAATCAAACTTTACATCCGGGGGCTGAGTGGGGGATAATCCGACGTCGACGTATCAGATTGGTTGATCCGGTTTCATCGGATCGGATCTCGACGGCGAGGACGGGGTCGGGAGTTTGGATGATCGACGTTGCCGGTATCAGGTACAGAGAAACCTCGACATCGAGATGGCATCCTGGGGTGGGATTTCGAGAATTCGACGTGCTGGAGTGGACGACGTGGCCCCGGCAGTTGATACAGGCGATGATGTGCGGCGAGCCAGGAGTTTTGCCGCAGGTATCGAGCAGAAGGTGTCATGCATGCGAACGCAAAAAGCGGCGGTAGTGGTCCAATTGTTTCGAGATGTGTATCGCTTGTTCATGGCAAGAATGCGTACCGAGGCCCAGCTGGTGGAAGAGAGGCGCCGCAGGCGCCACGCACGCGGAGCGTGCGGATTTTTTGGCTGGGTCATTGCTGGCTCGACATGTGTTTACCGTGAATGTTTCAAACATCAACGTCCCGCTGGTCTAGGGGTTATGACCTCCCGTACCTCCTGTATCGCTGCAGAGTGCCAAGCGTGCTGAGCAGTGCGGATTTTTTGGCTGGGTCATTGCTGGCTCGACATGTGTTTACCGTGAATGTTTCAAACATCAAGGTCCCGCTGGTCTAGGGGTTATGACCTCCCGTACCTCCTGTATCGCTGCAGAGTGCCAAGCGTGCTGAGCAGTGCGGATTTTTTGGCTGGGTCATTGCTGGCTCGACATGTGTTTACCGTGAATGTTTCAAACATCAACGTCCCGCTGGTCTAGGGGTTATGACCTCCCGTACCTCCTGTATCGCTGCAGAGTGCCAAGCGTGCTGAGCAGTGCGGATTTTTTGGCTGGGTCATTGCTGGCTCGACATGTGTTTACCGTGAATGTTTCAAACATCAAGGTCCCGCTGGTCTAGGGGTTATGACCTCCCGTACCTCCTGTATCGCTGCAGAGTGCCAAGCGTGCTGAGCAGTGCGGATTTTTTGGCTGGGTCATTGCTGGCTCGACATGTGTTTACCGTGAATGTTTCAAACATCAAGGTCCCGCTGGTCTAGGGGTTATGACCTCCCGTACCTCCTGTATCGCTGCAGAGTGCCAAGCGTGCTGAGCAGTGCGGATTTTTTGGCTGGGTCATTGCTGGCTCGACATGTGTTTACCGTGAATGTTTCAAACATCAAGGTCCCGCTGGTCTAGGGGTTATGACCTCCCGTACCTCCTGTATCGCTGCAGAGTGCCAAGCGTGCTGAGCAGTGCGGATTTTTTGGCTGGGTCATTGCTGGCTCGACATGTGTTTACCGTGAATGTTTCAAACATCAAGGTCCCGCTGGTCTAGGGGTTATGATCCTCCCTTAGGGGTATTAAACATCCTACTTTGATGGGAGGGGTGCTGTGTTCGAGTCACAGGTGGGACCCACTTTTTTGCCTTTTTGCGCAATTCGGCACGATGATTCCCACGTCCTCATCTCCACGCGACTCGCTCTGCAAGCGGTCCCCCTGCTTGCAAATACAGACAAGGCAGCTTTTGACAGGCGTCTGCACCGATCTGCACTCGTTTGGAGCAGGAATGAGCGTTCGTCAGTCATCGCTCGCGTTGCGACGCGAACGGACGGCGTTTCACTTGCTCACTTGTCCCGCTCAACTGTCACGACACACGCGCGCAGTCGCTCGATCTTAGTTTGAGCTCCTGAATATCCTTCCAGGTTCTCGCATTCGTCGACATCGCGCTTCTGGCGTCTCGCTGATCCTCACTGCCTCGTAGAAATTCCATCGTCTGCAGCGAATGTAGCCTAACCGAGCTATTGCGCAAGGCATAGATCCCGGATGCGGGAGTGTCGATATTCGTCCGGGTCGACGGGGTTACAGATGGGCTGGAGTCAAGTATTTCTGATGAGCCAGAGAAGGTGGAACAAATACGTGACTGTATGCTCGCGGGCAACGTATGCCCGGCGTGGGGGTGCTGTGTTCGAGTCACGAGAGGGACCGGTCGGTCTATCGGCGATGTACGTTGTCGATGTCAGATCCGGAAGCGCCTGTGACGCATATCACTTCCAATTTACAATATCATCGACCGGTGTCATCAGCCATACAATAGCCAGTCGCCGAAGACCCTGCGCAATTCTGAAAACGGTGATTACCCTAAAGCGTTTATTGGGACTTTACGACTGATCTAGGTCGAGATGAATGAACAAGGCACGGGGACATGTTCGTCAAAAGTATCACTATGCCCCTTCCATGATTTTGCAGATCACGATGTCTGCTGGATGCGGACGCCTACAAATTCGACAAGCAACTACTCAAGCGCGATGGTTTGGCTGAGGGGTCTCGTTCCATCCTCCGTTGCAAAATGAGGCGGAGTGAACATCGTGTGGCAAGTCACCAGAAACGATGGCGAGGCTGCTCGATGCAATGTTACCAATGTCTGTAACCTTGTTAGCTTAGCAATAACTGTATTGAGCATTCAAAGTGGCCAGTCTTTCCGCCAATCAAGGCCGGAAGGCCCGACATCAATAGCTTTTCGAGACGGGACGTGAAGCCTGTTCCAGTAGACGGTTCGACGACCCCTGTAACGGTCCGACGTGGCCTTGGGAATGGGCCTGGCACGATCGTCTCTCACTCTTGTCCTTTGATTTGTCGGTGAGAAACCAATATACGAGGACCGATGCGATGCCAATACCGGGCTGAGTTGATATATCTGCGAGATCGCTGAAGCCATCGTTTTGGAAACTGTAAGCGCTGATGCAGGGCTCGGTTTGGGTAAAGACCGAGGCAAATTTGATATCGGGATGGAGGGTCAGGTGGTCTGTCGGCTGTTCTCGCCAAAAAAGATGCTAATGAGGCGGGAAGGGGGTGAAAGGTCAGAAGGAGGGGGGCTGCAGGCGACGAAAGCTAGGCAGGCTTCACTTCCTCGACTTCCGAAGATGGATGGGCACGGGGAGCATATTCGATTTCTTGAACGTACGGAGCGGGCGTCGATCGTGGTTCGAACCCGCGAAGCGGGCGGTCCTCGGTATCTAGTGACGAGAGGCGGTTATAAGAGGTGATGATCCATGCGGTATTTCATGCTGAAAAGTATTGCGAACTCCACGGGGGTACAGCCTTCTCGGTTGAATGCAAAGTCCAATATCCATATTGCTCTTGTACATGTGCGTGGCAGACCAGCCAACCAGCCCCGATTCCTTCCCGGCCTCCTAGTACTTGTGCCGTGTTGAATAATCTGTAGCAAAAAAGGCCGTCGCATTCCAAATTAAGTACGTCGAACAATGTTCAGCCGGATCACCACGTCCTCCGATTCACCTTTGGGAGCCACGACAAGACCTCGTCCTTTAGACGCTCCTCGGTAGACGGTCTCCACAATGTCGATCATCTGTCGAGACAAGAAAAATGTCAGAGGTCGGCTTGTCAACCGCTTTTGTCGTCCAAAATCGTCCGCTCACCTCCTGCTTGTCACTGATCGCCCAGTTGCTAGAAGAGCCGAATGGAGGGAGGATGTTCTTTCTCAGCTACCTTCGTTGGGCAATCATCGGCACCCGACTCACATCTTGTTGTTGTTACCGGTACCCAAATCAATCATGATATGTTTGTTTCTGGATCGAGCAAGACGCGAACACAAGGCAAAGGTCAGCCTAATGCTGTCGAATAGAGCGATCTTCAGGATCTCCACTCACCGGTAAAAGAACATCAGGGTGCACGGGTCGTACAACTCGTACATCTGCAACGAAACATCATTCAAGTTAGCCCGGTCCTTTGTAATCGCATCTTGCCGGGCCTTTCTCTCACCTTGTTGAAGTCCGGCACCTTCGTGATGTCAACTATCAGGGTCAGAGAAACGCCGATCAGCAAAGTCGTCTTGATCACACCTCGACATCAAACGCTCACTCACCCAGGTAGATGACCGCAAAGTTCTGAAGCTTCCCTTGCACTCCGTACAGCGTCTCATCCATGACCATGCAGTTCGGATCCCAATCGTGCCCGAACCGAATACAGACCACTCGATCTTCCTCGACTTCGATGGCTTGGTCTACGTGCCACCCGGATGGCAGACTGCACGAGTGCGAGTGTCGTGGTCAAGCGTTTTAAGCCAAGTACGGCGGCGGTGAAATAAAGATCGGATCGAAAGAGTATCAGTACTGTATCGACGACGGGAGCGAGGGACCGTACTGACTGGGTCATAAAGTAAGACATGGCTGCGGGCTCCTGCTTCTATTTCGCCTCAGTGAGTCGTCGTCGGGTTTGCTGCACACAGGTTCCAATCGCTTGTTTTCCAGTCTCGTTTGCAAGTCAACTTTCAGCGTTCCGAGTGATCTTATGGTCCGCCTCCTCGCTGTTTCTACGTGTGGTGGGGGTGAGTCGAGATTACCACTGAAAGCTACAGAAGAAGCAAGTCGACAATGGGTTATTATCGATATTAGCCCCTCTACCCTACCCTCCTTCCGAGTATCACGTGACATCGGATGGTAATAATTACTTCCGGAGCGTTGGGTATTCGTAAGACGCCATCGGTCCGATCGATATCGTGCTCGTTGTTCTTGTCCTCCGTACCTTATATGACTTCTAATCATTAGTGCTTCGGCCGTATCGATCATACCGAAGCACCTACACTCTAGGATAACTAGACTAACTGACTATGGACGCCGAGGATCAGCCCATAGCAGCCAGAACGGATGGAGCCAACTTGCTGACCGAGTTGATTGCCGGCAGGCAAGTCGGCGCGGATGACGGATTGACTGGAATTCTTGTTGACACAACATTGATGATGTGCTATATTGAACAGCGTCGGAGGAGCGTGCCAGGTCATCGTCGGACAGGTAAGACCAGTCCATTGGCCTTCCTGAATCAGTCTGTATCTAATTAATCCTACTGATCATTGGTGTAGCCGCTCGACACGCTGAAAGTTGTGAGTCGTGACGTGCATTAAACGCAACCCGCTGTTATCCTCGTGTTCTACTAAGCATGTTCCGCCCTACCTGTAGAGAGCACAAACCGCGCCTCCGGGGACTTTCAAGAACACATGGGACATCGCCCGACAGACCGCTGCCAAAGAGGGCGTCTGGGCCTTCTACAAAGGTAAGCAGACTCAGACTCGGCGCCCACCTCTCGAACCAGAAGCTGACAAGCACAACACGCCGCGCAGGCATGGCTAGTCCGCTCATCGGTATCGCCGCCGTCAACTCGCTACTGTTCGCGGCATATGGGACATGTAAACGCGCCATCTCCCCGTTCGGCGAGCTGTCGCTACCGCAGACAGCCCTAGCTGGAATGGGTGCTGGGGTGGCACAGTCCGTTCTGGCTAGTCCGGTGAGCCAGCATGGATACGCTAGCAGGAATGATCGCCCATTGACGTTTCGGGTTTCCGTGCTGTAGGTCGAACTCGGTAAAATTCGTATGCAGGCAAGTCTTATCGAATTTTCTGCTATGACCGAAGCATCTTCCTCGCTTCTCGTGTACTAATAACCAGAACACATTCACCGCATCTTTACAGGGCCAGGTCAGAACAAAAATCTTTGCCCGCTTTGTCTCGGATGATCACTGATCCCAAAGTCCTTGACCTGAAACAGTACGGCGGGAAAGAGGACAAACGACTAGTCGCCGTAATCACCGATCTGTACAAGCGGTACGGCCTGCGACACGGCATAATGCGAGGGTTTTGGGCAAGTAGTCTCTCTCACGATCTCTTCTAGTGCTCCTACGCAGCCGGATACTCATCCCTTGTATGACAATTTGATATGGGTTGTAGGCCACAAGCGCTCGGGACGCTCTTGCGTATGCTGGGTTCTATACCGGTAAGCAGTCGGCGAGTCCGGTGTCATGGCCTGCGCCGCCTGACCACTCCCGTATCTTAGGCTACGAGGCGACGAAACGGGCTCTCACTCCAGCGGGGACGAAAACTCCGTCCACCGGCGTGTACCTCGCATCAGGTGAGCTCATTGACAAGGAACCCTTTCGAGTGATCTATGACTGACGGTGATCGGCTTCTTCACACAGGTGCTGTTGGCGGGACGTGCTACTGGCTTGCGTGCTATCCGCTCGACATGGTCAAGAGCCGAGTCCAGCTTCGAGCGGAGCCTCCACGACCCGGCTTAGGATACATTGTGACCGAGCTCTCGGCCATTGTGCGACAAGGCGGAGTGTGAGTATCAGCGCAGACGGACGACTGAGCCCACCTGACGACCGATGATTTCATCGCCTCCACAGGGCGGGTCTCTTCAAGGGCATCGTGCCCACCCTGCTACGAGCGGTGCCGGCTGCAGCAGTCACGTTCGGAGCGTTCGAGTTGACCAAAGGTAAAAGCCGTTGTGCGCTGCATTACAAGCATCGGTAGTTCCTGACTGAGCCACCGCTTCTCCGTTCCACAACAGATTTCATCGTGTCCAATCGTCTCATTTGAGACGTACAAAGTACCTGCCTGTTTTTCTCCTTGTAACAACAATAACCATTCTTAATCCACGCAAGGTGCTGCCAATTATGCAGACACATCCATTCGCCTCCACCTGTACTGCAGGACGACGTCCATACCCGACGATCCTCCGCCGAGCCCAGGTGCTTGCCAGATGTACTGCTTGGTCGCCGCCAAGGTCATGGTCATCGGGACCACTACCCCATTGCACAAGACTTCGAGAACGTCTTCCGCAGTACGCGCTTCGCCGTTAGCTTTGGTCATCTGGCCCGCGTCTGGGGTGGACGATTTCCCGACAGCAGCAGCCCGCGCCTGTTCGACAGCGCCGAACCTCGCCGGACTCTTGCTCGAGGCCTCGGTCGATTGCGCAGTGATCAAACCGCTCTCATGGCTGCCTCGTCGTCCTTCTGAAGACTGCGATGCGCCTGATGCCTTTCCATCTTGATTACCCAATTCCAGCTTGTCATGGATCTGAGACCAGGACGATCAGCCATCTTGAAAGCGACGGAGTAAGCTGAGCGTTTACTCACGTATTGTAAGACCTTGCGAATCCGCAGCACTCGATTAGCAGTAAGGCGAGCGTTGCTTCAAACAAGCGAAGCGAAGGCGTCCGTCAGTCAAACTGGACTGCGGCATGATGGTCGCATTTGTTTGGTCTGAACACTCACTTGGCAGGCATGGGCTGTAAGCGTTCAGCCGCGTCGCCTCCTTGCCAGGGTTCAAGAATAAAGCACAATTTGACCGGCTCCTTGACTCTGTTACGACCAGCGAACAGATACTCTAGCATCCAACCCGGAGCGGCCATTTCGAGGGGTTCCATGTCCTGTTCCGTCCGCGATACCATGCTTCGATAGATAACGGCCCAAGCGCCGGCTTCTTTGCTCTCTTCCGAGATCAACAACGAGACATCTGCAGGCAGGTCGATCGGGGGAGCTTCGGTTGGGGGAGGTGGTTGGAAAGTATGGGCTCGAATCTGAGACAAGAGTCGAAGCTGTGCGGCCTCCCGTTCCGGAGCTGCTGGTGACTGAACTCGCGTAACTATTAGTATTCTACCTCGTATACCGCGAGACCTCGCAGCAGCTCACCTTTTCCACCTCCTCTTCGGATTCTTCAGGCATCGGGGCGATGGGAACGACCGATACAGGTTCGACGGTCTTTTTGCCCTTGCCACCGAAGCCCTTGAACTTGCCCATGAATGAACCACCGGGTGTTTGAGCAGGAAGGCTCGAAGACAGATTGGCCCCTGGTGTAGTCGGAGGGTTCGCTCGTTCGGCAGTCGAGGGTCTGCTGGTCTTGATGCTGAAGTAATCCTTTGGCATGCTCGATTCGGATGCTTTGGGCGAACGCATCGGGTTATTGGAAGACGTCGGGCTCATCGGTGTCGCTGCGTTTGATGCCAGGGTAGCGGGAGACTGAGGAATGATTGGCAGTCCGCCAGGCGTTTCGCGAACCCCACGCGAACCGCCAGCAGTCAGGTAAGATGTCTGAGTACCCGGTGGTGGCAGGATTGCAGGGGTGATGGCCGGCGTCGCGAGCCCAAACATGAGAGCTCCAGGGGTAGAAGCTCCACCTGTAATCAAGGATTGCGACCGCGCTCGTCGGCTTGTGGCCCGGTCAAGAGATATGAAGGTGGGTGCAGGACTTCGAGATAGTGAAGGCGCAGCTGTGGATCCCTGGAGAGAGCTATCGGCAGTGGCATCTACATTGCCTGTTTGAGAGACCTCTGCAGCCTCCGCCTTGATCAGACCAGCAAACAGATTTGCCAGAGCCCATTTGCCAAGGTTGACTGGACACGCGAGGCCGGAATCAGTCTGGAACCGCAACCGCAACCGCTACTAAGCAGACTTACTCCTCTGGTCCTCCTTGAAGGCGGGATCTCCTTTATATCCAACCTCGTCGGCATAGACCTCTGCATCAAAGCATCGATTCTCCTCGACATGGACGGTCAGACTCCCAATCCTGGTATCGACAGTGCACCAAGTTATAGTCGAAGACTCTCCTTCGATTCGTTCGCGGACGATATCCAACGCTTCCTTGGAATCCCTGCCAATGTCTCGCAAGTCGTAACCGCTCTCCTGGTAGACGCTCGAGATCTCAGTCTCATCGTATCGTCCGACACATTTGCCTTGGATGACATTCCATACGGCCACCTGACCACCAGTATCCACCGTGAGTGCGTGTTGGCGATCGTTGAGTATCAGCGCTCGAATGAGACCGTGTCGACCTTTGATGACCTCAGCCGGTTGATCGCGTATCGGATCGGCCTCGACGAGAATCTCTCTTTCCTCAAAGTCTCGCCTGGCCACATCACCTGGATCAGGCGTAGCTCGTCCTTGACCCTGATGGCTGCTCAACGAGGGCGCTCCGTTTCTCGCCAAGCTGCTTCGGCGGTAAGCCATGGCTGAACCGAGGAATGACTCTTGCGCTTTCTTCTCGTCCGTCTCAGTCATATCCAAGGTACTGCTTCCAAAGGCCTGTGGACTCGCTTTCAGCCCCAGGCATACCTGATGCGCGTAAGCAATGCCGTTCCGCCCAGTAGCATATTCAGCACCGCCGGTGCGTGATGAGGCAACCGACATGATAGACCCGGCGATCGGCGCTCCCGACATCGTAGTCTTGCGAACGCCGAGCATTGGCCCCGAGCTACGTGAGACGTCATTGGCATCATCAAATGGGTTTGTCGGCTTCGAGGTCTCCGCAAAGGCCACCGTCCGCCCGTCCCGCTGTTCAGCAGGAAGAGAGCTAGCGGCGTTGGGCGCTTGTGATAGGGTCCTCTTGGGTTGAGGCATTATGAAACCGCCGACCGTGATCATGGGCGGAGAAGTGGCGGCAGGCGGTTGCGGTTGCGGTTGAGCCGCTGGAGCAGGAGTCAATCCGACAGAAAGACTACTTCGACGCTCGGCAGACGGTACAGGCGCTTCCAGTCGATCACGCTTCCTGCCAACGTCCCTCCATCGCTTGACACTGGCGCTCCCGGTCGCTGTCCAGACGTACTCGTCATCCATTCCGATGATCTGCGAGATTCCCTCGGTACCTCTCCTCCCTTCTTCAACATCCACCTTGGCTAGGAGGACGCACTCCCCGTCCGAGTAGTCGGTCTTGCAACCGGTCACATCGACGGCCGCAAGGTGTCCCGTACGGTCTCCCGAGAGGAACCTCTCTAGATTCGGGTGATCCGAGTACAGAGACCATACAGAGTCGGTATGGTGAGTAAAGGTATGCAGACATCGCTGAGCAGCCAACGACCAGAGTCTGCAGGAACATAGTTAGCTCGTAAGCAAAAGGTGTACTTGCAAGAAGTATCAAGGTCACTCACTTGACTGTACAGTCGGAACTGGCGGATAAAAGCTATCAAGGGGAGAAACGGAAACACCAGCTGGTTAGCTGACTAGTTCTAAGCGCAAAGGCGCACTTATGACTGACATGTCGACCATCCTGACTCAACAAGATCGCCCTGATATTGTCCGTATGACCTATAAGCCCGGCGATACTCTGTCCATCTTGAGAACCAGCTGCTCGAGGGTCCCACAGTCGTACGACCCGCTCAGGCGATCCAGCCGCGACTAGCGTGCCCGCATCATCTGAGAGATATCACGAGAATCAGGTCATCGATCATCTCTTCACGCCGGAAAGCGCTGCAAGAGCTAGAGAAGAAAGACTTACTGGCTGTGAGGGCATAAATGCTGCCTTTCCCTCCCTCTTCACCGATCTGATCGGGGAACTTCAAGGTTGCTACGGGATCTTCAGGCCGGGGTTGAGTCACGTCCCACAGGTAGACTTGACGATCGAGACCCCCAGAGAAGAGGGTGTTGGAGTGCTTCCTGCAGACATGACACACGGTTGAGAACAACTATGCTTAACGTGCCTTCTCCCGTTGTCCGGAAAAATGCCTGGAAGCTCTACTTACGAAAACGAAAGCACCTTTGCGTAATCGCGATGAACCCCGATGAGTTCGGGCGAAGCGCTCTTTTCCGTATCATGAGGTGCCCACGCTCGGATGGTTCGGTCGGACGAGCAGGAGATGACGGTCTGATTCTGGTTGCAGAGCAGGATATCGTTGACCCAGTCTGTGTGGGTCTGGACTGATTGACGGAACGTCGTGGGCGCGGGCTATAAGAACGAGAATCGGAAGTCGAGCAATCAGTTTTGGGACGAGCGGGGTTCACTTTCAGTGACATTGGTCGAGAGCGGCGAGGTGACTCACCTGACGACGATCCAGCGCCTCCTTGTCGATCTGCCACCTCTCGGTGTATTCGAGCTCCTTGCGACGATGAGACGCACCCCGACCCGCCGAGCCCCTGTTATGTCCCGGCGCGTGCTGAGTATCCCCATCCTCGAACAACAACGAGTGATCCGCTTCCATCCCCCCGTCGCTGGACGTGCCATCGTAGCTCTCGTCCTCCTGGTCCAGCTCGGAATCCACTTCGTCGGCATCACCGTATTCGTTGTCACCTTCCCAATCGCCGGAAGAGACGCCGCTCTCGCCGAGTTCTAGACGTTCCCACCTGACCCGCTCGCCAGGCTTCATGGCCTCGCTCCATCTGGGTCGACGACGCTTGGTCATGGGCATTCCTAGTTCCCACCCGGCCACGAGTCCATCACGTCCTCCCGTGTAAAGGATACCTTCCGGGGTGTTGCGACCGGCAAGTAGAGTCGAGGTATCGAGAGCGATCGCTGCGACCCCGAGACAATGTCTAGGATGATGGGTCCCATCCGAATCTAAAGCCGAGTCTCTTACGAGCGTCGCGTTCTTGCGAATCGCGCCGTTCCTCTTTGGGTTCCCGTTGAGTGCATCTTGATGAGGTAGCAAGAGAGGGCTCGTCCTGCCCAGACGAGGTTCCGTCAGGGATGGTAGCGAGAGCAAGGGTACGGGGGCGTCTGAAGCTGGTAGCACATAGGAGACGCGTCTCGACATGGTGGTCTTGTACCGATGTCGACAGACTTGATCCTAGCAGAAAGATTTACGATTACCAGGTATTTATAGAGAGGAGAAATCGCTACTGTAATATATTATACCGGTTGGCGAATTGAAAGAGTTGACGACTTCACGACCATGGACGAGTGGGATGATGCTGATCGACCCTCCCTCTGGCCTCTCGTTGCACCGCATGACGCAGGTCCCACTGGCCGATCCGGGGGAGGGAGGGGGACGTGGGGTAACAACGGACCGGGATCGATTCACATAAATACACGTCGCCCCCTTCGATTAGCCTTTGATCGTCATTTTGATTAGTATTTAGGTCAACGTTTTGCTTACTTCGATTAGTAATTAGTAAACCTTGGGCTAATCGGTGCACGTGATTTCAACTACAACTTGGGCGTCCCTTCCAAAGTCTAGAGTCTGACGCCAGCGGCGATCTCGATCAACCAACCTTGAACTTTTGGCAACGGGTCTCGTAACATCACAAGGTCGCCCCGCCCATAGCAAGGCAAATCGCCTGGAACTTCACCCACTTCACCTCACATACAAAAGGACCGGCTCAACTCCCTCGCCCTCGCCTCCTATTGAGCTCTAGTACCAGCATCGGACCGCTTCGACTCACTAGCTCACTAGACATCTGTCGTGATGCAATCCAATAATTTGGCACGTACCGTGTCACGATCGTTCGTTCGTCGCTCTACTGCCTCCCGAGCACACTCGACATCATCGGCTCGTACCATCGCTTCTTCCTCTGGTCTCCTCGTACCCGGAACGAGACGCCAACAAAACGTGCTTCGAACGGGATCGCTACAATGTCGAACCTTTTTCAACATCTTCCGATCGTCGGATCGACCCCCTCCTCCACCTCCACCTCCTCAGCCTCTGTTTTCTCAGGATGACCTCTTTCACGTCCTCGATCAGAGTCCGGTAATCCAGCTCCAACGACGGGCCAAGACGATCAAATCCCTCGCTCCCTGTCCTACCTGTCTCGAACACGCCCACGCCCACAGTCCGAACCAAGCTGAAGGACAGGCAGAAACCTCAACGACCGGGTCCTCTACTACTACTACCGAGTCTCCGACGCCCAGGATCAACAAGGTCGACTATTCTTGTTCTGAATGCGGTTTCCCGACTCATTGTTCGGAGGGTCATTACCTCGAGGGCAGGGAGGCGCACGACGAATATTGTTCGAGGTTGAGGGAGATCAACGAGGATGAGCACGATTTGCGTAGCGGGAGACTCATCAGCGAGTTTGAACTTCCAGGTGAGTACAAGGCTTGGCACCATGGCAGTATCTAGAGTTGAGCAGCCGTAACTGGTTACCTCTGGTTGCATTTGATTCATTTAGGCGAACAAGACTACGAAACATCCCCAGCCCTGTCAAACTGGGACACCCTTCTCTACACGCGAAACTTCTCATCGACCAACTCTGAACGGGCCAAGAGGCATGTTAGCAAACTCTTGACGTATCCGATGACCATGGCCAGCGTCATGCATCGATTGGGGCCGTATGCGGGATCTCGAGGTGGGCTTGATGGAAGGTTGACTGCCGAGGGTAGCCGAAGCATGGCAGGTGAGTTGGGAGATTGCGATTCAGCGCTCTTCTCTCAGCTTCGATTCTGATCATCTTTGGATTGCCTCATCAGCTCTGCATACATCTTTGCACCCCCCTATGGGCTCGAACCCTACCGCCAACGGTAGAAACACACAAACGCCGATCAGAATCTTTGTCCTCGGCGCCCGAGCGGAATCAGCCCTGCCACCTCACGTATACGAACAGGTCTGCCATCTGTTCCCCTACACCCAGTTCCACTTCTACTTCGTCGGACCTCAAGCCGCCTTGCCGACCCGACCTCTGCCTCCTCGAGATGGCACGACGGCATCAGATGCCAAGGCCGCTGCAACTAGCGATAGCGAGGGCAAGAGAGTGTACGACGAAAAGACTCCCAGCCAAAACTCGGAATCCGAAGGTCGAGGTCGATCAGAGTCGGTCGGATACGGTGTGCCAGCATACACCGTGCCCGTATCTTCCACGTTGACCTTGACGACGCTGCAATCGTCTTACGAATCGGTCCACGAGCAGTTCGGTCCTTTCGACCCTTACACCGACGTCTTTTTCGCCTTCTGCCCTGGGTTCGGGTTCCCCTCGCCTACGGCGGGGCGGGATGCAGTGAACCCGGACGGTAGCCAGGTCGTCCAGGCTCAAGTGGAATGGAAAGAGACCCTTCAACAAGTGTTGACAACCAAGTGTCCCCTGTTCGTCACCGGATTCTCGCCGAGAGACGTCGAGCGGGACGTCAACAGTCTCGACTCCGTCGACGGCGTCAAGGGGGAATACGACATCTTGTTACGTCCGGGTGAGAATCCGTTCGGCAGTCTCAAATGGGAGGCGGGCGACTTTGATCCCCGCGTCATGGTCAGAGTGAACTGGGGAGTCTGGGCCATGCGTGGAAAGAGTTACGACGTAGATCAAAGCAAGATCGAGTAGATTGATAGATACTCGACAATCAGACATGTATAACGTAGCCACACCTCCACCTCACGGGCTCTAATTCGATAGATCAAGTTTGGTATGTTAACCCGCTTCATTCGTCTTCCATGTCTCCCATGTCTCCCATGTTGGAAGTCGCATATCCAAGCTCCGACTCTGGCTCTCGACCCATCGTGACGTTTGCCATTCGAGATTCTCGCAAATTGGCCCCCCGCAAACGTTGTTCCTGACAGGGTGCGCTCGTCAGCTCACAGCACACCATGAGCCAGCAGCCACCACACCTCACCTGTTGCGCGGCATCCGAGAGTGGTCCACGATACGTCCGGGAACCTGCAGCCAAGCCTTGCTCGTCCAGTGCCGATTGTTTCGCTCTACTCTTTCTAGTCCTTTTCTTCGGCGCTGTATTCGCTGACAAGGGCAAAATCGAGCCCCCATCATCGTTCTCGCAACCGTGAGGGAGACTATTGTTGTCAAAGTCATTGAATTGGGCGACCAGCTCTTCGATCTTTTCGGCGTCGCATTCTTTGCCGTCGATGAGTGCTTGCCACTTGAGACGCAACATCGCCTTGATCGCATGAAATTGTCGCGGCTTGTACCATCCGGTGGCGTCCTGGCGATTGATGAGGTATCAGTCGCAACGTGAAGGCACAATCGGGTCACAAGCTTCCACTCACATCTAGTCTATCTGACAGGGCTCTCGGGTTATGGATCATGCTCTCAAGCAGAGGCTCACTGATGTCGCAGAGTTGGAAATTTCCTACATCTCGGTGCAACACTTTTCCGTCAAACAAGTGCGATTTCCTGTGTCGAAGCGCCAGATTAGCGTCACCCTTCAATTCTTCATTGATCCAATATGCTTTCTACTTGCGTCACATCCGGTTCAAAGTCTTGACCGTACAGCTGCTTCATCCGGTCGGCTTGCCAAGCGGTAGTCCTCGGGGCTTGGAGCTCGCCGTTGCTCTCCTGGATCTTGTTCATTGACATCCTTGCACCTCCATCTTCTCGCATGATACGGAAGTACATTCGTTGATACCTAGAACCACGCTTAGAATCAATTTCCCTTATAACACGCGCTCACGTTGCACGAGCTCGATGTTCGGTGATCTGTGGACAAGTTCGACTCACTTGTACGTGCTCCGATCTGTACGAGGGTCGAATCCCAGTCGAACGAGATTGTCCCTAAACGGTCCATCGACGATGACGTACGCCACAGCGGGTAGGTATGCGTGTTTCCTGTCAAGCCGTCGCACCGACGCAAGTTCAGTACACCAACCGCACTTATAGATTGATGTCATTTCAAGTGAAAATCATCCTCACGATTGGAAGAGTCGACGAATCTCTGCGTCAAACTGATTATGGATTGCCAACCTCGACCAGACCGGCCTTTCTTGGAAATGCTACCCAACGATCCACACACCGATGATTAGATCAGCCTCGACGATCAGAGACCGGCAGATTCTTTCGTCGGACGTCCGAGCGCACCTTTTTAACAGTGTCGAGTACCGCTGCGTTCGTATGGGGCTGTTTCAGTGCGGTCTTGATGTCCGCAGCAGGTTCTTGAGGGATACGTAAATACGAAGAACAAAAATCCCGCGCAAAGGTAAGCTTTGTACTTTCTTTTCCTCGAGCCCAGCTACCACAGAGCCTGTATGGTAAGACTCATCTTGATCTGCATGCCGAATCTGCCTGAAATTGTGGACGACGTTCTTGTGCCGGTTGACGTATCGGAAGCCTTCGTCCCCCTTGATCGGGTTGGTATACGGTTCCAACTTGGACATGGGACCGTGCTCGAACCTGCATCGCAAGATGTCCAAAATCAGCATCGAAGATCGCCTTGCATCACGTATGCCCAGTAAGACAGGACTTGGGCGTAAATCTGGAAGTGGAGACTCACGCGAATCTAGCGGGAATAGACTGTGTACTGAACTGCGGAGGAGGTAGGGCATGTAGTCGGCTACGTCGCGTGATCTTGCCATCCCAATCCATCTGCCCTTGCTTGTTTTTATCCTGACCACCATTACCGACAACAGCATCACCGTTGTGAGCAGGGTCGTCGTCCAGTCCGATTGGGTGACCCGTAGGAAGAGGTTCGTCGTATTCTTCATCGAGGGGTGCGAATTCGAAGGTGGACAGCGTCTCATCTAGAGAACGTGGACAGTATCAATAGGAAGTAGGTTCAGATGCGCTAATTGGACAGGACATGTAAGTCAATTTGAATTCCCAATTACTCACAGTCAGCTTTCATGAGACCGTCGATTAGCCTGACAGTCCTAGATTCAGGAGATGGCTTGTATTGATAGTCGGCCATGGCTGTTTCACCAGATTAGGTAAGTGAAGGCCTCAGATATGTTTTGACCTGTACGAGCGCACCTCGGTATCGAACAGTCTGCTTGATCGTCCCAGGTAACTCAATCTTATAGATTCCTCCTTCGGAGTGCACATCATCTTCTCCAGCTTGGTTCGACCGACGACGCCTACGTCGCGTAACCTTGAGCAATACCCGATGCGTCGTTGTCCTATCCCCAGCTACAGGATGCGCGAAATGATCGTCAGGCCTGAATCGGAGCTCCAAGTTGGACCTGCTCTTATTGAAGACGCTGTTCCAATCTTCAGGTCTACCGAGACCACGTAAGGCCTTGTCTAGGGAAGCTGAGGAGGGTCCGATGGGTCCTGGATATTCGACGCTCTGAAAGGCTTCGTGTCCGATCGGATAGAAGGGCGCTTTGTCCTCTTCTTGCATGATTGTGATCGGGCAATTCAAGTAGATGTGAGCAATAGATTGGGCTTGTAAGGGGATTGTCTATGTGTTCTTCATCAAGTCGGCTCTCGATACGAGGTTTGTTGAATTTGTTGACATGTACCCTCGATATCGTCAATTCGTCACTTTAGATCTCGGCTCTTCCCCTTTCGGAAGCAATTTCGCTACTAAAAAAGCTTCCGATCAGGGCTTTTGAGCGATTCCCATCGATCGTCATATTCCCCTCTTGATCTTGGCACATCGGGTCATCATCTTGCTACAACGTCGACCTACTCCCAATGATCAACGAAAGCTAGTAGTAGAGAAACAGGGAGGTATCTCAAACTGTAACAATCGATCGCGAGGACCTCGCCGGCCTGGATCTTTCGGCACGTAACGACCCCGACGACCTGCACGAACGCCCTCCACTTTCCGAGCTCTCTCTATCGAGGAGCAGCTTCTTGTGATCGCTACACCCAATTGAACTCCTTCAGCTCGACTGCAGGCTACAGGACCGATTCATCGAGGTTTCCACTCCAAGATGCCTCGACCGAACCTCTCCAGGCCTGACGATAGGACCATGTCTTACCTAATTCCGCCTCCCACACCGAGGCCTGGTCTGAGGCAGAACGACGAGGAGGAGCGGATGCCGCTGTTGATGCCATCATCAGATACCTTGGCCAACGTGAGTCAGTATCCGTATAGTCTAGCATCTCTCATCTGCTGATGTCTGTTCTTCTTGCTTTCACAATCTTCAAGACACAAGTCTACGCCTTGATACATCTCATTCGTGTGGATGTTACTAGCCATATCGATACTCCGTTGACTACCGATCAATTGCTCGCACCCGATTCGACCTATACTATCGTCAGGCAAGTCCTATCGCCTCCCTCACATTCCTTTGACGGTCTTGATCGCTTATTAGAGCCGAATGTTCAGACCTCTGACGGAGAAATACGCCTCGATGGAGAACCACGCCATCAGTGAGCCAAACTGTCGAGCTGACAATGTCAAGACGATGCTAGAACATGGTACTGATATGGCTTTCGATATATCCCTGCAGTCTTCTGTCTACTTCTCAATCGAGTACAGTTTCTCAAAGATGCGACTCAGCTGTCCATCAACACTCTGTCGATGACGAGAGCGTCTTTATGCGAGATTCTTGCAATCCGGGTCCTTCGTGCGTAATGACCATAGTTGCGGACGTAGCTAGGATGAAGTCGCATTTTCAAGGCTAAACTTGCTTTTGTTGGATCTTCACCTTGTTACAGGCGGTTGGTCAGAACGTACACTAGCGTTGTCCAACCTCCTCCTCATCCCCTGGGCACTCTTCCAAGGAGCTTCCCCGGCGGTCATCGAACGGGCCAAGGAGGAAGGAGATGACGACGAGGACTTGGCGGAGAGCGCGGGAAACGCTTTGGAAATGGCCATCTTGGGGAACGCGAAGAGGTTCATCCGGAGTCCTAGTGCCCAAAAGGTTATTGGTGAGTTGCACAGCGTCAGGTAGCAAATTGAGATGTCGATATCGGTACTGATGGTCATGATGATGTTTATTGCTTGGTCCAAACAGAGGGAATATGGAGCGGAAAGGTTATCTACCATGCCGTCAGCCAGCATGCGATGATCTCAGATGTCAGTCAGACGGCGGAATTGAACAAGATCGTGTTTTCGCAAACTGAAAGTAATCTTGGAAACGTATAAACAGAACTACAAGAAGAAACCTATCCGGATATACAACCCTCACAAAGCGCCTCTCCTGGATCATTATCGGTAAGTCTACCTCCTCTGTAATGTCAATACCACCTCGCTTTTCTGATTCCTTGACGGCCCCTCGACAGCCTGAAAGTGCCCAAAGTACGGGCCATCCTGGAATACACCAACTTTATCATCCTCTTCGTCCTCTACGTACAAGCACTGGAAGGTCTCAATAAGAAAAAGGTGAACGTGCGGGAATCGTTATTCATCGTATATGCGTTAGGTAAAGCACTCTTCGTACTATTTACTGAATGACGGGGATCCGTGGGGCTGATAGAGTTTGGGAGTAGGGTTCACTTTGGACAAGCTTGCCGCGATGCGGGAACATGGTTTGAGAGGTACGTTCCTTCCCCAAGCTATGGTTGCCACGCCAAATTCGCTAATGAGCCTGTCTCGGCACAGTATTCGCGGCCAATCTCTGGAGTGAGTTTCAATGCATTCTGATTTGAATCAGGGATGATACGGAGGGTATTGATAAGTCTCAATCTGGTCAGACGGATTCGATCTCGCCTTCATCCTCATCTACATGGTATATCTTGTACTGAGGATGTACGGTCTCAAACATGGGGAAGAATGGGCAAGAGAACTCAGTACTGATTTCCTAGCGATGGGTAAGCTGTTTGAAACTGAAGTTGTAGGTCTCTTGAGCTCACAGTGGTTTTAATTCACCAGGTGCCGTCGGGATGTTCCCTAGACTGGCTTTCGTAACGTTGAGCAATAATCTCATGATTCTGAGTCTAAGGTAATTGAACGATTCACCTTGAGCCTATCACCGCGCGCTAACGCCACTACGAGTGAGCAGGAGCATGATGAGCGAGTTCTTCAGTCAGTTTCTTCGGACGAGTATCCTTCTCCGAACCCTGCCCTAAGGTCATTCATCTTCACCTTCGCAGTCTTGATGAGTATCGCGACCTTTTGTTTCTTGGGGTTCTCCTATGCTCTGTGGACCCTGGGCGGTGGCGAATACTCTTGGTCCCAGATCGGATGGTACTTGTTGGAGGTGAGTATTTTATTGGCAGTGGAGCGGCGTTTCGAGACTGAACGTCGGTACTGGTTGCGACACAGGTCTACTTCGGTCTGGATGCCACCGGATTTCGATCAGCGTACAAGTTCCACCGTATCCTGGGACCTATTCTCATGGTTGGTTACGTTTTGATTCTACTTCACAACGGTAAGAAGAGCTTATGCGGTTTGTCACTAGGTCTCCTTCGCCTGTCTCGCAAATACATTATTGTTGACCGTCTTGGTGGCGATCTTGAGTAACACCTTCGCGCACATCAACGCAGATGCTGCAGCAGAGTCCATGTTCCGCCGAGCAGTGTCGACCTTGGAATACGTCAAAGCAGGTAAGACAATCGGCTGACCGGAAGAAGCCCGAGAGAAAGGACTGACGTTTTTCGCGTCAGATTCCGTGTTCAGCTATCAGTTACCGTTCAACCTGCTCGCAGTGATTATTATGTTTCCCTTATCCTTCATCTTGACCCCTCGCTGGTAAGCGTTCATGTTATCTGTATTCCATGTGGCGGAGCTGATGAGCATAATGTGCAGGTTTCACAAGGTCAACGGTGAGACGGACCGACATGCTTGCAAGCGATGTTTGCGCTGACTGTATTTGTTTCGCATCTCGAAGTGTTCATGATTCGGGCTACATCATTCCCGATCTTACTCGCCATCGCCGTTTACGAACGCCAGAAATACCATCCCGTACCTCTTGATGAACGGATCGAAAGATGGTTTGACCGAAACGTGGGAACCTGGCCGAGAAGGTTGTGGAATGGAGGTGTGTCCGGTGCAGTCTGTTGGACAGACGTAACTTCCTACTTACCTCTTGCTACATCCTAGTGGTGGATACGACCGGACTTGACAGTTTCGCTGGAGCTGGCCGTGATATCGATATCGTTTTCGAGATTGAGAAGGAGATCGGCGACTTTTATCGAGGTTGGGATGATGAAGGCGCCCTAGAGGAAGAAGAGGAGTCAACCAGCGACGCGGACGATGACAAGCGGCCCAGCGCAACCTCAACAACCTTGGAGCCGGCAGCGGCCTCAGCGACAACGGGAGACACCTCCCTAGTACCGTTTCCCAGGCTGTCTCCAGAAGCTATGCCCCGATCGGCGACCATACCAGTTAGTATGGGCGCTTCACCTAGCGGGACGGACGCAATGAAAAAGCGGAGAGGCTCTCTGCCCAATACCGATCGAGCCATCGACATCTCCGCCCTCGCATCCGGCTTATCACCAAGGAAGCGCAGAGGGAGCATCATGGAGCCTAGCCCGTTAGCACGGCTATTCGTGAGATCGCCACCGCCCGAGCCACACCTTCCTAGGGTCCTTGGGCATCGCTCGGCAATGTCGGCATCGTTGGGTCAAACCGGAACCCAGTTTCTCGCCAATCCGCCCATCATTGCTGGCGATCATTACAGGCATAAATCCCTGTCAGGCATGCCCAGTGCTCCAGCACCTTTGCAGACGATTCCCTCAGGCAAGCGAGTTTCCTTCTCTCCCGTCAACTCTCGTACTATGCCGGACAAGGACCAGATCGCTACTGCAAGCGCTCTTGAAGAGGACCTAATCACCAGGGAAGCGCGCCCGGACATACACGCGATGCAGGACAAATTGAACAGTATCGAACAGCAACAAAAGCAGATAACTAAGATGCTTCAGCGACTGCTGGCTACTAGTAGCTCTGCGGCTGCTGAGGGGCGGCGTAATTCGAACTTGTCCATAGACGATGATTGAGCGGATGATTCGGTTATATCTGGTTTCCAAAAAGTGTATGAGTACAGCACCATGTAGCGATCAATCATGTAGCCATTATTAGTCAGATGTATAGGAATTGGGCGGGTGCTTCTCCTCCTTGCGGTAGGCTGAAGAGCTCGTACAAGAACAGAGCTATTCGTTCTGTTGACCCATTCGGAGACACAAGTAAGCTATGGGGCGGCAAGGATGATAGGGTATAACCAGGCTTCGGGCGATATCCTGTTTTGTACCACAATGCCGTCACTCACGATCGCCTGTCTCCATTTCAAGACCTTGGCGATTGAGGCGCCGCAACATCTCCATTGTTCACGTTTTCCCTTGTGCAAACGCTTCGATCGAAAATGAAATTGATTATTATGATACAGCTCTGATGTACGACATGCTATGTCTAGATTATACAGTAAAATGCAAGGATCTGAGCTCCTTGAAGCCTTTCCGAGACTCTATCTTGACTACCAAACTTCATATCTGTCAGGTGGTAGCATGTCTCCCGCAGGCTTCTCCGTGAAAGGCCTCTCTGGCGGGGGCTTTACAACGGGAGCATGAGGAGCAGGTGGAGCGCCGCCTCCCATACCTGTTCGGCTCCAATTTCCTTAGTATCTGCTTGCGGTTGCTGATTTGAAGTCGGCTCACCTCTCCCACCACCGTTCCCGGGCGGTGGCTGCCTCAGCTTGGCAAGCCTTACAGCCTCTTTCGCCTTGACATCGTGTCGCTCCCATAATTGAGCATCCGTCCCAAATGCACGCTCGCCGAGATCCGCGTCTGGCTCTTCTGGTCTGTCCCAGAATCCGTCCACTCCCGGTCGTCGATTCCTTAAGAGTAACGGATGTGCCTCTGTCGACACCAGAGCGGATGAGATAAGTACGGCCTAGTCTGTAGCATCTCTAGCAATCATACAGAGGTTGACTGACCAGTTGTAAAGACGTAGTCGTCCAGCGAAATGAGATCTGGCTCCGACTGCAGCAGATAGTAGTACTAAGGTGTAGTACGGTTAGTTTAAAGGACAGGAAGACATAGATGCGTAGAGTAAAAAACCTTGAGCGTTTCAGCGAAGACAAATGATTCCTACATAAATTCGGACATGAGCCTAGATCTATGAAATGTGAGATGAAAGCCAGGACTGACCATGTTATCTGCCAACCGAGGCGGATACACGCTAACATCTGAAACGCTGGAGAATCCAGCACCCGCCGTACAACTATCCATCCACGATGTGAACATTCTCCATCCTTTCTCCTGCCACTTCTTGTCGCCGGTCAAGCGATACCTGAATGGTTGCCGGTCAGCCACCTGCCTATATAGCTGCCGTCGTGCAAGTAACTCACATGTAGAAGACGCTTTCTGCGGTTTCAGGTCTTCCGATGTACACACGGTTTCCACTTTTCAAGCCAGGGGGATTTCCTCGTAGAATCTCCTTGACGAGAACCTCCTCTTCTCCTTCCTTGCTGTAGACGCCAAGCGGTATTGTGATATTTTGGTATGCCCATGGCTCGCTTGCAGTATGGAACCATATTTTTTCGGGTTGTAAACCGCTGACAGTTGCGGCTCCCTGTAGATAATATGTTTTTGGTAGGTAGTGGCAATAAAGGATAGCGTTAGAACTCACTGCCCAGTAGCAAGTCTGGGTTAGGCGCTGGCCATATGCCCTGCCGAATTCGAGTGATTTCAATGTCTCGACGCTCGATTTGAGCAGCTGGTGCAACTTACATGTCTCTCGCCCGATCCAGAAGGCGACTTCCAAGCCCCAGCATTCCTCCTGCGAAACAAGTCTTTGCATAAACGGGAGATTCAGCACCATTAGATTATTTTCGCAGGCTCGTGGAACCGGACATACCAGATGCTCGAGGACGAGTTGTTCTGCAAAGAACGATCAGATTTGCAAATATACGATTGACTATACCTCGACAACTTACTCATGCCGTGGTTGATGGCTCCAATGGTCTGCAAGCAAGATCCGACGCTCAATATCAGAATCCTGTTTGCTTTGTGAACCGGGCCAAAGAGGTACTCGCCATGAGGTTGCGTCCGGGATAGACATCGAGGTCCATGAAGAGCTTTTCTTCCGCCTTGTCAATCGCCGCTTCATACATCCTGGAATATTGATCCGTAGCACCTCCTACTAGCTGATGTTGCTTGATCAAGTACTCGTAATATGAATCGGCTGCGGGTTCGAAGCATATGAGCATGCGGTCATCGGAAGCTGTTTGGTTCCTCTTACCCATTCCCCCGAACGTGTATTCCCCTTGCACCTGCAGGTTGGTACGCTCGACCTGACTATCGAAAGCTGCGGGCAAGAGCGGTGTCATGTCCGCACGGGGGATGACGACCTGATCGAGATAATCGATCGCCCGCTGTGCTCGATCAAAGTACCATCGATCTCCCGTGACTTGGCTCAGACGAGTGAGTTCAAGCGTCATGCTTCCGACTTCTGCCAGCGAGACTCTGCCAGACATGAACCAGTCTTGGTCGCTACCGGCGTCGAAACGGCCGAGCACGAGCCCCGAGGGAGAGTCGAACCCGCGTCCCAAGATCTTGCCCAGCTCTTTCGCCCGGTCGAGCATGAGCTCGTCGCCAGACAGGTCGTAGGCTCCGATGAGACCCCCGAGGTATCGGATACCCATCTCGAAACTGGCAATGTGGGCGAACTGATCCCGACCGGCGCGCTGTTTGTGGAACCACCATTCCGGCATGCCCGGGGTCCGTTCCAGTTCAGGACTCGGTCGATAACCAAAAGCCCAGTCTTTTCCGTTGACTAGTCGGAAATCGACCATGTTCACGTGTTTGCGACAAAGGTCGTATTCCTTTGTTAGACCCATGATCAAGAGTGTCTCCAGAGAGTCGATTATGCTAGCTCCCCAATTTTGAAACGGATTCGACTTTACCCCGCTGACCGGTCTGACTTCGTCGTGACCTGGATGTTGACACAATTCATAGCAATAAGAAGTTAGATGGCGGGATGAGAACACCCAATTTTCATATCGGTACATACCCCAAGCCTTGTCTTTGTACTGCTGCCAGGCATACGCGAACGCTCGTCTGATAGCATCCCTTCTCTCTTCCCTCGTAGTCCTTTCCTCCTCAGTCTCCTCGTTCTGGCTAAAGTCGTACTGTACCCGAGGCAACTCGTTCTGCCCTCCTCCTTCGGGGTCGAACCAGCTTGGGCTCTCCCAAGTCTCGACAAAACTGCCCTCGGGTAACGGCCGGTGGATCGAGGGTTCTGGTTCTTCCGGTTCTGTCGGTGGCCGAGGATAAATGTACGTATATCGGTCCAAGGGGAACTCCTCGATTTTGGGTGGAGGAAGAGAGAACGGGTCGATCTCTGGGAAATAATCTTCTGCTGAGGATAGAGTCTCAGGATCCGGATCATCGGGGGCCAGTTCGAGCGCATCGAGCGCCGCTTCGATGGCCTGTCTTCGTGCATCGTTTGACTGGGTTTCGAGCTCTTGCAACAGATCCTCATCCGCCCGAGATATTCCGTCCTTTGATACCAGGCGGTAAGAGAGGAAGAAAAATATCAAGAGGCCAACGCTCGTCACCGTAGCGATTCCCTTGATCCTTCGATGGACGTAACGGCGGGCATAGCTTGAGGCCCGCATGGCTGAAGCGGTCGATTCAACGTCATTCAGCGAGCTCATGACATGAGAATGGACCCAAGTGGTATCGTATCAGTCTAGCTCTTGGAGTTGGAATGAATAATGAAGAATGTCGATTGATCGAGGCTCGTGCGCCGACATTCATCATCATCTTTCATGTCCTTGCTTGGCACGCAACCTCGGGCGGACGGGAGCAAATTCCGGATCCTGTTCGGAAGTAGTTTTCCCGATCTCTCTCTCTCTCTCTCTTCGATACATCCTCATCTAACGAGCCATCCTCGAGAGTATACACGCACGTCTCAACCTAAGCACAATCCATCTCTATCCTCTTCTAGCTTCATCACATCCGTGCGTGTGAACGGCGGCCATCAGTTCGAGACCTATCACAAGCTTAGATGTTGACGGCCTGCTTGCCGACCTGGGAACCAGAGGTGTCAACACCGGTAAGAGACACCTTGGCTGCCAATGCCGCATCGACCGCAACCTTGACCTTGGCATAGACGGCCGGGATGCTGTCGGTAGCATCAACCTGTATAGTATACCAAGCATGTGATCAACCAGGTCCGCAAGGAGTAATGATCGAAAAGCGTCCAGCTCAAGGGCAACTTACCTCGACGACCTTGTTAGCCTTTCGGTAGTAGTCCACGACAGGCATACTGGTTTCCGTGAAGGTACCTATCATGCCACAAAAGACGATACCCCTCACGTTTGAGCTTGTATCCCACCAAAAGAGCACGGTATTCGCGGATGTGAACTCACGGAAACGCTTGACGATGCTCTCCTTGTTGTCGTCCTCCCGACCGCTCGTCTTGGCCCGACCCATCAGTCGCTCGAGCATGACCTCTTCGGTACACGAGAAGAACAGGACAAAGGTCGATTCGCATGTCTATCCCACACGACGTCAACACCGTTAACTCCTTCCTCTTTCGGCATCCTCAACCAGAAGAAGTCTTTGCGTGTGCGTCCGCGTGGAGTTGAACTGCAACGAATCGAGTTGAAACTCACAGATCGGTCAAACTCGATGGCCTGGTCCATCTTCCTTGGGAAACCATCGATCAAGAACCTTCCCTTTCCATCTTCCCACCCGACAGACTTGGGCGGGTTGTTGATCGTCTCTCTCATGGCGTTCTCCAAGAGCTGTCAGGGGGAGCGTGTAAAACCAGCCGACGTCAACAGCATGCAAGCAGACGAACACCAGGTACTGTCTGATGCATTTATGGAGGAAATAGATCCTGACCTTGATAGTGACCTCCATGGGGACGATGTTACCCTCCCGAATGTAGGTAGAGATCATCTCGCCAAACTCCGAACCAGGACGAGCTTGCTCGGCTCGGAGCAGGTCTCCAGCTGGCATCCACATCATTCCCAAACACGAAGGAAACAACAGGTAGAGAGGAACCAATAGGTAGAGAGGATATCGAGAATAGATGTTCCAGGTTGTTGTCGAGGACAAGGAGTTTAAGAGCTCTGATAAGCTTTTTGACTCGCTCTAGCTGATTAACCGTTCTACGCTTACCCGACAAGTGCTGAAAGCCATAGTCTTTGACCAAGTTCTCACATTGAGTTCCCTTTCCTACAAGATTTCCAAATCCACATTAACCCCAGCTCCCATAGCCCTTAGTTGCTTGAACCTGGATCTATCACTGACCGACACCAGGTCCACCGAGGACAAAGATGACGGTGATGTTGTTCTTGTCAAAAGCGGGTCCGGTGCTTCCCGCGACGGCGTTCTTGAGGTTATCGATGACGGCCATGGTGATTTGAATTAGTAGGAATCTAGCAAGAAGGTTGGGGGTATGATCGCAATAGTTGGCAAGGGGCTAAAACACAACAGCACACCCAGATGACCCCTGAACGATGAGCTCGAGCTGGTGATGTTGGTCGATCACCGGCACCGGTCAGCGGCCGACGATCTCCCTGGAGCGAGCGGGAGCAAATCCGAAAGAAGTGGAGGTCGTCAAGCGCTTGTTGCGTCGCGACGCCTAGGAGCATTTGGTTGAAACGTCGGTACTTGAATGCGAGTCTATCACATCCCCATGTTGCCCTTTGTGCTCATGGCAGGATCGGATCCCATCTTCGGAAACTTAAGTCAACCTTTGGAGAGGTAACTTGGCGCATCTGGCGAACGCGATTGATCCTCTTTCATAGAACAGGCCTACCTCACTTATGCAGCATCCCCCCTCTCGCAAAGCGCAGAGGAGCGTCCTCCCCTCCAACGTCTCATCTCCGAGATCGGTCCCAATACACCTCTTCATTCCTATCGAGATCTCGGCCTTCCTTGTCAAGGCATATGGGGACAGGTTCACGCATACGGTCTTTACGTCAGAGATATTCAAGCTGTTGTAACAGAACGAGGAGATCATTACAACCTTGTGTGTCGGGTTCCTCTACACGATCGGCAGCAGGTTCGAATCTGCTACTTATGGTTGGCCGAACCCCAGTCACAAAGCAGGTATCAAGCTGTTGATTAAACAAGAGGGTGTTCACCCGTGGCCTATCTCGGACCTCAAACGGCGCATACTTGCCGATCTCCAGGATGAACACGACCCTACAATTCGGTTCATGGAGTCACGGATCTTCGAATCAAGCGCCCCGTACCGCAGCGAGGTTCTGGGCCCAGGTCTCGGACTCCTTTTGTACCATGGCCGCGTTCATGATTGCGCATCTCAATTCCATCTCGTCAACTGCTACCACATCGATTCGCACGGAACGCCACAACCTCGACCCAAATCGACCTCGACCTGGAATGACCAACTGCGGAGATTTGTGAACCGATGACCAGTAGTCCTGGTCTCAAGATCAACAAGGAAGATGCACTCTCCGTCATCTGTCGACATCTACAACGCTATTGTAAAAAGGGAACATGTACACTAGCTAACGTTCTCCTTCAATTCAACCTCATACGGATCAAGCGGCCGGCGCTTCCTCCTCCTCCACGAAGATCTCCTTGTACCGTTCCAGAATCGTTTCTACCGCCTATCGATCGAGGTTCAGCATGAGTGAGCGAAGATGCCACCGCTACGATTGAGGGATCTGATACTGACTTTGCACTGGAACGACATGTGTTCCAGGTTCATGCCTCCCATACTAGCAGGGGCGCCCAACAATGTCGGCCCAAAGACAATGCTCAAGTTGGAAACTGACATCTGGTTGACAGATTCTTTCCGCCGAATTCTGTAACAAGGCAAATGGTTTGGTCAACCAATCTGTCGCGCAGGATATTGAGAAATTCCGCTTACTTGTCGAGATGCCCCATGAAGAATTTGAGCGTGGCATAGTTGGCGTCCGGAAGCTCGTTGACTTGTTCGTGCAGTCGGATATGCCGTAACCGGTCATTGTCGTAACCTAGCGAGTCGAACAGCGTCTGCATGAGAATGGCCTAGTGTAAAGACAAGGGTCGGCATAGACTCACGAGCAGCGTCAATGAAGCCTTGATAAAGTGCATGCGTAAGCAACGGTTCCGGTAGCTCGCGGAACCACTGTTTCAGAACTGAAGCTACGACATTGATATCGCCGCTCCATTCGTCCGACATGACATCGACCGCGTCCAGGTCTGCATACCGTCGTCATCGTGTAAGTATTGTCCATCAACAAGCGAAATTGTTTATCCTCACCGGCATCTAGAGCTGCCTTCAGCCGTTGCACCTTCGAGGTCGTTCCGCTCAGCCGATAGATACCCATCTGATCCAAACCTGGTTGTAGACCTAAATCAGTCTTCAAACAGCACGATTTTTGTAGCCTGCTGTCACTCACCGTATGCTTCTATGGCCTGAGCACATTTTTCGACCACCTTTGGCACTTCTGTGCCTTCGCTGACGACCTGTTCGCTTAGCTCGACTCCGAATGTAGAGCCTGATACTGCCGGTGGGCCAGGATTGTAAGCGCCCGGTATAGCAGGTAGCTGAGAAGATTCTCCATTGTTAGCTGTTGACTGTTGCGTCTGGGCCATCTGGGACGCTTGTACGTGAGGTGGTAGTGCCGGCATCTAATGGTAGGCTGATGGTCAGGACATCTTTAGCTTCCAATCTAGGTGCAGAGAGCACTTACGAAACCGTCCTCATACGGTCCATCCTTCTTTGGAGCTCTTGCTGCTACAGGACCGCGAGCAGCATTGTAGTTCTGCATATACTTGGTAAAATCTGTTCGATTGTCAATAGTCTCGACGATTGCCCGGAGACCGATAGCTAACGCAGTCGTATGAAGTCAGCTACACAATCGCTAACAAGTCCGACTTGGACGCGCGCTCACAGTCCTGCGGCAACGCAGGCGCCACTGCAGTAGCATCCGCTAATATCGTCGACTCGTAGAGATACGCGTATCGGGCCATATGATACTGCGTGCCCATATCGATCTCGTCGGCGCATTCTTTAAGCAGCTGAACGGGAACCCGGTCGTCAGCGAGTGAGTAGGGCGAAAGTCTGTTATTTGCAGGCGAGACTCACCCGAAGGATCTTTGGCAAGTGCAAGTTGAAGTATTCCTGTTTTGCCTGCTGATTGCTCTGCACAGCCTTCCGGAACACCTCGCTCGCCGAGTTCATTCTCTGCCTGACCTCGTCCTCTTGCCTCTGCATCTGTGCCGGCCCTTTGCTCTTGAACAGCATCCCTCCCTTGGCCATGGCCTTGCCCAATCCACGCTTGTCCCGTGATGACGAACCCGGCGAGACCATGTTCCCGCTGTCACGCACGTTTTCGCCTTCTTTGGCGATGAGAATCCGTTCCAACTCTTCTGCCGTGGTGTCGAATCTGCTCTTTGCCTGCGACGTGTACATGCCCATATTTCAGCACCCGCGTCGATCCTGAGGGGTTTCATCACGCCACCGACCTTCTCCATATACATCTCAGCCTCTTGCACATTCCTCTCATACCGTGCCCCGTTATCCTTGTGCTATTGGGGCAGGTCCAGATCCAGTCAACTTCTCTGCGCGCGCAAGTCCTCGACGTCATACGTACAAGCTTTCTTAGCCGCTCCCCCTCCTTGGCCAGGTTGACAAGCTCTTCGCTCATCTCGTTCAGCCGGGAGGCGAACCTCGACCGGTTCTGCGCCAATGCCTCGTGCACGTCCAAAGACTTTTTGTACGCCCGGACAAACGTCCTACCAACGATCCATGCAGCCCTCATCATCAGTCGCCTATTTCGCTTCTTTCTGCGAATACATTGATTGCAGCTCACCCGGCTTTGCAATAACCCCTTGCATAACTATCATCGCTCATCCTCTTCAATTCCAACCCGCTTCTCGCGTACTTATCTTCCAATTCCGACCGGGACCGGAGGAAAGCGGCGAATTGCTATGATACCACATGCATCAGTCACCTACACCTACATCTTGAGGGACTAGCTCGAGATCAGAAGTGTGTTCGCGGCGGGATGACTCACTTTACATGAAGCGATACTTTGTTTTATGCGCTCCGTAATCAGTTGCAGAGCGTACTGTCGAAACAATATCTCAGCCCGGCGTTAAACCATGTCTCTTTGAGTAGACCCGATCGCTATTCACCGGCGAATCGCACAACGCCCTCAACAACCCCTCGTCGAAAGTGATCGGTTCCCTCCCCTTGTCATCCAGCGCTCCCATAGCGACCAGACCCGCCATTCCGCCCGAGCTCTGTCGGTTGACCATAGGAGGAGGGGAGATCATCTCGACCTCCTGCAACCTCGGCATTTGCGTCTGCGTTTGACCTGGAGGAGAAGAGGAAGACGAGGACGCCAATGTCGTCCTGGTATCATTCTGTCCTGACGCCGACCCCGAACCTAGACCGAAATCGGCCGTATTGGAAGTAGAAGGGATGGCCGTCATCTCGCTCCTCACGCTTCCCATGCTGCCTCGCTTCTGCCTCTCTTCCTCCAACTGCAAGTCCCTCTCCCGCTTGTTCGTCGGTTCGATCTTTTCCTCTTCAAGGGGTTTCGAGAACGACAAGGAGTGCGGGGAAGAAGTCGACATTGACCCAGGAAGTTGGCCTTGGGTGTAAGAGGAAAAGATCTCGTCGTCCGTCATGCGTTTCCCCGAGGTGATGTTCGGGTTGCCTGGCGAGACGGCGTCCAGGTCTTGGGAAGACGTCGAGGTGGATGACATCCGGGTCTGGGTCGGAGAGAACATCCCTGGTCGGCTTGGAGACAGTGACGGTAGAGAGCTGGAGTTCGAGCTCGAGTTCGGGTTGGAGGGATATGTCGAGTCGAATGCTTGGTTCTGATACGAGGGGGAAGGCACGTTCGGTAACGGGTTCGAGCTCGAAGATGCTCCCTGTCTGTTTTGTACTTGGAGCCCCGCCATGTAACTGTCCAGATTCTCTTCCAGTGATTGGCCTCCCGATTCGTTCCCATTATTGAGATCACCCATCATTCCCTGTCCTGGGTATCTCGTTGCCTGATGCTGCTGCTGCTGTTGATATACACCTTGAGTCGGCTCGTCCAGCATGATCTCCTGATCCGACAAACGTTGATCCTGAGCAAAATCCGGCGGGCTCATGAACTGATTGACGATACTAGATTCCTGAGAAGACGAATAGAACTGTGCGTTGTTGTAATCGCTGGGCTTGTAAAGTTGACTCGTGCTCGAATAGACGGATGCGTCGGACTCGGACGAGTGATGCGAGTTGGCTCTGTGTGAAGCGTTCATCGGAGGACGCGCTGCCGAGAACGATGTGACGGGTGGTGATGGTACTGATGATATCGCCGCCGTGGTGGTACTGATTGATGGACCTGCAGGGTAGTGGGTCTGATGATGAGACGTCTGAGACTGATACGGCTGCTGCTGCTGGTGCTGCAAGCTAGAAGTTCGCGTGGATGGAGGGTTACCCGAGGACATTGGCGCGGCGAGCTCTTGATGGACGTGATCGAGGTTGTTTCGCCTACTTGACTGCCCAGAGATCTCTTTGGCCCTGGGTGTAGCTGCAGCTATGAAACAGATCTTATGTTAGGGAGCGGGATCGACCCTTTGAGATGATAAGTAGGGTGGTTAAGGCGTATCAACGAAAGAACGAGGAGGACCTTCCGGCGCGCGGGATCAAGCTGAGGAAGGGAGAGAGCGAGCGGGAGAGTTGCGCCGGCACGCGGGACGGGAAGTGAACAGCATCAAGACGCAGATCGTCTCAATCCCCAGATCAAACCGCAGCTTCCAATCATCTGGAACTGCTCAAGGATAACGCAGTTGAATGACTATGCCGGCCTATGTGACATGTGTGTTTCGGCGTGGTTGCGCAGTCTGCATGGCAAATCGCCCGTGAGATCAAGCGGTCCTCCTCTTTCGGCGGCGACAAGTCGAGTGCTGCTCACACGCATGACGGTAACGCCAACGCACGGACTTTACTGCTGAAAAAGTAGGCTACTTCATCCTAACCTCAACACATATAGCCTGTGTACATGTGATCAGTGGCCAGTGGCTATCTGAGATCAATTCTGGTACCTAGTAGTTTTACCTTGGACAGTTGAAGACGCGCTTGAACGCTTCCCTCAAAAAAGGTTCCGGTGGTGAATCTGCCGTAATCACCGCCGGCTCAGCACTTTCTACCAGCTACCTGCTACCTTGATTCTACATATTCTACGATCTAGTACGTACGATCTACAAGCTACAGGCTACAGGGGGTATCTTACTGCCAATTCCCATCACCCCAAGTGACAACTATCATCTCACCTTGATCGTATATAACTTGACCAGGATGCTCCGCACAACCACCCTCCGTACCACCTTGCCCTTCACACTGACCCGAAACATCCAGGCAAATGTGCCCCCTGTCCAACGGTTCATCTCCACAACCTCTGTCCTGCTCAACGAGCAGACATTACAAGAGGATATCCGGTCGAGATTGAAGGCCGCGCTCAAGACGGCGATGAAGGCCAAGGAGAAGGATACGGCGGGTACCATCAGGGTGAGCGAGGCTTTTTGATCTCGAGTTCGGACAGGTTAGGTTGGAGCGAGCTGACCATGATCGACTTTGAAACTCACCGTTCCTCGATTCCTCCTATCCCTTGTTCAACCTCACGCTACTCGCTCTCTTAAATCTCTGGGATATGCCATGTGCCGGACTATCCATAATTGATGTGGGTTCCCGGTACTGGCAGGCTGTCATGTCGGACATCACCTACCACGAGAAATCGCAATCCGACCCCAACGCCGCGGCGAGCGAAGATACCGTCATCGACGTCCTCCGTCGATCCGTCGACAAGCGGGTGAGTCCCATCCTCTCTCGACTTTGCAGCTTTCAATGTGCCCAGCCCGGAACTTAAGAGCTGATCGCTGCTGACTTCGACTTCAGATACAAGCCTCGGAATCATACCCCGCCGACCACCCCAACCGCCAAACCCTATCCAAAGAGATCGAGTTCATCTCCTCCTTCCTCCCCCGAACGCTCGAACCGTCCGCCATCACCCAGATCTTGAGTGGCATCGTCTCCGGTCTCAAGGAGGAAGAACGCCAGTCCAAGGGCGTCACCGGAAAGGTCCTCGAGAGGTTCTGGCAAGGGGTGACCAAGGGGGAGGTCAAGGATAAGAAGGCGCTGGGCAAGGAGATTGGCGAGTTGTTGAAGAAAATTCAGGTATAGACTAGGCCCCCGGGCGCCCGACCAGAGCCCTCGAGATGGGTACACGAAGAAAGTCGCTCCGGAACACCCGAGAACCCCGAGCCAAGAACACTGTAACATAAGCACGCACCACCAAAACACACCTCCGCATGCTCGGCACCATATCTGCAAACCACGAATATACATATAGATGTCGTCCCATCCGTATACCACCACGACCATTACATCCCTTTCTGTCTGCCCCCTCTCGCAGAACATCCCGTAATCATCAACCAAGAACAAGCCCCACGCAGAGGAAACCCCTAGTGGTTGTTCTCGGCCTGCCACGGCAAAAGAACCTGCGGATCGTCCCTGCCAGCCAAAAACTGATGATGATGAGATGGGTTAGGATGATGCGATGAACGGTCTTGTCAGTCAATGTTATCCTCATAGTCGAAGTGGAGCACGTGTTTGTGAGACGAACCTTGTCCATGAAAGTCGTAGGAGGGGCTTTTAAAGTGACAGGTTTCAAGCTCTATAAATATCTGGTCCGCGAATAGTAATTCACAAATGTTGGAGTCAGACATACCAGCGGTCTGATGAGCAACAACAGAATGAAGGCGATTGTGAAGTCGGACGAATATGGGGTTTATTGTAGGTTAGCAAGTTTGGGTAACCCATGGTTGGTGGAATACGAGCTCTCACCTCGTGCTTCCTGAACCAGCTCATCACGTGGGCCTGACAAGTTGAAAAGGGGTTATCAGTCTCAACTTGTGTTCGGAATACAGGCCCGAAGCCACCCCCAGCTTCAATCTCGTTCTACCCATCCGTCTCGCCTAGCCGCTGTGCCGGCAACACCTCCAACCTGTGTCAAGGACTTTGGACACTCACCTCGGTCTTCCAACAGTTCATCGTCTCCTGGTACTCCTGCTTCGACTTGAAGATCAACATGTCGATCACGTTGACATCGGTGATCCCCCTGTGTCGCTCAAAGTCGGCTCGCTTCTTTTCACGGATCATCGAGGGGGAGATGTTGAGCGCATAGAGGGAAACGATTTGAGGTGCCTATAGTTGTAAGAATGGTGAGATTATTTTGTATTCATAGAAGGGAGATGGTAGTAGACCAGCGATTGCGGACGTACGGATCGGTACCAGTCTCGGTAGAGAGCCCTGACTCGCTGTCGGGCGATCTGTTGCGTGCCCGAGATGGCGGATACGGAGGCGAGACGAGAGGGGATAGTGGTCATCTTGGCTAGGTGTAGAGCGATAGATACGAGGAAGTGTGGATTGAGAGACTGTTCGAAGATGAGATGAGCTAGGATGATATCGTTTGAATGGGCGCATGCATGAATGAGGGACATCCCGGTTGGACAGATCGGTGAGCGACGAGTCTCGGGTCAAGAACACGAGAAGTTGGGCAGCTAGCAGCTACTTGCTCTGGACTTGCATTTCCTCGCTGTCATCAGGACCATCCTTGATCCATCAGAGCACAGTCCACTGTAATACTATCGCATACAGGCAAGTAGGTAATCTACAATGGCTCTAGACCCGATGGAATCCTCGACAACGCCGGCCGCAGGCCCATCGACCCAACCCGAGACCGCATTCGAAAAGTGGAGGTCATCTCTCGCACAATTGACAGGACTCGGCTTGAACCCGGTCGAGGCCAAGCACCGGGACGAAAGACTAGCTCAGGAGAGGCTCGAGGGAGATTGGAATCAGTGTGAAAAGTGGAAGACGGGGTTGATGAAGTCAAGTGGGTCTTTGCAGATGCCTAGGACTGTAGGGCAAGCAAGTTTCGAGAAGCTGGTCTGATCCGCATTGACTTCGGATCGCAGGTCCTGCGGTTGTTTTCATGATGAAGCACCTCACCCTATCCGGCTGCCCATTCACAGCAGCTTCTATCCAATGCCACCCATGTCCACCGACAAGATCAGGAGGTTTCTCACCGGATCACGGGATCCTGCTCTGTCAAGATCGGTTCTTTAGCAAGAGACATATGGAGGACACCATCGTACACGAGATGATTCACGCCTTCGACCATTGTCGGTTCGAAGTGGACTGGGGGAATTTGCGACATCATGCTTGTAGCGAGGTGAGCCGCGCTGAATGATGACCTAATCCTTGGAGATATCTCGCTGAAGATCGCGTCGGAATGTGGTAGATCCGATCGGCAAACTTGTCGGGCGATTGCAAATGGACCCGGGAGCTTCGAAGAGGTTTCTACTCATTCTCCAAGCAACATCAGGTAAGGCCCCCAGCCCTTCGTCTACATACCCCCTTCCTACTCTAACCTGATTACCCTCATTCTTCGACCAACCCGCAGGCATGTGTAAAACGCCGAGCGGTCCTTTCCGTAGAAGCAAATCCTAACTGCGCAGATAAGGCGATGGCGGAACGAGCGGTCAATGAAGTATGGGATAGTTGTTTCAAGGATACACGGCCTTTCGATGAGATCTACTAGAATATTGGCACGGTGGCGATTCTACGTATCTGGACCCAGCCGGACGGAATGGAAAGGTGCATGTGCGTTGTATTATAGAGCATGGCTTGTTGCATATTCAGACACCCCTTGAAAGATCGAAACAAGTCGCTATTTTGCGACATGTTGCATTCGACTTTCCACTGTCGAGCCACGATGGGAAGCACCACGTGTCTACGATTGGGACGAAACCGGTATGGCTCGATAATCTGCACGGCGGTCCCTATCGGTTGTCAAGGCGATTGCGGGATGAAACATTCCACTCTCACAAGGAATATTTAAACCCCGAATTTTCCGTTCCTCATGCTTTCACCCTTTTCATGGATGTTGCCTGGAGAGGAAGATAAGGTTGACCAGTGATCTCTAAGATAAGGCATATTAGAGAGATGAGGTGCAGCGGAATGAGATGCAGAAAAAGGGAAAGAGTTGCGACCCGTTGGCACAAATGAATTGTTTCGCTCCGAGCTGAACTCGATCAGATTAATGGTCAGCGAAACCGATAAGTCCTGGTGAAGCATCCGAAAGGTTTTCTTTCTTTCTTCACCCTTCAGCGACATCTTCAGCCGTTCGACGCGCGAGTGTTGTATCGCATTGTAACCTTGCCGTTGACCCTGTAAGGACCGATGTATGTGGTAACCTGAGTTGCAGCCTCGTTGAAGGTTTTTTTTTTCGTCTTGACTGGAGGTGGTGGGGTCGTTCCGTTCCTGCTCGCTTCGTCAATGAGGTTCTCCTGGTCGCTGATTGCTTTGGCTTGCTTCTGGGCTTCCGTGCAGTGAAATTCGCATAAAGAAGGAACACTCTGTTAGTGATTCACTAGACCCGCTAGACCTGCAGTAGTATCTAAGCCTGAGCGTATCGGTAGTTTTATTGGCTTGGAAGGTCCATCTCTTTGAGCCGACCGGCCATGTTGATAGCGTTGGGAATTTCAACTTGATTTCCCGCTCAATGGCGTCGCTCCTCATGGGCGTATGAAATGTGGTCCTTTCCATCGAGCTTAATCGCGATAGAAGACAGGTAGAATCCAACGACACTTCTGATTCTGCAAAGTAGGTCTTCGACAGAGCCAGTCTTTCCCGTTGGTTCTTAGGGTAACCGTAATGGGTAAGGGGTCAGGCGCGGATTGATCGCAGTGCAAAAGACTTGTATGAACCAGTTTTGTGACCTTTCTTGGAATTTGACAGATAAGGATATCCTCGAAAACGGTGCGTAAGTTCATGAGCACCTCGGAAACTTGACTGAAATGAGCAAGTATTCCGCCGTTCCCCGAAAGCACCGAAAGGGCGAATCATAATGATTGATCCGCCGCATTCTACAGCAAAGCATGCAATGAATGTACACCACATTATTTGCTGCTTCAAGATCTTGGTCAATACTAGATCACAAGCTATGCAAAGTAGTGGTTGAGGTCATCGATTTAAAGCCCTAGCTCTGACCGAACGTCAGGGCAGACTTACGGGTCGTCTCTACCGCCTCATTTAGGAAGTGGTCCTGGAGCACAACGAGGTATTTGTTGAGCTTCTTGATTCAATAGTGGCGACTCCAGTATGCTACTCGTCATCTAGCCTATTTTGGAGTTTGTGTCTCTGGCTGAGCGCTAGTCTTCCAAAATTCTCGAATCTGGTTGCCGAGGTGATCGATCATCATAGCATCAGCATCCGAATAGAGACAAAACGGCAAACTTGCTTGACCTACTGTGTCAAAAGGCTTGAAGATACCATCGACGTAGTTTACGTTCTACTCGCGCGGGCGACAGGAAGGACTTGTTCACCCGGCAGGCTGGAGAGTAGAGCATTAATCTTATGGTTAAGGTTCAGCCAGTCGCCCCGGCTTATCAGCACGGCCTATCAACGTAAGGTTCAAAAACTGTCGATGTCCTAGAAGTGATGTGGGTGTAGTGATGTTCTAAGTTTTGACCCCGCCGACTTAGCTGTTCAGTCGCATTGAGCAGGCAATCGAACATCTCGCAATTGGTGACGAGGCTTAATAAATTGTTTTGAATGTTTGCAGATAGAAGCAGAGGTGGCAGCCGTGCATGAGACACTCGACGGCTGAGGTCTACAAACACGGCTGAGATGCCCGCGGGAATGGGATGACGAGCTTGAAAGCAGATCAAGACCGGCGCCGAGCTGCCGAGCTGATTTTGCTGAGGATGAGTGGATAAGACACTGTAGAGGCTTACTCTTATATGTGGAGCAAAAATTTCTGGGACACATCGACGCTCGATCGTCATATTTGCCACTGTCGAATATGCTCAAGCCACGGCAACACCTGCCTCGACGCGCTTCTAATTGGACATGGACCCAAGCGCGCGAGCCCGGAAAACTCGATCAGAGTCGTCATCGCCGGGGTCAAGGTTGATCTCGACATCGACTAATCTTTTAGATTGTCAAGATTACCATCTTACTGTTCTCATCATCTAGATCGTCTCTTAACGAAACAAATATGCCTACCACTCAGCAAATCGTCGTCGGCTCGTTGGCCGTTTTGGCCACCTCGGCTGTAGGATATGCCGCCTATTTTGACTACAGGCGGAGAAACGACCCGGAATTCAGGAAGAAGCTGAGTGAGTCGAGCAGAAGGGCTTTCAATGGATACTAGTCTAGCAAGGTGGTAATTGAGAGGCTGACCGTGCTGAATGGTCGATATTCCTTAGAGCGAGAGCACAAGAAAGTGCACAACGTTGCGACCCGAGAGGCCCGAGAGAACAAGGCCAAGACCACACAGGTTCGATGAAACCTGATCATCCTGATTTGCCGATCATCTAAGCTGACTGCCCTATCTTTCGATCACGTAGCTCCTCAAAGCTCAACTTGTCTCCATCTCCAAGGAGAGTCTTCCCAACAACCCTGCTGAGCGAGAACAATACTTCATGGAACAGGTGGCTATGGGAGAGGGTTTGGCTCAGGCCGGTCAGTAATGATCGAGGCGAATGATCAGTTGAGTCTAAGCTGATCTTGCGATTATATCGGAAATTAGGCCCTATGAACGAGGTCCCTGCTGCTCTATGCTTCTACCGAGCTTTGCGAGTATACCCTAGCCCCGTCGAGTTGATCATGAGTAGGTCATACGTTCTGCTCATCAAGCGATACAGAAAGGTAGCTAATACAAGTGTAACTACACTTGACTCTCGCTCGAACAGTCTACCAGAAGACCGTACCCGCCCCCATCTTTGCCCTCCTGATGGAGCTCACCTCGCTTGACGTGTCAGCCGGTCAGGCTGGAGGTGCGTCCGCACCCACCGGCAGTCTCGCCAACATCGATGATGATGACGACGAGGAGCCTGCTACCGTCGAGGCCTCCACGGCACCTACCACCACGGGAGGCAGCGGGAGTGAGGACGGCTCGCCGAGTGCCAGTGGCGAGTGGGAGGACGTTGAGGAGAGGTCTTGAGCTTGATCAGTCGACCTCGACCCGTGGGTTATGTGGGACTCGAGTGCAGGTATGAAGGACAAGACGGCACCGAAACGATAAAGACGGAAATGAAAGAAAGACACAATGAATCTCCTATGTCAACGGAGGGCTAAGAGAGTGATCATCGTTGGCACATACCGCCGACTTTGGGACGCACGGGGACGCAAGCGAATTATCACCATATCAAGACATTTCTCCACACCTGTATCATCAATGCTCGAGTGATTGTTCTTGCGTGCCTTATGACCATCAATTATGCTCGTTATGGCCAGTGGTCAGTAGCTATGGATATGCCCGTCTACATGGCGAATATAGCGAGCCATTGCCGAACGAGCTCTATGGATCTATGGCCGCCGGAGGAGGCTGGTACGCGCTCGCCGGCTTGCTGATGAAGCCCGTTCATCGTGATCCACGAACTATGATGAATATGGCTATCGTCCCGGCAAGAGGGTCCTGACCGACTCATCGCCCTTGAGAATTCTGTCTGCCCCTATATCATCTCTCTGCAACATAGCCGGTTGAAATTATCAAAGGGATCTCGTCCGAACAGACTGATAACGGAGACCGACGGCTCACTTGGACAAGCGATTCTGATCGCCGAATGCGCGGAATACTGCAGGGTTGCTCAGAACACCCCGATTTCAACGACCATCCTGCCAAGGAGCAGTAAACCTGAACTCCTCCAACGCAGCTATCAGTGTGGAAGCAAATAATCATGGATAACAGGCGGGCATCTGTCATCGAGCCTGATGTGGTCGAGGTCGTTTCTGCTCGCATGACTGCTATGAATGCGGTACGTCAGCGGAATGTAAGGGAGTTAGTATATGGATACGTACTGATTCCTTTTCGTTCCGCCGACAGACGATAGAGGACCTGGAGGACAGTCTGGTACTGCTCAAACAAGCCTTGAAAGAGTCGGACAAGTCCGGGATCCCTTCAAACGGCGAGGCGGGGGCGGTGCCCTTGCCTACCATTACAACGAGCGGGTCTATCGAGAAGCATGGGAAGAGGAGCAAGAAGACAAAGGCAAAGAGCATGATCGAGATTCCGGGAGGGGGAATGAGAAGTGAGCTTATAGGACTCGACTGTGTACGTCGCGTCGATGGTGGCTAAGCGACAAATACGCCTTCTCGAACAGGACGTCATGCTTCCAGCCCAGATCTGATGAACGCAACGATGGTCGACCCGCAACAAGCTGAACTTTCAACCAATACCCCGACATCACACAAACACAAGAGCAAGTTTCGATCATCTCACAAGAGTCGATCTCGGCATGGAAAAGGTGCTAGCGTCTCGGAGGACGAAGTTGGGACCATCAAGGCTGGGAGGAACAGCGATGCCACCGAGCAAACCGTCGTGGAAAGGAAAGAGCTGCCTCGGCTGCATAGCGGATCAGGTGCCAAGGCCATCTTTGATAATATTTTTCATCGACGACGTGAGTTGCAGGAAATGCCAAAACTGCCACGCCCAGGCGGAGGAGCTGATCGACGGGTGGAATGGGTTTGTTGATCGTAGCCAGCCATCATCGGAACCGAGCGAGCACGGTCACAACTGCCTCAATCAATACCAATGTGGGGACAGTACCACCCCCTGTTCCTCCTCTGCCTACGAACGTCGCCCCACAGGCTTCGATATCCACAGCTACACCTCCGCCGCCTCAATTATCAATCGATACCCTTCTCGGCGAAATCACCGCGGCCGTCGAGAACATGAGACATCAGCATTCGTCACTTCTAACACTCCTACCGTTGTCCAACTTCCATAACGTGATGTCTTCAACGGAGGAAAGCAGTACTCCATACGAGTCGGATGCAGATGCTACGGAAGGCAGGGTATCTCCTACCGAGACGACGAGACCAGGCGGACCTAGCGATAATGCACTGGAAACGGACACTCCAGCAGGTAGCGCTTTCCAGACGGCAATGTCTAGGCAGACGGGCCATCGATCTCGGGGTTCGTTGTCTTCGCTATATGCAGAAGTCGCTTCAATCTACTATGACGCGGAGATCGAGCCTTATGATGACGAGGAGACGGTGGGCCCTCGTCAACTTTCACATGGTCGATCAGGCTCAAGAAGCAGTCTCGCTTCCTTTGAGGTTGATCAACACGTGGAGCGAGCGATGCAAGAGATGGAAGAGCGGGATCGTCGACAACAAGCCGGTGTTCATGGAGCTCAAGATGCTTCCGCTCGATTCTCGGTGGATACCATTATGGAGCCCACGACACCTACTATGAATAACGCTGCAACGCTTGCTACTGCTCCTTCGAGCGTGTCAGGGCCCGTTACTAGAAGGACGTCGTTACCAGCACCATCTCCGGCGTCAGAACCGTCGTTGATAGGTATGTTACGAAAGAACGTAGGCAAGGACCTGAGCACCATCAGCTTCGACGTTACCTTCAATGAACCTCTGAGTCTCTTACAGTGAGTAGCACAGGGTCGACCTGATCCATTGGTCCAAGAGATTGACGGGTATGTTTTCATGACAGAAAATTAGCAGAAGAGGTCGAGTACACAAACCTGCTTCGGCTAGCCACCCAAGCTGTAGACCCAATCGAGAGGCTTGCGCATATCGCCGCCTTCGCCGTCTCCCAATACGCCAATTCCAAGCACCGCACGTCTAGGAAGCCATTTAACCCCCTTCAAGCCGAGTCCTACGAGCTGGTCCGGGAAGATTTGGGACTCAGGTTCATCAGTGAAAAGGTCAGCGGTTTTCGATTGTATACCGCCTTTTGATTGACGTGGAGGCTGATCTCCATTCGTTTGTTGCAATGGTAAACAGGTCACGCATCATCCTCCTCGGATGGCGTGTTATGCGGAAGGCCCAGGGTGGGTATATAACTGCACAAGTTCCGCAAAGAACAAGTTGTCAGGTATGTCATTAGTAGCTCTGCCTTCAAGGAATGTGCGGCTGATCAGTGCATCCTTTGCATATTAGGCATGAGTCTCGAGATCCAGCCGCTCGGAGCTCAGCATATCATCTTGAATGGGAACGAGAGGTACTCATGGTAGGTTGTGCTTCGCTCTGACAGCCTTGAGAAGCCTTCTGACATGCCAGTTGGACATGCAGGACCAAGCCGAAATCCTACATGCGCAATCTGGTTGCTGGCGCCAAATATCTAGAGACGATCGGGGATCTGACCATTCGCAACGAATCTAGTGGAGAAAAGGCCGTGATCAATTTTGAAGCTGGAGGTTGGGCTGGCAAGAGGAATCAAGTCTCCGGAATCTGTTATACGGCGAGCGGGAGCAAGGCCGCTTGGATCGATGGGGTTTGGGATTCGAAGTTGAACGTGCGATATGGGTCGAGTCATGATCCGAGCCATCCTCTTTGGCTTGCCAATCCTTGGTAAGTGACTGCAAGCTCTTAGGGGGGTTGTGTTTTGCTTGAGCTGATTACTGGCGCATAACGTAATCTAGGCCGGCGAACACGGATAAGAACTACGGATTCACTCAATGGGCGATCCAGCTGAACGAACTCACGCCCGACCTTGTCGGTGTCATTGCCCCTTCAGACTCGCGTCTGCGACCAGATCAGAGGGCGTACGAGGAAGGTCGAATCACAGAGGCTGATCACCTCAAGACCGCGCTCGAAGAGGCTCAACGGCAGAGGAAACAGGCCGAGGGGGATTACATTAAACCGAGATGGTTCAAACCTACCTCGCATGGTACTGGAGAGGACGAATGGGAGTATGCGGGCGGGTATTTTGAGAGTCGAGCGGACGGGAGTCTTCTCACAAAGGCTGTCGCAAGTCTGTTCGAACTGTAAAGCAGACGGGGACAGCCGCGAGTCCGCAAGTCTGGACGGAGAGAACTGCTCTAGCGGATTTACGACGAGATGATAATGAAGACAGACTGTATCTAATGCTAGCTTATACTATACACCATGACGAGCGATAATATGTCTACTCGGACACTGGAAAGGAGGATCGATTCGTCATGTCTTGATCTCTCCCCAGGTCGACAGCGCGATGCGCTCCCGCCAAGTCCTCGCGGACCTCGGCCACGGGACATGACCAGGGGGACTCAAAGTGTCAACGATTGTCCTATCTGGGCAGAGCCACACAGTGCGAGTCAGAAGAGGACACGCCTTCAGACGGTCATACACAAGATATAGCCAGAATACTTCTACCATGTCTGATCTGTTCAAGGATGTTCCCGAGTTTGTCGAGGTAGGTTCGAGTCGCCTGTGTTTAGCAGATGCGAATATAGTCATTCAGCTCATGTTCCTTCTCTAGCTCGATATCGGCGAATCTTTGACTGCGAGGACGGAAACACTGTGTAAGTTGACTTGGATTCCTTACAGGATCGAAGTTATCTCGTGCTAATGCAAAGTCCCCTGCAGCTACGTTCCGGGAGCTCGGCCCTCCCGACCTGTGCCATGTGGTCAAAGTGACCGGGTCCAAGAACGCTATCAAAGAAGTAAGGCCTTCGACAGCCATGAAAGTGACACTAAGCTCATGAATCTCTGGCTCTTCCACAGATCGGCTCATATCATTACTGGTGACTATCAGCTCAGGCGAGAAGCGAGTGCGAATCAAGCTGAAAGATTCCTCTTACTCAGCTCTGGAGTGGAAGCTTCTTCCTCAGCATTGCTGGCGGCCTACCTTCATTCTCTGACGTTCTCGGTCGAGGACAACTCGGCATGGTTTAGCGGGAAGAGTGCCAACTGGAAGGTTCGGAGTGGGACATACTGGCAAGTCGCTTAGTTCGCATCGTCACGTCGCAACTGAACGACACTAATTCGTTTTCGCCTACTGGGTACCTAAATAGTTGCTTCAATGCCTTCTCTCGAGTCGACATACGGGTAGAAGTGAAGATTCCAGGAGGCGTGGACGCATACGTAGTGGATCTACGTGGAGAACGGTAAGTGCTACCCCCTTCTCTGCGTCGCTGCCAATATATAGCTCATCTCGATGTACCGGTTGCCCCCCTTTCTGTTGTTAGCATGGAACCCACACCAGCAATGTGGCAGGAGACCTATGTCTCAGCCTTGTTGAGGGCGATCCGATATGCCGATGATCCGAGCTATAGGCTTGCGGGGTATCGAAAGCTGGATCCCATTACGACTCCCGAGGCCGAACAGAGGTTCTTGGAGGCTGCCGAGGCAGTATTCTTTCGAGGTACGAAGGTGTCTCGCTGTCTTTTGGGGATATCCAACTCATAATATCTGTGTTGATTTCGCAGGCTGGCAACTTGGCTCCGACCCAGAGATCCAGGTAGCTACCGTTATTTCGAATCACTTGACGGCAGGAATCATGAAATACTTTGGCGACTCATATCGGCTACAACATGCCGCGAACCTATTCGAGAAGCTGGTGGATAAAGAGCCTGAGGTTGCAGCCTTGCTAGCTAAGAGCTACATCGGAATGAGTGAGTACGAAAGGGCTCGAGGCTGGTCAACGAAATTCCGCTGACTTCAGACCGGCATACTAGACGAGGAGGTCAAGGCGATTCAAGTGCTCTCCGCAGCCCTTCATCAGAACCCGCAATCATATCACCTGCTTCATACTCAGTGTGATTTCCTACGGAACAAGGGGAAAACGGAGTGGGCGCTGAAGCTGGCCAAGCAGGCCGTCAATTGTGCTCCTAGCGAGTTCGTTACCTGGGCGAAGCTGACGGAGGTTTACATTGATATGGGGATGTATGACTCGGTAGGCGGATTCGCAAAACTCTAATCGTCCTCGTGCGGATCGCTGAGTACCTCACGATATGATCCCACCAGGCTCTTCTGACGCTCAACTCGTGCCCCATGTTCACCTTCAATGAGAGGGATCTGCATCGGATGCCTACCCCTCTCCGAACACATCTGCCGATCAAGGGTTTCATTGCCACCTCGAACATCTTGGACGAGGACTCCGGCCGGGACAACGAGGCCGATATCGCTCTTCTCCGGTTGCCTGCACCGAGCCTCCGAGGAACATTTGCCAAGGCATACAGCCTCTTGACTAAGCTCACAGCACAGATCGGCTGGGACGAGTTGCTCAGGACCCGATCAACCGTCTTTGTAATGGAGGAGGAATACCGAAAGCACAAGGCGCATGCGTCGGTAGATGGCGACATGACGCCCCGAGCGGGCGACATGGCTGAGGACAACGCTTCGACGAGGGGAGTACGGTCACCTCGTCCGATGATGCACATCAACACCGATCTCGCAGGATCGAGTCGGACCAATGATGAGCAGCTCGAGGTACCCCAAACTCCTATTCCCACGATCAAAATTTCTAGCGAGTCAGATCACGAGCGAGAACACGCGGCTCTCAAAAAGATGGGCATCCAAGCCAGTGGCGGACCGGATACAGTGCCTTCCCCTGTTCCAGAAGAGCGGGAGGAGGACGTGCAAAAATCGATGGATCCTGATTTCCAGGCTGCTTCCGAGATCACCAAGCCGGAATTAGCTCAACCAGTAGACGAGGACAGGAAGGCCAGTGAAGCGAACGAGGTAGCCAATGGGGATTCTGCACCTGGTGAAAACGCTGGGTCACCTGACCAACAAGACAGCGGTTCCTCTTTCAACAATAAGCGACTTTGCGAGCGATGGCTTGACAACCTGTTCATGTCGCTATACGAAGTATGTATGGAAATTTGGAGTGTTCTTCATATATAGCTCTGACCACTTCATGATTCATCAGGACCTTCGGGTCTACACCATTTGGCGAGCGGAGATATCACACTTCAAGACCCAACACATGTCTTACCGTAAGACCGGCACTGAGGTAGGTTGATAACCCGTTGTCTTGCTTGCCCTCTTGACGCTCATTAGAATCGCCGTTTCTCTAGTGGGAAATTCTTGGTGAACTCGCCCAGCGCCTGCACCACAAGGAAGAAGCGAAGGACGCATTCCAACGTTGTCTCGATACGCGCTTCTCTTCAAAAGCCTGGGTCAAGCTATTAGAGTATTATACCGAAGAAGGCGATCTCGATCGAGCGCTGGGCGCTGCGATCCGATTGGCGACATACCAGAACAGGCGAGTCTCAGTAGCCACAAACATTGCTAGGTCGATGGCTGACCCTAGCGGTTTCACAGATGGTATATGGAATCAACTTATCCCACAATAGTCGCTCATTGTCTATTCAAGTTGGGTCAGATCAATGGCCACCAGAAGATTTCCTACACACTTATGAGCAAGGTGCATGGTCAATCGTCCATGGAGAACCGAAGTCCAAGACTGAATAAATTGAAATTGCGCTCGTTACCAGAACCTGCCATCCGGCATCGCCGAGATCATGGAAGCGTACCTAAAATATGGTCAATTGTTTAAGGTGAGCATTGAATTCGCATGCAGTAGTCTCGACCATTGGACTAGCTGACCGCTTGACATATAGGTGGAGGGTTACGACTTTTAGACGCGGAGGGGACTGGTTGTACGCCTAGTAGGAACATATTCCGCCACGATGATTTTACGAATAATTATACGAAAGTCTTTCGACTAAGCCGCCGTGCTGTCTTGTGATTGTCGCTGCGAACGCTGCCCGCAGGTCTTCTCGCCAAATTCAGAGCTGAGAAGGATAGGATCAACAAGGCCAATCATGGTTACTATGTGATTCCCAAACGGCAAAAGATTGGAGCACAGAGAAGCAAGAATATATGTCGATTGCAGCGAGAGTGGCAAAGGCTAAGAAGGAACTTATATGTGGGCTTTAGAGCTGGATGAATTACAGGAGGATATGATACGTGTGTCACAATCATCCGCAGCAGATCGGATGACACTTCGACTACTACTGTAATTATCCTCACTCATCGTCTCCGCTTCTCATTCGTCTGCGTCATCAATGACCTCTGCCTTTGACTCGACCTTCTCACTCGTCTTCGTCATCAACAACCTCTGCCTCTCGCTTGTCGTTTTCGTCATCAACGCAGAAGTCGTCAAGGACGTATCTGTTCCTGTCCTTCACCGTGAATTTTCTTCTCTTTGAGGAACATATGTCCTCGCTGTCCTTCTTTGCCTTTGCAGGTTTTGTCCCATCTCTGTCGGTCTCATCGACGTCAGAATCGATGGCGGATCTCCGACATTGATGATGGAATCGATTCTAGCGCGATGATCTTTTGTATGAGCAATGATCTTTTGTATGATCGATTCTGGCGATTGAGGGTAAAAGGGGACCTACCTATTGGCCGGCGCAAACCCAGAGATATGATCTTTTGTATGATCGATTCTAGCAATTGAGGGTAAGAGGGGATCTTGTAACAAGGTAAGGTCGAAGTGGAATCCAGAACGGGAATCCCTGACCCAGACCTTTTGGGAAACACCTCCTGTTTTACTCTCCCTCGTGAAAAGGTTGTAACGCAGCATCTCCATATATGGAGCCAGATCGTCTTGCCAAGGTTCAGGACCCTCCTCTTCGTGTATCTGTTGCAAAGACTGCATCCACCGCTTTTAGTCTTGTGAAACGACGATGATTGCCGCAATCGCTTCGTCAGTCGTGCCTGTCAATGAGATTAGAGATAGCGACCAACATCTAGGGCTTGCACGCATCAAGATTCATATTCGGTATACATGATGAGAGCTTCGTTACATACAGCTTGGTGGCCTACTACTCTACTTTGTGAAGATGCTCACCACATCCTCGTTCGCGACGACGTGTGATAGACCGACCTTCTGAGGCTGAGGCGAGAATTTGGATGATTTGCCCCATACAAGCGCGTATCTACAGGAAATGACGACGAGTTAGGCAGGAACGGTGCATCATAGTCATCGGCGTCGTCTGGACTGACTTGAAATGCGAAGCCAAACTTCGATGGACAGAGTGACACACGTCCTCGATAGTGGCGCCGGGTCGCATACAAACTGGGTCATGCAGATCAGGAGCGAAACCCCGCTTCTTGGTGTAAATCCTGCACGAATCAAGTCCGTGATATACATAAGCTTCCCTTTCCGAGCATCAAGATGGTCTAACAGACTGCACGTACTTGACGAGTCTCAACTCCTCCCAAATTCGGTCCATCAGGGTGTCCAACCCGAGCCCGAGCTCAGCGCTGATAACAACGTTCCTCCCGTCGTTCTCCTGGCAGATTTCCTCAATCGTCTCGATCGAGACGGCGTCGACCTTGTTGAAGACGTAGAGACAAGGCACATATTTTCGCGTTCCGAGGAGTACATCGATAAACTCGTCCGGTGTGATCTACATAAAGGTGCATTCCGGTCAGGGCGTGAACAGTAGCTGGCTAACATTCTGCGAAAGACGACTCACATCTTCTCTGAGCATCACATCACAATTGCTCACTGCGGAAACGTCAGTTGATATCAGTCGAGGGGGAGATAGCTGATCTTGGCGCAAGCGACTGACTTTTATATGATTGCAAGATCGACTTGATCATTCTTTCGTCAATCTTTGTCAGTTTGACGGTATTGTTGATCTGTGTGCAGCCAGGCGAGATAAGCAAGCGTATTCAGCGATGTAGTCTCTGATAACACTCACGGTGATGCCGCCTGCAGATTTGGGCTTGAACACCACTGTGATTCGTCGGGTTCATATATTAGCTGGGTATCAGCCATCAGAAGAGATACAGCCCATGTACGCACCGTCGGGTGGTGATGTGTTCAGTCGTATTCCAACGGCTTCCAACTCCGCCTCTAACAACTTTCGCTGCTCATTCGACTTGGTAGCATCCACTGAGCATGCGAGATCCGTCAACTGTCAACGGTCTAGTCTCGATGCCACTCCGATGACAATGCTTACTCATGATGATAATCACGTCCGCAGTCTTGGCAACACTGACGACTTGTCGACCACGTCCTCGACCCATCGCAGCTCCCTCGACGATACCGGGCAAATCGAGCAGCTGTATCCGAGCTCCTTCGTACTCCAGTACTCCCGGAATCGCCTAGAATAGTCGAAGCCTTTCAATAGCTGTGGCTTGAGAATATGACGCTCTCGCTTACCGTCAATGTCGTGAACTCGTACTATCGTATGCGCACAGATAGCTCTCAGCGATCCGAAAGCCACAGCAGTCTGCCTTCAACGTACTGCTCCAGTAATACTCTCCGTCTTCGTCATCTTGGACAACAGCGTCGACTTGCCGACCGACGGGAAACCTATCAGAGCCACTCGGGCATCTGCTTGCAACCAATTTTAGCTCAATGAATAACGATGCCTCTCTCAAGGCGCCCCTCACCTCCACTCTTCATGACATCGAATCCCTCTCCCTTGGGCCCCTTCTTGTCCGGTTCAAGGAGCTGGTGTCGGTACTTCGCCAACTTGGCCTTCAATGTACCTGTAGCCTGTCTATTTGAGATATGCTTGTATCATACTGCAGAGGAATGCACGTACCCAAATGGTACTCCGTCTGAAAACGTATAGTAGATGTACATAAGTATAGCCATGTCTGGTATCAGAATTTCGAAGCCGGAACCCACCGCCTTGCTGTAAATCGAAACCGTTATCGTCAGTATCTGAAGTTCAGAGTCAGGAAGTGCTTGACGCTCACTTCTTCTGGGCTATAGACAAGCGGTCGAGAGTACCCCATATCAGAATCCAGATATTGGTTCATGACAAGCAGAGCGACTCACTCCTCGCCATCTCCTCTGCGATTCGCCATCATATACGATTCTCAGCATGACCACGGTAAGCTATGGGCTCCGCCAATCATACTGACTCTCAATCTCCGCAATCTATCGAGATGGAGAAAGATCAACTTGCAATCCTGCGCAGCTGGAGATTCACTGAACCATCCTATACCTTTTCTAGAACACCCATCTTGACGTTTGCACCGCTGTTTCGCTTTCTCTATGAGTCAAGAGGTTTCAAATACGTCGATGCGAGTGAGTTGGCAGCTGTAATATCTCTTGTAGCAAGGGATGGAGGTACGTCCGGCCTTGACCGCTCGTTGCAGGGGATGAATATACCTGATCTTCGCCCGTTCATGTTCACCTGCATCACCTGCTGATCCCACTTTGTCAACCTCGCGCTTGACCACGACCGCGACCTCGATCGCGCTTCTCCGGCCAAGGTGGTCATGCGCAAATTGATCACAACGTCATGTACGATTGTATGCTGGTCGAGTCTTGCTTGTATAAAGACGAGATACAATGTGCTTTGATCTGTCTGCGTCATCTGTTCGTTATATTATGGTCAAATCGCCGAGAGAATCGTTCAGAGACAGTTGATTCTATAATCATGAAATCGTGCCTTTCTTGAAAAGCTTGCCCAGCCAACTCTGCTTCTTCTTTAATGTTTTGACACCCTCCACAGGCAATGTCGACGAAGCCGAGGAAGGACTGAGGGCAACGACGTCGGGGCTGCTGAACCCCTCTACCGATCGGTTGTGGGTCGAATTATCGCCACTGGACGCCGAGGTCTCGTTGTCGTAATCTAACGGGGGTGTCGTGGGCAAATCTAGTCGAGGATCAACCTGGATCTCGGGAACGGCGTTGTTGTTGCTGGAAGGCGTTTCGAGGGACCCAAGTGATCTCGTTTCGACATCCGTGACACCCCTGGCGATGGAGTAAGGATCGAAGAAGGCGGTCGAAGGAGTATTGTTTCCAACAGTCCTTTCCTCGTCCGGACCATCCTGCGTAGCATCCGATTCGAAGCGACAGCTTCTTAGATCGTCCAGGTACATTACGTCGAAATGACTATGACAGCTGATCGCTCCGCTGAGCATCAACGCTAGTCCCGATATAGGGGACATGTCGCTCGCCCGCTTCATAGGTTGACCCAGAACCCGGTTGCCGAGGACATAGGCTCGCGGAGCCACATGCATCGACAAGCTCTCCGGACCCGGTCGAGGAAAGAGTGATTTGAGATAAGCCTCGGTAGCTTTGATGAGCGCCGGTGATGGTCCCACAGGAAGGACGTGAATCAGAGTCTGCGGCATGTCAACGATCCCGGTTGGGAACACGTTGCTCGAGAACGAAGAAGTCCTCACTGACGAGACGAGCGAGTAGGTCGAGTTTCGTCGTTTCTTCTCTTCGATCGAGTCGGTAGGCGAGATGCGATGGGCTGAGGGCATGAACGGTAGTAGTGCTGTCGTAGTGATCAAGACGTTTTGCAAAGATCCCTGAAATGAATCTGGTCGGTCGTCCATCGGTAAAAAGTTGACCACTGCATCCAAAGCTCTAGCCCGCTGCTTCGGCTCAGAAACCGGTCCTAATCCTTCCTGTGATGCCGTCTCGACATCCTCCTTGTTGACAACCGTCGCCATCGACAAGACGCTCGAAAAGCTCCTTGACAAGGTCGACCGCTTATCCTTCCCTTCCATGATTTCCATACTCGGTCTCCTACTATGCATGGGCGAGTGCGATCTCGAGCTCGATGCTGCATGATCGCTATGTGTCGAACCTCTTCTCGAGCCCAATCCCGGCGACGAAGCCGAAACATCCCGCGAAGAAGCTGGTGGTGGGTTTTCAGCCGATTCCAACGCCTTTCGCTTCTTTCTCCAGATGAGCGCCGCATCGACTGCCTGTTTGACGACATCCCCGACCGTCTTGCTCTCTTTCAGCGAGGGCAAGAATTGCACCTCGGGAAGGCATGCAGATCCTAGCTCGGTGATCAGTTCCATGGCACCCGTCTTCTTTACGTTCGTGTCTATAGACGATGTTGTGGATGACTGTGACAAGGGAGACCGAGGTATTTGATTATTTGTCGATTTAGGGGATGGAGGACCTCGTGGTCCGAACTGGCGACTGAGGCGATCGGAACTTGTCGGTGCTGGAGCGAGACGGCTGGAATCTTTGGTGGAGGTAGTAGATGATGGCTTGAGCGGTGCAGCACTAGGGTTTCGAGCGAGGAGGATCAAGGTGTTGAGGAAGTCAGGGGAAGTCAAGACGGGTTTCAAGGCGGTCGCACTCGGTTCTATCGTCGTACCGTCATGCAGCCTCTTGTCAGCGCTCGTGTCGGGAGCGTCATCTTCACCAAACCTGTCTTGGCCGACTTACCTCCTAGCATCAAGACCACCCTCGATTTGGTCGACCTCGTCCATTCCTTGATGCCCACCTCCATATCATCTAGATCGATCACCCAATCCGGCCCCGTCTTGCTCCTTTCCACCCTCAACCGTTCCCTCTCGAGCATGACCCTGGCTTCTGACAACGCTCTCCCTGGCCTGGCTAACGGGGCCTGAGTAGGGACGGGCGGTTCCAGCAGGTCCCTACCGGGACTAGGGGTAGGCAGTATACTAGATTTAAATCGGGTTGATAAGAACCCGTTGGTCGAGGACGATCTCGGGAAGTCGTTGTTCTCCACCGACACCATTCTCAAAGACAGTGATGACCCAGATGTAACCTCGCTCCGTCGTCTAGCCGCTCTCGCCTGATCCTTCCTATACTGCGCCTGCTGGGTCCGCAGAGATCGTTTGCGACCGAGAGACGAGTCTTCGGGGACAGGATCTAGGCTGTTGTTTCGCGGTCTACGATGTGATGATGATGAAGATGATGGTCTATCGACTGCATGTTGGGAGGGACCGGCGAGTGGGGACGGTCCCAGGCGTTGTTGGGTGTTGAACTCGTACATGCCGGCCGGCTCGATCGAACGTCGAAGAGGTGGCCAGCGGGTGATATGACAAGGTTCGCTCTGATTGATATGGTCTGGTATGAGGTTTCCGGCGAGACAAGATTATGATGCGATTCAGGGGGTGTCCGTGTGACTGTCGTAGTACAGGACGACCGTTACAGTGATCAGTGAATTGGTCCAGATATCAAGCAACGGTCAAGTCCATGTTGCCGATAGGAAGCCAGTCCAAAGAACTATTGAATGTCGTAAATCGAGGTAGCACTATGGTCTAAGTCGTATGCTCTGCCGAGCTGGCCATCTTTAGCCTGACTTGCGGGATCGATGACGATAGTGTCGTCGATATCTTCACAAATTCACAAAGGGCCAAAGGCAGATCGGTATGATGCGAGTACGTGAGTACGTGAGACGTGAAAGTGACGTTTTCGATTTCGGTTCGACCTTGGCAATCACTCGCCAGGATAGGGTAGGATGTCCAGAAATGCGCAGCTGCTACATCCACCTCTTGCCTCTTGCTGCTGACTGGTACTGTAGCCCTCGCTGCTCGTGTGCTCGTGGCCCCCGGTCACCCCAAACCGCACGACCTCGTTCACGCCCCCGCACACGCCTCCGTCATTTTGCTCGATCCCGTACTGTGAGGTCACGATGCCCGACTCCATTCTTAACCCCGCAACCCGGCATCCTATTCCCGGGCATCATAGCGAGGAGGATGGTCGCCGTAGATCGACCCGGCATCTTCCCGCAGCAAGTCGGTTTGGCACGCATCAAGCCATTTTCTTGGCGGTGGTTATTGCTAGGGAGCGGGAGAAGAGGAGGCCGGACGACAGAAAACGGCACGCAAAACATCCCGACGGACCCGAAGATGGTCATGACATGATCGTTGATTGCTGACACTAGCTTTTGCATAGATGAAACAGTAGTACATCGAGGTCCGGTAGAGATACAATTCTGAAAAACGATGACGAGTCGGTGGGATCCTTGGAGTCGGGCTTGATGTGTTTATGCATCTATGCAGGACGGAATTCGTTCGGGTTTAGTATCTGTTCAACAACTTGCGATATCGACATCCTCGTGGAACTCTGAACTCACAGTACGATGTTCCCGAAATGACAAAGCTCAGATTGCTCAACTGATCCTCGGTAAACTTCAACTTGTCCTGGTGCCAAGTATCCGCATGCGATCGCTGGAACGAGGCCGCACACGCCCGGATGGTCGAGCTGATCGGCGTTGGGTCCGAGGCGTGTTCCGCCAGAATATCGCACAGCAGGTTGGGCAAAAACTTGGGGATCGTGTAGGGGAACGCTTCGATGCTACACAAGAGGCATGCAAGCGGATTATTAGCACGTACTTTTCAGATGAGACTGTAAAACTTGCAGGAAGCCGGCAAATTGCCTACGCACAGTGCGGTTATACCCAAAATAGCGCCATGCAGCTTGATAACGGCAGCTTGATAGTTGGGGTTCAAGTTGCCCGCAGCGTCCCGCTTCCGAGGCAATTTCGAAGCCTTGACCTCCCGTACGAATCGTTCCTATGCGAAGTGTGAAGAAGCGCGATCAATCAACAGGTGCAACGGATCGGCATACACGAGGATAGCATACCTTGAGAACGTTGATGCTGGCCCTTTGAGAGCATCTCAAGACTCCCGACAGCGTGCTGATCGAGGGCAGGGTCGTCTTGTCAGTCCATATCGCTGTCACATAGTGCAAGAAGAAGCTTACGCAGCAGCCGTCTCCCTAACTTCCTGATTATCATCGTGCATGCATTGTGCAAGGACCTGCGAGGCACACAGGCAGTTGTCAACGGAAGTGTCTATCAGTGCATGCAGATTCGGCCTTCACACTCACATCCATGATCTTGGCGGCCATCTCCTCGTCTACCAGCGGCAGTTCGCGGTAATAGACGATACTGAGGATGGGCAGGGCGTGTAGTCGGACTTTCCATGACTGATAGTAACGAATGCTGTTCAGCGTTGAATCAAGCCAATCGTCGAAGATTTACAAACTCACTGGCGACTCCCTCAAGGTCTTGAGCAGAGACTCGACCAACGGTTTGACAAACTCGATAGGTGGCGTAATGGCCGTCACGAAGACGAGGACAAAGGCGGCCATTTGGTGAAGGTCCTTCGAATCGACCATTTCTCTCATCTGGAAGATCTCAGGCCTTTTTGGGGGTACGAGTGAGCGTAGACACTTATGCAGTCTCCCGTCAAGCCAGGATACACTCACAGGATAGGCAAGACATAGGAGAAAACAGCAGGCGCGTGAATGTCCGACAGACCCGAATAAAACCATCGAAGAATCGTCCCGGCGGTTCGATCGTACAGCGAGAGCGACGCTTGCGGGCCTGACGGACGTTCGGCTCGCCATCCCGGGAGTTTGGCAGACAACGCTTTGAACTGGGGCATGAGGAGACCTTGCTTTCCCATGATGTCCTTATCCGGGTTGTCCAGACAGTCTCGCAGGAAACTGCGCGGCGAGTCGTATGATGGGTGCCATCGAACGTTGTCGAGACATAAGATATTGCTAGCGACGATTCCTCGAACCTCGACAAAATCGCTACTGCTGGCTTGATTGAAGCAAATGTCGATAAACTCGTCCGCCCATGGTTCGAATCGCCAACCGAAGCACCGGACCAAGGACGACGTCATCGATACGGCTTTTTTGAGCTCGAATGCCGACCCGTTGGCGTAATCGACTGATCGTCCGACCTCGAGCAAATAGTCCACCAACGGCTGTACTCGCCTAGGGTCGCGTTGGAAAAGCACGTGCTCGAAACACATCTTCCAGTATTCAAAGGTGTCTGGACGGATTGAATTGTAGATTTTGGGCAGTCGGGGGACGAGCCACTCCCACAGACCAGCCCTCGCCTTGCCCGACCAGTGTTTCATGCCTCGAAGAATACCCGACAAAATCTCGGCGAGCGCGCGTTGTTTGTCCTTGTCTGTTGTTTCTAGCAACTGCTCCATGACCGGCTTTAGGTGCTGGAAAGGCAGATCTGAGTAGATCTGGCACAGAGATCGGAGCAAGTCAATATTGTCTCCAGAGAGATAGGTTCGAGTCTTCTCTTGAGCCCAGTTGTCAGAAACTGATTTCCACCAAGCGGGATCGTCGACATAGACCTTCATCGCTGCAATCGCCTCCTGCGAAGCCTCTTCCCACTCGAAAGCTTCTTCGTCCCATTTGGCAAGTCTACTTTGAGCTACCTCTTCGCCCCAGCAGAGCCAGCCGACGGAACTCTTGTCCTGCATCCATTGATCCTCTTCTGCGTGATCATCGACTGGCTTGCGGAAAGCGTCAAGATACTCTTGGGTGAAATTTCCTCCATTAGCATCAGGCTTGGTCCAACGCTTAAGTGGGTTCTTCCCATTCTGAAGGAAAAGCGATTCGTCCGATCCTTTACAGAGAGTGCGGAGTTTGATAATGTACAGCAGACGGGTGGTAGCGATCTGCGCGTGACTACGAAGAGCCGGTTGCGGATCGGGAATCTTGCTGACCATGTAACCAGCAACAGCTCCCGATGTCGCCACGTCTCGTCTCATTAGATGCCGAATTAGTCGAGCGGTGGTGACTACGTACTTCCAGTGAGTCGCTGGATCCTGACAAAGCTCCAACAGTTGCGGGATCAAGGCGTGATACGCCTTGTCTCGATATTCGCGAGACGCTACAACGCCTCTGGCCAATGCTTGTCGCAGTTCGAGGTCCAAAGAAGCACCAGGTAGATCCTCGGCAAGCAATTTCAGGGTAGATTGAGCTCCAGCTCCACATTGTTGACCCATCATCATGGTACTTGGCTCTCGTATCAGGTCGATGGCATCGTCCAAAAGATTCCCTACGATGGTTTGAATCGTCGGCTTCTCCTGATGCTGCGCCTTGAGAAGCGTCATCATATAAGGCGTGAAGAAGCGCGCATCGTCCAGCGCAAACGTTAAGAGGGAAGAGAAGCCCAACACGTAGAGAGCGCCCTTCATAATATCGGGATCGGTGCCGACCGCTAGCGAGGGAAGCACGAGGGGAATGACCATGGGAGCTGTGCCTTCGTAAGACACGCAAAGCGAGCCCAGTGCCACCTGAGCGCTCCTCCTGATCTTTACAAAGGGAGATATGGAGAGCATCACCAAGTCCCTGATGAGGAGATCGTCGAGCTCCGAGCGTACACGGCGCTGGGCATTCAACCGGTGGCGACCAGCGTGGTAGATCTCCATACGACGGATCCAAATCGATCGAGGAAGCGACTTTTGCGCTTTCCATGATCGCACTTGCTTTTCCACATGAACGTGACCTTTCCACATGTTGGCGTAGGATTTCTGCTCCACACCGTACCTGCTCATCAGGGTCCCGATGGATCGTACCGTAAGCCGCATCGCGTCGATGGAGCTGTCTTCATCGTCGTTTCGGAAGATGGCGATTGCCTTGTGCAGAATGTTCCCAAATCGCGCTCGATACGCAAGCATTTGCTTGTAGATATCTGAATTGGGGTCGTTCAAGGGCGTTCCGCTCTTGTAAGGCGCGGGTGCATCGATGAATGCACGCGGGACGTCGCTGTGTAAATAAGATTGGGTCAGCATGTAATGACGCGATACAAGGGTGTAACGGATTCTTTGTGCTTACGGCGCTGCCGAGTGCTCTTCGCCGCCCGTCTTGAGCTCGCTGTGTTCCTGCCATGCCTGAGATAGAGCGCCAATGCTGAAGCGGATGTGAGAGATGTATCGACAGAAATCGTTGTTCCATGGAAGTGAAGACGAGGGGCTTTGAAGAAGACTCTCGAGCTTGTCCATCATTGACGAGCACATTGTCAATAGCTTTGATACGAAGTCGAGTTCTGATCGAGGTAGATGAATGCATCAGCAAGCGAATCATACTGTGTTTTCAATTAGCCACTAACCATTGTCTGCAGGAAGATGCCAATCGACCTGAACGTCTGCCAGACGATAAGTTTTTCCCCAATACAAGTGATGGTTGTACTTGAAGTCTGCCAGCGCAAATCCTTTAATATCGTCACCCTAGGACTCTCTCAGGATAAACGAGCTCACCTTCCGAGTTCCATTCTTCGGGGTTGACGAGTCTAGATTCGTAGGGGAAGACTGTCGTCATGTTGAAGATGACCTTCTCCATCAGCTTTCCAGCCCAAGACCAACATGCCTCGGACAGGCTCTTTTCCATCAAGTTTGACAACAGGGAAAGTAGCGCTTCTTGGTGATCCACAAGCTGTAAGGGCAGATGCGTTCAGCTTTCGATCCTGGTTACAACAACTCTGGTTCGGACCAACCTCTATGGAAGCTCCCGACACCGCTCCGACAAGGAGCGCCACATGCCACTGCAGCGCCACATCGGATGCGATTGGTATGGTGGAGTTTAGAGTGCGCCGAGAACCTGCTCCAGAGCTAAGCTCGGATTCAATACGCTCGGCGCACAGCGGTACAAACTTCTTGAGCGTGTACGCCGGGTTGGCGTTCGAACATGCCAAAACCAGACCGCCGATAACTCGCAAAGAGTTAGACCTGACGGTAGTCGTTACATGGTCAAAGACTTTATCAATGATCTTCTCCGTGCCAGCGATCGACAAGTTCATGATGATAGAGTCCATGAGTGCCTGGATGGGGAACAGGTTGAGCTATGATCTGAGATTCGCCACGACAAGCGGATACATACATTGACAAAGCCGACGATGCGCTCTTCACTCGAAATCCCTGCCTTCAAGCTACTGGTTTCGTTGACTTCAGGCATGTTGTCGTAGAGCTTGAAGATTCGCTCCAGCAGATCCGTCACCCATGCCGAGAAACCAGCGGTCGATTGCCTGAAGTACATATCCTCTTCCTCTGAGCTCATCATCGGTGAATCTTCCTCATCTTCCTTAAGGTCAACGGCCAGATCCGCCCGGGGTTCAGCATTTCGAGGACCGGCGATGATACCTTCAGGAACCTCCTCAGGGAGCTCTTCGAGGCGGATGTGCTGGATCGCGTTCATGAGGAAGAGCACGGTCGATAGCTGTCGAGACAAGCGATGATGAGATTCGGTGTTCAGAGTCCCGATCACTAGGACTCACGGTCTTGCCAGGATCATTCATGTCGATACCAGGCAGTACAAGCTCGAGGATGCTCGGAATCTGCTTCTGACCGCTTTTGGACACACTCCTTGTGGTCATCGACCAGGAGACAGCCCCAAGCGTCTTGATCACGGCGTTTGTCCTTGCCGTCTCTTCTAGATTAGTCAGACTGGGGATCGCTCGCTCGATGATGGGCGGTATTATGAGTTCCGGCTCAAGCACCGACAACGTCTTCAGACAAGATCGACTGGCTCCACCCGCAGTAGAATCCTTCGAAAAGATGCTCATCAAAGCCACGGGTCGAAGACAGAGGACAAATTCTTGTCTGATCGCTGGCGTAAGTCTCCACTCTGGAGGTGTCTTGCAGTCCGGCAGTTCCTCCTGCTTCCAACGGGTCAGAAACAGCCAAGCCAGGTCCTGGATGAACGTCGTGAGCACGCGTGACCATGCTCCGTGATTCGATGGGTGGAAGAAGCTTTCGCAGCTAGTAATAAGCTTAGCGAGATGTTCGAGCGATCGAGATCCTCCGAGATAAGTCTTGGTCGCGTCAGCTTTTCTACCAGCGTCAGCCAAGCTGTCGGAACTGGAACTCGAGTGTAGACCATTCCGATCTGTCTTGACCCTCTTCAGAGCTTGATGTTGAGGTGTAGCTGTGCCAGGAGTAGCCACACTTGAATTCGGCTTGGCAGGAGCGTCTTCAGCCATCGAGTATACGATGATCTCAGCCAGAGACACTGGGAACGATCGAGGTTTATTTAGTGCGAGTTGCAACGACGATGAAGTTGACTTTGTGACTTACACAATCTGTTCGTCGGTTTCCTCATAGCTAGAATGTTCTTGCTCGCCAAGGCATCCTGCATACCAGGTATTAGATCAGTAAATCAAAAGTAATCATAAGAAGAGGGAGAATCTCATTTACCATGGGTGCCATGGCGCCGGCCGCTGCACTGGCGACAGAACCTCCCACAGGAGTGCCTGTATACGATCGCTTGCGGAATCAGTTATAAGGAAGACAATACTAGCGGCAAGCAATCTTCTGACCCACCCATCGCTCGCAAGCACTTGGTCATCACAGTCTGAAATTCGATCTCAGTCAAAATTCCGATCTCCTTTCGGATGCCTTGCCAACTGGGATCCTTGCTGGCGATGTCCTCTTCGGCGTCCACACCGTCCAGGTCCATCTCGTCACCTTCAAGGGGTACCTCGTCTTCTTGCACGTCATTCACCATAGACTTGGGGATGTCTTCTAATCGCTTTGGATTCGACAAAGATGGGTTCAGATGACGCTTAGTCAGAACAGCCACTATGACGGAACAGCAGGTCGGAGAGTCAGTTCTCGAACCCCAATCATAGCAGGAGATCTAACGTACGGAGGTCAAGCATTTGTTCATCGTAAAGACCGCTATTGATACCATCCCATATTTTCCACACTGATACAACAAGTTGCGTCAGACTCAACAGGAATGAGATCTTCCGACCTTATTGCTTACTGGTTGGCAGCCAAAGTTGAGGGTGCGAGTATGGCATGAAGTGCACGACGAAAGCTTGGGTCGCAAGGATGGACTAACCGATGCCACGAGATGTAAGTCGAAACTCCTAGTATGAAGGTGTGCTGTACTTACATCGACGTCGTCTCCCACAAAGCGAGGCAAGATTACCGACAGCATCTCCTCGTACTCAGACGGATGGAAGAAACGTTGCGCTACCTCTGCCATATCGAGCAATAGGTTCGAAACGTTGCTGTAAACAAAACAATAGGCGTAAGCGTACGCTCGCGTGACAGCGATGCGAATAGTACCTACGTGTGTCCGACCTTTCGACGTTTCGGGAACAGCTCCTTGACTAGCAGGTCGTGAAGCGGCCTCCATGGCAGGCGTAGATCTTCAATCGAGATGAGCTTTTGTGGCCTATACCATTACAGTTGCAATTATCAGCGACGTTCTGACGAAGTTGGGGGAAAGCTCGACTGACTTGAGCAAACTTCGGACCATGTCCGCGGCGATTCCCATGGCTTGAGGATCGAGACCAGGCATGACAGCCAGTTCGTAGAATAATGCTCCCAATCGTACCCTCATCTTCTTCTTCATCGGATACCGTAGGCCGATCCAGCTATGGGTGTGACAATAAAGGGGGATCAGCTGATGACAGGACGAAAGAGACACTTTCAGATATACCAACTTTTGTAGTCTTCTGGTCCAGTAAGCAAAGGGGTACTCCCAATCACCCGCTTCGATGCAGTCCACTAATCTGCCAGCGATATGTTCCAGTCTTGCATCCATCTCTTCGAGCGTTTCAGTGGTATACGGTAGAGATCGAGCTAGTACCATCCGCTTGCGCCGGGGATCAGCTTTGGTCTTGCCCTTGCTGGGCCCATCGTGCATTCGGGTGTCGACCTCGAGCTATAATTGCGGAGAATATTGGTTTCGAGCAATCGAGGCAAGAGGGAAGATGTACTCACACCATCGAGCTCGGAATCAGAGTTGGACTATATGCAAATCATGGTAAGTAAGCGTAATGTCTTCTCTGCAAGCTGTAGCCAAGACAGACCTCGATAAAGTCCGATTCGTCGGAAGACATCTTGCTTGTTTACTCAAGTAGGTCTTCCCTACTCCGACGGGAAGAGAAAGTGGCCTGAAGTCCCGATCAGGAATCGGAAGGTTCAATTGTCCGGTTCGTCCGGGAAGGTGGGAATGCTAGATTTGCGTTAAGCTAACTGGCGGCTGTTTCGTGAAGCTTCGTGAGGAGCGATTGTACAAGGCTGGACGGTAGACTAATGGAGTCTTTCGGAGAATGTAGCATGTAGAATGTCAAAGGCAAAATGCAAAGGCATCTCTCCAATAGCACCACATCATCATCGTTGTCGTTGTATGAACGGTGACGAACCTTTGTGCGATGCCTCCTTGATGCGATCCACCTCCACCTTGGTTGTACACGCCAGCGTTTACGACGGACATCTGAAACAGAGATTAACTCCGCGTCACGTGGGTTTGTCCAGACCTAGTGATATTATATAGACTCGTGGTACGTCACAGACTTTCAACTCGATTGCTCGACGATTTAGAAATAATGGCGTAAGCTCAGATTATAGAGAGTACATTCTCCACTCTAATGAGTTTATCGCGATGACAATCGGAAGTCTCCAGCTAATCTCAGGCATGAAAGTGTGAACGCGCGAAACCGGGGCGGGGAGAAAGTATACCGCACTGGCGGATTCTGTTCTTGTTGGCCAGGCAAACGGTGGCCTGAAAATTGGAGGGTCCTGGCAAGCGGGGGGAAGAGATCCAGCTCGTTTCTGCAGACATTCGCGACCTTTTTGGTCCTCCATTGCCGTTAGCACAGTGCAGAGATCGTAGAGACGCTGGCGAATCTGTTCGTCTCGCGTCTCACGTCTCGGGCAAAGCATTCGCGGGGACCTCGGCCGCCCAAGATATTCTCCGATCTCCGACTGTCGCTACGTCTGTGGCTTCGACGTCAATCCCGTTGCAACTACAGTAGTTTCCATTTCTGGGCTCTCCGAGTCCGGCTCCCCGTGTGAGCGGGGTTGGGTTTGTCCAACAGGGTCGGCATGAACCCGCGTGGAACACAGGCACCAATTTGCAACAATTGCTACTTCGAACCTTGTTCGACGCGCTTGGCAACCTTGTTCTTCGGCACCGACACGGTCAGGTGACCATATGCTGCAAGGAAGCCCATGTTCGGAGAGATCAGCGTTGGAAGCACGCACCTCGGCCAATTTCGTCATGCCGGAGGGTAGAGATGACCCTTGGCATGGGATCCTTCTTTGTCTGTCCGGCACGATTAGAGGCTCAAGGTACATCCGCCCGTATACATATATAAGGGGTCCCGGTCTGAGGACCTCGTCTTCTTCGACAGTGTAATTTCGACTCCATCAACCCTCATCTCACGACAAACAATTACCAACTCTCACCGGACCAAGACCTTTCCGAGCATGACCACCGTACTCCAATACAACTTTACCTCTGAGAACGTCCCAGGGGCTTATTACGGTCTCCTCCCCGAGCTCCCGCACGCCCAGTTGTCGATGCCGAACGGGTCCATCGATGTACAATACAATTACACAAGCGCAGACTTGTCGAATGACGGAAACGCCACTCGGTGGGATTCCCTCTATACGATCTATTTCAACCGACCGGATTCCGAGAGCGTCTACCCATCGCCTTCTGGGTATCAGTATAGCCTGGTAAGTCAGATTAGGAATTCGACGAATTCCACATGCTGTGGTAATGGAATGCGTGCAAGACTGCTGATATGCTGTATCTTTTCATCAGACCCTCTTCTATGGGCATAGTACATTCGGTCCTGCAACACCGACAACTTTCACTACGACGAGTGGTCCGTGGTACTACAATGACACCATTTACCTGTTCGCTCCCGGAGACAGCTTTGTCCCCCAATTGATCGAGTTGTCCGAAGATGGTTCCACGCCCACTGGGAATCGATTCTTTGGTCAGAACATCACTCTGGTCAGGAACGAGACACTACCGATCACGACGACACAAGTAGCCTCAGACGAGATTTCGAAGTTGTTAGGAACCCGAACGGCTACTGCAACGTCGTCAAGGGCTCCTCCAGCTACGACTTACCCTTGGACCGCCGAGGCTGCCACGACTACCGCTGCTGCTGCTAGTGGAGGAGAGAGTTCGCCGGCGCAGACTTCGGCACCGGCGAACGCGGGGTCGCGATCTACCAAGGGATCCTCCTTGCTGCAGTGAGTCTAGTTTTACTTTGGCATATGTAGTGTGAAGGTGAGGGTCGCTGATCGATGGTCGTTGGGACAGGATCGGTACTGCCTTGTTGTTGATCAGCGCTGCAGTCGGAGCGTTTTGAAGAGGCCCCGTCTGAGCCAGGCCTTCGACTTCTTTCGACCTGCTTCCCAATCCGATGGCGAATACCATGATACCCTAAGACCACTGTATAGTATCCCCTTTTTGTTGTACGTTATAGCTCATACCCATACGTTTTCATCTTCCAATCCTTTATCTTGTCAAGCTTCTGAGAGCCAGTTCACTCGACGAGATGCTCGACATACTGAAGACAACGAGCCAGGGCAGTCGAGGAGCATTCCCAGACAGTCCGAGGGTCCGATGTTGCTGTTACGCAACATCAGCAACATCAACAGAGTCACATATCGGTTCGAGTTCGTCCTTCGACAACCCGTCTGAATTGAGACCAGCATTCTCCACGCCGAGTTCAAGCACAGAGAAGCAGGGCTGGTAGCCGCAATCGAGATGCGGATCACCGGTATCGATAGCGTCACCATGTACAACACGTCTCGTGAAGAGATGCAGCGTCTCCTGCACACAATCACACATGAGTTGAAATGGCTGATGCGCTCGTCAATGAGTCGTGAGAGGTGTTCCCAGCTGGATGATCGACCTCATATATGCTGCGGCGGTGTTGCTTAAATATCCTCCACACCTTGCCTTCGTGAAGACTGAAACAAGCCGAAGGCCGTGACGATGGTTTCTATATTTCTATTCATGATCCCCGACATCGACGACGACACGACGACGACGTAGATCGTGTTTGAACCTAGGTGCCTGCCGGGGCGACACAGCTTTTTGCGGCGATCGACGACCCGATTCCCAACAGTTGCCGTTTTGATTCGGGTGGTTGGGGCATCAAAGGAACGTCATCAGCAAACGCCACCCCGGGGCCCGGCAAGCAGAGGCAGGGCAGACGAGAGGGCGTTACGATTACGGCAGCGGAATAATGACGGTCTTCGTTAACTTTTGATCCCGCTGTAGTTCGCAGTCGTAACGGGCTGGCTGTGTCGGTGTGTGTGCTCCAGGTTTGGATTCTTTGGATTGCGCAGACTCTTTGCTCACAAATCGATCCCCCGCCTGTCATCAACGTCGTCAGCCTCGATACAAAGAGAGGCAATAGAGGCGACATCACCACATATAGACAGCTAACATACGTCCACACCTAGACATATAAAGGACTACTTTGGTCGACCCACGATCGCCATCCCCCTTCCGATCGAACCCGCCACAACAAACCACTACGCCGCCCGCTCGGATCGAGCAAACTTTTAATCGATCCAGCCCCGCAGCGACGACGCACACCCATAGGCAACCTCCATATAAAGGCCTAGGACGACGACTCGTATAGACGCCAGTAGCCCAAAGACAGGCTCGATATAGTCACGACATCCTCCCTGCCGCGCAAAACATTACGCAGCAGTGTTTAGCTTGGCAAATCGACACAGCAAATCTCTATCATAATTCAGACCGAATCTCCATAATCTCGTTTTCGCACCGCATCACATCATATACCCTGTGCTTTCAGAGGCAATAATCAGCCACAACACGATCACATTCACTTGCACATAGCATTATATCGACCTTCGAAAACGATGATATTCACAACAATCGCCCCACTGGCAGCCATCCTGCTCGCCTCGACCCCCTCCACCGCCTCTCCCACTCTCGGTCGGGCCACCCCTTCCATCCCCGAATCCCGAGCGACCATCCCTCTGAACCACAACCACGCTTACCACGCCCGTCGATCGAACCCGGACCTCGAAGTCCGTCAAGCTTGGTTGAAGAACGAGGCTAGGAACCTGAGGCGCAAGTATGCAAACTTGTTGGATGAGCGTGGACAGGGGTTGATGAGGCGAGATGATGCTCATCTGGAGATCATCAAGCGTGATCTTCAGGCTCGTCAGTCTACATCGACTTCATCGCAGGAGGGATCGCAGAAGGGAGAAGAATACTTGATCGACGTCGGGCTCGATGCCAGTTACACGGGAACCCTTTATATGGGTACCCCGGCACAGGAGTTCGAGGTCATCATGGACACGGGGAGTTCGGATCTGTGGTTGGCCGATTCAGAGTGTACGAGTCAGACTTGTCAGGGAGTTAGTTCGTTCAACGAGGGGGCGAGCAGCACCTTGAACATGTGAGTCGTGTTCTGAAGTCGGCAATTGATGGATAAAAAGCTGAAACAATCTATTCTTCGTCGATCTCAGGTTGAACACGCCTTTCCAGATCACCTACGGGTCGGGTGCTGCCAACGGTACTCTCGCCCAAGATACCGCCAGCATGGCTGGATACACCGTCGAGTCTCAAACTTTCGCCCTCGTCACCCAAGCCTCGGATGACCTCCTCACCTACCCTTACTCGGGTCTCATGGGTCTGGCTTGGGCTCGATTGGCTTCCTCCCGTTCGACCCCCTTCTGGCAACAACTCGCTCAGACTGGACAGCTCGCCACCCCTGCCATGGGATTCTACCTGGCTAGGTATAGGGGTGACCAGTATGCGACCCGTGTCGAACAGGATGGAGGTCTCATGACCCTGGGTTACCTGAACCAGACGCTCTACGAGGGCAACATCACCTACGTTAGCATTGCGGACGACGAGAAGGACTATTGGAGAATTCCTATTGGAGGGATCAGGATCGGAGACACCGCCATCGGGATCGTGAGTCGATAAATTCGTCTTGAGAGCGTTTTTGTATTGAGCTTGAGGCTGACCTTCTGTTGACAGGCTCAATCCAACGGAGATGCTCCTAGCGCTGCGATTGACACTGGTACTACCTTGATTGGAGGTCCTTCCAGCGTTGTCGACTCGCTGTACGCGGCCATTCCCGGTTCACGTCCGGCCACTCTACCCGGTTACGAGGGATACTACGAGGTGAGCCCCAGCGGAAGATTCCTTGATACTCGTCATGCAGAACCGCTGCTGACCATGCTTGTGCTTCTTGTTACGATATTAGTACCCTTGCAGCACGACCATCAACATGAGGATGGTCTTTGGGTCCGTGAGCTACCTGATCTCCGAGGCCGATTTCAACCTCGGCGCCTTCAGCCAGGATTCGCAATACTGCATGGGAGCCATTTTCGCTCAGGATCTCGGCTCGCAAGCCCCGATCCAGTGGATCGTCGGAGCCACTTTCCTCAAGAACGTCTACTCAGTCTTTTCCTACGAACCCGCCGCGATCGGGTTCGCGGCATTGGCTGGAGAGGCGTCAACCGCGACGACGGCTTCCGGGGCCAACGCTTTGCCTTCTTCTACTGGATCGCCCGCCTCAGGGACGTCCGGTTCGAACGGCGCGGCTATGATCGGGACGCCCAACGTTTCGAGCTTGGTCGGATTGGTCTTGATCGTGCTCGTTGCTTGCATCAGCGCCTAGTCACAGCTCGATATCAGCATCGACAAGATCATCTTGATACCCTATACAACATTGCATGCTAGACATATACCTCTTTTGCTGCTAAAGCATGGTAGCACACATCAGTCTCGAAAATCCATTCACATGGGTGCGATACCTTTCGCATGACTCTCACACTTACACTGTAGCAATAGTTATAAATTTATGAATCGAATGAAACACGTCATCTTTGTCTGGTTACTCGAGTCTCGACCAATCAGGGCGATCGTTTTGACGAGACGGTTGAGTGGCGGTGAGACGCGCGGTATCCGCGGTTCGCATCATTTTCGTCGCCATCGCCCTCGAGCCCTGCGAGCCAACAGCATCGTCGACATTTACCACCCTCGAACAAGATTCAAGGTGATCGAATCGACATTCTCTATCCAAGTCGTCTCGTTATTGACATTGACATCCTCCGTGTATAACCGTCCAGGTCGTATTCGATCCGTAAAACTCTAGGACCGTCTCGCCTTGCCCAAAATGGCCTCCATCGGTAGAAAACTCGTACTCGGTCGACTGGCCAACGCCTCGTCCTCTTCCTTCCTTCGAACGGCCCCTCCCACCGCTCACCTCCTCGCCTCTCCCTACCTGGCCTCGAGATCACTCAACACGTCCTCCTTTTTCCGATTCGCTCAGCCCGCCAACACGTCGCCATCAAGGATCCAGCAGGGTCCGATCAAGACGCCGAACCCTAAAGACAACGCTCTGGCAGGTGCCGCAAGTCCTGGGTCGACCCAGAGCGCTCCTGCTAGCGAACCCGCTCAGGTCGGAGGGTTGCAGTATGCGGACTACAGCAAGGGACCTAGCGCTTTGGACAAGGCGGCTCAGTTGTTCTTCTTTACCGAAATCTTGCGAGGTCAGTATTCGCCGAGTCTTCTCGATCGCTGTGAAATGTAGGTCTGATGAATCGGCGGCGGGTTGCGATGCGAAACAGGAATGTGGATCGTCCTGGAACAGTTCTTCCGTAAGTCAACCACGACTCGACTTCCATGTGTTCCGAAAAGAGAAAGGCGAAACTGAACAACTACTTCGCCTCGTCGATTACAGGACCTCCTTACACCATCATGTACCCCTTCGAAAAGGGTCCCATTTCGGCCCGATTCCGTGGAGAACACGCCCTCCGAAGATACCCTAACGGTGAAGAGCGATGTATCGGTACGTCTCCCTCCCTCACTATCTTCAACCATCGAGTCGACGGGAAGGTGAAAGACGGCTGGACTGATGAATGTTGCTTTGTTTTGTTCTTACTCGTAGCCTGCAAGCTCTGCGAGGCCATCTGTCCTGCACAGGCCATTACCATCGAATCGGAGGCCCGAGACGATGGGAGCAGGAAGACCACTCGATATGATATCGACATGACCAAGGTGAGCTTGCTAGTCTGTTCACGATCGACGTTAAGCGAGATCGTTACTGAACTGATACTGAACTGATGGATTTGCCTGTTACGCTCTGGGTGAATAGTGTATCTACTGCGGTTTCTGCCAGGAAGCTTGTCCTGTTGATGCCATCGTCGAGGTTAGTTGCCGTTTTCGTTCACAGATCGAACTTGGGGAATGACGTTGCTGACTTTAACATGACTTGACGACAGACTTCGAACATCGAGTACGCCACTGAGACTCGAGAAGAGCTTCTTTACAACAAGGAGAAGCTTTTGGCCAACGGAGACCGAGCCGAGGCCGAGATCGCCGCCAACTTGCAGGCCGAGCACGTGAGTTATAGCATTCTCAGTTCAATAGGACATTCGAAGCGACACTTGCTGATTAAGGTTCTCTCCTTTTGAATTTTGCAGTTCTACCGTTAAGCCGGGTTTCTTGCTGTCATACGAGAAACCGACCCGCGCACGAAACCTCTGAACAACCTTAATCATTCTTTCCTGTCGGACGACGACCGATCGATCCGGCGCTTTAGCTCAGACGCTCGGTCGCCCTTGTACAGTAGTCTTTCTCCTTCATGAACCATCGGATGAAACATCCCAACCTGTCCGTCGAGATCGAAGCTTGCACAGCGAGCCGTGTCTGCTTCCAATTAAATCCACGTATACAGTAGGTACAGATACATCATGATACCCGATTAGAAACGGTCTTTCTCGATTCCATTATAGTCCTGGGCCTCCGTCTCCTTCAAACAGGCGCGGGAAATCACCCTTTAATGTTGATTGCGCTCTTGTTCTACTATAAGTTCGACCGGCGACTCGTCATCAGTCAAGATTCTCATACCCGACGAGAAGTACCACTGCTCACCCGCTACCCGCTTTGCACTGCAAGACAGCGTTCAGAACACCGGCGGCGCCATCGGAACACCAGCAAAGACCATCCTTCCCGTCCCAACCTCCTGAACTACCTGGTACTCGTTACAACCCTCCTTGCACCCCTCGGAAGGTTCAGGGTTCCAGACCAGGTCGAACACCACTTGCGACTGTCCCCTTGAAAGCCTGCCGACCTTGGTGATGATCTCCAAGCCGTATTCCTCTGGTTGGAGGACCGAGTCCGGTGATCTAGTATCCGAGGAGAGGAGAGACAGCTCGTCGTACCACTCTTTATACCAGTCGAGCAGGTCCAAAGGGGTTTCCTTTTTGCTCCAGAAAGCTACGCCGAGGTAGACGTTGTGCTTGGTCCTGCTCCACGAGGAGATACAGATGACCAGGTTCCCAGGGAGTCGGATACAGTTGTGGCAGTTGTATAGTCTGCCGGAGGAAGAGTGTTTGTAGGCGGTGTGGATGGAGGTGAAGAGGTGGCGCATGGTATGGATGTAGTCGGTGGATGTCGAGGTCATTACGCTGAGAAAGCTTGGTCGCGAGTGGCGTGTGTATTTGCGGTCGAGCAGGGATCATCTGCCTATATGTACAAGGGTTCAAATCGGACAATGTAGTATAGCTAGTATAGCTCATATCATCGATACCATGTCAGGCTTCTCAATGCATAATCGGGCGAGGAAAAACCAAGATCGTCGTCCCTGTGACTTTTGACGTCGATCGTCGAAACAATAGGCAATAGTAGTCTTCCGAACGTTTCGGGCATCGGTCATGTCCGGAGCGGAATCAATCACTTGCTTCGCGTTTCGTATGCTCGGGTCTGAACTCAATCACTACTTTGCCGGCTATCATTCGTTGCTTCGCTCTTATGGGCATCAGCTCGACGGGATCCCATCCGATGAGACTTATAGACTTGAGAGCCTAGATCTGGATTGGAAAATGAGAAGGATCGAGATCACGTTCGTCCTCGCTCGATCCACCCTGTGTGTCAACGCACGTCATGCTGTTCTATTTCATGATATCATCGGCCGAACCATCACTACGTCATGGGTCCTTTGAGCTGATCAGCCCTTGCAACAATTCGAGGGTGACTATGACGTTCGTAGCTCGTAACCCCACAACTCATCGTCATGTCGCACCACGCATCACATTGAAGAACGACTATAAAGAGCCCGCTCGAGTCGTTGCATTTCCGATACCCCTCCTTCAAACCGTCAGTCGTTCTATATCACGATATCAATCTACACACTACCCAAACCAAAACCATCATCAACAAATCCAACCATGTGGGGAGATCACGACGACACCGACGAGCAGAACGCCTTGAGGAAGGTCGAGGATAACGATGGAAGTCTCAGTGAGTCCACCCTTACCCTCATGCGTCGGCCTCAGATTGCGCACATAGACTGATTACTTGCCGTTTCTTCATATGCTCACTTCATGTAGGCCATGACGCCTTGGTCGGAGGTGCCGTCGCTGTCGCTATGAAGGAATGGCAAGAGAAGAAGGAGAGGGATGGGGAGCCCCAAGACTACGTGAGTTGGCTGGGTTTCTCGTCTCATATCACAGATCGATATGATACCACCAGGAACCCAGACTAACATCCGATCTCGGCTCGTATTCTCTTCTCCACAATAGGAAACCGGAAAGACCGTCTTTGCCGGTCTGGCCGCTGCCGCTCTGACCCACTTGGTCGAGACCAAGTGAGTGACAAACATCCGGACTATACTTCTACCTTTACTTCAACATATACATCCCTCCAAGCTATGGCAAGTCGAGCTGATGTGATCGCCTTTCATTCTCTTTCTACTTCTACCCGCTTCTAGGGGTATGGACCAGATCGACTCTTTGAAGGCCAAGCACGACGCTGCCGAACAGGCCAAGAAGGCGTTGGCGCAATCTGGGATCTACGGGCAACAGAGTTACCAGACCAGAGAGTACAACCGGGACGGCGACGACAATGACAACGATCGTTCGGGCAGCAGGGGATACGGAGGAACGAACAATAACAACGATGATAGCTACGGGAATAACGAAAGGAGTAACCGAGCTGAAGTGTACGGAAACAACGAGTCTGGTGCCTACGGGTCCAACGAGTATGGGAGGGGAAACCAGGGAAATGAATACGGTAGCAGGAACAGGGACGAGAACGAGTATGGGAACGAGAACCGGTACGTCCTTGTCCGATTATCAGTCAACTTCGGTGCGTGGTTGCTAATTTTAGACGTTCCGCTTCTTCTGACAGTCGTGGCGAAGGCCGCGGCGAGGGGTACGGCGGCGACAGGTCCAACGACTATTAGGTCCACGTCGGACTCGCTCACTCGGTTCTGGTCGTTCGTCCGTCCACGATCGAAACGCTGAGGAATTTTATCCCTGTATGACTTGCTTACGATAAGACTGTTTATGTCCACCGAATGTCAAAGATGAAATACACGTGTATCTTGCGAGTGGGCTCGAGCGTCTCGTGAGCCGTCTTTCGGTAGAATCGCTTTTCCTGACGCGGGAGTCTAGCAACACTGAAGCGCACGGCAGGTGTACGCGGTGAAACCCTTCCCAGGGCTTCACAAAGGAACTGTATGACGACAACTGACGTGACTTCTCGCTCTTGGCCCCATCTTCAACTATATATATACGGACAAGGCTAGGTGACATCGCTCGCAATAGGCAACTCTTGCGCCCACCTTTTCCAAGACAATTTCGTTGCCGACCTTACCATCAATATGCCCGCCTCCATTGCCAGCTCCCAAGTACAAACCACCCGAAGTGTGGTTTGGAACCAAGGTAAGTCCCCTCCCGGAACACAGAACACGAAATCCTGCCCCGATCGAGAGCTGATAGCCACTTTCGTACACGTTTTAGCCGTCGCCGGTGAGCTTCAAGTACCCGACGCAGTCACGATCGAGGACTACGCCGCTCTCGTCCACCGGATCGAACTCGAGGCGAACAAGAAGAAGACGATGGGCGCCGGCGAGGTGGAGAGGATCATGCCCTACATGACCCGGGTGCTCCTCCGCGTTCGAGCGGACAACCCAGATCTCAGCGAGGCAGACCAGAAACGTTTGGACCGGTACGTCGAGAGAGTTGGGGATTGTCTCAAGAGGTGCATGGTCGAGGATCCCACCGCCATCGAGATGACCTCCTAAAGTCCCGCCAGTGCCAAGGAGTTACGCCCAGTCCGTCCAGTTTCAAGTTGTACCAGCGAATCGTGAACGAAGAAGAGGTCGTGGTCATATCGCATGTAAATCCGCCTGTTTTGCTCGCTTTATATACAACCCGAAGGACAGATTCTCGTTTGCCGTTTGAGAAATTGCACAAGCACGATTATGCACGAAGTCGAAATTTGTATCGAAAGATCAGTAACCTCCCCTACCCCTTCCTCCTCGGGGCGCAGCTTGGCCGTAGCCCCCATATCCTCCTCCTCGACCGAGATTGCCTCCCCCATATCCACCGTAGCCTCCATACCCTCCGGCAGCAGCGCCGGCTGCACCCCCATATCCTCCATAGCCACCTTGCGCGGCTCCGTATCCACCATAAGCAGCCTGACCGGCAGGTGCGCCGTACGAAGCTATTCCGAGGTAAATCAGCATAACCTCTCTCGACTCGTTCGTTTCTTCCAGACCAGACTCACGCTGTACGTAAGCAGTCTGGTAAGCAGCACCTGCCCCACCGTACCCTCCGTAGCCACCATACGCTCCGCCAGCATTGTAAGCACCCGTACCTCCGAGCCCATAGCCGCCAGCCGGTACTCCATAGCCTCCAGGATTGCCGGCGTAGTGTTGAGCTGGAGGCTGTTGCTGGGCACCGCCGGCTCCATACCCTCCGTAAGCCGGAGCCGAGTAAGCAGCAGTCTGCCCACCTCCACGAGGAGGACCGTTGAACGCGCCGCCCCTTCCACCTCCACGGCCTCCTCTGCCTCCCCTTCGACCCGTGCGGGTCTGCTCTCGATCCTGCTCATTGAGCACCGTTTGCGGGTGCCTAACACCGGGTAGTAGCATCGATCGATGCGGCCGCAGCATTTTCGGGAAGTAATACCGTACGGATAATGTTCGGTTGTCGGTGATATCTGGGCATTCTTCCACGTCCTTCAAGGGCGAGTCGAGACTGGCTCCTGGAATGCATTTCGGATCGTCGAGAACAGCTCCGCAGATACCTCTTGACAGTTTGCCGTCGATCGGTACGGCCTGGATGTAAGATGGCAGGGTTAGCCAACCAAATATCGTTGATGCCAGGTCGATGTGCAACTTGTCAACTCACTCTCGTCGCCTTCTTTTTCGTGTACAACTCGCAAAACTTGGGGTACAGATCGTTGTCATCCGATATTAACATGACGTTGTCTCCTATCGTGTTCCGTCTCTTTTCGTCCGGAGTCAAAAGCGGCTCTACCGTAGCGATCGCGCCGAGCAGTCTGTCTTGAGAGATGAAAGGCAGCAGAGCGATACCTTGCCATGCCATCTTCTTTCCGTTCATGTCGATTTCGAAGTCGGGAGGATAGAAATCCAAGATCGGCGAATCCTCGCCGATCATCAGTTGCTGGTACGGCTCTGGCAAATGCTTCTTACTGTTGCGATAGATGGCAGACAGCCAGAATGGTTAGCAAGATTGAGCTTCACTGTCGAGAACGATGTGGCTCACCTTGCCGCAGGAAAAACCCCCATCAACTGCTCAAACGGTTTGAAAGGTCGGCCCATAGTGAACGCAATGTCGTAGTTTTGAATGTCCTTGAAGTCGGCAGCGAACGGGGCGTAGTAGAACGGGTAGAACCATTCCCACGATGGGGTCTAGAGATGCATAGATCAGCATCACTTGAAGGAAGGAGTCCCCGATAGATCATGGCCTGCTTACGCCTTGGAAGTAGTAGTGCAAAACCCAATTCATTCCCTCCATGTAGGCTTTGACGACTCTGTCCAGTGTTTCTTATTAGCTCATATCGGCTTCGTGTGCGGGCCATATCGATACTCACTCGGTCCTGAACGTTATATCGCTCAACTCTACCCCAAACTTTTCGCGGTAATAACGCTCTCTGTAACCGGGCTCCCACAGTCTGTTCAAGCAGATGATCAGTATGTGGTAATCATATACCGGCAGTAATGTACCTACTTCACGGTATCCTCATAGTCTACGGTACCATCCGGATTCTTCTTCAGCTTGAACTTCTTCGGTAGAGGTTGATCCGCATCCGGGTTGGGAGGGGCTTCGTCCTCGTCTGCATCGTCTTCGTCGTCAAGAGCGTCCTCTTCTTCCTTCGCGATGACTGGGACGGGCCGGTCATTCTTCGCTTTCCGTTTCTTTCCACGAGGCGAGGTACCATCTCCAGCCTCCTCGCCAGCTTGATCGTAATCTTCACCCGTCAAGTCTGGTTTTGTCTCCTCATCCGTCTTTTCGGTTTCTGTAGAGACCTCTGTTGAACCTGCGAGTTTGGCTCGAAGAGCTTCGGCAGCAGACATGTTCGCCTTCTTGATCACGGTGCGATCCTCTTGAACCGGATGATCAACAAGGCTCATCTTGCCACGCTGTCCGATTACAGGCATCTCTGCCGGTGGCGCAGCAGCGGGCATGAAACCGGGCCGAGCCGGCAGAGAATGATGGATAGACTTGACGGGCGGCGCGCTGACTTCGACCAAGGAGACCTCGTGTGCTTGTATAGTGCCAGGAGGTGGTGCCTGTTCTCTGGTGTTTCTTCGAGCATTGCCTTGGTCATTCCCTCGGGTATTCCTCTCCCGCTTCATGGCTGGGTTCTGTCGCTCTTCGGCTGTTTCATACACATCGGATGACAATCAGAATGAAGAGAGCAAACATTTTCACAACAGAGCGGTCTGAGCTCACCTTCCCGTCTCTTCTGGAAGATGCTGTCCTCATCGGCAGCGAGACCCTCCAAGATGAATTGGGCACGGTCCATCTCGACTCGTCCGTGATTGGTGACATAGCCACCCATCCTCTCAAACTCCCGCTTCCATATCCGGAGAAGGGTATCAATGGCTCCTTCTCTGATTTCCAAACTTGGCAGGTGGGGCAAGAAGTCGTTTCCGACAAAGAAGATGAGGAAGACCCAATCGTCGATGGCTCGTTCGAGCTCAAAAGGTACTACCGGCGATCGCAAGTCGAGCTCGACAGCTAGATATTCTCGTAGAGTGCTGACATCTAGGAAGATGAACGGCTTCTCTTCTACCGGAGCGTTCTTGACGTCGTGCTTGTCCTGTTTGACCTTTTTCTGTCCCGTGCATTGAGCTGCGATATGCCCGACTTGTCCGCAGATCCTGCAACCCGAATCGCGAGACTGCTGGAAGAAAACGTCTTCTCGCAAAACTTTAAAGTAGGGTTCATGAGTCGCCAGAGCTAGCATGATCAAGTCGGCATCCTAGAAGCGCATAACCAACAGCGATGAGCGAGCGACTTAGCTGATTGCTAGTAAAGGCTTTACTTACCAAACCGTAAATAACGTGGCTCGTATTGGGATCGTGCTCCGCTTGTGTCCGCTGTCTTCGAATCCAGTCCATGATCTTGTGCTCTCCTTCTCCAGGTACAGATGCATCGGAGATGATGACGTCGAGGTTCTTCCAACCAGGATCGTTGTTCAACTTCCAGGCAACCCAATATCGTAGACTCGCCGCCAGTAGGTCCATGAATGGTGTACCTGGCGTAATCGCGTTCGTGTCCCATCCCTTCTTGTCAAGTTCAGCCTGAGTCGCCGCGCTCACGGGATGACCCATCTCTTCAAACATCTTGACCGCCTCTAATCTGCTCTCTTCTTTGTCTGCCGCCTCCTGTGCAGCCCTGAATCTTCGCGATCGCTGCTGGTTCATCTTGGCTCGAGGCGCCACACCGTCTGGATAGTCGAGATCTGTCCTTAGTCGCTGATACAAAGGCGGCGAGTGAACAAAGCTTACCGATCGCCATCATAAGGACCTTCCGGGGTCGGGCCATGTTCACTACTCGCTCGGTGTACTTGAAGACCTCGACCATCATCTCTTCCTCGGTTTCGGGAGCAGGCTAGAAGTGGAAGACTCAAGGTGAGATCGAATACACTGTGATCGCCCTGTCTAAGCAGCTCACCTTTCCCTCAGGGTGGGTACACGGATGCACGATACCGTTCATATCCACTAAGAAGAGCACAATCTATCAGCCAATCAATCTACGCACGGCATGCCCACCCGTCAGGACTGACAGTACAGGTTATCGACCTCGAACCCGTTAGGATTCGGACCCCCATAATTGATCTCCTCGTAAGTCTCCTTGCCATCAGGTCCGGTCACCTTTTCAGGCTTGTCCTCGATGACCCGTTCGACTGCGTGACATCGACTTGTTCAGCATATGAAGCTGGTTGCTGCAATCCGGCGCTGAGACTCACCGATCTTCGGGTATTTCTTTGAGAGCCATCTGAACAAGGCTGGGACACCCTGTTTGAATATGCAAAAGGCAGTCTCAGCAATCGGATTCAGACCCTTTGCCTCATCCTGACACACCATGTCGATCTGGTCTGCTCCGGGGGTATGATTCGCGGCTGAGTAGCCGTACTTGCGGATTCAGGGAGTTCTAATCCCACACGATGGAGATTCCGACTAGCTAGATAAGAGCCGTTAATAACAGTGGATTGATGGATAGACAATGTTGTACTTGTACAACGGTTCAGACGTCAAGAAGTCAAAGAGCTTTACGCCATCGCCGGAGCATCGATCGAATGAGAGAACGGACATGAACTATCGAGCAATGTCCGCGGGAAATCGCCGGACTGTGTCTCGCTCAGGTGGTCTCGGTTCAGATCAGGCAGAGGAGGCATTGATCAGAACGCAGATTCTTTTTGTACATGGTATACAGCTTACACAGCGATTATAATACAGTTGAACAATCGCACAGAACCGCAGAAGGGTATCCTCGTCCTCCTCCTCATCTCATGACGACTCGGCTTCCGGTCTGATCATCTCCGGTGTGTTTACCAGAACGGTCCCATTGTCCCGTCCCCTTTCCGCCCTAGACTTAGCAGACGAGGCAAGGGCAACAGAAGCAGGCGGCGATCATCCCCCAATACGTCCCACAGCAGATTCCACAGCAACCGGGGCCAGAGTCGTCCTTTTGCCGCGGCTGTTGTCCGACGACAATATTAGGCGGTGGTCCGTCTGCCAGATGAACAGGAGTACAAGGTCAGCAGCGTTCATCGAGGGATCGGATATGTGATGGTTGGACATACTGTGCATCATCGGGGCTTGTCCGTACTGAGGTGCGTATTGTGGTTGTGGCGGGTGCGGTCCGCCGTGGTACTACGAGGAGGACAAAGGCGTGTATCAGTAACTCGGATTGTGAAGGATGCATGGTAGCTTTTCGAATATGCTGTGTGCTTACACCGTGTCCACCATGACCGTGAATAGGGGCAGGTGGCTGGGGCCTATCAGTCGAAAGCGAGAAAGACGTCAGTCATAAGCCGTTTTACGACTTGTTGGAGGCCTTGCACTCATCTGACGTACGGGTAGTACTGAGGCTGTTTCTCCTTTCCGAACATGGTCATTGAGTAGTTCTTTCTCTGCTGGGTTGATAATCAGATAGCCTGGCTGGGTTCGTTGTAGTTGTGAAAGAGGCTGCGCGAGGTTATCAAGGTCGAGTCTGGTAAGCCTGATGTCACAAACGCGAGGAATGAAAGGAGTTACTCACGTATGCAATCAGAGGTTTCAAGGGGTTGGTATACCGTAGAAGTCGCTTTCAGGTTCTAGATCGATGGCGTTCGTTGCCGTTGCAGGTCCTAAGGAATATATATATATACACAGGATCAAGTTTTCGCCCAGTTGCCCAGTTCGCAGTCTCTTCAACCTGGATGTCGTATTGCCCGAAGGCGATCAGCTGTGCTCGGTCGCCTTGCTCCGACGGGAGACAACGACCGGAAGCAGATCTAGCCGTGGCGTAGTAGTTACGTAACTCAACGCCAAGCCGGGAGGCGAGAGATGGTTGCCGAAGCTGCACAGCGAGGAGCGGTCAATGTCCGTGGCAAAACGCAGATGTGGGGGCTGCGGATCGTCGATCGTCGAATTCAATGCTCGAGGCAGTGTACGCAGTGTACCGGTCACAAGTCGCCGTCGAGGGCGCATCACATGGTCTTTCATCGACAATGGCTGTTATGTGCGAAGGAGACGCTGGCCACCAGGTGATGGATATTGTCCGCCAACGACACCCGCATTGTGCCACAGCGCCACAGCAAAGGGTCGACACCGATGCATGTCGCCCCTCATACAAGACGTTGCAGCGTCATGCGCCAACCGTCTCAATCGTACAATCATGTGGAAAGCCAGACATCTGTAAAGAGGATTGCCCTCCCTGAGCGCTTCACATCCAGGACCGTCGTGAAAGTTAAGACGCTCCTGACCGGGCTATGCCTTTCGGTTTCGGTCACTTAGTGTACAGATCTACAGAGCAGAAGCAAAAGCTTTGACTTGCGCTTCACATCCCGTGAGCTACCTATGCAATTTCCCCCTGAAAGTCATTTTGTGCCCCGACACCAGGATGCACCTTGATGTCTTGCTTCCAAATACACAAAGTCTTGATACGTGTTCATCACATATCTCTCTGTATGGGGTCATCAGGCACAGCTGGTCGGGCAAGCCGGTGTTGAGGACTGTATGGAGAAACAAAGGGATGAAGACGAAAGCAATGATGCTGGAACCGACAGATACTCTCCTGTCAATCGACTTTACTGTCTGGTATCGCTTGAGCTAGGTACAGCAATCTATCTAGGTCATTTCTGGTGCATTGTCCGTGAGGCGCTTCACCGTGCTTATCCCGGTATATCGTTCGAACACAAGCTATTCATCATCAAAGTCGTGAAAGTTCTATCTCGTGACGAAAGCAATTCGATTGATATCGCTAGAACTGTTCTCCTCCAAGTCGGATTGCGTCGAAGATCTTCTCTCGATTCGAAAGCCCGCATGGCCTCGCCGGCGTTTTCAACGCTTTGGAGGTACTGCGCGGATCCGTCTCTTCTCGCCGTGAGCCCTATTGGCAGGGCCAGAATCTTCCAGGAAAACGTCTGCCGACCTCTTCTTCTCTAACCTGCTCCCGCCCACCTGGAACCTAGGTCCGCTCGCAAGCGGGACGGACGGACCTGCCATCGCTGGTTGACTACTGACGAACGGGTCATCTAGGTCCATAGTCATCGCTGGTAGGGTTCTCTTCTCCGATTCTGTGATAGTCGTCGTCGGTCTCTTCTTTTCTAGCTCTGCAAACTTGAGGGAAGAGGAAGAGACCGTCTGTGCCCTGTCAAATTGCCTCCAGCTCTGAGATCCGCCTTTTCGCTCGTTTCGCGCTGCTCCCTCTTTTGTTCTGTCGTTCCCTTCCACCTCGACCGATTCTCGCCAGGTCTGAGACGTGCGGACTAGGGTGACCCTGTCATCGTCGATCGTCTCACCGATCTCCCTTGTGGTAGTCGTCGAAGAGACACTCGATGTTCGGTGCACCCTCTTCGTCCTGACCTTGATCTCTCGTCTGGTAGGCTCCGAAGCCTTCGAAGTCGATTTCGCCCGCGATTTGAGCGATCGATCTTGAGGATAAGGATTCATGACGAAAGAGTCCTCGTTCTCTTCCGCGCCCGATCCCTCTGTATCGCTAGGGCCTCTATACTCGTTATCTGTCGTTGGGCCCTCGCCTTCTGAATCGCTAACTTCGTGTCTACTGGCCAGATCTGAGCGCATGTATTCGTCGAGGTTTCGGGGGATCTTGGTGGGTTTCGGCTGGGCGGTTCCATTTTGTAATTCTCTGCATCTGTTCTTATAGGCAGCCAACTAGAATTCGGGAAGCACTCATCAGCTATGATCCGGTCGTCTACAGTGTGACCGGGTACTGACAGCAGATTTCGTAGAGGCTAGCTCGCGTTTCAAGCTTGTCACCGTCATCTTCATGCGCGAATCCTGCTGCCCGTGTGCTCTGCAATATCACAACAGAGGTTCTGCTCAGCTTGCTGTATGTTATGGTCGATCGGTCCTCGGAATCATGTCGGCTCACTCTTTCAAAGCTGCCAGCTCAGTTTTCACGCTATCCAACTGCGCCTGGAGTGACCCGTTCCTCTCCTTCCATTTGGCATTGATCCTCCTCAACTCTTCCGTACTATGCTGCCGCTGTACCGTCATCTCTTCCTCGTGCAAAGTCCTCTCGTTCTCGATAGCGACGGCATGTTGCCAGAAAGTCTCCTCCGTCTGTTTCTTGTTTGCGCTCGAGAGTTCCTTGAGCTGTTGTCTCAGGCTGATACGTTCTTGAGTCAGTTTCTCAAAGGTTTGTCGGGCTTTACGGGTCTTTTTAAAGCTGTCGGCTATGTATTTCCATTTCTTGTGATACTTGTCCATCTCCACGAAGGTCCGCTACAAGCAATCAAACCGAATATTGGGATTGTCAGCACGGTGTAGATTGCAGTCTGTCAGTACGGGGACTCACCTTGGTCTCCTCGACCGCCCACATCTCTCCTACCTTCTCCACGACCTTGTCAACCTTTTCCCGTATCTCCCTTATCCTCGATGGTTCCGGATTCCCCAGCCAAGCATCCAACATGACCTCGTCGATCATTTGATCGTACTTGTGCATATCCGTCGGTATCAATCTAGGCCTGAGCTCTTTCAGCATGGCTAGCAGTTCCAAGATCTGCCTCGTCGCAGGGTTGAAGGATTTGAGGACCTCTTGAGGAGGGACGGGCTCGACTTTGGAGTCGCTGTCATCGTTACCGGAGAAGAAGCAGATCTTGAGGTTTTCGGGCCGCTCGTCGATGGGCGTCTGGCAGCAGGGACAGTCGGGGATACGATGTTTGTCTGCCTTCGAATCGTACCAGACCTTGGCACAATAGCGGTGGAGCATGTGTCCTATACAAAGAGCGATTTTTCAATCCTTAACAGCGAATTGTGAGAGAGCATAGTACTAAGAGACACTCACCACACTTGTGTAACCTGACTACGGTATGAGCGTGGCCCAGGTCGTCGAATCCGCCGATAAGCTCATCCTGGCAGATCGCACAGATGACGTGCTTCTGGGAAGGCATTCCTGGGATCCTGGGTCCGATAGCTCTCAGGGGGCGATATCTTCAAGCTGAAAGGTGCTATACCGCGGTGTCATGCAAGAAAGTTGTCGATGGTAGATGTGAACGTCAAGTTATACAAGTTATACATGCAAGCTAGCAAGTTAGCAAGTCATGATCAGACTGAACTCGCACAAGATCAACAACCTCAGATCTGACGCGTCAGATCACGCGCCAAGTGAACAAAAGTAGGAAGCGAGATTAGCGAGCGCTACCTGCGGTACTCTTCCCCAGACCCCAGACAGTGCAGTAACTGACACCGACAGCTATACGTGAGGGTTGCTGTGGACGTCCTTTGAAGTGCATGGTCCTGGTCACTCCTCACTGGCAATTTCTGACAAGTAAGCTGACTTGCGATCGACCTCGATCAACGAGTGACAATCACGCGAAAGCCTTTGTAAGTTGTGATGTTTATACAGAACGACGGGGCGATGGCAAGTCGGATACGCTGTACGCCGAACGGTACAAGCTTGCGACACATCATACTAACAAGCCTGAAAGGTATGCCAGCTACTTGCTGCCGGTACAGGTCTGACCCCTGCGACATGTCTTGCAGATATGAACGGTGGTGTTTCGCTCGTGATACCTTTCCCACGCATCAACCGAACCTTACGCGTTTCATTAAGGGGGGAGAGGTGCTTCTACCCAGAGCCGAGACTCGTCGCGAAGCGGGTCGAGGACCGGGCTATGCTGTGGTCCCGAGGGCGAGGGTGGTGGGGGGAGAAAGAACGGAGACACATCCACTCTTCATTCGATCAAACAACTTGAATCGATTCTCATTCGAAATCTGAAACAACTCAACGACGACGTCGCATCATCTGCAGACACTTCTCTCGACAACCGTAGAGACGTATCGCGATAGTCCTGCTTGCTCGGAGGAAGCATCTACACCCGACGACATCTGGAGGACGGCTTTCGGGATCTATTGTTGATGTGGCCATCGTCGTCCCGGCCACGCATCTATCAAACGCTCCGTTCAGCCGAGCGAAGGTTCGAAAATCAAACTAGGATTTGAGAACAAAAACGAAGAGGTTGCACGGTCTCTCCAGAGTGAACGGATAGGTTGTAGCTGCAGCAAGGCAGAAGGCGGCAACGGTCGTCGATCTCCGCTTTGGGCATCTAGTCGAAAGGCGGCTCGTGGAAGGGAGCAAAGGGTCGAGAGATCAGGGTCGCTAGACATCTCCTTTGGCGACCTAGACAGGATCCTGCTATTCTCCTCAACACTCCGATAGTAGAGAGCTGGAGGTCTTCTGTCCACGATGAACCCATCAAGTCGTCTTCATCCAGAACACATGGCCTACCCTAGTCAGGGCCCGATCGATCAAACCGGTCAGGGTCGTGTACGCAGGATGGATTCGACCTCAGGCACGTCCCACTCCTCTCATCACTCGTCTGTCAACTCGCACTCGAATCATCAGAATGGTGCCAGCGCAAAGAGGTACCCCGACTACACCTCCAGTAACGGGCATGCCAATCTCGTACCCCAGCCTGCTAGTGGACAGGCTTATAGATCGAACCAATATCAAATGTCACCGAGGTCTTCCCGGACCGACCTGAGGGAACGGGATCGGGACCATGGTGCCTACTCGCCAGCATCACACCCTTCTTCCCCTTCACTCCCTTACCCACCAGGTTCAGGTCCGAGCACCCCCACCCGACCTTATTCAAGCCAGCATCACCCGTTCCAATACGTCCAGCATGCGGTTCAGGTGCAACCGGGAGAGATCGTCGGCTCGAACCCGTCTCAAGGTCAAGGTCAACCTCGACCCCCTTATCCTTACTTGAACCAACCTCCCGTATCACCCCACAGTGCTGGGCCTAATCTGAGTCCAGGTCTGTCTGCGGTGATGAGCGATCTTCGGATGCCTCAGCGGAGTGCGACAGATCCGCAACAGTGGGATGAGAAGCGGAATCGCTATGAAGATGGGGGAAGGAGTAGGAGTCGGACGATGTACCCAGCGGCCGGCGAAGACACTTATGGGTCGTACGGCGGTCAGAATGTTGCGGCGTCACAGGGTCGAGGGAACGAGGGATTGGGGCTCGGACCGGTGGAAGGCAACGGGCAACTCAGGGATAGGAGCCCGAACAGATCGTACGGTGTACCAGGCCCGGGACCTAATACCGAGCGTCAGAACCATAATCCTAACAACCTCCGGATCGCTCCTCCATCGCCTTCGAAAAAAGGTCGTCGATCGCCCAATAGGAGCCCGACGACGCCGAGTTCGGGTAACATGCCGAATTACATGCAAGTCCCGCTCCCGCCAGGATCCGATCAGAGCCATCAGTCGATCTCGCACATAAACGTGACCTCGCCGAATGGACATGTAGAGGCGGTCCAACCAGGTCAAGTGACCCGTAATCCGAGGAACCTCTCGCCTACCGCTGGACATGAGCAGGGGTATGCGGGTAGACCTTATGACGTCCACACGCATGGAAATTTCGCGAGTACCGCACCGGGACCTCCTGTTCGGCGGGGATCCGAGCGTGCGACTAGTAATCCCGCCGGTCCCGGTTCTGGCACGATGACGCCTAGTACATCAGGGACTTTGACGGCATCGAACACGACGGGCACGTATAGCTCGACTTCTGCGACCTCGTTCGAAACGTCCACGTCGAAAGCCGAGACGGTTGCGCCCGGTGGACAAGACGCAAAGACTACGTCCAATGCCGTCGCAAACCAAGGGTCCAGGGCGGCTGGATCAGGCGGGAGTGGAGGGACGCTACCAAGTGGCAGTATCTGCGGGAGTTGCACTAAACCCGTGAAGAGGCAGTTTGTCCGAGCGATGGGCAAGGTCTATCATTTAGATTGTTTTAGATGCAAGGTGAGTCCGGACAGTCCGCAAAGTTACGTTGAGATCATGCGCTAAAAACGTTGGGTGTGGCAGGATTGTAATACCGTCGTCGCGGCGAAGTTCTTTCCGGTCGATGACCCTGACGGCTCATACCCCTTGTGCGAGCGGGATTACTTTGCTCGCCTGGATTTGATCTGCGGGCAGTGCGATAAGGCTCTTCGTGGAAGCTATATTACCGCTTGCAGTAAGCCGAAAATCATCTGCTCGATGACACACCTTTTACTTGCATTAACGTCCCAATGAAACCCTTCACAGACAAGAAGTTTCACGTTGAACATTTCACTTGTTCGGCTTGTGCGGTAGTGTTTGGACCTCAGGACTCGTATTACGAGCACGATGATCAAGTCTGTGAGTAGAAGATCCGGGTTTCATAAACTGGACACGTATCCCTAACGAGCATGATGACTTTCTAGACTGTCACTTCCATTATTCCACACGATTCGCTACCAAATGTGTTGGGTGCGCAAACGCCATCCTCAAGCAGTTCGTGGAGATTAACCGAAACCAGAAGGACGAATGTTGGCATCCTGAGTGTTACATGATCCATAAGGCAAGTCGAGATGTCAATCGAGCTCGAGGCAAATCGAACTGACGCGGATCTCTATTGAAACATTCAGTTCTGGAACGTCAAGCTCACTTCAAAGTTCCGAGCGACACCTGCCAACTCGACTGATCCCTCAACAGTGTCCATGTTGGGCGACGTGGATGGAGTACCGGAAGAGCACAAAGAGACCGCCGAAACACTGCGAGCTAAGCAGTTGCGAATGGAGGGACAAGTAGAACAGATCTGGCGCGTCCTCTCCGCTTTCGAGGAGAGCTCGGCAGCTTGCATATCGGAAATGTTGCGATTCGTGAGCGCCGGGCAATACGCTGAAGCGATCCTGATGGCGGAAAGGTTCATCCTTCATGTGGAGATCCTATTCGCCGCTATCGATGATCTGGAAGCGCAGTTTGCACAAGAGGGTGCGAAGGGTCAGTTGTGATCGCCGACTCTTGGATCTGCTCGACTGCCAACTGACGACCGTATTCATTTCAGGAATGCCTCATTCTCGCGAGGCGAAGATGTTGTGCCGCAAGACGGTCAATTTCTTCTCGTTGCTATCGCATACCCAAGATTCCCCTGAGCAGAAGGCACAAGTCACTCAGGAGCTACTGGCACTAGTCACTGGTTTAGCGCACTACCTGAAGATCTTGATCCGCATCGCGCTCACGGGCTCGTTGAAGTTGGAACGGGAGCACGGGAATCTGAAGGCCCTCGACTATCTCCTTGCCAGGTTGTCTTTATTGGCTAGGGATGATGGTGATCCTCTTATTCCTAAGCGAGGCTCTGGAAAGCGGAAGATAGACGCTACCGTCGATATCCCGCCTGCCTTCACCGCAAGCACCAGCGGGATAGCCTACGGATATCGTAGCCTGGCCGTGCGTTATTCGTTGTTCTAATTTCCCTTTTGATACAGTCTGCTGATCCAATGTGCTTGTCTTGATATAGCTCGAGGTCGTTGGCGAGTCGGTCCTGAAAGGCAGACCGTTAACTCCCCGTGGTCTCGACGAGTGCTTGAAATGCCGCAAGACGGTCGAGGAAGATTGCATACGACTAGGCCTGTTCGAAAGATGGCATGCTCCTTGCCTCAAGTGTGCGGAATGCGACTCCGCTGCCAGTATCATGGAAGATGTGCAAGCTCCTCCTGATGCGGACTCGCGGCCGCCCAAACGGCGAGCACTTCCTCGACCGGATGGTTTCACTTACACGGCTGCCAAGGTCGTATCACAAAATGCGGTAGAGGTCACTGCAGTCTTCTGTCGGGTCCATGCGCAACGTAATAGTGTTGCCGGATTCGAAGGCGTATCTAGGCTGGAACAATTCGCCTTTCTCCTTAACGTCGCGCTTCGACGACTTTGGGATCACTTGCGACATGCAGGAGTCATCACCGCATCTTCAGGTAAGTCCCGAACGATCGCTCTTATGCGCGAAAGGCACGCTGACCGTCTCGACAACAGCTAATGTCGCCCTTCCTGCAACGGCCGAGACGACTTCTTCGCTGTATGACTCGTATCGAGATTCTACCGACATCAAGAGACTCAAGTCGGTCAACCTCGACCGCAAACTGTCAGCTACTGCTCGTATGCCCCAACGCTCGACCATCGTGGAAAGTCCATCAGGAAAGACCGCCAAAGGAGACGGTTCCTTGGAATCACAAAAGTCAATTGACGGCCAACTACACAGCCTATCGACCAGTTCGCCTGGGGGCAACAGGGAAGAGGGACCACCCATCTCTGCAACTCCGTCCGGCGCCAGTCACGAGATCGTTATTGTGCAACCCGCCGATGAAGACGCCAACGCAAATACGCCATCTCGCGTCGATATACTCCGACCTGCTTTCGGTCGCGCCAACACGCACGTGGCCATCGTCAGCGACAATTCCAACGAGAACTCGCCGGGTGCCTCGACACCTCAATTGCTTTCTAGATCTGAGACAGAGAGCTCACCATTCGAACATGAGCAGGGTGTGACCTTGGCCGATATCCCTGCTTTAGTCGAAGCAGAGCAGGCCAAGCTAGAGCATCGACCGCCGCCAGTATCCGAGGGCAGACCGTTGATGTCAGAGCTGTCTGCTTTGGACGCGACAATCGTGAAGCACTTCGCCTTGATCGCTCTCACAAAGTCATCTATAGCGCATTATATCGACATGGAGGAACTGTTTGAGCTGGTCGAGATTCGGAAAAACCAGTGGTGGAACAAGATCTTCAAACCTGGCAAGGACAAGAAGGACGTGAAGCGTAAAGGTGAGCCGTAGCGCAGCATGTATGTGATGCGCAATCGTGCTGATCAGAGAGCCCAATCTCAGGTGTCTTTGGAGTTCCCTTGGAAATCCTTGTTGAGAAGACCGGCAGTGATTCTCAGCTGGGTCACACCAATGCTCAGTTACGAGTTCCAGAGTTTATGGACAATGTCGTTTCGGCCATGAAGCAGATGGGTAAGTTCGGTATCCAGTAAGGACGGGTGCTCGACCCACTTCACTAAACTCGATTTCGCTTCAGACATGTCGATCGAGGGTATCTTCCGAAAGAATGGCAACATCAAACGGCTCAACAGCGTCGCCGAGGCCTTGGATCGCGATGCTTCTTCCGTCAGCTTATCAGATGACAACCCCGTCCAGCTAGCGGCTCTGTTGAAGAAGTTCTTGCGGGACTTGCCCGACCCTCTCTTGACTTTCCGTCTGCACAAGCTATTTTGCGCGGCGCAACGTACGTATTCTTTCCTACATCTAGTACTTTGCTCTATTGCTGAAAGGTTTCGCCACTGCGTTCATAGATCTTCCTGACGAGGAGGAGCGTGTTCGTTGCCTCCATCTATTGGTTGCAATGCTTCCGAGGACGAATCGCGACACATTGGAAGTCCTGTTTGTATTCCTCAAATGGGTGGCATCTTTCTCGCATGTCGACGAAGAGACAGGCAGTCGCATGGACGTGCAAAACCTCGCGACCGTCATTTGCCCGAGTATATTGTACTCGAAAGGGACCAACGCGATGCGAGACGACAGTTTCGTTGCGATCCAGGCGGTCAAGACCCTCATAGACCATCAGGACGAGTTCTATACGGTCCCCAAGGAACTGCAATTCGTGCTGGAGGAAAACGTCAGCCAACTGTTCAAGGACAGCCTCGATCTCCCGCCTAAGGAGATTTACAAGCATTGCTCGAACTATGCCAACGCACGTAGACCGTACTATGCAAAGAAGGCGGAAGCTGGGCCTATTCGTATGGGAGAATACGGCCTTGCCAGTCACAAGTCGGATGGAAACCTCATCGCCACAGCGGCGGGTCTGTCGAACGGTCGAATGAACACGCCGATTCAAACCAGCGGACCATTCAATGTCGCGGCCATGGGCAATGCGACCTCGGGCTCTCCAACTAGGCCGCAGAGCTGGGCAGACGCCCCCGTACCTCCTTTTCACAACATGTCGCAGTCCGTGTCACATCCGGGCCTTCCTCATCACAACTCGGCAGGACACATGGGACCGCCATCTGCAGGCTCTAACTCGATACCGTCGGGCTCGCCCAACTCACGGCGAATGTGGTATCCCGGACACCGAGGCTCGACGCCATCGTCGCCCGTCATCGCCGCTGCGATGGGCGACGCAGATCGGCGTCCATCTTCTTCTATGGACAGGGCCATGTCTCCATCTCATTTCGGCGACCGATAGCCATTTTCTTCGATCGACTACAAAAATCCGGCTGGAACGAAGGGTTCAATTTTCGCTTAGGGTAGTCAGTCAGGCGGGAGGTTGCGATCCCTCGACTGTTTTACGGCGTGTATTCCGACTCTTCCCTTGTATCTACTATCAATTCGAGTGCAGGGAACATTCGTTTCTCCTTGCTGTTGTGTGTTCATGGCGCATCTGATCACGATCCGGTCATGTACTAGTACGCTAGCGCGAAAGACGGATGTTTCAGATTCAACACGACCGACGATCACGATCGATCTTTAAAAATCCCTCTCATATCAGATCCATTTTCTGGTAGAGCACGACATGAAGAGAGACTGTTATATCGATCATACTTCCGATTCCATCACTTCCTACCTGAAGCTATCAACACAGCCTCACCAAGATGAGCCATACAGCCCATCTCCATACAGGCATCAAGCACGGTGCCCAAGACTATGTCGAGAAATACTGGTAGGCCGAGAAATTTACATCAGCTGTACAACAAGTGCATTGATCAACTTTCATTTCCTAGGAACGACCCTGTCGACCTTGATGATATTGCAGAGACTGTTGTATTGACGCAGCAAAGCAAGGTCCTTCATGCAAATGAGCCGTTCTGGTCCGACAAGGATGAGTTCGCGAGGTGAGTTATGGATCCTTTGAAGCGATCCCTCAAGACTTCTGATGTTACCTTCTTTGCAGACGAATCGTAATTGCGAGCAAGCGATATGTGGCTGTAGTTCCGAATCAGCTAGGTGAGCTGCATGGTAGCGCCTTCAAGGGGTCTTCTGGAGTTGACATGACCTGGATCTCATAGCTAGGAACGAGCGGACCTATCCTCAAGAAGGTTTGATGGTCAAAGGGAGCCTGCAGTGGAGATGGTCTGGTATAAGTGGCGATTTGTGCAGTCACCTGATCGAAGTTACCAAAGGTATACCAAGTAAGCAAGCGAACCTTTGCATTGCTTGTCAATTTTCGCTGTTAAAGTTCTGCGTCGCAGTCTCGCGGAACGGCCCCCCTATGGAGATGCCCAAATCTCGTACTTTCGTCAAAAGCCTCAACGACTATTACACTGAAGAAAAAGCTCCCAACCTTGCCCTTCAAGAACTTTTTTACACTATCCTGTACTTTGTGTACCTGAAGCACGGTCAGGGAAGGGCATGAGGACGTAGTTTGGCATAATTTCATTTGTTGAGGTCACAAACGCTCGGATGCCATGTCAAAAATTCGACTATCACCCCATCACTGCAGGACGATCCCCGGCTCGTTCTTGACTTTCGGTTCTTCCCCGGGGATGATCCCATCGTGCATCCTCAACTCGTCCAGAAGCCTGTCGATATCGGGCGTCATGACGAAGTTCTTGTTGACCTCTCCTAGGACGGTCGCGTTCCTCCGATGGTGGTCCATGTGGACGAGCTGTTGTACAAACGTCGTAGGAACACCGGGAGAGACCTGCCAGGACGTCGCGTCACGTTGGAAGGGTAAGGATCGTCAGCACTGCAGCGAAAAATCTGATCACGGTGGACGCGGATACTCACGTCCATGACAATCCCATCCCCGAGCACCATCTTCACCTTGCCACTCTTCATCACTACCATCGTTCCGATCCTTCCTTCCGGCTTCCTCGCCTCTTCCTTTTTCATCAACGCCCGTAGTTTCGCATCCTTGGCTTTCTTCTCCTTTTCCTCTTCTGCAGCGAGCTTTTTGGCAGCAGCCTCGGCGGCCTTGTCCCCTCCGGCTTCTTCAGGCTTGTCGGAGAATGAGACCCCCTTTTTCGTCTTGTTCGTTGCTGTAGATCCCGCTGCAGCCGTCTCGTCACTTAACTCAGCTTTAGGCTTCAGATCGTCAAGGTCGACGTCCTTCAAGAACGATCGAGCGGGGTCAGGGATGAACTTGGGGAAAGGATCGGGGAACTGGAGAAGATAGAGCTTGTCCTTCGGATCGGCCTGTAGATCGTTTCTCGATTAATGAGCTCCGCGCATTCCGTTTTGCACCACAATCTGTTGATCACTGTGACGTACCTCTCCTTCAAGGTGAACGAAATCACCAGTGATATCCTCCTCGTAATCCTCGATCACGATCTCGTCCAGATCGATCGCCTGTTTAGCCTCGACCACTTCCTTTTCCGCTTCTACGACCTGGTCGATCCTGTTCCCATTGATATCAACGTCCATGTCCATATCCGCGTCTGTCAACCTGTCATCCGTCCTCCCAACAGCTGCAGGTCCTTTCCCCTTGTCCCTCCCACGTCCGCCTGTAGGGGGCAGTTCTCGAGCTTGTTTTTCCGGGGAAGCGGGTTCTTCCTTGACGACGACCGGTTGATCCCTCAGCCTCACCCCGCTCGACCCGCCTTGCTCATCCGCCTGACCAGATCCAGGCTCGGCCTTGACCGACTTCTTTTTCCCCCTCCCTTCCTTCTCCTTCAGAGCCGCAGCGATACTCCGATGTCGAATCAGACCCGTCGGAGCGCTTTCCCCGGATTGTTCTGGGACGACCTCGAGGTCGATGATGTTGTCGTTCTCGTCGTCACTATAGGATTCCCCTTGGGCCGTGAAAGTCGGTTTACGGTCTGCATTGGCGTGCATGGCGGCCATCGGGTCGGGTCCGGAGGCGGCTACTCGGGGTCGGCCGGTACCTGGTAATATAATTCAACGTAACATTGGCAGTGAACTACATGTCAGCCTGAAAATCCGGCGTAACGAGAAGGAGCAAAATCAGGGACCCGCAAAGACTCACTCATACTCGGCATAGCAAAAGGTCCACTCGCGACCATCTCCTGTCCAGGTCGGGTAGAGGGTGCAGCCTGACCCGCTCCGCGACCTCGACCTCGACCCCGTCCTCGGGTCCCATCCCGTGAGCCTCTTGCTCCTGGTGCTTCCTAAGATCATCGATGGGTAGACAAATTATCGGTCAGCCACATTTCTGAATAGGACAAGCCGGATGGGAGAGAGTATTTACTGTCTTGACCACAGCCTCGGCAGCGGGTCTGCAAAGCAGAAGAGACACCCGGTCTAGCTCAGCATCGAAGATTTGATCGGCCACATAGTCTCGTGCTCGGACTCACTCGGCCTTGACCTTCTTGGTGGGTTGTAGAATTGGCTTGAACTTCATCTTCGGTTTAGGTGCAGCGGGAGCTCCGGCACCAGCACCTCCTGTTGTGCCACTCGTACCTGCGCCCGCACCTGCACCAGTGCTAGGTCCAGCTGCGGCATTGCTAGGTGCCGCCGTTCCCGGAGCTGCGGGTCGAGCGAATCCTGAACCGATACCTCCAAGCTTGGGTGGCATGATGTGTGTGTATAGGTGTTTGTGTTGTATATGATTATGAAGAGGGAATGTCAAGTTTTGGACGAGATGTTCGACTTTTGAAGCAAGAAGGTTGCTTTGAATTGCGCAAGTTCGAGCTTTGAAGTTGATTACGTAAGTGTTTTGCATCCGAAAGGGGGAATGATCACGGAAGCAGATTCGATGCTCGGACATGGGCGTTGCATCGCTGCCATGCCGTGCTCCACGACATCAACATCGATCATCATCCTCACCTTCACCTTCGCCATCTCATCTCACATTACTCACACATCTCCCTGTCACTCCATTCACCCCAACAGTCACATCTTGGAATTTGATACCGATATGAAGGTCTTTGCCGTTATCACCACCCTCCTCACCGCCGTCAGCGCCGTATACGCTACCGGTCTCCAGGTCGAGACGACCTACAAGCCCGTCGATTGTCCCTTGCAGAGCAAGAATGGCGATAAATTGAGCATGCAGTGAGTCTCTCCGGTCATCTCCAATGTGATCGTTGGTGCTCAAGTATTGACCATACTGTCGTCTTGGTCATAGCTACACCGGAACCTTGGCCGACAACGGCAAGGAGTTTGATAGCTCCAGGACGCGAAACCGGCCGTTCGAGTTTACCAGTGAGCCATCATCGGTTCCTCTTGATCCCGCTTGAGGGATTCTGGCTGAACGTGATGATCTTGATTCTTCTTGTATAGTCGGTAAAGGTCAAGTGATCCAAGGATGGGAGCAAGGTAAGCCCCACCTCTAGACTCCTCGATGCTCATGCGGAATTTACGCTTACTAACCTGTCCTTTCTTGCACGACAACCCGCGATCACGATCACCGAAACAAACAGGTCTCCTGGACATGTGTGTCGGGGAGAAGAGGATCCTGACCATTCCTTCCAATCTGGCATACGGCAAGTCATATTCCCTCTCTTCTTCTCCCAGCACGATCAGGATCCCTCTCCTTCTCTTCCGAACGATCGCAGTCTCGTCTCTTTCCATGGCTCTGTCCTGCTCGATGAATGGCTGGCTGATATTATGCTCTTCTTACTGGAATGCTTACGGATTGAGCAGGTGACCACGGTGCCGGCGGTGTGATTCCCGGCAAGGCGACCCTCAAGTTCGACGTAGAGTTGTTGGATATCAAGAACCGAAAGGCCGAGAGACAGGAGCTTTAAGCATGAACCAACACTCTCGGTGTACGGTCATACCACCAAGGTGGCCGTATACAAAGAGGCGGCATCCAGCGGAGATGGATGCTCAGGCGGCAATGTACAAGAGCAGCGGGTGTGCTTATGTTACAACATTCAGACATCTAAATGCACCACATTACAATAATCAGGTCATGTTGATCCCGAAACGAAACCCCAGCTCCGACGCATCCTATCCTCCTCTATTCTGGTTTGGCGCAAAAGATACCTGCTTCTGCGGAGAAGCCACCCCCGGTTGACGGTAATAAAAGCTCGTCCCGCTCTCTGGGCTGCTGAACGAAGGCATGTTCGCCGGTCTCGTCGCTCCTGACGGCGCATGCAAAGTGACGTATGGCGGAGCGGGGCCTTGCTGGCCTGGTAGAGTCTGCTTGGTGGTGAATTTGCCTACGGTTGGTGGGGCCGAGTAGGGTGGCGTACTCGTTGCAGTGGAAGTATAATATGGCGTGGGTGAAGGAGGAGCGAGCCATAAAGGGGCTGGAGGGGTCCGGTGTTTCTTGCACCGGTTCCCCGGTGTCAAGCGGCATTTCCAGCAATCGGCTATCGGTGCATCAGGTAGGTCGTCGTCGTCGTCAGTCAAGGGCGGTGTTTTCTGTGGGCGGAAAGCGCGAGACGAACCTGCACCCATATCGCCGCCGAATTTTCACAAATAGGATGAAGCAGTTGTGCAGGCTGGCCTTCTCCGAAAACCCCACCCGCTATGTGGCGAAATGGTGAGCGAGCTGGTAGGCATATATACCGCAGATGGTAGCTCAATACGAAAGGAACTTGGTAGTGCGAGAATCAGGGGGTAAGTCGATGGACAAAGGAACGCCACGACTTTCTCGAGAACCACAGCACAGCACAGCATACCGACGAAGAGCGGTAGAAAGGGAAGGAGCGAGTCTCAAACAGACTATATCGCCAGACCGCGGCTCACGACGAAACAGACGAGGTCGAATGCCTTTCGCTATGAAAGGGTTCCATGTATATCCGAGATGGCTTGATTTACAAGTTGGTCGAAATCACCTTCCTGCGAATGTCCATATGTCCGGCCTAAGAGTCGGGATCGCAAGGTTTCTATGGCCTCTTGAGTCTGTGTTGAGTTGTCTTGCGTCAGGGCTTCTACGTGTGTTACTAAAGCGTGTTTCGAGGTGATGCGTAAATGCTGTGGCGCGGCGAAGGCTTCAGTGTCGCAATACAGACTTTCCAGGTCGTTTCAAGCCTCGACTCACGGTGGCCCCTGAAGGCAGGTTTACGTGCAAGTCGCGGTAAAACTCTGGTGTTGAACCGTACGTCCAGTCCCAGCTCTGTATAGACAATCGGACGCCTTAGCATATAAAACCCTCTGGAGAAAAATGATAATAATCCTTACCTTGAGCTCCGAGATACCCTGTTCGATATATTTCGATCTTTCCGCACCACCTTTCAAGGCCTCCTCATCGATCTGCTCGATTACTCCGCGGTCGAAATCTGGAGCGAGCGCCTCCTCTGCGACTTTTGAAAAGACGCGATGAAATTCCTCGGCGACGGCATGCACGAAATCGTCGTGCGTGACATCCGGTCGCGCCGAACGCAGGGTTGTCACGGGCGATCGGACCGAGTCTACTGATTTGGTTATCAGATCGGGCTACCCCATCCAAAGTGGAATCTCAGTATAAATCCTGGACTCGTGAAGCATCACGGTTCGATCTTGAAAAACGACGTACCGACTTTGACCTGAGATAAGTCCCCAACGAGCCCAAGTCCGAGGATATCAACATCGTCCCGTGGTGGTAAGCTCGTTGCGCGACGATCTTGTACGCCGACCCGGAAATGTGTGTCGACCGAAAAAGATGAAGGATAAGTACATGGACTGAATCAGAGCTCCTTCAGAAAGGAGGGGGAATGAACTCATCTTCTTCCACTTGCGATCCTGCCCGCTTCGACTTTCGTCTATCCGTTCACTCTCGCCTGACGAAGCCTTGTTACGATTGCCGTCGTCCTTGTCCCACAAGATCAGATCCCCCCTCTCGTTCACCCCCGCTCTCCCGATCTCCAACCTATCTTTCAAGGCGGTCTCGATGATCCCTGAACCTAATGAACGGGTGAAGAGGTGCCGCGGGATGAGGATCGAGAAGTTGATGTTCCCTTCGTCCTACAATGACGCATCGCGGTATGAGGTAGTCAATGTGAACCAAGTTAGCCATTCAAGTTAGATTGCATGAATGTATGAAGCGCTTGTGAAAGAGAGCTTACGTGGTAGACGGTTCCTCCGCCCGACCGACGACGTATCAACGGGATCCCATCTCGCTCCAGTAAATCCGGGTTTGTCTCCTTCCAGGGGTTCTACATATAAGATAGCACATAGAACAAAATGCAGATGAATATGAGACGCTCTGATCACAAACATACTATGCAATCCGCAACTGCTCTTCTGCGGGGACGAACCTGGTTTTTGCCGATCACCACGCAAGAACGATTACGGTAGAACAGTAACGTTGGGGTGGAGTTGGGGGTCTTCCGGAAGAGCCTAAGAGGTTCAAACGATGCGATCATATGCCAGTGTTAGTCAAAGATCGATCAGATTGCACACCTGTCGCGAATAAGAGATGGGTTGGAAGACTGACCAGTCTTCGAATGACAGGTTAAAGTATGGGTCGAGCGAGTTGGAACGATATATCTTTGGCTACAAGGCAGAATTTCGTAATCGTATAAGCTAACTCTGTGAGAAATCCAGCATGATAGCTCGACCTACTTCGTCGAGTTTGGATTTATCGATCCGGCTAGCCTCCGAGCTGAGCGGTCGAGATGCGCATAGGTATATCGTCGGTCGGTATGTCGAGCGTAGGCTCGGGCTGCTCCGGAGCGTGCGTAGCGAGTTTATAGGCGGCATCCGGCTGGTAGAATGTCCCTCACTACTGCAGTTCACCAAGAGAGTAAACTGTCACCTATGGGCCTATGACGAAGTATGCTACTACGAGAGACAACCCCAAAGTGCAAGAAACATCGAGCTTTCGAAGCAAGTCGCAAGTCGGTCCCTTCGTGTTTACGATTTCGACATCATCTCCTTGCTCGATGAGTGTGCTTACGTAACTCTCAAGTGATGTGACGTAGTTATCGATCTATCGAATCGACGTCGCCCCGCCTCTTGGCGCTGAGACTGTGTTGTTTACAATTCGGGAGCTTGTTGGGCTTCTCCGAGTTTGATCATCATTCGCATCATCAGACTCGGAAGTCCCAAAGGATCTATCATCAATTCTCATTCCCTTCAGTTATCAAACCACTCGTCTTCCAGTATCGTCAGGAGAAGAGTAGGGATGTGTCAAAGATAACCCTCTTGCATCCACCGAAGCATCTTCACACCACTAGACCCGTCGGGCAACAATCGACCATCACGATACTTTCTGATTCAATCACGCCCACACTACAAAATTACTTGACCTCCTTTACGACCTCGAAAGACAACACACAACCTCCTGCACGACTATACTTTCACGAACATGGCGGACGAGATCCTTTACAAGCAAGTCCTCTCGCTTCATATCACGTGGAATATCGGAAACTGATCTTCGCCTACCTTTGATGCAATGCGTGATCGACCCTCAGCGATGCAGCGCTCAACGCACTTACGAAACCCCAATTACACGCCTTGTGTGAGAGGTATGACCTCAAGACCAGTGGAAAGGTAGGCTGTGTAATCATTTCCATATCTGTAATATGAGGGTATTAACTCAACTGGGATGATCGAACAGAGCACAGAGATGGTTCGACGACTCGGAGATTGTAAGTCTAGCGTCCATCGCCAAGTCAAAGGATGGTTATATCGTTTCCTTTCGGGAACGGCGAGAAGAGAGCATATCGACTGACGAACGTCCTGCTCCTCCCCGGTAATCTCGGTCTTTCAGATGGTCGACGACTCAATGCCTTTGAAGCTGCCAATCCCGTGAAACACATAGGTGGAGGAGGACAGATGGAAGTCCTCCAATCACAATCAACAAGACCCCGTCTACAACAGAGACGGTCTTCCCGTTCTTCACACTCTCGATCGCCTTCGCCTTGGAATCTCTTCTCGTCGGCGTGTCATCGTCAGGAAGGTCCGCTATTCGAAGGTCTGGGACGGCCTTTCAACACCAGGGATGATGATGGCGATAATCGCATCTACGACAACGATGAACATGCAAGAGGGAACGAATATGGCGGCGGGGAAGCGTCCGAGATGACACGAGATGATTCGGCTTGGGAAGTCCTCAGCGACCGAAGGGCGAGCTTTGAAGAGAATCAGACTCGGAATCCGGCGGGTGTGCGTGAAGATAGTCAGGAGGACGAGGATGAAGCGACTATGCTCGGGAGGAGCATACCGGGGTCTTACGTCAAACATGTACCTGGTTCGACCATTCCGCTCAACGGAAGGACGGAAGGAGGGAGGTACGAGACGTTGAAGAGCTGGAAATCGGCTGATAACGGTGCTACCGGTACGAGAGGCTGGATGGAAAAGAGTACGAGCAGGTACGAAGGAGACGGAGAGAGGATGCACATGCAGGATTTCGGTTCGAACCACAGGGGTCACAGTCGCAATGGTAAGCGAGTTCTATATTATGTGCTCGTCGTCCTCATTCGACGAGCAGGGAGTCTGATCTTGCTCTGTTTCGTGACAGGAACGGCACCTGAACACAAGAGGACGACGTCTTTGACCAAGAAATCGTTCGAATCGCTCAAGGCGATGACGGCTTCGTTCTCCTTGCCGACCAATTTGAGGAAACGACGGTTCAACCCTGCCGCGGTCCTCGAGACCGAGGTGGACAGTTCAGTCCAGCCGGGCAAGGATAAGAGGGCAAGGAGGTCTTCGGGGAACGTCCTATTGAACCGAGCAAAGAGCATGGTCGACGTCACCAAGAAGCACGAGAGGAAGAGGTCGAGTCCGTTCGTCCTTCCTTCGCCTGGAGCTACTCGGTACATACCCTACACGCCTCCAGAGTACCGAGCTCGACCTGTCACCTCTATGGCTGCCTTTACCTTGCCTGTGGATGAACCTGTTGTCGGTGTTCCGCAGAGACACTCTCAACATGCCGATATCAAACGGGGTAGTACGATCCGGATCGTAGACTCGTCGACGTTCGAAAGAGACCGAGTCGGTTCGGACGATGGAACCAGCTTGAGCGGGTTGTCTGAAGGAGCGTGGATGTTGGGCCTCCCAACGCAGAACAAGGTCAAGAACGAAGGTTTAGGACTATCAAGGAGTCCTAGTCCGCCAGCGTCTAGCACGCTACCGCCTCTTCGTCAGAGCACCATGGCGGAGGACATGACCGGGTTGGAATCTTACCTCGATACTGAGATCGAGCACGGTTTAGAATCCGAGGAGGAAAAGGAAGAGTTAATGGACGAAGCTGTGCCGGCGAGCGGGCATGATGATTATGGATTGCCCGTCGAGAGCCCGACGTCGTCCGGGTTCAAGCTGCCGGGAGCTTATCCCTCGACTAAGGAGCGCAAAGCATCGGCATCGGCTGCAGGAAATGGAAATGGCGAGAATGGGAACCACTTTGCCTTTGGATCTTCCTCTCAAGGCGTTTCCAATGATCAGTTTGCGAAAGCGGGAGAAGATCTTCTTCGGGAGCTGAATGCCAAGCTGATGGATAGAGGGGTGGCGGGAATCGCACAGCCGTTGTCGCAAACGACTCGAGAACGAAAGAATGATGGTACAGGGATTCCTCTTGATGTCGAGAAGAGGGTTCTGGCGGGAAAGTATGATAGGGCGCATCAGAAGGAGTTCTCAAAGTGAGTACCTGATGGGTTGCCTGTGGGCTTCATCTGATGCTGAATACTGACCGCTCCGGATCCTGCAGGATGGCAGAGCTCAACGCGCATTTCCCGGGCAGAAGGGTCGTCAGTGGCGGTCGACTCGCTCAGAACGGGCTTCCATCCGACAACGCGCGACCTGTTCAGACAGCTAAACGCAAGGCTTCTGCCGAGTTCACACCTTCCGCGCCCAACGGACTGCCCTTGAGGCACGTCAAGTCGGCTGCTTTTCTAGGCCGACAAGACAAGACACGGAGGTTGGACAAGGTCGAGGATGTGGAGGATAGTCCTCGAATCAAGAGGATGAGGGTGGACCGGTCAGCTGCTGCGAATGAGAGGAATGGAGGTAAGACGTCGCGAACGCAAGTCGAGGTCCTGCAATGCATGCTGACATGTTACAACGCCGTCTCTACAGGCCGGGCCAGAACGGCGAGCGGATTTGGGGTGGTGACTGCGCTTGCAAATGGGACCAAGAATACCGTATCGACCGTCAAGAAGCGGTTGTCGGGCGGTCCCGATACCCTCTTGAGCAAGGTCGACGATCGTGCTTCGCATGCGCCTCGGAGGATCATTTCCGGCAATAAACACTCGGTAGTTCCGGAAGGCCTGCCAAGTCGAAATGCCGCCACATCGACGCAGAGGGATATGCAATCTTCGCAAAGCCGTAGCTATGCGAAGAGTAGCAGACCTCCTCCGCCTATTCCGAACGGACTGTCGGAGTTGGGGATTCGGACGAGAACTGGAGCCAGCTCGACCCAGCCTTCGTCCACGTTGCCGAGCTCGCTACATGATCGTCCTCAACAGACATCGCGGATTCCTTCGTATCGGGTCGTGTCGAACGGTTCGGCGACGAGCCGCACGAGCATGTTGCGGTCTCATGGCGAGAAAGCTGGTCCGACTGTCGCTACTGAGCGGGGGCGGTCGACAGTCCCGGCTTTGGTTCAGCGCGACAACAACCAAGATCGAGATAGGAAACCATCCGGAATCCCTAGCAAGCTCGTCAACCCGAACCCTGGGGCGTCGTATTCTGCAGCTGAACCGGCGGATATCAAAGCGAAAGAACCGCGTCTCGCCAAATCGGTTACGAGGACGACAACCACGTTTCGTACTGCAAAGACGGTCGCGGCGACTAGCACGCAGAGTCCCGCCCGCGCCAGAAGCAGACTGCGATCCCCAACCGTCCTTGGAGTCCGTGGCCGTGTCAGCCATGCCAACTTGCGGATGGCGGCCAAACAGCACGAGCTGGTTACCAAGCGCTCCCAGATTGAAGCGGAGAGGGGCTTGAGAGAGGCGCTAGCCTGAGAAACTGCCCGTAGGACGCACGAAGTGCTCGCCACGCCACGACGATGATACGAATACGATATAGAGATCCAGAGAATTGATGACCGGCCGCATTTGCGTTGGGGGTGTCGGCGAAACTCGATGAATGGCTGTACATTCATTACGTACAATGCGACACGCTAGACTCGACTGTCAAATATGATTCATGCGGTTCTAGCTGTATGCGTGGAGATCCCTGTCCGCCTCGAAGATCAGTCTATTTCAGAGTTTCCTTGTGCATCGGTTATCTCGGTGGCAAGCTGGACGAAATGATTGTCATTCGCTTATTTGCCATGGGATGCGAAACTATCCCATTTTCTCTCGTCTTTATAGTGACGATCCGAGCAGAATGATTCATACTTCCATCTCTCTTGCGCCAGCTCCATCTCCTGGACGAGCCCTTCAGACCTGTTCCAGGCGCTCGTGACGATTTGTCTCTCGGAGATGGAGGACTCTCGGTATCTGCACGACGCAGCTTTCTTCTGATACCTCAATGGTAAAGCGGGATTTCCCCGCACCGGCGGTACAGAAGTGTTCGCAAGCAACTTCGCAAAGGCCTTTCGACCATTTGAGATGAGTTTGGGAAGGTTACGGGTTGTGGAACGCATCGAGGTGAGCAGATGAAAATCCCTTCAAATCGACACACTCTTCGAAACTGACCGTCTAGAACTCGGGCCACGTCTTTTGGAGCGTTTTTGCCCCACATGGCTATAATATATCCACGCTAGCAGTCCATTCTTCGATACAACATGGGGATCAGAACTCGATTTAGCAGCCAGCTCGACTTTGCATGATGTTGAAGATGACTGATGAACCCTCTTGGCTGACCTTCATATACAATGCTGCGGAACCAGCTCTCCTCCCCAACCAAGAGGAAGAGAACGATTTCGATGACACGGTTGTGACGAAATCAGGGACTAGCCAAGAGCATCTGCAAGATGTTCAGTACAAGGCCGTCTATCAGGAGGATTTCAAAAGGCATAGACGGGTCAGCATCGGTGTGACTATCAGCCGATCGGCTGGCGACCTCGGAACAGGTGTTCAAGACCTGTAAGAAGGCATCCCCAATTCCTCACGTTCATGACGAGGCAGTGCAAAAAAAAAGCCAGCTGCAGCAAGGGATATTGCTCCGATGCGTCCTGATCAGTATTGGGACCGGACCAGACCTTCGACCAGTCCGAACCATAGAGATAGAGACAAGACGACGGTGTTTTCGGTTCTTTTCTCGACGGGAACTCCATCTCATTAAGCATTACACCAGTCTCAATCTCGGGTTGACAACCGAATCTATTCGTCTCGACTCGATTTCTACTTTTTCTCGTCCTTCTTTTCCTCCTTGGGCGGTGGGGGGATCTTGAAGTTCTGCACATGAAAGAAAGCAAACGGGCATACTTGTTCAGTATCGACAACACGATCGAATATACGTATATCGAGCTTTGAAGTAGACCTGTAACTCACGGTAGGAACGTAATCCACACCCTCCTCGTGTTGACCCCAAGGACTGGCGGCGTCCCCAAAGTTTCGGAAGGCCTGGGTAAGCTGGAGAGGTTCGTAGACGACCCGTTTCTTCTCCTCGTCGTATCGAACTTCGGTGTAACCCTGTCATGATCCACGTTCACGCATACGCATAAGCAAAAGAGCGAACAAGGTGAAGGTAAGCCGGGGGAAACACTTTGAATGGGGAAAAGAGGAAGAGATGATACGCACGGTCAGGGGGAAATCTTTTCGCAGAGGGTGTCCTTCGAACCCGTAGTCGGTCAGGATTCTTCGGCTACGCGGGATCAAGCAAAGCGGGAACCGATGTCAGCAATTGGAACATACGGTATCCTCTCAGATTTATGCATTCCTCGACTCACAGATCCGGGTGACCCGAAAAGAAGACGCCAAACATGTCCCACACCTCCCTCTCGTACCAGTCCGCTCCCCTGAACAACCCCGTGGCCGAGGGCACCGGCGTGATCTCGTCCGCATACGTCTTGACCCTGATCCTGCTGTTATGCGCATAACTCAAGAGGTGGTAGACCACTTCGAACCTGTGCGAACGGGTCGGGACGTCCACGGCGGTAATGTCCATGACGCTCTTGTATTGGCACCTGTGGTGGTCCCGCAAGAACTGGAGCACGGGGAGGACGCCGGAGGGAGCCGTGTAGAGGGTGAGTTCATCCTTGTAGATGGAGAATTGCTGAACGTATTTAGGGAGACAGGTAGTCAGGTATTGGCCGTAGGTGTGGAGGGGCGAGGAGAGGGGAGCAGAGTGAGTGGCAGGGTTGGGAGGGAGTTTCTCGGGAAAGGGCGGGACCGAGCCTTGAGGGACGTCGGCTGTGGGCGAGCGGAAGAGGAGGTGACGGTATCGTATCAGCTCTATGTTGGTCGACGATGAAACCTGTATCACGATCGACAACCTCGACTCACGCATGTTGACGGCAGCGCTCGAACGGATCCCTCGGGCGATCACCGCGGTCCTTACGGGACGCACGGCGGCCTGCCTGAGCACGCTGGTGATGGAGGTCCTGGATGCCATAATGTCCCGAGTGTGAGAGGTTACGGGTAGCTAAAGGCTATACAGGTGATACAATTGTGATGATTGACATGATCACAGAGCTCTCGATGAATACGAGATCGTCGATTGGAGGGGGTCGGGTCAATGTGGATGAGATGGAGGGAGTTGAGAGGGAGATTATCAATCCGCGGTGCAACCAGAGAGGAGGCTATCTGACGTAATCTCTCATTCCCGATGCCGGCATCGCTCTCTCCACTCCCTTTGATATCGCTGCGACGGCACAGCCCATGTCAATAACTTGCATCTTCGGGGTATGCAACGACTGTGCAACTGTCTTGGACACCATAGTCGTCAATAGATAAGAATACGCAGGGTATACAACCTACCTGCTCTCGCTGCAAGACCTCTGTTGACGAGTAAAGCGCTCTTCCCGCGCACATTCATATAGGACGCCAGGCGAAGCACCACTTTTGCTTTGCCCAAGATGATGGTGCCGAAATGGAGATACTTAGCCGCAGCGGCTGGAATGCTGGCAAGTCGTTGCAAAAAGCTCCCATATCAAATTTCGAATGAAACTACGACCCGAGGCTGAACGAAATCGCTTGGATTTGCTGTGAATAGTTCGGGCTTCACCTGCTCCTTTCAGTCACGTCAACGACATACTCTCATCATACCTCCATCACCAAGATCCTTCCTAACGGCGTCAAGTCCTCAAACCCCACTGACGACTCTTCCTTATATCATCCTAATGCCGGCGTACCAGGCTGGGCATCAGAGCATACACCTTGGCTAGAGGGGAGCATGGTCGTGCCCCCGTCAAGCATCCCCAAGAACCATACCGACCCCAACAGGCGTAAAGCAAAAGCGGTCTTCGTGGTACTGGCCAGGAACTCGGATTTGTGGGCCTTGACGGATAGTATGAAGCAGATGGAGGATAGGTTCAACCACTGGGCGGGGTACGATTGGGTGTTTTTGAACGATGAGCCGTTTGACGACGTCTTCAAAAAGTGAGTCCTTGACGCCCTCTCGACGTTTCTTTGGGGGAACGCTGCCTGGGGAATCGCGTTGATTTATCGCTTCTTTGGTCGGCTTCTCCCAACCTTTCAGGTTCACTCAGTCCCTGACCAACTCTAAATGCTCGTACGGCCTCATCGAGCCTCACGAGTGGCATCAACCCGATTGGATCGACGAAGAGAGAGCGACGGCGGCGAGGGAAGAGATGATCAGGAAAAAGGTCATCTACGGGCATTCGGTGCCTTATAGGAACATGTGTCGGTACAATTCGGGCGTGAGTCCTGCAGTCTCGCGGGGGTCGTGCTCTAAGAGGGAGAAAGCTGAGATTGTTTCGGTCGGTTTGGTTGGGTAGTTCTTCTTCAGGCATCCTCTTTTGGCCGATTACGACTATTACTGGAGGGTAGAGTGAGCTCGGCAGCGTTCATCAGCTGAGGTGGTCTTTAACGCTAATTCGATCGACGTCCACCCCCTCTTGCTAGACCGTCGGTCAAGTTTTTCTGTGATATCGGTGAGCACAGCGATAGCCCAGTCCTACATGTGAAAGGACGACATTCTGATGCTCAATCCGCCCTTGTTCGTGTCACAGCCTACGACCCCTTCCTCGTCATGCAAGATCAAGGCAAGGTCTACGGATTCACGATCTCCCTGTTCGAGTACATCGAGACGATCCCATCTCTTTGGGACAGCGTCAAGGGTAAGTGCAATGATCTCGATCTGATCTACGCCCCGGTTGTGATACGACGGACCCTCAAGCTGATATCACATCTGATGCCACCCCGTTCAGACTTTATCAAGAAGTACCCTGAATACATTCCGGAAGGAAACGGGATGAAGTTTTTGAGTGACGATGGCGGCGAGACGTACAACAGGTGTCATTGTGAGTTGTCAATCTGCTCTGCTCTTGCTTTGTGCCTGTAACGGCTCGTTAAGCCGGCTTGCTGATCCTTCGATTTTATTTTGTGGAATGTTTATAGTCTGGTCCAACTTTGAGATCGGTGACCTGAATTTCTGGCGATCAGAGGCATACATGAAGTTCTTTGAACATCTGGACGAGGCGGGTGGATTCTACTACGAGCGATGGGTAAGCTCTTGTGTTTGTTCGGACTCGTAGCGAAAGTTCATCGATTGACGTATATGTCACGGGTCATAGGGAGACGCACCGGTCCATTCGATCGGAGCGGCGTTGTTTGCGAAAAAGGAACAGATCCACTTTTTCGAGGATATTGGGTACAGGCACGAGCCTTTCCAGGTGAGTATTCGAGTCAAAGATCGAGATCGGACCCTATGCTGAGCCGATCTATACGATACGAACAGCATTGTCCGCAAGGCGAAGCTCATTCTCGAGGAAAGTGCTGGTGTGATGTTAGCAACAACTTTGATTGGGAGTGGTAAGTAGTCTAAGGCATATATATTTCGGAGACGAGAAACAACCAGCTGAACCCCGGCAATCACAGGTACTCTTGTACGAACAAGTACGTTGACATGTTCAAGGATGAGTGAGAATTAGACAGTTTCGAATAAGGGAAGGGGTCACGAGGGAGAATGTCACGGCCGTCTCACTCTTTGACAAGCGCGACGGAATAAATAGTCGTCGTTCTCATTCGTCTGGTCTGGAACCAGGAGAACAGAGAGCCATCTTGTATCAGCGACACAAAAAAGACAAGGCGCACGACGCTGAGGCATCTAGAGACCACAATGACGATTCGCATGCAGGTCCCTCCGTATCAGAAGCTCTTATTTACAAAGTCGGTCTTCGTTTGGCCTGAGATTCCTCGCGCGCCGCCCATCTGATCTTCAGATGTTGGAACGATTGAACTTCTTGCTGCTTGGTCGCGGTGCTCTGAGAACATATAGGTCTTTAGCTATCTATAGCATTACCGCCACCTTCTCGTACTTCATATAGCAACACAGTTGAACCAGAGATGTTGTCCAAATCCCTGGCGGAAAGCCGGAAAAGCGTCGAGCGTTCGAGGCGCTACTTGGAATCGGTCCGACAAGAACCTTCCCCGTCGCACTCCCTCTACACCGCATCCTATGACGCCAACCATGTCTCATTGACTACCGTGCTTAAACACCTTCGTCAAGAGGTGACTTCCCTGTCCCTGGCCTTCTCTGGCAAGGAGGTCCTTGTCCCAGCTGCCATCGCTCAGGCTGAAAAAGTGGGCCTCAACTTCGATCGATTGGCGGCTTGTGTGCTCGCTGTGCCAGCCGGAACATGTCTACAACAAGAATGGCGAAAAGGCGTCGATGGGATCGGAGAACACATATTGAAACTCCTAGACGTGTTCATCGAGGATCTGAAGACGTCGAATAGTGATGTTGCAGCCATGGCCAAGGCATCATCGTCAAAGCCGGGACCGAAGCCTTTTCTGGTAGCGACATCGGCTATCTGGTCAGCGATCGACCTGATGCTCAGCAAATCGAGCTCGAGCGAGCGACAAGCCCTGAAACAGGTCTGGAGATATGATCGGGAGTGCATGGACGACGCCTTTGCCGAGTTCAAGGAGATGCTCGAGGTCGACGAGGGAGTCGGAGAGGACGAAGATCTTGGTGGAGATGATGAATGGGCAGAGCTAGAGAGGAACCTTGCGGGAGGTACCGACAATATGACGGAAGAGGAGAGGGAGCGTGTAAGAAGTGTAAGTACGGCACTTGAAGACTCGTGCGCAAGGCTCAAGGCTGACTCCTTGCTGTCGAATGACTTGCAGTACGACACCACGGTCCGCTTAATCATGGCGATCCACAATCGATTTGCCAAGTTCACCCTCGATCAGCCGCTAGCACTCGAGCTACCCACGCATCTGGAGACATCACATTCGCTCTCCTCGAACATGGATCTATTCGTGTCTAGCCTGTATTCTCCTCAGGCGGAGGGAGACATCGTCAAAGGGGCCGAGGGAGTGATCGCTGATGCATACAAGTTGTGCGATCTAGCGGTACAAGCTATCGAACGAGTCGGATCACAAACCGATCAAGCGGCGGCTGCTCTGGACAAGCTGGCCCTCGACGACACGCGACCTAGTGAGGTAGCCAACGATGACGGTTTGGAAAAGGAGAAGAAGTGGATGGACGTCTGGAGACAACAGATGGAAAAGGCGCAGAAGGCCCGCGCAGGAAGCGCATAATAGCTGTCCATACGGTTCAACGTTGTTGGCGCATTCACCAAGTTGTATAATTCCTAGGCAGCGGTATGGAGACATCGCTCACCGTGGCGGGTCGCATCATTCCATCATATGATCGATAGCATCGGTGTCGAATAAGTTGAACATTCCCCCCGGAGAGGATGTAAGGTGTGCCCTGTCGGACAGCGAGAATGCACGTTTGACTTTTCGTCGGTCGCTCGGGACTCGGTGTCCAATCAGACCTGCCTTGGCGTGAGGTTGGGAGGAGCGCTTTCTGGCTGATGGGGGTCGGATCTTTCCTTGACTGGATTTCGAAAGCGAATTGAGCCGATGCAAGGGCGCGTGACCGCTCGACGATCGACGAGAGTAAGGGGCAGACGGCGAGACAGGCGATCGTGGACCAGGAACAGAAGGGCCCAGATCCTCATTTGGGAACCAGAAGCACGGCCTGGAAGCGGGAGAGGAATACGGAGAAGAAGAGCGCAATTGGGTATCGTGGTCGACCGGGCTCCTAGCAACGGACCAAAGGTCGGCTGTCAGAGGAGACGGAGTACGGGGTACTTTGGCGAGACCCAGCTCTTTCATCTCTGCAGCTAGGGCATCGTCCTCTGTGACTCCTTGATAGTGACTCAGCGCTGTACGAATCAGGTCTGTATCGGATTGTAAAATCCCGGCTGACAAAACCGTGTTTGTGTTTGTCGTTTGTATAGCAGGGATGTTCGTATGGGAATCGGACAGTGCAGCCCTTACGTTTCCGGTGGCAAGCGAAAGCGACCCCGTCCGACGTAGCTGACCGAGCTGACTGTTTGTTCGGGTGAGCCCGACAATGGTTGCCATACTGTTCGTTCGAGATCTAGCAAGACCGAGCGCTCTTCTCGGTAATGATCCAGATCGTTGTGAAGGCGGTGTGTAAACGAGTGTTCCGCTCATGCTCGCGGTACGTGTGATACCAAGAGTGATTCGATTATTGTGCGTGGTCCGTCCTCGGCTCGCGATTTCTGTCGATGCTCCCGACAAAACTTGTAGAGAATTCCTGCGTCAGACAGTGATGCTAGTCAGTGCTCCGGCTCGTATAGGATCTCAGACAGACAAGCTCATACCCGTTTCGTCCATGACCGCTCGTTCGCCCTAGGGTCCTCCTTTCACGCCTCGCTCCCCTTTCGTTTCCGTTACTATGGTTCGGATCCCGTGCGTCGCGTTCCGTTTGGCTCAATGCTCTCGTTCGCAGAGGCGTGCAACCCGTGTTCATGCTAGAAGGTATCGACTGACTATTTTGAGAAGAAGACAGGCGAGCCTGTCGAGCGGCGGTTTGACGGAGAGTCGAGCTCGATGGCATATCGGAGGCCGGGGTCCGATCATGGCAACCCAATTGACCGTACTTCGCTATCATCGCATCCAGTCCCAGTAGCCTTGAACTCGCCGGTCTGCCTTTTCGAGTAATCGGATCTTGACCGTGAGAGGAGCTCTCCTGGTTGCCTTCCTCAAAGCTGCTTCGAGTCCGCTTGCTGCTTCTGCCTACTCGGACACCAATTAGACTGTGAGAACCCAGACAAGATCCCTTTCAAGGACTCGACTTACTCTGAGATGTTCGCTTCACAGGTATTGCAACCCCTCCGATATTATCAAACCGCTGCGGGTCGGTGTGCGAGTTTGTCGAGGTAGACGGCACTGAGCTAGCTCCTGCTCTGCCCACCGCGGCGTGATGCCGTTCAGGCATGTTGAAACTACTCTGAGACGATTGGCGACTGCCAAGGTTATTCTGCAATGAATTGTGACTTGATGTACGGCGTTTGACCGAGCGAGACGTCATAGGACCCGTTTCCTGATCAAGAACGATCGATCATCATCAGCTTCTTCGGCGAGGCGGCTTATATACGTCGAGCACACTCACATCGTCAGCATCATCTGCATTATCGATCAGGATCCTCCTTCGTTTACCGATGAGATCGCCTCCAGTTCTGACTGGCGGCATTTTGGGATTGAGAAGGTATCAGAAGGCTTTCCAGACAGAGGGCAGTGCGGTGTCGAGAAAGTCGTGCTCTGCTCTGTCCGCCGTTTGAGATGTTCTGGAGACGAGGTTTTGAGACGGTAGATCCACAAGTTGGAGTCGCCTGCCCAATACTCTGCTCAGTAGAGTCGAATGGTAAGTCAATGATGGTAGTTGATCGCACTCCAGAGGCTATTAAACGATCCAAGAAGTCCCAGTCCGAACCGAACTGAACTAAACGCCCCCCACAAAGTAAACAAGAGAAAGAATTACGTCATCGAATTTGCAAGACTGGGTTCGTCATACAAGAAGCAAGAAGGTCATTATATATAGTTGTCGTTGTTATCAAGAGAAGTTCGTCATGATTCGTTCGTATGTCGGTATGCTGTATGCTTGATCTGGTATGGAAGTGCCCGACGTCCCGGATAGTTACGCACAAAATACGGAAAACAGCTGGAACCATCGCCGGCTGATATCAGTCGGAGCCTATCATGATGCTGTTCTCACGGGGACTGACCTCTCTACTGAGCGCATCTCCGATCTTTTGACGTCCGTCCCCTTGCACCGCATCGGCAAAGAAAAGCTCAAGATCTCGGACCTTTGTTGTTGAACCTTCGAGCCGAAGCTTCTCTTCCTCCCACTCCCGTTTCCTCTCCTTGAACCCCGTCCAGAATGCGATGGCGGTAGGATAGCGCTTGATGATCGCTCCGACCTTCTCGGCAGACATCCCCTTGACACATAAGAGCATCTTGGCCCATACGTCAGCTGCGGTCTGATTGGCGTTCTTGCCGTTGATCGATTGGAAAGTCTCGAACGAGATATGAAAAGGCTGGTGAGGATGCTGGGCTTTCAGTTGTCGCTGCAGCCGAACATAGGTCGTCCGGGAGATGTACCTCGTCGGTATCACGTGCAAGTCTTGTCCCCTGAGAGCTTCGACGATATTCTCCGTCAAGACTCGCAAGAAATCGATAGTCTCGGACAGCTTGTGCGTCTCTTTCAGGAAGAAGCCGCTGACAATCTGAGTCTGGGATTTGGCGGTAGCGATTTGTAGCGATAGTGAAGAATCCGGTTTTCTCTCGATGTCCCAGCTTTCGACAACGTAATAGACGTGTCCAATGGATGAGTTCGTCAATCGATACTGCGAACAGGTGGTCAGTGCCAACTTCAGCTGGTAACTTCCGAGGACATGCTCGCACTCACCTTCTGATCATCATACCGCCCATCCCGTATACTCGAGCACAGGTCGTCCAACCGTTTCCTCTCGACAACGTAATCCAACATGCACTCCCTCTCATCCCCAGAAAGTTGTTGCTGCACCCCAGCTTTAAGTCTCGCCATCCAAGTGATATCTCCCAGCTTGAGCGCCCTGACATCAACCCGGATCCCATGGTCTCGCAGACCTTTACAGATGGCTTCCTCGTCACGGCGGTTTTTGATTTCTCGGGTGTCCATGACGAGGACAATCTCGTAGCTTTCGGCGTCGTAGCGTATAGCATCGCAAGATCGGAAAGATGGGGTGTCGTTCGGGGCCGGCCGGTCTATCGGCTCATCCATGCCAGGAACGGCAGTCTCCTTGGACCGCGGTGCAGCAGTGCCACCGCTCTTCTGCTTTTCGATATTGTAGCTAGTGGTTTCTGTCTCCTCGATGTCTAGCTCGATGACAGAGCCAGTTTCACGAGATCCCGTTCTGCTCACCGGATCGCGATGCTTTTGCGGACGAGGAACTCGCAGTGGAGCGAGGGGAAAGTCTTCGGCTGACGACTCTGACTCGAGCTCTTCTCCAGCGGCAGTATCAGGGCCGGCGATATTTTTCGACACGCTCGACAGTTGCTCTGTCTGCGCGACGTATGTGCTGATCAAGGCGTCGAAGCCATCATCTGCGTAGACGCTTGAAGACGGATGAGGAACTTCCATGTCTGCATTCTCGATGGTCAAAGCCGCAGCTGTAGCGACGGAGATGACAGCCACCTGGCTAGTCCCTCCGGGCGCAGCCTGAGTACGAGCCTGCCCTAGAAAGCCCTCGCAAGTCTGTGGGGCATTGGCTTCCAATATCCAACCGTCGAACTGCATCCCGCTAGAAGTATCCCGCGCTTGGACCAGATTCCGAAGCCGGCTAGCTTGCGGGTGAACAAGGTGTTCCGCTCGGACCCTGATCTTTCTGACGGGCAAGAAGAGTTCCGCATCTTCCGAGCGCTGGGCGTCGATCAGGTGTTCCACTGGGACATCTCCGGGTCCTGTGTAGGAGGTAGAATATTAAGAATCACTTCAGGTTCTGTCGAGACGTGGTAAGAAAGAACTCACCTAGGTAGCTGAAGAGCAGAGGGTTCCCTTCTCGAACCAAAGTCGGTGGGTTTAGAACTGCTGGTCGCATCGAGTCGCTCGCGGTCCGGGCCACAGCACTACCTCGAGCAACCGAGTTATCCGCCGCCGCCTTTGCCCCTCTGCCCGCTTTTCTGGTCTGATCAACCGGGCCCAACGCCTCCTTCAAAGCCAGAGCGCTCGCCCATCCATCCCGTGTCAACCAGAACCTAGCCGGATTCCCCCTCGTACACACAAGCCCCCTTCCCAATAACGTCTTCATAGAACTCCAAGCGGTATAATGCCCCCCCGTTTCGGACTTTTCGAAATCGGAATCGCAGTGCTTTTTGGCTGCGGCGATGACGTCCTGTTTCGTCAACTGGGCGTTCTGAAGCGCGATGTTGAGGCGGTCTTGTTGGGCATCTTCAAACGAGGCGATGTCTTCAGGGTCTTCTAGATCGGAAGGTGGGAGTTCAAGAGGTTGTTGGTAGTCCTCCGTCAGGTTCGAGAGCAAGGAGAGCAAGATGGCATAGCCTCCACTACGAGCTTTTGGGACATAGAGTTTCGGTGTTTTCGCTTGTAAAGTCTTGGTCTTTTTCTTCTTGTGTGTAGTGGACGCTGTTCCATCCTCAGATCCCGAACCTTGTTCTTGGGGTGGGCGTCCTTTACGTTTGACTGATTGCGATTGCTCTGGTGCGGTGGTCGGGGCTGTAGTTGATAGACCTTCAGGTCGGCCCGGCGAAGTCAATGTTAATGGTCAAGATGACTGGATAATCCGTCTTCTACGGTCTCGCATACTGACGGGGTCGTGGCACAAACCCCTCCTCTGCTTCGTCTTTTTCTTCACCTGAAGGGGATACCGATACCGTGGCTGCTTCTTCATTCCTTCCATGCGGAAAAGGCACTCCGAGATTGACATAATGCTCTTTCTGACGCTGCTCGAGCATCTTGACCATGGTGGGTCCGACATTCGCCAGGGTGATCAACTCCTGCGGTTTGGTGAACGGTAAGGGGCAAGATCGGATCGAATTACACGCTTTCCTGTAAGTGTTTGCGGCTTTCCACTGCTTGATCTCGGCTTCCTGCTGAATAGCTAATCGGGGAAGAGCCAGTGGATCAGAATGTTGATGACCTGCTCGTCCTTGTGAGCTCTCTTTGGCTTACCCTCAGCCCATTGCAGGAACAGCGGATTGCCGCACACGGGTTTACGAGGCATGGCTGACCTCTCGTCCCCAGACTGAACCTTCTGAGATTCTAGCTCTTCGGATGTGGCAGCTTAGGAAGAGCCGGAAGAGAGGCCCCTTGGTGAAAATGAGAATGGTTGATAGAAGTTCCTGTTGTTGCATGATCTCTCTGTTTCGCGCAAGACCGAGCTTACGTAACATTTACGGCAGCGGGGTACAGCGACCTCCCTGTGGTCTCTCGGGACCCTTTGAACATCATGGACCTCTCAACTCGATCACCGTTCACATTTTGTTGTCATTGCAAGGCGGATCAATCTGCTAAGTTGATAAAACACTAGACCTCTACATTCTTCGCTCTTCGTACCAAAATGGACAGCGACGCTCTTTTCCTCGTCAAGCAGCTCTTCTGGCAGGGTGAGCCGAAGGCTCGCTGTTACCTGTCTAGGCTCTGCGATTGACACCTGTCCTCATTCCTACGTTTCTTCAGGGGCTTACAAAGGTCAGTCGTTGGGCTGAGGCGTCCGATTAATGACTGGGGATTGTTTGCTGACATGCCTTCCGTTGACACACAGCTTGCATCAACGAAGCCACCTCGGTCGACATCAGCGATCAGACCGATCCCGAATCACTCTCCCGAGCCATCTACGCCGCCCGAGCCCATCTAGCTCTTCCATCTCGCGATATCTCCTCTGCACTCTCCGTCCTCGAACCTGCTCTTACGGCTGACGAACCCGCCGCTTCCGTTCGTGCCGTCAAGTCCTTTGCCGAGTACCTCCAAGCCGAGGACAAGGCGAGCAAAGTCGAAGAGCTGAGGGATCTCGTACTGGAATACGATGCCGAGGAGGTCAATGACGAGACGAGAGAAGAGGAGAGGATCGTAAGGAGTATGGCAGGGACGGTATTTATCCTGGAGAAGGAGGTCGAAGAGGCTGTAACGACCTTGAGCGAAGGTTGCGGAAAGACCGACTTGGAATGGTTAGTTCAACACCTCCATCATAAAACTACCAGTAGCTGATGATCTCGCCATACACAGCACCGCTCTCTTGGTGCAATTGCTGCTCAGCATCCATCGTCGTGATGTCGCCCAGACTATCTACCAGAACGCAAAGTCGTTCGGCGAAGACTCGTTGCTCATGCAAATCATGGAGGCCTGGATTGGAATGAAGACGGTGGGTCGAGGCAGTCCCGACTGTGCGGCATGGAGGTCAAGCTGGCTTATACGTCTGGTCCCTTGATGATCTATCTTAACAGGGAGGTCGACCCCTCAACCAGTCGTACTACCTCTACGAAGAGCTCTACCAACTCCCTTCCGGTCGAACCCCTACCGTTTTAGCGTCTCATGCTGCGGCTCATCTTCTGCTCGGTCACGTCGATGAAGCCAAGGCGGACATTCTCGAGGCTCAACAGACTGAGAATGGGAAGAACGATGCTGCTGTGCTTAGTGTCGGCGCCACGTTGGGCATGCCTGGGTGTTTCGAGTGAGTGTTCCCAAAGAACTTCTGAATCCAAATTCGATTGCCCAGGCTGACGACACCCTATTTTATGTCATCGTGCTAGGCAACTGAAATCGGTCGATCCTTCTCACCCGAGCGTCTCCGAGTGGGAAGCAAAGTCCCGAGAATTCGACGAGGCGGCCGCCAAGTTCAAGCCCGTTTCGGCTTGATCTCGCGTAGACCTGTTCGAGCATGTCAAACTGTTGTAACACGAGGAGTTTCTCTAGATGGAGATGAATGAATGGCCACTCCTGTGCGAAGTTGTTCTGTGCTTCGGTGGGCGGGTTTGTGCGACGCCGGATATTTACGTGAAGCAATGTTCGATGGATGGTGTATTCATACAGTGTGCCAAATTCTGTAGCTCGGCTGTCATGCTGTCCCTTGATTTCTTCGTCAACCTCTTCCGTTCCCCTTGCCCGTCTTTGCCAGTCTAGTGCATGCCCCCCTTCTGCTGCTCGATCTGCTTGACGATGAATAGCGACGAATCGAGGAACCTGTCCACACAGTTTTCGAGACACGAAGCTTCTCCTCGGCTGAATTTCGACCCGATCGAACCGGTGATGCAGCTAATGGTATGCAGTAGCACGTAGTTTGCACGGCGATATCAGCATCAGCAGGAGCGATTTGTGAATATGAGCGGAGAAGTAAGAGGTCGGGGCGGGACCGATGACTCACGTGTTCCAACATCGATCAGTCAGATCGTGGATGGAAGATTGCATCTTGGCCTTTGCCTGCTCCTGCTCCAGGAAGGTAGCGAGCTCTCGCTGTTTTTGCCGAACATGAATACAAGCCCGAGCGATCAGATATTTGGTCGCGAATATTGTTGCGGCTGAGGACGAGCGGGACTCGCCTGGGTGGGCTCGTCGAACACCGGTTGCTGGTTGGATGCCATCTTGTGAGTATCTATCGAGCTGATGTCGAGTATGACAGGGCTTGAAGAGGCTGTTGCCGGGACGTTCATATGAGTTCCAGCTCGTTACGAATTCAGGATCTTGCTCGTTGCCCATCGCCAAGATTCTTGCTTATCAAGAAAAGCCAGCCTCGACAAAATCAAATGAGATGACGAAGATGACGTGTACAGAAGGCCTCGGATCCTCTGATCCCTTGCTCGTCAAGAGAGACAGAGGTAGGTAGATGACCTTGACGCTACTTAGCTCTTTGACTGGACCCGAAACGACCTACAATCGTACTGTTCCACTCTTCCCAGGATGAGTGACGCTTACGATTTCCGTCCAGGGGGTTCCCTGAAACTCAAGGGCGACAAGGACAAGAAGTGGGTAGAATACAATTAAATCGACCTGCTGATTCGCGAACCGAAGCACTGATTTTACATTCGCTGCATCCGTTAGGAAGAAGAAGAAGTCTTACACCGATTCGGAAAGGGCAGTAGTCAAGGATGATATAGAGAGGTCAGGTCGGGCGGCAGAGATCAAGGGAGGAGAAGGTTCCGGTCAGGCCGGGTCGAGCTCGAATCCTGGACTGGTCCCTGAAGGAAGGAAGAAGACGGCAGCTGAGGAGAAGTATGACAAGATTCGAGAGGAACGAGTGGGTAGATGTGTGAGCTGTCGGGAATCAGTGCACTAGTCTGATCCCCTTGCTGTCGGGATCCGGTTTTCTAGCGACGGGAACGAGCGAAGAAGCAGGCAAAGATGACACACAAAGACCGGGTGGCACAGTACAACGCAGCTCTCGATCGTCTAAGGTGAGTCGGTCGTAATGGTCCTGCAATCAGAATCGTATTGATCTCGATTTTTAACAAATCCCAGTGAACATCACGACATGCCGAGGGTAAGCTTGGGGACTACTATGCTACCTGATTCCCCCGTGGCTAATCGTGGTCGTCATACAGATTGGACCCGGTTAATATCCTTTCTCTCTCGGTGCTCAACCAGCGTCTCGGTACAGAACCACTCTCTTCGGGATCAGCCACTATTTCCCATTTTGTATATAGCCTTCATTGGCGAGATGACAGACATCCCATCGACATTGACACAAGATCGCGACCGCCCGAAGGGCTTCTGGGACAACACTCCTGAACGACATGATACAGGGCAGAGGTCTCTCTCTCTTGTCGAGCAACTGATTCATCCGAAAAAATCTATTGACAGACGCAAGTACATTATGGGAACAGAGCTAGAGCTCGACCTGGGCGATTGGGCCGGACATCTGGGAATGCACGGCCATCCTACAATCAATCAAGATCCACCTATGGGTCACGTGAGTGTCAATTCCGTTGAGACTCGCCAAGTAATCTTGACTGCTTGTTGGATCGACGCCGGACGAGACGATCTGAGCTTCGACCGGCGGATGTCTGACTAGCTACGAATGAAATTACAAATACTTTCGACTACCATGTCGCAATCATCGCTGATCAGCATGTCGACGAGCTCTTGCGCAGTCCTCTGTGACGATAATTCACACGGAAAAGGTTGCTTGCGTATTTCTTGGTAATGACCCATGATAATATTACCATCCGTAGGCGCCTTGCGTTACAAGGACAACATCATCACGACGTTGTGTGTATGAATCTGTAGATTATCCGGCCCATTGATGAGCTTCTGACCCAGCATCTCGGACTGCCGCGAAGATGTCGAAGTCGAGCAGCTTCAAGCCGAAGATTGGCGCTCCATGTAGGAAGAGAGAAAAACGGGGCTGTAAGTGACTTATTTCGTCCCTGACACCTCGAACAAATACCATACACGGGGTTTGGGCTATCCATCTAGGCAAAGGTCTAGAGTTTGCCTATGACATCCTGCACAACACGACCTTGGAAGAGGGATCAAGGAATTGGTGGGGGCAACAACCGAATGCTTGACCCCTCCCTCCTTATTGACACCAACGGATCTGGCGGATCACCATCATGATCGCATGGAATCTCCATGCTAGTAGTGAAGGACGGCAGTTTCTATGTTGGCAAGACCCGTCACACAATCAAACAGCATTGGAAGGAGTACCCCACTGCGGGGTCAATCACAAGGTGAGTTGCGCTCAACCGCAAGCCAACAAATATCCCACTGAATCCGCCAAAGACGAAGACAAGACCGGAGCCGAGTGCGAAGTCGAATACGGCCTTGTAGAACTCAAGGCCGAGGAGCCAGACCGCGCATGGGACGATTCCGACGACTCGGTCGAGTCCAACGACTCAAACGACTCAGACAAATGTCGCGAGTCAGACAAAGATCGCAAGTCGGACAAATATCGTGGAAGGCAAGATTGCGCAAGTCGAAATTGTGCGAGTGAAGGTTGGGGCGTAGGGACTGGGGCCGGCAGGAACATCCTGGTGCCTTCCTGCGGCCGGCATCACAATTTCAATGAGGCAAGTCCACAAAGGTGGTAATTGAACACGTCTGACAAACTTTCTAACTCCTCCCACCCCATCATTCATCAACCGACCCCCCACCCACCGACCTGAACACCCATCCTGGCTGTCCCGCGATCCGGGACCCGACAAGGTCCGTGCCACTGAACCTCACCAATACAGGTCCAAGCACGAAAGAAAGAAGGCAAATGGTCTGGTATCAGGAAGCGAGGGCAAACAGAGGTAGACAAGCAAGGATGAGTGACTTGACCGGGAAGTCTAACTTCGATTCAGTATGTCGCTTATTGGAATTTTTCTGCTTGATGGCGACATCGGAGTTCGAAACAGAGGCGTTCTCTTCGGTTCCAGCGTTCTCCTGCTGTCGAGAGACATTCTCATTGCTTTCTCCATTGTGTCCAGCAGGCTTCTGACCCATCTTTTAGAGTTGAGGTGAGACAAACATCGTGCAGGCGTGTAGGCGTGTAGCTTGCAGACAGACGGGACTCAGTTGTCCGAAAACTCAGTGTGGCAACCGAATTCTCTCTTTAATGCAGTAACAACGTAGGCATGGTTATTTTGTCGCAGCGACGTAACTCGTCATACGGCTGTGGCTCCCTTTTCAAGGCTGCGAATAGCGATTCGAGACGACACGTTATATGAATTGCTTCAGTAGCGATTTTCTTTAGGGGTTGCGCTGCAATTGCAATTATAGCCTTTGTTCGTTTCCCATCCGAGACATGATCCTCATTATGATGTGTATATGCGTGCTGATCACACAACATGCAACATCAGCATATGCGCGACCCGCTACTCGCCTGCATGAAACGGAAAAGGATACGACGGCGGGAACATGGTTCTCGGGAGTTTTCGGATATCACCGTCGTTTCATCGGTCGACCTAGCTCGCACGCGATAACCTCGTGGTACGTGGTTCTCCGACCGAGCTACCCGTTCTCTGATCTCTGAAACGTTCTTTCGCACCCGTAGGCCGTAGAGATCGTCGTGGTGACCGTCCTCTTGTTGCTTGTTGAAGGTTCGAATCGTCTGATACTCTTCGTTTGGCTCGCCCGGTCCGACCTGAGTGGACGGTCACGGTCGTACAGCGGGCCGAAGCGAGAAAGGGACCCACGCGGCATGACGTCACCAGGTTGTTCCCCCTCGTCTTCCTGCCTCCTGCCTCTCGCTTCCCTCTGTCCTCTGGGCCTCGTGGGTTGACTGACGAAGGTTGAGTCCGGGTACAGGTCTTGCTCTGATGTCGACGTCGGACCAGATTGTTGTTCTTCTCTTCTAGCTTCTTGTTGATCGCTCTGACTCTACTTTCATCCTAGGGAAGTCCAGGGTAACACCCACGAAATCGAAATTACCAGCCAGTCTCACCCAAACTCCTGTGCCTCGTTCGACCAAGTACGCGATATCGAAATAGATTCGTCCGCCTTTGCAACTCGAGCGCAACCTGGCGAGCCCTTTGCATACTTCAAGAAGACTCGGTCGGCTTTTGATCTAAATCATTCCAGTAGGACCTGTGGCTTCTCGCTCTTCTACGACGGTCTATATACACGCAACAGACGTAGGCGAAGACGAGAGCTATTTGTCCGGAAACAACGGAACCGGCCGGAAGAAACAGACTATCTATTTGTTCAGCAGTACAGCCTTCAATTAAAGTGCAGCGATCAACTCACTAGTTTCTTGACCTTAACGGTACAAGGCGGAACAGGAAGACGCATCCTGGAAATAACGCGAGACGTGAAAGAACCATCGCTCAAGACAATTGAACGCCGACTACTGTCATCTGGGCCGACCGCTTCCCCCGTAACGATAAACACGCAATTGTAGAAAGAGCATAATTCGGAGTATTTTGTGGAGTAGTCCGTAGAAATGGCAGGCGATCATCGTTGCGAGGTGAGTCCGAAAGCTTTTCTGCATTGTCGTCGCGATCGAGATGCAGAAAGCTAACAATCTGTGTCTGCGCGCGCTGCTCGCTGATACAGGTTTGCGGGGCGACCTTTACGAGACCTCAACATGTCGGTCGACACATGCGTTCCCGTAAGTCGACCCTTTTGTGCGATCGAGACTCGTCAAGCGAAAGCGAAAGTGAAGCTCATACGACATCGTAATTGCACGCGTTATCCGTTTGCTTGTTGCAGATACCGGAGACAAACCGTATCCTTGTCCTCATTGTCCGGACCGGTTCGCGAGGAGGTGAGTTTCGCAGAGTTATCCAGAGCTGGGAAGTGACGGTCATCTGACTCTTACTTCATCTTCATCGGGGCGGTTGCTTTGTAGTGACCTTTTGTCGCGGCACGTGAACAAGACCCATTGTCCCCCGGATCCTAATGCGCCCGTTCCGGTTGGGAGGAAGAAAAAGGTCAAAGATGCCGTTGTTGCTGCACCTGCACAGTCGAATGGGGATGCGGTTCAAGCTATGTCTCTGCCTGATCGGCGACAGGATGAAGCATACGGGAATGATTTGGGGAGACCGCATGGTATATGGAGAGACGGAAGCACTGGGTCTAGCAGTCAACAGACTGCTTCGTCCTCGCCTCAATACCAGCAACAGTACACGATGCCGCCGACGCAGCAGCATCTACAACAGTATCAACAGCTACAACCGCAATCGCAAGAGTTGATGGGCTGGGTCGGTTCCGGAGTCAGCGTGGGACCGCTCGCCGGGGGAGACGTGATAGAGCGGTTGGCAGCGGGAACGGGGGAATTGGACGGCGATGAGAGCGAGGATGATGATGCGTGGGACGGGCTTGCAGGGTGAGTACTGCAATATCGTCATTCATTCACCGCAAACGAGGCCGGAGCTCATAGACAGGGACCTGTTGATAGGCAACCGGGAATGTTTCAGTCGACGAACGGGTTCCCGTTGAATCCGACGATCCAGCAGATGGCCAACATGCAATTGCATCAGGTGCCGACGGGATTCGAAATGACGAGTTATGGGACTCAGGTCTATCCTCCCGCGCCACAAGCAATGCAGACGTCTCAGCCAAAGCAGCCGCCTCAGACGTATCAACAACAGCCTATGTATTACGCAGATCCGACCCGAACTTTCTCCGGTATACCAAATCAACCGGATGGCTCCGACTTTCTGGCCTCGCCTCAGCGAAACATGTCGTTCGGCTCGTGGTACCCGCCCATCTCGCCGGGCCTTATGGCTGCTCCTCCGATCCCGCCAGCGCACGACGGTTCATCATCGCCACACACGCAACAACATCAGAGCCCCGTCAACATCGGCTCGTCACCGTTGATCAATGTAGTCTCACCCGTCTCTCACAACCGCGCCGCTGGACCGAGTAACTCGTTGTCGCCCAGCTCGTCCGCTATGGGCAGACCCATGGATCTAGGATCGTCTTTGTCACCGTCATCGTCTTCTTCCGGACACATCGTCTCGCCCTTTGGCGATGGGTACTCTTCGAGCATGCCCGTGGTCAATGAACATGCGAGCTCGGCATCGAACCAAGTGTATATCACCCGACCCGTCAAGAAGCGGGCGTGTGAACAGTGCAACACTAGCAAGGTCAAATGTGATTCACAGTTGCCTTGTCGTGAGTATTATAGCGGGCTTGCCTTTCACGCGAGAAAGACGACGACAACGCTGACCGCAACGCGTCGATGACAGAAAAATGTACGATGCGGGGGATACGGTGTACTTATCCCATAGCCAAGAAGCTCGGTCGGAAGAGTCTCTCCAGTCAGGCCCCTCAACTCGGCACTGGCGGATCCGAACCGCAACCCTGGATGTACATGCAGGGTCAGGACTCTATTCGCAAACCCGAAAACTCCTTTGACAGGCGGTCCTCGATACATTTCGGGACGGCTAGCACGTCGTCGTCCACGGCGATAAATGGAGCACCCGCACAACAAGGAATGAGGAGTTCGTTCTCTGCAGTGCAAGGCCTCCGTCAATCTCAACTTGGGCGGATTCGGGACAGCTCACTTGAAGACGATGCGGTATCGACCACGTCTGGCTATACTACGAGTCACGCAGGCGATAATTCGCGAAGGGAGAGCATGGCCGATTCCATCGTCGCCGTCGAGGATGTGACTGGTGCAGGGTTGCTGCAGATGGGAGATATGGGTATTGCCCCAGCCGTCATTGAAGGTACTCTCCCACCTACTTGGTCAGGAAACGGATTGGGAACAGGAATCGAACCATCCGACGTGATGGGATTGCCCCGCCCCGGCTTTCCTACATATCAAGTCGACGGTACGATCACGCATCGGGCGCCAAGCTTGTCGGACGTCAAGGACGCTTGGAGACAATTCGCAGCGGGTCAGCAGCCTATATCCATTGGTGGCCTGGTTCCCGGCCCGCAATCTCGTCCGCCCTTTATTCATCGAGCGCGTTCAAACTCGGTTCCCGAAGTATTCCCGAAGCATCTGGTGGATCTTGCGGTCACACATTTCGCCTTGACAACGCCGCGGGCCGAGGCCGAGTCCTTTAATTTCAACCCGCCCGCTTCGATTGTCGCTTCTCCGGCGGATCTGCAAGCTGGATCGTCCTCTCCTGCGAGTGTCGTCGAGGCCGCAGCTCAGTCCGGGGCCTCGAAGCCGCAATCGATGCTGCGAGGTAGCAGCGGAAATAGCAGCATCAGTATGGTCGAAGCTATCTTACCAGCATCGAGCGACGTCAACAACAACCGAGCGGTTCATCCACCACGGCAAGATCAAGGTAGCTTTGCCATGCTTCCTGATCGAGAGGGACAAATGCCGCAAATGAACCCTCCCGCCTCTCGCCCTTCTATCGCTGTCTTCCAGCCTACTGCAGGCGGAAACGTGGCGCGACACATTCTACTACAAGGCGGATCTCAAACGTTGGCTCCGGAACGTCCTCCTAGCTTTCTCAATGCGTCTTTCATCGACACGGATCGCAACAAGTTCAAAGTGCCTGGCTTCGCCGGACAGACTGGCTTTTACGCACAACCCATCATGTCGACAAAGATGTCGTCGCTCGCCGCTCGTCCAGGCAACAAGCGCCTGCCGAGCCAAACCCTCGGTCCGGATTATCAGAAAAAAATGCCAGTGTCGATGGATTTCGGTCATCCCAGTCCTCTCACCAACTTGCAATCACCATCGCTGTTGAACAATACCCCCGCGGCGACCAGTTCTCACGCACGACGATACTCGGTCCCAGGGTGGTTGGGTGGGACCCCGTATGGTACGACAAACGAGTTTGTCGACTCGGAGAGCTCTTTCTTGCAGGCGGCCTTTCCGGGGACGATGGCAGTGCCCGAATTGACCCCTACGCAGAACCCTCTTCTTGCAGGGTTTCCTTTCCCAGTACCTTCTTACACATGAACCTTGTCCGGTAAAGTTGCGGGTAGCCGTGTATTGTAGAATGGACCTGAACCGAATGGACATTGTTTGGTTCCTCCAGGAAGAATTGTATTTGCCCTTCGTGAACTTGTATCGCCTTGTATCGTCTAGCTTTTCATCGAATCGAATGTATCGATACGCCGCCCATCCCGTCTCGTTAGCCTTTAGGAGCAGCGCCAAGTGCGAACGCCCATGTCGCTTCGGCTAGCATCAATCGGACCTTCGTCCCGGCGTTCTATCTCCTTGAACGCTTGCAAGCCTCTTACGCTAGTGATTGGTAGCGAGTTGGTCGCATTCTCTGGCATGGCTGGGGACACGTACCGAAAGCTCGCTCATTCCGTCGGGACCGACTTGCAGGTTAGGGCGTTCAGGTCAGCCACCCGATGAAGACCCTCGAAGGCCAAAAGTCGACTTGATAGACGGATCATGGGTCGTATCATCTGTGTGCTGTGCTTGCTATCAGTCCGTCAGTACCTGAACCAGACGTCAAGACGAGCTGGATACGGAACATACCGAGCGGCTGATCGGAAGATCGACGGTCCCCTCCTCGGTCAGGCACGCGAAGAATAGAAAGCTGCGCGCGCATTTGCGTCAGACAATAAGGAAACCTCCAAGCGAGAGAAGCATTCGAGTGAGACACCGGGTGGACACGCGAACCCCGAGGACAAGACCAGCCATGAGTTATCAATCTCGCCGACTCCTCCTCTCCTCCTGTTCCCACGGTAAATTCCCTCGTGAGCGTGCAAGGCGAAGCGAGTCTTCTTTTGTGGGATCAAATTGTTCCCATCCATCAATCCCTCGATCGTTTTGACGAGGCATGGTCAGACCAGGCGCGCACGCGCTCGTCGACCTCGGCCATCTTCTCAGGCTCGGGTTCGAGTTTAGGGTTCGAACATCGATCCTTTTCAAGCCTTCCGAGTTGCCGATGGCGAAAGTAATTTACCGACGCCTGGCTAGGAAACGCTGGCCGCCGCTGGGCGCACTGGGATTGATGGCCGTACGCTACCGATCTGGGAATACGAAAGGGTCGCGAATCAATCCATCTGAGACATCAGGGTCTAACCTTGCGAGTGTACTTGGCCTGAGGCGGAACTCGACCTTTTTTTCATTTCGGGTCCCTGGACGAGACTTACGTGTACTTGGGAAGAAAGGATTGATGAGATCGTACGACCTGTGTATATAAGTCTCGCGACGTGCAAAGCGCTACGGCCTCCCCTTCGCCTGCGTCCTCCCGCGCACCGCACGCAATTTACCAACCCATACCCTTCCAATGATGATATCCTCCTCGAGATTTTCCGTCCTTGGCCTCCTCTGGCTGGTCAGCTTCCTCAGACTGTGCAGCGCCGACAACGCTTTCTGCGGATGTCAGAACAGTCTGACATCGTCATACATCACCATGAACCCACCGTCGGGGCAGACGAGGTACAACTCGGCGACCCAATGCCAACAGGTTTGCTACACCGCCAGTAACCCTACTCCGGCAGTCGTTGGACGTACGAATTACCGACATTCTATGTACAGAGCTACCGATGGACAGTGTCTCTGCACAGACAAGTACCCGAGCGTGGCGTACCAGTCTAATGGGATGCCCGACGCGTGCGCCAATCCCGCCGACTACGACAACAGGATCGTGCAGACCACATTCATCAAGTATCCGGATTGCTACGCCGGTACTCCGGCCGGGATCGTCATGTCGGGGATCGCAGGGCCCGACAGCTGTTCCATCAAATGTGCCAGTTCTTTGAACATGGTCTTCTGGATGAATGCGGCAGTGAGTTTGCCCGGCCGGAAACGAGAATCCTTTTTGAAACATATAGCTGAGCCGTGTCATCTCGTTGCAGGGCGGTAATTTCCAATGTGGATGCGGAACCGTCGGAACGTTCCCAGCAAAATCAGCTACATGCGGACCCGACACCTACTTTGTGAGCTCGACCTCATCTGCGGGCCTTCATCCCCGAATGACATCCTAACCTGGCTCGTCAGATCTACTACCATACCGTAGCGCAAGCATCACAAGGTTTGAGTCGAAGAAAAGCACGCGACGAGCTCGTAAGAAGACACAAGCCCAAGGCGCTTTGCCCGAAAGGTCTCACGGCATGTCTAGTGCATGAAGGCGCATCAGCGTTCGAGGTAAGTCACAATATGTGCTTGAATCCATTGCGAGAACCTGGAGCTTATCAACTTTCATCTCGTCGCAGTGTGTCGATACGCAAAACGACATCGACTCGTGTGGCGGATGCCTTTATGGCACACCCGATGCTCCTGAGCTTACGAACGGTGTCGAGTGAGTCGGAGGCTGTCGTGGTTCATCGCCCTCACGAGCGCGACTGATGGAATCCCTTGCGTGCTTCAGCTGTTATACATCCGGAGCCGCTCTGGGAGCCGCCACCTGCTCTGATGGCGTCTGCAATATAACACAGTGCCGCAAGAGATACGAGTTGAGAGATGGATCGTGTATCAGACGAACTGGACGATGAGCGACCGGCAGGCACGGTCGGAGAATTTGATCGAACATGGAATCAGGGATGGACAGTCAGGTTTCGATTTTTGATGATTGGTACTGCCAGGACGTACGAATAGATTGTATCGAATATAGAACGTTTTCATGTAAAGACCAATAGCTCATAATTACCAGAGGGATTCAGGAAATGACAATCCACAGCGCTCGACGATCGATGAAACCCCCGGACTTTAAAATGTGAAGACGCGCTTCACGCGACGCGTTTATCGTATCGCGAAGAGGGGGGGGAGGAGGGGTTGATGATGTCTTGATTGTTACACTACTTACCCTATCGTGCGTGGTCTCGCTAGCCATCGTTCATCTGACAACGACTTCATCCTATGCGGCTCCTAGCTGCTCCCGCTGCGTCCTCGACGGTCTGGGTCGCGCCGCGTGCGATAGACGAGGAGAACGATCAGGGGACTCGGATAGACCGGACAGAGGGTGATCGGTCGTGGTCGTCAGTATGATACGCTTCGAGTACACGATCCTACCGGAGTCCTAATGAAAGCATTAGTATTCCGAATACTTTCCTAGAGCCCCACCACCTCAACGCTGGACGATAAACCCGCCGCCTCTCCAGCGGCTCGGTCCTAGTCCGGGTAGCTCTCTAGCTGCACACTGCCTCGAGAACATTGCTCTCAACATTACACGATATGAACCGGCCTCTTTCCATGGAGTTGAGGAGCGGTACATGCGCATGATCTGGAACTATCTGAGGGAGAGGTTCGAAGCGAGCAGGATGGAGGCAGGGGAACAAGCTGGACATGATGGACAGCCTTGGGCTCGGGAAGATCTGTTTCTATGGCTACTACAGCTGCAGACGAAGAGCAAGGGCGAAGCAAAAACACTTGGCAGCGAATCGACCAGCGTCAAACAGAGGCCAAGACACCATACTCAACTCGTCTCTGCACCCGAACTACTGGCCTACCTACCCACCTCGTCGCCCTTGACCATCCTGCAAATACCGCCCACTCCGTCGTTTACTCTCCTCACATCGCTCTCACTCTCGACCCACCTTTTGAACGACCAGACCATCCTCTCGCTACGGAACCTGCCGCACCTGTTTTTCCTCTTCCTTACCGCCTGTTCGGGGGTGACCGACGCGGGGATCAAGTCGTTGGCTATGAGCCTGGATTACGAGCAGGCGGTCTTGCAAGTCAAGCCGGGCGAGGCCGAAGGGAAAGGTCGAGGGTGTTGGAGGTTGAGAGGGTTGTGGCTGGATGGATGCAAGAGGGTGACGGATAACGCCATAAGGGATCTCGTCAAGTGGCCTCTGCTCAACGTGCTCTGTGAGTGAGCCCTGTCAGGTCGACGCACTGCATTCTTGTGTGCTGATTGGCACCTGCTTCTCGTCGGTCAGCTCTTGCCAACACCGGGATTAGCACCCAACCGACCTTTCCTCCCAACTCGCACTGGTTCCGAGCGGCCCCAGCAGACAGCGCCTTCCTCATCCCCCGTATCGCATCACCTTATCATTACGCCGCATCCGATCCTCAGGTCAACAAGAAGTTCCGGGCTTACCAGGCTCGATGGCCCGCTCAGTTCCGTGGCGACAACGTAGGGACGATAGAGGTGGTCGGCATGAGCGAAGAAGAGCTTAGGAGATTCCGAGGCGAGCGGGAGGTGAAGCGGAAGATCGAGGCGATCAAACGGAACACGGGCAATTCGGCCGAGAACCCGGTGTCGATCGAGCCGGACGAGATGGATCTCGTCACACCGCCGGATGAGACGACAAATTCCGCATGGAGGATGGATCGTTCGATGGCTTTTACGACGGGCTATGGTAAAATGCCATCGTGGATGGCTGCAGCTGCTCGCAATCCGATGGGCACCGGCAGAACGAGAAACGGGGGCTCGAACGCATCTAATGACGAGCTCGATTGGCTCTACCTGAGACCGCCTCCGACGGTGGCTTCGGTACGGCAAGATCTCCTGGAAAGAGCAGCTCAACGAGCGAGTTCGACGAACCGGCCGGCTCAGACGGCTCAGGTTCGATCGGTGAATCACCCGCGTCCGACTTCCTCTTCTTCCTCTTCCTCCTCCCCATTCGCCCCATCGAGTCAACGAGAAGAGATCACCCTTCAGCGGCGGAAGGGTCGGAGTAGACAGCTCGTCTCGGTCCCATACCAGATCCCGCAGACTAAACTTCGAGCGAGTCAGCAGGGGCCTGGAGACGGATGGGACTTGGGTGCGTCACGTTCGACGATACCGGCTCTGGGAACGGCAAGTCTGTCGGGTTCGAACGTGGGGTCGGCTGCTCCCCCACGGACCAAGGGGTTCTCGATGTTCAAAAAGGCCAAGCGATGAGAGTGTCCCGGATGTCAAGTATAATGATGTAAGACTAAATACCCACGCATATACCCTCTTGTCACTTCCTGGTCAGTCTCAAGGCGATTCCTATCGATTGGATCAGTGCGCTAGGTGGCTAGACCGGGCCAGGGGATGAGGAAGCGCACGACGATGGATCTCGACCTCAGCTCACGCAGAGGAGTCTCGCTTCGTCTGACCGCAGCTGCATGTTGCTGCGCCGGCCTGTCTGGTCACAGTTGCGGGATAGCAACTTCGGGACACAGGATCTCCCAAAGCCAGAGTTTTCACCTTGCTTGGTTTCTCAAGATTCCTTGCCAAATCACAGAAGACCAGTGCTGTTCTTTCTAATCATCGGATACATTACGTACCAGATCGCCGTAAGCAATAGGAGTTTTTTTACGCACATCCGCTGCAACGAGTCGTACGGAGCTACCGCCGAGGATGGATCGGTCGAAGGCCTTTCGTGCAATGTATGAAGTGTGGGCAGATTTCCGTCTGTCCTCTCGGAAAGGTTACCATCTGAGCCCGAGGTACATTCCACCCCTCCTAGTGATTTTTCCACATGCTACATTCCTTCGTCGTCCTGGTCTGTCTTGAAAGCGAGGGCCGGGTGCGTTGGCGAGATATGATGTGGGTTCAGCACAAGATGTAGTAGGAACTCCGTCAGATCTGGTGTCATTCCCTGGAAGATTGTGGCGTCCGTCAGGACAGGGTACATTTGATGGCTTTTGGCAAGATCATATAGGAGACTTGCGACCGGATTGGACTTTAGGCTCAAAATGCCGGAAATCTTAGCACCAGTGCCTCGTCGAAAGTGATCCACTTGCTTGCCTAACAAGATTGTCACGTGAGCTCGATGCAGCCCTGGTTCCATGCACATAATGGCTTTTTCAGAGCTATTCAGGTGAGGCTGACAAGACTTCCTCCGAGCATGTGTGGCACAGGCATACGTATATCCATTGCATGCAACTAGCATCGTGGTACGAGAAACTATAATCGTCAAAGTGATCACAATTTCATACTGTCTGATTAGGACACTGATCTCTGCTCCTGCTGTCGGGTCCTCTCTCGAAAGGCTTTGCGGATCGTTCGATTTGGCGAAAGAGGTTGCATGCAACCTTCTTCGAAACACATGTTCTTTTTTGTATGATGATTGCTGGCGCCGTCGGACTGTCGTCAATCATCAAGTCACACTGCTCGTCCCGTGAGGCGGGTGGCGTCTGCAAAGATGAGCAAAAGAGCACATCCTCGCCTTGTTGTCCGTCCTCACGGGTCGCGCAAGCTCTCGTCGAGACCATACGGAGCGCAACCAAGACGCGCGTTTCACATCATGCACACCCTGCGACTCTTTGAAACCAAGTCGAAGCGGATTCAGAAGCCGACAGACTTCGATGCAAAAACCGCATCGGGAGAGCATTCATGACGATGCAATAGCCTGCCCTATAACGATCAGATGACCTTGCTGGGGAGAAAATGCAGGGCCGTAGCGGAAGTCGTGTGAGACAAGCGCGTCTGCGGCCAGGCGCGACAGAGAAAGACTCTACCTATCACTCCGGGAATTAGCTCTCAAGGTCAGGGTCACACTATATCAACACCTGCTCATTTGCCGTAGCGATTCAACGCCAGGGAATGGTCGCAAAATTGATGGGTTGATAGACTCTAGCAAAGAAAAAGGTCCCGGCGCATTTCGGGCAAAAAGAAATCTCTCCAATGCGAGTCGAACGCATGACCTATTTCCAGTCATCATGCGTTCGGCGCGCGCGACGAGAAAATCGGTGATTTGCTTCCGAGCGGAAGTAATTTTGCGCGTGTCCGGTCATCATGCCATAAGCATGCCGTAACGCCTCTGAGCCAGATCTGGTGATACGTCATTTCCGTGTCGACACGAAAATGACGTGTAGGCCTGTCGCGCGTGAAGTTGGTAGAACCCTCACGTGATTCGGACCAGGGGTGGCAGGTCCGAATCACGTGAGGGTTCTACGCTTCTGGGTTTCAAGTGAATTCGCGACAACAGTGACGGGCGCAGCCGCGGACGAGAAGGCGATGCCGAAAAGTTAAAGGACCCTTCCCTTCACAGATTTGCCGAGGAGTGCGACGAGCGACGAGGTGGATCGAGTGAAACCGTTTCGGGGATCGATCTCAGAGGAGGCCAAGGAGTGTGACAGCGCGACAGCGGAATCGACCCGAAAACATCAGCTCCCCCTCCTTTGATCACGCGATCGGCCAAAGGCAGGTCTCCTGTACCTGGTCGTACGATAGGGTCGCTGCGCGCTCAGGCCTGGCCCCTCTCTTAGATCTCTTATATATCTGTATCTCTTAATTCCGTCCGGATGGACGTCAATACTAAATTTTCGCAGCTAAAGTGCCCCCCATCAGAACAAGGCGAAAGGAACGGACTTTGCACTTGGTGAGCAGTAGACGGCCAATACTAAATTTTCGCAGCTAAAGTGCCCCCCATCAGAACAAGGCGAAAGGAACGGACTTTGCACTTGTCGAGCAGTACGACGTACTACTACTGTCCTTCCTCGTAAGCAATTCAAGCACCGCATCGACCGACCACTCGACCTAACATCGATATCATTCAGACGTTAAAAACTCAGTGGCTTCTCGATCTCGGTCAAGTCTGCCGGCCGCACGATGTTCGAACTCGACGAAGCCGACTTCGAATCCCTTGCCCTCGCTGTCCAACATGAGGTTACTGAGCGGTCAGTACAGGTCTTCACGATCGGTCAGCATCGTAACCCGGCTAACCTTCCACCCTGCTACTCTTTTACGTTCTGAACCTGGCTACCGTCACCTCAGCGGGACGAGGACATGGGAGGAGGTGTTTGCAGGCAAGGATCCAAACTGGGCTGCATTCACTGTGGAACAGTCAAGTCTTGTCATTCCCAAATCACCATCTACAATCCGTCGTTGTTGGGCCCTCATCAGAGAGTTCACAGCCTATCATGAAGCTATGGCCCACAGCAACCCTGTCAAATACGTACCGAAAAGGTCCCTAGCGAAGAAAGGTTTGGGCGAGCGGGTACTCGAATTCTTGACCTGGAAGGTGAGTCACCATCACCTATATGAGATCATCGCGAAGCGCTGATGTCTTGTATGCGTCAGGTCGAGAAGAGTATCGAGCTGAACAAGGAGAGAGGCAAGGAGGGCCCCATGTCCATGCGATCTCTCGACGTCTACAGGTGGGACATGAGGACGATCCTCGTCTACAGGGCTTCGCCCGCCTTCACACAGGAACAGTTGCACACTTACGACACCCTCGTCCGCCAACACATGGTCCTTCTGAAGGATACCTACGACATCCCGATCGGGACGTCTTTTGAACGCTTGCTTCTCGGCAAATCAGACCTTCGTCGCATGGTTGAATCGCTTATAGGGGGAGTTGCGATCACTCACAACGATGTACAGGACGCCACCCTACACCTGGTCCATTACTTCACCGCATGTCGACCAGGGTCGCTCCTGACGACGAAGGTCTACTCCTCCTTTCTTCCCTGGGAGAATATCGAACTGCGCCCGAAGTGGAAGGAAGATGGATCATTCTTTGGCATCGACACATCGATCAAGCTGACTACGTTCAAGGGGTACCAGCATGTCCGCGCCATTGCGGTTACATATTTGGTTCTCAGTATGAAACACATACAAAATCAAATATTCGACATCGGGTCGTTCTTACTAGTCCTCGCCCTTCATCGCGGGATTACCGACATCACGTTGGACGACCTCGAGAAGAACACAGGGAGGTGTCCCGCTGTGATTCCATGGAATCACAGGGCCAAGGACCCTGTGTTCCTCGCCAAAAAGTCTAGAAATAGGCTATCCTCTGGACCGTTGTCCGCTGCTGCCGCGCTGGTCGGTCTCAAAAGGCTTCTTGACAAGCTTGGCATCATCGAAAGCCCCACACAACGTATTACATTCTACGGATATCGCAAATATTCCCTTACGGTGAGCTTGGATTTCATTCATACAGAGATGTCCGGTCAGCCATGGCGATCGTATGCTTAATCCGCGTGACACTTTACCATCTTTCTACTCGACCCGCACTTGAATTTGGCAGATGTATTACAATACGCTCGGGCCCACCATCGCGAAAAAGCTGGCGGGACACAAGACCAACAGGCGGGTTGGGACTGAACTGCTTTAAGATATGACGGAATGACTGACTCATGGAGTGTTACAAACAGTACTACACTCGAGGATAGCTACCTCGCTGGTATCTCAGCTTATAACCTGGCAGCCGCGATGTTTGGGGACGAAGAGGGACAAGACGGAAGCATGCAGGAACAGATCTACGATCAAGCTTTCATGCGTGCCGGTGAACCGCTTACTACTGTCCCCTTGGGGGATGCTATCAAGATGGACCCCGAGTGCATGAAGCTCGCCACTACGATCGACATTCTCCGGTGAGCGTCGCCCTATCAATATAACCACTTGCTTCGCTGATGGCTGGCATCCGCTGCAGTTACTGCGAAGCATCCAACTCGGATGCGTGGAAGAAGCTTCCCGCCTACAAGAACCACGCCGACAAACCTCCGCTCGTGTAAGTGTATCCCGTCACCGACATCTCTTTATTGAAGAGCTCACGCCTCTTCGCCTCCCCTCCATCCAAGTGTACTCCTTTACAACGCCAAGAAGGAACTGAGGAAAAGGGTAGAAAGGATGCGTCGAAGTACCAAAAAGGAAGTCTCGGCCGAGACCGACAAGATACTCCTCAAACGTTCCTATATTGAGAAGGTCAGTGTTCTGCAACCAGTTCTTCCGACGTCAATGCCTCCCTTACACCCTCCTTGTTCTTCCATCGTCATTTGCCTGCCTTGAACCTTCCATGCCCGCTGCGTCGATCAGGCCGCCCATTTCGACAAGGCCGACAAAGCTTCGACCCTTCCCCAAGCTATGGCTGCAGGTAGGTACACGCTCAGACGGTACGAGTAGAAGTAACTGACGCAGCGTTCGGCGTTGAATAGCCTTTGACGACATCGAGAAAGACCAGGCTGCCATCCTGCTACAACATTCGGAGGATGTATCGGTGGAAATTGATGTACAAGAGACCCTCGACGACGAATTGGACGACACCGACATTGATCTGGATGTGGTGGAGAACTTAGCGGCCGTCAACGCAGATGAGCAGGACGAGGATGAGGACGAAGTCGAAGTCGAATTTCAGCGTGATGAGGACGATGATGAGGACGATGATGAGGACGATGATGAGGACGAAGATGAGGACGAACATGACCAGTCTCAACACGAACCTGTCGCAGCTACGGCCTCGAAGACTTCGACCTCAGGCCCTTCGACCTCGAACGTCGAGAGATTTGGCGGTCTAGCTGGTCCTGAAGCTGATCCCGAAGCTGATCCCGAGGCCGATCCCGAAGCTGATCCCGAAGCTGATCCCGAAGCTGATCCCGAAGCTGCTGGCAAAGCTGCTCCTACCGTCGCGACTACTCGTATCGGAATGATCAAGTATCTGTTGCACCGATGTAGCGCTGAGCCCGGTGGACTCCTCTGCGAGAAATGCGTCGCCGATCCCACCTGCAGTAAGGAAGAGAAGAACAAGCTTTGGGACGGTGGGTCCGCGTATAACCACAGGAAGTCCGAGTTCCACACATCCCTGAAACTCAAATGGAGACGATTTTTGAGGTACGTGCCGTGCCTTGTTTGAACCACTGTTCGTCGACATATGCCCATAGTCTTGGACCTGACCTGTTTCCCGTCCTCCCGATCCACCCGTCCCGCCTTCCCACCGCTCTCACAGGCAAACCACGGGAAAAGAATGGGTACGGGAACCCTAGAGCGTTCACATCGCGTCTTCATCGTTGACGGTTTCCTTGAGCTCGCTATCTCCTTAGGTACGACTCACCAAGAATCATCAAGATTGCCCGTGGTGCGAGGACTACGTGGCCAAGCATCTACAAACGTTCGAACTGCACTGCGCGAAAAAGCACCTGGATGATATCCCTGAAGAGTATCGCCCGCATCTCACTGAGGTAGCCGGAAAAAAATCATCCAATTGTAAGCAGCGGGCATGATGATGGTGATATGATGTCGCATCCGGTCTTGATATTGCGTAATCGATACAGCCCGTAAGGGGAAGCAGGCGGAGCCCCAAGAGCCATTCAAAGAGCCGTATCAGTACCTCGAAGAACTCGCCGACGTCGACAACGGTCTTTCGACTCGGGTTGAAGTGATTGACTGGGCGAACAAATTTGAGAATTGGTTCGATCAAGTCGCAGTCGGATCTGAAACTTATCATGAAGAGAGACGTGAGTGGCTAGTGGCTGTTCGGCATTTGCTCCTTAAAAGTCAGAACTGACTGGCGCATGTAATTGTCAGAATCGCCTACCTTGAGCGATTTCAGTGCTACTCTCAGTGACTTCGACGCGTAAAGGCGACTTCGAACTAGAAGCGACTTTGATGATTCATATGCAATCGCGGCTACGTGACCGATAGATATATTACGAAAGACATTCGCGACATAGACATGCAAGCGACTTTGATGATTCTTATACAATCGCGGCTACGTGACCGATAGATATATTACGAAAGACATTCGCGACATAGACATGCAAGCGACTTTGATGATTCTTATGCAATCTGAATATTTACGCCCTGGATAGGTCAAACTCGGTTAGCGGGATGTCTTACCGCACACGATCAGGGCGCCGACTCACATGACCTGAAAATATGTCACCGATAGATATATTACGAAAGACATTCGGTCTCGTTCGTTTCGTTCCCGTCCTTTTCGTTCCCGTCCTTTTCATTCCCGTCCTTTTCGTTCCCGTCCTTTTCGTTCCCGTCCTTTTCGTGGTGAGCGGCAAGGTATTGGCTGAGTAGTTGTGGACTAGATGAGAGCAGTTGTCGATGGAATTCGAGGGTTTCCTTTTTGAGCTTCGCGAGAACGATGTCGGCGTCGATTCGTCGTTCCATTAGGTCGAGACGCCGTTCTTCCAAGTCTAGCTCCCGGGCGCTTTTGGCAGCACCTGGAATAAGCGCTACCGGGGAGTCCAAGATCCTGTCGATCTGATCTGCCCTTCTCTGATCCTGCGCGACCCTCTTCTCCGCAGCCTCTAGCATCTTCTTGGTCAACACTGCCGTTGTCGGTGTCAGCATACGAGACACGACACCTGGCGGCGAGGGCAATGAGACTCGATTTGCGAAAGAAGACTCACCCAGATAACCACCAGCATACAATCGAGGAAGTGCTTTGGCAGGGATCGGTTTGCCCGGTTTGCCCATCTTGCCCAGTCCAGTCAACGCATTGATCATGTCGATAATACTCTATGGGGGAGTTACATCAGCAGGTGGCCTCCCCATTCGATGCTGCAGGCAGTACTTACCTGGTTCACCGCCGCCTCTGCCGTAACTCGCTGCTCGATCTCGGTATCATTATCGCCATCCTCATCAGCGTCATCCTGAAGCTCGAGCTCCTTGTCCTTCTTCTCTTTGGCCGCCTTGTCTTTCTTCTCTTTGGCCGCTTTGGCCGCCTCTTTCCTCTTCTCTTCGGCCGCCTTGTCCTTGTCTTCCGCCTCTTTCGCCGCGGCCTGCTGGTCCTCATCCGCCTCGCTCTCCTCAAATCCCCTGCTCGGCCCCGGCCTCGCCATTCCCCGTCCCCTTCCCCCCCTCCCTCTCGGCCTGCCTCGTCGCGATGTAGTTCCTCTGGTAGTATTCGAAGGCTCATCATCGTTAACGTCCTGGTCCTCGGCGAGGAACGGCCTTACGGTCGAACCTCTAGGTAGGGAAGCTAACTGGTCCGCAGCAGCGAAACCGTCGACAGGTCGATCTCGATCCCTCGAGGCGAAAGGAGCGTCATCCTCGTCCAGTTCGAGATCAATAGAGACGGCAGTCGCATCAGAGATCCTGTTACGATGTTGATTTTGTCGAGGTACCGGTCTGGGCGCGACAGATCCGACAGAGGTTGTTTGTTGATCATGTTTTTGATGTTTGCTTTTTCGGGGCGGAGTCGAGCCAGTAGCAGTAGTTTCGTAGTTCCTTTTGGTTGATTTGGTTGTAGACATCTTTTGTGATCTTGTGACGTGTGAATCTGATCAGTCGTCACGTGATCAGTTGTCACGCGATGCTGATTCGACCTCGTCATATTGTCTCAACTCACCCAAGGGCTCGATAGATCCGTTCGCCAACTAATCCTGAGGTTCGCAAAGGGCTATTTAGGCTAGAGACTAGGAGACTTGACGGAAACGGTGTATAGCTTTATATATCTTCCTCTGGCCTCCAGCCTCTCACCGCTGTCTGGACCATCGAGCATCGATGGTCCAATCACCCTTTTTGGATCGATCACCTAATGCGCACAGACTCTCATCTCGCTGCATTCTTTTCGCCCCTTTCCCCTTTCGATGAGCCATGTCACATTTCGCTTAGACGCTTATCTCTCGGGGCTGTGTTGTGACGTTATGTCCGGACGTACCTTGTTGCGACCGTGCACCCTGAGACATGCTGATCCACAGACGTCGGACCAAGGGGTAAACGAGACGCGATGAAACGCAACATTTCCGGGTTGAAAGAAGGTCACGAGCTGTAACTGGGCGGTGGGGTCGGGAGCCGCTTTGATGGCTGCACGAGCGACCCTTTGATAGTGCGCGATAGATACGGTCAGGCAAACAATCGAGTCTTGTACAAGACGCCATTCGTCATAGCCCAGTTGGCAGGAAGCCAGGGACGTGATGGTCAAACTGGTTCGATGGGACGATCTCCCTAGCTCTATATAGCTACCTCTCACCGTCGCCTAATTCGCCTAACCCGTCGATCGATCGCCCACTCATCCTTTTTGATCGATCACAGACCCGCACCTCGCTAACCGTCGAATGAGCCATGTCATATCTCGCTTAGATGGTTTGCTTCCCGAGGCTGTGCTGTGATCTCATGATCGGCAGATCCGGGGCACACGATGACGCTCCCTGTTGCCAATCTCCACCCGACGACATCCTGATCAAGACACGGGGTAAGTGAGACGCGATGAAACGTAACATTCGCGTATGGGCTAGCGCGGACGGCGGAAGCAAAACAGTGACGGCTATACGTTCATGCATTAGTTCAGTTTGTAATGCAACTGACGTTGAGCATGATGCTCGCTGTAGCTCAGTGGCAGAGCGAGGGACTGTAATTGTACGAGCGTTTGGCATCCCTCGGTCCTCTGTTCGATCCAGAGTAGCGAGAAATCTTTTTTTTCTTTTACGCTCAACGGCATCGTTGACGCTTCCTTTTGTCCGCTTGACTCCCTCTCGTTAACACCGCTTGGGCATCAACCTTGCCCGATCATAGACCGTCATTCGGAAGTCTCAGCCAGGCCTAACATCTGACACCATCCATCAGACAACTTCAAGCTGTTAAGGATGTCGGATGTCTTGGGAGCCGCTTCCCATGACACTTCCGCTGAGGCTGAGCCTGCTCTGGAACTGACCCCAATCAAAGTTGAACCCCCTACGCCTTTGCAAACCGCACAAGCTGTCTATTCAAACAATCTGATCATGTCTCTGGTCTACCGCTTTGTTATGGACCAAACAGACCTAGGTCGATGCTTGCTTGTCTTGGAAGAGGAATACGAGCCCGCTGAACGCATTCAGATTGGGCTCAGGAGAGCAATTACAGTCCCTCGCTCTACCAACTGAGCTATAGAGAGTCATATGTCCCCCACCAACCCTCTGTGACATCGATCTCATCAACAGGTAGTCCACCCAATCGATTCGTCTCCAATCAGCAAGCACCAACTCTTGTACAAGGTTCAGTGGTCACGTTACATCCCCTCGCCTACCAACTGAGCTATAGAGAGTCATATGTCCCCCACCAACCTTCTGTGACATCGATCTCATCAACAGGTAGTCCACCCAATCGATTCGTCTCCAATCAGCAAGCACCAACTCTTGTACAAGGCTCAGTGGTCACGTTACATCCCCTCGCCTACCAACTGAGCTATAGAGAGTCATATGTCCCCCACCAACCCTCTGTGACATCGATCTCATCAACAGGTAGTCCACCCAATCGATTCGTCTCCAATCAGCAAGCACCAACTCTTGTACAAGGTTCAGTGGTCACGTTACATCCCCTCGCCTACCAACTGAGCTATAGAGAGTCATATGTCCCCCACCAACCCTCTGTGACATCGATCTCATCAACAGGTAGTCCACCCAATCGATTCGTCTCCAATCAGCAAGCACCAACTCTATCTAAGAGGGACCCCAAAGGGGTCCCCCTGGCGCGCTGCGCGCGCTTCTTACACGGCCTGGCTCATATTTTCGGATCGAGTCCCTCCTTGTCAACCGGGGTACTGCGCTTCCTCTAGCCCACAATACCGACACGTCGGCTTTAGAATATGCATCGTACAACCACGTCGACAACGTCACCACTATATGGTTAATTCTCTCTTTCATCACGTTGTTGCCACAGTACGATCTCTCGTCGGTCTAGCCGCCCTACGCCCCAAGTCCTTCCACGACTTCAGCGCGATGATCCGCTCCAGATGGAACCGCTCGTCGGCTTCGCTCTGTTGTTGCTGCCATGAGTAGTCTAGAAGTCAGCACCGCCGCAAGCATGACCCGGACAAGCACGCCCAACCCACTTTAAGCCTGTCGATGGTCTTTTCCAGCTCTTGTATCCGCTTGCCATCTGCCGGAACGGAACCCGCCGCCGTCCCGCCATGTCTCTCCTCTTGCTCCTTGAGCAAGTCCTTGGCGGCCATCAGCTTTTGGTCCAGCGCCTTGACCTGTTCCCTGAGCAGGACGTTGTCCTCCTTGACCCGAAGGAGTTGCGTCAACTGTTGATCCGTCAAGCCGTCGTCCGCGTGCAGGGATCCATTCTGGTCGAGGGATATTGCCGCGACGTTTACCCTGCGGGCACGGCCCAAGTATCAGTCAAAGATCTCACCGGGACACCTTGCACGACCGACTGCTCGAGACTCACTCGGAATCATCCAACGACACGTCGCCCTTCAGCCCCTCGACATCGCCCAACGTTCCACCCGGTACCGGCGCGCGTGCACCCAGGTCATGCTCCAGCTCCTGCACCCTCTGCCGAAGCTCCTCGATCTCGTCCTCGCGTTGCCGTAGATCCCATCTGAGCTGCTGATCTTCCAGCTCGGATTTCGATCGATCAGAAGGTCCGGAATGTAATTCATCCAGCTCGTTGTCGTTCCCAGTCGAGTCGACCGGCCCGACCCTGACCCCTCTGGAAGAACTGCTTAGCTCCTTGTAGTTGTCCTCCAACAACGCGTTCGTCTCTGTCAACTCGTTGTTCTGCGCCTCTAGCGTCTATCACACACGAGTCGAGCAGAACGGACCTCATCAGCCTTGTCTTCGAAACCTCTCGTTCAGATCAAATCCGGACCCACCTGTATTCGATCTCGTAGATCCGGAACTTCTTCCAACCGCTTCTTCATCTTTTCCAAGGTCGCCTCGCTCTTCTTGAGGTTATCCGAAGCGTGCTTCTGGACTTCAATCTCGTCACGCAAGGAATCCATATCATGCGTTTCTTTCTCCAGTATTGCGATCTGTAACCGGAGCCAAAGCGTTGCGCGTTTAGAACCTCGCGATGACCAGCACTATCGCCCTCGTGCCACACTCACCCTCTGAACGTGCTGTGCGATCGTCCTTTGACCTTGTGCGACCACCTCTTCGAGCCGCGCTACCTCGTCCGCCCGCTCATTGGATTCCTGCTTCAATCGTTCGATTTCGAGGTTCTTCATCCTCTCCATCGGGCTAGCAGGCGTGTCTGCCGACGATTTCCCACCCAGAGGCTTTTTCCGGATAGGCGTGACGGGAAGATCGGAAGGAGATGAAGAGGGGTTCGGGTCTGTGTCATCGCCGTCGTCGGAACCGCGAGCCGGGGTGGACATCCGCGATCCATTGACGCCTAGTCTCGCTCGAGCTGGGGTGCCTATTGTGATCTGCCGCCAGAATGCGAGTATTAGCTCTCTCAGCAGTCGCGCCCAATGCGTTCCACGGGGATTCATGCTCCACCTTTGGTTTCGAACCAGACGCAGCCGCAGTAGCTTGCTCTTCTGCCTGAATTCGCAAGTCCTCCACCTGCTTGACCAATTCTTCCCTCTCCGAACTCCTCTCTCTGCGTTCCATCTGCAAGTTATACAACATTTCCGCCCTATCGACAGACCAGGCGGAGTGCCCATGTTAGCCGATGACGTAGATATCAGCCACAAGCTGGTGACTGACTGTATATCGACTTCATCCTTGGCTTCCGATTCCTCCGACAAGGCCATACTCGTCAGAGCCTGCACAACGTTATGTTAAATCCAGAAAAGAACGTCATTCAGCAATTACAAAGGCTCACACGCATACCTCATCCTCGACTGACCGACTCGATGATCTCCTTCAACACCCTCTGATCGTCCACTCCTAGCTCGGTGATGACCCCGATTACACCGGCATTCTTCTTGCTCCATACGGCTTGGACCAGGAGTACGACCTTGCACAGACCCAGCAGCTCTGCCTGCCATGATGATTGTGTGGACGAGGTCGAGCCTGCTGAGGATGAGCTGGCGATGATGGAGACATCTGGGGGAGGAAGGTACGCAGCGAGCGAGCAAGAGGGACAGGTGAGGAGGTCGTGGTAGATTCGCTTGAGATAGCGTTGTCGAGCCGCTGGTTCGGCTAGCTCGGATTCGTCGATAGGAGGTGGGAAGTGTTCAGGCTCTCTGCAAGGATTCGAAAAGTTTGGGGGCCATCGATGTCAATTGCAATTCCAGCTTGTGAATACGATAAGAAACATCGAACTTGCTCATGATTCAGTGCCTCGGCGATGATCCGTCCATTCCGCAAGCTCTCAAAGGTAACGGGTCGACCGATGACCGTGGTAAAGTATGCGACAAAGGCTTGCTCGGCCGAATCCGTACTGTCGTCTTGCATGTTGGAATATGTCGTGGTATTGCTGGGTTGTCACGTTGTCAAGAGCTGCAAGATCGTTCACGACGTTCTGGGGAGATGCTTGGTTCGGATCATCCCGAGCTCAAGGTTGTTGCTCTGGACCGGGGGTTGTGTACTCGTCACCCCACGTGACACACGCACGCGGACATCAAATAAACGAAACAATGTCCGCCAACGGTATCTGAGTCAGCCTGGCTAGACCTGGATCGGTATAGTCACTCATCAGTAGTGAAGTAGTATTCATGACTGTTGCTTGCTTCTCGCACTGTTCGTCTTCCAAGTTGTCGAACACCATCACATCACACCATGTCTGTACCCTCTCCTCTGATGACTCTCTCGCAAATCCAGGCCGACCTGGCCGTGCTCGCCCGGGACCGAACGCTGCTGGACCCGTTCTTGCAACTTCAAACCACCGACTCGTCCGTATCGACATCGACCTTGCCTACAAGTCAGGACAAGAAGATCGACCCGATCGTCTCCCCCGCAGGTCCTGCCGAGTCTCTTGACTACGCGCAAGGTTTCGTACAGGCGACTAGGAAGGGCGTCTTGGAGATCTCCGAGGGGAGCGCTGTAGGGGAGATGGGAGGACGGTTAGAGCGGGTCAGGGGAGAGTTGGAAGGCCTAGGAGCCGGGCTACAGGGGCATTAGCGGAGAGATGGAAGAGATCAGAGGTGAACGGACCGGGTCTAGGATCGTAGGGGCAAAAGGTACATAGGGGAGCGGACGACAAAGGGGGCGGGTAGCGGTTCCGGTCGCATCGGCACAAGTCTTGGGTGGACAACGTCTCGCAAACACGGATCTCAGCTATCGGTCGACAGATAACCCACACCCCGTTTTTCCTCGACAAAGCTCACAATCAGCAATCAGGCTCTACATCGTTGTACACCACTTTACAAATATACCAGAATCGATCGGATCGCACCCGAATTGCTGCCGACCAGTTATCATAGAGATAAATCGCAAACTCGCTCCAACCCAAAGTCACACTACTGAAGTGGAGGACACCGGCTCGAACGGTTGCGCGCATTTGACGGCCACCATGTCAGATCACCCTAGGCGTAACGAGTGACGCAAGATCCAGAAAAAGGAAGAGACCCAAGGAGCTTCGTCTCAGCGAGGTTTCACGCGAACCCAACGCGATGTACACCTTGCGCAGAGGCTCTGATGGTGTATGCATTCGATGCACTCTATGCGTCACCTCAACCCCAACTCGCTCCGGTCTGATCGACGGGCTTCGCTCTGTAAAACACGGACCTGGGGTGACGAGTGCGATATCGGCCGACCGTTCAGATTGTCGTATAGAAATCAGAAATGGGTATATCCGATGATCGGATTCCCTCGTTTTCGGCGCGCGCGGCATACTTGTAATCCCGGATCGATGTCATCGCTTCCGGCTCACGGGTCAATAAATGATTGCTCAGATCGCACAACATCACCCACCTCGCTTTCAGTTTGCAAGAGGCAAGAGGTGACGGAATGCGAGTCAGTCGTGGTGATTCGTCTCTAGTAACCAGCTGCAAGACCAGGTGTTCCTGGTATGGGAAGTAGAGCACTTCGGTAGAGGCACGTTATGTTGAAAGCCAATGCCACGCGGGGAACTAGCATTTTGCGATTCCTCATATTCAAAATCAGCCTCCCGACTAGCAAACGGGCCTGAGCTCGGGATGCTTGGCCATCGTTTCAGATCTCCCCCCGCTTGGAATGTCATCATATGAATTGTCGTCTCCTTCTCTTCTGATTTCTAATTTCTAAAGCGGCTCGAGATCACATTCTCCAGTTTATCCACATCACACCACACTGTATCTGGCGAAAACCACTCGATTCGACCGTCCTCGTGACAAATTCGGGGACCGTCGATCGACAAACTCTCCCACCCAACTCCACCCAAGGGCGACGCAATCGCCTTTGACCATCCACCCTCTCGACCCTCGACTGCGCATCATTTCAATCATTCCTTCTCATCATAATCATCCAACATCTTCATACCCGGTACCCATCATAGTAACAACATTTGATTAATATCCTCCTGACCATCTCCGAGTAATCGACACGGCGACTCATCACAAACGCACGCACGCATTTCGACCCCTATTCATCGAGGATCGCTCTGCCCTCGAGGTCGAGCTGCAACACAACAAGCGGAGTAATCAGATCAAGATCCAGAAAACGACGTCGAAACACTGGGAGCGAGGTCGAAGCGACAGACATTCCAGGACAAATTGCTCGCCTGGGCACGTAGAACAACGGGTCTGACGCAATCTCCCCTTGTCGATCGAACGGACCGGAAAGCTATCACAGTCCGAGGTACATGATAATACGGATAACCTAGGACATACCAAGACAATTCCACCTGCACTACGTACGGATACCAGCTAGGGGTATATTACGACATGTCTGGCCTGAATCAGGCATCCCCGTCAGTCCGGCTACCAACCCCACCTACAGCCAATCGGCCCCGGACACAGGAAACGGGCTCGTTAGCCACGTCTTCTTCCTCTGAAGCCACGGTCCCGCCTCCAGCTCCGAGTCGACCTACCTGGGCTACGATCGCCGATGACGAGCTGGACGGCGACATTGAAGCTGAAGGCGACGCCGATATGGACTCGGGAACGAGGTCAAGATCGGAAGTAGACCAGGATCAGGAAGAAGGGATGAGGGGGATGAGCGACGAGATGACGGACGCTGTCGGGGGGTTGATGCAGATGGCAGGCGGTGGAACCGGACCAAGATTGGACGAGGCGGTGGAAAACGGGGAAGACGAACTGGGAGACGAGCAAGAGGAGGAAGAGGACGAGTTGACCGTCGATCCCGAGGTAGAGCCGGCAGGGAACGGGGGAAGAGGACGTGGCCGACGAGGAGGTGCGGCACAGGCTGGAGGGTCAGGTAGAGGCAGGCGAAAGACGGATGGGACGACCGGTCCGAAAAAGGCCGCCAGAAAGTCGGCTGTCAAACCGCTCGTAACTACCACTCCGGCTACCAGCTTGACCCCTGCAATCGTGGTCCCCGGCGAAGATGAACTCGCCGGCCCGAACCCGGTCGACTCGATGGAGGTAGACGAGATCGCTGACGAAGACGCCATGTCGACAATCACCGCTTCGACCGCCCTTGACGTCCCTGGCGCATCAGGATCGACATTGACGGCTACGGGCAAGAAACGGCGTGGAGGGAAAGGTGGACCTGGAACAGGGAGAGGCAGGAAGAAGATTGACCCTGACGCGACCAATGAAGAGGTCGAGGGTTCGGTACCGGGGACACCGGTCTCGACGAGTAAACCAGGTGGAAGGAAGAAGAAGGCTGTCCCTGCGCCGCCTTCGAATGCGGGGGATGGGATCGGACCGGGACCTGGAGGAGTCACCAAGAACCAGCCGCAGTACCATGTCATGAAAAAGGACGACGGCGAGATGTGTGGCAGGGCGGATATCCAGGTGAGTCATTCGCGCGGTCTGTTGCCGCCTTTGAGGACTATCACGACGGTTTCCTAACCTTTTCGAGATTCAGTTCGACTTCCTCGAGGCGGTTTTCACGGACTCGACAAAGGCATTCTCGGCCCCTCAGATCCCCTTTCATCCTCGACCGCTTCCACCAGAGACAAAGCTCACGTTTGGCGAACTCTACTGTTACACCCTCTCTGGATCGCCTCGAGCGACAAAATCCAGCAAAGAAGCGTTGTTGGGCTTGGAGCCGGGAACCTTGCCGGGAAAGAACAAGGCGGGGACGACGGCGGCACTAGCCGCAAAGAGGAAGAAGGAGGCCGCTTCGAACGGACAGGATCTTACCAAGGTCGAGCATGTATCAGGACTGGCCTCGGTTGCGGGAAGCGTCAATGGTGCGGCAGGGGACGAGGCTTCGCAAGCGGGTGGCGATGAGGGCGAAGAAGTCGAGAATTACGAGGGGCTCAAGGAAGGGTTGTCGAGAGTGTGCATGATGGTACGTCCTGTCTCATCTATGAAACCAAGGACGATGGTGTAAACTGACGCGCTGCGTCACTCAGATCAATGTTGGACGGATAAACACAACGTTTGCTTGTGAGTACGAGCTCAGATTCATCCGTTCGGCTTCGCGGCTAATATTTGTATCCTGGTTATGTACCAATCTTTCAGTCTATCCAGTGAGTGATTGGGACAAGGTCTCGCCGCACAAAGCGTATGCTAATCACATGGCAATTCATGTGTAGCTGATGCGAACCATGCTGCGCTCGTATCACTCGATCCCGTCACTCCAAAAGACGCAGGCAACCCGGAGAGCGCTGCAAGGTCAGCTCCGTTTGATTCGTTATTCAAAACATTTATTAACCGATGTGCCATCGCAGACGCACCCCGGCTCAAAATCATGCTCAAGGCTGTGTTACTCGAACATGAGGATAGCAAGACGGCTCCTACCGGGCTTAAAGAAATCTGGGAACGAGGCGAGACCGGGAGGAGTCCTGTCACCAGTATCTCTAATCTCCTGCTCGCCTTCGCCCTCCGACCAGAACCAGCGCACGAAAAGTTCTTCCGCGACTACCCCAATTACGTCAACATGTTGACGCTTTTCACGCCTTTACTCATCAAATCTTCCGAGCGAGCCAGGGCGTTCCTATATATCATTTACCACTATCTCGAGGCTCACGGATCGCCAAACCCATTCGCTGAAGAAGGTCAACCAGACAAGTTACCCACGCTCAACATTCTGTCGCAAGAAGAGTACGACGCCCTGGGTGAAAATATCGATACTCCCGAAGAGATCCAGTTCGGTATCGAGATGAAGGCGCAAAGGCTACAATGCGTCGCCGAGCTCGCTCAGCAGAAAGACGAGGAAGAGCGGGTCAAGGCGGACCCCGATCTCGCCGCTGCGGCTGATGCAGCATTGTCCCGCGAAAACACCATGTGGCCCAAGCCTAAAAAGGCAAGAGGACCGGCTGCAAACGGCAAGAAGAGGAAGAGGTTGAGCGATGGACGACCCGGTGATGCCAGCGACTTTCTCACGCACGAACAGCTCGACCGGGATCCCGAGCGACATGACACAATCAGTGAGTGAATTCTGTCATCGTGAATACGTGACTTGGTCTGAATCTCAATCCCGAATGTCTAGGCCACGACGGGTCGAGAATGACACGAGAATACTCTGATGTTCAAGAGACCAAATATGTTCCGCGGTATACGCCCTCCACGGACGACGACTGGGCCAGCGGTGTCGAGACTTTGGGTCTGGACAATGCCACTGTGCAGGAACTAATTAACCAGGTGAACAAGGAATCATACCACTGGAACACGGCGGGAATTCGTAAGCCAGAAGCGACCAAATTTGTTGAGCGTGTCGTCACTCAATCGTGCCCGCATCGCGTTTCCTAGCCCCACAAACACGAGGATCGTTCACCTATACTTCACCTGAGCGTGAGTCAACTCCATCTCACACGCTTCGCTACACCGCTGACCCTACCCTGAGCAGACCATCATTATACGCCTTCGCGGCATATGTCGATTGAAATACCGGCACCACCTCTTGCATACGCAGAGACACATCGAACACCTCCACCTCAGCAACAGCCTCCCAAAACGCACTCTTTGTCTTCGCTACTCAATTAGTCATCGCCCAGCTTGAGCAAGCAGAGAAACGTTGTATTACAGAGCCACTCCATCATCACATCGCATTATCGTAAGCAAAGGGAAGAAGTGAACCGGGATCACGTGACCAGTCGGTTGAGCGACGAGTGATTGTGACGAATATGCCTCGGGAACGTCTGAATGCCCTTAGTTTATTGAATTTATCTTAGTATCGTCATACGAATCTACTTGTGCAAGAATTGATACCTCGAGCTTGATAGACTTGACCTGAAGACCGACAACCAGAACAAAGCGCCATGCAGCAAACGTTTGCCTTTTATCCCATGTTCTCGGCCGCTGTCCGACGTCAAGTGCCAGGCTCGAGCCGAACATCAGCAAGGTCTGAATCTATCATCCTGGCTGCCCGCCGATCTTTCGCTTCAAAGGGTCAGCAGGAGCCACCGTTCTCGGGCTCTTCTGAAGCCGCGTCCGACTTTCGGAACCGTCTGGAGAGCGAAGCGAAAGCCGCGCCAGGAGCCAATGCCAAGTTTGGACCAGAGAGGTTAGGGCCGTTCCCTATGGGAGGGGGTCGTGTGCGGGCGAAGAAGTGGGCTCCATGGAAGGATCTTGACATCGGCGGAAAAAGTGAGTCAGAGTTCCGTGTATGTAGTATAATTTTACTTACCCTTGAGCTCTACGATCAGTCGTTCGGACGACCGCTCAGACTGGCAATCTCACAGTCAGCATCTTCGGCTCGAGTACGATCTTTGAGATGGATGATGTAATAATCCTATCTTTCCCAGGTGGTTGTCTTCGGAGGAGCCCTCTTCGTATTGCTAGCCTACTCGCTCAGTACCGAGCTGTTCTCGCGAAATAGCCCCACAGTACTGCTCAACGAAGCCATAGATCTGATCGAGGATAGCGAGATAGTATGTTCGCCTCAGCTTGTCATCATGACGCCGGGCTCGATGAGCTGACACCTATCTTCCAGATGGACCTCCATCTCCTCCGACCATACTCCTTCACACACCTTCCTTCCGCCTCGTCGTCGCGAAGATCGTCACCGGTCCAGAGCCAGGTCGTTCGCAACCCTGAGACGGGCAACGAACACCTGGTCATGCGATTCTGGGTGCATGGCAGAGGGATGGATGAGAAGGACACGACGATGGGATGGATCAAGGCTCGATGGAGAGAGGGCAAAGTTTGGGTCAAGCAGGCCGTCAGGGATATGGGCGGTGAACCGGTAGACGAGCAGCCCGACGTGGAAAAGGTCACCGAGCAAGCGGTCGTAAAGAAGGAGGAACAAGGATGGTTGTCTGCCATTTTCGGTGCCCTTCGACCGTCTTTGCCCAAGCAGAACAACCTCTCGACGCCTAAGAAGAACCTACCTCCTCCAGGTACGTTTACCAGCGGAGAAGGTCGGGTCGACTTTTATCGAGACCCGGACAGCGGGACGTACAAGATGTTGACCTTAACGGTAGACGTACCCGGCACAAGAAAAGCCAATCAACGAGCGGTACTCTACTGGTCAGGATCAACGGAAGTGGCTAAGGAGAGCATATTGGAGGGAAAGAGCTATCGCATTACGTTCTAAGCAGAAGGGATGCCATCATGTGGCGTCTATGTTATAAGTGTACTCGTATCTACAAAAGACATAATCGGGTCGAGTGTCCGTGATCGCGTGTTACACAAGAAGCGATACATGCGAAGTGACAGGCGGGCGGTATACATTTGCGAAAACGATACAGCGTGAGCGATCTCGCCTTGTCCTCGAGTAGACACAGTCTCCGGAACAAGCAAAGGCGGGTGAAAAGAGAAAACGTTCAAACGTCTTGTATGGCTTGGGGCGAATTCGAAAGTGGCGAAAGGCAAAGGGCCGGCGGAGGAGAACGGTCGGTATTGGGACCCTGCCCGGACTTGTGAGTGATCTAGAAGTTCACCTTGTTGGCGCAGACGGTGGTTATCCGTTGAAAGTATCGATTGTCGACTTCGGTCAACTATTTCGCTCATTTCAAATGTCAGGATCGAAAGCGGTTATCAGGCGAGATCCGGTTGATGGCTAACCTCGGCGACGCAACTCTGATTCAGACCGGTGATGTCTTCAAACCCGTAGCCGTGCTCGAGCAGTATGGGTTGCATCACTTCGAAAGAGGCGGCAATTTGTTCCGGACTGAAGTGATCTGTTGGTTGCGATGATGCGCAATTTCAGTTTCATAGATCAAGGTGTTTATGACGCTATCCCACTTACCTGAAGCTACATGTGCGCCTCCCGTAGGTATTCCAATCTCTTCCACGATCATATCCGGTTGACTGCAAACACAGGCCTCCTCATCAACCGCTAAACTTCGGAAGAAGGGTCGAATCCGGCTTACAATACAGCACTATTTGCAACCAACATCCTCAATCGAGAGGGGACGTCTGGGTCGACTGCAAAACGAATCAGGTTGTGATCAGCGTCAAGTAGCTCGAAGATTTAAGATTGATCCCTGAAAGCCGACTCACTCCCTCGACCACGCAATGCTTCGCGGAGCGCCGTTTGCCATGTTCTTAGACAAGTCGCTGGTGTATATCCAGGTATGGCCGAATGCTACAAAAAACAAAGCAGGATTATGATAAGCTATCAATCCTGTCCCGATAGCCGATACTTTCAGCAGGACGAGAGACCAACGTAAAAGTGTTCCAGCTCGGTAACAACCAACAATCCACCAGGCCTCAATATCCTCGCACATCGTTCGACCAGTTGTAGGTAATTGGTGATTCCGGTCGAAAGGTTCCGGATGTGAACGACGTCGAAGGATCCCGAGGCGTATGGGAGCGGGTGAGAGACGTCTATTTGAATCAACAATGTAGCCGAGTACAATGTAGCCGAGTGAGGACATGCATAAGAGGTTCATGAATAGAGAGACGAAAAGACTGACCGAGAGCGGTAAAATCGACATTGTTGTGCGGTGTTCCTTCTTCAACACTTATTCCTACGTTGCCCAGGTCGATACTGTACTCCAGATGAGATGGAAAGTTTGTACGCAGGCACGGGCTCCTAACTCACTCTACTCCGATCACGTCTGCGTATCTGCGCGGAAGACACGAAACACGATCGAAACGGGATCAGAACCAGACTGCCGATACTCGAGCCGATCGGGCTCATACACGCCCACTCACTCTTCCTGGCCTCCGAGGTCGTAACAGAATATCCCCGTTCCACAGCCTAGATCCAGCACGCTGCTCCTCCTGCCCTCGGCATGAACTTTCCCTAAATGCTGCCTGATCGTACCCCACACGTTCGACCCCGTATGGGCCGACAAGTATTTCAGGGCGAAATGTAACGAGACTTGACTGTCTCGTTCGGAAACCGGATCAGGGCGCAAGGAAGACGTTGTCGAGGGCGGAGATGGAAAGTAGGCGTAATTCGATGGCATGGGTCGTTCAGGCCAGTTTGTGTAGGTGCAGGTGTGACAAGGTGGGAGTGGGAAAGGACAGACCGGACCACGACGGTGCGGAGGTGTATAGGCGATCGGAGAGAGTACGGCGGGAAAGGATTCGAAAGGATAAGGCGGTGGTGGTGATGAAGGGTGTGGTGGTGGTGGAGGATGAGGTGTATAGGTCGAGCCAGTTGTGGGAGGATCGATGGTGACCGTCAGTATAGGAACGTCGGGACGTCGAACATGAAGCAATGTCGAGCCGTTTGGCGTATGCACATTAAACGTGATTGTGTCCATCGTGGTACGTGGTAGGATGGTTGAGAGGAAAGTTCGAGAACATGTCAGCGATCGAGCATAAGACTACAGGTTGCTGAATTGCTGTAGAGAGATTCGCTGATCTGCTGATCGTTATTCGAAAATGCTGTGCAAATAGTCGACTTACGCATCGCAGACATCCATATCCTCCTCCTCTCTTGCTCTCGCTGCCTGTTCCTGAAAGACGGTGATGATGATGATGACGGGTGGCTATGCCCTTTTTCTCGCACGAAATCCTTCTCTCGCTTAGAGTTTCACCTCGATCAAAAAACGGGTCGTGGAATCCTGCCTGCGTGTGTGCGTTCGTACTCCTGTGATCACGTTACCTGTTGCTGATTTTCCCCTGTTTGATCGCTCGTTTCCCCTTAGCGGCTTGCAGTCCGTGCGTCGAGATAGCCGGTGATACAGTAAAAGAAACCTCCTTTCGTCCGCTGTCGATCGCGTTTCACCTTGTCTCACTTTAGTGCCCGGGTTTACACCGTTCGGGTTTTCGGGTCGGGTCAGTGGGAAGAGGTTCGGGCGAGTAGTATGACGTGTCCGTCATGGTAAAGCATGATGAAGGGAAGAAGGTTGCGAGGACGATCAGATGGTCTGCGATCTGCGACCTGTGCTCTTTTCAGTGATCAAACCGACTCACCTTGATCCGAGCTTCGATATCGATTTATCTATCCTGTGCCCGCAGTTAGCGGTCCTACGTATCTATATCTTTGGAAAGGTGCAAGTCGTCCTATCAGACCCTCCCTGCCACAAGAACCGCAAGTCGCTCTTACTATGTGCCCTTTAGGCTAAGCTTCTCGACAGGGGGATCGTCCTTTAAACTCTGACGACTCCCGGGATCGTGCAAAAGGGGTCCTTTGAGCGCTCCGGACAAGACGGGATCGAGGCGAGGCGGCCGGAAGTAGATCGATGATGATGTTCGGTCGTTCGGAGATTGGTTCCTGGAGACGGGATGGGTGGATCGAGATTCGGAATGAAGGGATGGGTAGGTAACCGGTCAAGAGAGGCACAAACGGACTTGCGAGAAGGAGGGGATCCTTTGGTGAGACTGGTGGTAGCGGTGGCGGTGGATTAGCTGTGGGTATTGGCTGACGGCAACGCTGGCGTTGATGGGTGGCGATTATGATCAGGTCGACGGGATAGGTGAATATATCCTGATACCGCTGATTATCAATCAAGACACGGGTGAAGGGATATTATCCGAGAAAGAGTAGTCTAGAAATGATCGAAGAAGGTGCGAGGACGATCCGTTGAAGGTGCCTTGTTCGCCCCTGGTCGATCCCTCCGGGACATTCTTGTATGGGCTCCTTATATATACGAACACGGCAGAAAACCCTCAGACTCTTGTTATTGTTGACGATCCCCTCGTGCTCCTTGATTACAGATCACATCAACACTACATGCCTGGATCCCAAACAGGGAAGAACGAGGTGGACCTCTTTTTGATCGAAACAAGAGAACCTTGGTGTAACAAGCTCAAGCTTCCCCGTCGATCAGGGAGAAGACGGGTAGAGGCGGCAGGGACGGCGGAGAACCGACAAGGTCGTGCATCTGTGACGCTGCGTCAGCGATCAAGGGGTTCGGGAAATCCACCTGTTCAGGAGCCGAGAGGTTGCACCAGGACGGGAAGTATGAGTATCACCGGGTTGATGTGTTCCATATACACGAGGCGATGCCGTCGAAACGTGAAAATAAGGGGATCGATCGGTTGCCCTTGTACTGGGAGTTGGAGATGACACGATGGTAACAGGTGGATCTCTCTTCAAGGGGTTCCGACGATCAGTCCTTCTCCCCGAAGTCGCTGAAACGCGGGAAGGTTTGGTCTCCGGTCTGCAGGTGGTTCTTCTGCTCTTTTCCTCCTTCTCAGGCTTGAATACCAGTGAGTGAATAAGGTTCGACGATCAGACGGGATGGGCGATCGGAGCCGAAGACGATGATTGAACAGGAGAGGAGACAGATCGGCCAAAGAGGACCTCACAGTAGATGACCAGATAGGTAGAGACAATGGGACGAGCGAGCGTCGTCTTGGTGTTCAGAAGCTCAGACCTTACCGGAATTCTATAGCTTTCAAGGCTCTGTGTGAATATCGACAGCGACCTGGTAGCCTTGTCGCTTGTCATGATGTAGGAGAATCTAGCAATCATGGCGTATTGACACAGACATCTGACAAAGAGTCAAAGGGCTGCATCAGAACGTCCGCTGGTGTACAACACCGCTCGTACGACCGATATCATGACTGTCGACTCGGCCGAGCTACGCAATCACGATTTTCTCCGATGGATCAATCCTTCCAGAACACGCTGATCCGGGTCGCACGCAACCGATTGACCCTCCTTTGATTTGATGAGCGAGACGAGTCCCGCGAGCGGCCCGGGTCAAAGGCTGCCAAGCCGTGGACTGGCACATTGGATTTGATGAGGCTGTGCTCGCCGACAGCGCAGCCGAATGGCGGTTGCGCGACTCCGCCTGATCATGTTCGATCGCTCATCAAGGGATAAATTGATCAACGTGAAACGGCTCGCCTGCGCGCGGAAGCAAAGTGGCGTTTCTTCGGCGCGACTCTTTGGCCGGGTCGTTCGAGTAGCATGCCTGACAGGGTTTAGGACGCAATACAGAGATGAATAACAACAACAATACCGATGCCATACTGCGCTCTAGATATTTACCACTATTCAACTCTATCAGGATGTTCGAAGCGGAACAAAACTCAACTTGCCAGACGTCCATTACTTGCACAACGCCTTTTCCTGGTTTGCACGTAGAGATTGAACGATAGTCTCCTATTGATGGATGCTTTCAGAACTGCTATAAGTCAGGATTCGATCTATTGGGGATGTGGATGGGCCGAAAGGCAATGCGGGCCCGGGTAAATGATTCCCAGGCGATCTTTTTGCGAGGTGAGGGAGAGTGAAGAGGGGCCGGTGTGTTCGAAGTGGCGGTCTGAATTTGCAGTCCGACAAGCTGTCGCTCGATATTGCGAAAGCCGTTTCCGAAGAAAAAGTGGTTATCGCGCCTGCCGAACTCGGAGATAGTGGGAATGGGAGACAGAGCCTCATCGATAGAAGTCCCTTTCCTATCGATAACGCCAGGGGACACTAAGGCTCAGCAGAAGGTATCCAGATTAGGAGGTGTGGGCGCGTTATTGGTGTTGCGGGATAGAAAGCGGACACAATCCTTTTGGCCAAGAATGTGTGGAGCTCGATTCTGGTGTTCGAAACAGACGAGGGTTTACCCTGGGACCGTGATGTATCTGCTCGTCGTGGTTGTAGAGATGTGTCATAGCTTTGTTACTACAACTCCTAACACGGTTATGATGAATTCTCAGCCTGACTTGCCGAGTTGCGTACCACGTTCGCTGATTCTAGCGGAGGCTGGGAAGCTTTTGCAGCTCTACCTGTCAAGTAGTATGATTAGCTGCTGTCAGCCCTTGTACCACCTTGATCTGAAACACGGTCAAGTCGTACAGGGAGGCCAGAGCTGATCAAAAGAAGAGGTCGCCTTCGCCCTCTCCCGTTCCCGAACTGAAGAGGCCTAAAGTCTGAGAGGTGAAGCCTGAGAGGTGCGTCATGATTGGAAGGTATCTTGTCCTTCGATCCTCTGAGGCCAAGACTGACTGCAGCTCAGGTCATCCGTTAGATCACGGATCTCAAGACCAATTTGAGTCAAGCCGAAGAGACCTATGCCGCTTTGAATGAGGTCGTCAAAAAGCAGCAGACTCAGATTGACGAGCAAAAAAATACAGAAGCACAAACAGAAAGTCGAGATCGACAGGCAAATTTCGATATTGATCTTTATTTTGGTCCGATTCGCTTACTTTTTGTCAAAAGTCTCGGCCGTCATGAATCTCTGAAGATTACGAATGGACGATTTATAGAGAATTTACCTGCAGGATCTATTTCTTGACGCTGTCCATGTATTCGAGAATGTCATGCTGATTGTTGAGCACATCCTACACAACCAAGAGCGCCGACTGCTCTCCCCAAGCAGCCTGGCGGCTAGCACTTGCCTGAGAATGATCCGAATTTATGACTGATCAGTCAGTCTTACAATCGGACGCCTCGCGACTCTCACAGCTTAGTGGATTCCTCGGTGAGCTTCAGTATGTCTCACTGAGCATGCTGAAACGACGCTGGATCACCTTCCTTAAAGCGATGACCAACGGGGCACGATTGTCATGAACACAAGATCCGGCGCCATTGCCCTAGAGATTTGCAGGGACTGGACGAAGCGACGGCTGAGTGTTCAAGCTGAAAGCCTTGCTTGATCGTTCCGGGAGTCCAGATCAGCAACAGCATCAGCCAAGTACACTTCAAACGGAGCATAGACGACCAAACCTCGCTGCAGAACGTATACCGATTCCATTATATTATACATCCGGATAATGTACCCATCCCGCTCGTATCCACACCTCTATCGCTGCTGCCGGCTCATACTCCTCGTTCTGGGAACCCGAGCCAGGTCGAGCCGAGCTAGCCCTCCTACATCTTGCCACGTAATCTCTACTTCTTGCCCTTCTTCTTCTTCTTCCCACCGCCCGTCTTTCCACCTGTACTCGCACCCGCTCCCGCCGTCTCCCCCGTTGCGTCCTTCATGACCACATCCCCCCCAGCCTCCCCGGCACCAACAGACTTCTCTCCCGTTCCTGCTGCCGAATCCACACCTGATGGTACTTTCGTTGTAGCTGTCGTTGTTGATGAAGCTGGGGCAGGGAGAGGTCGGGCGGACATGGAGAGGAGTAGACGGAGGTTGAGGGCTTCGAACCGGTTGAGGATGATGCTCGAACGGGTCTTGAATTTGAGGCACTGTATGTGGTAGATCCAGGTTCAATTCGAGTCAGTTTAAGGCTGTTCAGATCATATCAGGTAAACGGAGAGTAGAACAGGCGAGCTCACCTTGAAATCGTCAGTCACCTTGAGCACGAGCTCCCCATCCTTTGGTCTGAATTTGACGCAATACCGAGCCTGCCATACATCAGACGATAGATTTCTATCAGCTGACCTACTCGGTAAACTGTTGCACGAGTTCAAGGAAGCACGAGAACTTACTTTTGTAGGCGACTTTTTGTACAACTCGATAGCGGCCTGAAAGAGACATTATCCAACGCGGACAATTCAGTAAGATGCCTCATTTTAAAGGCTGTTAATTCCAGAGCTATGAAGCTTACCGTCTCAAAATCTTCCCACCGGGAGATGTATACCATCTTTCCTTTTCCGTGCTTTGCTCAGGTGTCCGAGTTGTGTGTGTGTGTGTGTTTGTTCGCTTCAGGGTCGGCCCAACTTTTGTAGCGACAGGACTTGTATGTCGATCCAAGGATGCCACCTGTTAGGGTCGAGAGGTTCTTTAGATCGTCGATGATATCCCGAGAGAGTCTATAGTGGTAATGTTGAGTGTATAGCATGTGTATATGTGTATAAGGTACTCTCGAAAAGATATCGATTTAAAGGTCAGGTCGTTCTGCCATGCACCCACCTCTCGTCCTCCAGCGGATCCGGACGCGTACCGTGACATGGCTTACCTAATACAGTATCATCGCACCGGCAGTAATTTTGGCTCACGTGGTTGATTTACTTCCGAACAAAGAGCGATCGCGATTGTCCGGTTGATGGGACGTGACGTTTGAAAGGGACAAAGGTAGAAGTCGATCCCCCATCATTCCTCGGTCAGGTCGTCCAATCATATCGCTCGCTCTCGAAACATAACAGAGTCCTGCAGGACAGATAGACCATCAAATCCACTCGGAGCCCGAATCGCTACCGAGAAATGCTGACACCAGCTCGTCGGATTGGGTGGACGGTGAAACGTTGAGACGAGGGGACTCGTTGGATCCTTGGGCAAAAGCGTATCTCTTGATCCCGTGTGGTCCGTCCGTTTGATCAAGGGGTACCCATCTGAAACACCAAGCTCCGGCGTATCAGGAAAGCAGTGCTGGTAGTGAGGAATACCGGCCACCGGCCCGCCAGCCCAAGCTGAAACGCTCTCACAAGCGAACGAAGGGTAATCGAATCAGTCCTTCCACCGACGACATCTCCCAGCCTTCAGCTTCCAGCTTCCCTCTTGACTGCACCAGAGGCAGCGAGTGGAGGCTTCACACGAGGAGACGGGAAGAAAGCTACTCTTGTTTTAGAGTTTGCTGGTCGCGTCCTCGATCATTCTTTCGGGCTCATCGTCACGATCGTCATCCGGCATCTCCTCTCGTTCCATCCCCTTGCTTCCTTTGCCATTCCTTTGGATCTCGGCACCGGCTCTAGGCTCTTGATCCTCTCTCTCTCTTCGGTACGGCGGGCGGACCGCTCTCTCGGCAAGGCAGCAAAACGACCTCCTGTTCACCTCGTGGTTCCGGGTGACGAGCGACCACACCACTTTAATCACGAGAGGGAGGAGGAAAACTTTAGGCTTAGGTCACTGCCCCGATCAGTCTCCCTCTCTGGCTTCTCATCCATCAGTCCCGATCACTGATCACTTGCTGTCTCTCGGATCTCTCGTCGTCTTCCTGGTCGAAACGTGGACGAGGCCAGCGAAGTAAAGAGGACAGCCGTAACTATATAGTCACGACCCCCGATCGACCGTAAGAGCCTAGAGGAGAATGGATATCGCCAAAGAGATCTTCCACTACAACAAGAGGTGAGCAACGCGATCGACAAGATACAGCCGATCTCGATCTAGCCTCGCCATTCGATCGTCGGAGATTTCTGCCTACCTCTCTTGTCCATCGGGATACCCCTTCACTCCATATTATCTTCGCTCTTTTCACCTTCTTCTCCGGCTGTCGACGTCGACCCCTCCCCGACTTCGACTGCTCATCAAAAGAGCAGAAACGCTGACACCTTCGATATCCCCTCTATACGAAACCTCTGCTTGGTCGCCTGATAATCTACTGGACCTTGACATAATCCTAATACATTACTACTGCCATCATAAAAAACCGCGACGATGCCCTCCTCGATCGCTACGTTCGGACGCAACCTCTCGAACCCGCTGGCCACCCGAACCAGGTCGAGCACCTCGGCCCGGAACGGCGGCGATTCTCAGTCCCGGTCAGAAAAGAACGGAGAGGAAGACTTTTTCAAGTTCAAAGAAAGCAAGAAGGACAAGGAGAGCAAACGAGACAAGGAAAAGGACAAGGGCAAGGACAAGTCCGATGGCAAGATCACGAGCAAGGGAGGGTCTTCGGACAGGATCCCGATACTAGGTCGAGTATCGACCAACAACATTCCGACGAGTTCAGGAATGGGAATAGGGATGGGCATGAACACGCCCACAAGCGGGATCCCAAACATCCTTATGCCGGACGGTCGGATCGCTAGCGCTGCGGCGAGCCCAATCACACCTGGTGATTCGCCTAGCAACAACAATAATAACAACAACTTGAACGCTCCAGGAGGCCAGGGTGGAGCTCATAGAAAGACGAGTACGGACAGTTTCGGGAGTGGAGGGTTGGGGGTGATGAACATCGACAGGCTGACGGGGGAGCAAAAGGCCGTTGGCGCCTTGGTAAACAAGTTGCTGGTCAAGGTGGGTCTCTGTGCAGGCCGTGTTCCATGATATCTGGCGAAACTTTGGCTGATCACCGAGAGGGGGCGGTATATAGTTACCAATGTCCTCTGGAAGGTCTTTGAGCAGCCTCGACTCTGATCCCATCGTACAAGAGACGGTGCGCGGTTTGGAAAAGCTCGCGGAGACTCGTTTATCGGTCGTAGCCCACGCGCTGACCGGGGTGCTCGACGGGCTGGCCAAGGTAGGTGGATGGGATTTGTGGTCGCGGAAAGCACGGCATGGACTTACATCTCGACCTGACGGCGATGCAATATAGCAAACGTGGAACGTCTCGAGCGCAAATCTACCTTTGAACTTGTTACAAACACAATTGTTCCTCCTTCGCACGCTTTCGTCATGTATGGACTCGTATTGGCGTCATCATCACCAACTCGGTCTCCGCACAAGCCCTCCAGAATTGGATCCGAACGAGGAGGGGTTTCAGAAACCCTGGGCCAACCCGCCGGGAATCGAAGAACCACTGGCCAAATTCATCCTCTCGGTCATGATTCTCCTCATGCGGATGACGACGTACGAGGTCTCCAATGTCGTCGCCAGTTCACCGGGCTATACGGGTCCTCCTGCTGGGTCTTACATGACCAAGGGCGAGAGCAATCATCCTAGCGTTGGGAGGAGCATCATCCGATATCTGCACGCTGGTCATGGCGGAAGCGACATGGATCTCGGGTTCCGATACCGTGGACCACACGACATGCGCAACTTGGAGTCGGGACCTTCAACATTTGCCGGCGGCGAAACGGGTTCCATGATGAAGGATAACACGTCGATGATCCTCTCTGATCCGTCTTTTCAACGTGGTCACAAGCGCAACGTCTCGACCGACTCGACCGGGGCGTACAGTGTCGGCAACTCACCAGCTTCCGGGCTATTGTACGAAATCGCCCGAACCGTCGGCAAGGTTATCTACTTTCTATCTTCTGCCTCTTGGCCCGTCATCTTTGCCAGGATCAGGAATCGAGTCTTGTATCTCAGCGCGGCTGCAGAGGAGCATCCGGACGCGATCGAGTTGAGGTTGCTGGATTGGTGTAATTTGGATCAGGCGCGATTAGTCCTGCTTATGAGGGGTGAGTCGCAACGTATGTTGTGCTCGAGATAGGTTGCATATATTGACTGCGTTGGTCATCTCACACATAGAATTCACAACGCACTTTCTTCACATGAAGCGGTCCGCTCAGCCTGCGGTCGCTCACGCGATCGAGTCCATCATCATGAACTGGGTCGAGTCGCGGCCATCTGAATTTGTCAATCTCTTGAAGACCGGGAGACGGCTGGATGGGGGCGCCGAAGTCCTCTTTGACCAGGTCCACAATCTTGCGACATTACCTGAGAACACAAAGAGGCTACGCGCTTTCCGACCCGCAAAGATGGCATTGTTGATTGTCTGTCCAGACATCTTGTCCAAAGCTTTGCATGGGGAGACGACCGGTAGTACAATGACGAAAAAAGTGCGTCTTTGGTGCGTTTTACTTAGATGGAAACAAGAGGCCTAACTTTTACGCCCCTGCCTGCGTAGACGACCTACCTCGAGGTCCTCAGGAAAAACTTGCGGTCGAGCGTGGTCGAAGACGCGGTCTTGCAAGCATACATCAATGCCTGCCGAGCAGGATCAGTCATTCCCCTTTCTTTGACCGGAACGGGTCTACAAGAACTCGTCGGAGACATCATGAGGGAGCTCAAGGTGAGAGAGACTCCAAACGGTCGGATGCGGGCCGTTCAGCTGATCGAGTATTTTTCCAGGATGGTTTATACGGAAATGCGCAAATCTCGGAGCAACGGGAAGACAACCTCCTTATCGACGGATTTGCTGGCTTATATCTCGTCAAACCGCCTTTCTGCCAGAATGCCGTGCCTGCCTTGATCACGGACGCTTCAACTCCCAAGATCCGCAGAGTATTAGCGACGGCTTGCACCATTTTGGAGATGGAAGTAAGTGGCTTCGGCGAGGCAGCGTTCGCACAGCGGAGTGTCTGATGTACTTGCAATCGTTAGTCGAGCTGTAATCCGCAGCGGAAAAGCACACAGCAACTTCGCGAGATGGTAGCACCTACGTTACGGACGTGGCTGAAGAGCTCGGCTCGAACGCTTGTCAGCGCTCAAGGGTCATCGGATAACACGGTTATGCGAGGTTACATCGGCCGCCCAGAGACGCAATCTCACAGAGAGGCCACCGCCATTGTGCAAAGTATCTTGGCTCTCTACGCCATCGAGCCTACCTGGGCGATCGAAAAGGCGGCTCCAGTGCCACGACTTGGGAGATCCGGGCCCAATGGCCTATCTGGCGACTTGTCCTATGACCACCGGTTTGGGATCGACGTAAACGAGGACAGTCTGCCGGCGTTGATGGCAGTTTTGTCGTCGCTGAACCCCAAAGCGGTGTCCGACGGATACCGGGACGGCTTGGCTTCTGCATTAAGGGCGATCCAGACGCATCTCATCGCACTCGAGTACGATACGACCCTGAATATCGGCTTGAAGCGAACGATGAACCGGATGAAGTAAGCTGTCAGAAATACGTCGTCAGTATAACGCGCAAGAGACTGATCCTCTTTCGTTGCAATCAGTGCTGCTCTTTTAAGAGATGCTGCACTGCGTTGCATAGATATCATGCTCGCCTTCCCCGTCCGTTCAGGAATACAGGTAGCTGTTTCTGACGTAATCGCACAGGCAGAGTTATCCCTTCGCGTGTGGAAAGAGATTTCCTTGGTAAGTTGACCTGCTCTAGTCAATACAAAGCAAACCACTCAATGCTACGTACTCCGACAGATTTGCGGACCATCGGCCAATATGGCCGAGGCGTTCAATGCATTGGCACTTGCAGACGTGACCTTGATTGCCTACCTCATCTCAAACGAACACGAGGAGGTAGAACGAACGCTTCGAGCCATAGTCTACCTCGGGGATCTGCGAAGCGAAGCGTTCCCGGATCTGGATAGGCTCAGCGGCATCATGGAACACGATATGATGCTCTGGTTCCAATTCATGGCTGATTTTTCGGAAGTCATCAAACAGGAGCGATTGAGCGAAGAGAGTGAGTCTTTGTAACCGCGCAAAAGTCCTTCTGAGCTCACAGCGCGCCGTCGTCAGTCCGGAGTGAACAGCAAAAGAGGATTCGATCGACCTTGCGGCTTCATACAGTTCAATGCAGTACAGCCCACGTGCTCTGGGACATACAATACTGCCGGTACGACCGACTGTCCAGCAACATCATCCAAGGGGCTTCTCCGACAGCAATCCACATCGGTTCCGAGGCGATACCGGATAGCATGTCATCAACCCCTTCCCATGCCCTCTTTCAGAACTTGACCTTATTCTTGGCCGCCTTCAGCGGGGCACCTCAATCGCAAGACAGTCCTAAGAGTCGCTTCGGTACGGAGCTGTCGACCCTTTTGCGCAAATGGGAAACAGCCCTGGACGCCGCCTCGCTACCAGTCTTCTTCGAGACTATTACGGATCTTACCGTCTCCGATTCGCCAGTCGTCCGATACACCAGTGTGCAGGTCGGATCAGAGGTCGCCATGCCATATCTTCGCTTGATGATCATGCAGCTGAGCAAGTAGGTACAGATCTGTCGATAATGCATGCCTGTCGATCGCAGCTGATATGCCACCCCAAGTCTGATGCAACATAGTATCAGTAACGGCATCGTTGAGCGGAATGACGCATTTGACATGTTTGTTGACAATTGTACGGCGATCTTGAAGGGGATACAAGAGCGACCGAGGGAACAGGCTTCGGACGCCTTGCGCAAGACGCCCGAACTACCTCGGCTAATCTTCATGCTCGCTCACTATGCCGACGAAATGTCTGGCGCGATCGCCGACCGATGTCGCTCGCGGATCGTCTCGCAACTGGCTGACGGGGTCGACTGTTCCACCTTCAACAACGTCTCCAAGGCGTCCCTTCTTCTCATCATAGAATCCTGGATGGAAGCACAAGTTACAGATGGCATCTCGGAACAGCGCAAACCGTATGCGTCACACGTGCGAGGCAAATCTGCGAACGACGGCGATCACCTCAAAGCTTTGGTCAGACTGAGCGATAGGTGTACATTCGATGCCGAGTCTGTTCGAGACAGTCGAATGACTCCGGCTCAACTCTTCGCCTCACACATGGACTTTTTCACACGACATGCTTTACGCGTCTCACAGGCCAACAGTGTAAGTTGTGCGAGCAAAGACTGTGGAACGCATTGCACTAATTGCCAGCTTCGCTCGGTTTCGCCGCAATCAGGTCGAGAGCACTCTTCAGCATGCACTGTTGAGGCAAACCATTTCAAATCTAATGGTCAACAACGCGGACTTTGCCATTCGAATCGTCTCGCCAAAGCTTCTGCTTCCTGAAGCCGACATCCGGACGCTCTATATTGCCGGGGCGGTTGATGTGCTCGAGCACAGTAACGTCGACCTCGTCCTGAATCCTGGCAAAACCGAGGGAGAAGAGACGAAGCCTTTCACAAAGGTGAGTTCCAACATCACTATAGCATAGTGTGCAGTGTCGCTCATGCAGAACTGAATCTATCCTGTTTCACATCAGCTTCTGCTGCAACGAGATGTGAGCGATTGCTTCCAAGTTGTTCTCAGAGTTACCCAGTCCTGACTATCATCTCTGTCCATATAGTTGCGACTGGTCAAAGCCCTCGTCCAGATCTGTTCGGTCAACGAATCGGACGTCCTGTCGATGGCGATCTTCAGGATCTGGGAGCGAGAAGGATCGCTTCTACTTCTGATAAAGGGGATGCTGACGGAAGAAGTGCGAATGACGGGTAAGTGATTTGGGCGAAAAGCTTTTGGGCTGGACAGCAACGCTGACATGTCCCTAAGCAGATTCCCAAGCGCAGCTCTTCCGAACCAATTCGGTGACTACCAGAATCGTCGCCTTCTACATCAGGACCGTCGCCTTCAACTATTTCCGGGGTCTATTGCACCCGCTGATGGATCGGCTGAGGTCGTCCGAACTTGACAGTTCCCCAGCAACGATCGGGGCGCTCTCCCAAATGGTGATCGACGACTTGATCAGGACCATGGACGTCCCGGCTCCTGTTCGTCAGGTATTGGGATTGGTTTCAGCTGCTGCAATGACGAAATTCCCCGAAGCGCGGTCTCAAGCCGTCGCCAGTTTCTTGATCCTGCGAGTATTATGCCCGGCTATCATCTCGCCAGAACGTCTAGACCTGCAAGTGCCGGTGGAACATCGGCGCACCCTGGTCCAGGTGTCCAAAGTGATCATCAACGTGGCGAACAATCAGTTCTTCGCAAGCAAGGAGATGCAACTTTCCAGCCTGAATGATCTGGTCGGCAAGAACGTCGTGCCGATTGCTCAAGCAATGACCGAACTTGGATCTCAAACTCCACTGCTCAATACACAATCCGGTCTCGATGAAGACGTTCATGTAACGAGATCGACGGACCCCCTCGCCATCGACGCCGACGAATCCTACCTCCGGTACTACATGACGAGAAACGAGACTAGACTGGCGCTCGCCAAAAACCCGAACGTGGAGAACTTCATCCCATTGATCGAGTTGCTGCGGAGGACTTCGGCAGCTTCTGGCAATCGGATCACGGCTTACGAAGAGTAGGTGTTATCGGGCTTCAAGTTTAACTCGTTGATGTACTGACTTATTGCCCGCAGACTGAGCCGTCGCCGCGGCGTTCGTCATGCCAAAGCCTCATCTTGGTTCTATGAAGGCACACCCAGTACTACAGTGGGTGTTCGTCGGCTGTGCCGCTTTGATACGTTACAGGCGCTCAATAGCAGTGTTTCCAGGGGTGCCGCCTTTTCTATTTCTGTGCTGGCGAAGAAGACATCGTTTACGATGAGGCGTTCCTGAAGCACGTGTTGAGGGTTAGTTGAACAGTTGAACCATCTAGTCAAGCAAAGTACAACATACTGAAGATTCGTCTCGACCACAGTCATTAGCTGATGTACACACCTGGGAGTTGGTCATCGATCTGACCGGTTTCCAAGATCAGCCCCCTGCCATGTTCGTGGAACGACTGTTCGCAGTTTGTCCTACTACCGTGCTCGAGGGTCTCAAAACGGTAGCTCTCTTTCAACCGAACTTTTCGAGCTTCCCTACTCTGAAGAGCATCTTCATCCTCTTGACCTGTTCCGGTAAGTGTTGGCTCTCGGAAGCACAGATCCGGGCATACGTTGATCAGACTGCATTTCCAGGTTTGATATCCGAAGCCAAAGTGGTGGCCGTCGCTTCTCCCAGTCAATTGATGACCCATATCCCTTACTCGCACCTAGACTTGCCCGCCACGTCTGGTGAGTCCAGATTCCAAAGTGAAATCAAATTTGCAGGCCTTTACTGAGTTTTCGTCGTTTAGTGGCTGTTTCCGAGATCCCTGCTCAGCATGTCTACTACGACATCTTCTTTGAAATCGAAGACGCTCGTCAAATCCCCATCTTGGGCTACTACAAGGACGGCTTTGTCGTGCTCCAGAGCCGTGTTAAACAGGAGCTGCTGGACGGCATGACGTCTGAGTTGACCGAGGTATATCGAATCGAGGATGTCAATGACCACGTTCTCAGCAAGATAAGTGGACCTGGTAAGCGTCATCTAGAGAGAGTACATGTCAATTCGATACACTGACGCCTACGTTCAAAACAGGTGCGAGCCCACTGCTAAAAGTAATCAAGGATGCTCGGCGAAACTTTTCCAAGACTTCTCGACCGCGCCGCCGCTTCAAGGCGCAGGAACCACAACGTCTGACCACCTCGGTGGTGGTCCTCTGTGCTGCTCTGTATTCGCTGATAAGCTCGGATGACGTTGATTGCCGAGTTGCCGCTCTCGGACTGTTGAGAGCAGCGAACGAATGCTTTGCTTTCGGGCTAAGTGCCCGCAGTCTTCGACTCGACGGTGAGTTGACATATTGCTGGCGATACTAGAAGACGGATAACCCAATTCCTTGGCCTAACAGATCCACCCGTTGACCACGTCCTCAGGATCGGGATCGAATTGGCGAAATACCTGCCGCACATGAGTGTCGAGATGGCTGAAGAGCTCATTCGCCTGCTCAGCCATGTACCCCCGGAGCATCGTACCGAATTTGTCACATTGACGTCTGCGTGGCTCGGATCCAGCATATCGAGGTCATTGACGGATGGTGAACTTCACGCGGAGCGTCTGAAAATGACCCGAACACTCACGAAGGCGCTTGTCAGCTTGATGGCACAAGATTCTGATGTGAGCCGCAGCGAGTGTTTTGACGTCGCCTTTCGTAGCTGATCTGCAACCTGTCTTTCCTTTCTAAGGACTTTTCTTGGGTTGACCCCCTCTTCCAACAACTGGGCGACAGGAGCCATCCAGATGTTCAGGAGATTGTGCTAGAGACCATGATCAGCCAAGCCGTCGAACTCGGTCGTAATTACACGGCTGTGGGCAAGGTCGCTCGTGCCCTTGACATCTGCAATGCAGACGGCTTGACGATTAGATTAGCAACCACTCTTCGCAAAGTAGGCTACGCTCCCGATCGTGACCCCGCATGTCGGTAGAAGCTCACCTCCCATTCTTTTGCAGGAAATCACTAGCACCAGCCATAATCCCGCCGCAACTTTGAACAACCACTCGAACTGGAAGAAGATCAGCTGTCTCGTCGAGATTCTGCGGGTCCGCCTTCTCAAGCCCTCCACACTTGCCGACATAGCAACTGCTGTCCCGGACATCGTCTTTACACTCCTTATGACGGCGGGGCTAGGAGCGCCCGAAGTACGCGTCACCGTACAAGGCTTGCTCAGTGCAATTGTCCGCGACATGGTGGCCATGTCGCCTCGAGACGACAACGACAAGAACAGGAAACGATTGACCTTTTTGGCGCAATTCCAAGGTCTCGCATTGCTCCAGAAATCAGACGGAACAGGTGGCAACACGAAGAAGCGCATGGAGATGCACATGGAAACGTTGCAGCGGGTGAAACAGTTCTGGACATTGGCGATAGAGGTGCTAGAATGGTGTGCACCCAGTCATGGTAAGTCTCGTCACGTATCGAGGTTGTGCGCCATTCGCTCACAATTTGTAACATTAGACGCTCTCAACCAATGGATGAGCCGTCTATCTGGACTGTTGTCCTCTACCTGTTTCCAGAGGAACGATGCCGTTCAACACCGGGCCCTTATCGCCTTTGGCGTTTTCTCCTCTGCCGTGTCGCCTGGCGAGATCGAGGACGATTTGCTGGTCAGTAGCAGGCTCCGGCTTATACTAGGATTCTGACACGCGTGCTGAGAAATTCCACTTCGCAGTACCAACTCATTGTTGCTGCGCAGAACGCCATTGCAATATCTGATTCAGAAGAGATCGTCGTCAGTCTGGTGAGATGCCTATCCTTGGTCGTCAATGGCGTCTCCCGTGACAGCCCATACGCAACCGGCGCGAACAGCTTGTGGTGGCTCGGTATCACATTGCTGCAAACCTCGAAGCAATCTTTCCGATTGGCTGCACTCGAGTTGTGTCAAGCCATCCTCGATCAGGCTTATCTCCGGAATGCCCGCAACCAGCATCGTACTTACGAGATGTTGTTCGAAAAGAGGACGACGGGATATTCTCATCTGGACTTGGCGACTGGGGTCAACTTTGATAACGAGACCAATTGGGGTTTCTCCACCGTGGCTCTGCTTTATCCTGGACTTCGGGATGACGTCTGCAAAGACCGCACTCACAAACTGCTGAGCGACCTGCTCAAGTTGACTCTTGCGGAAAGCCCGTCGTCTCCCCTGGTCACGGGGGCAGCTTTGCCCCTCTACGTGGCGCTATACACCGGTGCGCCCACGGAGGCCAGCCGACGAGCTCTATGGGCGGAGACACTTCATGTGCATGGGAGCAAGAACAAGACGATGCCTTCGCTTCTGTCGATGTTGGACATTCCGTGAGTGATGAGTAGTCGGCCGCATTGCTCGACTTCCGTGGCTGACTGTCAACATCTCTTGATAGCGACAACTCGACAGCTGTCCTGCTCGTTTCATTCTTGTTCGCGATGCTGAAAGCCTCGGAAAACAACGAGGATGAGAGAATGGTGCTGTCGGAAACACTGGCCGATGCCGCGAACCAGCTACCAGAGGTCGTACTGATGCTGTGAGTCTGACCGGACTGCAACCACTCCCTGCAACAAGAAAGCGTATGCTGAAAAGAACCAACTCGCTGTCAGGTTTGGCCATTGGCAACCGACCTTGCTCGCCCTGTTGAGCACCGAAAATGCCCGGATCTTGCGAGCCGTCACTAGCGTGCTCGCACTAGGTAGTCTCCGCCGAGACATCTACCACCACCAAGATGGCGTGAGGACCGCTTCCCGCTTGTCTGTGGACACCAATTCCGAAGGCGGAATGGAGGCGTTACGCGAGATGGGCATGATCAGCGTCGAGAATCTGTCGCTGTCAAGCGCAAGCTCTGAGAGGTAAGCTCGTCGTTGTCTGGCAGGACCACGGGCTCATGGCTCACGTCTGTGGATTGATTACTCTTTACCAGGACGATCGTCCTACGCACTTTGGCCGCGCAAGCTATAGGCCACTTGACTACATCTGAGCAGACTTGGTAACTTGCTCTGTAGGAGGGATTTTCACGAACGATAACGCTTATAATGACCACGAGGGACGACTGGATTCGTCGCATTGATTCTGTTGTATATCCCGCACTCACACACGACGAAGGTTAGGGTTGGTGTTCTATATTTTATATTGCATACTGTCATTGCGCTGCTGCTGGCGCATTTTCGAGCGATCCACCTCCACGTCCCGGTTGAACGACATTCCATCTTGTCCCCGCGACCTGGACCTGGATAGTCAATAAATGCTAGATTGTATCGACGACTCTTTTCGACAATCAAAGGCTCGACCATGTCTGGCTCGCCTTCTTATTTCTGCCCTCTGCCGCACCGCAGAGGTCCTTCCGCTTCGTCTTGGCCTCCATACCAGAAGCCGCATCTCCTGCATTCATATCGACATCTTCCTTCTAGAGACATTCAACACGATGCCCCACCGATAGCATACTATGCTCGCGCACCTATAGGATGCAATCTCAACAACGGATTCGAACAGAGAAAGGAAAGGGACCCTCGGCTGGTAGAGCATCTTGATGGGTTATGTGAAGGCTTGCTACGGTATGCGAGAAAAAAAGGGGGCCTGAAGAAGGGGGCGTTGATCACCTGGAGAGGCATGCTTACTAGGTTAGCCGACGAGAACCTGCATTACTGTCAATCTCTGCGCTACAGCTGACAGTTCTAACTACCTTAATCCTTCTCGATAGGCTGCTAGTCGCAGCCTACAATGATCGAGACAGCTGGGAGATGAATGCATTGTCTCTCGATGGAAACGTTTACCTAGAGGATTCCGTCACTTCCGAAGCCGTGGAACGCAAGTGAGTCGGCCTCATCAGCTCGACATTGACCTGCACAGATTGACAGATTCGATCACAGAATAGCCGAAGACAAAAGCTCGGCGATCTTTAGCTATTACGGTTACGCCTTTGAGTCCTACTCGACCGTCAAGGACACTGCATCAGGCGCTCGAACTCTGGCCTGGACTGAGGACATGGATGTCGATACGAATGAACAATGGTGCTGCATTGCCAAGTCAAAGATTGGGCACACGCGACTGTATTGTGGGGGAGAGGCAGATTGCGTCGAGGGTGAGTCAATCTGGCCGTTCCGTCTAGGTGAATCAATTGACCTACAACATTTCACTGCAGGGCAATGGCGAAACTCGTTAGCGGATTGTGTCGAGCTCAAGACCAATATGCTCATCAGAGACAGCAAAGGTCAGACGAATTTCGAGCGGTAGGTGCAGCGGATCATGGCATAATCGATCTTAACCGATCTGAAAAGCTGCGTCGCTATGTTACAGCAAGCTGATGAAGCACTGGGCACAATCGATGTTACTGGGGATCCCGGTAGGTCCTAGCGATCAAGACACGCACTACGTAGGCTCACAGATCGGGCTCGTAGCACGTTGAAGTAGGCTTTAGGGATAATCGTGGTATCGTACAACAAGTTCAAAGATTCGAGACGATGCGAATACCGAGAATGTCAGTATGCGATGATAAGAGCCATAATCTTTCAAGCTCTAATACGGTCGGTATCCTCAGGGTCAGGTCCAGCAATGAAGCAAATCCTCTTTGGACATCTCAACAATGCCTCGAAACCTTTGACGTGCTCGCCAATTTCATCGTCCAAACGATCCTGCCATCGGACCCGATTCCAGGCTGGAAGGCTGCCGACGCAGAATCGCGCTCACAACTGCCCGAGCCTATCATATGGCGAATCGGGTTCGAACCGAAGAAAGGGATCACCTTGAGCGTGGCAGAAGACGCATGGCGGGACGAGGAGGGCAGATGGGGATTCTTGCCGCTACCATATGTCCAAGAGTTAGTGGATGCTCCTTGAAGCGCATCAGTCTGGCAACATCCATACGGCCTTGCAGCAGACTATGCTAAGAGGGACGTATACTAGTAGGCGTCGTAGAAGGTGTCTCTGAGTAGCTGTGATGAGTAAACTTGGTCTATATTGATCTCATGATTAGCAACCGACTGTCGACCTTCTGCGGCACGTCGTCAGGTGGTCTACCTGTCCACAGGATTGGAAATATGGAAAGTAATCTGGCTTGCTTCGATGTACGCCAGGTCCTCCTCTTGATTCCATAGTAACCTAGAAGATCAGATGTAGACAGCAGCTGCCAGGCGCATGACCATCAGCGTTCTGTCAACAAATGACTGATAGAGCCCTCAATTCAGCAGAAAGGTTGATCTACGGTGTAAACGGAAGATTTCATTCGGCCAAGAGGCACATGGTACAAGCAGAATATGCTAAAGACAAAGAAACCACAAAGAGAAGATAGCCACCAATTCATTCATCCTGTCTCCATGCCAAACGCACTGTTGTGCAGGAGAAAAGACCCCATCCCACCCCATTTTTGTTCGTCATCCGGTCCGCCGCGATACCATCTCCTTCTCGAGCCGAATATGGTTCGCCAAGCCGCACCCACAGACGGTTCTATACGGCCTGACCTTCCGGCACTTTGCCCTCTGCCAACATGCGTTGCAACCTCTTGACCTCTTCGATACTTGATGCGCCCTTGATAGCCTCCCTCACCCTTGCCTTTTCGTCCTCCGTCATCGACCTCGCCGCAGCACCATTGGCGTTCTTGCTCGCACCGGTCGAGGATTGGGCGAGGACGGCGTTGGCTGCGGCGTTAGCAGCGTTCGTAGCCGCTTCCGAAGTGAGCGAGTGGGCGAGTTGGGAGGGTAGACCGGTTTCGGCGTCTTCAAATAGGGATTTTGCAGATACTCGTTCGGCATCCTTGATTCGCTTGTAGTCGAGCACTCGGAGGTTGGTCTTTCCGAGCTGCGTACAGTACAGAGGCACAAGACGCCTCCCAAGTCGTCAGTTGCCAATCTCATCGTCTGCTTTGCTGCGGACATCGCTCACCTTCCATATCAGCCATTCTCGGTAATGCTTTTCCGATCTAACAGGGTTCCCGATCAAAGACAAGTGTTCCAGCTTTTGACAGTTTGCCAGAGGAAGGAGGGCGGAGAGAGATGCGAGCGAGTTGGAGTTGAGAACTGTATGAACGGACACAGTGCGAGGGCGTCGCGTGAGCCTGGGTCATGAAGATGGCATGGGCCTAAGAATGGGAAAGGAAGACTGACTGAGCGTCTCTAGGTGTGGTACCTGTCAAACAGCGAATAACCGATCGAGTCAGCTACTTCCCGCTGAGATCTTCCTACGCAAAGCAGAGTTGGACTCACACTCGTAGCCAAGTTGGGTGCTATCGACGAGATGTTGTTCAACCCCACGTGAATTGCTCTTATACGAGGAGCTGTTTTGATGCGTTCGTCATATTCGAGCCGTAGGGGGTTCTTGGTCGTCAGCCTGTCGATCCATGAGGACCGGTGGTCAAGTCAACAGTAGGCTTACCGAGAGGAATATTTCCTAAGCTAATCAGCGCGTTATCGGTCAGGTTGAGGGTGTCGTATGTTCCGAGGTGGGAAGCGAGATTCTCGATCAGGGGGATTTGAAGGCCTGATTGATAGGTAGAGGATGTATTCCAGATTGTAATGGTCGATCGGTCGCATAAGAACGGGACACCAGGAAGTGATTTTGAAGCGTCAGCGGTCAAAGACGGACAGGCTGACGTATGTAGCCTTGAAGCTCACCTCGCAGCTCGAGCTCTCGTTCCTTCAAAGCGTTCAGATGCTATATCCCCGAATCACCCATTCACCGAATCAGAACCTGGTTCTATTCCCAAGCACCACCGAGATTCTTTGTACTAACCGTCTGGCTCTTGGCCATGACCTGGAGAAGACGACGTAGATACAGACAGGGAGGAGAGGTTCATCGTTGAGCTAACCGGTGTTTCGCGAGGGTGGGATGCACGAGGTCGGATATTCCGCTTTGTGACTGGACGCAGAGAGGGGCTGATGCTTACCTCGGGAGTTAACCTCATCTTGCAAGGGAGGAAGTGTGCGCTTGAGAATTTTATGTATAGGGTTCTGCGATAGAGTGATGGAGACGTTACGATGAACGATGTATCTTCAATCGATTGTGCGATCAACAAGGAGAAGGACGATGATGTCGAGAGGGTCGAGGTGGATGACACGTCATTTGTCTTTCTTGCGTGTCGATTATGGAATGAACCCCATATTTATTTGATAAGAGACACCCATATCGCGCACATCACCATCACTTCCCCGCTCATCAGATGGAGAGAGAGAGCGAGGAATGCGCTCATTATTGCCCAGCTTCAAGTGCTCTAAAGTAGAGTCATCGTTCCCGTCAAAGTAGTCATATCGTTCGCCCATTCCTCACTCGGTACGGAGTCTAGAAGATTCACCGCCAGCACGACGGCAGTCAACGTCACACAGCTCTCACGACCATCCCAAAAATAAACAAAAGAAATACACTATCCTTTGAAAGCTCCTTTCGACCTCTCAACGACATCCAGACATGACCGACATCGGGTCTTCAGCTTCTCAATTCGCAAGCAATACGACGGGGATGACTATGCGAGAACACAACGGAAACCCCAACGGAGGGGGTGCGTTTTCCGACTCGCACGAGTCCGGCATCACTCATCATTCGGACGAGAGAGACCGATCACCTTCCCCCGGTCCCGGAGGTTATGGAGGGTACCAACAGCAGCAAAATGGCAATGGGAACCACCAGCAGAACGTCTTTGGGGACTATGGGCAGCCTACCGCTGCAGGACCTCCTGCGGTCATGCTGGGCGGACATCATCAACAGGCGATCAATAACAACAACAACAACATGTCGGGCTCATCTTCGGGTTTGCAAGGCGCAGCGGGGATGGTCAGGAAGAAGCTCGGCAACTTTGTCGGGTTCGCCAACTTGCCAGATCAGGTACACAGGAGGAGTGTCAGGTGAGACGGCTGCAATGCAGGGGTGATGCTGAATTCTGACGAGACAGACAGCTGATATTGTCCTCGTTGCCGGCCCCTGCTATTTTGCCTTTGATTAGGCGTGGTTTCCAGTTCACCGCCATGGTAGTCGGTCAGTCGCCATTTTTACCCAAATATCGCTGTTTAGATCTCAAACCGCTCATATTTCGCACGCAACCTCTTTTTTTCCGTAATACAGGCGAATCCGGGTTGGGTAAATCCACCCTCATCAACACCTTGTTCGAGAACAAGCTGTTTGACCTGGAACAACGGTCCAGAAACGCGGCTCCTCCTCCAGGGACGGAGAGGGGAAGGACGGTCGGTATCGAGAGTCTCAGCTCGGGTGAGTCAGGGTGTTGAGCTGGACAAGAGAAGGGTTGAGCGCGGTAGCTGATCCCACTTGAGGTGGTGCAAAACAGATATCGAGGAGAATGGAGTCAAGTTGAGATTGACGGTAGTAGACACTCCGGGATATGGAGATTTCATCAACAACGACGATTCGTAAGTTGCGGGTGGTAAAGTAGCAAACCGTCTCCTCGCCCTACTGACTATACCACTCTTCGTCCATTCCGTCCGCAGCTGGAAACCTATCGTCGACAACATCGAGGCTCGGTTCGATGCTTATCTCGAACAGGAGAACCGGGTCAACCGGGCAAAGCTGATCGACAACAGGATTCACGCATGCATCTACTTTATCCAACCTACCGGTCATTCGTAAGTCGCCCTCCCAACATTTGGCTGAAGCGGGACGAGAAGAGGGACTGACAGGTCGTCCTGCAAATCTAGCTTGAAACCCCTCGATATCGAGTTTATGCGACGTCTGCATACCAAGGTCAACTTGATCCCCGTGATCGCCAAGGCCGACACGCTCACGGATGACGAGGTGACCGCTTTCAAGCGAAGGGTGCGTTGTTGCGGGTATCCAAGTTTACGGGATGAACCGATCCTTACGAACCTAAATCTTGGGTGGAGTGTAGATCTTGGACGATATTCATCACCATCAGATCCAGATTTTCCAGCCGCCTGTGTATGAGAACGAGGACGAGGAGACTATCGCAGAAAACGAGGAGATTCTGGTGCGTACCCGAACAGCAAAAGATCTCGAGCTCGTCCCTAAGCTGAACTTTGATTGTGTTGCAGAGTAAGGTCCCATTTGCTATCGTCGGCTCCGACACCGTTGTCTCAACTGCCGACGGTCGACACGTCCGAGGTCGTGCTTACCCCTGGGGAACGATCGAGGTCGACAATGAGGGTCACTGCGATTTCGTCAAGCTCCGCCAGATGTTGATTCACACCCATATGGAAGAGTTGAGGGAACACACCAACGATGTCTTGTATGAAGGCTACAGGAGTGAAAAGTTGATCGCTATGGGTGTCAACCAGGATTCGAGCGTCTTCAAGGAGATCAAGTGAGTGCTTCTGAGAATATGTAATCAGGTGGAGACGTTTTGCTGAAAGGCCCTCAATGGCGATATCTAGCCCGGCTGCCAAACAAGCGGAAGAGCGAAAGCTGCACGAGGTAAGCTTCGTGTCGACTCGTCATTACAGGCAACCTTGACCTCGAGCTGATCATCTCGATTCTCACACGCACAGGCCAAGCTTTCCAAGATGGAAGCCGAGATGAAGATGGTTTTCCAGCAAAAAGTCCAGGAAAAGGAGAGCAAGCTCAAGATTTCCGAAGAAGAGCTTTACGCGCGTCACAAGGAGATGAAGGACGCGTTGGACAAGCAGAGGATGGAGCTCGAGGACAAGAAGAGGAGGATCGAAAGCGGTCGACCGCCTACGCCCGACAAGTCTGGCACCGTAAGTTCGGATGGATGACACTCGCGTTAAGTAGAACGAATAGGCTGACGTGGCAAGTCGTTATCTTTCGGGCTGATAGAAAAAGAACCGATTTGGTATCGGCAAATGAGCGGGGAAGCGAACCTGTCCTTGTGGATCATTCCCTCGTTCCCGTCTCTTTTCGCTTCTCTCCATCTTGATGAAACAACGCTGGCTCGCTCGGTTTTACGATTCTGAATATACGTCAAGACGATCGGAGCGACCGGTCCCGGCCCAGGCGATTCTTCCGTCGGCTCGTCAACGAGTTCTTTGTTCGGATCGCTGGAAGGAACCCGGTACGGCTCTCGATCTGGTACGAAACTTTTTCTGCCTATTTTGGATTCTCGTGTGCGATTGTGACCCATTTGTGCGACTCTCATATTAACGCTTGTTGATGACATCTGAATGATACCTCTTGACTCGCCGTCGGCCTCGTCGTTTTGGTCGACTTGCGTCTTTGGGCCGGGTCCAAAGGATGTCGATGTAGTTTCTACGCGTGTTTCAGATTGATCGACGCGGATTCTGATCAAAATCGTCATCAGAGAGGCGTGAGGGGAGGAATGTATATAAAGAGCGGCAAGATGATGGATCGATGGATTCACATCGACATCGATTCGCCACCGACCCACCAAACTATTCAACAACCTCAACCTCGATATACTCTGCCTTCAACTTCCATCCGTTCAGGCACTTCTCCCATTTCCCAAACGACGTGTCTCAAGATGCCCTCCGTCGCCCATACCCCGATCAACCAAGGCCACCGCTCTCATCCTTATCCATCGAAACGTATTCCCCATCAGCTGTCGTCGCCCATGGGCCCCGCTGCCTCTACATGTGAAGCAGATCCCAAGAGGTATCACCGGAGCTGGTATGCAGCTCGACACGACGAAGATGCGGTGACGTTGATTTCGTAAGTAACAGCAGTCGGGTGATTCAGCGTCTTCGATCGATTACTGATTAAAGACGATATACAGATCGGGAAACCTCCATTTCGCGGTAGGTCAATGATGCTGTCCTGTAGTGGAGTTTAGGTGATTGATCAGAGTCCATGCGTTCAATATCGTTTTAGGTCCCGGAATACTACCTCCAGGCTCACAGGTAAGCGATCTCTGTTAGAACTTAAGAAGCGGGTAATGTCTAATACGTCATCTTGTTCTCAGCTCAACTCTCAGGGAACTTATCGGGACGCTTCCCAAAGGTCCGGCCGACACCAGGCTCATTGACTTACAAGCCTATCATCCTCAAGTCATCTCCCTCTTCCTAGATCTGACGACCAGTCTCAATGCAAACCGCTTGACCGAGATCAAAAGATCTGCTCAATACCTTGAGGTCAAAGCGTTCGCCGACCGGTTCGCCATTTCCGGCCTGGTTGATGGACTGAAAAAGATCAGGGATAAAGTCATGAAGACGGATCCGTTGGGCTTCATGCAGATCCTCGCCGACGAGGCCGTCGCTTCAGCTCAGACTGCCGATATCGAACGGGGCGTCACACAAATAGTCGAGACGATCGCGGCAAATCAGCCGTGCCCACCGAAGCAACGAGACGCTATTCGATCCAGGGCCTGGGCGGTGCTTTCCTTGGAACTCGCCGGAACGGGAGTAGGAACGGTCAAGCCCAAACGCCGGCAGACGCAGTCGAGTGCCTCTACCAGCGTTTCCGATACGATCGATACCCTTATTCGCGACGAAGCGAGAGCTCTCGCCGGAATAATCAAGACAACCTACAACGAGGACAATGCTTTTACCAAGGCCCGGCAACGCATGTACAAATCAGACGAAATGAGGGATACCATCTATGCACTACAGCATCAATTTTACATCACCAGCGAGAACCATTATCCGGCGCGTTGGTCGACTTTTCAAGAAAGCATCTACTGCACCGATACGATTGAATACGATAACCCGGCCCATGCGCTCCCTACTCAGGTCGCTCAGGCACTCGGTATGCCCTTCTACAGAGCGTTCACATTCAGCCTGAACGAGGCACTGATGCAGCAGAACTTCCGTTCCGGGTACAAGAGGGATCCTCTGGGTAAACCTCCCTTTCATGCCGAACAAATACAATCTCATGAGCGGATGGAACAAGACGTACAGCAAGGAAGCAGCCAGAATGAAGAGAGTCCTTTCGTCGTGCTTCCAGAGAACGCACTCGGACTAGCCTCGCAACCGGTCGTCCGACTTGGGAGTCCGATTCCGACTCAGTCGAACCTTCGCGACGGGACACCTCAGCCTTCGCGATCTCAGCAATTCGGCCCAATCCCGACTAGCCAAGGCTCCGCTCCTGCTTCGTACGTCTCGCCTCAACAACAGCACATTCATACGCAGTCTTCGAACGGTTCGCCGAGGTCGTTCAACCGTCAAGCGTTTACCGCTCCTCTGCCCGACCGCCCTTCGCAAAAGACCCCGCCATCCACCGGATCCTTCAAACCGCCTCCAAGCAGGATGTATCCTCCTGCTACAAAGGTAGTGAAGAAGCAATCGCAGATTCAACCCGCCGAACCCGAAGTCAAACAGGAACACGAGGGGGGCCTCGCCGTAAAGGACGAATTTGAGTACTCGGGTCAGGAGTTGTGGGAGGAGATTTGGACCAACATGAAAAGCCACTTGGAGACCGGTCAGTCAGGAGCGCGATTTGGAATTTAGCGCAATCGCATTGTGCTCACGCGAATTTCGTCATGTTTGCTGAATTTGCAGAACTCAATCCCATCTCTTCCGTCTGCGATTGGGATGATTTCGTCTTGGAGGAGATCGAGGAGACGTTTGAAGCGGATGATCAAGCTTCGGAACTGGATATGCAAGAGGATGGAGAGGTCTTTGACGGCAAGTCTCCTGTAGCGGGGCCCTGCAGTCCTTGTTAATACTAAATCGAGTCTTCTCATCAGCCTAAACGCTGCTGCAGGTCTCGATAGGGAAAGAACGAGCCCAGGATCAAGGACCTGGCCATGAGCATGAATACCATTATTGTCACCCCATTTCCCCCAGAAGCTAGCTGTCCGATACAGTCTGAAACAGAGTCGTACTTGTACAAAGTGTTGCGCATGTCATTAATCTCCGGTGGTCTTCATAGATAGCCGATCGCAACGCTCCACCCTCCATTCCGTCAGAGATGATCGTCGTTGTATTAAAAGCTCCGTCACACCATCGCCGCCTTGTCATCCACTCCCGGCCTCGTCGCCCTCCATTCTACCTCGCTATCCGCCTGATCCGACTTGACCCGTTCGATCAACAAGTCAATATCCTTGACCACGACCGTCCGGTCCTCCAAGTCTGGTGTATGAGAACGATAAAGACGGCGGTTCTCTTCCGGTGTCGCCGGATCGACAAACGTTTCGCGTTGCTTGCCCTTATAATTAGGTGTAGGAGGGGAAAGGTATTCGAGACCACTAGGGATCGTCGGAGTACGTAGGCCCGGTTCGGGAGATAGTGTCGAGCTTGAGGGCAGTTCCGCCGATCGAGGCTGTTCATTGAAAATAAGAACGCTTGCTGTCAGCGACCGAGCTTCTCGTTCGAAACATGCTGAAAGCCACTCACGGCCTGTGTGCCTTGATGTTCGTACCCGCTCTTGACTCTATTATTGCTCGATCCCTCTCTATCACGTACGATCGCAACCAACGTAGAAATAATGAGCAATCTCTCCTTATTACTCCTGTCTCCTCCCTGCGGTACGACTCTTGGGCTACGAGATCCAGACTCAAGCTCACCTGATCTCGGCAATCAGATCCTCGAGCTCGTACCACCCTACGAAATTGTAGACCATCGCTTTTCTGTAATACGATGCGAGGTCCCAAGGACCCTTGACGGCGTGTAGGTGTATGTGTGCGTAAGGGTGTCGAGGATCGCCTAGAGGAACCACATGAAAGAACGGGTTCGGACAGTTGGTGAGACCAGTCGACTGAGATCTCGACGCAAGAGGAGGTCGGAAGATGTAGCGAGGGGTGTGTGAACTCACGTAGCGGACCGACGACGAAACCGATCTTCCTCTCCTCCGCTTTTGTTCCCGAACCCGGCTCCGTCTGATTCTGACCGGATGGATCCTTGTCTAACAGATCGTTGGCTATCCTCAAAGCCCTGGTTAGGAGCGGCACGTCTGCGCGGCCCTGATACGTAGAGCGACCATGGGTCGATCAGCTTCAACTTGACTGTATGGAACCCGCCGTAGCGCCAGGAAAGACACAGAGGCAAAAAGGAAAGATGCATGAGTCGACACAGAGGACTTACGAACTGATAGACGCTCTCCACATGGACATTGAAAGCGAGCACCAGATGCCTCTCCCCGGAAGCCAACGCTTCCCCAGCCCGGCCCGACAGTGCTGGCCAGACGGTCAGATCCGAGTCGGTATAGATCGCTCTTCTCTCTCCTGCCACTTTCCTCGAAGACGTTGAAGTCGATGTTGAGGGAGAGGTGAGTGGTGCGTGGGCGGTAGGTGAGGTCGGGGAAGGTTGTTCGTGAGGGGTAGTCGGGGTAGGAGAGGCTGGACCAGGCGATAGCGACGTGGCCCAGGGTGTGCGATAAGCGTGTTGTATGTCCACCGGGATAGACTCGCTAGAGCCAGAGTTGGTTGAATTGGCACGGAGGTTGGTAATGATCGTGCAGAGGGAACAACCCGCTCGAGGTGAGTGGGGGGAAGATCGTTGAGCTGCCATTCTGGAGGTTGCGAGCTCGGTGTTCAATGTCCTGTTCTCTCCGTGCTGTTTGGATTTGAACGTCCAGAGCTCCAGAGACTATGAGATTAGATGTCTAAATTCTGGCCGTAGCCGTTTGAGTGATGATGGGGAAGATCAAAGCGGATGGAATGCGAGATTGCGCAGTCGAGCGGCTGTTGCCTTCTTTATCTCTTGGCTGCAAGTTCTCGTCCTTGAAGTCGCATTTGACACGTTACGCGTTTCACTTCTAGTTCGTCGAACTTGACTTGCTAAAGTGCTGCCCTTGTTACTTTGAGAAGAGTACGAGAATGTAGTAGCACAACCATATGCCATCGTCATTCGTCGCTAGTTGCTAGAATTGCTAGCTGCTATTCTCAGTGACGTTGAGGTCGAGGTCGGGCTCAGTTTCGCCGATCACTTGCTGGTGACGTAATTCCCATCTCGTAAGAAGGGGAGGTATGTCACTAGCGCGCGGCAACCAAAAGTCAAGAGAGCTGGGTCAAGTTGCATCTCGTTTGACATTCGATACCACTCGACATTCCGCATGGTATCATCATCGACCGTCAAGTCACCAACCTCTTGTCACACTCGTAATGATATTCAGAAGATTCCTCAGTTCGTCAACACGCCTGCTCAATCAGTCAGCCGCGGCGTCGTCGTCGAAACGACTACCTCGAATCACGCTCTACACCGGTGGTCCCGAATGTAGCCTCTGCGAGGTCAGCCCCATCGTGTCCTTGACATGTGATTTGCCCCAAGTTGCTCACTCATTTCTTCTTGACTCGTCGTCTCTTGCTTTCGTGCAGATCGCCAAGCAAGACCTCCAGATCATCCGGTATACCCACCCATTCGACCTGGAGACGATCAACATTCATGAACCTCCCGAGTCTCTGGATCCCGTCAAGGCGGAGAAGATCAGGGACGACTACAAGTTTGATATCGTGAGTCTCGACGTTTGATGGCCAGATGGTTGTTCCAGACGGGAATGTCTGGCCGAGCGTGCTGCAGAAAAGTTCTTTGCAGGCTGACCAGTGTCTGTTTTCCGGACACGCGTATCTTACAACATCATCACCCCCAAATCACCATGTCCAACCGTCCATCCATTCCTGGGATCAAACCCACAGCCGATTCTCCACCTAGACGATCACTATATCCAGAAACACCGCGTGAACAGCACAGTCCTCAAACAGACCCTCGAGGCTTACGATCCGACCGACCCGTCCCCCAGTTACGCCGAGAACAAGTTCAGACGAGATCCCAGGCCCGTACCGGGGATCGGAAAGAAGAGGAAGGGCAAGGGTAAGAGGTTGGAAAAGGCGAGAAAGGAGATGAGGGAGGCCGAGGAGAAGGAGAAGAGGGAGCGGGAGGAGAGCGAGAAGGAGGGGGTACAAGGGGACGTGGTCGACGTCCACAGGGAAAAGGTGGATCTCCGGGATGTAGGACAGGCTGGGGCGGATGTCAGTGGGAGAGGCTGAGCCGTGTATGATCAGCTATCGGGGGTGGTCATCCCGGTCGATCCTCGCTGTAAGCCGTAGATGCGGAACGAGACGACCTTGTGATTATACTATACCCGCACCATTCAGTGGATCAATGGGGAGCAGACGACACTTCTACGTCATACCGACTGAAATACGCAAATAACACTGTTTTGTAGGAGCATCTCGACACGCCACTCTAGCCTTGGATGGACTCGTTCCGACGGTTTGATGCTAAGACTACGGAACCGTACATGGCAAGACGTCTAGCGAGACAAGGAACGAAACAAGAGACAATCCTGGAGGGCATCGTAGGTAATGGCAAGGAGCAGCCGAGTCGCCAGCGAATTCGGGAAACCTCCGACAAGTCACACGACAAGGCTTCGAACAGCCAACGTGTCTTGCCCGGTACTTCGAAAGGCTTCAGTCGTCCAAGTACTGGAGGGCGCTCGAGGAAGGGAAACCTCCGATGCTGTGGGAACGAGCGGTCGACTGCCTGTCGCAACGAAGAACACCGTAGGGGGTGTTGATAGTCCTGTGCCCGCCAGCAGTAGGAACCTCGGTGACCTTGGGACGTCCGGCAGACTCGCCGACCTTCCAGGTCTTGCATCCGTGACGACAAGCGGGAGGGGCATCGGCGTCCCAGTAGATGGCGTACGCCGCAAAGGACTTTCTGCCCATGTTCGCAATGTCGATCAAGAGACCGATGGTCATGGCATCGACCTCATCGCCGCCCCCGTAGACATCGGCGGCTTGCTTCTTGGCGGCGATGGTCTCGGACCAGACCTCGGCCCACCTGGCCGGGCCGACGCGGTTGGCGGTCTTGTCGAAAAAGGTGATCGACAAGACGACAGAGTGGGCGCGGCCGCTCGACTCGATGCAGATGGAAAGGCCACCGGGCAAGCGGATCCTGTCGTGACAGGCCTGAGTGGACGCAGCGGATTCGTGCAAGATCGAAGTGTAGCGAGTGACGAGGCCTCGAGAGGAGAGGCCGTGGTTCGAGGTGACTAGACTGGACATGGTTGTAACGTGAAAGGGTAGAATCCTTGTCGGGTTGTGTTTGGGTAGGTTGAGTTGCGCGCGATGTGAGTGGATTTCTGAGGATTAAGAAGGGTAGATGAACTCAGGTAGGAAATTGTTCATCTTCTAGCTGGCCTGGAGGCATCTATATATATCTCGTTCTTGTATACACGCTCCCTGACTTGGGCGCGGGACACACGTTTCGCCGACGGCGGTCAAAGCCTAACAGTACAGTCAGGCTGGAGTAGAAACACGACGACAGATACGGCTGTCGTCGTCAGTTTAAGCGATAAGGAACAACAACCAGTAACACCGAAACAAGCTCGATAAGCAAATCAGCGGATCAGCGGCAAGACACATTGACTCGACATCGAACGACAAGGTTGGTTGTTGTTCGCGTATACGATACGTCCAAGTCACAAACTCAAAATCTCGCGTTTCAAGACGACCGGTTCGGCCTGTCGCGCTGTTTCACAATAGTCCCTCCGATCCGATCAGCATCCAGCAACTAGTTTAGTTGATCTCATTTATCGATTCGAGGTGACAAACGCAAAAAGCTCTATCCAACTATTTGTGTCGTGGACCACGACGCAAGGCAATAGTATCTTTGCGAAAAGTCGGCCAGATCACTCGCAACGATTTGAGAGGGGGGGCTGCCCTCAAGCTATGATAAGCCTACCGTTGGTTTCCATCGCTATTACGTAACAGGTAGGAAAAGCAGATAGCTCTTTGTATTTCATGAGAGCTGCAAATACAAATAGAAGAAGTCACAGGAAATTTCAAGCGATAAAGTATCTTCTACCTTCCAATCGGCCATGAACCACGTCCTTCTTCAGTGAGGCGCCTCGTCCTTGACGACTTCCTCTGGTAGCCTGACTCAGATCTTGACTAAAGTCTGTTTCAACCGGCTTGAGTTGGCGTCAAGAGAGTGTGATTGGTTAACAAAGGTTGCAAAAGATTCGATGAGAGGACGACATACCTTCTAAGCAACTAGCGAGGCCGAAAGACCATCACGCGAGACTTCGACCTCCATCTCGGGATTCTCAAGCCAAACCCTCCAATGCTTGCAGTTGTCCAGTTCATCTTCATCTTCATCTTCATCTTCATCTTCTGCTTCAGCTTCCGGGAGATCAAGCCAGGCTTGGCAGGTAAAGTCATTGGAGTCGTTGAACTTCACGATTTCTAGGCCTACAGCGCTCGGCGCAACGATCTTGGTGTATTCGGCAGTCACCTCATCCCTCATGTCGAGGATGTGATGGAACCAGAGATCCGTCCAGGTGACCATGTCAACGCTATGACCGGTGCGATCGCGGAATGCGATAGAGAATGACGCAACGGGAGCCCCCCGTGAGACGACCCTGAGGATCAGACCAGTAGCCAGTTCGATGGTATGGGAGCGGGGTTTCATCTTTCCATGAAAGTTCTCTTGTTGGAGGCTTATGTTGAATATCAAGCTTCTGGTGTACTCGAGTGATGCATACATCCTTTCTGATAACGGCGTAAGATGGTCTTGCGAGAGCGGGTGTATATGTCTGAAAAAGTATTGCAAGGATGTCGATGCCGATTATTATAGGCGTCACGTGACGCGCGACCTACGGTGCGCGTCGCCTCGGGGTCTCGTCCGGAGACCCTCTCGGAGACTCTCTCGGAGACCTTTTAGGAGATGTTCTCGTAGACGTCTAACTAGTACCTTGTAGTAGTTAGACATCCGTTATTACATTACTATGCCTACCGTTACCTTTCCCCAGTCCTGCGACCTTATTACCTCAAGACCCGGCAGGTCGGCTGCCAGGCCTTATAGAATAACGGATCACCAAAGGACCCCGGCTGGGAACGCGAAAGGGGGTAGTGATGGGATCCCGCTGCACATTGGTGCTAGCGGTAACCCTAGTGGTCCGGAGAGCCATCTCACCCTGGTAGGGGTATTCTACCCGCAGGGAATCCCTGTGCAGGCGGTGATGATGGTAGATTCGGGAGCCACGGGTATGTTTATGGATCGGACGTTCGCGCGGATTCATAACTTTGATGTGATAGACCTAGAGAATCCTAGGACCGTCACGGTCATTGACGGAAGGGAGATAGTGGGTGGCCAGATCACCCAAAAAGCACATGCTATTGTGCGGACAGGATTGCACCAGGAGAAGGCGGAGTTCTTCTTGACGGATTTGTGTGGGTACGCGGCGGTCCTCGGGATTACATGGTTACGACACCATAGCCCACACATCCAGTGGGATACGAATACGGTCACCTTCGCGGACGACTGTTTGAAGAAAGGATGCGTCAAAAAGGTAGAGGTAGTATGCTCCCCCGACGAAGTGGAGATAGAGACACGGAATATCGATCCGCTGTCAAGAATGAAGGAGCCGATCACGGAGAACCTCGTGGCGGCTCAAATGCAGATGACGAGGGAGGATGAGGAGCGAGCCCGCAGGCCGGACCTGTGGGATTGGGACGTCAAGCCCACCGACTCGATTCAAAACGAGCTCGATCCTCCCGAGTACATGGAGAAGTTGAGGGACGTTGTGCCGAAGAAGTACCATGAGTACCTCGGAGCGTTCTCCAAGACGAAGGCAGACTCGCTGCCTCCGAAGCGCTCGATCGATCATGCGATCGAGCTGAAGCCCGGAACAACTCCCACGTATGGGAAGTTGTACAACCATTCGCAGAAGGAGACGGACGCTCTCAAGGCGTGGTTGGCGGAGAACCAGGCGAAAGGGTTTATTCGACCCTCGAAATCCTCGTGTTCGAGTCCGGTACTGTTTGTACCGAAGAAAGGGGGTGAATTGAGGCTGTGTATTGATTACCGCCGCCTCAACGAAATTACCGAGAAGGACAGGACCCCCCTGCCGCTTATCTCGGAGACCTTAGATCGCTTACGGGGATCGAAGGTATATACGAAGATGGACCTGAGGGGAGCGTACAACCTCCTGAGGGTCAAAGAAGAGGATGTCTGGAAGACCGCGTTCACGACACGCTATGGTCTGTTTGAATGTCTCGTCATGCCATTCGGTTTGACGAACGCGCCGGCGACGTTCCAGCGCTGGATGAATCAGGTCTTCCAGGACATGTTAGACGTGTGTGTGGTCGTCTACTTAGACGACATATTGATTTACTCCGCCGATCAGGAGACACACGACGAGCACGTACGGGAAGTGCTGAAGAGGCTACAGGCGAATGGCCTGTACGCAAAGGCGGAGAAGTGTGAGTTCGACACGACGGCGACGGAGTTCTTGGGGTATGATATTGCCCCTACGGGGGTCAGCATGAACCCGTCGAAGGTGAAGTCGGTGTTGGAGTGGGCGGCGCCTCGAAATATCCGAGGCCTGCAGTCGTTCCTGGGGTTCGCGAATTACTATCGCCGGTTCATACAGAACTACTCCAAGAAGATTCAAGGCATGACGGCCTTGACGAAGAAAGGGGTGAAGTACCACTGGCCGGAGTCAGCGGATGCTGCCTTCAAGGAGTTGAAGAAGGCGTTCACCGAGGCGCCCATCCTCGCTCACTACGACGAGGAGCGCCAGGTGGTACTGGAGACGGACGCATCGTCAGGTGCGATGGGAGCGGTGATGTCGCAGGTAGGGGACGACGGGAAACTACATCCCGTGGCGTTCATGTCGAAGAGCCTTACGCCGGCTCAACGAAACTACGACGTACACGATCGCGAGCTACTCGCCATCGTGTACTGTTGCCAGATATGGCGACACTACCTGGACGGGAAGTTCCCGGTGAGGATCCTTACGGATCACAAGAACCTTGAGTACTTCAAGAAGGACAAGATGTTGTCCCACCGACAGGCGAGATGGTCTCAGCTGCTGAACCAAATCTCGTACACGTTGGAGTACAAGCCGGGGACAGAGAACGGGAAGGCTGACGCGCTCAGCAGGAGGGAGGAGTTGATGGAGGAGACGGAGCCCAAGCAGGCAGAGACCCTGCTGCGCCCCGTTAATGCAGACGCGCTGGTGGTCAGCGCAGCAACGGTACAACCCCCGTTGCGGTTGTGCGGAACGATCCCCGTCATAGGGGATTGGTTCTTAAAAGCGTTGATCCCTGCGGGACAAGAAGATCCGGTCGCGAGAGACCTGATCAAGGGCGTCAAGGAGGGAACCTTGACGAATAGTCGGTACAGTCTGAGCCCGGGAGGCGCGCTCATGTACGACGGGTTGGTGTATGTTCCCGATGCGGGAAGCTTGAAGACGGAGCTCTTGAAGAGGCTCCATGATGGGAAGACCGCCGGACACTACGGGCGGGACAAGACGGAGGACCTGGTGAGTAGAGATTTCTACTGGCCGGGTATGAAGGCGTGGATTAGCCAGTACGTGGCTAGTTGCGACAAGTGCCAGAGGAATCGGAGGCCGAGGGCCAAACCAGTCGGTGAGCTGGCCCCCCTGAAGGCGGAGACGGAGCCCTACCAGTCGATCACGTGGGACCATATCACGGACCTACCGGAGTCGAGGGGTTCGAACGCGATCCTGGTGATCGTCGACCGCTTCAGCAAGCGGGCACATTTTGTGCCTTGTCGGAAGGACAACGACGCCAAGGTGTTGGCACAGATGTTCTTGCAGGAGTGGGTACGATTGCACGGGTTTCCCCGGCAGATCATCTCGGACAGGGGAACGCTGTTCACGTCGAGATTTTGGAGGGAGTTCTGTGAGTTGTCCGGTGTCGAGCCTAGTTATTCGACCGCCTTCCATCCCCAGACGGATGGTCAGACGGAGCGCAGTAACTCGACGCTCGAACAGTACCTGCGGACGTATGTCAATTACCAGCAGGACGACTGGACCGATTTGTTGCCCATGGCGGAGTTCGCCTACAACAACTCGAAGCACTCGGCGATTGGTATGTCGCCGTTCATGGCATCGGAAGGGCGGGAGCACGCCGTCGAACTCCCCATGCCCATCGCCAAGGATTCGGCCGTGGAGTCGATACAAGAGTACAGAGAGCGGATGAACAACATCTGGGAGTCTGTTAATGTCGCGCTGAGACAGGCCCGAGAGGATATGGCAAAGTACGCGAATCGGAAGCGTACGGCGGTACCGGCTGAGGGGTACAATGTTGGCGACATGGTGATGTTGTCGTCGGCCCACGTCAATACCGTGAGGCCGAACAAGAAGTTGGAATGGAAGACCTACGGCCCGTTCAAGATCACGGAGGTTGTAGGAGAAGGTCGCATGGCGCGACGTTTGGAGTTGACACCGGGGATGCGTAGGATCCACCCGGTGTTCCATGTCTCGCTGCTCATCCCGTATAAGCCGAACGAGCTTCCTGGGAGAGCAGTAGACCCACCCCCTGAGCCCGAGGTGCTGGACACCGGGGATTTGGGATGGGTGGTATCGGAAATCGTACACTCCAAGGAGTTGCGTTCAACGCGCGCCGGGCGTAGGACCCAGTACTACGTGCGCTTCGAGGGGTACGGGGACGAGCACAACGAGTGGGTTAGCCCCTCGGATTTTCACCACAACGACACGCTGGTGCTGGAATTCCATAAGCGACACCCTGAGTTGCCGGTACCGGGCCGCCAGGAGTACGGCGATGCTTGATGCGTTCGGAGCTCGCATCTAGGAGGGGGATCCTATTATAGGCGTCACGTGACGCGCGACCTACGGTGCGCGTCGCCTCGGGGTCTCGTCCGGAGACCCTCTCGGAGACTCTCTCGGAGACCTTTTAGGAGATGTTCTCGTAGACGTCTAACTAGTACCTTGTAGTAGTTAGACATCCGTTATTACATTACTATGCCTACCGTTACCTTTCCCCAGTCCTGCGACCTTATTACCTCAAGACCCGGCAGGTCGGCTGCCAGGCCTTATACCGATCAGATGGTGGGATTCAATTGCAGACTCAAAGCGTGCGCTTTATAGGCAAGCCATTTGCTTTAAGTGATGCTACATCATACGTCATAGTAGATCACAGACCGCGATCGTGCACATACGTCATGCGAAGCCCCCTAAAAAAGGTTCAAAGGATGCTACGATCATCGAAGTTTAACAAAAGAGGGTGTTTCCACTTGCAAGCGAACGCGTAGCGCGCCGAAATTCCGCGTGGATTTCTATCTGCACATCTGGCTCTCCAACGAAACAACCACTGCATTACTGCATTGGAAGTTTGGGAAGTAATGACCAGTAGCCGTATAGAACTCCTGTGAAAAGAGCCTATACCCATGAAGTCGTCGTCTCACGTTAGTATAATGGCTGGTGACATTGTAATAACGGGTACGGTCGTCGGTTGGGTCGAGGCCTAAGTCGCGTCACACATTGGAGTACAATTGTATTGTTGTGAAGTCAACAACACTAGGCAAAACATGAACTCACCTTTGGTGTAGTAGGTTATGGTGCGAAATGTTGACGGTCAGGTCAGTCAGGTCAGGTCATGAGTTCGACTCACGATGCAGCCTGCATTTCCATGAGTTTTGCCCTTTCCGCTCATAAAAAGATAGACCTATAGGCTTCTCGTGAAAAAAGTGAGCTTCCAAATGAAGCGAGGGGACTGGTTGGCTATGGTTAGGCGCGCTGTCTAGTCATAGTTTATGTCTTTTTGAAGGTTTCCTTTTTGTTATTGATCAATACATCACACCGTGAATATGCACATTGAACCCTCTGCAGTATGTCGGGCACCAATCATTACAATAGAAACAGTGAAGGACGAAACCAATGGAATACCCAAGGTCAGCATTTGTTCTGCTGAAGAGACCGTTCCATTCGCATCTGTCAACAATGTTATTGGCAGTGATTGTCGAGACTCTTGAGCCAATTCTACATCATCTGGTAGATGGGGAGAACATTGTCCACAGACCGACCCTTCTCAAACGGCTGTTGCAGGAGTATGGTATTCAAATCAGGTAAGTCACTAGCTTAGAGAGCGATTCAAGTAAGAGGGTTCAGCTGACACGTCGGACTGGAAGCCGTTCAACGCTCAACAAATACCTCAAGCAATTCAATCTTGGAGGACCAAAAAGGGCTGGCTTCTCCATCGAACAGGTCGAAGGAGTCATTGTCATGCACATCAGACAACACGACCCTCAGAACACAGACTTGCCCGCAAGGATAGCAGCGGCTTTGGGCAGCCGAGGGATACACATTGCTCGGTAAGTTGGAGATCAGCCATCGATCCCGAAACATATTAACCTTGCCTGGCTCAAAGTGACATGGTCCGAGCAGTGATGAAGACACACTTCCCTGAAGGATTTGATCAACGATCCCGCTCAGCTACAAACAAGACATCTCACAATGCTGTCATTCAGTCTTATGGACCCAATGATCAACTCTCTATCGACGGGCATGACAAGTTGTCGAGTATTGGGTTTCCAATCTATGGCATGCGGGACAAGTTCTCCCGCAAATGGATTACTCTTGTTGCAGTTCCCAACAACCGGACTAATGTCATCACTTCATATCTATACCTCAAGACGATCCGGGACATGGGAGGTGAGTACAGTCGTGGCTCTCTCTGATTTGACAACTGACGTAGACCACAGGCATACCTCTACAGGTCACGAGCGATCATGGTAACGAAGTCATGGATATATTTGGATACCAATCGGCTTTGAGGTCAGTGTTCATATCGTGCTGGCAAGTGATCGGTAATGGATGCTGATTATTATATAATGGTAAATTCCAGAGAGACCGCTGTTGCCCCTTTGGCAGATCTTATTGCAAAACTGGATATCGGTGTTGCACCCGAACCTCATCGCTTCCTGTCCTCAACCAGGAACATCACAGTGGAACGGGGTTGGAAGCCTTTGGTGACCAAATTCAACCGGAAGATTCTCGTCAGTACAACCAATGCAATTGCATCTGGTGATTACATTGTGGACAATCGCAGTCATCGGTAAGATTCCTAGACAGTGATTGCGATCTCAACCCATATTCACTCACGTTACACAGGGTCATCTACCTATTCTTGATGGCACCTCTTGTTCTCGAGGAATTGGAGATGTACAAGAAGGCTGCCAATTGTCAGGTTATCCGCCGTCAGAAAGGGATCAGTCTGCCATCTGGCATGTCGGCAAACACAGCTTATACATCGGAAGGCCAAGATTGTCTTCTGAGGCTGTCACCTGATAGCTTGGATCAGGTCGATCGATGGATTGTGGACATTGAAGCAGCATACCCTCGCCTGCTATGCTTTCTCACATGGGACGAGGAGAGCTGGGTCATGTTACTTTGGAACCATGTTTGCTCGGTGACCGGCGAGCAAGCTCTTCCCAAGGTTTCTTTGCTTAATATCTGGTCCACCTTCCGTTTGATGACAGGACACATCACAGATATCCCATGTCTTGTAAATGAATGATAAGTTGAGCGAAGATTATGGTATACAATGTTGAACCCGATCATGATCTTGAACCAAACGGAGTTGTCGGCCGCACAATTCTCCCGCTACTGGTTGCCTGAAATGGTATGTCGGACATCAATGCTAATAGGGCGCAACAGTACGATGATGTGTGGGATATCCAACATAGATCCAGCAATGCGCTCACATACCTTGGCTGCCAGCCGCTTGATGCTGTCCCCTTCCCCTTCCCCTTCCTCTGCCCCGAGTAGATACCCTTCCTCGGGGGTTATCTGGAGAGATAGCTGGAACTGTTGTAGCTCGACGGCCACGCTTCGATGGTCCGGCAACTGGGTGATCAGGCAGATCCTCATCGATTTCCAGCACCCTTTCTCTAGCTGCAGCCGCTAGATCAGTCTCAGGGACCGCTTTGACAGGATCCAATCGATGTCATGGCAGAACCGGTTACAGAGATGACCATCAATGAAAGCATTGATTCCGGTCTCTCCAGCATCACCAATGCCGAGTTCCCCTTGTAGACTGCCAGCAGAGTAGGAGACTGTCAATACCAGTGGGACCGCATCAAGACAATCCACTTACGAGTGCAACATAGGATCAAAGAGGAGAATGTTGACCGAGGTGAACCAACCCTCAAGGTCGGAAAGAACCATACTGCGGCCACTAGCTTCATAGGCTAGATGAGCATAGGCCGATACAGTCCATGCTGACCTTGTTTCCCCTTGTCCAGCTTCAAGGGAACCTGAGTACCGGACAGGTTGTCCGTTCTGGAAGTCCTCCAATAACCAAGCTCGATCAGCCGGATGCTCGGTACCCTCTTCTCCTGGGCAAAACAAGACTCGAACTTTAGCAAAGGCTAGCGCTGTGCAAGAAGACCAAGTTATCATATTTGTAATACAGACCGACACAATTGAGCAAGCTTACGGATAGCCTGCCTCTCAGATGGCGTGCCAGCTATGGCTCGACTGAATTCTTCAACCCATATATCACCCCACATGTACGATTCGGCTTCAAGCTGTACCAAGCGGAGGATTGAGAGAGCCCTTGTATCATCCAGGACTTCGGGCTTGATCTCTTTCGCAACCATCTTGTTATTAGGAGCCAACCCAGTACTGCCTCCAGGGTGATCGCTAGAAGCAAATCGGGCCTGGAACATTATACTTGTCAGTTGCACTGTTACAACGCGCAAGGCTGGCTCAAAAGTAACTTCACCTCATAGCAGTTCCGGGTCTGACCCTGACCCAAAATCTTGTTGTCGATCCAGAGATAAGCATATTCAGTGCTATCGCTCCATTCAATGGCAGTCCGATCCCGGTTCCATGTTGCAAGGCTCTCGTAGACAAAAATCGGAGGATCACCTTGGCCAAAGGGGGGGCGTACTGCTGTCAGGGGGACTGGTAAAGATGATACATACCGCCGAGGTACAATGCTGCTGACCCTGGCCATGCTCATTTGAGGAGTGGCAGAGCTCCCTCGCAATCCTGAAGCGAAAGACAGAGGTGTCATCTCGTCTTCACCCTCCCCAAAATATTCAACCTGGTCCGCCCGAACCTCGATGGTCAAGGTGAGAGTATGGGCATTTGGATGATTGTCCCGTCCAGTAGTAAGATGGTTCATCTTTGCCCATCGGTGATAAACTCCAAGCTCCATATCATATTGAGTCTTCTCGATCAGTGTTCCTTTGCCCTTGCCGGGAAGGGACAGGGTAACAACTGCCGGCTTCTCGGGATCATCACTGGCATCCGCGTAATCCACCATCATCGCATCCGTCATCCAGCCGTCATCCATTTTGTAATCCCATTTGTCATCCCATCTGAGTTAATCATGGTGTGCGCTGTATGGTCCAGATGACAGACTCACATATTGATGAAACCCATGGGCCTATCCATTTGTGCGGTGTCCCAATAGTGGGTCTGAATCTTGCGGACCATAGTCCGGAGCATATCCTTGATTAAGGTATCCCGGCTGACGCTTAGGTAATGAGTATGCCCTTTCTTGGCCCGGCCTGAGTATCCGTTTGTCTCAGAATAGGTATAGTGAACCTCCAAGTTTGGGCCAGCAGCATGAGAGTTTCCCGAGCTAGCAGTGGTGACTCGTTGTTGCCCCTGGCGGGCTACTTGAGCAGCCCGAATAGCTGCGTGACCTCCTTCGTTTCCACCGGCAAGATTGTTTCGGAGACGAGTCCCATTTGCCTCATCTCTGTATGCTGAAAACATAGCAGGCAGGATACCTGGTGGGTCAAGCTTCAATGGCATATTGTGATTTGTTTATACCACAGGTACATACTATTGTTCGACTGCACAACCGGCACTGAGCTTGCCTTGACACACTCCGAACACATATCTTCCCCTCGTTTCTGTATCCTGCCATCTCGCATACATAGTTGAAGCGACTGATATGTGTGATCAGACAGGCTCAGAATAGCTCAGAAGTATTGTCATTACCCATACCTTGGACGCATTGATAGCAGCAGGTGAACCACGCTCAATTGCAATGTACGCACATCTGCCGCACTTGCTAACAGGTGATGTGTAGGCACCCTCTTGACAGGTGTTACAGGGGAAAATAGCAGGAGCAGTGGAGTCCATGTTGACTTATTCTTGTTTGATCGGATAAATGCTATGTCTGAGCTACAAGAATTTATTCTGTTGTTACAAACTAAAGGATTGCCCGAAGTAAAAGATCTGTGATAGCCGATGTTGTTTTTATCTACACACAAGACAATACGCGATTTAGGCCTCAACCCATTCGACGGCTGTAAACGGGAGTTCAAGTCCCGGATTTCATTGTTGATATAAGCTTCCACTAAAGGCGTTTTTACCGAAGCCGGGTACTTTCCCGTTTCATGGTATTCGCTGTGATCTTTCATGCTTCATGTGACCGTCAAACAAGAGTCAACGTGATAGCTAAGATGATGCCACTCATCTTGGTACGTGACCCGTTACCATAAATCTCTTTTCGCATTTGGTACTCTTGCATTCATCAACATCGTTGTCCTGAGCACAGCATATAGTCGGTTTCCTATATCTGAACATTCACGATGATCCCATGTTTACATCCCGTTGATTACACGAAACCACAACAATCCCGGAAATAGGGTCTCAAAAGCCCAACTGTCATTATGGTCGTAATGTCGTCTTTCTCGTCGGTTTCACCAGCTCGCCACTGTAGCAATCTTGTCCTTGTCCTTCCAGCTCCCGAGCTTGAATCCGGAGCTCATCCACCCCTCGGCAAGATCCCCACCCCAAACTTTCCTCGAGCGCCCTTGACGCCCCATCCTCCCGCGCCCGCACCTTGAACCCTCCCAATTCCCATGTCCGACCCCATTCCCGTGCCCATCCCCGATAGGGAGAGAGAGGCGGGAGGTCCGACAGCATAAGGTCCGCCGGCGTACAAGAACGCCGTGGAAGCGAGAGTGTGTTGAGCGAGGTCGTGCAGGGTCTGGTAGTCTGGATTGGGGATATACTCTACGTCCGGTGAGAGGGCTGCGGAGGTGGGTCGTGGGGAGACGAGGCGACGGTGAGTGAGCGGATTTATCCGTCCGGGGAGCGATTTTGTAGAGACGTCGGATGAGGGGGCAAGAGTGATGATGGTGATGACGATATGCAAGTCAAGGCCGCACATGACGATGAGACATCGAGAGATAGAAAAGAAGCAGGTCGCAAGGATGAACATCACAGCTTCGCACGAAATGCAACTCCGGTGGAGAAACAGAGGCTCACGAAAATCAAACATTCCCCGCTGCGGACCGTGTTTGAGAGCCGAGGATTCCAGAGGTCCTTTCCAGCCTGGTTCTCTTTGCTTCGGGTTTGATTTGGGTTTGAGACGAGGAGTATTGATACTGGTTGTCATGGCTCGGAGATGATTGTGGTGCTCAACATGATGATCGAGGTCCAGAGTAGAGGAGGTCGAGGGGAACAACCCGATCGAGTTGAAGATCTGGGTTTCGAGGTCCCCTTCGTCTTGCCCTGATCCCTCTGTCCCGTAACCGTCTTCTGGAGTCCCGTGCGTCCCGTCCTCGTCATCCGAATTGGCGCTGATGTTCGAGTCAGAGCCGGGGTCGAGGGACAAGTCCAGAGAAGGATCGTCCTGGTAAGGCGTCATCCTCGGCTTTCCACCTTTGCCCGCCTTCTTTTTCGTCTGGCTGACCTTCGAGCCTTTCGACGACGATGTACGAGTCCTCGGTCGAGGAATCTCAAAAAGTTCATCCAGATCGTCCCCGTCGGTGCCTGAAGTATCTACATTCCCCCTCGCACGAGCGTTGTCCCTCTCCCCCCTTGCCCTCTTTCTCGTTCGAGTTCTCTGCTCACGATCCCGTCGTGTCCGTCCTCCCTGTTCCATCATCCGCTCGAGAGTCTCTTCTCCTGCAGCGAGTTCATGTTCTGGTCCGAGTGCAGAGCCGGGTCGAGGCGAGTATGAGGTGAGCGAGGTAGAAGGTCGGGCGTAGGGCCTTGGCCTCGATCCTGATGCGGGATCGGGCTGAGTAAACGAGTCGAATAACGAGTCTGGGGTGTGATCATGTGACATTATTGTGTTGTCATTCGTCGTAGCTAGTTGTGGCACCTTCTGGTGATGTGAATGCTGTCCAGGTGATAGGTGAGCGACATCCTGCTCGGTTCAAGATCATGAATCCGATCCGCCGACATCATGACCTGCGACTGCCTTGCCTACCGAAAGGTAAACAAACGAGTTGATGCCGTAACTATGGACTTCCGCCTCCGATCTTTACTTCCGATCGTCTCTGTGACCTCGTTTCATCATGGGGCGGGGGGGTCAATGCGCGGAAAAGCCACCGATCACTATCCTGTACGGCCTGTACCCTCCTTTGAAGAAAAAAGAAGGTGGATCACGAATCACTGGGGTGGATCACATTTGATGGAAAGGGATGGGAGAGGGCGGCGCAGAGAGCCGAGATCAAATTTGAGGGCGACGACAACAATATTCAATCGTTTCAACGAGGTTGTTGACCTCGGGTGAAGCGAGAGTTGCACAGCAAATACACCGCTATGGTCGTCGGCACAGCATCGACGCACGCACGGACCGTCGCCAACAAAACGGAAAGGGATCTTGATCGAACCGACAACGTGGATCTCTTTGATCATCGTGATATTTCACAATCCTCCGGCGATTCGGTGGACGTTCCGGCCGAACCGCGTCGAGGGACTGGGAATTGGGAACGATCCTCGTCATCTTCAGCTTTAGCACCTCTGTCAGCTATTCACGTCGAATGCAAGAGACAGTTTCCGCCACTCACTCCCTCGAACTCAGTACACCTAGCACCTAGAGCTTCTGGCCGATCATACAAGTTCTGGATCTCGGGGGACGGATCATCCTACATTGATCGACTCGTCCCTTCTCGTCTCATACTTGGTCGGGCATCGCTCAACATAGTGAAAGGCCCACTAGATCGACGACGATGATGTCGACGGCTGACAGGTCGGTTGATCTGCTCAACAGTGAGTCCTACTTGGAAGCTACTCCTTTCAATCACTTGACTGACATCCGTGAGGTCTCGTCTCGTGTCACCCGCAGTCGTCGTCCCATACGTCCTCACTGCCCAGCCCGATGCCAGCACGGCGACAGCTCTGTCTCGGACGAACAAGCAGACCCGCCGGCTCGTCAGCCTGATCGCAGGCCGGACCATCGAGCTCGTCCTTCTAGGCGAAGTTCAAGCTGAAGGAGGAAAGATCGGGGTCGGAGTGGAAGTGGAATGCAAGTTTTGGGATCCGGTCGCGGGGAAAGAAAAGGCCATGACGGTGGACGGATTGTAAGCGTCTTCCTCTTTATCGCTCTGCTTGCTCTTTGCTTGTTCTTCCTGTAGTCGAATAACTGACACTGATCGATCTTCTTCCGTGCTCCTCGGGGTCTGGTTTCTTCACCATATGGTGTAGATCAGATGAGGATTACGGACGATTCAAAAAGGTGGTGATCCGACCTCCCAACCCCTCGTTAGATCGGTACAGCACAATGTTCATCCCAGCGAAACGAGACAACGCAACCGAGACGACTGCAACTGCTGCCACGCAGGTGGCATCTATGGCCGATCGAAAGGAGACGCAGACCAACCTCCTTCTCCAGTTCTTTCGCGCTTTGCAACGATGCAAGGGAGAGACGAAGGTCCACGAGACAGGCGCAGGAGAAACGAAAAGGGAAGCACTCGACCTGGAGTTGGGGTTATGGACGGGATTGAGTAACGAGGTCTGGCAGGTGAGTGTCTGGATCCACAGCTGGAGATACTTCAGTGGTCATCCGATCAGAGAGACTAAATGTCTGCTTCGGTATATGAATACTCAGTCAATCATTTCTCTGCCAAACCTGTCAAGCCTCGAGTTGCTCAACCCCACTTTACCTCTTCCGAACGCCCTTCGCCCAGTAGAGATCGGCAGCTCAGGCTCTGGACCGGGATCAGGTTCAGGTGGGAGGTACACGCCATTCTTCGTCAAGCCTCTCGTTTGGCCCGAGGACGATACGGGACGGGAGGAAAAAAACGGATCTTGTCGCAGGGATGAGCCAGGAGAGACGCACGAGACAAGGGATCGAGCGATGGGGAAAGGATTGAAAAGGTTGGAACTCGACAATCTCAGCCAAGTCGGGGTGAGTCATGGCAGAGGTTGAAAGCTATCCTTGCCGACATTGACCACGAGCCGACTGTTTGCGAGTCCAGACAAAGAACCTGGTCAACCACCTTAACAACCTGTCCGAAGTCGTCCCTTCTTCTCCCCTGACTCACCTTAGCGTACACACATTGTTCTTCGACTCTACGCTCTGCACAGCGATTGCCTCGATCGGAAGTTGTGGCGGATTGAAGACGCTGCGGATCGGGACTAGAGGAACCAAGTTGTCTAGCGCGGGGGTCAAGGAGATGGTCGAAGCGTGCGTCGGCTTGGAGAGGCTCGAGCTGGATGGCGTAGAGGGTGGGTGGCAACGATATACTACCTTGCAAGAGTTGAGCTGATGGTCTCATCTCACGTTTTTAGGAAGGCTTGCCAGGACGCTTTGGAAGGATATCGAAGAGTTTCCGGAAGGACTGAGGGAGCTGTCCATTATCATTCCGGAGAGTGGGACGCATCATTCGCAAGTCTCCGTCCGAGACTGCACATGCTAGTCGTCCTTGTCCGCTGACGTTGACATTGCAGATGGACGCTCGACCACCTGGCCTCGTTGCCTCACGTTCCGATCGAGAACCTCTGCTCGCTAGAAATCACGCGTTCTGTACCGATCGCTGCGGCTATGCCTTTTCTACCCTCAATCAAGCAAGGTGATACGCCGGTGCAGATTCCGAAAGTCAACGATCTGTGTCGGTCTCAGCCGATTCCGGAGGAGATATTTCAAGCCATACTGGACAAGGGGAAGAAGTTGACGAGGCTGAACTTGGACTGGTGGGAGATTGATGAGGAGAGACTGGCCAAGCTGGTCAAGACGCTGACGGGGCTGGAAGAGTTGACTGTCAGATTGGATTTCCCCATATTCCGACTGGTGAGTTTGGGGTGGGAACGCTTGCTAATGTCCAGAACCTGACACCCGAATATACAGATCACCGTTACGGCCTTCCCCTCGACTTCCAGACTGGAGCGCCTTCGCGTTTCATTCGTGCCAACAGCCGATCTATGCTGGGAGATGGACGCCACCAAGGTCAGTGGAAGGACGACCAAGACGGCGCCGCTCAACAAGGTCGCGAAACCCCCCGATATCCTGGAACGCGCACTCGAAGGCTTGCCGCAAGAGCTTGTTGAATCGCTACAAGCGCCTGACAGCACGATTCCAGCGTCAAAGGAGATCAAAAAGTTTGCTCGCAAGTTGCCCCGTCTCGAACGCCTCGAATGGCTCGGCCGTGAAGGTAAAGGGTCGTGGACCGTCGTCAAGCCGAGTGCTGAGAAGAAGGGAGGTCTGATGACTGTCGATTTCGAGCACGCCGGGCTGCGATATTCAGGCCAGTGGGAGGAGCTATCCAATGGACCGATTGTCATCTGGCAAGTGGACGATCAGGACGTGCCTGTTTCGGACGTCCCGCCACCTGCGACTCCGTCGACGTCGGTCTTTTCTCCCTCTTCAACCGATCTCCAAATGCTCAGTCCCATGACCAACGGCTCGACCCTGGCTAGTGACGACATTGACACACCGTTGACGAGGTGGCAAAGCTCGCGATCACAGTCATTTCCCTGTCTTGGCGGACCTTGGCCGGACGAGACTCAGGAGAATGCGGCATGGGATACGCTCGGCTTACAAAACATCTCGCCATCGCCATCTTCCAATGTCGTTGCCAAAGCTCGTCGACCTCCTGCTAGCAAGGGAAAGACTTCTCCTTTAGAGGGCCGGAGCAAATCGTCTCCAAACACGACCAAATCTTCGCCTACACCTCTGCGCAAGAAGCCGAGCCTTCCTCGAGCTGAGACAGCACTGGTCGCCGCGACTGAAACTCCGCCGAGACGCCGTGGACGACGGGGTGGGGTAGGGCGGTCGCGAGGGGGTACCAGCACGGCCGCAGTCGAAGCTACCCCTAAGCCTTCCCCAGTTCCCGCCATCAGCCCGTCCCCCGACGGTTGGATGACGGTCTCGACCAAGAAGCCCAAAGAACCGGTCAAGCCTGCCCGTAATGCCGGATCCAGCGGGAAGACCAAGAAGTAGGCGCCAAGACGAGATACACGATCTTTTCGCATTTTGTATCAATCGAAATCACGAAACGTCAAGCCAAAGAGCCTCGACCATATCTCTATGCCAGCGGAAATGAGCCCGCCCGTTCCTGTTCACGATTGCATATCATTCCGCATGACGAATATATGTATGCAATGTAGAACCGGTTAATCGACCATACAACATGTTCTCTCGTACTTTATCTTCCTTTCTCCGCTATCCGCTTCACAGCTTAGCCTTGGAGGCATCACCCTGATCGCTCTTGGCGGCGTTGTCCATGGTCTTTCTCAGCTCATCGGCAGCCCAGATTAGGTTCTTCTTGAATTCGTCGGCCTTGCCGGTCGTGGTCATGATCGACCATCGGAGGTAGTGATCCGAGATCGAGTATGAGAGACCAAACCCTTCGCTGACGACTTGTCCATAGCTGTGGTGTTGTTGTCGCATCAGCAAGCTGTGTATGGTCTAGCCGTCCCACGAGGGAAAAAGCGCGGACTCACCCCCAGTTATCGAGGTATTCGCTGGTCAAGTTGCTTGTGCTCAATGTCCATGTCGACGAGTAAGCAAACGCCTCATCCTTGAAGACTTCAGGCATCTCCTCGCCTTTACGCAAGAGCTTCTTCAGGCCGAACATGTGACGATCGACACCCTGGCCGTCGGCAGCCCAGGTTGCATACTGAATATGCCTCGCCGCAGCTGCTCGGAAGAGTTTGGCCCTTTCGACGTCCTGCCCAAGTGGAAATATGAATCGGCTCGTTAGCAAATCCCATCGTAGTCATATGTTTCCATGATGTACTCACCGAACCGTTGGGATCTAGCATGGCATCCACAAAGGCCTTACTCTGATTACTGGCCGACCTGATGACTTCGGTTCGACCCAACCTGAATTTCCTCGTCTGCGCGCTCTCATACGTGACGGCGGGCTTCCCTCCGGTCATCTTGCCGTAGGCTAGCTGTTTGACCATCTGAACCCAGGCGTCGGGCGAGACCTTGTGCTTCTTGATGACGTCCTTGCCATACTTCTCAAAGTGGACCACCTGTCCGCCAAAATTACCACGGAAAACGGTCAGTTTCCTTGATCCTCTCATTCAGTAATTAGCTTTGACAAGGAAACGTACCTTGAGATCGTGCTTGCTCAGCGAATCCGCGAAATTCTTCTTGGCCCCTTCGACGAGCCCCTTGATCTTGTCGTCGACAACGAATTCGAGTTCCTCGATCTCGATCTTGCCGGGTTTCTCTCCAGAGACGAGGTCTAATGGGATCTTGCCGGATTCGAGAGCGGCCAGGACGAACTCGTTCATTCGCAAGGTGGGGGTCCCGTCGAGCATCGAGTCTAGTGCGCGGAAAGAGCAGAGTCAGTAACACGGACGAGGCAGTAGTGTGAAGACGGCTAGTCGAGCGAAATCAGGCGGAAGACTCACGTTCCCCGTTGAATCCCGACTCTCCATTCGGGTCGACCACAAATTCGTGCTTGTCGAACCACCTGTTCCTCCCCGCCTTGCCATCCCCAGTGTACAGATTCCAGCTCCTCCCGTCCCGGCCCTCGGCAGGCAGCGTGTCGTCGAGGTTGATGACCACGATCGAGGATTGGATCGATTTCAAGATCTCGGCGTTGACGGGGGAGAGGCTGACGAGGTGATCCCGAGCTTCGGTCCAGACATCACGGTCTTCCCCAGTCAACGTGCCGATCCCTACTCCATCGCTTGCACCACTCTGATCGCCGGCCTTGATGACCTGCTGGAAAGCGCCCTCGAGATCGCCTACTGCCAAGCCCTTGGTCCCGACCTTCCACAAGCGGTCCTTCCTTAGCACGATGACGTGTTCGTTCGATGCAGCAGGGTAGATCTCAAAAGTATCGCTAGGCTTGGTCGGGATCCTCGAAGCGTTGAACAATGCCGGATAGGCAGAAGCGTCCAGCGGTTTAGACTTGATAGATTCCGGCTCGAGCTTCTCCGAAGTGACCAGGTCCCTGAACACTCGGGTGGCACGAACGATCTCGGCAGCTCGACGAGCTTGAGACGCTCCCTTCCCTAGTCCCTTGCGGTGGAGGTAAAAGTAGTTGACGTTGGGTACGATCGAGTCTCGGTAAGACATGTAGGCGGCTTCGTTCCACCATTCCGAGAGCCAGGATTCCTTCTCGCTGGCTCGAGCTTCGAGACGAGCTTGCAAGGTAGACGAGAGCGGAGATTGGAGGAAGTTCTTGATGTGGGAAGAGTTGCGGTCGAATGAAGCCGAGTCTAGATGCGGTTGCAGGGTCTCGAGGTACTTGTGAAAGGTCGAGTTTAAGGATGGGACGGGGAGATGGGGCAGGAGATGCTGAGATGCATAGAGCGGTTTCGGAGAGGAATTCGCTTCTGTTGCAGAGCTCGTCCGGTTGCGTTGCTGCTGCGATTGTGGCATGGCGATGGTTGTACGTGCGATGTTAGTTGGCTATCGAGATGTCGAAATGAATGTCGTTGTCAGCTCCCGTGACGATCTGCTCTAGCTGAGCCGCCTCGAACCCACCCTCTGAATTGTACGAAGAGCTCTAAATGACATGACGTTGAGGTCTAGATTCGACGTAGAGTCGTGATGCCGTGGTGAAGATGAGTAGTGTTGTTGTAAAGGTGAATCGCTTGTTATATACACGTCTTTGGTCTGCGTTTGGTTCGGAATCGAGTGAATAACCGGTAAATACGAGAGAGCGGCGACCGTCAACAAAGGGGACACTGGTCTTATATACAACGGTCCCACGGAGACCCCGACAAGCACACAACACCCGGACATTTCCTATTCCCGGAGTAGATCCATCCACCCCCTTCTTCCCATGTCCACCCCCCCGTATCCGTTGGTCGCTTGGTCGCCAACCATGACCATGATCATCACCATGACCGTCATCGACATCGATGCATTGACGACCCCATCCTCCCCTCGGCCGCGCCTGCCCGGATCCCAAAACGCACGTCGATAACCGAACGGTCATTGCCCCCGACCCGCCGGAGGCAAATCACGTAGATCACGTGATTCATGCCGTCACACCTACCGGGTAGAGTACCACCACCCAACCCCTATGGCGAGTATACAGATCAAAATCGAAGCTACGATCGAGGAGATGAAGAGTATACCTGCCATCGTTGCCGTTGACGTGTGGGTCAGCGTCTCGTCTCCTGGGTCGTCATCGAGTAGTGGGCATGCAAGGCAGACTCACGTTCCCGCTTGACACGTTCCGCTTGAATTCTCTCGATCGAGGCTTGCCGGTCAGCGATCCGACGATCGAGTTCAGATAGCTACAAGAGTGTTCCAACCCAGGTGCGATGATGAAGGTCGGAATGAGCCAGAGGCGATCGATGGGCAAGGAGGGTAAAGCGATCCGATCAGCATTCGGATTGACCAATCATGAAACACCACCGAGAAAAGCATGACTCACGATCTGAGGTACCAACCTCTCTAGATCCTCCTCCACCCCGTGCATCGCACCTTCCTTTTCCTTCAACGTGTGTTCCAGCGAATCGACAGCCGAACAGGTCTGGGAGATGGTACGTAAAAAGGTCGACAGGTTGGTATGCGCGTTCGGAGGAGGTTCGGACGTGGATGGAGCGGAGGTGATGGATATTGCCGAGGGAGATGATGGATTTGATGTTGGCGTGTCATGTGTTACTCTAGAAGAGGGTCGATCCAGAAGATTGGAGGTCGTTTCGACTGTAGACCCACGTGTATTTCCCTCCTTTTGAGCCTTGTCGATTTCCTCCTCGTTCCCCAACGCATTCAAGATCCCATCCACCACCTCGTCATCTAGCATTTCAAACCTCTCCGCAATCGACTTGAACTCTTGTAGTGTATGTTGAATTGACCGTTGACGCGTGGTCAAGGACAAGGAGAGCGACGTCAAGGAGGATGTTAAGGGCGGGATGAGGTGACTATTGTGTATTTTGTATCGTCGACATGATGTGGAGATTCAGAGGGAGATCAGGCCAAAGGTCATGGAGAGTGAGCGAAGGCCAGATGATAACATACGACACAGTACGGGGCTTCACAATCCGTTCCCTTTCCATCTGAACTTCCCGAAAGACGTCCCAAGCTGCCTCTTCCTCCCTCTCGTCTTGCTCTACGGCGGCACTGCTTCGCCTCCGACCCTTCCCTTGAGCACGAGGTGAATCCGGCTCGAAGGCCTCTGAGATCCTGCTCACTCTGTCCGACCGACGTCCGTGCGCTCCCGATTCGAGTGGGCTATCGTCCATTGTTGCAACGTCGCGGGTCGAAGAGGAAGTAGCGAAAGACATCGAGTGTACCTGCGACTGCGATTGTGTTCGAGATGGTGGTGGAGGGAACGGATGCCTCCGAGCGTCAAAGGTCGAGGTATCGAAATGCTCATACGGGCCGTTCCCGCTGGAGCTTGCTGGTCCATAAGTCGCCGGTGAGCTGTGAAAAGCCTGTCCTTGCGCTCCCGATATCCCATTATTGTTTGTCTGACCGACTCCAAAGCTGGGAGAAGACCTGCCTGACACCCCTTGGGGATGGAACGCATTCGACACGGTCCGCGACGGCGGTAAGGGCCGAGCCTGACCTGTACCCAAACCTTGTACTTGATCTCGACCTTGCAATTGCGTATTTGATTGGGAGGCTGCCAAAGGAACCGGAGAAGAGGTCCGTCCTGGTGTCGGAATAGGAGACGGAGAGTAACTCGTCGTCCTCCCGTTCCACCATCGAGGGCTGATCCCTTCCCCGCTGGGCTCAGCCGGCGTTACGGAGACAGTCGTGTCGATGTGGCTCGTGGATGATCGACGTGATCCAGCACGATAGGTTACATCCTGATTCGCTGATGCACGAGGTCGACGGAGCGGAAAGGCGGAGGGGACTTGAAGGTGCCCAGCCGGAGAGTTTGAAATCGACTTTGAGTGTAAAGTGCTGGCGTGATCGTGAAGGTGAGAAGAGGTGGGAAGGGACGAGCTCGTAGGCTTGTTGTTCTCTTCTGTTCTGTTGATAATGCTACTTCTATTTCCTCGAGGTGTTGGAGTCGGGGTGGTCGAACGTGAACCTGGAAGGGAGGTATCGTCGTGAAACAACCTTCCTGCTCCTGCTTCCGGTCGTCCATATGCACCCAACCCCGTCCCGACGCCTGACCCAGACCCGGAACCTGAACCGGTATCTACATCTCCACTGTCCAAGCTTTCCATCCCTGCTCTTCGACCCTTTCGAGGTCCACTAGTAATGGACAACTTGCTCGCTCCATTGATTCCCTTGGTAGTGCTAGTGTCCGACTGCGAGGTCGCCCGGGCTCGAGTGTGTGGGAACTTCACGGTCGACGAAGAGGAGGAGGATGGGGATCGGGGCGGGCCTAGGTTGGCCCGAGAGGGTAAAAGCGATTCCATCGCTGTGGTATCGGCCGTAAATGGTACGTTATCAGGATCGATGACCGATATGACCTTCGGGGTATAGACAGAAGTGTGGTTTCGATGAAATATGCCCTTGGGGATCGACCCATCGCGACCCATTGATATACTTCCGAGAGGAAACGTCACTTCATCATTTCGGAAGCAATTATCCCGGCCTGCTTCTGAATCCCGCAAAACGAACTCATTTGCAGAAACGAGACCTCATAAATATTCACATAACACCTTGTATTCTATCTTGTACCGATCGGCAAATGCAGTAAAAGTTAGCACAATGTATCTCGCGATCGTCCGCTTTCGAACCATCGTTCTGCCCGTCTCTTTGCTCTTCGCGCGCGCGCAAGGTCGAAGGCATGAACGCCGAGGCAGCAGGTAGTAGCGTCCCGTTCAAGATGCAAGATGGAGGACTTTGACTCTGTTTTTTTATGGTCTTCAGCGACGGATGGCATTCTAAGCTGATGTTCCATAATCACATGGTGTCCTCAGTCTCGTCCGAGCATGTACCGATCATTGGAGTCGGTTCTAAGATGTACATCGATGGCGGCTGTCTGCGATGATCGTCGTTTGTTTCACCCGAACCCGAAAAGATTTGCGCGGAGGGGGGAAAGTCCGATGGTCAGAAAAATTTCCGACTTTTAGCTCTTTGCTTTCGTCGTTGTCTGCCCCCACATGCCATATTCTTGCAAGGCATGTGAGTGTGCAAGTCTTGGTGGTGACCATATCCGCCCCCACTGCATCCCGGTGACTTCCTTATCTCTGACCCTCTCGACCGAGTGCGGGGTCTCCCTCCCCCTCCCGACGACTTCGCTCTTCTGTTGACTGATTGGGGGGAATGGACGACTTTTCGGGCGCGTCGAGGGTTCTGCACCGAGTCACGGTTGCTGCTGCTGCCGCCGCCCATTCCACCACACTTGAACTTTCAGTCTTTTGATCAGAAATTCAGAAAAGTTTCTCCATCATCTCTAGCCTCTCTACCTCGAACTTCTCTGCCCATATAGACACTTTCAAATAAGACTCAATAGCACGTTGCATTACACGTAGCTCTCTGTTATACTACATACCGAAACACACGCGCCTACACAAAACCACGCAATCATGTCCACCGTCGCTACCACCGTCGTCACCGGAGACAAGAAGGGTCGTGTCCTCCTCGCCTACTCGGGTGGTCTGGGTAAGTGCAGTAGCTCTAAACTTACCCCGAACGACGTATCGTATTGAGCTTATCGCCATCATCACTCCCTCGACCCATGTCAACCCGATAGACACCTCGTGCATCCTCGTCTGGCTCATCGAGCAGGGATACGAGGTCTACGCTTTCATGGCCGACGTCGGTCAGGAAGAGGACTTTGAGGCCGCCAGGGAAAAGGCTCTGAAGATTGGTGCCAAAAAGTTCTTCTTGGAGGACTTGAAGAGGGAGTTTGTCGAGGAGTTGATCTACCGTGAGTCGCCCGAGTGATAGCGATAACGTCAACCGGTAGCGAAAGATGAAGCTCATGAACGTCTTTTCTCTTTCCCCTTCTTGCATCGAATTTCTATTTTCCCTCGCTCTCTACAATCTCCTCTATACTATATCTTCACCCCGCCGCAGCCGCCGTCCAGTGCAACGCCATCTATGAGGGAGTCTACCTCCTCGGTACCTCGCTCGCTCGACCGGTCATTGCCCGAGGCATGATCGAGGTTGCCGAGAGGGAAGCTTGCGAGTGAGTGAGAGTTTGGGACCGGGGTCGAACCTGGTGATGTCTCTGGCATGGGCGAAAGCTGATCTCATGTGTTTTGCGTCTCGATTTACAGCTACGTTTCGCACGGATGCACCGGAAAGGGTAACGATCAGGTCAGGTTCGAGCTCGCCTTTTACGGGTTGAAGCCGACCATCAAGGTCATTGCTCCCTGGAGGTTGCCTGGTAAGTTTAACGAGACGGGTGTTGCAGAATCCAGGTCATTACACTTGGCTAACGGGGTAACGGGTGTCGTATCGCAGAGTTCTACGACCGATTCCCCGGTCGATCGGCCCTCCTCGAGTATGCCGCTCAGCACGGTGTTCCCGTCGTCCAGACCGCCGCCAAGCCGTGGTCGACCGACGAGAACCTGTTCCACATCTCTTACGAGGCCGGTATCCTCGAGGACCCCAACACCACCCCTCCCGCCGACATGTGGAAGTTGACCGCTTCCCCTGAACACGCCCCCAACGAGCCCGAGCAGATCGTTGTCGAGTTCAAGCGAGGTCTGCCCACCAAGGTCACCGTCCCCGGCACCGGAGCCGTCTACACCGACGCCGTCGAGATCTTTTTGCAGCTCAACGCGCTCGCCAGGAAGCACGGAATCGGTAGGGTCGACATTGTCGAGAACCGATTCATCGGCGTCAAGTCGAGGGGTTGTTACGAATCCCCCGGTGCGACCATCTTGAGGGTTGCCCACATGGACCTCGAGGGAATGACCTTGGACAGGAACGTCCGTGCGCTCCGTGATCAGTTCATCACCATCGAGCTCTCCAGGATCCTCTACAACGGTTACTTTTTCTCCCCCGAGCGTGAATTCTTGACCGCCGCCATCCCTGCCAGTCAGAGGACCGTCAACGGACAGGTCAAGCTCAAGCTCTACAAGGGCAACTGCGTCGTCGAGGGAAGGTCGTCCGACGAGGGGTTGTACGACGAAAAGTTCTCGTCGATGGACGAGATGGGCGGGTTCGAGCCCAGCGAGACTACCGGATTCATCTCGGTCTCGGCCATTCGTCTCAAGGCATGGGCCAACGCCAAGTGAGTGCCGGTCCGAACCCAAACAGCCGCATAGTAATACTGACTGTCCGCCTTTTCTTCTCGCAGCGTCCAGAAGGGTGCCGGTGGTGTCAAGAGGTCCGACGTCTACAACCCCAAGGAGTAGATCCGGATCTTCTCCTTCCTACGTCCGCCCTGCTCGCCCTAGAGCAATACCAAAACAACAATCACGCCTCGCCTGCCATACCACCGCGCTTTGCGCTGCACAATCAACCACGACCAGTCTCGCTTCAATTTCATTCAATACTCTTTTCTGTCTCTTGGGTACATGTCTTTTTCCATTCGTTATCGAAATATCAATTTTCAAGGGTTCCGCGCATTCTATGCCAGAGTCTGGGTTTCGGTTCGACCGTCATTCCCGACGAGGCACGTGATTTTCTCTGTCGCCCCCTCGTGTGCGTTCAACAATGCCCGACTCTGGGGAAATATGATAAATAGACAACAGAAAGGCATGGACTCACTCACGTCCCCTTTGTCCATCACATCTACTCCCACGCACACCACAAACACGCATACCACGGCAGATACCATATAATACCAGTCCCATTCGCCAACGAAGGCAACTTCAAACACGATCGCCCACCTACTTTCGTATCACACGGGCGGGTACCAAAGAAATCCAGCGGATCTGCTAAACAGCGACAACGGTAGAGGTCTCGATTACACAACGATGGCTTCCCCTGCAAACCCCATTCGATCTACAACATTGACGGCTTCAGAGCTCAAGCTTTCTTCGCTGCAATCATCACAGGACGGTGACTTCCGCTCGCTCGCTGCCCAGTGGGACGCTCTTGTAGAGAACGAAGGTGGAGGAAGCTGGCCACCTCAACCCGCTCGACCACAAGCCTCGTCTTCGTCATCGTTGACTTCCTCCTATTCCTCTGGCCCCACTTGCGCCGCTATCGACTCCGCCGAAAGTCCAACATCATCGTGCTCTTGGTGGCAAGCATATCACGACCTCGCTCTATCCCTTGCTGCCAGCGGCCGCTTCGTCGATTCTCGAGATGGGCTGCATCCCACTCGGGCCGAATCCGAACTACGAATCAGGATCGATCTGAACCGACAGTGGTTGGCAGAAGAGTTGGAACGAGTTGTGATTCTTGATACCATCATGCAGCGTTTGAAAGAGTCGTTGGCCCCCGAGGACAACTCGGTCTCGTCATCGTCTTGTCTCGGCTTCCTCGCCTGCCTTGCCTATCTCGCACACCTATACCGATGGGGAACGATACCCGTCGTCTCGTTGGCGCAAGACGAGCGGATGCTGGAGATGCCGGAAGCGATCAATCGACCTCTGGAAGTGCTGAGGGAGAGGTACGGGTTGAAGACTTCTGGAGGATGTAAGTGATCAAGTCGTTGGGAGGAACATGATTAGGTTGCTGACTCGATACCTCCAGGCCTCTGGAGTATGACTCTACTCAATGTTGATGCGAACAGTCAAGACGGGATCGTCTACTCCAACATGCGACACATCCGAGAAGACTACCCGGATGCTTGGGACGCTGAACGCCTCAATGCGTCGATCTTCTACGACATGGAACGCTTGGCGGTACCTTTCTACCGTGCGATCGCTGAGCTCGAAACAGAGTCTCTGACAGCCGAAGAAATAACCACGACGCTTCGCACCGCCAACGTCTCACTTAAAGCCGCCTTCAAGATCTTTTTCGACACGGTCCGCGAAGGCCGGATCAAGAAGGATGTATGGATGTCACACGCGCAGGGTTTCCATGGATGGGGAATCGACGACTTTGATGGTGTCTCGGGGGACCATTCATTGTTGATCAGGACGTTGGACGCTTTCTTGGCTATTCCCAAGCACACCGTCGCAGAAGTTCCGACGGCGACCCGAACCGGTATGGAGGTGGACGGAAGAACAACGTCGTGGTCGTCTTGGCTCGCGTCATGGATCCTTCCGTGGCGTCGGGATACATCACAAAGTCCTGAGTCTACATCGTCAACCGCTCCTGCTTTCACCGGTGTTCCTTACTCGGATGATTACCTCCCAACCCACCAAGTCGCCTGGATAGCCGCCGTCCGCGCAGCCAACCTTCGCCCTCGACTCGCTCGTGAAGCTCCTGAAGAGCTCGCCGAGACCGTACGCCTCTTGCGCTTATGGCGCGCAGCACATACACGCAAAGCCGTATACTACGAGAATCTGCACCTTCCGGAAAGACGGCCGATGACGGCGAGTGGTGGCGTTGGAGGCGGTGTCGCGGATGGCAAGACGGAAGACGTCGGCGAGATGATTCGGAAATTGGAGGCGAGGTTGAAGGCGAGGATCGAGGCGACGCAATGAAGGAATGTGCGCCATAAGCTCAATCGGATTGTATGAAATGCGATTTCACTCGATTAAGCATCAACGTGAAACTCGGGCTTGGTTTCTTGGCGTAATTGAGGCTTGTCATCGGCTCTCTGCTCGCCTAATTAAGCTTCGTTTCGAGGCGACTTGTGACTAAACGTTACTATACTTCTCGGCAAGGATTCCGGGGTTGATGGTCCTAAGTTCGAGTACAGTGCTAACTTCGATGGGATTGGCTACATCGGTCATTGACTCACGCAACTGCGACCCCTCAACACCTGCATCTCAATTAGGACTTTGCCCCGTGACTAGAGGAGAAGGCGCGTATTTGGATGCTGGATTGAAATTAGGTCATACGTGCCTGGGAGAGTGAGATGTTGTCATAATCCAGGTGTGATATGGTTCCGTGGGTGTGGACGGGTAGGTAGATCGGTTCAAATCGAGAAGCGGCGCGATAGACCACTCGAGTGCATGGAAGAAGCCCTTCCTTGGGAGTCGGGTCGTCATAGGGCCTCGATGAAGTTTATCTCGGTGACTACATACGAATCCCCTGATTTCCAGAACCTTTCTTCGCTTAGGCTTGATGTTTGGAGATGTTGGCGGATGTCAAGGCTTACGAGGGAGGGGTTAGCTGATTTGCCGATGCGGGAAGCGCCAGTCGTCCCAGTCGACCCACAAACACCTGCCTGGGCTCAATCCAGGTTTTGAGCGATAAATAAGGGGTGGCATTTCAAGGCTACTGTTACAACACACCACTGGTACAGAATTGTTCATCTACCAAGCATTGATCAAGCAAATCATACGCAAATGAGAAATGAGACCACCTCAAAGCGCGCTGAGATCCAACTTCCTGGAGATTCGAGCTTTGAATGCATCAAGTGTGAAGGGCCGTCCAAGGAACTCTGTGACCATCTCTGTGGCATCTTTGGTACTGCCAGGTTCAAGAATGGTACGCCTGTATCGACGGCTCATCTCCTTGTCCAACAAGCCGCCAGGAGCAGCTCTGAAGGCTTCAAAAAACTCATCACAGATGGCTTGGGCATGCATGTAGCCATAGTACTGTATAACAAACGTCTCATCAGCACTACAATTTCTGATCCTATTTTTGAGGTGACTTACCTTGGGACCATACCCAGTCGAGGCAAGGTGACCAAACGTGGCCGGAAAACAGTCTCCTTCAGTGTAACCAAAAATGTCATGTTCTTCCAAAAGATCCTTCCAATCTTCAAGAAGTGAGCCAGGATACTTCCCATCAACCATAGCCTTGCTGAAGAACATCACAGCGCTGTGTAGATTGGCAGTCAGTCATACGATTTCCGTCTTTGTTTGGCAAAATCACCTGGCTTACGCTCGAGCAAAAGTCATCTGTGTCATTGTCTGCATGCCGTCTCCAAGTTGTTGAGAATCTTGAAGCTTCTTGATCAGGTCATCAGGTATGACTTGACCGTCCTTGTTGATTGCCAGACGCTTGAGAACTTCAGGTTCCAGCATGTGCCGTTCAAGGAATTGAGACTGCAATATTGACTGTGCTGAGCAACACAGACTTTATCATATTGACGTTCATCTGGCAGGTTCTTACTGGTGCTTCAACAAAGTCTGTTTCCACGGTCAGGTTGTTGAGGTTCCCATACACACTCTGTGTAGCACATAGCCCATGAATCACATGACCATACCTGCAGCACAATCACAGAAGGTCAGCACACAGAGGATGAAACTGATTGCACAAATGCTCACTCATGATAGAGGGTGGAGACCTCTCCATAGGTCAGTAAGGCATCATCTCCCTGCGGAACATTGGCCAACAAAACAACTTCAGGCAGGTTGCTTCTGTTGTATGCCTTCCTTATGGTAGAAACACATGCATGGCTGTACTTGTTGTCCCGTGGGTGAAGCTGAATTTTGTATTGGTATAACAGTATCAGGATAGAGAACAGGCTTGAATTTTGCTTTTGCTGTACTCACATCTGTGTAGAGTCTTCCCATCAATCTTCCATCATCATCATCATACACATCATAACATTCAACTCCAGTCTCTGTCCAAGACTTCACATCTGGTTGGTGTTGGAACCGTACTCCAAAGAGCTCCTGAATCAGCAAGGCGATCTGAGGCAGGACGTTTCCAACCCGCAGGTATGGTCTGAGCTGGCCGCTGTCAAATCCAGAGAAGAGGCGGCGTGAGAGGATCTCTTTGGCAAAGCTTGCTTGCCATGTCATGAGATCTTTGGTTCCATAGACCTGAGCACGTGCTTGTTTCTCTTGATCAGCTCGATCTTTGGAGATGGCCACAATATTGTCAATGAATTTGTTGACCTTGTCAAGGCCCTTCAGTGCAAGGCGGCCCTCAAGAGAGAGTGCTGCATAGTTGGGGTAACCCAGGATTTGTGCATAAGCCTGTGATCCTTCAATGATCTCCTGCAAGATCTTGATGTTCTCTGGACACCTTGCACGGTACTCATACTGTGTCTTGCGTCTTGTTTCATCGCTCTTGCAGTACATCAGCACCGGGAAGACATCGGCATATCGGGTGGTCAATTTGACATGGCCTTCCTCATTGGCTGGATGGGACTTCATGAAGTCCTCTGGCATACCCTCAAGGTCATCAACAGAGACCAGCCAATCTCTTTGCCCATTGTTGATGTTTTGAGAGTATTGGGTGCGGAGCTCTGTCAAGTGCTTGTCCAGACTTAACAGCTGAGCCCGCTTGTCCTCTGCCAAAGTAGCCCCAGACTCCTTGTAGATAGTCTGCCATCTTTGCACAAACCGCTGCTCATGTGGGTCGATGGCAGGGTTGACAAAAGTCATGCGTTGGACAAGGGAAGCAAGAATAGGATCCTTCTCGACAGAGGAGTGGAAGTTCTCAAATGCATCATCAGCTGCAGCACCTTCATCACGGAACTCCTTGTTGGGATGGACATTCTTGAAAAGTCCTCCTGTGTTTGCTCCTTCAGTTCCTTGGCTGATGACAGAGTCAAAGCGTGAACCCCAGTCTCCAGCAGTGGGTACACCTTCAAACTTCTTGAGAAGCTCCAGTTCCTCTTCAAGCTGCTTCAACTTGGCTTGCCACTCTGTATGGTAAGTGTTGAGATCAACTGTTCCGTCAAAGGTGAAGTTGTAAGCTGATGACATGTCTTCAAAATGTGTGTAGTGTTGGGTTTGATGTAGAGTGTATGTGTATATCAACTAGATATAGCAGGATTTTCAAGTTCAACAGAAGGGAATGGGTTGGGAGACCGATGCTCATCGTCCAGGTTTATATACCACTCTCAAAGGGCATGAGAGGGCAATAGCATAAAGGAGTACCTTTGCTGCCCCCAGTCAAGCCGGACAATTCCGTTCCTTTCTGCTCGAGGGGGTCGAGGGGTAAAGGGGGTCAAGGCAGGGAGAAAGGTGAAACAGTAACGGCAGGCTTGCATGTGACGCTTGAGTAGAGTTGCAGTCTACTAGAAAACAACAATCTACCCAAGGCTGAGGCTTTAGGTTGCTGGACTTGAGACAAGTTCTCCAGAGCTGTTCCTGGACCTGTTTCCAGCACTTCAAGGACAGAGCACCGCCACCCATCCGTGAAGCCCGGCAGCCTTTGGGACAACTCGTCCATATTCGCTACAGCCTCTTGGCGGCATGTGACATGGCTGCTTTGGATCTCTGTGAGATTCCTTGGCAAAATCTATTCTGAGTTCCAAGATGTAGTGATCTGACAACAGCATGAGACTACTTTCTATGGCAAGGTCAAATTGTGCCCTGACCAACTCTATGTCCACATCAGTCAGTGCAATAAGAAGGGCAAGATTCTGATAGTGTTTGTTGCATACAAATGGACCTCTGCAGGAGTGAAACCCGTGCCATGTGTGTGTGTATGCAGTATTTACTACAGGTGCATCTGATTAAGCAGTGTCTTTTCCCAAACGCTGCTAAGTCCCTTGCGCGGATATTTGGGAATATTTCAGAATGTAGGACTAGGGTATTTAGATGTGATAGCAGATGAAGAACTATATACTACAGGATAATGGAAAGTAATACAATATGATATGCTCCTCGGACAACTCCAGCGGAGTCGCTATGACCTCAGTCTCTCGCCAGGGAGGCAGAGCACTAGACAGCACACAGGGCTGATAGTGGTAATGATGCTACAAGGTGTGCTATCTAGTACATGAGAGGAGAGAACTCTGCTATCTTGCCAAGAGGGGGCAGCGCGCGCGTCTCAAATGTACCTGCATATCGTTACAGCATCTGCGCAGCATTTCTTGAAACTCAGATCCTGCTCACTGTCTCCTTTCTTCCACAATTCACTGTTCGCTTGTTGGATTTGGATCTCCTAAACAGACTGCTCCTAAGCTTGAGTACCACCTTTGTGATACGGGAAGCCTGAACCTTGAACCCAGCCGCAATGACAAGCTTGGTCCCAATAGTGCCTTATAGCCCTTGGCAATGGCCATCCTGATCTCACACATATGGCTGGCAAGTTTGCAAAGATCTTTCACAATTGCCAGCAAGTCTTGGTCCCTGCAGACCCTGTGCCATGAAAGTGTCTTTACAGTTGAGAAAAGATGGAGGCTGAATTGCAGGATGATGGGTGAGATTGACTGAAGACAGTATTGATATATACATGGTTGCGGTGACAAGGTGACCAAATTGGATTAGCCCTGATCTTGGGTCCACCCTTTTGCTGCATGTCAATGGATGACTGGCATGTATTCTTGACATGCATTGGTGAGGAGGTTTTCCTTGGCAGCTGGTCTTCAAAACAGCTGCCATGCAAAAACAGACCGGCCCATGGTACCTCCTTGGTCACATCTCGATAGGTTTGCTATATCTGGCACAATGTCTCTAACGATTGAGCTATCGCTTCGGTAATGGTAACAGCATGCGGATTTAGACAAGTATCGTTTGATGCTATTGTCAAGATTGGCTTGCTTGTTGTGTTGCAAAGCAAGAGATTCTCCATAGATATAGGTTCGCAAGTTGACAGAGGGGAACCATTCAACCATTCAGATCCTGACTGCTGTCTCATCAAGCTTCAGCAATAATAGGAAGAGCTGATAGCCCCTGTTCGTTTCCCTCCTGCATAAGCCGTAGTGCAGGCCAGTGTTGAAAGCATTCTTCTGGGCATCCCAATGTTCAACCTGAATACTTTCCCAATGTTCAACCTGAATACTTTCCCAATTATCCACGCTTTTATTGTCACCCTGATAGCACAATGGCAGTGTTAGTATCAGGAAACAGAGTATGGCGGTATAAAAATCACATTTTTGAAGATGTCAAACCCTATGCAGGCCTGATAACAATGTATAAGTGGGCGTGCCTGTTGGGTGCTGCAGTCCGCTCACTTCCATGGATTACAGAATAGTCAACTCGATAGGCAAACCTGGAGTGCTCCAGACAGCTGCTCTCTGCAGTAAGGGAAAGGACCATCATTGAAGTTCCATCCGCTTCTTCTCAAAGTGAATATGTATATTTCTTGTCTGACAAGACCCTGTAGGGTACAGTAAGGTTTGTATGTGAACAGAACAGCTTGTTAGCCGTTCAAGTAGACTTACCGGCCTGTCCAAGCTTGAAGATACCTCTGGACCACAGATCTTGCATCTACAGTCCAAACAAAACTCTTGGCTGGAGGTATCATATCCCGCCTTTTGGGTGCAAAGTCCCTGCATCTGTCACCCAATTCAGAGCCAATTCAATAGGAAGATTACTTTCCAGAAGTCCAATGCCGCATCCTATGAAGTCAGCTTCAAGGTGCAATGTGATAGTTTATTAGCGATTTACAAGGCTTGCCACCCATCAGTGCCTGGAAGTACCTGCAGTGGTCTGGTCAAATCTGGTTGGAATGTTTGTCTGATTTTTGCGATCGAAATATTGACATTGGTGTGAGCACTGTGGGCAGCCACGCCTTTCCTTGAGCTCGTGGACAAGTCAAAATGCTCTCTTGAGGTATATAACACATTTTGTGTATTTTTCAGCCGCTCAGCGGTGTTCCATCTTGCTTCCTGAGCTCACTCACCTGGTGTATTCTTTTAAGACTCATAGCAGCCCAAATTGCCACAATATCATCATTATTGACATCGATAAAGACCTAGCATAGGGATGCAGTATGAATTCATGAAGTTTTCACAAGCTTGAAGCTGATGATACTCACCTTGTGCATTCTCTCTGACAGTTTGTAGAATCTTGGACCACTCAAGTTTTCACAAGGCCTCTGAACAACTCCACCTTGTCAACAAGGCTGGCAGAATCTTCCTGAAGTTGCATCAGCCTTCTGGTCAGTCCACCCTGGTTGGTGATACTTGTTGCCTTGTGAATAGCCCTGTTAGCACCGTTTTCCTTCATATACAGAGGGACGGCTCAGTGAATACACATTGTACAATGTGAATAAATGCCTCTTGTTACAGCAGAATCTTGTGCAGGAACCTTTGGGAGGTTTGGGCGAGAGGCAAACATACCTGATAAATTGGGGTGAATGGCAGTAAGTGTACAATGATGTGATCAGCAAACAGATCAACTTTTGGCTGTGTGTATTTGTTCCAAAACATACCCGGATATAACATCACAACAACTTTGGTGTAATGTGTGACATCCGTACAACCAACCGATTATTCGCCTGAAGATTCTCCAGGGAAGCGAGTGGGGAAGCTGTCTGACATGCTCCCAAGACCACCGTTGGGTCTCGCAGCGTGCCATGGTACTATCGTCCGCAACCTTTTGAGCATCAAAATGTTAAGAGATTGCTCAATTCATGATGAGAAGACAAGGGGGCTGACTGGATTGCTCATGACCTGGAAACAGGCCCAATATGTTACGGATCAACATCAATCCCGACACAGATTGTTATCGTTCCAACACTTGGCAATACCATCTTAATATCAGTCACCATTACCTGGCACATCCCAACATCTCCCAGTCTCTCTCAACATTTATCTACATCATTCCAATACTTCTTGGTATTTCAAACAGCACATGTCTAAATAGTATTTAAGACAGGCCCTACAGATGTCGTTTTATGTCCCTTCAAGTCTTCTCTTCTTTCCTTCCCAAGAAGGGATTATCATACATTACATCCCTGAACCTTGCACTACAACACCTTAAGCCCCTGCGTTGGCCCCTATCCAGCACTGTGCTCTGGCCAAGCACTTCACAGCGCATACAAGATCGTCGGTCACTTGTTCCTCCTGGGTATCTCTGCCTTGCACAATTCCCTTTGACAAATGTGGACTACTGTTCCCCTAGCTCTTTCCCTAGCTCCAGGCCCGACCGTAACACAGTAAGAGATCGGAGCAGGCAAAGGCAAGGTCTGGAAAGGGAACTGATGGAGACGAAAAAAAAAACACCCGCTCCATATTGCAATGGCAATCACTTCTGAAGAATGGCAGACAAGTAGTTGTGAATATGCAACAGATGGTGGTTTGGGTTGCCTCACCATGTTGTGCCAAAAGGTCAAATTTGAAACCTCCTATGGCATCAAGTCCTTGAATTTCGATACTGCAGCGAGTGGCTCTCATGAGCCTGATCGTCAATGATGAGCTCAGAGATCCGTTCCCCGACCAGGTCCTTGGGTAAAGCCATGCTTGCAGTTTGTGGTTGTCTCACCCCAGGGTTGGGACCTCTGCTCAGGTGGTCTGTGCAGCAATCAGGGTGTTTGCACCTGAGAACCTCTGGGAGCGCAAGCTTCCAATATTTGCTAATCTTCAGGCTCAAGGGTAACAGCTTGTTGTCCACAATCTTGAGCTCAAGTCTCACCAAGACTGCCTCGTCAATGGCGGTGGAATTGAACTGCAAGCGGTCCAGCGGAGCAGTTGCACATGTTGATTCCCTTGTGACCTGCATTTAGGTTTATTGTGGGTACAGCAAAGTCCTTCCACACGGTCCTTTTTTGTTGGCGATCTCAAATTTCATTCCTGCAACTGGAACCGACACCCGAATGATTGGGCCTGCCAACCTGCAAAGTCTCTACCAGTAGGTGTTATCTTCTGCGGGACCAAAACAAGATTTGAGCGTGGCATATGTCTTCAGCAGGTGATAACAACCTGCAATGATTGAGCGGCTGATCATCAGTACTTTATCCTGACCTTGGCTTGACCGGCTGATCAGGAGGCGGCTCCAACCTTTTGACAAGCGGCCAACGCTCCCCGCAATATCTCCTCCTGGTTTTGCCTCATGGAGAGCATGAAAGCGTCAACCGGCTATAGTGAACCACAATCTCCCAGTCAGATCAAACTCATGCCAAAGCTGACCGGGAAGAGTGGAGCTTGCTGAAAGTGTTTGGCGCTCACCTAATTCAGCCCCCAAGCACAGTGATGTGATATTTTCCTGTTGCAAGAACAATCCGCCAGTCTGAACATACAAGCTGTTGGATCAGGACAGACAGTGAGATTCAATCCGATCAAGGAGTATTTGTTATAGCCATCCGCGGTATGACTATCACGTACATCCGAACGGGTGTTCCGCCAGCAACTCCGGCGGAGCAGGTACTTATATGGTACGATAGGTAATGTCTAACTACTACGATCACTATTGTAATATGTAATTCATCTGCTATCACACTCATTTATCTACCTACTACCCTACGCAAGTCCCGGAGAACCCACAGGTTGCTGGCAACCTAACAGTATTGTCATATCATGCCAATCTTTGACATTACCTTCCATCCATCTTACACTTGTCCTCCTTGCCCATAGCTGTTGCTATCAACACAGGTAGCCAAGCCCTGCCGTGGTTTGATAGGTCCTTCCTTGCCTTGAAAGACTCCGCTAATGACATCAGGGATATCAGCATTTGAACAGCACCAGGGGTATCAGCAACGAAAAGACACCAGGAGTATCAGCAAGAGATTCCCAACAATGTGTGCATTAATGGCTGTTGTGATATCAGCCTAAGCTGATGGTGTAACTGGTTCTTTTGATGGTGTTAGGATTTGAAGGAGGCAAAGGAGAAGTTGGGGGCCAGCAGGACCTTGTGAGATTGCCGACGGGTCAGTTACAGGCCGCGCATATCGACAATATCAAAGCGCTGTCTGACGCCCTGCCCTTGCCAACTGAACTTGACAAACCACCAAGATCTTCCAAGAAATTGACAAGGTCATCTCTGTTGCCAATCAAGTCGAGGCTGCCTGAGTCGAGGCTGATGTAGGACCTCTGCCAGCTCCTTTTTACAAATGGTTCAAGACTGCCTTTGGTAGCACTGACAAATATCATGGCAATGACAAAGAAGGAGACGAGAGATCACTGCTATCACTTGTGTGAGTGACTATGTATCTGATTGCCTGGTTGCTTGCATAAGAATAAAGTAGTACATGAGAGGGGAAAGAGACTTCAGACCCAAATGGTCTGCTATATATACTTTTCTGGAAAGAGGAAATGGTGACAAAAGTGGTGGCAAATGGGTTGAGTCATAACTTTGCCATGACTGGTTTATGAATTGTTCACCAACCAACCGTGATTACGTCTCCAATTACGTCTTGAGGCTGTTTTGCTATTGGTGGCAATAACCTCTCAGATTTGCCACCCAATGGCAAAAGTGTCTAGGTTTGCCTCAGTAGCAAAACCATTCCTTCTAGCATGTTCCATGCTCTGCTTCAATCTGTCAGTACTTTGCTTCCTGCTTTGTGGTTGAGATTGCTTCCACATGTTGACAAGTTGTCATCACATACTGGTATGCAACAATGGCAGTTGTGGTTCATTGTGGATTGTGCATCCACGTCAATCAGGGTTCCTCTAAGACGACTTCAGACAGTCTTCCACAATGTGTTGGCTGCTCCATAGTCTGTCATCCTGGTACAAAATCCACAGTAATCTTGCAATCCCATGACACCGCTCCTTGTCAAACCTTGTGACACAATGTGTGCTGTTCAACCTCTCCATTTGCATCTGTCTTCTCCAATGTCAAAGCGGGAACATAGAAACCCGCTTATTTGGTACAATAGCTGGAGGAATGACATTCAAGCGAGCTTCACAGAACATATGTAAAACACCACCTTGCACACCAGACTAGACATCACCCTGGACATCAGGTCCCGTCAAACTGAATGTAGGCTCACGAATCAGAGAGCCATGTTGTGCCAGCAACGCAAACACTGCTGCCCCATTGACATGTTCTTGTTATAAAGCGGAACAGTCAAGTTTGCAGGATCAGATTAGATTCGTGATTCAAGACCACACAACACAAGCAAGTATGTCACAAAAGAATCTTGTAAGCATGACTGCGGCCGTTGACGGACATCAACATCACCGGCAGTCTGCTTGGGGAAGCTATTATAGGTATTGCATGACATGCAAACTCAATTAGACATCACCTCAGTGAGTTGCTCAGAGACCCTCTCAGAGACCCTCCCAGCAATCCTTTAGGAGATGTTCTTGTAGATGTCTAACTAACACCTTGAAACAGTTGACATCCATTGTTATATTATATTTCTACTGTTACATTCCCCAGTCCTGCAATGTTATCTTGAAGAGACCTCCTGATAAGACAACAAGAAGGTCCTTTCCACTGTGGAAACCTCACCCATTTCCAGGACCTGGTTTGAAGCATCTCAGCAGAACGCCTTGATCCAAAAAGTTTGGGGACGTCTACATCAATAGTGAGCGTGCATTAGTACTGGTAGCCGCAGTTGGGAGCGAGAACCGAGGGGGTCATCCAGACAGGCTGGCGGGATGCAGGAATGAGGCAAGGTATGGGTAGACATCTAGATGTAATGACGGATGTCACGCAAAATGCAAGAGCTGGGTGGTTACATAGCGGCTTGCAAGCCACAATAAAGCTGAGGCGAATGCCACCAGGCTCAAGGTTGGTCTCGTGTGATATTCACGTTCTATTTCCCCAGTCATAGACTTACGTTCATCTTTCCTGCACAGTACTTTTTAGAATGGTCTCAAGAGACAATACTTCTTGGGGCATGCTGGTGCAGGCAGCAACGTCTTTATGGAGGTGCTACCCTCAGCAACCTGTAATCTTAGGTCGGGCAAAGAGACCATCCTCCTTGCAGGTCAGCCGCCATCTTTACCGCCCCCAAGTACAGCCATGGGTTTTGGTCAAATGGTGCTTGGCTTGGGAGAAATCACCGGAATCATCACCCAAATCTGTCCCGGACCATCACCCAAATCTCTCCGGGAACCATCACCCGAAATCACAAACGGGGTACAAGCTCAGACATGGCAAGCAGACCCATGGAGTGCCCAACAAGCAGGTGGAGCAGCCCAGCCGCGTCAATACTCCACCTCCTTTGTAGCGAGTGCGATATCTATAAGCCTGTAATTGCAAAAGAATAGCAAGAGAAGGATTAGTAGATCACGAGCTATAGTATTTACCTGGTCTGTGCTTGGTCATTATCCAATCCTAGATCACTTGATAAGCCTGTCTCAAGTTATACCTACATGATTGTGAAGATGAGTTAGCTAGACCTATCTTACCAAAAGGACCTTGACTGAGTCAATAGCGTTGATGCTTGTTGATGAAGGTGAAAGTCAATAACCAAAGACTTGTTGTGGAAGATGTATGGTGTAGAGCGCCTGGGGGCTAGGTTGTATGCTCAATGTGAGGATGTCAAAAGGTGAAGAGAATAACCCAGAGAGATACCCTACAACCTCCCTTGAAATGTCCTATATATATACTCATAAGGGGAATGCCATTTGGTGGCAAATGTACAAGTCACAGCCAAACGGAAGTGTATTAATAGGACTGTCCATCCTTCCAGTCATCCAATATATCATCCTACCATATCTCCATCTATCCAGATAAATCTCCGTCCATCCAGATATATCTCCGTCTTTCCTATTATGCCTCCGTCTTTCCATATGTACGTGATTATATCTCTCTGTATGTCTTGACATGCCTCCAGATATGCCTCCATGCTTCCAGAGTGATTCTCAGTTCCGTTACATCCTTTGCCATCTCCAGGCTCACCTTCAACCTGTTTGAGGCCATACCAAGCGGAAGATGACAACGATGCAGTTGTTGGAACGGTCGGGACAATTGGGACGGTTGAGAAGCTCGAGAGGGAGAGGCTTAAGACAGCAGAGACAGTTAGACCGGGGTTGGTCAAGAAGGTCGGGATGGAGTCGGTTGGGACAGTTGGGAAGGAGACGGTCGGGACGGATGTGACCCAATGTTGCGAACATTCTCAGCGAGGTCCCCAACATGGCCAATGTTCTCGACATTCTCCACGCTCGAGTCCTGCACCTCCTCCGCGACCACCGGAGCGGGAACGTTTGAATCCTTGCACGCCGCAGTGACCCAACCGAGAACATTCAATTCCTCACCGGAACCTGCAGCGATACCAGCCAGAACTGCCAAGTCCGCACCGGCCTTGGTGTTACGGGCGTCCTCGAAAATCGTCTAAGGGGTTGCTTCCGCGTATTTACTTCCGTCGCGACTACGTGGCGAGTCACAGGTTTCTAGATGCAAGCGAAGTCGGATCACGTGACTACGATGTCTCACGGTCTTTCTCGAGTTCGTGTGAAGTTGCGACACTGTACTAACGATAGTGAGTTCGTCGGTGATAGTGTAACCTCTCCTAGTACGTCTCCGTAGTATAACTAAGGTATAGGCGTATGTCGAATGTAATAACTGCGCTTGAATCGTATAGAAGTACAACAGACTCGCACGACTTCTCTACGATTCGCGCTCCGTTATATGCTAACTACGTACTCGCGTTACTCGCACCGAATCCGCTATTGTTTACCGAGTTCGCCCGACTTCGTGCTTGTCTTCTTTGTTCGAGAACAAAAGGCTGTCGTCCGTCGGTCGCTCTTTCAGGCAAACAATAGACGGTCGAACACACGAAGTCGCGGTTTTCTTTTGTTGACTTCGTGCGGATCCGCTGAGTGTTGCCCGATCCGGGCCGATGACCTAAATGCGCGTCTATCCCATGCTGCCGTTCGGTCACGCCCTGTGACACTTGGCTCCACTCAGCAAATTGTTGTGGCTATTGTGGACGTTGTCAACCTTGGCAAAGCTCAACCCATTGTGGCTTTTGGCATAGCTAGCCAGGGGAACACGAGGCGATGACAACGTTGGAAGTGGACGAAGCGGCAATGAGGGCAATGTTGGCGGCAACAACGGAGGGGGCGGGGGTGGAATGCCAACCGGCTTTGCTCCCTTCTCTGACCAGCCATGCGTCTTCTGCCCTGTCTTGTCACTGGTGCCCCTCTTGTGAGCACCAGAGTTGTTGTCCTCCACCAGCTGAGCAATGGAAGAAGTCACTGCGAGAGCAGGCTGAGGGGCAACAAGAAGCCCAGGGGGGAGGAGAGATGTTGAGGCGGCTCCCAATTCATATCACAGAGGTACCAGTCCTACATTACAACAACATTCCCAAAAAGTACCACCAGCAAGAGTTGCATTCGGGAGGTGTGTCACGTGACATTGCATGCGCTCCTGCAAGACCTACATCAGCATACAGTTCTCCCTACCCCCTCACACTTGTACATAATTAGCATGCATCATCATCTCTCTCTCCTGACTGCCTCTTTGGTGTCTAACAAGACCAAGGAAGAGGATGGTGCACTGCATGGGATTCAAGAGGGTTGTTGGGATGGTTGACTAGGGGGGAGAAGAGGAGGTTGCCTGGTTTAATCCTAAATTGGTAGCAGCAGCGCCGACCAACTTGGTGGACCTGACAAATGTGGTCGCCTTGGGAACAGTAAAAGGGTTAACAGCGTTGCCATACGGATGAGTCTTGGTGATGATATTGGCCAGGAACACCTTGGCCCTTTGTTCTTGACACAACAGTTGGAGCAACCGTGATCAACGCAAGGCGTCAGATCTATGAGAGGATTGTGTCACGGCAGGGCTAGCCGCATAAGCGAAAGGTGAAGTAACAAAGAAGCGATAAGGGGGTCTTTTTCCCCTAAGCACAGAGCGAGGGATCTTCTCTTTCAATAGACAACACGCTTACCCCCCTTTGCTTGCTGACACCTGCTCCTCTCAGGATTCAAAGCCTACACCTCAACCCGCAGTGCGGCTATCCGAGAGGATTCAAGCTGGCAAACGCTTCAGCAAATTGTTGGTCGAGTGTATCAACAACAATGATGACCATGGTAAACCCCAGCTGAACAATTTGAACAATACGTACCGGGCGGTCCTTGTTGCGGGATGAAGAGGACGAGCTTGACCGTGTCAATGAGAACAATTCAACGACGCTCAATCGAACGGAACAAGAGCAAGCTGCCACAATCTCAAGATAGAAGGGAGCGGCACGGACTCACCATGAGATTTGCAGTACCAAAAGGGAATTTTGCTAAAGCTCAGGCGCAATGGCATCCCCATGTGGCCTAACGGTCTTTTCACCCAAGATTGTCACAAGTCCTATAAGACAGGTGTTGTAAAGTAACAACTAGATCCACCAAGGCCGGTCACTTGATAGATCTGGCAATAGTAATGATGCATTACCAGTACTAATCTTGTCTTGTTGTGAAGATAAATGAATGTTGCTTGCATAAAAGTGAAGTAGTACATGAGAGGGGAAAGAGATTTCAGACCTAAATGGTCTGCTATATAAACTATTCTGTTGAGCAAGTCTTCCCAATGAAATTGCAACTCCAGTTGCAAATTGGCAGCCTCAGTCATAATGTGTGCCTTCATATCACCAATATATGCGACTCCAATCACAAAAGTGTGGTCCCAGCTGTTGAAGATTGAGATGATATGATACCACAGGTGATGACATCATCAAAGCTGCAATCTCAATCACAAAGCCTCATTTTGTAGAATGTACATTGTACATTGTATTTTGTACAATTCACAGGGAATCCTGTAGAATGTACAGGTTTCAAGGGGTTGTGGAGCCATAGAGTCTACCATCAGAGTAGTATATACAGGAGGCCAGTTTGGCCTGATTTCCTTTTCCCCTCTCACATACTACTTTACTTTTATCTTGACAAGCAACATTGATTCATCTTCACAACAAGACAAGATCAGCACTAGTGACACACCATTACTATTGCCTAAGTACATCAAGTAACTAACCTTGGTGGATCTAGTTGTTGATTCACGACACCAGCTACATAAGTGTGCTTCCACTCACAAATGTGCTACTGCAGTCAGAATACATGTTGACCCTTTGTGCTCAAGGTTGCATCTTGAGCATCACCTACAATATCATAGCATGCTAATCTTCAAGAGAAGGCATGTGATGATTATCTGACAGCATGTATATGCAATACAGAGTGAACAATATGAAGCAAAAATATGAGTTATGCTAGACAAGAACACCCAAGACTGACAACAAAATAACAAGTTGGTTCAACCACCATAACAAAAAAGTTGTTTAGCCTACTACTAGCTCAAAAACAGGCTCACACCTCATACAGAACAACATCCAAGCTGGGCGCCAAAGAGAAGAACAGGAGGGGGATGCTTGGATGTTCTTACGACAGTGCTAGGCATGTACATAGGAGAGATGAAGAACTACTAAGCTATGTACTCCCAGCTGTCTCGCCGCGTCAGCGCGCGCAGCGCCTATTATAGGTATCCACGGTACGCATGTCATACATGCGCGTGGTGTAGTATTCCATATTGTACGGAGACCCTCTTGGAGACCCTCTTGGAGACCCTCTTGGAGACCCTCTTGGAGACCCTCTTGGAGACCCTCTTGGAGACCCTCTTGGAGACCCTCTTGGAGACCCTCTTGGAGACCCTCTTGGAGACCCACCCAGAGACTCATTCAGAGACTCATTCAGAGATGTGTTTGAAGATGTCTAACTAGTACCCTGTAGTAGGTAGGCGTCCATCATACCGTCATTACCCTACCCGTACCTTCTAGTCCTGTGTGTTACTATTCAGGCTTGCTGGCAGACCTTATAGTACCTAATGCCTGATCCGATTGATTGAGCCACTATAATACACTGTTTGACTCTTTAGCAGGCAGCACTCATCATTGTTCATAATTGACCAATACTGTTGTTTGTATACAACAAGTATATACTCTTGGAAGATTTGCTTCTTTTGACATGCTAATCATGGACAGCCCAGTGTAGAGGTGTGACTGTGATTGCAGCTTGCAGCCAGAATCACAAGTTTGCAACCACAGTCATGTATCTGCGTCTGCAGTGTGGTTTATCAGCCTAAGCTGATGGTGTAGCTGTTCCCTTGTTGATGTTGATCGATAACACTTGTATGAATGACTGCAAATTTGATGGTTTTCATAAAAGTAAAGTAGAAGATGTAAGAGGAAAGGGAAACCAGACCCAAGAAGCCTGCTATATACTACCTCTGAGAAGGGGCAAATGATGGTCAAGTCCAACCACATCAGTGTTTGGTTGTCAGATAAGTTTGATTGTTTGGTGATTGAACAAGTTTGGTGAATTTTTAGTACATGCTAGATTGTCAATGCCTTCTGCTTCCTTTGTGCTTCCTGATCTTCACTTTATGGCTGAGATTGCCTCCATGTGTTGATTTCCAATCATCACATGTCTATTCCCAACATGCATGGTTTCTGACGGATTACCACGCCGGTCTGGGAGTGGTCGTCATTGCTCTTGTTGATAGCAGATTGTTCCAGGTCCCAGAGTGGACTGGAAACTACTACAAAAGGACCAAACACAGTTTCAATTCTCCATCAGTAAGAAAAGCTGAACTGCCGGATTTCAATTCTCCATTACTAAGAGAAGCTGAACTGCCGGAAAAGACCGACACAAACCTGAGAACCAAAGACACAATTTACTACCACCAGATGCCCCCATACCAAATGATGAAGCAGCAACACCTGGTGACCATGTGTGTACTGGTCAACAAGTCAACAACAATTTTTGCTCACATGGTCTTGGAACTATGAAACAAATCACACAACACAAATATAGTAATAGTTCAATTGATAGCAATGATTGATGGACATCAATGCTTATCATCAATGACAACCATATGGGCCCAGAAGATACAATCTTCTCTTACAGAAATCTCTGTAGCTGTTGAGAAGCAAGTCAAAACCATAATTTATCAAGATGTCAAGGGACAGCTGCTTGAACAACATGACTCCCTCAAGTACCCAGCTGCAAATGAAGACAACACAAGTGTGATTGAGCATTAGTCATTGTGTTCACTCTAAACCTGCTTCCTTATCCTTATCTACTCCATTAACCCAACTAACCACAATCCATCTTGAAACTTTAGGCACTCTGGCCACAGACTGCCCTTAGCAACCTTTAATGTCACATGTGCCTTGTTAGAGCTTGCAGGTTAATATGGAAGGGGGCAAAGAAAACCTTTGCTAGTGCTTTGCAGCCTGTTCTGTCGTCTTATCTGTTACGGGATCATCATGTGAGTTGGCTACCGGCACGCAGGATTGTACCACGGACATCAGCATACACCTAAGTTGGGCTCGACGAGGCGAACCCGATTCCCTCGGAGTAGATTTGGTCGTCCCTACCATTCGCCTCCACCATTCACCGAAACAACAAAACCTTCCTGACACATATCACAAACAGGTACAGGGACCTCGAGGTACACAACAACCTTACTCAGGACCTCGACAACCTTACTCAATGAACCTAGAGACAATGCAAACTCAAGCCCGCCTCCTCTACCAAATCCAATTACTCTCAACAGGATTCGTTTGTTTGCCATCTCGCTCTTCCAGTTTCGCCATCTCTTGCCGTTCTATTGTTCTTGGGTCTTTTTCAGCTTCTGCCACTCTCTTCTTGTACTCGTCTCCGTATAAATAGCTAGAGGAACTTGGCCAAATTAATAGAGGACGCTCTGTAATAGTTAGAGGTCAAGTTCCGATATGACACTCTGTAATAGTTAGAGGTCAAGTTCCGATATCACATTCAATACACGCCTATCTGACTTGTTACAACATCTTCAAGACGTGTTGCGGAGAGGTTACAAACCCCAGGACGTCGCTAAGTATCTACGCTTCATCGTTTTACCTTAGAATGAATCCGGTACCTCACACCGAGTGATCACCTGTTAGGCGTCGAGAAGGCTCCAGGGAAGACCGGCTCGATGTATACCTGTGAGGACATATCCGGGAGTAATGTAGAATGTAGGGCTAGGGTATATGGATGTAATAACAGATGAAAGACTATATACTAACATGAGGATAGACAGTGATACAATACGATGTGCTCCTTGAATAACTCCGGCGGAGTTGGTACGACTTGAGTCTGGCGTACGCGTGCGTTGCTATAACATCACCTTCCTTATCCATATATCTCTGGATTCGTATCCCTTACCCAAACCCGCTTCATCTAAGCAAACCTGCAACATTCTCCCAACTACTTGCGATCTACCTTAAGTACCCTACGCCTTACAAATTAGGAGGAATCACCCGTTAGCGACTTCCGCCGTAACAGCATATCGGAACTTCTTTTATCGCACCTGGTTAGGACAATGTCTAAGCAAACTTGCACCATTTTCCCAACTACCTGCGATCTACCTTAAGCACCCTACGCCTCACGACTTAGGACCTATCGCCCTTGGCCGTAACATTATCCTATATAAGGGCCCACAATTGCCTGGCAGCTTAATGCGCTGCAATGGACACCACTGCTGTATGATATACCTAGGATGTCCTGAACCGCCGCTCAATACTGATGGTGTTGCGGTTTTGACGATGATCACTCCTCATGGAAGGATTCATAGCGAGGTTTCATATTCAGATCTGGCGTTTTGGCATGGCTTCTTTTTTTATCGCTAGTGCTTCGTCGCGCGGTAGCTGTCCCCCGCAAGAGGACCGCCTCCGCCATTCGCATTTGATGCGGTATTATTATTTCCTCTTTGAGCGAGCCGACGTCCAACCTGTGTACCTGTGTGTGATTGGTTAGTTTCAGTAAACGTCATGGTAGCGAATCGCGAGGGTGCACCTGGCGACGATGGGGACAGCGAAACATGCTATGATACCGGTTGGGTCGTTGATGAACTTTGTGGGCTACAGATCACATGCTACATGTCAGGTATCAGATTGGGCTCGTCTACCCTAGTCAACATTGAAGAACTCCCGGATCCCTGAGAGCTGCGATCCCAAGCACGACGGGGCGGACGTGTTTGACGGTTACTCAGGACTTGCCATGGAAGTCGAGGCGAACGGTAACTGTATTCCATCTTGGGGCCTGATCGGGAGTGTGACAGCAGAGCCTGTCCTTTGATGAAGAGGTGACGAGAACAGCTTCACAACAGTCCGCGATGATTGAGAGGGATTGAGGTACATGATGGGTCCTGTTGGGGAGGCATCGAATTTCCGCGCAGGTGATTGGTATCGGTCGAGGTCAGTCTTGTGCGTTGTGAATGATTGAGATTAATGTGAAGAGTTTGCTGATCATGAATTTGTGTATGTGTCGATGGCAGAAATGTACATGATAGCGATGACATATTTGATTTTGCATTCGCAAAAAGTAGAAGAGCCCGGGAAACCTTTGACGATTGCCTCCCCTATCCCTCCCGAGCCCGCTTAAATTCGGTAATGTTCCTAGACGGTAGAACAGCTGACATTATCTTCAGATCAGCGATACGGTCGATACGTAGATGGAGGGAGAGAACAGCCGGCATACCACAAACCAGTTTATTCGTGAAGATCACTCCGACAATTGTCCTCTGCTTCTCGACCCGTTGACGCAGCGTGGCGCATGGCGATGGTTGCGGATGGTGCGAGTTCGGTCCCATCGATCAGGACTCTTAGAAACGGACGAATGGATGCATGTCAACGTTGGATTGGAGGGAACACTTCGGATGTTGGCACGGACGTACACTTCATGATCACGTCGGTCCAGGCTTCATTGCCTGTGTTGGCGGACGAGCAGCGTGCACCTTTCGAGATGGCTCGCAGGAGGGATGCCTCGCATTAAATAGCCGGAGGCATCGATCCGTTGGACTCGGATCCGCGGCAGAAGTTTGTGGGGCTATTGAAGAAGTTGATAGACGTTGGGCGAAAGGGGGAACCTCGAGTGGCGGAAATTGAGCGAAGGATCGGAAACGGAGCGCCAAAAGGGAGCATGGACCGGATTGCCGTCTATGGACATTTCGCCTTCAGCTTTGGTCAAGATCGAGTTTGAGCGACAAGCTATCTGGCCTACCTGACAACGGACTGCACTCTTCGAGTCTCTGTGAAATGTCGCCCTGGCCAGGTCCTAATCGAGCTCTGGATAACACGGTTGAAAATCGTGGATCAGCTGGCACAATTCACACGACGCAAAGGCAAGATTTCTTAGGCTGTAGTGGTCGATCGCCGTTTCGCCTTGGTCCGCTCGCGAGACTCCCCCCACGCCCGCTACAGATGGTTACCGGAGGTGTCATTCTCCACTTGGGCCCGGTGAAGGCGCTCCAAGGGAGAAGCGTTACCCTTCCTCGCCCTCGTCCGCAATCTCAGCAGGGGTCACCGATTCATGTCGAAAATGAAGACTCAGATGCCGGATTCCACCGGAATCACCCGCACTATCTCGAGAAAGGGATGATCTGGAATCGCGGTCATCTGGTCGTGGACTAGGCGGCTACGTTCAGCTAGAGAACGCACCCAGACGGTCGTCTTCGGTCCTACCGAGAGACGAGTATCCGCCTGACGTTGAGCTTCTGGAGGGTTCACCCGGCAGAGACACTTGTGTGCTTGCCACGGCGAGGTCTTGCCAGTTCCCCTCAAGCGAGCCTCTTCCCCGATCCTCTTCTGTATTTCGCCGTTGTCGTCGATACGGGATCCGCGTCGGGCGTGTCGTCAGGCGATGGGGCGAACGACAGTTGGAAAGTGAAGGAAAGTGTAGACTGAGAGCGATTTGGGGGGAAAAGGAGGGAGAGAGGGTGGGAAAAGGAGAGGATGGTGGTAATCGAGATTGGACGAGTGGTGAGTGAGGTGGCGAAAAGGCTCGGCTGGTCCACTCTGCGCCTGATTATATACCGTCCCACAGGCTCTCGAATGCACAGCTTTGCCCTTCGACGAACAGGGAGCGCGTCAGTCTCCGCCCGGAGCGAACTCACGTGATCTCGAGGAGGGAGGGGGAAGGCGCACGGCACGCACACGGCACACGGCAAGGGGGGGGGGGGGGGGATCGGAATCTGCCTCGCCGAGTGGGAACGGGAGGGGAATGCTTGCGGTTCGGGGATTGGGGGCATCGATGGGAATCCGTTGGGGGAGAGAGGACAGGAAACAGGAAATTCGTAACTCGTTGGCTATTTCGTCATCCTGGTCAGCGATCCAGCGAGAAGCTACCTATCGCTTATCGACATTCATAACCCCTAAGGAAGAGGTCACGGAAGCGTTCAAAAGGCACCAGATGTCTGGTATCGACATCTCTGGTGTGCGGTGGGGAGTGCCCGCAGACATTGCGTACTTCGCTCTCCATGGTCCGCAAGATCAGCTACAAAAGCTGTTTGCTCTGAAAGACGTCATCGGCCTCAAAGGTATGTTAAATCCCAGCCACGATCTGATACTTGACGCCCCCGACTCTGAAACTTGACGCGCCCTGACCTGACATGCTTCCCGACAACAGGTGTCGATCTCAAAAGTCCTGAGAAGATAGGAGGGGCGAGCATAACCTATAGCATGAAAGGGTCACCGAGACAGGTTCAAAAGATTCTGGCTGCATCGGTACCATACGAGATATCGGACCGCTTCTTTACTAGCCGGAAGGTCGAGGTATGTCGGTTTCGTTTCGTCCTTCTTTCTGTCCGAAAATCCTGACCGCTTCCAACACAGGTCCATGTAACCTGGGTGGTTCGAGATCGAGACCTAGAAGCGGCAAAAGAAGCTGTCCGTCAAGCCTATAGCCAGTATTGTACCTTTGTCAAGCAGAGGAAGCAATTACGCATCAAAGCGGCAAGTGATCTCCTTCAAGCACGCAATTGGCCGGTACTCGCTCAGTCAACGGCACTCGAAGCGGTGGTTGACTCCACTGCGAGTACGGGCGCCTCCTCAATCGGCAGCCTTCCGGCAAATTTCGAAAACTTGAACTCGCTCAATAACGATCATCAGGATCTTGTTCCCGCTTCGGGCACCGGCTCTTCCTCGACTCTCGCTCCCGCTCCGAACACCGGCTCTTCCTCTTCAGTTGGTAGCTTCCCGGTAGAGCTCACTCACCAAGGGACTCGCAAGCGTGAACTCAGTCAGGAGACCCAACTGAAGAATACAAAAGCCGGAAAAGCCCGCAGGGTCTCGTGGGGCGTCAATGAGATTCGATTTTACGAGAAAAAGAGGACCCCGAAGCCGAGGTGGAACAGTTAGAAACGAAGGCAGCTGATCTCAGAGCTGAGGTGAGGGATTGCAAGGCAGACGCATCCCAGTTTAGAAGTGATGCGGAGTTCTTGGAGGAGAGGGCGAAGGTTTTCTCAGAGAGGGCAGAGAAGCTGGAAGAAGAAGCGAAGCGAATGAAGAGTGAGCCTTAATCCATCACGACTCGCTTAGAACCGACCTCATATGCCTTTATCTAGGTTGTCTTGCAACCGAAAAGCCGGAACATAGGCGACTCCAGAAGTCACAGACGGGGCTCGATGAATCGAAGGACGAGCTGGAGAAGGAGGAGCTCGAGAAGGACGAGTCGGAGGAGGACGAGTTAGAGGAGGACGAGCTGGAGGACGAGCTGGAGAAGGACGAGCTGGAGGAAGACGAGCTGGAGGACGAGCTGGAGAAGGACGAGCTGGAGGAAGACGAGCTGGAGGACGACGATGTGTGATTTATGTTCTATCTCGCCGATTTGTGACCCGCACGGGTTCTATGACTGTCACTACTGTAGCCAACATCAAGATGTAATTCGAGTCTTTTCGAGAGCTCGATGTTCGATTTTTGCTCGAGTCATCGATCAGCGCGGTTCGTCGGGTCGGGCGCGCACCCGCTCCTGAGCCTGAGCCTGACAGTCCGTCCGTCCATATTTCATCCAACTACTACTGCTGCTATCTTTTCAATCTGCATGTCGTGGCCGTTCTGAAGACCTATTGATCCACCAGATACACGCCAGACCGAATCTAGCATCGTTCCAGTCAATCATATCTAGCCATGACGACTTCCCAGGACGACTTTACCAAGCGGAAACTCTGGGGGTACGTGCATTTCGAGCCGAAATCACGGTTTCTTTACTGATCAATCGCGACCGATAACAGTGGACGCTTTACCGGAGCTACCGACCCATTGTAGGAACATCTGGCCTCAAACATGAATTCACCAGCCGATACTCACCTCTTGCCGAACAGGATGCACCAGTACAACCAGTCACTGGCTTACGACAAGAGGATGTATGCCGCAGACGTCAAAGGCTCGATAGCGTTCTCTAAAGCCCTGCAGAAGGCTGGGATTGTTTCCTCTAACGAGCAAGCCGAGATTGAAAGGGGCTTGCGAGTCGTTGAGGAAGAGTGGAAGAACGGAAAGGTACGTAGGACGGATTTGGATTGTTGGCTTTCAGGCAATATTGCTAAGAGGACAACGCTACACATCGACAGTTCGACATCAAAGCCGATGACGAGGATATCCATACGGCGAACGAGCGTCGACTGTCGGAAATCATCGGCAAAGACATTGGCGGCAAGCTTCACACTGGTCGTAGCAGGAATGACCAAGTTGCGACCGACATGAGGATCTGGCTGGTGAGCAGAATGTTCGGCCATCAAACCCGACAAATTAGGGCTTCAACAATCAGCTACGCTTGTTTCGCAGATGGACGAAGCCGAGACCATCAAACAGTATCTCAAAGACCTCATTGCCGTGATGGCGAACCGTGCCGAGAAGGAGGTCGATATTCTGATGCCTGGGTACACTCACGTTCAGGTACGATCATTCAAACCCACCCCTCTGTTCTGACACTGCGCTGACAGCCGAAACCGATCACCCGAAAACAGCGAGCCCAGCCCGTCCGTTGGTCGCATCTCCTCTTGTCCTATGCCCACGGTTTCTTGACAGACTTGGACCGTCTCAACGGAATCATCCCCCGCATTTCGGTCCTGCCGCTCGGAGGCGCTGCTCTGGCCGGGAATCCCTACGGACTCGATCGGGAGTTCTTGCGAGCCGAACTCGGCTTCCAGACCATAGGAGAAAACTCGATGCACATCGTGCCCGATCGAGACTTTGTCATGGAGTTCCTGCAATGGGCCAGTCTCCTCATGGTTCACATGAGCAAGATGGCTGAAGACTTGATCATTTACTCGACTGCCGAGTTCGGGTTCGTACAACTGAGTGACGCATACAGGTAGGTGATTCGCATCTGGTCAAGACCCGTGTCGTCGCTGATTGTTACCGATAGTACTGGATCGTCGATCATGCCCCAGAAGAAGAACCCAGTGCGTTATATTACAGCTTGCTCCGGTCAACTGCTGGCGACTTACATTTGCGAGACCAAACCACAGGACTCGCTCGAATTGTTGCGCGGCAAATCAGGACGTGTCTTCGGTCAGGTGAGCGACATGGAGCAATGGCATGGTGCACCGTGGTGGCTGATTGTGATTCATTCTTAAGATGGCGGGCTTTATGATGACTATGAAAGGAACACCCTCCACCTACAACAAGGATTTCCAAGAAGACAAGGAGCCTCTGTTTGACTGCGTTGACACCGTCAGCGCCAGTATTCGAATCGCCGAGGGCGTTATTGCGACCATGAGCGTGAGTCTCGGATCATTCTTGAGACAACAATTGAGCTGATATTTCGTGATCGTCGGTGCGAGCAGGTCAACAAGGAAAAGATGCAAGAAGCTCTCACAGCCGACATGTTGGCAACCGATCTCGCGGACTATCTTGTTCGCAAGGGGGTGAGTCGCGCCATACAGAATATGATGGAAGAATGCAAACGTACTGGCGATCACCGTCTCACATTGTGCCTTTTAACTAACAGGTACCGTTCAGGGAGACTCACCATATCTCTGGTCGAGCGGTTGCTCTGGCGGAAAAGAACAACATCCAATTGTCTGACATCACGTACGAACAATTCAAGGAGTTGAGCGACAAGTTCGAGCCGGATGTTGTCGAAAGCGTCTTCAACTTTGAGAACAGCGTCGAGAAGAGGAACGCTTTGGGAGGACCGAGCCGAAGCGGCATCGAGAGGCAAATTCAGGTGCTCAAGAAAGGCATCGAGACGGAATGATGGATGCCGGTTACTCGCTTTGGTCAACCCCATCGCCAGACCACAAGTTCGAAAAGGCCATTGATTGGTATAGTTAGATATATCCCTTCGCTCTCATGGGTGTATCGGTTTGGAATTAATGCCACAACGGTTATTATGCATAATCATCTCAACCTCTGTCTCCATAACGTTGATGCCGCATAGGAGACCCGACAGTATTCCGCCCGGACCCTTCCAGAGGACCTCGCGGGTTCCTTCGATTAGACAGTCTCTCTGGCGTCCGTTGCGCCTGTGAGGTTGGCGAGCTGACGGCAGGTCCCGCTTCGTTCGTTTGAGGAGGTTTGAAGCCCTGGATCATATCGGTCAACACTTGTCAAGGCGACGAAAGATTTCACGCCATATCTGTACTCACGAGCCTCTGCCCTGCTTCGTAGATATCCTCCAATACGTCCTCGAAGCGATTTTCCTGCACGAAAGTTTGATACTTTTTGTAAAGCTGTAGCGCACATCTTGCGTCCTCGATTGAGTCGTGTTCCGCAGTTTGGATGTCTTGCTTGAGAAGGAACCATGATAAGAATCGCAAGGAAAGTCTGCGATGACGAGACGGATCATAGAAAATAGCGACAGTGTCGATCACCTGAGTTGGAGGAACGAAAATGTCTAGGTGCGCAAGACGATTAGTTAGATGCGCAACACGGCTCCTCCATGCGAACTTACTTATCGTTCGGAAGTCTTTCGGCAGACCATGACCGACGAAGACGCAGCCAAGGTCGACAACTACGTACATCGGAAGATGATAAGCGAAAAATTCGCGAGATCGGTCGAATATACTTACGCGTTCGCAGTTTCTTGTATGCGACTTTGAGTGGCACCAATGTGTGTATAGACGTAGAGGGGTTGAGGTCTCCCTCTATACCAAGACAGGTGAAATGTTTTTAGTCACGTTTCGCCATCATAATCGTGCGAAATGACCGACCTTTGATGCCAGAGAATTCGGTCAGGTAATCCACCACCGGTTCGCTGGTATGGATATAATCGTCGATGAATGGCAGACTTTCCCGTGCTCCATCGCCTCGCAAAACCGAAACTCGCGCCAGCGACATTTTTGTCGGTCGTAACACATTTTTGGTGCCGTCGGATCGGATTTCTAACTCTTCCTGTATGATGAATGAACAATTCCGTATCAGCTCATCACAGCGTGAGGGAACATGCGCGACTTACAAGTTGTAATGCGATAAATTCCGCGTCGATAGCAACAAGAGTACCTGGTGACGGTATCTCGTCGAGATCTAAGCAGGTGTGCTTGATTTGCTGCCGATTTCGCCGACTGCTCGTATGAAGTCCTTGTCAGAGGGATACGATTTCCTTCGAAGGAGTGGGGACGCTTACCCGGAAATCAAGGAATCCCGAACGAGGATGGTAGGGTCAATCTGTTTAGGTAGTCCCTCCAAATCCAAAACGTCTTCGGTGCCGATGCGTTCCAACACAACGAGTGCGGGGCTCTGCGATTCAAGAAAGCTTTCAACTCGGGTTTCGGAAAGGGAAACGAGGGATAATGACAAACCTTCCATGCTGGCGCGCAACTTAGAGCTTCATCGGCACTGACTTCCTTGACTAGGAAATCGTTGAAGAGCAGCCATCTCGGTTGATCGTGAGACGTGGTCGCATCGGTATCGTTCGGTGCTATGGAGGGACTGCAATTAACTTCTACGTTGCCAGCGAAATGTCAAGAAGCGCGACGAACCTCTGACAAACGCGACAAGATGCGCTTCATCGGACTCGTGCTCTTGTATCGATGCTACGAATGCCTGCAATTGCAAAGAGGGGACTTTAAGCGGAAGATGCCTCCGGAATGTTCTTGCACACGGTTTCTCACCCTAACGATATAACGCATGTCTTGTGGTTGACTTGGGCTACTGTCGTTATCATCGTATACCTGCACATCCCCTCCTTCCCCGAGGCGTATGCGCACACCGTCTGGTAAGAATCTTTTCCGTCCATGTTTGCTTCGGGCCAAGGGCGTATCTCTCCAGACCTCCAGATGCTCATCCGATATAATGGAGGCGTTTATCGAGAGAACGGGTGGGAACCTTCGAACCTCGTTGCCAAGCATGTCAGTGCCGTACCGCCGACGACTGGTGAATGTGGTCAATCTGCTACAGTTTGTGCAATTCGTCTTCGTTGTAGTCTCTCGGGTGAGTGAATTCTGCAAGATACTGGCAAAGCAGCCTTCGTCACCAAGGGATGTGCCTGTCGACTGCACGCAAGCATGTTAGGCATGGTCAAACGTGACGAAAGAGCCTGTCCGAACCTTGCGAGGGTACAGCATGTCAACGACATGTGCTGAGAATTCCTTGAATACCGATTGGCCGCAGAGAGAGCATGCGTTGTCCGTCCGTCCCTTCAATGCTAGAACTCGAGTTATCAGCGAACTCGTCGTGCCAGACCCATTCGGTGGAGTATTGCGGTGGCTGTCCGATCTGCGGCCAGTTGGCGCGTCTTCCGCAGCAACGGTATTTGTGAACCACCGATTAAATTTCTGTATCAAGGCGGCGAAGTCCTTCTTCTTGGCCTCGCTTTCTGGGACAAACAGGCCAAGGGCATGCGCTTTTATGATCGAAAATCAGTACGGGACCAATATCGAGGCGAACATTTGGACTGACCCTGCGAAGTAGCGCTAAAGGCTCTTGAGAAGTTACTCGCTTGACAATTGATCCCTTTGGCATCCTCCAGCATACGGAACAAGAAACCCGACTCGCAGAGCATGCAGTGCTCTTTTGGGCAATCTATCGCCAAGTGAGCTTTGGCACACGCCCTGAACGGCAACGTGTAGTGATATGCCTGCAGCAAACTGTTCGTGTACGAATTCGAGATGTGTGTCTCGAGACCGCTATGCTGTGTCTTATTATAGAACCTGGGAAACAAGCTCGAGTATCAGCTACCAGCAACTTCTTCCGGCTGAGGGTCTTACTCGAAGTCAAAGTCCTAAGTGAAGGGGATCAGCTGCTGGAACGAAAGCGATTGGTGAACTCCAGACTCACTTCGACACCAAATTTGGAGTATTTGATTTCCACTTTGCGATAATGTTTCGGCATGGATGGTCCATTCGTCAGTCCCGTCAAACCCGAAGCCTGAACTTGTCGTGTTAGCCAGTTGTCGACACTTTCACATGAAACACCTTCGCGTAAAGCTTACCTCATCGTCAAGCACTTCAGCTGCGCCTCGCCTGTTTCTTTCACTGCGGAACTTCGGCCCGCTCTCTTTGCGTAGTGCAAGTTTCCCTCGACCCATGATCCCATGGGGCCCAGAGTCGGCAGAGATGAGGTTCGCACTACTATCTTCGCATACTACGTTGCGTTTGCCCTTCATATCTCTAGGTAGAGGAGCATATCCGACCCCATCGATGATCCGCATGTTGGCCAGCACGGCGGAAGGGATGGGTTTTGATGGGTTGAATAATGGCGAGGAGGCCGTAGCATAGTCGGCCGGGGCAAAATTTGAAAGAAGCGGTGTGTCATAGAACGGCATCCCAATCACGTTTAGAGGACTGAGCGAGAACCAAGTCTTTCGGTTAAATCGCGGGGCCGATAACAAGGACAGTTCCTACTAACGTTCGATTGGCCCATTTCACATCAGGAACGGGCATCGGCAAGTCGGGCCATTCCACCTTCGTCCCGTTATCGTGACCATTCAGAGGAGGAAGATGAAGCATGCCATCCACGCCGACCAAATCCGACTCGGCAGATATATCGTGCGAAGTGAGGAGTTGGACTTGACCGAGGGAGTCACCGACGGCAAGGTAGTCTCCCCGTGGTGATATTGCCAAGGCTGTCACATATTGATCGATGTCGAGCTGTTGATTTGGTAAAGAGTATTTAACCTTAGGTGAAGATTATCGCGATCGCTGTAGACTCGAACTCGCCTGAATACCGTTCTCGGCCGAATCGCTTCTCGAGTTCTCGTCCTCGTTCGTATCTAGGACGTCGATGAACCCAGACGAGCTGACGACGACGATACTGCTCGGCTTGTGAGGATCGAGTTTGGCCCAAGATACGCCTTGATCGAAATTTACAGGCGGCAGCATACGCGACGTCCGCAGATCGTATAGTGAAACGGTCGAAGAGGGAGTAGGTTGACCTTGTCTACAAGGCATGAAGCGATGTGCGTATACGAATCAGATCAGGAACGAGGTTCAAGAGTTTGCGCATAGAGCATCGCCATCACTGACAGTACGTTCCAACCCCAGGCGGCAACCAAATCTCCTTGCACGTCTACGCCGGTAAGCCCTCCAGTCTGCGAGCTCGGCGCTGAGAGGACCGAGACCTGGCGGTAATTCTGTCGAGGATCCAAGATCTGCAAGAGGCCCGAGGGAGATCCCGTGAGGATCGATCTGGGCAGCGTGAAGATGTGGGACAAGGAATGAGGTTGGTCCACCTAAATTCATCCGATAGGCGGAAGATGAGCTTTCAGTTAGAAGGTTATCGCAGCTCGTCGACTAACATTCTTCGCTACTTTGCCCTGCGAAGTATTGACGATTGTCAGGCGTGCTCCCGTTCCACCGGCGACAATCTCGTGAGAGTTGAGCGGATTCGAGTCGAAAGTACGTAGTGCGAACAGTGGATCGCTACATGTTGAAGATGAGCCATCGAGTGACCATCATGTATACGGGATGCTGTTACAACATACCTGACTGTCCATCTGACCAAACCTCCCCGCTTCGCTCCTGCTAGTCCGCCCTCGGTCAAACTCCAGATCTCCTTGTCTACCACTTTGAGCTGCCTCACTTCTCCAGCTCCAAAGCCCATCCGCATGGTACTATACGTTCCGAATCCCTTGCTCCCATGAGCGCAGTACACCGCATGACGTTCGAGCGAGACTGCACTGCAGTAGCTAGTCACGGTACCGGAAGACGAGCCGACTAATAGCAAGTCGGCATATGGGTCGAACGACAATGCGGTAGGGTACGGGGCAGGATCGAAAGGCGTGGCTGCCGCCGGAGGAATGACCTGCAGGGGTGTGTACCCCATGATATTTTGATCTTGACAGTTGTATACAGGCGGCTTGCTTGGAACTCCAACTAGAGGATCGCTTTCTGACCTACGTCCCGAACGGTCTCCTGCCGTCGAAAGCTTCCTTGAGCTGGACCCGATCCGTCGATCCGTCGGCCGACTACGAGTGCGATCGTACCCCAAAGGTCTATTTTGTCTCGAGCCGGACTGATCAAAGGTATATCGATGAACGAACGACCTGTGCACATGACGATGATAATGATGATGTTGGTACGGTATACCTCTAGAGTACTGTAGCTCAACCCCTAACGACCGACTAGCGCGGACCGCCCGGCTCAAATGTCACCTCGAGGTCGCTTCGACCTTCAGGCATGCTTTTACTCGATAGACCTGCCTGCATGGTTATAGCTCACATTCGTGATCCCGAGACGATAAACACATCGCACACTAACACATCGCACACCGGGCGGGAAAGGCGAAGCTCGTCATCTGCCTCCCAAAATGAGCTCAATCATCCCCCCTCAGGTCCGATCGCTGCGGAGAAAGCTCGTGGCTGCGACGACGACATCTCGGAAATCCTTGACGACCTTTCCTCTCGCGTCCTACTTTTCCATCCACCTGCTCCTGTCGGCCTTTCTCCTCTTCAGCTTTGGGTTCTTGCCTCGATCAGAAGCATTCTGGAGGAATGAAAATGCGCTCGGGAATAGCGGTTTCAAGCAGACGGTCTCGGCAGACAGGCCAGAGCATCCCTTCTTGACGCCCATCACGAGCGATCCCTTCAAGACGATGGTGCTCGAATTGATCGGGGTGACGTTCTGCATGATCTGGTGGAGCGGTCATCTGAGGAGCTGGTGGAGCGTGGTCAAATCGAGCGAAAGGAGGGCGGCAGGTTCCGCCTCGACTCAAGATTCCGAACCGGTCGTCAGGGAAGATCTCGCTCGTCGTCTCGAGGTGTGTCCCTTGTTACATTTCGGCACAGATCCTTAACATCAGTCTGACCACGTTGCGAAACAGTCCACAAGAACTGCCGGTCTAGCTACTGCCGCAGCGGTTCCTCTTGTTCTAGCACTGCTGTTGCTCCTAGGCGTCTCGACCAACTCGTGAGTCTAGGTAGATTCCACCCCCAATAGCTTGCGCTGACTGCTGGACCTCCACGATCGCGCAGACAATGGTCCTTGACCTTGATCCTGGCTATGCAGCTCTCGATGATGCTAGTATTTCCGATAGTCGACGCTCTCGGTATTCCCGACCTGTACGCCAAAGGCACGCTGGACCGGTATCGACTGACCAGGCTGTTCTGTGAACTGGAGTGAGTGATCAAGAAAGAAATGAAAAAGATTGTTTGGACACGCTTAAACTGTCAAACTCATCCCTATAGTCTTCGAACGTCGCTCGAACGGGCGACCGTGTATCCGGTTTATGGAACCCTCATCGGGACCTGGTGCGGAGTCATCCCCATGGCCTTGGACTGGGACCGACCTTGGCAGGCAAGTCGGTCTCGAATCTTCTCTATGGCATCATCTAGGCTGACATGGCATTCTCACATGATCTCTCGCACAGGCATACCCCTTGACTCTGGCATTTGGATCCATACTCGGATTCATCGCAGGTGGCTTTGCGAGCTTTTCCGTGTCAGCTGTGGAAGAAGCCGTCGCCGCGTCGTCTTCGATGGACGCGGTAGAAGTACAACCCGCAGCGGGTGGCAGGACACGAAAGCAGATCCGAAAGAAGGGCAAAGCGAATTGAACGGTGTAGCGCAGATATAACGTTACCGATAGCATACACATAGAGTTCGCTTGAGTTGGCTTTCTCGTCCTTGGCAGTCAAATCGGCTGGCCGCCGCTGCGTGACTTGCATCAAGTCGGCGCCACCATCATCCCTTTCCAAACTACTAGAGCGTTTTCGGAGGTCGTCTCATCTGATCTAACAAGTATCTTAGGGTCCAGAGATGGACGGTTGAAGGGGGTCTGATGAAATAGATTAGGTGAGCACTGGAGCTGATGAAGGGACTTGGGCGTCCACACTCATTGGAAAGTCCAGGGATTGGGCAGCGGCCAATGCTTGAGGATGCAGGGCAATGGGCTCAGATCTGCACAACCTGTCGTCTTGATAAGCTGTTGATCGAGATAGCAAGGGCGATCCTTTCAGTATGTGACGTCGATTTTTCCGAGCAGTGAGCGATCGGATCGCCATGAGTCGACCCTGCCTCCCGCTTCGAACATACCCCCTGATCGAGTACGTTCAGCTCTCTGCGCGGCGCGTCATCCGGATATCGCCAAAAAGATTCAGCGTCACAATGTGAATCTTTCTGCTCGTATTCACATCATCGCTCACAATCCACCTCCCTCCAAGGCCTTGGTGCCGAATCGACGCCTTCTAGACGCCGACACCTACACCGCTAAAATCCTGCGAACACTATCCTCCAGCAAGTATTTATGCTTGCACGTACAGAAGATCCCTCTTGTCTTGTTCCCGAACACTCCCGTTGCAGAGAAAGAGAGTACCACCACCCGCTCATGCAGGCGCTTCGAGAACATCTCGCGTGATGAAGGGTCTCTCTCGAATTCAAGAAGTCTCGTAGGTCAAGGCTGACCTAATATCGATCATGAATCATCATACAACGGGACGTCTCCGTCCCGATATCACATCGGTCATGTACATCATTATGGCGTCTGATTTGCGACGCGAAATGCTCTTCCTGCTTCCAAGTGAATTCCGCCTATCGTCGGTACCACAGAACGCTTCGCCTGTTCCTCCTCATCTTTCGCTGCAGTTGGAGCATTCCGTAGAGAAGGGCTTCGGCGGTGGGTGGGCATCCGGGTACGTAAATGTCGACGGGGACGATTCGGTCACAGCCTCGGACGACCGAGTACGAGTAGCTGCGGATGAGGTGGTGCTTTGTCAGGAATGATCGGGACAAGCACGTTGTGAAGATCGCAAACTCACTGGTAGTATCCACCTCCGTTGGCACACGAACCCATGGAGATGACCCATCTTGGCTCAGGCATCTGCGGTTCGAGATCAACATCAGCGTCGATAGGAAAACTTCTGCCAAACAGGCGGTCCCGCCTATTCACCTGGTCGTAGACCTTTCGCAAAGCCGGTGCCATCTTGTTTGTCAAGGTACCGGCGACGATCATGATATCACTCTGTCGGGGTGAAGCTCGGAAGACGACTCCCAATCGATCCTGATCGTATCGTGCGGCGGCCATGTGCATCATCTCGACGGCGCAACATGCGAGACCGACTGGAAACAAGGTTGACATCGAGGTAGATCTTGAATGAGCCAAGGCGAGTCGATGTAGATGAGAAGAGGTGGAAGCTCACAGGTCATGGGCCACATCGAACCTTGACGAGCCCAGTTGACGACCTTGTCCATGGTGGAAAGGACGTATTCTGCGTAGATGCCGATCGGGACAGCGGAATAAGCGGCATGTCGCGACGAGGCGAACATATGGAAGACATTCCCGAGACTCACCAGCTCCATTCTGAGGCGTCTCCAAGCTCAACTGGTTCGATCCAGCCTGAGCGAGCGCCATCTGGTTGGTGGTTGTAGAGGGAGAAGAGTCGGCCGAGTTGACTGCTGACGTCGGGGTGTGAGGCTTTTGTGCGATCTGAGAGGTGTAGAACGATCGGGCTGATGGAAGTCGTTGTGATCAGCGAAAACTGATCGGTGAGAGATCTGGCTCAATATCTGGGTGTTTCCTCACCTGCTACCGGGCTAAAAGCTCGTTGAATACGAGAGGCATTGCCTGAATCGATGATTATCGTTAGGTCAGCTTCAACAAGGATCTTGCGGGTGGCGATCGGTGCGTACCTGATCGCAAACCGGGGACGAGAAGAGAGGCCATCTTTGTTGAATACGTCGTAGATTTTTGGTGGTCACTATCTAGAGATCAGGTCTGATGGATGTTCTGTATAATGGTCTAGATCGCCAACACCACCGACATTGTCGATTGTCATCGAGAATGGGTCGAGTTGTGCGAATCCGACGTCTCTGATTGATCGAGGCGGGTGACCATAGACTCATCGTAGACCTCTCTCGGCGTCCGCCTTAAAATATGGCGGTTAGACTTCTTGTTACGCGTCGCCTCGATCGTCCCGAGGACCACGGCGAAGATGACCTGGACCAACACAAGTTCTATTTTATCCGGGCGCATATGCAGTGAGAAACGTTATTACAAAGTAGACAGCTCCTCGTGACCTTTCATTTGTTCCAATCCACTATGCACGAGACGGGAACGAATTATAGGCTGGGCGTTGCAGCTGGTTCGCCAAGATGTCATTACACATGGCCTAGAATGCAGGGGGCAAATGAACGAGTCAGCTTCGCGAAGAGGACCTCGCCCTGAATTTACTTGGCCACTCACCTGAGCGACATGTGCGGCGGGGTGATCGTAATGATCGAGAATGTTGGACATGGTGCGCACCACGCTCGAATAGGTCGCGATCGCCTCTTCCTGTGGCAGCCTCAGGATGTCCATGTAGATGATCGAAATTGCATAGAGCAAGAGAATGGCCGAGAGGCTCAGCTATCAAGGTGATAGGCATGACAGTCAGATATAAGACCGATCTTGCCCTCGAAGGTGGACGGGAGATGACCAACCTCGGTCAAATGTGGGATGGCAATGTAATAACGTTCAAAGGCGTGAAGCTGGTACGGTTGACACGTCATCGTCAACACCTTCTCCATCCCGAAATGTCCAGGCACCGACTCCATCACTCACCATCGCCAATGCCGCGGCGACACACTCGTTGGCGAGCACTCGCATTTCATCCGAATAAGCCAAAGACTGCTGCCTGATAGTCGCCCACACGCTCGCCTCTAGGATAGGCATCAAGACGAGCATCTTGAGTTGTAGATAGATGCCGCACATGGTGAACCTGACCACCATCCGTGCTCCCTCTGGGGTGTCGAGATCGATGCGGGTTCGTTGCTGGGGCGCATTCTCAAAGTGGTCGAAATCCTCGGGCATCCGTGCTCGGAACTGAACGAGACTTTGGTGCAGGTTGATGGCTCTAGAGATCCCCACTTGTACAGAGGTCGAAGACGTAAACTCGTCAAACATGGCCTGAACCTGAGACATCAGGTCTGCCAGCCCGACGAGTGGAATGAGGTAGTATCGATTCTGATAGGGGCACCTCAAGGAGGTCAGCAGGCAATACGTCTCTCACGAGAGCGGATTGTGAGCTCACATCGGTCAAACCGGAGATGATCGAGTTGAATTCGGGTGACCGGACCATGTTGCTAGGAATACCGTGGCATAGACTAGCCCACTTTTCCATGTGATAGCACACGCATATTGTCAGGCGGAAACCGTGCTCCTCCGCCACGGGCAGCTTGTAAACCCCTTCTCGTGTCAATCCGATGCTGGTAGCCAGTCGGCTCGCTTGGCCGATGGAAGCGAGCTCCTCTGAAATTGATATGTAGACCGTGCTCGTGGTGAGTGACATACCTTCGACAAGGAAACCAGCCTAACCGTCACACTAACCGTCGCTATTACCGTAGCTCCGACCGAAAGCCGCCATGACGACCCAGAGGTTAACGAGATCGACCCCGCCCTTTCCTTGACCGTGTTCCAACATGATCTCCTTGGCCTTTTGCACCAACACCTCGCTCCATGCTCGAGCCACATCCTTGTGACATTGTGCATCCCCGTCCCCTCCCTCAATCTGAGCTCCGAACGCGAGTACCATGAGATCTCGAGCTCTCTCCAGGCGATCGCTCTTGTAGGCGAGGTTGTCTAGCTGCCGTGGTTTGAGTTCTGCCACACCGAGCGTGTAGGCTCCGTAAATTGATTCGCGAACCGCATCGATACGAAGAACAGGAAAGAGAGGATGAATGACCGTCTTGTAGGCGTTGAAGAATCTATAAGCTAGTTCTGCGGGAAGGAATATGGGGTCGAGCTGATTGCCTGGCAAGACGGATTCGATGTGGTCGTGGGTACTGTGTGTAGACAGCGTAGGGACGGTCAGCATAGACCTCATCCGTACAGATGGATGACCGATTGTACTCACATGTAACGGTCGACACCCCATCGCCATACGTTGTTCGAGTGTAGTATAGGCGTTTCGCCAGGACCGCCGGAAAAGGGACGATCATCCTGTGGGTCAGAAGCGTGGGATCTCTTGGTCTCGAGCATTCGTGATACGAGGTCTTGAATCCCCAGATATGACGTGACGCCTAGGAAGTAACGATGTACCGCAAAGATGGTACAGAGAGACGTTAGCCTCGTATTCTCGAACGGCCCAATGGAAGTGTCGATCGAAAGGGCGTCCCGGGGACTCACCCCAGTACTCCATATAACGAACGTCCATTCCCGAACGAAACGTCGTCAATCCGGCATTACCAAAGGAGTCTGTCTCGGTCCGGAATATGTCGACGTGCGGCTCGCCTGCAATGCCGAACGTAACCGTAAGCAAAAACGTTCCCCAAGTGCACCATCGTGGTCATTTGCCGTTCCCGTCGTCATCTTACCGGAAGATCTAGTGAGAGTGGCATGGCTATGTGGCCCTGTATCATGAGAGCGAGACGATCGTGAAGTTTTGTCGGGTATGCGTGAAGTCGATTCGGAAGCGTCGTTAAAGGTCGAGTCGTGTCCTGTCTCTACGTCGAACCGCATCTGACTTGACTGCTGCTGCTGTACGGGTGCTCGACTCGAAGAGGACGAGGACGACGGGTTGTAATGCGCAGAGCTGGACGAACCAGCACCTACACGAGACGGGCCTGGAATGGCGGGATAATTGGGGTATTGTGCAGGAGGAGGAGGCATTGAATGTGGGTAACCGCCGGAATCGTGAGGGGTCTGCGAGGACGAGAAGCGTGACAGAGGAAGGTATGACGTGTGTGGTTGTGGGTGTTGCTGATGATCGGCTAGGCCGCCTTGCTGCATGTCGTCATGGTATCGACCCAGATGACGCGGCTGAAAACTGGCGTCGGCGTCGGTGCTCATGGGATCGTTCAGATACGAACGAGCCGTGTCGGGTCGATTCCTCTTGACCTGTTTAGCTACGTTTTGTGCATACACGTCGATAGGTTGGTCCCTAGGCGGAGGGGCGTACGTTTGCGGTCTAAAAATGAGAGTGAATGAAAGTGAGAGAACAAGAGGGAAGGGGTCCAAACGGCGACACGTTGAGGAATAGTCAGGGCCGTTTTCAACAAGGGATTATTTTAGCCTTTGTCCGAGCTCGTTCCATATGAATACGCGGTGACTGGACGCCGAGAGTGAAGAATGAGAGATGCTTACGAATCCGCCGCCCCCTCTCGAAACGCAGCAAAGCTCGACGACGCGCTCGAACCCCCAAAATCGTTCTGACTGCTCATTGTCGGATGAGAGGACGGTCCTTCGCTGCCTTCGGTCCTGTTGACGGCGAGATTCAACAGCTGCCTTCGCGTCGTGCCGCTGTACACGCAACTCGACAGATGCAAGCGGCACGCAGTACAAGGGTCGCCGCCATCACACTATAGCGACCGAGGATAGATTGATGGAAGAAAAGAGGTCACAAGAGCACAGAGGTCAGCGGTCGATTGATCAAGAGCGTCGTAGGGTTCAGGTTTCGTCTCACTTTGACCTTGCTGCGACGTGGCCAGCCCATTCGAGTCAGCTACTTGACCGTTCGAGTGGTACTACAGGGTTCGAGCCAGGACTTACCGTAGTTTACATATCTGTCGAGAAGATACGGTAGATGCAGGCATCAATACCATCGCGAAGAGATGTATAATATCCCTTCAGACCGACTCACATCGCATGCCCTCGACGTTCGAAGCGGCACAAAGGTTCGAAGACCTTGTGGCACGCTATAGTTGTCTTCTCCTTCCGCAGGCGCTGCATCCTCGCTCGTTCCCATATCGGCTTGATCCATGCTCGCATCTTCCATCCTTGCGTTACCACTCGTCGACCGCCTCCTGGTATCCAGGTAATCAGGACCCTAGAAATGCTTTCGGCGGTGTTTTGTGGAGCTCGAGAACCTTGAGCCCGGGTTGAACAACGGGATACGGGATATGCGAGTTGCCCAGTTATTTCTGGATGAGTGCCTGGAGGTTTCCTCAATTTTGGTGACTTTTCGGTTTAAAAAGATGTGGTGATACCTGTGTTGGACAGGCCTGTTCCCTATCGTCGAATGTCCTCGTATCGTCTGACCGGGAAGTCAATACTGGACGTCGTCTTTGGAGCTCATCCGTGACCCAAGAAGACACAACCGCTACGCCTTCTAAGGACCGACTGGAAACCTCCAAAAGAACGATGTCTGACCCGCACTATAGGGTTGTGGCATCTGTAGGGTTCCAGAGATCCGGAGCGATGATTCTATTCCGAACGTCTGGCTTCGAGTCGATGTGGACGACCTCGAGCTGTTGATCGACGAGTGCGAGCTTGTTTTTCGCCCTCGGCGACCGTTTACGTGATTTCACCGCCGAGATCGCCGAGGATGACGCACCTGAGTGACAACCAGCAGGAGTAAAACGGGGGGGCGTTCCGTACAAGCGCGGTTTATTAGTGGATTGAAACAGGTTGTGATCGGAAACAGATCAGTTGCAGGGCAGGATGGGTTCGAGGACGGCCCACCAGCGGATGAAAACGCAGACTCGTTTCGATCACATATCAAAACCTCCAATGTCTTGTGACGATGCGAAAGAGCTCTGATCCTCTTCGCCTGTTCTTAGGCACACGGTACGAGGTTGCTTGGAAGAGACGAATTTAATCGAATCAAACTCTCGAAGTGCTGATGTCTTCCCTCTCAGGTACAAAAATAGAATCCTACGAAGTCTACCACGACCGAGTCGACTCGATCGGGGTCGACTTCTAGATGGCCATACCACCCTTCTTCCGGGGCGGTTTGGCAGCAGAGTCGGGCGGACCACCTTGGCCTTGTGGCGTAGCCATCGAACTCCTGGTAACCCTACGTGAGGGAGTGGTGGCGACCTCAGCTTGAGCCGGCGGCGCTACCGTCCGGCGGCTAGATGGTGGAGGAGGTAAAAAGTCCTCGGCAGACTCCCATCCAGCTGCAGAAGGTGGCGGGAGCGTGAAGCGAGCGGGAGCGGGTGGTACGGGTTCCTTTCGCACTACAGGTGGAGATCTTGCTTGTAGGTCAGGCTCAGGAGTTCGTTCAGGAACCAGCTCAGAGCGAGGTTGTTCAAGAGGGCGACTCAGCTGAGCCATAAGATTGCTGTTCCCGCGGTCGTGAAATCAGCACAGACGATATGATAGAAGACTGTTTCATGGTACCTACTCCATAGTCGACCTCCTTGCGTAGACCCAATTTTGCACACTATCCTTGAACTGGATCAACCTTGATGCGAGGCCCGTATGGTACTGCCAAAAAGACGTAGTGTGAGGGAGGCGTCGATTTCCGAAACGCCTGAATCTACGCACGTTAAGTCCCTCTTCGCAGTTACTGATGATCTCGCGCCATTTCCAGTAGGCGAGCTCCATTTCTTGCAACCTCTTTTCTCGGTACTTGACGCGGGAATCATCTTGCCTCTGGGCCAAAAATTGGTTGTTTCGTTCCTGTGACGAACCATCATATGTCCTGTTAGAATCAAGATGCGTAGCCATGGTACCTTGAAGTGACCCACTTCGAGCGTCCCTAGTACTCGCTCTTGCTGTTCGCAATGTGCGCGCATCTCGTCGATCAACCGGTGATACTTGCGCAACTCCTTTTCGAAAATGTCCTCGAACCACTCGGGCTTGACTTCGCCGGACGACGACCCATGCGACATCTTGGCCGCCTGTTCGAGGACTTGCGAGCGAATGTCGTCCTTGGACGCGACCCGCTTGCCTTCGTTGACCAATCGAGCGCGATGCGTTCGGGCGTCGTCCAGGTCTTCGAGGATTGTTTGAAGCGCACGTGCAGCCGCGGGCAGTTCGGCGTCGACTTCTGTAGCTCTCCCCGACGTTGGGATCTGCTTCATCAAAGCCTCCTGTGGTGGCCATTGAAGTCTGGTCAGTCGAATGGCTTCGATGCGGACTACACGCAGTTGGCCTACTTCACCACCCGCCAAGACATTGATCAAAGGTGCCCACTGGTCCCACTTCTTCCGAACCTCTTCATCGCCCCTTCGCGCTTGTCTCAGAGATGTGCGGAACTGTTCGGATTGTTCCACATAGTGTTGATTGGCTGTAGTCGACGTCTCGACCATGCCTAGCATCTCGGGATGCTGTTGCAGCATGTGTTCTTCCTCGCTAGCCTCTTGGTCAAGCAAGTCCATGGCCTGCAGGCGTGACGATCGTGATCAGGCCAGAATTCTTCAGTCAGGTTCAGACTTTGGAAGAGAACGCACCTGCTCCAGCAAGGCGGAACTGCTGGCAGAAGCCTGCTTGATCTCCTGGATCAGGTGTTGTGGCTTTTGCAGCCCACCTGCAACGAACACCTCTTCGGCTTTTTTCAAGAGGGAGGGCGGGAGTCCGGCAGGTCGTTCGAGTGCCGTGATGGATCCAGGCAGGCCAAGCGATTGCAATCGGCTGGACAGACATCACTGTCAGAATTGCGATACAACCCACCGGGTGAGACATGAAACTCACGTGGCAATCATGGCGTCCATACGATCCTGCTGTTGTTCTAGCTCGTCCCTGACCAACGTGTCCTTGCGGTCATCGTATATGCCTGAGGGGATAGTAACAAAGTCAGCGCGAAGAGCCTTCACCTAAACCTATCGATCCGGGCTCAAACTCACTCAGAGCTAGATGCACGCCATACGGTACGAGCCCAGCGAACAGCGGACCTTCCTTTTGCTTATTGAGCCATCCGATACTGTCCTCGATAGCAGGGGGGACGATCGATTTGACCATCCCGGCAGGAACGATAGCCGCCAACTGGCCTGGTGGTGGAATGGGACTGACGTAGATGATGTCGTTATCCCGGATAGCTCGCTTCAGGTTGGAGGCGAGGGCGTCTTGCAAGCCCTGTGAATCAGACGTATGAGAGTATCAGTAAGGACTGTGTACACGAGAGGATCAGGGCAGCCGTGGCCCGACCTTGATATCCTGCAAGACAGCGTCTCCTGAAGTCCGCTTGACTTCGGTCAGAGCTTGCTTCAAGGCCACCTCGGCTTGTTTCATCCTAGCGATCTCCTCCCCATACCTGTGGCATGAATCAGAGTCCGGATCACACAGTCAGTCAAGATCGTTATTTCATCATGAAGAATAAACGGACAAACTTGCCGTTGTTTAGCCAGATCTTCCTGACTCATCCGGTACTGTGAGACGGCCTCGAAATATAATCTCTTGGCGGTCATGTGGGATATCCATCTCTGCGCGACGTAGGGCGACAGCGTATTAGCTCATGAGACAATGTCGTATAGATATCTAACGCAACGAGACATACTTGAGGCAAGTGGTTAAACGCCGGATCTGGGGATGCTCGAGCGGCTTCCAAAGCGAGGCGGTAATATTCCGAGACCTAGAAAAGTCGTCACATGCGTCAACCAAACCTCCTTCCTGTCCGGCCACGTAGGATCCCATACACAATGCGCGGATCACATACCTTGGCAGCCAACTTGGCGATGACCCCGTTCGTATACTTTTCCCCCATCGCCCTCTGCCAGAAACATTCTTGAGCCTGGGCGAGGCAAAAGGTCTCCATAGTGTGGACGAAGGAGGGGGTCATGTCGTATCCTGCCGTCTGCTCCGATCCTTGAGGATCGTACGAGGTCGAACTCAGGTCGGAGGTGAGACGGGGGATGAGGATGGTCCGGAGGTAGTTCAACGTGCCCGCTGCTTGCTATTCAGCTCAGGAGGAGGGATGAATGAGTATCGTAGCGAAGGTTCGATCGAGCGATTGCGATGCCTTACCTGGAGGTACGTCAAGGCCCGCTTGATACCCTCCGTCTCGTCCCTATTCTCCACCGCCGCCAGCCCCGAGTAGACAGCAGCGAGGTTGTATACTACCGCCGCGCGTTCGAACGAGAGCGAAGGGAGGGAGATGGTCGGGTCCGTCTGGAAAGAAAACGACGGTGGGAAGGGGAGGTGGTAGGTGATGCTCGCGCCGACCTAGCAGTGAATATCGATTGAGAGGTGAGCAAGTGTGTGAAGAAGCTGGTATGACGACATTGCAAGGCTCACGTTGGATGGAAACTTGGTCAGCAAGAAAGCCACCTGAGCATGGTACCTAGCCAAGCGGGATACCTCTACCATCAGCCAAACCCCTTCCCCCTCTTCTGCATCAAAGTCCCGTCATTGCTTACAATATCAACCCATCCACCGCAGTCGGATGTACGTCCGGCGCATGGCCCCCACTCTGTCCTCCCTGGACCCCAAAGCATTCCCTACGCAAGCTCGTCAACCGGGAGACGTCCGCATCGAACACGTCCGGATGAGTATCGTGAAAGTTGTCAGCGATGTATTCCTTGAGCCTGGGCCCGAGATCGGGGCAGGGGTCCGTCCGTTTGAGGGGGAGCGGGAGGAAGTGTTTCTGGGTCGATGTTTGGGGTCGGGTTTCAGATCGAGGTCGATAGTGAGATGGAGATCCGAGATCGAGATTGGTTTGAGCGATGATTTGGCGGAAAGGAGGAAGATGGCGAGAAGGGGTTGGCTCACCATGACAAACAGCCAACAGAAGCGGTATCTCGCGCTTTTACGAGAAAGGATGAAGGAGGGAAATTGCGACGGGTATATATGTCTCTTCCCGGCCTGAGCCTGAGCTTGAGGTGTCAGTGGCTGTCAGTGGCCGGTAGCCAGAGCTGTGTGCGCCGAGATTGTGTGTAAACGTTGGTAGATTGCGAATCTATCCGAGAGAGGGGTGGTCTTTCGGCGAGGGCGGAACGAGGGAAGGGGGAGGGGGTTAGTGACCCTGTTGAGTGGGTCGATCTTCGCCGAGCAGCAGAATGAAATGCGACCGCTTGTTCGGGAGGGGCAGAGACACAGCAGGGACAGGTAGACGGATGGATCGAGGGATGGATGCAGTTTGTTGTAAATGTCGAAATGTCAACGATCGAGCTAGGGGGGGCAGGAGGGGAGAGGGAAGGGGGTGCCGAACTTCCGAGAGGTGACTTACCGCCGAGGTAGAGGTGGGGGTGGGTCGGGGTGGGTCGTCAGCGGATCAAACGGATCTGATCACGGCAGCAGCCTTCTTCTTGTAGCACCTCTTCCTCACCACGATCATCACCACTGTAAATTTGTAAAACCATATAACTATGAACTACCGCCGTCACTCAAAAGTATTCTTTTCCAGTCGATCAGCTACAGCCCAGTCAACCGCAAAGATGCCTCCCATCCACCCAAGAGATTTTACGATGCCGCTCGGTAAGTGGAACGTCATGATCACGCAAACATCGTGACTCTGGTAACTCGGGGCTGATATATAACAACGCACATCCCCCCGTCGCTCTTCAAAAACGTGTAAAATGTATCTGTACACTCATGTTCGCTCGCCTGTCACTCGACGTCAAACGCTCGGCCCAAAAAAAGCTGCCTTCGGCATGATTTTCGTCCTGGGATCATATATATATTCATCAATAGGCGAAGCTAAGAGCATCGCCGCTTCTCGACGGATACAGACACATGAGGAGATCCTAAAATCTCGCCGTGCGTTGGGCATGGACGCTTGGGATCAGCGAAAAGAGAGGGAAAGGTTGAGGCAGGCTAGCGGGGGTGGGGGCGGGTCGAACGAGTAGAAAGCGACCAGCTGAGCAGCTGAGCAATCGAGCAGAGAGAGAAGAGACGGGGACGAGCTGGAGATCTCACGACGGATTCCTATACGTATACGGAAGATGGAAGACGGCCTCCATGGACCGGAGGGTCCTAGCGGATTTGCGAACATCTCACACATTGACACAGCAAGTCGTTCCCCCATTCGTCGCTATCCGGCTACTCGTCCATACAAGTTCATCCCTAAAACCGGAACTCTATCACCAGCGATGTCCTACCAATGGAAACAGGGATGGAGGAGCCATCATCCGGAATCTACAAACGACGGCCTCTTATCACAAAATTCACTCGCGGCTGTCATGGTCTCGTCGATTTTCCTATCGACCGCAATACACCAAACCGTGCATGGCTTTGGTAGCCGGGGACGGGGAAGAAGGCTCTCTCGATAGCTATATAGGCATACCGGAGTCGGGCTCGAGGAGGCGAGGACCGCGACAAGGAGATGGATGATGGGTCCGTGTTGTAGTAACGACGTCTCGTCGCGGACACGCAAAGTCTTGCACTTCGCCTGGCTCGACGTGGGACTTTCATCCTGCACCACGAGATTAACCTCTGCTACGGGATGAGTTTTGGGAGTTTGAAGCTCATTGAGGGAACGATAGAACAGAGCTTGAGTCGATGGCGTCGATATTCTCGTCCATATAGCTCTCTCCAAAGCGCGGTCGCCATTGCAGTCGCAGGCAGCTCCATGAGTTATTCTTCTTCCTCCTCTGTGGTCACCTCAGTGATATGATTGTTGTTCAGTGCAATATTGGGATTCACCGAGCCGAAGCCAATCTGTTGCTGCCAATACCTTGTTGGACTGATACGAGAGGTTGCTGATGATAGTGCAGACCCTTGACTGAGACTATGTCGGTTGGGGTCGCCAAATGATGACGGCAGTGGGTGTAGGGGACAACTGAAGATGGCCGGCGGAAGTGGAGCCTGAAGAGGGAAGCGGGCGAGATGGTGTAGATGGAGGGTAATAGGTAAACGACTAGATGGTATCCGGAGTTGCAGGAATGCTGCGAGCCGAGCCCGCTTTCGAAACGCGAAAATAAGTTCGCTGACATGACGGGAAAGACCTTGGCAGAACAACAGATGGACGGGCATGGTGAGAGGAGGAGCTGAACGACGGCCGTAGCCTCGTCGTCGTTATGATGCCCATTCTTGGCGATCATCGGGAGCACCGAAATAACGATTCAACTTCGATAGAATGACATGCATAACTCTGAATCCATCCCGATGATCCGGATCTATTGCTCCTTGTTGAACAACAGGAACACCCCGAGCGTCCCTAACAAGGCGTATTTCAGTTGAGGATAGTCGTTCTACCGAAAAATGATGCGTCATTTCGTCGTAGGCAGAGCCAGGATTTAGCATTTTCAATGCGGGCAGAGAGGCTTGAAAAGAAGAGAAGGGCAGGGAGGGAAACTAAGGCTTACCATGACGATGGTGACGTATCCGACGTGTGGTAAGAACCTGCCACCACACCCGTACGCAAATCACATCAGCCTGGACGCTTTTTCCTCAAAGTAGACGATTCTGTCCACATCCCGATCACGTCCCGACGAAGACCCGTCACTCACCCTCTGACTTTCCCAACGACCATGTCCCGCTTCAACCACTTCATCCCCCGCATATAACTGTGATACAGCCCGAGGTCGTCTGTAGGGTTGTTATCCCCCTTTGTGAGCATCAATTGGGTCTCCGTGGTCGTCCCGTTGGGGTGGGTGACGGTGGATGTATGGGATTGGATGATCCGGTGGACGATGGGGATGTTGGCTCCGGGGCTGAGGCGAAAATCAAGGGAAAAAGAAATTGAGGTTCAGTGTATGGTGATGAATGATTTGGGAGAGAGAAAGAGGGAAAGAGGGGGATGAAGGGGAGACGTGGAACGTACATCTTGTAGACGGGGATATCGCCGATTTCGTACGAATCGCTTGCAAAGTTGGTCAAGAACAGGATATCTCCTCGAGCAAAGGCCGGTTCCATCGACTCGCTGTCGTACATCGGATTCGATGTAGATCATATGAGTATCGCCAGGAAAGGGGAGACAAAGGTATCAGCCGAGAGATATTGCGGTGCAGTGGTAACGCCCATGCTCAGGTACTAACGAGAGGACGACGACGATAGGGGATTCCGAGTTGGTAGCGAGGCACAAAGCTTTCCATCCCATCAAACCGCCCGCGATGATGGTAGCCAGATTCAAGGCTTGTAGGAGGATCTGCGACGAGGTGACGAAAAGGCAAAAAGGCACAAATCAGCTCCGTGTGTCGGTGCAAAGGCCACGTCGATTAGTGTATGGCTCACGGCTCTGAAGCCCATCCTCCGGAGTTGGTTGATCTCGTCCATGAACATGATGGCTATATGGCTATAGCCTTGCTTTGGTCTTGAGGATTTGGGAAACCCTGGATCGAATGTGACGTGCCGAGCTGTACTGAAATATGATCCTGCTGGCCTGATGATGAACACCCTCCTCGGCTCTCGACGCGACCACGATCATGAATAAGGATGATATACTTCCGACGTTCCGGCTTCGGAAGTAAATTGGGGAGGAAATGGGGCTCGGACCGGTGTTGACCGGGGGGACAGCTCTAGTTGCTGACTTCCCTCAACATGTCCATTTTAAACTCCTGCAGTCAGCTATCAGAACGTCTGTAGAATTCCGTCATCAACGAGCTACAACAGGAGATACCAAGCAGACACGACGATGGTCCGCGTAATCACCCTCGACGAACCCTTTCTCCCTGTCCAGAACGACCTCGGTGAAGGTGAGAATGCGAACCGGTGTTCCAAGCTGGAAGACCGGGTGGAATGATGATTTACTACTGTTCATACCCCGTGGTAGGATGTCTCTGGGACTCGAAGACGGGTCTGCTTCACTGGGTGGACATCTTCCGGTCGACCATCCATACGTGAGTCCATGGACCTCGCTCTCGGCCCGTCCACGAACGCCGACGACGCTTCACGAAAAGAAAGCAGGCTGATCGCGTACCTCTCGTTTTCCTGACAGGCTCGACCCGAAGACGATGAACCACTCGGTGGATGATTACTCGGAGTGCGATACGGTTATCACCAGCTTGATTCAGCTGAAAGACGGATCCGGGGTGAGCTCTTCGTCACTCCCACGTTGAAACCTACCAACGCTCGACCTGCTTGACATCCCCGCTGACCTATCGTATACGTCTCACTCTGAATCGTGTCTCGTAGTTCATAGGCTCTCACCTGAAACACCTCGCATACTTCCCAAACCCTACCAAGCCCACCCATCCGTTCCCCAAGTCCACCACCACTGCCATTACTAAACGCACCTCTCAACCGTTAGAGGGGAGCAAGGCGTTCGAGATCCCAGCCAAGTATTTCCAGGCGGGAGAGGATGGGGTGCATAGGTTCAACGATGGGGCGGCGGACGCTAAGGGGAGGTTATGGTCAGTCTCGAGTCGGGGTTCTGACGGGGATAGAAGGTTAGGCAAAGGGGGGTTGCTGATCCAGATAGGGGTTCCTCGGATGCAGGATCGGTACGATGGGTCATAAAGAAGCTGGATACAACGGACAGCTGTTCCGGTAAGTCAGGCCGCTGTCTCGGAATCATCTGTCTATGACCCTGGTACAGACCCGTATGGTTAACGATTGGCGGGTCTCCTGTAGATACGACCCGGATGGTCACGTCGAGCTCGTCTACGAAGGGATCGGAGTAAGCAACGGGATTGGATTCAGTCCGGATAACAAAATCATGTGTGAGTTTGACGCAATGTCGTAGTGGGTGCATGTTCGGGGTGATGCGTGCTTATACTCAGAGGTGGTCATCTAGACTATATCGACTCCCCAACGAGGGTGATCTACCAGATGGACTTTGACCTGGTCAGCCTCTACCGCCCAATTTCGTATCTCGTCCCGCCTTACTGATGATCTTCTTATCCCGATACGTTGCACAGGAATCAGGCCGTGTCTCAAACCGCCGCACCTTGCTGGACTCGTCCTCGTTCGACGACGGCGTCTTTGACGGACTGTGTATGGATGCCGAGGGAGCGGTGTGGGCCGCTAGGTGGGGGGATAACCGGGTCGTCAGGGTCTTGCCGGACGGCAAGGTCGACCTGGAGATCCGGATCCCGGGGGCGAGGTGTATCACCTGTTGCGTTTTCGGAGGTTCGTGGTCTCGTTTTCTTCCATCCAGCTCACTTTTAATACGGTCGAGCTGATATCCGAATTCCGCTCTTCGCTTTCTGTGCGACGCAGGCGACGATATGGAGGACCTGTTCATCGTGACGGCGTCATGCAAGGACAAGCCCGAATTGAACGCAAAGTACCCGCAAGGGGGGGATCTCTTCAAGGTCAGGGTGGATGGGATCAAGGGGGTCGAGAGGTACAAGTTTGGGAATTGAGCGCTTGCGCCGGCGCGAGATGGCCAAGCGGGAATTGATCGTGGGGGATGGTGAAACAATAGTAATTGGTCAGGCGATCGGCGATCGAAGCAGGAGGTAGTTGCATATGCTTGTGCAGGTTACATGAAACAAAGGGTAGCGTCACAAGAAACGGAATCATCAAGTCGACATGTGACATCATGGTTTCTTGCCAGCGGCGTGATACATCGAGACCCTCTATACTACTTGCCTTCACGGTCCCCGCTAGATGATGTAAGCGAAGGCTTCATTTGAATGAATTGTCGATAAAATCGCTCTTAAGTACCCCTCATTTGGCCAGTGATCTGATGTTTCGAATTTGACTCAACAGATACATGGTCATAGTAGTTTGTTCTATCTTGTAATTGACAATCGCGTCACCTGCCATTTCTTTTGGTGTATTGCTTGCACAACGATGTTCAGCCAAACAGAGCTTTTCAGATTTCAGGAGACGCCAAGGAATTACAAGTTCCATATCTGATTACCAAGAAGACCAATGTGACACAGTCAGAGGCTTGCACCTGTCAACCATCTCCCATAGCTACTTGACAGTTTCTAATCTGACAGATACACTTCAATCCCCTTGTCCATACTGCAATACCTCCCGTTGCAGAACGCCAACCTTGTGCTTCATCCTTGAATTTCCCCTTGGAACGGTCCTGTACCCCACCATGACCCACAATCCTCATTGCTTGACCCAAGTCCGCAGGGCCTCTTCTTATGACCTCTACTTCCAATGGCACACTCGTCAGATCTGAAATCCGTTCAGACGCTGTAGTGCGGTGCTTGGCCAAGGAGCAGAGAAATCAAATAGCGAGGCTTAGGGCCCAAAAACTGTGGGAAGGAAGCGACTCGATCGGCCACCACCAGGCAACAGAATACTTTTCTCAGTACCTTGTCTCTCTTGTTGCTGTCTCGCTCCATCTGAGCGACCTCCCCTTCTACATCTTTTATTCAACTTACCTCCATCTCTGAAGCCAAGATACAACCATGGTGAGCTTGGACCTGGCCGTTCATATGCTCGACCTTCCCTTTGAGACAGGTGCGATTGTTGGACGGTGCCGCCTCCGGTTCAGAGCTGGGTTGAGCCAAGTGAGCTCCAACTGGATTTTTGGTTGTGGGTGGATCGAGATGGTAGAGGACGGAAAGCGCAACCTTGACTAGTGGCTCGATGGGCTTTGTTCTGCGTAGATCTTCTGACAACCATGAGTGCACTATGCGTGCCCGTTTGGCCGCCTTTTCCCACTAATTGATGACATGTCCTGACAAGAGCCAGCAATCAGCATCGGCAATGAAGATTCGCTCCACGGAGGGGCCGGGAATCAACCATGATTATGAGAAGATCTACGTCAGGGCGATGGATTGGGGAGAAACCCCGTGACTTGTGCATCTCAGGTTGTTCCGTCTTCTGCACCATGGCTGTCATCCACAATTGTCGGTGAATTCCCAGAAAGATGTTGGTGACGTACAGGATGGATGGATGGCAATGATCTGTGTGGGCAATTTCATCGAGGATACCTAGTCCTGAAAGGCCTGGTGATACTGGTCAGCCGCAACAAGATTCCGGGTGTTGTCTCTATCACTTCGTTCTGATTGTGTTCATTATCAAGTGTTTCTCCAACCAAGCTTGGTCAAACGTTCTTTCTCAAACTACACCGGCAATTGTGCCTTGTTCGTCTTCTTCACCAAGGGTACTGCATCTCGATGGCTGGACGCACATTTTAAAACCATCCAAACTCTCTGGATACGACAGCATACGGAAATAGTGTACCACACATTCAAGATGGCAGAGGCGGCAGGATAAGATATCAAGCCCTACATGGAATCCGAAACTTTTTGTACATCGAAGTTCAAGCTCAAGACCAAGCCTTTAATACCCTACGATCAACAGGCAAGATCGCAAGGTGTCAGGGGCAGCCGTTCTGTACAGTTGTGCTCTTGTTGTAACTCAGTTGTGTACGTGTTACAACTCGGTCGTGTTCACATTCTTGTACATATGCACGATGTCTCGGTTATACAATTTATCAAGCAAGACCAGTTATAGCCATTGCACGCTTGCAGTAGCATCACGTCAGAACTAGCAGAGTGTCTCCTGTCCTGTGGTTTGACGATAACGGATACAACAAAAGCGATCATATGGTAACTTGAAATCAGTTTCGCTCTTATTCTCACGTGAGCGAGGTGCGAGGATGGTAACTTGTTTGCATCAGGATCTTATTGCCGCGATCTCCGCGATTTCCGATACAGACCTGTCCACCTGAGCAGCAGGTCACCGTTAGAAACCCAGGGCTGGAGCAGCTATCGACCCAGTCAGCCGATCTCGCATACGCTTCCATTGTACATTTTTCCCCAAACATCTCGACCCCTTTGCCACCTCCTTAACGTATCGCGTCTCAGCGCGACACCTGAAACCTGCACCGCCTCTCGCGCCACCGTCCATTCCCCAGCTTTCCCCACATATTCGCGTCACCCAACCCCCTTTGCCTACCCCTCACTCTGAAAGGAAGGCAAACCGTTGCCCCTCTACCCCAACTTCTCCAGGGGATCACAAACAATGGAATCCACGTGACAACCCCTGACCTCTGAAGCGCTGCAGGGGGATATGGTGATCGGCAGGGCATAAATACCAGGTGACATCGAGAATGATTTACATGGATTTGCAATGATCGCCACTGTTCAAACCAAACGAAACGAATACAACTACGACAACACAACTCGATCAAACATTTCCATACTTGCTGAGCATAGTACTGCTGAGCAAACTTACGAAACACGAAACTAAACCACACGAAACAACAAACCCAAACGACAACCACCGCAACCATGTCTTACATCGCACCTTACGTTGCCCCGCTCGGATACGCTGACCTCGCTTACGGGGGCGCTGCCATGGCTTCTAGTGAGTTGGAAATAGCTGTTCATTCAGCGTGAGAGCTTGTCGTACCGAGTTACTGACTTCCTCCCCTCCTCTTCAGTGTACTCTCCATACTCGGTCGCCAGATACGGCTACGGCTCATATGCCCGACCGTGGTACAGCAGCCTGTACGGCGGCAGCATATACGGCGGTTACGGAGGATATGGGTACAGCGGGTACCGATGGCCCAGCATGTTTTGAGAAGCGAAGGAGAATGGCAATGTACGATGCCGGCATGTATATTTGATGATTTCGCTACATGACGACTACCACGAACGCCCTATCCAAGATCAAACGAGACCTGATCGGCAGTCACCTTGACCCTAAGATGGGGAACTTGCACGTTGTACATTGTGGTGCATCCGGGCCCTCCTCGGCATACGGGTTCTTGAACTTGCAGTCTTGTAATGAAATTTCGAATTGGATACAGACCTGTTGACTGCCTGAATGCCGGTTTTGACTTCATCTTTCCGTGTGCGGACAAGGTGGAAAAATCCGGCGTCCATATGGCCAGCCAGCTTTGCCTTGATATGGTCGATCACCTGACGCAGACAGGCCTCTTCAGCGCTGGGCAGTTGACCTTCATGATCGCTGAGTGACTTCATCAGCTCAGAACAGTTGCGTTGATCCCAGTCCAAGTTTTGGTAATGCCATGCGATGTGACATGTAGCTTCGTAAGATATATTACGAGGAACGGCTATACTGTTACAACTACTCTATATCGTGAAGAGGCGACCGACTATATTTGGCCGACGCTCGATGTAGTACCGGAACAACCCAAACGAAGAGGATATGGTGTGCAATGAAAAAGAACGAAAATGGGGGACTAACCGGGCGGATCGAGAAAGAGGCGCGACGCAGGGTTTACCACCTGCTGCCACCACCGCCGCCATATCCACCACCGTAGCCTTTTGGATTGAGATCAAGGTGAAAGCTGATCAGTTTGAGATAGACAAGGCTAGCAACATGTCACTCTGCGCAACTCACCACCACCGCCACCACCACCGTAAGAGTTAGAACCGGATCCACCGTATCCGCCACCGCCACCTCCACGGTATCCACCACCACCTCGTCCGCCTCGGCCACCGCCGCCACCGCCTGATATAAAAGAAAGAGGGAAGAGTCAGTCATGGTGCGTCGAGTAGAGTGTGGACTTCAGGGTGTGACGACATACCTCGTCCGCCGTACATAGCCATCTGCTCGATCTCAGGAGGGCTATCGAGGTCAAAACGGATCAGCCACGCGAATCTTGAGTCTGAGTTCATGCAGCCTCGGACATGTGACTCACATCACAGAACCGGCTTCACGCAAGAGGCCGATCAGATCACGGGCCTGCTTGGCGTTGTCGGTGGTGAAGTAAGTGTACGAGACACCCTTGGCACCAGCACGACCGGTACGACCGATTCGGTGGACGTAGTCCTCGACGTTGTTGGGGAAGCTGCAAAGAAGAGGGAGCATCAGAATCGAGCCTTTCGAGGGTTGATCGAGAGATTCAGACTCACTCGTAGTTGATGACGTATTTGATGTCCTTGACATCTGTTTAGGCGGCAGTGTGGGGTTCGAGTGGGTAATTGGCAGTTTGAGGGGTTTTGAGGTGATGTGGTATCGGGTGTAGACGGTAGCGATGTGGTTTGGTGGTGACAACGGGGTGACAACGATATGGCAGGGCGAAGAAGAGCAGAATAGAAGCAAGAAATTCGATCAGAAACGACGGGTCAAGAGAAACCTCCGCGGTGGTAGGTGGCGTTGTGGTCGCGTGCTAGTGTGGTGGATGGACCAGCGGTGACGGTGAACGACGTTGGTTGAAGCACGGGACCAGGCGGTGGTCCTGCCCGAGCCCATAGAGGCCAGACGAGAACCAACGACCCGACTTGCAAGCGAGTGACCTTCTAGACGGTGATTTGTGTCGCGTGCGATGACCGAACAAGCTTGCGCCATCGATCATCCAGCGTCCAAACTCAGCAGCCCAAAGTTGCACAGGTTGCGTGACGCGATACTGCTTGTCCAGGAAGATCGCCCAGACCTAGCTTGCGAAAGGCCTCGGCAATCACGTTGACAAAGGTTCGACCTAGAGGAGAGCAAAAAGAAAGCGTACGGAACGCCTGCCAATTGCGTGTTCCCCGTGGCCAAACCTGAAAACGCTGAACGCAGATGCTTCGACGATACCTCAAGAGAGAATCTCGCTGCCGGTTAAGAAGGACGACAAGGCTGAGCAGACCGAACTGCCCAGATCGTGTTGTCCTCCTGCGCAGTGCAAGGTGCCTAAAGATCGTTCCTTGTAGAACGCTCGAAATTCTGCGCGCGGAGGGTCTCACTAGCCCATGTCCCAAAAAGATTGATATAATCAAGGGACCCTCCGCGACTCGTTTCGAACGCTGCAAGTGATCTTTCAGTAGAACAACGCGTCATGCGTCGCAAAACGTCCTTGTCGCAACCGGTTCCTCTCGTCCTCTACACCAACTCGACACGCACGGCAAAGGAATAGGAGGAGGGGAGGGGAATCTGTGTAAACGACACTCACCTAGACCACGGGAAGCGACATCGGTAGCCAACATGATGGGCGAGCGACCCGACTTGAACTCGGCCAAGACCCAATCTCGCTCTTGCTGCTGCTTGTCTCCGTGGATGGCCAACGCCGGCCATCCGTCTTGCCTCAAAAACTTGGTCAGGTCATCGGCGACCCGCTTGGTACCGACAAAGATCAAGACCTTGGCGTTCTCTTGCGAGATCTGGTCGAGGTGCTTGATGAGCTTGCCTCGCTTTTCAAAGTCGGTGCAGACGGTGACTTCTTGGGTGACGTTGTGGTTGGTCTTCAGTTCCATCGAACCGATGTTGACCTGGATCAAGTCTTGTTGGAAGTCGGCGGCGAGACGCTGGACCTCCTTGGGCCAGGTGGCCGAGAAGAGGACGGTCTGTCGGTCAGGTCGGATCTGGCTGACAATCTTCCTGATCTGGGGCTCGAAACCTGGAAAGTCGCAGAAGAGTTGTCAGTATGATATATGGAAAGTTATCCTCGGCGCACTCACCCATGTCGAGCATTCGGTCGGCCTCATCCATGACCAAGTAGGTGACACGCTTGAGGTTGGTCTTGCCGCTCTCCAACATGTCGATCAGACGACCGGGAGTGGCGACGACAATCTCGGCACCCCTCTGCAAGTCCCTGATCTGTTGACCCTTGGGAACACCTCCGTAAACGGCCGTGTTCCTGATCCGGGAAGACTTTCCGAACTTGGTGCACTCGGCCTGGATCTGGACGGCCAACTCTCGGGTGGGGGCGAGGATGAGGACGATGGGACCGTCACCGGGGGCGAGCAAGGGCTGGGCGTTGATGTGCACCATGGCGGGCAGGGCGAACGAGATGGTCTTTCCCGAACCGGTCTCGGCGATGGCGACGAGATCACGACCGGACAAGGCCATGGGCCAAGCCTGACATTGAATGGCCGAGGGAGCGGTGAAACCGGAAGCCTTGATCTCGGACAAGATGTAGTCGGGGAATCCGGCCTCGTCGAAAGTGGTAATGGGTCGAGGGATGCTTTGACCCTGAACGAGCATCTCCTTTTCGGCACGGAAAGCCTCGATCTCTCGGTCGGATCGGGCAGAGACACGGGCGTCCTCGATGTAGAAGCTGCGAAGCGGGACGTTTTTTGAGATCAGCACGACTGGCCATTGAAAGTTCAGCGGGACGACGATACTCACTTCTTCTCGAACTTGGAGAGGGTCTGCCTGTTCCAGTCGATGTTACCGAGACCAGCACCGAGGGCGGACATACGGTCACCGCCACCGCCTACAAACGCACGAAAAAAAAGTCCATATTCAGTTCAAACTGCCTACTACGCATCGGTCCCGTTGATGCGCACCCCCACCCCCGTAATTGTCATAGCCGTAGCCGCCACCGCCGTACTGACCACCGTATCCACCACCACCACCTCCGTATCCGCCACCACCTCCGCCATATCCGCCACCACCACCACCACCACCGTAGCCTACATAGACAAGAAGAAGCTCAAGGTCAGTCAAGGTGATCTCGAATGAGACGTTCGAGGATTCGGAGAGACTTACCGCCACCACCACCACCGTATCCGCCACCGCCGTATCCACCGCCGTAAGACTGATCAAAGAACGCAAAATCGATCAACACCATGTCCCAACAAGAAATGAGCCTCGTGTATCAGTTCAGCGACTCACCATTGTTATGCTAGTTTTTGTTATTTGATGGTAAAAGGGGAAGGAAGGGAGTGTGGATCGTAAAAGATCTTTTTTTTTTTTTCGTAGTCGTGTAGAGTCGAAAGGACTTGTATGTGTGTTTGCTGCGTTCGAGGGAACGTAGACTGTTTTTGTGTTTGATTTGTAAGTTTTTACGAGTAGTAAGTGTGAATCTCTTTGAGTGAACAATGAGAAGCTTGAGGTAGGGAAAAAAGATTTGAGCGAGATGAGAGTGAGGTTGATGAAAGTTGATGAAAGTCTTTCAACGAGTGCAAGGCGTGTGGGGCGACAAAGGGGGGTGACTCGCGCGGATGCAAAATCTCAGGGGAAAATCTTGAAAACCTTGCCCCCCCCGGTGACTGTCCCAGACTGACGCGTGAGAAAGCGGGACCGGTAAATGACTGCAACGCTCTATGCGATCTCCAGAAACGTAGCAATCTCAGGATATCGAGTCTACAACCAGTCACGCGCCTCAAGCCCTATTACGACCACAATGTTCTTGATCATTATATCAACATGCTCAAACACTCTCCGACTATGCGGCCTTGCCAGCTCTCAGGTCCTGTCAATGTCAATGTCACGCGCGTTTCACCGATTGTTAGCGGCAGAACCTTTCACCAACGTGCACCGCCCCCATTCGCTCGCGCCGACTCACCTTCCAAACCTTGAGCGCCTCCAAATTCCCAACGACCTCCTCCCTCTGTCCTTCCTCCCCCCTTACCGCCCCTTCTGCCCCTTCTTCGGGTAGCGCTTGCACTTCCAACTTCAAATTGCCCTCGTTCCCTTTTTCCCCAACCTCGATCTTCAACCCTTGCTCGTTGGCCAAGTGTAACAAGCAGATGAAACAGAACGACGTGGAGATCTCGGACATCTTGTCGTTGGTATAGTTGGTCCGGAGGTCTTGGATGACGCTGGAGAACTCTCTCTCTTGTGTCAGGGCGGTCGAACCTTGTTCGTCGTCCGAGGCGTCCATGTCGGGCTAATCAACAGGAAGAGTATCAGCCCCGACTGGCCAGAACCTGCGACTTCCCGCTTGTAAGTGCGGCTCACCATATCGTCCTGCAACCCAACCGCTTTATCCTCGATCTTCAACCCCTTCCAAATATTATCCTTTAACCGCTTGACGTCCACTTTCTTGGCCTTTTTCGCATAATGCACGCTCTCCGGTCGAGCCATCTTGAGCTTGCCCTGCGTCCCCGCCCAGAGGTCTTCTTCCTCCGGTTTATTAGCCTCTCCGCCTCCTCCGTCCACTTGAAAGCCTGAGGGGTCGTCCCCCAGGATCCCGTCGTCGACCATGGCATAGTCGTCGGCGTCGGCGTCGTCGTGGAAGAATTGAGTGTCGAATCCGCCTGCTCCACCATCGTCGTCTGCATAGGAGAGGTGGAGGTCAAGTCAGCTTCGAAACGTTCGGAGGTAAGTCGTCGGAGGTCTTTTTGCTCACCATCGTCGTCCATCCCGCCGGCAGCTTCGACCTCGGCTTTTTCCGCTGCAGCCTGAGCCCAGAAGTTTTCGTCCAGGTCCGCATCATGACCTGTGGGAATGGTTGATATTGAGCATCACGGTACTCGCTTTGCAGTCAACATGACGAATCAGCTCACCCTGTTGTAATTGTTTAGCGACCGCTCCTTGACGCCTCATCTTGAGCTGCAACAAGCGAAAACGAGTCAAGATCAGTCCTTCCGGATGCATAGACGAAGCGCCAACCCAGCCGTTGACTGACAGTAAACTTGGGTTTCAGGAACAGCCTCAAGAGCTGTCGACTGCTAAAGTGCATATCGTCCGGCAACAAGTGCTCGTCCCGCTCTTCCACCTCTTCCTCCTGCTTGACCTTTTTACCGCGCTTTGTGCTCTTGGTGACTTTCCGCTTCTTGATCTTGGGCGCAGGGAGGGATGTCGCCGTCTTGGTACCGGGCTCGAACAGCTTCTTTGTTGTGATCGTGGATGGGCCCTCGAAATCGATGACAAAGGGGAGCTTTTCTTTTCTTTGTCGTGCGGCTGTTGCTCCGGTAGCGGTCATGGTAGTTGGATCTGCGACCAATGCAATCGCGTTAGTCATGGACGTGCGACCCGCTGCTCAAATGACGCGACTGACCCCGTCGCACACGCCTCAGCTTCCAGTGTTCGGGCCCGGCCCAGTTCTTGAGGTAGCCCTCGTCAAACTGATCGAGTAATAGCCCTTGTCCATCATCCATCGAGACAAAGACGCTAGATCCGTTGCCCTGTCTGCGCGGGTCGAACGCTTCTGTCGGTCCGAATCCGCCAGGCGCTCCACCCATATCCATGCCCATCCCCATGCCCGCATCGTCCCCGAACCCAGCATCATTGTCATCGTCCCCATCGCCACCGCCAAAGTAGTCGTCACCGCCACCGAAATCGTTGCCCATGTCTTCGCCCCCGAAAAAGTCTTGACCGGGTGCATTCGGGTCGCTGTCCCCATTGATACCCGCAGATGGTAACGGGTCGTCATATTCGTCGTCTCGCGACTGCATCAGCAGCGAGACGTCAAAGGCGGACTTGGCGTCGGCGGAAAACTTGAAGTCCGCCAGGGTGACCGAGATGTTACGGTTCATGACGTTTTCGACCGGAGGGACGAATTCTGGCAATAGATTATGGGTTATCAGCTGAAAATGTTTGGGTTTGTCTAGAATAGGGCTCACCCCGCAGCTTCTCTAGGTCGACCATAACGTCATTGGCTTCTTCCTCTTCCTCGTCATCATCCTCGAACCCGACGTCTCCAGCATCAAAGACGACTCGGCACTTCCCATCGACACCCAAGTGGTTCATGAGCAAACCCATCGCTCCACCCTCATCAAAGTCGGCACTTGTCTTCTTGAAAAGAGGATCCACGGTGAATTCGAGATCGAGCTTCTTGACCTTGAGCGCGTCGAACGATTTGGCCAGCGTGCTTTCACCCGAGCGAGACTTTTTCTGCTTCTTCTTCTGTCCATCGCCGTCATCATCCTCGGCGGCGTCCCCATCTATATCCTCCTCGAGTTGGCCCGAATCATTCTGACGCCCAGTCGAAAGGCCAGATAAGAGCTTTCCCGTCTCGGTAGCAACGCTATCTACACGAGATGTCCAGACTTTGACACAACCGTCAAGGGTACAAGATGCCTTCTGAAAGTTGATACCTGATGTCGAAGCAAACATGTTAGCAAATGCGGTAGATAGACGCATAAACGTCCTGCGGCTCACTCTGGTCGTCATCAGCGTTGCGCAGGAATGTGATATCGGCAAAATAGTCGATCAAAGCGAAACCCCAGGTATTATTGGCGGTGATTTTCTGCGAAAGGCAAGTCGAGTGGCTCAGAGTCGTTATTTTCCCGACAGCGGCTGATTCCTTCGCTCACATTATCGGTCGCCATCCTCATCCATTCTTCGAAATTGTCGTCCATGACCTTTCTTGGGACTTGAACGGGAAGCTGAGTAAGATCGCCTAGGTTGAGCATTCCCCCGCCGTTAATGGTTGTGCCAGAGACGACGGTCGCCGAAGCGGATGTCGTGGTGTTTACTGCACTGGGCCTGTTGATGACCGAAAGTCTCGGTGCGGTGCCGGTCTTTGTCTTCTGGCCGTTGATATTCGACTGGCGTGCCTTTTGAGTTGCCTTGCCCTTGCCCTTCCCGACCGGGCTTTCAGAATAATCATCAGCCTCCTGATTGCCGCTGTCTTCATCGTTGTCGTTCTCTTGATTCCTCCTGTTCATCCCAGTAGATCTCCTCTGTACTCTTCGAGCGCTCTTCTCAGCCTCGTCATCGTTGGCGTTCAGACCAGGACTGTTTGTAGCACCATTCTGCTTGGCTGAAGACCGTCTGTTCTGACGAAGAGGGATCCTTCGCGATTGTCGCGGCGTGACGTCCTCCGAGTCGGACATGATTGTGAGTTGGGACTGCCGATCGAGTTCCGGATATACTGTCAATTCGGTAAGGTATACGTCTAGTCTTGTCAAAAAAGCTGCAGTTGGATCGATAGTCGAGGCCAGGATGAACAAATGCAAGATGCAGGATGATGATTGTGCTTGTGTACCTTGACCGATTATCGTTTGTTTACTTTTGGGTCGAGCTCACAACTAGAAATGCGCGTCGCCTTTGCATCGACATGGTAAACAAACCGGACGAACGAACCTCGACGGAAGAGATGATCGATTTCTGTCATGCTCAAAAACTAATGCTATAGGGGAATACACCAGGAACTTTTCTAACGAATGCAACGACGGGGGTATGAGAAGTAGAATCGGATCGAAATTGCGAAAAGAAAAGAGGGTCCATGAAATATCTACTTCGTCAGTGCGGGTCTTTTCGCCCGGCCTTGGCGTCTTGTTTGTGTGTGTTTACTATGCTTGATTGAAAGGCTTGATGATTTCCCAGACCGATCCGTGCCGCGTCCGTTGGATCGTGAACGTCGTCGTTGTCTTGAGTCCGAGTCATGTGTCGAAAGAGAAAAATGGGACAGAATGAACCGAGTCAAGATGGTGCGATTCTTGTGTGATGCGAATATATGTAAAAGGGTGGTATGGGGCACGGAGCCATTTCAAGAGGGTCCGTACTCCCCGGGACGGTTCTGTTGTATTGATTCATTGGGCGTGATGGTGAAGACGAAATATTGGTCGGCGGAAAGACAGCGCGATCCCGTGTGGGCCGTCGATGCTCGAGTCGCAAACTGGCTGAGCACGGTCCAATCCAGGACGCCGTCGCGCCCACTAAGACCTCCTCGGTCCACCCTGACTTTGCGGCTGAGTGATCATACCACTAGCAACCCCAAGGTTCCAGGCGGCGACATTGATCCCAGCCGCATTGGCTACGTGAGCGTTCATGTGAGGACCCCCTCGATTCTGATTGGGACTGTGGTTGAGTTGCTGGTTCTGATGTTGATGTTGATATTGATTCTGATGATGATGATGCGGCGAGCGCTGATGATGTTGATGCTGCTGCAAGCCATGATACCCCGTTCCCGGCTGACCGGGTACACCCCCGCCGATGGGAGGAGCGACGGAGTTGAGTACGGCCGGGTTGACGCCCCATCCGCCCGGATTAGGAGCCATCGCAGGCAAGCCGTTGATGGGGCCAACGTTATTCCAAGCAGGAGGAGGAGGGATGTTTCCAGGGGAGCCGGGGCTAGCGATGGGTGGGACCGGCTGAGCAGGTCCCGACTGAGGGGATCCGAACCCAGGTCGGCCGACCGGCATCTGACCATGTCCATAAGGCATGTTTTGGTGGTACTGGAAAGGAGGTCCCATGGGCGAAGTTCCCGATCCAGGTTGACCTGCGATCCCCGTGCCCGGTTGAATAGGAAGACCCCCTTTGGGCGACGCTCCACCAAAATAAGGTCGGTTCTGAGGTCTGCCTCGACGTCTCTTGGGTTGATGCGGATGGACGATTCCGCCGACTGGGCTGGACTCGACCGGGGTCGGCGAGGCCAAGCCCGTCTTGTGTTCAGGCGACCCTTCCTCCGAGATGACAGACGACGATCCGGAGACGGTCCGCCTACCGCTCATCCCGCTCAACACGCTAGTACCCGAGGCAGATCTCGACCTGTTCCCACCGACGATGGGCGTCTTGGGCACACCGTGACCACCGAGCTTGACTCCTCCACCCAAGACGCCAACGTTACCGCCATCGTAACCTTGAACACGAGCTGCCGTACCGGGGCTGTTGGTCGTATCTGTTCGAGGCGAAGAAGAGGCAGCCGAAGTAGCCGTACCGGCTGTCGCAATGACAGACGAAGGCGATCGGGGTCTGACCGTCGCGACCGAGCCAGGGGTATCAGGAATGAACGCCGGTCCGGGCGCTCTCGGTGGGGTCCTAGGTTGAGTCGCGTGCGTCTTTCCAAACGAGATCTGCTCGTCCTTGAGAGGTTCCGGCTTGCGGTTCAACAAGGCTAGCAGGTCGGAAGCGTTGGCGGGCGTACCGAGCGAGATGGACCGAGGCGTCTGGGCCATGTGAGCGAGGTGGCCCGATCGAGCCAGCGACGAAGGCAAGACCGGAGACGCCGATCGTCTGCCCGCACCTACGGCGGCATCTCCGATAGGCATGGCGACGACCTGCGGTGCGATCCTCTTTCCCTTGAGCGGGGTCGACCTGGTAGACCCTGCCGTATTCCAACCAGGACCCGACGCGGAAGCGGATCCGAAGGGCGACGCGGATGACGACGAGTCCATGGTTTGATTAGGTAAGCTGCGTTTGATCAGCGGCGCTGACCCGGCCATCATCGCGATCCCACCAGCCGAGTTCATGAAACCACTACTACCTCCACCACCGAGTCTACCATTGTCCATCGGACGACCGACATCGAATGAATTGCTCGTGGATGTCACCATGCCGGTAGTAGATTTGTTGTTGTTATCGCTTTGTGCGCGTAGGGACAAGGACCGCATGCCTTCGACGAGCGGCATGGGCGAGGAAGGGATCCGAAAGACGGCAGGTGCACGGATGGGCAAGGTCGATCGTTTCATCGAGGTCGACGAGGATGAAGCTGGTACAGATGGCAAGTCTTCCGAGTTGCCCGGGTCAAAGTCGTCCGAAGTCTCGATAGATAGAGGTGCATGCCAGACGGTATGAAGCGTTTCTGCAAGGTCGAATAGCGATAGCACAATTGTCAGCCTGGATCGTCGTGAAATGACCCGCAAACGATCTCGACACAAAGGCGACCACTGAGACCACTCACGTTTGTACATCTTGTTCTCAAAAGCGTCATCCGCAAAAGCCCACCCTCCTTCCCTGAAACAGACGCTACCCGGATCCACCCAGATCTCCCACTCGCCCGTCTCGCTGATCGCCCTCGTCCACTTGACCGGATCGATCCCGACCTCCTGAGCGGCCTTGACGAGCGGCGTGGGGAACTTGCCTGGTAGTGCGATGAGCGACCTGACTCCCGAGCCGGACGATGGGTTGAGCGGGTCCCATGTCGGTGCAAGTTTTGGGGTGAGGTGGGAGACGATGCTATTCCGCAAAGCCTGGACGAGGTGTGGTGGGTAGATTGCTTCGAGCTTGTGGACCAGGAAATCGACCAAGTGAGCGAGGGTGGTCTCCAGGGAAAAGGATGAGAGGTCGGTATCGCTATCAGAGGTGGTCCGGAGCGGTGCAGTGAAAGGGGTCGAGCTGAGGATGGGTCGTCGTTTGGTAGCGGTAGGAGCTTGTACGGTAGGGATATTACTGTCTGCCATCCTGAGCGGTGTTGTCATGTCGTCAAGTCGAAATCGAGTTGAATGTCGAGGTCGGAGCTCGTCGATGGTGGTCGTGATATCTCGGACCGAATCTCATCGACGTCTGCCTCACTCACACGCCCTGGCCGTTCGATAGCGAGGGGTATGAGAGCTAGCTAGCAGGAGCTTTGGTCGAGATCAAGGAGCATGCAAGACCAGACTGTGGTGGAAAGTCACGAGAACCAGACCGACGACCTTCCTTTCGTATCAACCTAAAACCACCACCACGTATTTATCTGATGCTCACAAGCTCGCACGTTAGCCCATGCCGCCGCTGCCCACACAATGCACACACAGACCCTTGCCTTGCCTTGCCCTGAGCTGCTCGCTGCTCGCAACTCGCACAATCTCTGAGACGCCTATGGATGGGCTAAGACTACTCGTCCTTGCAACACTACGGGAAATCGATAACAAACCATCACGTGACTCCCGATTGCACATCGTCATTGCGCATGGGCCATCTTGCAGCGTTAACCATCGTGACGTTGCCAATCATGGACGTGAAGCCGTACGTACAGCCACGTCTGTCCGATATGACTATACGGGATACTGATCGATAGCGCGGACAATGATCCTGAACCTTGGGCCTGCAGCTCTTCATCGCATGCTGCACCGGGTGTCCACAAGACCTCTCATATTCGTGTTTATAAAGTCACATTTTCCGATCAACCGATGCATCGACGTTTCCAAGTCGATAGGGTTCCACCTCGTTACCTCCGAACTCCTTTGATGGTTCCTTCCGTGCCGTCCTTCTGCACTTACAGCTTGGGCACCTGATAAGATGTCGGTCAAACGAGTCAGCTGACAGTATGATGACGCGAGACCGAGAGCTTTATCACTGACCTTCAACGTCTTGCTGACCATGGCGGCCGCCCAGGCCAAAAAGACAAAGCTCAAGAGGTGGACTTCACCAATCCCACCCGCCTCGCCGAACAACTTGATAGTTCCCCCAGGGAGATCTCCCAACCTCCTGATCGCGGCCCAATCGATCTCCGCTACCTGTTTCCCCGCGGCCAACTTGCCAGCGACGTCCCCTACGCTCCCCGTCCATCCTTTGGCACCGACAAAATGGCCCGTCTTGGCGCAACCCCACATGAACGCCGTCAAGCCCAAACTCGAGGGGATGGGGATCCCGGTGAAGAACTTGATCGAGCCGGACTTGCCTGTGGGGACGAGGGCGACGGTGGCGTTGAACCGGGCGAGACGGGCTAGACCGCCAGAGACGAAGAATAAGAGGCAGGCGATGTCGAGGGGGAGACGCATGCCGAGGGTGTAGGCTAGGGTGGCAGGGGCGACACCGAATGAGATCTGTTCGCGACCGGAAGGGGAGCAATAGGTGATCAGTAAACGGGTTTCGAGGTGTCCCTATGTCTTGACACGGGTGCTCACCAGATCAGCCAGACTGTCCAGCTCTTGTCCCAAAAGACTGCCCCCACCCATCATCCTCGCGACCCTCCCGTCGAGCGCATCAAACCCGAACCCGAGCATGGGCAAGAAGTGCGCCCAATACAAGCTCGTCATAGCCTCCTCACTCGGTGCTCCGCTCATGTTGGCGCTCAAGCTGAGATAACGGATGCACAGGAAGATGCATAGGGTCCCGCAGACGGCGTTCCCCAGGGTGATGATATCCGCCATCCGGAAATTTCGGACGAGGGAAAAGTGGCCCTCGTCGTTGGCGTATGCTTTGAGGGCGGCTTGTTTCTCCCTCTCTTCGGCGATCGAGGCGCCCTGGTATGTGAGATAGTGAGAAACAGGGATCGATCAGCTCGAGAGTCGGAAAGGCAGCATTGATCTCGCTCGAATCCTCTTGGTGACTGACCTTGCCGGTGGCAGGCTCGGAAGCCTTGTGACGGAGTTGAGGTCCTTGATTAGACATGTCTGGTTCGAGAGGTCGTTCCGATGTAGATCGTAGCGACAAACTATGGATCTGTATAGAAAAGAGCAAGGAGTCGAGGTCGAGTGCTGCCTGATGATGATGGATGTTTCCTTTGAACCCAGAGGCTGCGTCGAAAGGCAGAGAGGACGGACGAAAGGGATGGGTGCGGATGCAAAATAGATTCGCGAACAAAGGTTCGGGACCGTGATGACGCGTGACAACGTGCCATCCCATTACACGCCGAGCTTTACGGCAGAGACGAGTTGCACGTTTCATCGCCAACGGCTGCAGATTCGAGCAACAAGTGACCTCTCGTTCGACCACCTCCTCCCTGGAAGAATTTCATACACAACGTTGGTTGCTTCCAAAGCTGAGAAATCACAGTCGTGCTTCGTGTGGTAACGACCGTTGCTGCGTGTGAAATGGCTGTAAGCTGGATCTTGACAGACACGGGCGCGGTCAATGGTCCATCCTGAGACCGATGCGATATATCGATAGACTAGGGAACTATTAGATGTTGAACGACCTGCCCGCGATCGAAAATGCACACTGAGAGTATCTCAAGCCCGAACACATCGTCAAACAAAAAGCCCGGCCACATGCCAATTTTTGTTTTTATGGGACCGACTGCATCCGTCCTGCACTTCCACTGCGAACCACAATGGATATTCCGAACCTTCTGATCCAGTCATGCGATGGGTCGGCTATCTCTTCCTGACTGCCGCCCTGTACCGGCTTACGGGGACCTTGTCAAGGACCGACTTAGTCGTATGGCTCAGAGGGTAACATGATTTCAAACCGGTCACGATGGATTGCAAGACGAGCTCAGCACATAGTCCTCAGTCATAGATAGAGACTTTCTGCAGGATGGCCAAGCTACCACTCAGCGGTATCGACGGTCGAAGGGGGTCCCAATGCCAACATACCTCCATCTCCTGCGTCTGCAGTCACTCCTCTGCAGCAAAAACCTATGGTGATCCGTAACCCACACCGAACGCCTCGTTCCAGCGCATAGGTCGGGGGTTGCTAGACGCATCCAATGGACCGCTCGTCATCGCTTTTGGTGTTGGCCGCCGCGGTGTGTAGGAATCGGAAAAGAACGCCAGCCCGGCTCGCTGGTTCGGGTGAAGTAGAGAAGCGAGTCCTCTAAGGATCGATTCCGCGCAAGGCTTTTTGTCTCGTCCAGTATAGTACTGGAGAGTATATGAAGCCGCGGATGATGTAGTAGATGCAGTAGGTACAAGGATCATGGACGATACTATATAATAACAAGTCTGCGATTCGCCGTCGAAATCATCGTTTGACTTGTCAACTCGAATTCAAGACCGTGAGACCGATCGATTTCCCAGGTTCCGCAACATTCAGGTGTATGGTACCCGTACGGGGATTCCCCTCATCTCTTTTCTGTGCTATATGCCAATTGATCACATGCAGAAATTCTCGTCAGGGACTCGGTATCGGTATATTCAAATGCGCTCGATCCTACGGTTGCCACAGCCGGTGACGTTGTTTGGGGACTACTTGTGACAGGTGCAGGTGTAGAAGATGGATCGGTGTTTGAAAAAAAAACAAGGAAGAAATCGCTAAAGGCGGATCTGATCAAGTGCATTTCGTTCGTCATAGAGGTCAGGTCTCGCTGCCCTGTTGCTAACTAACACTCGCAGGGCGTCATCTCGTTGCAGAAGGAAGTGATCGCCGCCGGATCTGCGGCAGCTGCTTTGTCTCTTCAAACGTTCCATACGGGAGTCCCAGGCCATGCGGGACATCTTCCCTAGACCAGCTGCTGGATCCTGAAACGCAGCCGTGGGCCAGGATCAATCGGGCTAGACGATACCCGTACTCGGAAGCCCTCCTCAAGACGATATCGACGTCGTGGTCGGGCCTCATTGAGCAACAGCATTCATGAGCAATAAAACATCTGGCGGGGAATGTGGTATGTCATACAGCACCCGTAGTTGATCTGCTCTACGGTCAACGGGGGGTGACAGCAAAACTTCCGTGGCGATCTTTGGTTCTTGACGCTCAGCGCGATGCATCTCGTCTTCCACCGAAACTGTACTCGTCCGAGACTTCTTGGCTATTCATCGGATTCGACTTTCTCTTCGAATCCATACTTTTTGCTACCCTACCTGCGTGATGGAGGTGCCTTATCACTCTGTGCATTCCATACTGTGTTGAAGATCACAAGATAAGGAGGCGCATCACACACGCCGTTCACGATCCAGCTTCAACTCAAGTGCATTTTACTGTTCAGGATGAGGAAGATGGCCTCTATTGCAACCATGTGGTGTATCCTGATGAAGATGAACCACCCTCCTGTCACCCCAGTACAGTCTAATTGTATCATCATGGGTCGACCCATCAGATGCTCCGCTTGTATGCTAGATACAAAAGTGTTTAAGCACAAGGCTGGTTGACGAGACAAGGTAGGTGACGTAACGCTCGGGCTCGTGCAGGGGTTCCGAACAGAGGAAAAGAATGCGGAAAGATACTAACCCGGACCACCCGATAATTGGGGTCACCTAGCTTTCCGTAGATCCGGGCGGTGGATTGGACAACCTTTTCGGACCTCTGGGGATTTGTTTGTGATGACGTGATGACGACGTCTGAAAGGATGTCTCGGACCGAGCCGGGTGGATAGGTGGATAGGTGGATCGGATTGGCATGGGACAGCACGTAGTAGACGACGTTGGGTCTGCCATCTGAAAAGCGATTAGAAGAAGTGACGTTGCACGGATCTTCGAGCCAGCATAGCCAGCGCAGACATCATCGTTACTACCAGATATCTTGGAATGCCCGCTCTCACTCGTTTTGCAACCTGCAACCTGAAACACGATACGGAGCTCGGAGCATGCAGCCTGCAACCCGGGGTCTGCGAGTGTGTGGGGTAAACCTTTGGGGAAACGACCTATCCGTGGCTTGAGGGGCTTGGGGGAAACCACACGTCATCGATTAACCGAGGCGAGCGAGAAATTTATTTCCGGTAAGGGCGGGGGCCGCGGCAGGAGCGCGAGGGACGATCATCACCGGAAGTATTGGTATACATCCGATAATTTGGATCCGGTGGATACCCTTGTGATTCTGTTTGGGGGAATTCGTGGGGAAGAGACCTCGAAGTTGGGGAAGTCGTCGGTCGAACCTCGACATCATCTCGTCAACCTTTACATTCCACCTACAACCAACCATATCAACCATCGACCACCTCATCATGACTATCTAGAGAAACCAAACCAAACATCAGCACTCCTCACGACCTGAATACAAAAACCAACCTACCCTTACGAACACACATCACGCCCGCAAGCACTCAACCTCTCCCTCAACGCGTTCGTCCCGCAGTCGAACTCGTGTGAGCTCCACCCTTCGACCTGCAAAGTCTTACACCATCACGACGTGAGTCTCGAACGTCTCTTTTCTATCATCCCGAGTTCATGTTGTGTGCAACGAGTCGTCATGCGGATAGCGAGAGCGAAGACGTACGACCCGCTGTTATGGCATGTCGTCGATACCGTCTCCTTTTAATCTGGACCGTGATCGCGTGCTCCGTTCTGTCGTTTTTTTTTGGAGCGCATCGTAGCGTTCCTTTGCACTTGACTGACATCATGGCACGTCTTTTTCTTTCCCAGTATATAAGCCGAGGAATTCTCTTGTTGAAGACGTTAGACGAGGAGGAAGAACTTCCCGTCCTCCTGGCTCTTGAACTCGACCTCACCTCATCCTCAAACTCTATCACGCGCGACCACCTTCATATTTCAAACCACCCTCTCAGCTGATCTACAGCACGAAGGCACAGCGAATCAGAGAATCCGCACTTTGACCATGACATCCAACCACCCACTCTTTCCTCCCTCTGCTCACCTCGGCGTCAAAAGACCCATCGCTTCCAGCTCAACCTCTACCTCTACCTCGAACGCTTCTCCTTCTCCTTTTCCCTCAACCTTTACGACAAAGAGTACGACACCGGCGACGACCCCGCCTAGGTCTTGTCGCCGTCCGAGCCCGTTGAGGAACAATTCTTTTTGCTCGGACGATCTCGATAGGGATGGTGACCGTGATGACGTCAAGCGCGGTCGAGCAGAAGGAGAAGAGGAGGATGCGGATGGGGATGAGGATCAAGGGATGATGAGCAGTTTTTGTGAGAGCATCGACGAGAACGAGGCGCAGGGGAGTGAGGTGGAGCACGACGAGTCCAAGGCGAAGGCCCAGGCTGGGCTTGGGTCCGAGTGGAAGTCTGCATCGGGACTCGGTGCGGGATCCAAGTTCCCGTTGAAGAGGGAGCCGAGTAACAGGCCGAAGAGGAGGGATTCGGGGAGCGAGGTCGAAGATGCTCTCGAGTTGGATTTTGCTAGCCCGTTCGTCCAGGCTGAGAGGACGGGGAAGGAGGACGTGGACATGCACCATTCAGCCGGGGAGGTCGATCCGGCCGAGAAACCTAGGGCCAAATCAACTTCGATCTCGTCTGCTACCTCGGGGACGGGAACGCTAGCGGGATCGGCGGGGAGGACTTATCCCGGTTCTATGGGGAGAACGATCAATTACAACCCTTCCCACTCGACCTTGTCCTCCAACTCGACTTCGAAATCCAGCTTTATCCGACCTAAACCTTCGTTCCCCCGTTCGGCGCCTCTGCGACCGTTAACCCTGGCTTCCCTATCACACTCCGGCGGGTCTAGCTCTGGACCTATCTTAGGAGCCGGAGGGAGGTACTCGACCCCTCATGCGGGGATGATGGCTGCTGGTTCTTCTGGTGCCGGTGCTGCAGGGAAAGGTGGGCAGGGGAGGCAGAAGGTGATCGTACCGAAAAAGATGTTGAGGATGTCTTTTGATCTGGGGTTGACCCAGAGCGAGTTGGCGAGGGAGGGGTAGACGGGGTCGCCGAGCTTGGCCTGCGGACGCCTCATGCCAACACATCATGAGGAAGCGCAAAGATACCTCTTCAGATATACATACACGTATCTATACGATCATCATACACGACAATGCCTGAGATCCCCTTTTCTCTTTTCTCCGCCCCCCTCACATACGACACGACAACAATCGAACTATCGAAGCGCATCTACATCCGACAAACACACGCCCCGGACGAGAAGATCCGAAAACCCCCTCCGCATGGCATTATCATCCCGCCAAATCCACTGGATCCCTGGTCAGAGTTGCAATCACGGCATGATCTCTTTCGAGACGCAAGATCATAACCCTATCGACGTTCTTTACCATTTGTTTTGTAATTCCCCGTATTGAAAGACCCCCGATCGGAACTTGTAGAGACGGGTCGGGGAGATGAAAATTGAGCGTGTTGTTTCTTCTGCTTGTATAGACGAATATAAATTAATGTAGAGTTATAGAATTTGGTGTTTTTCGACGAGTTCGTTCAGTCTGATTACCACAAGATGCGTCCCAATCAGTCTCTGGCAGCAAGACAGATGTGTTCGCCTATGCGCGACTGCAGTGATTGATGCGATGCGGTTAACAGTGTGACGGGAAGGAGAATCGGTGAAGGGTTTGGATCGGGAATTTACGTTTCAACGTCCTTCACCCCGGCTCTCAGCTAGGAACGATTCGTCTCGAACGATTTGCGACTTATTGACTCGATTTGGCTGTATGATGTAAAGGCGTTGTTATTTGGCATCTGATCAAGTCTCATCTATTGTGGCTAAGCTCGTACTCTACAAAGTGTTCGTGGATCACTGATGTTCAGTCTCCGGTTTCGGAAGCGAGGGTTTAGACTTCCTGACCGACTTGCTATGCACCAACAATCTTCTTGCGCTTTTGAACTCTCCTGGAGTACTGTATGTAGTTGCGGTACCTTCTAGAGCACACAGTACACCTGTTCCTCTGCGAGTCTTTCGTTCTAAGCACAACTCGGTCACAATTCTCATCATGGCTAAGATAATGCCCGTGGGTTGGACAACTGATGCAAGGCCGGCATGATACTGCATATCCGTCCCTGCAGTTATAGATTGTCCCGTTGGCGTAAGCCTTCCTGACTCCACGTAGGAACTCGAAATGCGGAACACCTCTGCTCATGCGTCGAAGGTAAATATTCAATCCAGTTTGATCAAGTCGTTTCCGGAACAAATCCAGATCCTTTTGTTCTTCCTTTGTTCGCAAATTCGTATGTCAGAACAAGGTGAAGTCATTCCGGGTTCAGCAAGCATCTTACCTTGGAAACGAAATCGCCACCCATCTCTGCGGGCGACGAATCCCCTTGCAGATGTGACGACTGTTCGGCTATAGGAACGGGTTTTCAGGTTGTCGCCAAACTTCCCGACTCATGTCAATACTCACGATTGGTTGTGCGTTCTGAAGTAAGCGAATTCAATGCATCCTGAGCTGATACATTCTGGATGCACGTAGCTGCCGGTCCATCGTGATATATATCCGATGGCTGAAGCGTCGACATCCGGCCCTGTGCGGCAGTACTTGAGGTCTGGGGACAATCGAGATAGGAAGTCTGTTGATACCCTGTTGATTGCGGGACAGACCACGCTTCGAAGTCTAGATCACTTGGACCAAGGGTACCATCGTCTGTGCCGATTTGGTACCAAAATGCATTGGTCAGATATTCGTCAACACAGTACGGTATTGCCGATGTCGTTTCACTCCAAGGCAACTCGCCCATAATGACAGAGTGGGGAGTTTCACCAAACAATGCCAAGACGCAAATGCTGATAACGAGACTACTAATGACATGATTCGACTATATATACTAGTATATTCCCCTGACCATGAACGGCAAGGACAGAGCATGAGTCGAGCAATCAGTCAATACCTTCCTAGCCTTCCTTTCATTGCCATATTTATGCTCTGCCCGATGTACCGTCTCGAGGCCTTTGATTACGTGATCCAAGTGCAATGGGACATGCAATCACCCTATATGACCAGTGGAGGACGCCTATCTTCCTCTGCCATCTCTTCCGGATCGACCAATACAGAGATGATCGTCTCGTGGCTCCGGAACAATCAACGATCGCACGGGGATTGAGATTGATGCCTCTGACGCTGTCAAACCGTGACCGAAGCAGGGATTCCAGGCAAATCAGGTCCCGTCGGTGCTGCAGCCATCAAAATCCTCTATGTTCTCGAAGACTGTCATTGTGATGATCCTGTCCCGTCATTTGCAGCCCGAGGGAGATTGCACAGGAAGTCCCCGGTCTTGATCAAGTTTCATCTTTCGTGTTTCGTGCGTCAGAATCTCAAGCGCGCGCGGGTATAAGCGCGACTAGTGCAAAGCCGCTGCGTATTTGATGGTGAGACATCGTCTAGGGTCGACATATAGTATAATCCCTCAAAACTACAGGAGCAGCGCCGTTCGGACCAACTAGCAAGCTACTATTTTGAGATAAGACTGCCGCTAAAGGCAGAGAAAACTCTTACAGTTTTTATACGCTCGAAACCACAGAGCTTCTGCGTCATATATACGTGAAACGATTCAAAATGAGACGTGCGATGAATTTACCAATCCAGCCGCAGGCATCAGCAAGTGTTGCGAAATGTACCTGCTAGCAATCTGTTACAGTCGATCGGGGCCCATACATACGAAGTTCTACCGATTATAATCCTTCAATACATGGCCGATGATCAACTACAGGGTTTGTATAGGCTGCACTTCATCTTTTCGCCTTCTCCTTGCTTCGTCTCTGGTTCTTGTTGTACTCGTTCCACTTTTTAGCGCAGAAGTTACACCTCCCCTTCATTATCTTTTGGGTTCGAAGTACGACCTTTGCAGATCTACATTGTAGTCCAGGTCGGGGCCCTAAACAGGGAGAACATGACACATCACGATCGTACCAACGGAAGGAACTCCCTATATCGCTAGACTGGCATTCTTGCTGTGCTAAACGTAGGAAGGAATCTTCTCGCTCTCGTGTATGATCTTTTCGCATGCACCTTTTGAACAGGGAAACCCCCCTGTCGTCGAATTTTCCCATGAAAACCTGCAATGCTTCTCTGCCGCCCTTTTAGGTAGGATGTCACGAGTCAACGCGCAACATTTAGATCTGTACACGATCTCTTACCAGCAACTTACTGCAGGCGCGACTGACTCGATGACTGGAGGATTCTGTGGTTGTCTTGGTTGTTGCATAGATGTGGCGTCCAACTCCAGATCTTCCAGCGCGTTATCGGCTACTGTCCGGTCATAAACATAGTCTGTCATTGTACACGAGGCGATTGGCAGAGAAGCTTCCTCGGCCGCGGTCTCATGGCCACTACCAAGGAAAATTGTATGGTGATTCAATGAGGGATAGAGCGTATGGAACGAACCTGCCGGGCTGGTGGCAATGATGTCGCCCCTCGACTTATCGCTGCGGCTGAGAGAACCATTGCTGTAGACGGTATCATGGTAACTCAGCGAGGAGGGTTCGGAGTGAGTGTATCTATCCATCTTGTCGACTATCAATAGCTGACGGGTTTCTTGAGAAGGTGGTCGAGAACGAGCTCGTAACCTAACTTACAGATCAAAACAATCTTATAACTCTCCTTTTTCTATAATAGATCGCTATATATACAGTTTGCTGCGTTTGAATAACAAGACAAGCACGCCATTTTGACTTTCCTTTCATATCGTCAGACCCTCTCTCACTATGTAGCATGGCGCTCTCACAGCCATGCCGTTAGGTGATGCCATGTCATGCATGTGCCCAATTGCCCAACCGATATTGTCCCTTAGCAAGCCCCATTGGACGCGAGGAACGTGGCGAGACCAATGACTCCAGCAAGTTCCGATCGAATGGATGTTGCATTTTGATGATAATACAGTCAAGAGCGCCCCCAATCTTGAAGTTGCAATCCAGTGTCGAATATATAAGCTTGACCTCATGGTAACTCGCTTTCCCTGCTTGATGTTGTCGACATTGTGGGATGCTGTGTTGATATAAACCATGCTGTTGGCGGAGAACAGCATGCTAACTTTGTCGATGAGGACCATCTGGCTACGAGTTGAGACCTTCCACCGGCCATGACTCAATCAGTACTTGCAATATATCTGACCATACGAAATACAAAGTTCCTCTTGACATGCGGCTACAAACAGCAAACACCAAGGTCCATCACTCCGGTCACGTACTTGATTCGCTAGAGTTCTTTTTCTCAGCTTTGCGAGCCTTCCGTTTGAGATGGTTCTCTGCGTTCCTGTTCCGTTCAGTGCAGGTGAAACACCTTTCTGTTAGCAAACCCTTTGTCCGAACCACAATCGCTGCCTTTGGGCACGGGCGATCAATAATGAATTTTGGATGGCCGATGCAGAGCACACACGATATAGGGGTCCGAAATCCGCCCCAGAGTAAAGGTGTAACATCCTGGCCTTCCAAAGTCTTCTCGATGAATTGGAGGAATTCGAGTCGAGAACCGCCAGCGTCCACATGCGTACTGAGCAAATGTTTTCCGGATATGTCCATTCGATTGAAGAGTTTTTCAAGCCTTCCTGCCTCATCCTTGTTAGTATTTTCGATCCAATGTAGCAGATCAGTGCCAAACACTTTTTTGTCTTTAAAGGATGCACTACCCACCAGAGGAGGTACACTGCTACTTGGATTCATAGACAAGGGGCTACCGCGCTGCTCCGGTTGTGTTTCGGCTGAGAAGCTAAGAGTCATTCTAACTGGTAAAAGATCCGTGACTTGGTGAGACTCACAAGTACCGCTAGTCACCCAGATCAGAGGAGGATTGTAAGAACCAGTATTTGCTTGATCGTTGCGAAGCTGAACTTCGGAGGGCCCCGGTGCCGTTGAATCATTATAAGCTGAATCTTCAGACGTAACAGGTGGTTGTTGCTGTTCCTGAGCGACAGCAGAAGAGGTTGGAACGCCTCCGAGACAGGTCATATCAAGACTTGCAGATGGGTTCTTCCCCATTTCAAGGCTTGGATCAGGGGCTCTGCTGTCGCCATCATCTTGCTCATCAACGGTGAAGGATGTGGTTGAATTGTCCATTGCAAGGATCTGATCCAGTTTCGACCATATTGGGTTGTTAGGATCGCTCAAAGATAGTTCATCCATATTGATCACTGTACAGTACTTGTGCTGAAGTTGTATGTTTGATATAAGGGAACCAGGTAGCTGAACACTCAATCCGCTTAATTTTCGATCTCTTTCCCCCAGTCGATCTTTGAAATCACTCGATCCACTGCATTTATAAGATGTTCACTACACGAAGAAGCCGATAACTTCATCAATGTGACATTCCTTTCATCCATTTCAAACGCCCCCGTCCCTCTTGTAGGGTGGTCGTGTCTGGTCACATGGCAAGACTACCAAGGCAGCGGATATGCCGGTCACGGTCATCAAAAAATGTCTTGAGTTGGAGACAAGCGAAGCACCAGCAGTCCGATGTAATGCGAATCATGTTGTTTGACGTTGTGTGTCGGGCATCGGCACCGGCGGCGGTCCTCATGTGAGAGGGTTACCACATGAAACGCATTCTACGCCTCGCGCGCGCGGCAAAGGCCGCTTGACCAAAGCAGCTGGTGACGATGGACCGTATATTTGGCATCCCTACTACTGTCAGTCTCTATACGGTATGGCACCTCACATCTACGTCGATAGATACGATTGCTCGCCTGGTCGCTTTGCGTTGGACGGACGGGCCGGAAGTTTACCTTATACTGTGATCAAGAATCCGCTCAATTCGCCTACGACATCGATGCTGAAGTATGGGTTTTCTTGGCGGTCTCCAACTAGCTACTAGCTGCTGGGGTATCGACTGGTTAGCATCCCACTCGGGCGCTGAGTATAGTCGCAGTGTCAGCCTTCGATCCGACAAACGGACCCGGATAGCTCAAAAGCTTGTCAAGGATTATCGAAGCCATTTACTACCGATATCAACACGTTTGGAGCCCATAGGTCAGCCGATGTGATGCATATACATTTCAATATTCCGCTTGCTATACAACTTCGGACAATGCGACCATCTATGCAAGTTCTCAAGAATGAGGCGAGTTACGTTTCTGTTGTTGGTTATCGGCGCGGCGTTACCAATGTTGGTGGTGCCAATGGCGCAGTGTGAAATGCTGACAATTTGCGAGGCGGTTCCTCGATGATGGTAGGGGGTGCAGAGATTGGCGAGCTGGTCGGCACTGTACGTGAATGTACGATATTTCCGGTCACGATCAGGCAGAGATCATTCCTTGGGACGCGCACCGACTTGGCGCGGGAAAAGGCAAGCAGGGGATGTCTCACGCCGGGAGACCTCTGTGTTGAAGCTGACTTGTTGAGCGAAGCTAGTCGCATTGCTCGCATGGCGCTCAATGACATGTTTCTATTGGTAGGATCTTTGGCCAGCGGTTTGGGTTCGGGTGAGAGACTCGGTGTGAACGAGATTAGCGCTTCGTCGCGGTGATCTGCGGAGAGGAGGTCTACGACGACGGTCTGCCATTGAGCGTCCAGGCTCTCGTTCGCGTTGGCAGCTTGCTTTCGAGTGATGACCAGTATACCAGGGTCCGCGAGCAAGGCAAAGCTCCCCCTATGCATCGCCCTTTCATTGGACCGCGTCCTAGTCCATCGGAGGGTCGAATCGTTCACTAGGCGATCGAGCGATTCATGAGAGGCGCGTTCCATGTCCTCGATGTCAGAGTCGAGATTGGTCACCTCGGATTTGGGCGGCGAGTCTGTATACGCCTGATTCGTATGCAAGCGGGTTTGAGAGGGACTAGGCGAGGGTGAGCGGCGGTCGGGAATGTTGACTGGCGAAGGCGCCTGGTAAGTCCGAGAAGCTCTGCGTGGAGTTCGCTTGATAGGGATAGAGAGCAATTTGTCGACGGGGCGGATCCCGGGGGTATTCCGCGTTGACGTTGCGCAAGAACAAGGGTCTTGGTTTTCATGTTTCGCTTGAAATTCGATATCAGTGACCGAAGCAGTAGTCGAGCCGATAATCATGCAGGTCTGCGATTTGGTACGGCTGCAATGTGTGCACAGCTCGACAGGTATTACGACGCACTCTAGGCGATCGATCGGTAGACCGCCGCCGGTACCAAACATCGGCCCACTCCAGCAGCAAGATAGCGTCTCGAGAGACCATATTGATAAGAAGCCTTTGACATTGCCGATTGCAACGTGTTCCGTGTCCAGGATACTAAACGCTGTGATCGCTGTGGTGGTCAAGCCCGATAGTGCGTGCTTGTGCTTGAAGATCTCGGTCCATGGGTCTCGAATATCGGATCCGGCGGCTTGCCAGACCGTTGTCTCCGTATCGCTGCTGATGACAAGACGAGATTGACCAGAATCTCCATCTGACATGAATCGGATTACTTTCACAGTATCGGCAGACATGACGACTCTGAGGGCCTGGAAAGATCGGTCTGAGCTGAAGATCCAGACCGATCCGTCTGAGAAGGCTACAGTAGCGGCCAGCTCTGTTGTAAGATGGCTGGACCATCCCGTTGCTTCCATGTTACTGAGATGGGTCAAGCGCATGGCCACCGGGGTCGCGTTCGTGCTGTCAGGAAGACTTGCGTCCCCAATCGAGCGAGGTTTGTCCAAGGCCGAGATGTCAAAGAACCGGAGCCGGCCGGATTGACTGGTGACACAAGCGTACTTGCCGTCCTGAGTGATCGCAGCGACGACGACCCCGTTTGAAATCATGGTTGTCAACAACGGGTCCTTGCCTATTGGATCACCCATCGGCCTGAACAATATGACTTGACCCGTGATCGAGATCGCCAGACCCACGTTCCTCTGAGTGGCGATTACAACATCGCGGACATCACTCTCGCACGATAGGACAACCTGCGATGTCATCTGACGAGCAAAGCGGATTGAACGGTTGACTTCCGGCTTGGCTACTTGATGATCTTCCTCAGAGCTCAGCTCATCGACGACCTCTCCTGCGTACTTCTTGTTTCGCTGGGCGTCCAATAGCTCGGCATCCTTGAGCAGGTAGAGCAAGATCAACCAGACGATAAAAGCAGTCAAGCATTGAGGGAGGAGTATGATCTTGAAGAAGTAGAACACCGGTTTAAGCCGGGGCAAGACGGGTCGAGATATCAAGGGAAGCGAGTCGACGAGGTCCTGTGGAGTTATCGCATGACCGGGCGAAGGTAACAGGATGCGGGTAACGGGGAGGATAAGGATGACAGCTTGATCTGTTAGATCGTGTCGAATGGCTTGCCAGACCCTGGACGAAGCGGCCGAGCCGTTACTAGCAGCGAGCAGGGTAGGTGTGGCATGTCCGAGGACACCGCCGCGTCTTCCGAGTGATATCAGTGTCTGGCGAGCATCCCGAGACTCGTTGGCATAGTACAGCCCGGTGAGAAGCGTCAGAAGCAGGATCAAACTGCCACCTCTCGCTGTTCTCGCCTTCCAAGCCTTCCTTGCTCCTGCAATCCATGTCGAATTGGCGAAATCCGAAGTCAGGCTTCCACTTCTCGTACGGCCGCTCTTGTCTGCTAATTGGCCGCTGTTCCTTGTTTGCCGGCTGTCCCCCATGAGATCCTTCCGGATAGGTATTTCCGAAACTTGCCTTAACAGGTCGTCCAACTCCAACCGCTGGCAGTCGATGGAGAGGACCGTAAGGAAGAACGTGATCAACATCCAGAAATGGACGACGATGAGGATGCTGGCAAACAGGCAGAAATCCCTGACGGGCCCGAGCTTGACAAAAAAGCCGATGACGCTGAGGATGGCAATGTCGGACAACGATGTGAATAGCAAGCTGGGCCCGACTTTAGCCAGTCCCAGGCCGACCCTGTCCGGGACCGAGTACGAGACGGGCACGCTGTACACCGCCTTGACGATGGCCGACATGTTCTCCACGCCGACGATGAGAATGACGAATGGCAGGATGTAGTACGGCACGATCGCCTCGCCCTCCTTGAACCCCTTTTTCCCGTCACCGAATCCGAGGAGAGCCATCACGCTGAACGACATGATGGATGAGCAAGCGAGCTCGACAACGCCGGTAAAGGCGAGACCGAACCGAGAATGCACATTGGTGGCCCGGGAAAGGAGCACTAGGAGGTATGTGACGAGGACGACGTAGAGGACGATGATAGGCGAGGGGATCTCTTTTGGATTTGGGTGTTGCGAGGGCGAACTCGGCATCGAAACCGAATTGTAAGCAGACCGGGGCTATAAGAAGACCCAATCCAGATGAGAGAACAGTTCCAGCTTGGATAGCGGTTCACGGCTCAACGCAAGCCCTGGAATCTCGACTCACTCTCACAGAGACCGATCGAGTTTTACCCTCGACCTGCCCTAGCCTACTCGACTCAATTATCGTTCCAACCTTGCTCTCACTCCCTTTTTCTATCTCGCGGTTGACATCTTGCCAGACATCCTCGATCGAGCGTGCCGTGGACCCGGACCGGGCGACCTGCTCCTGCTCGATCTTGAGATAAGCGACTCCAGAGGCTGTACTTTCATCCCGGCCATCGACGCGCGATAGACAAGCACCAGATCGAGTCTTCTGTCCAGTGACCGGGTCGAAGCATGTGACAGACCTCACGCCAGGCCGACGTCCGAGCTCGTCTACGACCTGTGCTAGCCGTTCGTCTACCGCACTTGACCCAGCTGATTTCCTTCCCCCATCTCCTCTTCTTGTTCCTCCTTTTCCGTCGTCATCTAACGAATCCAATGGACTCCCCCCGAACGACCGAGATGTCGTCAAGACGGTCTGTACGTCGGTCCATACGATCGGAGCAGCGATGATCCTCGTAGTGGTCCTCGAGCCCGAATCACCGATACTCGAGCCGATGTCGGAATGTACGGTTCCGGATCCGCCTGACTTGTCGTTTGAAACATCTTCGACGATCCAGGTCGAATTCGAGTCCGCACCCCAAGTGTCTTCCTTGACGATCCCACTCGCCCCGCCCGACCCGATCCTCTCTGATATTGACGACGATGACGACGATGATCCCGTTCCAGAATCGCCCTCCAGCTCCCAAAAGAATCTCGGGAACTCTCCGAATTCGAAAGCAGGTTCCGGGTATGGGAAGAAACTGTCCAGCAGCGGGGTAGAGAGGAGGGATAGGGGATCTTCGTGCGAATGAGATTTCCTCGATAGATGTGAATGTGGAGGTCTTGGTGGTATTGGTGCTGACGATGAGGATGAGGATGGACGAGAAGATGTTGTAGAAGTAGAAGAGGAAGAGGAAGACCTCGATCGAGCGGATCGTTGTAGTTGCAAAGCGAGTGCTGGGTAGAAGAGGGTCGTCATGACAAAGCTGTCTATCAACAGGACCCGGATCTAGCGAGCATGCACAGGAGGAACGTCAGCTCAAGCCGATCTTAGACCGATTATGATATTCATCACACCAGGATGGGGAAGTATGCATATGCCGTATGATACGAGAAGGAACGAACGAGAGCGGGAAACAGAGCTGAAAGACTAGAAAGAACAGCTTGACTTACCTGGTTCCTCGCGATATGCCGCCCGAACGCCTTGAAACCCTCTACCAACCACGTCTTGGCAAACCTAGCCTCCCTCTTCTTATTCGAACTCGAATTTGGAGTCATTTTCGGTTTGAGAGCCGACCCCGAGCCTGATCGTGCTTTCGTCTTCGAGGTACTAGTAGCCGGTACGGACAAGCCCGATCCCAACGTCGAACTCGAGGCATGTTTGTGACCCTCGTTATTGAGACCGGTGTTAGTGTTACTAGGAGTCAGCCGTTCGTAAGATGGTAAGCGATGTCGTCTGGATGGCCTGGTAGGGTGGTGTGACATGGCCGAGCACCTGTTTTACGGTTCACCGTACGGTGCCGGGTAGGTCGATGTGGTTTCCGAACCTGGAGATCGCCAGTATCAGGATAAGATCAACGGGCGGCTATCTGGAGTGAGATTGCGTGGGAATACATCTTGTTGCCATAGTCAAGTGGAAGTCGATTGCCAAGTTGTCAAATTGTCAAGAATACAAGAATTGGGATGCAAGATGGGCATCGACAAGCTTGACAAGGATATGATCGTACGTTCCACAGCCGACGTCTGCTTAGTAAGCTAAGCCCGTGCCGGGAGGGAATGACTGCGAAACAGATGAATCATGCATGGTCACAACGACAAAGACCTCCCCAACCCTCGCAACCACACACCCCAGGACTGTTCTTCGGCTCTGTCTGCTGGCGTGGAAATGACTGGCGTCGACGTTGATGTCGATGTTCGGCGATTTCGACCTGCTGCTGCGAGGTCGGATTGTGGTCTCGCGCGACCTTCCCGTCATCGCTCGCATGTCGCTCGTCCACGACAACCTCACCGGCATCGACAGCCTCGTCTGACGGCGGCGTATGTGATGTTTGAGTATCGAGGTACTGTGTAGGTACATCCAGGTCGGCTGCCAACACATACAATAGCAAGCGAGATCAAATTGGGTCCCCTCGAATGAAAGAGGGAGGCACGAGGAGCTTACGATAAAGTTCGCCCGTCTTGGGCATGCTCTTGCGGGAGACGATATCCGACATCCTTGTATCGCAGTTGCGAAGACAGTTGATGATAATTTTTTCCCGGTCTCGAGATTGTGATACACTTCATTTTCAGATACAATTCTACTTCTAAGTGATTTCTGCTACATATGTTCTTGTTTATATCGTCGTACACGCCACTTCAAACACTGCCAAAACCGCCAAAACCCCCTGTCCCCTGATATTGCGCCTTCCACTTGAGACCGTGACACCCCTTCTATAGCCGCCCTCCTTTCATTATTTCCGATCCTGTACTGTTTCTCTTAATCCTTCCCCATTGTATCGTGCCCAGAAACTGTGTTGTATAGCATGTATAGCCAATGGCCCCAAGGAGTCTCCCTTTTTCTTGTCGTCGCTATCGTTGCCGTTTCATCCTCTTACTGTGGTATGCGCTTGTAAGGGTGGACGCGTTTTTTTTTTTCGCCTCACGTATCGACCATTATCGACCCTCAACCCAGTACCCAGCTCTGAGCTCGAGCTCAGGTTCCGCCCAGCTAGTACCAGTGGGGAACCAACAAGCTATAGCCTGCCTGTACTTCTGCGCATCTCGCCCCATAATGGCTTGCGATTGCGGAATTTGATCCTGGTCGAAAGTCACCAGAGAAGCACTCATAGGCGAAGCGGGAATTGCGGTGGCGTTGTGCATCTGATCATTGATATCCTCGGTCGAAATAGGATTCGAGGCGCTAGGCGAGGAGGAAGCATAGTAGTAGTACGCATCCAGCTCTATGGGTTTGGCGAGGAGGACCGTATAGAGGTAGTCCGGAGTAGCGGTCGATGGTGATTCCGGCCAGGTCTCAGGACTATCGTCACAATCGTCGATAATGCGGTTCATCAGAATTTGGGAGGCTGGGAGGCTGGGGCTACGGTGCTGAGATTCGATCGCAACTCACTCGTCGGAACATTGCGACTCGATTTCGATTAACAACCTGTCGATCTCGGTTTGTTCCCGCTCGCACCTAGCGATCAACTCTGCGACTTCCGAACCTGCCACCCTCGACTCTACGATGTCATCCGATCTCGGACTATCAGAGCAAGAAGGAGCAGGAGAAGTAAGCGGCGAACTCGCCGTTCTTGCCCGTCCCTTCTTTTCTTGAATTCGCGGTGGCGCTTCCGGAGGAGGAGGAAGGTTGGTTCGAGAGAGACTAGTTTGACGAGTAATCCGACTACTGGCTGTGATCCTGAGTTTCGGTTTTGATTTCGATTTAGGATCCTTCTTAATCTTGGGACCAGGAGCGGGGAGCCGGCCTAGCTTTTGAAGGGCTTTCGTAGGCATGATGATCGTGATGGTGATATCCATTATACTTTCAAGATGCGCACGAAGAATCTCGCAACCGCGAAGATAGGATGTCTGACCTATATAAGCTAGAGCTCTAACCTTGACGGTGTTGTCGGGAGGATTCTTCGGACTATTTGGTGTTTGTTGACAATGGCCATGGAAGATCGGTGGATCGACGATCTTGTATCACCAGCCTCATCATCCTTCCATGTTCCATGATCCACCGTATTTAAGGTTGTGGCGTTTCCCTTCTAGCGCGATCTTCGAATGATCGTCGGAAGCCTCAGACTCGTACAACAAGAGATAGAACGAAGATCGAAAGGCCGATGATCGGAGATAACACAAGGTTTGGTCTGTTCTGACCCAGAGATCTGTGAAGTTGTGTATGCTTCCTGAGTTTCTGATTTGTGATACGCTGGCCCCTGTTCTTGCGCCGGTGAATGTTATCTGTCTTTCGTCCTCTGAATCCATCGACGGCAGCGAAAACAGGGTCTGTCGATGTCTTCACAAACGTAATGCTGAAGCGATCGTAAGAGAAGTAGCTTCTGTAACGTACCGGTTTGAGACGATCGTAGGCAAGAATGAGGACGTCCACGGAGACCGAGACGTTGATGTCCGTTTCGGGTTGTGATAGCAGCTGAGTACCATCGAACTCGGCAGCCTATCCCAAGATGGTGGATCGAGACAGGAAAACATGGAAGCGGGAGTTCCGATCCTATAGGTTCCATCACTGTCGAGCTTCCATTGCTCCGGTTTTTATGCCTCTTTGGTCACTGCCCCCAACAGAGACTCCTTAAAAATCGCTAGGTCCATATTTGAATGCAGCTTCTACTCAGTGCTTCTGGGGATTATGTTTCACCCAGAACAAAGGGACTGTCTGGCTGGGCAAATCACCGGCATGGGCAGCGCTATATTTGCCGGATTTAGCCGGATCATCGGAAGCCCGTCAAAATTCTCTCCGGCCTCCCGAATAATCAAGAAGAGAGCAAATGGCATGCGTAAGTGGACGGTGATGACATATGACTCGAGGTGGTGTGAGGAGGCTCAATGAGAGCGTAGAGGTCCTGGCCGGAAACGCTCAAGGTATTGGAGGTGATAGTAGGCGCTTTGACTGTCTTGTCAGAGGCTTTAGAGGCAATCAGAACCCTGACAATAGTGCTAATCTTGCCCTTGACCTTCTTTGTGATCCAATCACGAGCATTGCAAACCGTTGTGGGTACCTTCATGATGGCCAGGAGTTCTGCCGCTTTCTCAATTATCAATGTTTCCGTACGCTTCCGCCTTCCGGAGTCCCCCTCCCCCTCCCCCTCCCCCTCCCCCTCTGTATTGATAGCAACATCGGACTCAGCGTGAATCCGCTTTCTGAAGTCGTCCAGAGCCTCTTTCGACCTTGATTGGCAAAACAATCACAGAGGTCAATGAGTACTGCTAGCTAAGCGCAGAGCTTGGACCGACCGGGTGATAGCGGAACTCTCCGAACAGAGGTAGAGAGGGGGTAAAATATTGAACACGGATAGGGTTAGGCTAGTTCAACCCTGACGCTGCTTTCCGCCTCGACTTGATCATTTGGTCGCGGGGCAACCCGAATCGTTTCGACCTTGTTAGTCGTAGATTTTTCAAAAGCCAAACTTCTCTGATCCTTCTCTCTATTATTGTATGCTACCGTGTTACATCAGGACTGTGAGGTACAAGCTATTCATGCTAGGAACACCCTTCAGCTCTCGTTCTGAGGCAGCCCTTGGAAATCGACAAAGACAAGTACTCGAGGCTGCGCAAAGGAGTTTCCTTTCCTCCGCTACAGTGGGGGTTGCGCGCGCGTGGGACGCTGACGCGTCGCTTTCAGCCATCTTCACCATGACTTTTTGACTGGACTCGAAAGGTTCCATACTACATAATTATACAACCTTACCACCTAGACATCTGAGATCCATGATTCATATTCTTTGTTCATTGCACTATGCCAGGCCGCCAATATACCAATGAGGAAAGAGCTCAAATGGTTGGGATGGCCAAAAACGCTTCGTACAGGGCTGTAGCAGCTCATTTTGGGTGCTCAATCTCTACTGTTGGCCGCAATGTCAAAAAATACCAACAAACTGGCACTACCAGCTCCCCAAAGCGGCAAGGACATTCCCCTTTCAACAATCCTCGAGTCCTCTCCCGCATTAAGCGGATTGCCAAGCAGCACCGGTCAGCTACATGGCAACAGCTGATTGTCATACTCCGGCTCGCGGACATTCACCTGGGCCGCACCACTATTAAGAAGGTTGTTAGGGACCGACTGGGTCTCCAGCGGAGGAAAGCTATATCCAAACCCTTCCTTAATCGACGGGCACGTAAGCTACGTCTAGAGTATGCTATCTCTCATCGGGAGGATACAGTCAGTGATTGGAGGAGGACGATCTTTGTGGACGAAGCAATGGTGAAGGTTGACGGGAATGGGGTGGTCTGGGTGACCCGGGGAGAGGGGGAGGCATACTTGGAGGAGTGTATGAGGGCAAAGATGAAGGGTCAGATTGGTGGACTGATGCTCTTTGCGGGTGTCTGGCATGGGGGGCGGACAGAACTGGTCTTGTTTGACACCAGTGAGAGCGCGGGGAAGAAGAAGGGGGTGACCGCGGTCATCTACCGCGATCAAATCACTATGGGACCACTCAAAGCTGCCTGGAACCGGGTCAACAACCGTTGGAGGGGTTATGGAGGTGCTCGCCTGCTCGAGGACAATGTAGGAATCCATAAGTCCCCTGTCAATCGGCTTCAAGGTGCTCGGCAAGGCTTCGTCTACATGGATCACTATTATAGGCGTCACGTGACGCGCGACCTACGGTGCGCGTCGCCTCGGGGTCTCGTTCGGAGACCCTCTCGGAGACCCTCTCGGAGACCTTTTAGGAGATGTTCTCGTAGACGTCTAACTAGTACCTTGTAGTAGTTAGACATCCGTTATTACATCGCTATGCCTACCGTTACCTTTCCCCAGTCCCGCGACCTTATTACCCCAAGACCCGGCAGGTCGGCTGCCAGGCCTTATAGAATAACGGATGACCAAAGGACCCCGGCTGGGAACGTGAAAGGGGGTAGTGATGGGATCCCGCTGCACATTGGTGCTAGCGGTAACCCTAGTGGTCCGGAGAGCCACCTCACTCTGGTAGGAGTGTTCTACCCGCAGGGGATTCCTGTGCAGGCAGTGATGATGGTAGATTCGGGGGCCACGGGTATGTTCATGGATCGGACGTTCGCGAGGATCCATAACTTTGATGTGATAGACCTAGAGAACCCTAGGACCGTCACGGTCATTGACGGAAGAGAGATAGTGGGTGGTCAGATCACCCAGAAGGCACATGCTATTGTGCGGACAGGATTGCACCAAGAGAAGGCGGAGTTCTTCTTGACGGATTTGTGTGGGTACGCGGCGGTCCTCGGGATTACATGGTTACGACACCATAGCCCACACATCCAGTGGGATACAAATACAGTCACCTTCGCGGACGACTGTTTGAAGAAAGGATGCGTCAAGAAGGTAGAGGTAGTATGCTCCCCCGACGAGGTGGAGATAGAGACGCGGAATATCGATCTGCTGTCGAGAATGAAGGAGCCGATCACGGAGAATCTCGTGGTGGCTCAAATGCAGATGACGAGGGAGGATGAGGAGCGGGCCCGCAGGCCGGACCTGTGGGACTGGGACGTCAAGCCCACCGACTCGATTCAAAACGAACTCGATCCTCCCGAGTACATGGAGAAGTTGCGGGACGTTGTGCCGAAGAAGTACCATGAGTACCTCGGAGCGTTCTCCAAGACGAAGGCAGATTCGCTGCCTCCGAAGCGCTCGATCGATCATGCGATCGAGCTGAAGCCTGGAACAACTCCCACGTATGGGAAGTTGTACAACCATTCGCAGAAGGAGACGGACGCTCTCAAGGCGTGGTTGGCGGAGAACCAGGCGAAAGGGTTTATTCGACCCTCGAAATCCTCGTGTTCGAGTCCGGTACTGTTCGTACCGAAGAAAGGGGGCGAATTGAGGCTGTGTATTGATTACCGCCGCCTCAACGAAATTACCGAGAAGGACAGGACCCCCCTGCCGCTTATCTCGGAGACCTTAGATCGCCTACGGGGATCGAAGGTATATACGAAGATGGACCTGAGGGGAGCGTACAACCTCCTGAGGGTCAAAGAGGAGGATGTTTGGAAGACCGCGTTCACGACACGCTATGGTCTGTTCGAATGTCTCGTCATGCCATTCGGTTTGACAAACGCGCCGGCGACGTTCCAGCGCTGGATGAATCAGGTCTTCCAGGACATGTTAGACGTGTGTGTGGTCGTCTATTTAGACGACATATTGATTTACTCCGCCGATCAGGAGACACACGACGAGCACGTACGGGAAGTGCTGAGGAGGCTACAGGCGAATGGCCTGTACGCAAAGGCGGAGAAGTGTGAGTTTGACACGACGGCGACGGAGTTCTTGGGGTATGATATTGCCCCTACGGGGGTCAGCATGAATCCGTCGAAGGTGAAGTCGGTGTTGGAGTGGGCGGCGCCTCGAAATATTCGAGGCCTGCAGTCGTTCTTGGGGTTCGCGAATTACTATCGCCGGTTCATTCAGAACTACTCCAAGAAGATTCAAGGCATGACGGCCTTGACGAAGAAAGGGGTGAAGTACCACTGGCCGGAGTCAGCGGATGCTGCCTTCAAGGAGTTGAAGAAGGCGTTCACCGAGGCGCCCATCCTCGCTCATTACGACGAGGAGCGCCAGGTGGTACTGGAGACGGACGCATCGTCAGGTGCGATGGGAGCGGTGATGTCGCAGGTAGGGGACGACGGGAGACTACATCCCGTGGCGTTCATGTCGAAGAGCCTTACGCCGGCTCAACGAAACTACGACGTACACGATCGCGAGCTGCTCGCCATCGTGTACTGCTGCCAGATATGGCGGCATTACCTAGACGGGAAGTTCCCGGTGAGGATCCTTACGGATCACAAGAACCTGGAGTACTTCAAGAAGGACAAGATGTTGTCCCACCGACAAGCGAGATGGTCTCAACTGCTGAACCAAATCTCGTACACGTTGGAGTACAAGCCGGGGACAGAGAACGGGAAGGCTGACGCGCTCAGCAGGAGAGAGGAGTTGATGGAGGAGACGGAGCCCAAGCAGGCAGAGACCCTGTTGCGCCCCGTTAATGCAGATGCGCTGGTGGTCAGCGCAGCGACGGTACAACCCCCGTTGCGGTTGTGCGGAACGATCCCCGTCATAGGGGATTGGTTCTTGAAAGCGTTGATCCCTGCGGGACAAGAAGATCCGGCCGCGAGAGACCTGATCAAGGGCGTCAAGGAGGGAACCTTGACGAATAGTCGGTACAGTCTGAGCCCGGGAGGCGCGCTCATGTACGACGGGCTGGTGTACGTTCCCGATGCGGGAAGCTTGAAGACGGAGCTCTTGAAGAGGCTCCATGATGGGAAGACCGCCGGACACTACGGGCGGGACAAGACGGAGGACCTGGTGAGTAGAGATTTCTACTGGCCGGGTATGAAGGCGTGGATTAGCCAGTACGTGGCTAGTTGCGACAAGTGCCAGAGGAATCGGAGGCCGAGGGCCAAACCAGTCGGTGAGCTGGCTCCCCTGAAAGCGGAGACGGAGCCCTACCAGTCGATCACGTGGGACCATATCACGGACCTACCGGAGTCGAGGGGTTCGAACGCGATCCTGGTGATCGTCGACCGCTTCAGCAAGCGGGCACATTTCGTGCCTTGTCGGAAGGACAACGACGCCAAGGTGTTGGCACAGATGTTCCTGCAGGAGTGGGTACGATTGCACGGGTTTCCCCGGCAGATCATCTCGGACAGGGGAACGCTGTTCACGTCGAGATTTTGGAGGGAGTTCTGTGAGTTGTCCGGTGTCGAGCCTAGTTATTCGACCGCCTTCCATCCCCAGACGGATGGTCAGACGGAGCGCAGTAACTCGACGCTCGAACAGTACCTGCGGACGTACGTCAATTACCAGCAGGACGACTGGACCGATTTGTTGCCCATGGCGGAGTTCGCCTACAACAATTCGAAGCACTCGGCGATCGGCATGTCGCCGTTCATGGCATCGGAAGGGCGGGAGCACGCCGTCGAACTCCCCATGCCTATCGCCAAGGATTCGGCTGTGGAGTCAATACAGGAGTACAGAGAGCGGATGAACAACATCTGGGAGTCTGTTAATGTCGCGCTGAGACAGGCCAGGGAGGATATGGCGAAGTACGCGAATCGGAAGCGTACGGCGGTACCGGATGAGGGGTACAATGTTGGCGACATGGTGATGTTGTCGTCGGCTCACGTCAATACCGTGAGGCCGAACAAGAAGTTGGAGTGGAAGACCTACGGCCCGTTCAAGATCACGGAGGTCGTAGGAGAAGGTCGCATGGCGCGACGTTTGGAATTGACACCGGGGATGCGTAGAATCCACCCGGTGTTTCATGTCTCGCTGCTCATCCCGTACAAGCCGAACGAGCTTCCTGGGAGAGCAGTGGACCCACCCCCTGAGCCAGAGGTGCTGGACACCGGGGATTTGGGGTGGGTGGTATCGGAAATCGTACACTCCAAGGAGTTGCGTTCAACGCGCGCCGGGCGTAGGACCCAGTACTACGTGCGCTTCGAGGGGTACGGGGACGAGCACAACGAGTGGGTTAGCCCCTCGGATTTCCACCACAACGACACGCTGGTGCTGGAATTCCATAAGCGACACCCTGAGTTGCCGGTACCGGGCCGCCAAGAGTACGGCGATGCTTGATGCGTTCGGGGCTCGCATCTAGGAGGGGGATCCTATTATAGGCGTCACGTGACGCGCGACCTACGGTGCGCGTCGCCTCGGGGTCTCGTTCGGAGACCCTCTCGGAGACCCTCTCGGAGACCTTTTAGGAGATGTTCTCGTAGACGTCTAACTAGTACCTTGTAGTAGTTAGACACCCGTTATTACATTGCTATGCCTACCGTTACCTTTCCCCAGTCCCGCGACCTTATTACCCCAAGACCCGGCAGGTCGGCTGCCAGGCCTTATAATCACCCTCCCTATTCCCCCGACCTCAATCCGATTGAAAACATCTGGTCTTTGCTTAAGCGACGGCTTGCTCAGCTACCTAGGAAGCCTACCAACAAGGACGAACTATTCGCCGTACTCCAGAGGCTATGGGGGGAGATTGGTCAGGACCGGATTGACGCATGCGTGGATAGCATGCCTAGACGCTTGGAGGCAGTGAGAAAAGCCCGAGGATTTGTGACCAAATATTGATAATTTGTTTCTGTAACCTTCATATCTTCATAAACAATATGTCCCTCTACAATATCCCATATTGGCAGGTCGACGGCCCGTCTGCCTGACCGCAAGGGGGGGATCGACCCTGCCAGCTACTCTCGCCTGACGGGCCGTCGCGCGTACCACCCTCGCGCGACCCTCACTGTAGTACGTCGGTAGCGCGCGACAAGCGTCGAGTGTCTTGCAGAGGTGTCTGCGGATGTCACAAAATGGCGATACCATCGCTTGGATTTGGCTCCTGAGCTATGAGCTATCAGGCAAATAGAATTCAGTGCATTGTAAATGCCAGATCAGTGAAAGCACCTCAAGACATTGTGTGTTGTCGTCAAGAACATGCTGTTGGGACTCGGTACGTGTCGGCTGACTATTGCTTGATGACGTGGCGGGGGACATCATCATATGATCGAGCGACCTACGAGGTTTGCCCCGGATTTTCGGAAATAGCCACAAACAACAGTGAGTGTGCCATCGACGACGTCGTCACCTCGAATATATCATCCCGTCGCATTTCCGAGCTTTGATCAGGGATAGCCTCAGTCCATATCATTGTAAAACATGTAAAACACAATACCATCTCAAGCTTTCTGAGCGAGAAATAACGATGCCAAATCATGTCACACACTGGCGAATCTGCTGCCATAATCATGCCCACCCCAATTCCTATACAAAACCTCGATATGCTCCCCGCCTCACCAGGCTCGTTTCACCTCCATCACCGATCCAGAAACGCCGCAGCTTCGTCGAGCAAGACGAGTTCTGGCAAGAGACAGGCTGGTGATGGTCTCTCCACAAGCACGGCCGCAGCAAGAGCAAGAGGAGGAGGAGGGAACGCGGTGAGCAGGTCCTACAAACCTCGAATATCGAGGTCTTCAGGTGATTCTTCACCAGAGCGACCGGTCTCGAGGTCGGGTAACGGGACGCTCGGTCACCATCATCATCATCACGGGCATCATCACGGACATCACCACGGGCATCACGGGCATCAGAAACCGAGGAGCTTTTCCAGCCGTCCTTCGACAGCCCGACCGTCTTTCGATCGATCCAATAATCATGGTAACATCAACCATCCCCATACTGCTCTCGTCGACCAAAGTCTGAACACGCCTACGACCACAAACCGGCCTGGGTATAAGCGGGGAGAAACGGGGACGAGCGCTCAAGCCGATATAGACCTAGATTCCGACCTAGACCCCGACCTTGACCTCGATACAAATCTGGCCATGAACATGGATATGGACTTGAGCGCGGGATATGATCGGGATCGATCGACGCGAGGTGTTCGGTGGGGAAAGACTAGACACGGGAGGTGGAATAGGGGGGAAGAGAGTGAGAGTAGTACGTCGGCTGAGGAGGAGGTTGGGGTTGGTGTTGGGGGAGAGGATGAAGGTGGGATCTCTATGGGTTCGAGAGGGAGGGTAGGAGTAGGAGTGGGAGTGGGAGTTGGTTTAGATGAAGATGCAGGTGCAGGGGGAAGACGCAGGTGAGTTGGATCTCCAAATGGAAGTTGAAGTAGCTTCTTATATCGCTGCACTTGCTGACATGCTCTTTCTCCTTTCTTCAAACCGACCATCTGTTCATATCTCGGATGAAATTGTATCACATCACATTCTGACGACAGCTTCTCCCGTCCTTCCCCTCTCGACCTCCTAAGACCTCAAAATCAAGACATCGCCAATTTCAGCTCCACCTCAACCTCCTCAATGTTACCCAATACAGCTACTGCCTTTGTCAAGACCTCTCCTATCACATCAGCTTTCCCCACGATCACCACGCCGACGAGTATCAATATAACCAGCTCGTCATCAACTCCTGCACGCTCCAAGCCGGCTCTCTTACCTTGCCGAGTCAGTCTCGCCTCCCTGTCATCCCCCTGGATACGCAAACGGACATACACAACTGGCGTCGATCAAGGGAAAGGGAAAGGGAAAGCATTGGATTTCGGGGTACAGTTGACGAGAAGACGTTGTGAACGAGCATTATTGTTAGCCAGCGCTGGGTGGGTGGTCGATCGATTAGGGAGAGAATTGGGAGAGGTGCAGGTCGCGTTCGAGCTAGGGGTGATCATCGTGCTCACCATGGCATACCTGGAATTCCGGACGATCGACAACTCGTCCTCTGGACCTGGACCTGAGACGAAGAGACGGGGGTCTGGAGAGGGTGGGGTCGCTGGTGCTGGTGCTGGTGGAAATAATAACAATAACGGCGGGAACATCAAAGCGAGATCGGGTGTTGCGCTGCAACACGGCCCGTCTCTAACAAACAGGGAGAAGAGGAACAGCATGTCAGCGGGACTTACTCCGACGGCGATGGGATCGGGACTTGCGGGTACGACTACGGGAACGGCAAGCAAAGTAGGATCGAACGAATACAACTCCATCGACGCCGAGGACTATCGCCCAGGGTCCATCGGTACGGTTTGGGCGACGGAACCCAAGGATTATAGGGACTGCTTGGATGATGGAGCAGCGTGGGCCCTTTTACTCGGACCTATACTCAGTGGAAGCATGTTCTACGAGACGTGTACTCGGCTCCGGGAAATGTATACCGCTAGTCCGAGCAAGGAACCGGCTGGGGCGGCGACCAACGGGTGGCAGATCGAGGCCCCGTTGGTCTCGCCGTCGACACGCCCATTCATCGTCGCAGGACAAGGACCTGCCTCGGCGGAACAAGCAAAGAGCCAGGCGGTGCTCGCCATCTCGGCGTTGGCGTATTCGAGGAAACAAGCATGTCATTTGATGTGCTTGTTATCGCTCCTTCTGCTTGGTCATACGTTATGGTCGCGTAGACGACACTTGTTGATGGTAGCAAGCTCGCACGAGGCACAGGGGTCGGGAAGAAGCGACGGCAGTCTCCCGCCCTGGTCGAAACGGAGTGAGTGGAGGCGAACCGGGGCGGTGGTTGCCTTTTCGTTCGTCCTCACGGCGGGATTTGTCGTCTTGAAAGTGGTGGCGCAAGTAGCCGGGGTTGTGGGCGGCTACGGTAAGCAGGTCTTATAGGCTATCGGTAGTACCTCCCTTTTTTGCTGACGCGACATCGACCATGTGGGCATATCTACAGATTATACCTATTCCGATCTGGTCATCTCGACGTTGTTCTTCCAATTCTGCCTGTATGTCTGCGTAAGACTGGCGAGACGCGGCTTTACGTTGGGAGAACTCGGAATTATCTGTCATGCCGGGACGGGGTTATTCATGGAGGTAGTCAATCTTACCCGGACCAAAGTTCGTGCAGAAAGTCTTCTCTCCGACCGATAGACTCGCTGATCCGGGTTGATGTCCTGCAGATCTCGATCTTCAATACGCCCTTCGTGCGGACTTATCGATTACCTACTCCGCTACTCATTTTCCAGCTCGCCCTGATCCCAGGATCTTTCCTTTGCGGGTTCTTGCTTTCGCCACTACTGGTCTTGTCACGTAGGATCGCGCAGCGACCGGTGTACCGGCTACGATACCCGGAAGAGAAACAGCTCTACCGTAAAGGTCTCGCCGCCGGATTCTACGCTGGTGCGATTCTGATTTGCGGAGGTCTGATCGGGTTCTGGGCGAGATGGTGTCTGTGCGGACGAAATCCGCTCGTCTGGGTCGTCATGTGGTTGATGGAAGGCCAGAATTGGTATTCAAGACCGGTACTCATCGGATACTGGGCTGCATTGGCTGGAATCAGCGTGGGCGGATGGACCCGTCAACTATCACGAGCGAGACGTCATCGTGGATGGACTGAAGCTAAAGTGACCAATGGTCAACACAAGGTCACTGTCGTGTCCAAGACGAGCGCTACCAAGTCGGCCGAGGCGGCTACGGCGAGATCCGCGTCGATGTCGGATGGTACCCGGCGGCCGACGTTGCCACGCACCCCGAGTCCAACGATCGACGTCAAGACGGCTGGTCTCAGTGGAGTAGCGAGTCATATGATGGACGAGATGGATCAGAGAGCGCCCGTCTTTAGCGTGAACGCGAGGAGGAAGTTCTTCCATGCCCTGGCTGTCGTCATGTTTGTCCCGGGCATCATCGTCGACGTATGTACAACGTCCTCTCGTAATGCGCAAAATGAGACACAATGCTTATCCTGAATCTTGACTCTGAACAGCCGGCGTTTACCCATCTGTCCTTCTCGCTGGCGTTTGCCATCTTCAACTTTGCCGAATACGTACGGTATTTCGCCCTCTACCCATTCGGTGCGGCGGTACACCTGTTCCTCAACGAGTTTCTCGATAAAAAGGACTCGGGTACCGCCATTCTGAGTCATTTCTACCTGTTGACCGGGTGTGCAGGGGGGATCTGGTTGGACTCGTGAGTGGCAGCTCGCGACGGAGGAGTCGGTGAATATCAGGGTGGCTGACGATTGGTACTAGACCTCGGACGATCTTGAGCCTCGTCGGCGTGTTTTCGCTAGGTATCGGTGATGCACTCGCAAGTCTTGCTACCGCGGCCCTCCACTATTCCGACTGACCAGTTTCCATCTCTTCGACACAGGCTTCGATCGTGGGCAAACGGATCGGTCGGGTCAGATGGTCCACCTCGAGTGGCAAGACGGTCGAGGGCAGCCTGGCTTTCCTCGGGTCTCTCGTCTTGGCCGGCACGAGCTTGTCCATGACAGGCATCATCGACCCATTCTCGGTGAGTTCGAGAGCTGCTTATGACCCATGTTGGGGCCCGAACGATGACTGACATGGGTCATGATCTTCCACTTTTTGCCATTCGAATGTCGCAGGTCACGAGGTATACAATGTTGGCCCTTGCACTGAGCTTGATGGAAGCCGTCTCGGAGCAGAACGACAACTTGATCCTGCCCATATGGGGATATTGCCTTGGCGTATGTCTGGGACTTTGAATAACATAGGACAGGAGCAATATGTATGAGGTCAGGGACTTGCGGCACGATGTGATCGACGATCGAGGGTTTCTGCTATCGAGTTTCGTCATGCCAGAGGTATCGCTCGAAACTTCCTCTGCGAGAAAGCGGAATCAAATTGAGACATCCGCCGTTTCAGGTAACGGTCGTGACAGCGGTCTTGATCTCTTGACTAGATATCAGTAACCTGCACGACAGACGGCAGGGCATTGTCGCGGATCGGATCGGTATCATAGGAATGCTTGAGGATGTTCGCTCACAGTAGCTTGACGGAATGAAAGCATGTATAAGGGATCAAGATAGCGACATGCTCAAATTGGTACCGTCGGACTAACGGTATCGCCTGAAAGGTCTGCCAGAGTCGGCTACTTCGTAATAATCTGGAGCCAAATGCAGACATTCCGAGACAAGTTCCTCTTAAGAACATTTCAGGCGGCAGTGGCCACTCGTGTATTCGATCACGTCACCGATGACGACAACCAGCATGCGGCACAGTACAGCAAGGGGGAGGAGCTCGAGTCCAGTTGTTCGAATAAAGGAATGCCATCAGGGAAGCCTGCTGGCGGTTTCCTCTCGAGTATATATCCATATGTATGTATATACAGATATACAGATACGGACAGTAAGAGGAGCACCAGGGACTGGACAGATTTCAACAACGACTGGACTTCTGACTACACCCTCGATCTTTTGATATGAACGAATCGTCGCAGTATCAACAGCTATATCTCGGTGAGAATAGTGGCATCGAGTTTAGCAATATGACCATGGCATCGGAATACAGTCAGACAGCTCCGCGATCCGTTGAGCAAAATTACGGCCAGGACCCCGAGGCGGATTTCTCCTGTATCGATCCATCAATCTTTCAGGAGGGCTCCTTTCACCAACGCTCTATTAGCCAAGGTGAATATTTAATTGGACACTGCACATACCGTATACCAATCTGATCTCCCGTTTGTGTAGCCGATCCATGGGCCCAACTTGAACAGGAGACCGCCCTTATGGATTCAAGTGCCAACGGACCCCCGAGGGTAGGTTTGATGTTGACTGGTAGACCAGGCTTCTCTGCGCTGATCTATAAAATGACGCACGCAGTCAAGCGATGCAATGGACCTTGAAATGTTTAGGACTCATTTCGATGAGACGGGCCAAACAGTCTTGAGTCGGTGTATGGGGACAAACCACTCCCGGTTCTGTACTCATGGTCTATACTGTCGTGATAGTTTCCTCCGTCAGGCCAAGAAAGAATGCGAGAATGGCTACAAGGACACGTCTTTCTACTGGCCGCCATACGACATATCGTGTGTGCCATGTAAGAATTGGCTATGGTGCCGCAAGCTTCTACTTCGGCATAAAGCCAACATCTTGAGGTCGAAGGGAAAATGTAGTGGCTGCTGTTCCACGGCGCGCAAGAAGAAGCCACGTGAGCGCAAGAAGCAAGTTGATACTCTGGGTTCGGAAGGGAGCGTAGAGGCGCAACCTGAAGATGTCGACGCCTTTTTGAGTGCTTTGTCTCGGTAGAGTCGGTTTAAACAGAATATGAGATGACGTAAACAATCACATTCCACAGGATTCTGATTTCTTCGCCTTGATACACAGGCCACAGAAGCTCTATGCCAAAAATGGCAAAAAGATCTTCAACCTTGTCTCTCCTCGTACGGGGAGGGCGACAGCATCTTGATGGTGATTGAAATCTTTACGTTTGTCTTGCTCAAAAAGTACCTTAGGTCTGCGCTAAGCTCATATCTGTACAGATGGATTGTCTTCACTGTTGACGCAGTATGGGCAATTTTGAACATTTTTAGGCATCGAGTCCCAGGTAACCAATCAGTATCTTTACGTAGGGGTGTCTTTCCGTATTGATGTTGGCACCAAGATGCAGTCATCTATGCCATGCTTTTACGATCAAGCAGTAAATATGGCGCAGATCACTCTGCTTATCAATATCTCTAATCGATAAGCGTTGAAGAGCATGAATTCGCTTGAAGCAGGGCCTATCGGTTGGTGAGCAGATTCCAAATGCACACAGAGTCTTCGATCCATACGGCGTCAAAATCTAAGAACGCCGCCGGGATTGCTCTTATGTAACAGACGGGTTTGAGATGCTTCATGATCACCTTATCATACCTTTCTCGGTAAGGCAGATAGGTTGAACAGAATGGTAAGGAGATGATTTGGTTGTTTTAAGGAGGCCTTGGGGGCAGACCTGTGGCGCGCGCTAATTGTATAGAGGAGTCGAGCATCCAGCATTGTCGCCAGACATGAAATGTTACACAAAATCGAGCACAAGTGATGTCGCTTTTGATTGCGTGTTTAAAGGTACTTTGGTGACTACTTGTGTACATCTCCTAAGCCATGTGACCACACACGATGAAGTCGGGCGAAATCGGAGGGTTCGGAGTGACTTGAAAGGAAGGCACGATGGTATGATCGTTCGCTTTCGCATGCAAAGGGCAATATATATACTAGGTGCTCAGTTTTACCCAAGACTGGCCGAGAAGGGAAATCGCTAAACCGCAGATTCAGCTATACATTTCAGCAGTCTTCACACCTTTTGCGAAAGCCTCACGTAGCCTTCAAGAGAACAGAACCATCAATGGATGACCCACTCGATCCCGATTTTCATCAAATCGCCGTTTGGTGCCAAGTTGTGGATGATACGACCAATCACAACACTCTTGGAGAGCGTTTTTATGAAGAAGCTCAACCACCCTCTGATCACAGCGTAGAAACCTTGTGAGTGGCAACTTCATTAGCAGACGAGCCGTTCAAATCTGTTGGCTTGATATCGTATGGAAACAGCCCAACTTCAAGTTCCGGCGCACAGCAGCACCCGCCTGGTTCAAGTCTTGACGGTAGTCAATCTGGAACGGAGGACGCTTTGATTGTTCAACCTGAGAGAAGTCCCGGGGCACAGCAGTACCCGCCTGATTCAAGTCTTGCCGAGAGTCAATCTGGAACGGAGGACGCTTCGATTGTTCAACCTCCCACTACTGAAGAGACTGCCGGTTCGTAAAAGACCCCGTTGACCTGGAAGACTGCTAGTCACAGCGAGTTGCCCTTGACCAGAGAATGCTTATTAGTAGTTTGATTCGCCTCTTTGCAGCCGAATCTAGCCTGCCTCCCGGCGTTCCAAGTATCGAAGCCCCTCCTTCGGAACAAGCAGTAAGTTGGGTAGTTCCGCTGCGAGGATGATGTCTGCCGCTGATCTTTGCATGGTTCTGTGCAAGCAACTCGACGACGAGTTGCAAGAAATCTATGGACAACTGGACAAGGCTGGAAAGAAAATCCATGATGACTATGTGATTTCTGGCCATCCATCCACTGAATTCCTTACGCACGTGAAGAAAACTCTGGATGGAGTCGATGATCAGCCTTTCTGCCTCACCAAGTTCTACACCACCGCCACCCGCACACTCACCAAGAATATAGTGTGCGGGCGCTGTGTTGGCTATCCGAAGCGAACGTCCACGAAATCGTGCTCCACCATCTTGGTACGGATAGAAGGCGACCAGACGGAAAGATGTTCAGTATGCTTGGCAGGGAACAGAGCCTTCAAAAATTACCAGAATAATGTGGCCCCAAGAAATGAGGAAAGGAGAAGAGAAGCAGCACGTCAAGCACACTCAGGATGATTAAGTTTGGATTTGCTATCCGTAAAATCATTCCAAGAGAGGTTTGGAATCTGAGACATCGCCGATAGTGATTTGTGTCCGGTGTAGCATGTATCATGTCAACAAAGCTTTTATCATCAGGTGAAGGGCGACTTTGCCGGGTCTGGGCCCGACATCCATTCACGCATGGCATATGGTATCGCACGTACCGCGAAGGATCTCGGGGGCATGTACCGAGGCTTGCAGCGAAGAGAGAGTGAGCGGATAATGATACTTTTCAAGGTCCTTGAGCTTGTTATCCTACAAATGGCCAACTGCTAAATGGGGGCGATTCACCGATCAGGTGGGAGGGATTTCGCCGACGAACGGCAAGAACCATAAAAGTATACGAGGTTTTGGAATCCTGTTGGGTGGTCCCGTAGGCGCGGGGGGCGTTCTATCTTTCATAAAGGGGCTACTGTACGAGGAACGCGGATGCACGCGGATGACAGTCTCCTACACAATATGAGGAAGAGGTCATACTGATGATCACCATGCCACTGAAATGCAAGAACTGAGCCAAACAGTCTTCCCCTTTGGCATTCTATAGCCGATACCATTGAAAGTGGACAACTAGTACCATCGGATGGATTAAAGAGAACCGCCAAGAGGGACCTGGCGGCCTTGAATCGCTGGGTGAGAGGGATATTTGGCGGAATGTTGTGAAGCCAGCAACAATACATGCTATTGTGGAATTTCGACTATGAAGACAAATTCAGCTTCTGTGCTCGATAAGAACGATACTGTAGGATGCTGTTCTATCAACCTACTTCCGAAGAGGAACCCAACAGCCGTGCTACCGCTTCGGACAAGATTCTCTTTTTCCTGACGGTGTCTACGTGATGAGGTTGCAAGGCGAGAATTTCTAGCTGATGGAAGACTTGATCAGGATCGAGACGAGACGAGACCGAGGGTCAGTCGTGGCGAACCCCGCTTGATCTATAAATTTATTGTATAGATCTTGGTTCAGGGAATATGGTTCGTCTGTGACCAGACGTAGATTCAGTAGATATTCTGGTATTGTCATATCGATGCACGGTAACGTGGCCCAAGGCGCGTCGTTGATCGTTCCGCTGTCTCACGATACAATAGCTGGCCTTGATCGGGTCACTGTCAACCTGACTAGGCAGGAGCGCATCAAGTATCATAGTTCATCTTGTACTGAAGCTGGAGGGCGCTCTTTTTGACTGCCCGTCCGAGTCTTTTACTGATATTCCGGATGATAAGTTGCCACACTACTACTGTTCATTAACGGCGTCGGTGTCTCGGTGTCGGCGCGAACCCGTATACTATGATCAGGCGCTTCAATGCATACAGTATGAAGCTAGCAAGAGGAACTTCGAGGGGAAGTCGGCGTTCTGGATATTACTGTAAATGAACTCGTTTCTATGCTGGAAGCTGCTCGACCGAGACCGATTCTTAACAGCGCGGTTTGGATGGGCAAGGAGGATCTACATGTAGTAGTAGCACAGTACAAACATTCCGCGAAGCGCATCGTCGCCGCTAGTTTTCTTTACGATCTCTACCTATTGATCGTCGTCCTTTAACGATCTCTATGCGGACAACATATTAAAGGCCAGTATGGCAAGTCGGAATGTATCTGGCTATCCGCGCTGTTCGATGTCCTCTCAACTTCTCAAATTTGTATCGTCGAGCTCGATATCGTCGGCCAGAAAAAATCAAAGCTGCTGATTCCGTGTGTTAGACTCCGCGGGAGGGAACTCTCGAAGGCTGTGGTGGTCTTACGTGCTCACCTCATACAATGCCCATCAGTTTTATCCTGGTACAGTGTCTCACAGACTCTGCATGAGGTTGATGAGAAGTGGGTTGACCATCCTGTGAAACCAGAATGACCGGGGGTCGATGTCAGACCGAACACAAAGCCGTCCTCCCCGTTTCCCTTGTGCTCTAGCTGTTGTCCGGTTCGAATCTGTAACCGTTCACCTCCACCTCGACTTCCAAAGGTATCAAGCACCTACCTACCTTCAACGACAACTTGATGTAACCTCGTATCGTCAACTCATTACCCCCACGCTGCTCACACTACTACTGTACCTCTTCCTCTTGCAAGCCGATCAAAGCAAGCAAGACGTAGTCGATCTCGCCACGAAACGACACGACCGGGTGACTTTGTTGCCTGTTGACTTACGACGAGGACGGGTGATACGTGATCATCTCTCAGACTCCCTCTCACGGATTGGTACACGACTGTAACCCCTACAAAAGGGACGGATAGCAGTCTAACGAGATACACGGTCACACTACCGATCCAGTTTGACACTTTGCACCGGTGGCCCCCGCTGCTCGATCATGCCGAACACGGACTCGGATACTAAACTGGAGGAGACGACTGCAACCCGAACACCTTCCGATTCGATGACGAGCTCTAGAATGTCGGACGAATCAACTGCACCTACACCTACCTCGATTTCCACTTCGGAGGGACCTGAAATTGGATCATCGCAGACGAGCCAGGGTATACAGGTACAAGAGAGTTCGATCGGGTCTTCTTCATCTGATGTACCGGAAAGTGGAAGTGGAAGAGGGAGAAGAGCGAGTCAGCTGGGGTCGTTGACGAGGAGCGGGTTAGGGATGGCTCCTAGACGAGAAAGGTCAGTCCTGTCTAAGCCTACATGTCAGACATTTCGCTTCGCCGACAGTATCGGCGGCATGTGCAGTACTGATATGGATCTCTCATATTTCCTACTCCTTTTCGGCACGTTCGGGTATCATAGCGACCAACTCGACACGCATCACGCAACAGAGGTCAACAGGGCCTCCATCTCGCCTACTTCTTCTTCTCCAGAAACTCCCGCAAGAGGACAAAGACAGGCATCGATCCCATCCTCCAGTTCATATGGACACGGATCGATCCATAAGAGTTCCTTGAGGAGAAGCTTTGATACGAATACGAGTTCGAGCTCGAGCTTGAGGTTCGGGCCGCAGGCTGGGTTGCCTTCCTCGTCATCATCGTCATCATCGTCCTCTTCGTCGGGGTTTACGTTCGGAGCAAGCCCAGCACCGGTGCCAGGATCAGGATCAATCTCAGGACCGGGATTATCATCCGACCTGCGCAACAATCTTTCCAGCTTTAAATTCGGCTCGATGGGCAATGATACGGTCTTGAGTACTCCTTCGGCGGAATTAGGGCCGTTCGAGTATCCCGTCAACCCGGATGTTGTGGAAAAGGAGGAAGAAGGCGGGGAGGCGCATAGACGGAGTTCGGGGAGTAGCTCGTTGTTGAACGACAACAGTAACGAGTGGAGGTACAATTATGGTCATGGTCACGGTCATACCGTGCAATCCGGGTTGGGGCTCCCAGCGAGAGGATTAGCGGAAGAGGCTGTTGCGGCCGGATCGGGGATTGGAAGGTTGAGGAGGATGTCGACTATGAACCAGGTGGTCTCGATGCAGCCCGAGGTCAGGAGGCCAAGTGTGGTGCATAGTAATACGGACCCGTTGGTTGATGTGGTGGATACCGCCACTTCTGTCGAAGTAGAAGAGCGACAGGAGGAGGAAGGTACGGACGCTGGTGATCGGGAAGACGTTGCGGAGGGGGATATGGCCAAAGAGAGCTTGGCGCTGCATAAACGTCGAGCCACACTGGACAATAATGGACAGGACACGTCAAGCCCCTCGTTAGGCCCTTTGACCCTCCCGCCAGGGTCTATCTCGGCTGCAGCGCTGGGTACCGTCAACCTGATCAACGCGAGGAGACAGAGTATATTGAGTTTCGGGCAGGGTGCGCCGGTGGAGACACCCGTCCCGCCCAGGCTGGCTGGATTGCACGTCGGAACAGGGTCTCCTGCGAGGATGCAAGGAGGGGCTCTTGTCGGCAAGGACGAACTCGGTTCGATCTCGGCGTTACGGAGAGGGAGTCTGCCGGTCAACAACATGCAGGGCGTCGATATGCTCGGTGCCAGTGGTAGATCTCGCCAACAATCTGTGGGGATAACGTCGGTCGGAGCGTCTTCGTCGGCTTTCGCCAGAGCGTCGTTTTCGAGCTTCGCTGGACCGATCGTATCGAACCCAGGGACGAGGTACGAGCAGACGACCGTCTCGACACCGTACTTGTACAATCGTCGGAATTCGCTCGCACATCATTATTCACTCGGCGGTGCCGTGCCAAGCACAAAAGGAGCAGGGCAAGCGCAACACGTTCGGCCGGGGTTACCTCCCTGGCAACCGAGGAGGATGAGCACGAGCGAAGCTTCCGACGCTGGGAGGTCCGTCGGCGGTTCGTCTTCGACCTCGAGCATGCGGACGATCCGTGCGGATAGATTAGGGAGTGACGTCTCGACACCGATGGGACTGGGCGAGGACCAGAACGCAGGCTACAACTTGAGCCCTGGTGCAGTAGATGAAGGATTAAGAAGGTCCATGGAGACGTTTTCGTTCGGAACCGGAGGAGGAAGCATACACCCGCCGCCTCGTAGCGAGAGTCCGACCGATCTGGACCCCATGTCATCTGGTGATGGAAGTCTTGTGGAAGCCACCGGCCCGTCGGCTTCGTTTTCGTTCGGCAGGACATCGATCTCCTCGTTGTCCCGCTCATCGTCGATCACCTCGAGTGAGCAGGCTCGATCCCGACCGGGCTCTATCAGCGCCGTCAGAGCCGGATTCAGGTCCGGACGCAACGGATCGATCGGCACGGGTTCGGGTTCAGGTTCAGGTGCGGGTTCGAGATCGAGCTCGAGATCGGGCCACAGGGAACAGGAAGGTCAAGGCACTACTGGCGGGAGCCGAAGGTCAAGTGGAACGCTCGACCAAGATGGGATGCGAAGCCTGGAATCGCAAGGAAGGTTATCTGGTGGGCTTAGGTCAATCCGGGCGGGGTTCCAGACCATGCGAGACCATGACGGGCACATCAGAGCCAGAACTTCGAGCTCATCAGCAGGCGAAGAGGCGGAACCGTCGGGACAGCGTTTGGGATCAGACAGGGAGCTGGACGATCAGGCAGAGGCAAGAGCGAGGATGATGAGCGCCGGCTCGATATCGAGTTCGGGCTCGGGCGGAGCAGGATATGACTCTCAAGTCATCTGCTCATCTTCCTCTTCGGCCTCGTCCGCCTCTTCCTCGTCGGGGGGAAGTATCGACGGCTCGGGATCTAGGCCGACATATGGAATCAGAGGTACTCAGGGCGCAGGGTTTGGGCTGGATAGGTTTGGCAGGAGGAAGTCTAGAGGCAGATTTGGCTCTGCTTCAGCTTCGGCTTCCGCCTCTGCGCCTCGCTCGGGCGAACGAGCAGGATTGCCTTGTCCTGTTCCGGAGATTCCGCCGTTTCGAGGAGGATTGGTCATGAGTCCATCCACTGCAGAGTCCACAATTACGAGATCGGGTGGGGGATGGACCAGCGGATCTTCAGGACCTTCTACCCCAAGCGTTGAAGATGATTACGATTACAAGCACGATCCACGCCAGATTGACGAAGAGGACGAAGATGTGGATGCCCTGACCCCGATGACCGAGTTGGACAAGGGCGATGTTCAGGTGGTGCTCGGTCCGGCTCTGCCAATCGATGCGAATCTCGAGACGGGGGACAAGAAAGAGGAGGATGCTCAAGGTTTGCGGGACGATGGGTTGTACATTGTGTACGAGGGCGAGTAAAGCTTGCCATGTAGGATATTATTGATATACGAGATGTCGATGCTGCCATAATACATAGTGTGAGAATAGACTGACGACCTGTGGTCCAAAATCGGTTTTGTATGCTGATACATTGCTACGTCATCTCCGATTTAATACCGTTATGTATCATGGGTGCTCTAGTCCAGTGCTCGTTCCCGGCTATAAAGTCCCCTCTCACGACCTTGCCCCTGCCTACAATCATCGTCCTCGTCGCGTCTTCTGTCTTGACGTAGACCCCTTCGATCTTGCTGTCCGGCGCATACTCGCTCTTTCGTTCTAGCATCTCCATCACCTGCTCCTTTGACAACGACTCAGCCCGCGCAATGAGCGGAACTTGATGAATACCGGTCCCTTTCAAGGCATATGTCAAGCTCGACCTGGAGAGGAACGTCCAGGTGAGGCGGTCGAACATGTCATACGCGATGAACGTGTCCGGGACCTGCGTATAGTGTATGAAATGTTTGGCAACCATCCATTCGCCGTATAGAATGTATCGTTCGGGAAAGTGCTTGTCCCGATCCAGCAGTCTGCGGAGGCCTTCGGAATGAGCATCGATCCATCGATCCAGGGATTTGAATTGTGCATGATCGTTCGACGAGATCCAGTGGGAACGGTTTTGACAGCGGATCACCTTGTCCCAGTCTAGCGAGAACCCCATGTTGGAACCGTCGATCTTTTCTTCTATCGTTAAATTACCGGACATGGTCAGGAATTCTTCGAAGACGATGTCATCGCTGGACGTTGACCCAAGGTCGAGAAGGTGGGCTGTCCGGGGAAACTTGAGCAGTGGCGGATCCTTGGCGACCAGTCGGACAGTATCGCGTGCAGCAGCGAGACTAGTGATGGTGAGGATCGCGGCGAAGCCCTCGTCCAGCGTGGGAGGCTGCATCTGTCGAGCGAACTGGTCCAGAGCATTTGCACCCATACCAGCACGGATGGTAGGGTGACCCAACCGAGCATTGATGCGTTGTTCACATAGGGCTTTCGGGTAATCGAAGTAGATCGCGATGCAAGGTCGATCGACGAGCTTGAGCCAGGTTTTCCGATCCGCCGCTAAAGGATTACATCGATCGAATATGACCAGGGCATTGCAGTGATCCTGCCTCGACATCTCCCTTTCGCAAGCTGCTCGAGAACCGTTGTCGTCTTGGCTTATGACGATGGTCGCATCCGGTGGACGTCGCTTCGATACGGCTGCCGAGAACCATGATTTACCTGAACCGGGCTTTCCGATCAGGAACAACAGAACGTCGTCCATCCGAAGAGGGAGATCGCCGTCTCGTTGTAGCGAAGTGCAAGGTTCCACAATCTCGTTTCTCTGATACGCTATAGCCCAGCGATGTGAAACCCATTTGGTCACGAACTGCTCTTGCTTCACAGTCTCGAGCGATCGCGGTCGGATCTGTCGGATCAACCCGATCGCCGTGTTCGCATCGACTTTGGGCGTACGATTGGGCCCTTCGTATTCGGTTCCATCCTTCCCGAACATCGTCATTAGACAAGCGAGGACCGTCCCGGCTCTCCCCACGCCTCCGCCGCAGTGGATGAGCCAGACGCCACCTTCCAGAATCTTTTCGTAGATATGATCCATCTCCTGTAACGTTGGGGCGTCGTAATTGGGTATCGGGATGAAAATGTGCTCAGGGCCCAAGATGAACCAGGACTCGTCCAGTGGACTTTCTTCGGTCAAGCTCAAGACGTGGGTAAAACCCATGTCACCGAGTATTTCGACATCCGCCTTGGAACGGGGCGTGGACATGCCCGCTATGCGATCAGGGTAGATCCAAGAGAAGAACCGTGGGAGCCCAAGTGAAGTTGAACCGAGGAAGAAAGCCCGGTCCCGTGAAGCCGTGGGGGTCAGCCACAAGTCTAGAGGTGCGAGACCTGCCGGGAAATGATGCAGCAACAGCGGCTGAAGGTCGTGGGGGATGTTCTCGAGTTCCGCCGCAGTGATCACTGGGCCCCAGGAGATCTGTCCGTTCAATTTCGATTTACGGATTTCGGTGCTGATGTTCGAGGTCAGCCCCGGATTGAGCGCGGCCGCACGGGCCAACGCTAACATCTGGACTTTGGGATCGAGGGAGACTTCGGCGAGTCGCAAGTAGGCTTTGTAGGATTTGGGAAAGCAGAGGACGAAGCGATGAGATAAGTCTCGTTGCTATGTGGATCGGGACTGTAATCAGCCTGTCTGTGTAACACGGGTACCACCAACGTGGAGTGAGACTCCCTGCTCACCAGAGAAAGGTCGCCCCAACAACCAACAACCATATTGTCCATAGCATCTTCGCCTAAACCAATAACCTTCTCAATGATTCCATCTCGATCATCCGAGGTAGCCAACAAGGCACCGACCCCCTTGCCGTTTTCATGATCGTGATCGTCCTCGTTACTGAGCGTCAAATGATACTCTTTCTTCTGCAGCCCGAGCGACTTTCTCCAGACGTCGGCATGGTTCCAGAGGACTACCAAGAGAGTGACGTTCTTGCGTCTTATTACGCCTAGAATGTAGATCCGATGTAAAAGTACGTCCTGCAGATGGATGTCGAACTTCAATCTGTTCTTTCCTGTGTCTCGGCTCGACTTGTACTCTGATGCAACCAGAAGCGTGATATGCAATGGGTGGTCAGGCAAGTCGACGATGCCAAAGTGATGGGCGGCATCGAGCAGAGCGGGACCGACGAGAGCGATCCCGCCGCGGTAGGTAGCCAGTTTCAGACGGGTGGAGTCGACCTGCATGTTTCAAGAATCGACCAATGCTCTCGTACCGGCACGGCTTGCTCCAATGGGTGTTGGTACGACTGGGTGTCGTATGGCGGCGATGTTCATGGCGAGTCTTCTAGTCTTGTCTTCCAGGAAACGAGCGGCAAATTGTAATTTTATCGTTCATACGACAATATGGATTGTCTCGTCGGTTCCGGGGTCGAGTCATGTTGGAACTGTGCATCTTGTCGAACTCGTGCACGAACCGGATCCGAACGTGTGACTTGGTGCGTACGTTGTTCTGAACTTCAGGCGGCCTCGTCGACGGGAAAGCCGACATTCGTGCTAGATCTTGCGGTCATGAGAGCCAAGCTACGACCCACTCTTCGAGCTTCCGGACAACGGCGAATTGATGGCCCCGGAAGGTGAAGATCACGTCGACGAAACTGCTCGGCCGGTAGTTTGGCATATCTTTGACGTTTGCAGGGTCGAGACGAGTCGGACGTCTCAGTCTTTTGGGGCACCTTCAGATCGTGGAGACTCACTGTGAAAGATGTTGACGTGGAGATGGATGAGCGCTGGGCGAGCCTCAGTCTCGCTCACCGATGGGGCAGAAGCGTCGGAATGATTTGGCTCGATGGTCTCGGATGACATGCCTGTAGCCTGTAGTCGACCGGTAGAGTTTGAGCTGTCGACTACCACGCCCTCTTGAATCAGCCCTACCCGATACTGGCAGCAGCAGGTTGGATATGGAAGGGTAGATGTGGAAATGATGGGGTCCAATGATGAGCATCTGTCGGAGACGGACGGACAAGGTGGGACGGGAATGGCTGCAGGGATGGAAGACGAGGAGGAAGAGGAGGAGGAGGAGGAGATGCCCATGGGGACCGCTCAATCACACCAGGAGACAGATGACGGGAGTTTGGTGGTGTTGAACGAGGTGGCCGTCCAGTGGTCTATTGAGATCATGACGGAGGAATCGGGGCCCCGGGAGGGGGAGGATGAAGAAGAGGAGCAGCTGGAGCAACCTGGTCTGATGTTGCAGCGATTTGACGACCGGGCTCAACCTGATAATGACATCAACGAGCCGGATGAAAAGGAAGACGAGCAAGAGCAATCAGAATCGGAAGAAGAACAGCTCGAACCCTGCTTGGAGGAGGTACCAGAGGGTTGTTGGCTTGGATTATGAATTACAACACCAACTTACAAACTGTTGTATGCGTTATGAATCTTACGAATTGTTATATACAGTTTCTCATCTCATGTCTTTGAATGTTTAGGATCGGGATATCATTGCGTGACATCCGCATATGAAAAGTAGTAAACTTGTTATACTATGCTTGGGTGGGCGTATTTGGAAGCATGATCCCTGTGCGAGTACTATAGCACTATTATAACCCGGGCCTCAATCAGGGCCAACCACATCTAATTTTACAGTTTCAAGACGAGCCTCAGCTTCTCGTCTTCTTGAACTCCTTCTTGGGGCTAGGGATGGTCTCAGCTAGAGCGATCACAGGCGGCAGAAAAGAAGCTCTCAGAGGAGAAGGCGCAGTTACAACAGGAAAAACAGCGCCTTGCAGATCAGTTTGCCAGCAACAAGACCCGTTTGGAGAACACGCTCGAATTGGAAAAGGCAGACAAGACGAATATCAAGACCCAGCTGAAGGACTCGCTTATAAAGTTCGAATTTTCGCTAGAAATGGCAGAACAATTGCATCAGCAGAATATGCGGCTGGATAGAGAGGCGGTACAGCAGGCAGAACATTTGAACCGGGTGTGAAGGGAAAAGACAGGGCTGCAGGAGCAGCTTTGGGCGGCAAAAAAGGCAACAGAGGCTGCAAACAAGGCGACGCAAGCTGCAGAGAATGTGGCGCGAGAGCGAGCTGCATCTGACGCTGCAGCCCAAACAGCAAGGAGATCGTCCGATGCCAAAGCGCAAGCAGCGAGGAGCGAGAAAGCCAGGCTCAAAGAGCGCCTGGACTTTATGCGAGTAGCATCACATGGTTCAGCCCAAGCAAGGAGGATGAACATGGCCCGGCTCGATCACGGGAAAGCTGAGCTCGAACGGCGCCTGAAGACAATCAGGCAGGATCGGAACTTTGTCAAAGAATCCCTTGTCGTGCCAAAAGGGATGTTTGGACCCTCACTACCGAACGAGACGAGTTGCAGGAACAGGCTTCATAATCTCAAACGGGAATGGGATGAGCTGCGAGGGCAGGTGAATACCCTCACAAAATCGATCTCAGCCGCCTTACGGGTTGCAGACCGAGTGGCTCGAGGTCTACTGGCTGTAAGGCAAGAACGACCACAGATCAGCTTGACAATGTCGACTCTGCCGGAGCGGCCCATACTTATTCTTGATCCTGGCCAGACACGTCAATACACTTGGACCCAGGTTGGGATTGTCGTCGCTCTTCAACTTCAACTCCAACGTCTGCCTTGTATTTTTACGGCCTGTCATCTTATTGTGATTCTTCTGTTGCTATTCTATCATCCAAAGTCAGCTTGACCAAACGTGTTCATCATACAGTATCATCGGTTTGTCAACTCGCTTTGCCCACTTGCTTGGACTCTTTTTTTTTTGGGGGGGGGGGGGGGGGGAAGGGGGGGACTGTTGGTTCTTGGGCATGATGATGATGCTGATGATGATGATGATGATGAGTAGTGGAAGAGAAGGTGTGGAGATGATCGATGTAGTTGTTTGAGTGGTAGGTCAGGATATAGATATAGCGGACAGTTGAGTAATCCAACATTGTGTTGAAAAAGTTGACATAGTTGTGTCAAGGTGGCCTGAATTGAAATTGATGTTCACAGATGATAGAGACCAGTCGGGACGTAACAGGCGGGCCATTTATCTCTGGTTAACCCTAGCGGCTGTTTCTTGGTTGTTTAGGTGCCGTCATTTAGGTGATATACAAATGATCGTTGAGAGTCGAGGGCTGCAGATTTGAGAGAGGATGTGTGTGTGACATGAAGAACATACGAGATATTCGTCCCGATCTAACCGTGGCTTGGTGGCTTTTTTTTGGGTGCCTCATACCTCTTGATCGGGAATCAACCCGGTAGCTGGTAGCTGGTAGTCGGGATCAGCTAGCTGGACGGCATCGACCACGATCAGATGGATCGAATGACATGATCACCACGGGGAGAGACGAGGCTTTCTCTGAGAGGTGGTGCGGTCGTCCTACAGTGTTTGGTAGGTCGATCGATCTGTGTCAGGTGGAGGTGACCTGCTACTTTTTGATTCCGAGATTCCCGTTATCCGCGAGCAGCGAGGATCGAGGATATGCTCAATAATCGACGTTCACCTATGCCTACACACATCTTGTATACAACCTTACCTGCTGTACAAATCCCTGTAATCAATAGTCAGTACGCATACTGGATCCTCGTATTCTGGTTGGGGGACGGGAGAAGAGACTTGACCTGTCTCTCTGTAGCCGGCACGGCGTTCGAGGAGTCGAAGCATAAACGTTCACCTCCAACCTCGGAAGGATCGTGATCGTGTAGATCGTGAAGATCGAGCAGACGACGCTACGATGGCGGCCAGCAACAGTAGCAGTACAGAGAGATCGGCGAAAGCGGGAAACGCATCAGGTTCATCATCTTCAACATCGATATCCCCACATCCATCATCTTCGTCATCATCACAACCCAAAGCCTCTCCATCTTCATCTTCATCTTCATCTTCACCTTCAACAGCGACGGCCACCGATCCGACCTTTTTTTCCCGATTCGATACCCCCTATGACGACGAGACGGATGAGACCAGCGTTCGGAAATGGTTCGATTTCCTCTCTTCCTGCGCACGCGGGATCCCACCTTATGATCAGACCCCGGAACGACCCCCTTTGACGAGAGAGCTGGTTAGGCAGGTCAAGGGGATCGTGGATAGCGAAGAAGAGGAAATCGAGGTTGATAAAGATGAAGATGAGATGGATGGAGAGGAGGGAGAAGAGGATAGAGATCAGGATCAGGCGAACGACGAGGAAAGTTCACGGTCGACGAGGACGAACCCGTTGGATTACGTCTACAAGGACTTGGATGACGATTTGGCCAGGCAGATCAGGGACTTTTATTGTCGAACCGGTTACCTCCCTTCGCCCCGGACTCCCGAGGAAGATCTGAGGGAACAGATTCTCGTGGAATACGACCTCCATAGCGAGAAACAGATCAACAACTTTCAAGCCTCCATCGACCTCGTCTCTGCCTTTTTCCCGGGGACTCTTTGTGCGTTCACGCTCTTTCGCGATCGAAGGGAACATCATTACGCGCTCTCTGGACCGGAGGAAGTGAAAAGGGCGTTCAAGAGGGCAAAGTTCCCGGCGGGGCAGAGCCTCAGTGGGCATTTTCAGAGGGATCAGTTGTTCTTGGCGGACCTCCAGGCGGATTGGAGGTTCTTGCATCATCCCCTGAGGAGACTCGGGATAAAGAGTTTCTTTGGACGGACGGTCAAGCTCGAGCTCGATCTGGATCCGGTTCCCGGGAGGCCGCAAGATGAGGAACTTGAAAGCAAGATCAACCTGGGGATCGGGACGTTGAACGTGTATTTCGTCGAGGAGAAGATCGAGAGACCGACGGGAGCGCAGGAAAACGTCTTGAGGCACGTCACGGGCATGTTGGAGACTCAGCTCCGAGCGACCTGGGAGGGTCATCGGAGGAGCAGGGAAGCGAATGCGAATACGGCTATCAGCGGGTTTATCGATGATGCCCTGGCTTCACATGATCCGACACGGTTGGCGTCGACCGAGGAGAGACAGAAACGGGAGGATAATTACGTACATCTAGACGAGCTGAAGGAGGAAAAGGAAGCGACGACGAATTCGAACGATCCGGTAGGGCCGTTACAGGAAGAACCGGGCAAGTTGGAGGAGATGGCTGGGTCGGCTTGTAAGCGGTTGGCAGGGGTGTTGAGGCAGATCGATGGGTTGTGTATCGTCGACCTGAGGAGCGTCCAGCCGGTGGTAAGTACACAAGAGCGTCGTTGGCGGCGTCATCGAGGTACAAGATGAGACTTTTCGGGAGCGCATTGGCTGAAATGGAAATCGCGTGCAGGATCGTCGCAAGCCCGAAAAGTATTATGTCGATACGGAATCGCCCTATCCGACCAACAGCTTGGCCCATTTCAGGTCTACCGAGGACGTCTTCTTTCCCGATTTCCGGCATGTGGATGCGGCCAAGTCGATCTCCAAGTACCTGGAGACGTCTTCGTCCCTCCCCAACTTTTCCTTCAAGAGCGGACATTCGGAATCGGGCCTGGAGCCGTTCTTGCCCAAGGGGACTTTGGCTCACATCGCCATGCCGTTCTTCGTACCCGACGATCCGCTCTTCATCATCATCGTCACTTCGAGGAAGCCGTATTATCGTTTCGACGTCAGGGACGAGAATATTGTCCGGACGATGGGCTCGGTCTTGAGGGCGCAGGCGTTGCAGGCGAGGATGATCGCGGCGGATGCGACCAAGACGGCCTTTCTCTCGTCCATCAGTCACGAACTGCGTACCCCCATGCACGGCGTGTTGACCGGGTTACAGCTCGTCAGGGAAGCCGTGAGACGACAGGAATGGGATCAGTTGGCCTCGCTGTTGGGCGTGGCCGAGTCGAGCGGCAAGACGTTGCAGCACTTGTTGAACGACGTGCTCGATTTCGGTTCGATCGGCAAGAAGGATCAGAAGAAGAGCAGGACGGCCGAGGTCGATCTGGCCAGGTCGGCAGAGGAGATGGCCATGGCGTGTTCGACGCGGATGACGAGCGAGGGAGGTGGGGTGGATTTGATCGTCGAGTACGAAAAGAGGAACTGGAAGGCCATGATCGACGAGGCCGGGTATCATCGGTGAGTCCGCGCGGCGTCGCTGCGAGAGCTTGTCGAACATGTGTGTTGATTTCGTGCCTCGTTGTGTCGCATCGCCACTAGCATCCTCATCAACGGCCTGTCCAACTCGATCAAGTTTACGAAACAGGGAAGCATCCGGGTCGTGCTCTCGATGAGCGACGACCTGAAAAAGGTGACGATCCGCATCATCGACACGGGGATCGGGATCAAGGCCAAGTTTGCCCCCAAGATCTTTGAACCGTTTACGAAGTCCGACTCGTTCAGCCCCGGAGCCGGCTTGGGGTTGTATATCACGAAAGGGTTGGTCGATCGAATGAGCGGGACGTTGGCACTCAGTCCGAACCCTGCTGGGGGGACTACGTTCGAGGTCGTACTCCCCATTCAATTGCTCGAAATGAACGAAAAGGCCGAGGCGAGGGAGACGGTAGCCAAGCCGATCAAGGGGTGGCTGACGCAACAGGACGACGCCGTCCCGTCGACGGAGATGCCGGATTCGTCTCGCGATGGGTCTCGGCAACGACCACAACCGCAACAATCACAACACCCGGAATCCGACCTCTCGTTCGAATCCGACAAGGTCCGCGTGCTCGTCGTCGATGACAACGATATCAGCCGCAAGTTGCTCCTCATGGCCCTCAGAAAGAGTCCTACCAAAGTCTCCACCGCACAAGCCACCAACGGGCAAGAGGCCGTAGACAAGTTTCGCGATTTCAGGCCCGACCTGGTCCTCACCGACGTCTCCATGCCAGTCATGGACGGTCTGACCGCAGCGGGACAGATGAGAAGGACAGAGAGCGAGTTTGATACCGTCGATGCCAAGTGTAGGATCTTCGCTATTACCGGCCTAGGCTCGTCGGATCCACGGTTGCAAAAGGAAGGAGAAGCTTCGTTGGACGGGTGGTTGGTCAAAGGAGAACATGGACTGGATGTTATTTACAAGATCGTCAGGGAGACGGGGGAGAAGAGGACGGAACACCGGGCGACGCATAGGGCTGGGCAGGGGGAGAAGCAGGAGAAGAAGGTCGTCGCGGGGGAGAACGACGAGACGGCCGAACGCGAACGTGGGGAACAGAATAAACCGGAGTCGGATCGGGAGGGGTGAGGCGCGCATATTTATCGGATCGAAATCCTCATCATATACACGGGATCGATGGACAAGATTCACCCAGGAATCGACGACGAACAAAACAACGCAGTGAATACAGTAGTGTATACACCCAACAGAAGGACCAGAGGCCCCCTTTTCGACCAAAGAGAGACCTCTTTTTTTCCTTTTTTCCGCGTCCCGAATCTACACATGTTTCTCCCGTTCTTCCCTTTTCATTTTTTCATTTTGGGTTTAGCTGCATTAGCTGGTCATGTCTTCCCTACTATACTCCACACTTGATTGTATTCGTGTACTGTGTACTACCAGAGACCTGGGCTCTATCATTCTTCATATGCGCTTACAGTATGCAGTCGTACCGGGTCAGAAATTCAACATCCACACCGCCACGAGCCATCGACGATGAGCAGTAGCGATGTGCAGTTCAGCATCTGGAATATCATCCAACTCCAAGAATCACTCTCCCCAGCAAGGGAAAGTTTAGCTCGAGGGTCTTACAGTATCTACGAGCGCACGAGACCCCCAAAGGGATCATTTTTCGTACACTTGATTTGAGAACAAGATGACAGCCTAGAGAAAGTGCGAGGGGCCATCTTTTCTCGATTTGAGAATGATAATTTGAGATGGCAGTTAAACCCATTATCGTTGTTGACATTATTGATGGTTAACCCCTGATAATGTAGTATCATTTCGTTGGGACCTTTGCGCACTTGAGCTTGGCAGATGGCGATATCGGATGCCTCTTTTGTGATATTAATTTGTTGCATCTTGTAGCGTCTTCCAAGACGGCTCTGTCATTCGAAACCAAGTGATACAACCTGTGTAGCAGGTGCAATATCTATAAACCTGTAACTGCAAAAGAATAGCAAGAAAAGGATTAGTAGGTCACAAGCTATAGGTTTTACCTGGTCTGTGCTTGGTTATTACCCAATCCTAAATCACTTGATAAGCCTGTCTCGAGTTATACCTATACAATTGTGAAGATGAGTTAGCTAGACCTATCTTACCAAAAGGACCTTGACTGAGTCGATAGCATTGATGCTTGTTGATGAAGGTGAAAGTCAAATACCAAAGACTTGTTGTGGAAGGTGTATTGTGTAGAGCGCCTGGGGGCTAGGTTGTATGCTCAATGAGAGGATGTCAAAAGGTGAAGGGAATATCCTTGAGAGATACCCTACAATCTCCCTTGAGATGTCCCCTATATATACTCATCAGGGTAGAGCCATTTGGTGGCAAATGTACAATCCATAGCTAATTGGAAGTGTATATGTACGTCCATCCATCCATCCATCCATCTGTCCATCCATTCATCCATACATCTGTCCATTCCATCCTTCTGTATTTCCATATCCCCATCCGTATTTTCATATTGTTATGTCAAATACTTCTGATTAGGTTCCGTCTGCTGTCAGTTCTGCCAGGGATGTACCCAGATCCGTTACAACCTGTCCTTGTGTCATTGTTATAACATCCGCGGTACGCGTATCGCACAACCGCGTCGGGTAGTTTTACAGGGACCTCCGATGGGAGTTCCCGTACGGAGATATCTAGAACACCCCCTATGTGTTTATTGTAATATAGTACTAGTTGTACTACATCCGTTATTACATTCATTACCTTACCCTTACTGTTATAGCGGTCGCGTGACGCGTCGGACGCGCCGTACGCGACTCCCGTATGCGACTCCCGCCGGGGGTACTTTTCGGTGTTGTTGTTCTGATGTAGAACTAGTACCTCTGTAACAGTTCTACATCCGTTATTACATCTAGATGTCTACCCATACCTTGCCTCATTCCTGCGTCCCGTCAGCCTGTCCAGGGAGATCCCCGTCGGGGGTCGCTCCCGGGCCTTACACTTACCTTCTAGTCCCGTGTGATACTATTCTAGGCTTGCAGGCAAGTCTAATAGTAATATTCGAGGGCACGACTAATCACAAGTTGGTCTGTCAAGCTGTTCAACATGTACGTGTCTTGTGGAGTGGTGACCTTGCCCTGCTGACCCGGTAAGGACCAGTAGGTGTGGTAGTCTGAGTCACAGCCTCATCGAAGGGTTTTTTAGTTGGTCTGGTTGGTGGAGATGGGGTAGTTCCATTTTTATTTGCTGCATCGATAAGCTTGGTCCGGTCGCTAGTCGTTTTGGCGCGGCTTAGGTCTATAGGTATTGCCAGGGTTAAGGTGCTTCTTTGCAGATCGGGGGATCGGGACCTGAAACAGATACAGATAGATCACGTGACTCTCAGTGAAAGTCGGCGAATTCTAGCGTTCCGAGGTACGACTTATGATGTGGCATGCCGGTAGAAACGCTAGATATCGCCCAAAGATAGCGAAATTGGACGGTTTTACGGGGAAAAAGCGTAGAAAACGCTAAAAATGGCAAAAAGGGGGACATTGGATGATCGCTTGTCCTCGGAACGCCGACCTCGACAACCTTTGCTGACGATGACACTACTTTGTTAGGACATATTGGGATCTGTGGTTACATCGAAGCATCTTTCATCATATCAATTTGAAGACACACACACACATACACGCACTTACCACACCATGTCCTCGCTCAAACAATCCCCTCCGTTCAAGGCAGAACACATCGGATCCCTCCTCCGCCCCTACGAACTCATCAACCAACGATACCTCGTCGCCGACAAACAAGCCTCACCGGAGTCCTTGCTCCCGATCGAACAGGCTTCCATAAGGGACATTGTCAAGCTGCAACAGGAATGCGGGTTCCACGCGGTCACGAATGGAGAGCATTCGAGGCATCAGTTTTGGGGGACTTTTTTTGAGACCCTGGATGGGATGGAAGAGGTCAATTTGAGGGAGGGGGGGTATGATACGAGTATCTTTAGGATGTACGCTCCGGGTGAGTCGCGGGTCGTCGTCGATCGTGGTCGTCGATGCTGAACGGGGTTACTTACATATATACTCCTTGTATCTTTCTGCCATCCCTCTACTTTATACCCCATCCCTTCGTTTTCACCTGACATACCTCTCGTCTACATCTACCTAATCGGTACCTCTCCCCTATACCCTCTCCTCTTTCACCTCTTCTCTACACCCCTCATCTACCACCGCACACCACCCACATCCACCCCCACACCCACCCACACCTACACCCACCCAATCCCAAAACCATAGACGTAAACACCTTCATCCAAGAAAAACACATCCCCAACCAAGTCTGCCTCGCGACCTCGAAAGTCTCGCATAAGGGGAGGTCGACGTTGGTGCCAGAGTATTTGTTTTTGAGATCGGTCCTCTCCTCCTCCGACTCTTCCTTCTCCGATAACTCCACCTCCGATAACTCCGAAATCAAGGGAAACGACACCTCCAAGGCGTTCGATATCAAGCTCACCCTCCCCAGCCCCTCGTGGTACCACCTCCGCTACGCCCCCTCCCGCGCTTACGCCCCCGGTGTCTATGAGAACGACGACGAGTATTTCAAAGATGTTGCAAAGGCGTATCAGAAGGAATTGGGGTTGCTTTATGAGAAGGGGGTGAGGAATGTTCAGGTGGATGATCCTAATTTGGCTTGTGAGTCCGGGTTGGGTCGGGTGGGTTGCGTTGCTTTAGTCCGGGGTCGGGTGAGGGTAGGGGAGAGGGTTGGGGAGAGGAGGTGGGGTGAGGTGGGGTGGGGTGAAGTGGGAGCGGGAGTCAGGGGGTAGAGGGGGTGGATGTCGAGTTGAGTTGAAGTGGAAGACGCTGAAAGCTGACTAGTTTTACCTTCATTTGCATCTTCATCTTCATTTTCACCCGCCTTTTCTTCACTTCCAATCTCACCTTTCACCCCTCGTCTCGGCCTGGCCTATAACTCGGCTCGTCTAATGATCGCCTCGCCCCGACAACAGACTTTTGTTCGGAAGAAATGTTAAAAGGTTGGGCAGAGGATGAATCGAACACGTTGTCCGCGGACGAACAGTTTGATCGGTACTTGAGGTTTTATAACGAGTGTTTCAAGGTGAGCGGCCTTCTTCGCTCTCGAACGCACACGCAGGAACAGGGTGTAGTTGGTCCTATACACGCGTAGAACAGATGTACTGACTCCAACCTTTTTCCACTTTCCAACCCCCCGTCCCCGTCTCTTCACAGCGCCCGGCCGATATGCACCTAGGGATTCATCTCTGCCGAGGCAACTACATGGGATCCCGTCATTTCTCTTCAGGAGCGTACGACAAGATCGCTCTCTCCCTCTTTACCCACTTGGACGCCGACACGTTTTACTTGGAATACGATACCCCGCGAGCCGGGGGTTTTGAGCCCCTGCAGTATTTGCCGGAGGGGAAGAATGTGGTTTTGGGGGTCGTTACTAGCAAGTTCCCAGAGTTGGAAGATCAGAAGGAGATGGTAGAGAGGATTTATAGCGCGGCGGACGAGGTGGTCAAGGGACGAGGTGGGCGGTGCACGAGGGAGGACGCGTTGAAGCAGCTGAGCGTCAGTCCGCAATGCGGGTTCGCCAGTCATGCAGAGGTGAGCTACGGGCCCGGCTTGCATCTCTCGAGAGCGGTCCGCGTTTATTATTGCCGACGCTTTCAATCTTCATCCTCCGCAGGGCAACTCGTTGACTCGAGAAGACATGATCAACAAGCTCAAGCTCGTCCGGGCCATCGCCGACGAGGTCTGGCCGGGACAGGCATAGAGAAACTGTTGACCGCTGTCATGATCGGGTGTTCGCTATCTCTCGGGCTGTTGGCGATATAATGAGGTTCTCAATGCGGTATTAATCAGGCGGCCTGGCTCCACGTACGGTGCGCTGTTCTATATACGAGGTCTTCAAAAGCTCTACATGTAACGGAGAGAATATTGGGATACAGTAGGATGGGAGGAATCGAAGCGTTCGATAACGTCATTATTCGATCTAATGATCTTCTTGTTCTACCACGGTGTCGTGATGATCTTTTTGGGTGCGAGCTCGATCATCTTGTCGATGATCTCGGCAATCTTGAAGGGCTTGCCGACAAAGCCGTCCATACCGGCTGAGAAGAAGAACACGAGGGAGACGTTAGCATGGCAGGAGCGAGCAATCGATCGGAAAGCAGCGGCGGCGTACCCTCCATCATCTAGGAATTGAAAGAGATATGAGCTTGAACGTGCGGATGTCGCATACACTGGCGAGCCTGCTCACCTTGGCGACCTGTCCTGCACGGACGTTTGCCGACACTCCTATGATCGGTGCCCAGCCTGGTGACCCGACAACCAAAGTATTAAGCAACAGATCGCGTCTCCGGTAAAACACGAGCTCACCCTTCATTATGCCGGCCTTGTGCATGGCGCGTAGCTCTCGTGTACTATCTAGTCCGTCTGTGGGCGGATGGATAGATGCTGAGTGATAGCTCATCGCTTATTTCGATAGTCCACAAGTCTCACCCTTGTTCGGCATCTCGACATCCATTCTGTATTGGCCGAACCAGTGTCAGCAAACTCGCACAGCAGTGATGCTGAACGCGAAACGTACAAGATGCAGTCGAGCGTGACTCCGTTGGGATCGACCCATATCGACTTGTTGACCTGCTCGATCGCCTGTACACCGTCATCCGCCCTGAGCCCTCACAGCTATTAGCTGAGATCTAGTGGAGACCCGGACCCGCTTTCACTAACGTGGTGACGATATAACCCGCCCTCTTTAGCTGCTTGACGACCAGCCGCTGATTGATCTTGTTATCCCTGTCATTTCGCGCCGAGCATATCAACCAAGGAATTCGGGAATCCGACCAGGAATCAATTACGCCCGACTCACTCGACGACCAAGACGAACTTGGGCAGCGTCTCTGGAGCTGGTGCATTCTCTTCTACTTTCATGGGCTGAGGCGTCAAACCGATCCTCCGCGGGAGTTCACTCTCTATGAGCGAGACATCCGGCTGTGCGGCATCTGAAATACTGAGTTTGAGCGGCTGTCGGCATTCGATGAAAAATTTGAACGTCGACCCCTTTCCAGGCTCAGACTCGGCACAGATGGCCCCTAGCGACGCATATTGTTTGTCAGCGCAACTGTCTCGAAAGGTGATCGAGCATGTAGGCTCACCTCCCATCAAGGTCGTTAGACGTTTGCAGATGAACAGGCCCTGGAGGATGAACATGTCTGGTCAGAGAACGGGCGATGTGGACAGAGTGAACCGGGCACTAACCAAACCTGAGCCGCCGGCCTTGATTGAAAAGACCGGCTCGATCTGCGTAAACCGCTGGAAGAGCCGGCCCAGCGCTGAAGATTCCATTCCGGGTCCAGTATCGGTGACGCTGATGCTCAGGAAGAGCCGTCGATAGCCATCCTGCTCGAGATGTTCGAGCGACTTGCAAGAGCCGTGTTCCAGGTTCCAACTCGGCGCTTCGAGACTGGCGTCGAGGACGATGTCTATCCGTGGCGACTCGCTAGCCCCAGTATATTTGATGGCATTGCTCAAGAGGTTGATGATCTAGGCCACCGATCCAGGAAGGTTTAGCCGTGTGAATCCCCTGGCTCGGCCCTAAGCGCTACTCACGATCTGCTGCGTTCGGGCAGGGTCGAGCACAGCCTCGTCGATCTCGAGCGATTCGTATTCTTGACCGAGTGACAGGTTACACTGTATACCCTCGACGGCAAATTCGGCCCGGAAGGTCAAGAGGACCTCGCGTATGCATTGCACGGGTTGACAAAGGCGAGGTGATATTTGCAAGAGGTCACTGTCTGAACCACGCGTCATGGTTGTGTTCGTCAGCCTAATCGCCTGGCTGGCGATAACAAAGCGACAAAGCGAAGTCGGCGACCCACCGAGCTTTGAGAGTGACAACACGTCGTCGATGAGACGACGCATGTGTGCGCAACTGTAAAGCGAATCGTGCGAGGCTGTTAGTCGATTGGACAGAGCAAATCCTACACACGGAACCTACCTGATATTTAGACACTCGATATCGTGTACAATCTCCCTGAGCGGTTCAGCCGTGTGCGGAGAGTAGAGAACAAGCTCCCTCAACCTTTGAGGCACGTTGTCCAGCGTTAGATCGATGGCACCAAGCGGGTTCCGGAGCTGATCGCAGGCAGCGTCTTTTAGCTCATTTTTCAATACGCGCCAGACCGTCCGACCCTCACCTCGTGCGAGATCATGTCGATAAAGTATTCCTGTCGCTGCTGCAGATGCTCGGCGTCCGAGGTCCGCTGTAGCAAGAGTCCTTCCCTGGCCTTTCTCTCGGCGCTGGCTTGTAACGCTTGCAATCGCTCCGCCTCGGACTGGATGGCGGCGAGTCGGGCGCTCAAGGCGTTGCCCATCGTGTCAATGTATTCGGCTGGAAACAGGTTCAGCGTCAAATGCGGAATGTACTCGCTCGATCGACTTACTGTAGGCTTGATCGTAAGGGAGCATGGGCTGTGTTGATCAGAGCAGCCGAGATCAGGACCGACGACCACGATACAAAATGTCAAAAGACCGGTACTCGCGTTCAGCTCGAGGACGAGCAAGACCAGCCCGAGCCTATTGTCACCTCGACTCAGAGGAATCTACAAACCCACATTCAATGCCTTGTCAGTCAACCCGTTTGTAAGTTGCCCCTACTATCACGTACGATGACCATTGGCGGTACGACCGCGTCCACCACTCCATCCCCCTGCGCCTTGTTCCTAGCCTCTACGAACCCTTCGGGCAGATGACTCGCCATCATCGTCCTCAACACCTCGTCCACCTGATCGTGAAAGCTCGACCTCGATCCGTCCTTGGTCGCGCACTGCCAATACCCATCTTCGACCTCGAGCAGGGGGATAGACTGAGCCGCCTCGAGCAAGGGTAATACCTTGCCCTGATTGCTCATCAGATCCAACGAGGGCGACCCGGGTTGAACCCCCTCGGCCTCGAGCCCGGGGATGGGAACCTCGACCATGTACACGTACGCGCTGGAGACGTCCCGAGAGTTGGTACACATGGCCGCGGCTGCCGCCTTGCAGACCTCGGTTGTGGTTTGAGATCCGTTGACTTGGACGATGAGTTCGTGCAAGGATCGAATGCGACGGGCGTTGATGACCTGTTCGGTCTGGTCGGCGAGGATACAGGTCACTCCCGCGATCGAACCGTTCTGTTCGCGGATGGGAAAGTAGTCGAGGGTCATCCAGTATTCTGTCAATTCCCCCAGCGTTATACAATACAAAGAAGAAACCGAAAGAAGCAGACAGAATGAGCACGGGACTGTCTTGTATTGCCAATGCGATCCCCCGCGCTTGACGACTCACCCAACATCTTGCCATCTTTAGGTAACGCCAAAAACCTCGTCGGCGCATGATAAGTATGCCCATCGATCGCCTCGTCCAAGACCGAAGCCAAGCTCTCCATCGACTATGTTTTTCCACACATGTATATAACCGATATCAGCCTCCCTCGTAGTATAGACTTGTCCCTAAATCGAGATTGAGATTGAAACTCCGTCTCATCCCGGACTGACCGGAGCGAACGTGACCCGGATGTCCGACCCGAGAGCTTGGGAAGACCCGCCGAGCATCAACCTCGAGTATTCCAGGTTACTGACCAAGGGAAGACGTTCGGCAATATCAACCTTAATTAGCGACTCCACCCCGAGATCGGATCCCGATATTGATATTGATATTTCGAGACACGACACGGATACTTTACCTACAAGATGGCCGTCCAACTAGGACCCCAGATCAACAACGTCGGCTGAGGAGACGCCAACACGGCCTCGACGGTGCTCTTCAAGACCACTCCCCACCTCCCCACAGGCCCGAGGACGTGTTTCCCCCAATCTACCTGCTCGAAAGCGGAGTAGTGAGCCAGGTGGGCTTGACGTTCAGACTCGGATTTGAAGTAGGGGTTCGTTTGGACTTCTTCGACGCTGAGGAACTTGCGGGGGAGCGTTCGAGGGGTAGGACGTTTGTGACTTTGAGCGAATTCGGGAGGGCCTGAGCGGGTTCGACGTCGAAGTGGGGTGTGGGAGGTGAGGGGTTTAGGAGGGGTGGAGAGTCGGCCTGAGGATCCGCCGTTTGGATTGTGGTTGTTTCCTCCGGAGAGCAAGCCTGCGCCCAGAGGTTGAGCTTCGACCCCGATCAATTGGGAGGTTATGACCACGCATCGAAACTCTGCCAGGGCCTGCGAAGTGAAGGTATACGTCGAGATCTGTCCGTTCTGGAGCACTTGGACCCGTTCGAAGGTCACCGCCGTGGCTTCCCCCAAATCGGTATACCGGCACCGTTCGGTGAAAGAGTAGATGAGGTCGTCAGTGAACAGACGGTTCCTGTACACCAGCCCGCCGAGTAAGCCAGGTTGTGATTGTTGGAATACGCCGGCGGGGGAGGTTAGGACGTCGATGTAGGATGACATGGGGGGGAGTTCGTGTCGACTGCTGGTTATCGAATCGTAAGTACCCCCTCCCGTCCCGCCGCTGTTCACAGACTCGGTCGTGGGCATCGTGGTGTGCGTGTATCGGTGCCCTCGAGACCTGCTCTCCTGGAAAGGGTTGATAGTCCAGAGAGGTTGCTTATGTGTGTAGGAAGATGATACTGCGGGATGATATTCGATCGGGATACGTTGGTTGGTACGGGCACAAATGTCGTGGATTCGTCAAATAAAGTTCTGAAGGGGGGAAAAGGACCCGTCGTCGTCGGATCTCTAATTATAATAATGAATTCAAGTCCATCACACTTGCTATTACTGCTCAGGGTCGACAGGCAGCTACAATCGGGCCATGTGATTCCCTCGAGTCTACCCACGCTGACTCGTGTCGACGAGACAGTATGGGATATATACGCCCTTATGGGCTCGCTCTTTTTCTTCGCCTTTTGAAGCCGAGAAACAACTTGAGTAAGATGTGTTATATTCTATTCAACCCTGAGCATCATCCTTGTCATTATCAGAGTCTCGATGCTGCATGCCAAGTATCTGTACGCTCCCGATGTGAATGATCGCTCCATACAGGCAGGGGCGCTCACCTTTCACCAACAAGCTGGTCGTCAATACTTGCGGCGTAAATCACAGAGGTGCTACAGTACCTGGGTCTACCCCTGAAGCGGATCATATAATCACCTCTTTGCCGTCCTCAGAGATACCAGATACGCTCGAGCGCCAATGACCGGCTCTACTCGGACACGGTCTTTGTGTTGTGATGCCAATTGAGATACATTGGGACAGAACTTGGGGTGCATTGGTCGACTCTCTGACCGCCCTACACGACTGGTCTTGTATCAACATTCAACCTGGCCTTTCAGTCAAGAAGGTTCCATCACCATCAAAGCGATAAGACCCGTCTGCTAGGATTTGTAAGGCCCGTTTGGCCTGAAGCTCTCTCTCGCTCAAGAACACTTGCTTGTCAAAAAGCTGGGCCTAGGCAGTAGGCAGTACGAAGAAGCCGCACAGCGCAGCAACCCCAAAGTGACCAGATTTGTTCTGGCAATGTAGAGAGCGCTTTCCTTACACATGGGATATGCGTTCGGGTGGATTGCCTCTTCTCTCCGGAATGCCCAGAACAAGCCTTTCGGCTGGCCCTGCAAAGCTGTGCCTCTACAGATGGATCTTGGGCAGAGTCATCTCAAACACGCTCTGCGCGATTCTTGTTGGGATTACCAGGCATACAACAGAGCGTGGTAGGCAAGATTTGGGAGGATCGACCAAGCCCAGATTTTCTCAGGGATCGATGCAGACCCCACGCTTATTGCCCAGGCCTACGCTCCGCTTCCGAGTTATTTGAGTGCTTTGTCAATTGTTCAGTGTTACAAATATGTCTGAAGATGCCAAGCAAAGGCATTGCAGTGTTGTATCCCATGTTGTGAAGGGGACCCAGTCAAGGCAGAATATACATAAGCCGAATCACAAAGATGACTTGCCAGGGAATACGGAAAGGTCCCTTTGAGCGCATAGCCTCGAGGTCAAGCGCAGATCTAGCTTGCGCAGATGTCGCCTCCTAGCCCATAAAGGCGACGGTACACAGGACGACTCCAGGCGCCATATGCTGCCTGCTCATCTGGTCGTGTCTGACGGTATTTTATGCCATGCATGATCCGTAAACATCGTTTCAAATGCGCAGACCCCTAAGAATACAAGTATCGTTCTCGCAGATCGTCCGGAACGGAGCTGATTAGCACCTCTTACCTGATCCGTCTCCCAGCATTTCCCCCCTGACCGACGACCCAACTGCGTTTGCCGGTCATCCCAACCTTCGAGTCCCTGTCCTCTGCTCTTTCAGGCGACTGTAACGGCACTCCCATCCAAGTTCCGAATTGCAATTCGCTAGTTGACCATCTTTGCCGCGTAGGTCAAGGGTCTCCCGTATCACTGACATGTGGCTCACACGTACTGCCAGCTCGGGACCATGACCTCGCTCCGCGGCCAAAACTCGACGGAGAACTCGTCCCCTTTCTCGCTACCAGCACCAGGACGTCGAAGCGTCATAGTATGGTTGCGCTGGTAATCGTCCATCGACCCGAAGGAATACCGCGACCAGGTGAGGATATCCCCTACTCGACAGCCTGCTTGATAGGCGTTCGAGTCGGGTCTGACAGAGGAGATGACGATGTCGCCATGCCGGTCCGTGGTCGTAGTATACCCAGCGTCGTATCGACGTTGATCCTCTCGGAGGACGGTGACGCCGCTGCCAACGAGGTCGGATGGAGGAGGGACGATCCAATTACCTGCCGACATGTTCATATAGAGGTTCATCGCCTCGTCGATATCGATATCGGTATGATCGGCAAGGATGCGGAAGAGATCATCGAACGTGTAGGTCTCGCCAGCGAACCTTCTCCGCACCATCTCGTTCACAGGACCACGTAGGCCCTTGCTCTCGTAGCCTACCGAGTCGATCGATTCCCGTCGGATCATGGCGTCCAAGTGCAAAAGATAGAGCACACCCCGGTAGTAAGGCAATCGCTGCGCGTGGGTGTTCGTCCAAGCGTCTCGTGTACACTCGACCGAGGTCAGTGCGATAGCGGGAGAGGTGTAGTAGGCGGACAAGATGTCGTTCATCTGTCCGATGAATTTGGAGCGGGAGATCAAGCCGGTCTCGTAGGGAAGGACGGCTTGGTAATAGGTCGCGATCCCTGGGTTGCCACGGGTGTCAAGTCGATGTCGTTGAGGTAGTGTGGTCGCGAGGGAAAACATGACGATGGATGAATGGATCAATGACATGGGGTCTTTTCTTTAGTGTACAGGCAACATGACATCTTCCCCTGACAAGGGCTGTCACACGGGATCTACACCTCCCACTCACCTTCTTCGAACCACGTCGTATTGGCACCTTCTTGATCCCCGGGAGGTCCTTGTATGCTGGGCCAATTGTGCGCCATCTCGTGTGAGACCAAGAAATACAGATCGTCCTCCCGACTCTCTTTTTTGTCCCTCTCCCTCTCTGTTTCCTTATCACCCTTATCACCCTCACTACTGTCATCATCACCATCACCATCATCATCACCATCATCGCTAAGATCTCGTCCGATCCGTACCCCACGGTCCCACTCGATCAGGAAACTCCATACGAAAGCCGTCCCCCCGAACCCTCTTGGGGATTCACGGAGGAAGACCCGGTACGTATCGCTAGGCTGATCAAAGTAATCTTTCATGGCCGGATATAATCGAGCGATCTCTCTGGAGAGCCTCTCGGGGTCAGGGAGGAAGTGAGAAGGCGGCGGGGTGAGGTAGTAGAAACCGTACCCGGGGAGGGAGGGGGAGGTGTGAGAGCGGATCGAGGGGCCGACCATGTAGACGGAGTTGACCAGGGTCTCCATCCGCCCTCTATAGCGAACGTGGGTGCCCTCACCAAACGTCCAGACAGTGGATGTGTTGGTACCAGGAGGAGCGCCGGTGAGGTCCCATCGTACGTCGAGGTCGTAGACGATAGGCTCGTTCGAGTCCGAGTCCGAGTCCGAGTCCGAGTCCGAGTCCAAGGGCAAGAGAGTGGGTTCGAGCACGGTGGGGATGAAGACGTTGCCGCTGCCTATTAACCCGCCGTCGTTTTCCCGGAAATCGATCCTAGGTCCCGGAGGGGTCGCTTTAGTCGTCTTCCTAGGAAAGACGGTAAAGCCTAATCTCACGGCCCCTACGGTCTCTCGGAGGGGATACCATACCCGGGTCATCCCCACCGGATCGTCAACGTAGACCAGACCCAGTTCGCCTAGATCGTCTTGAGAACGGATGGCTTGGTCGCCGGTATGATTCATACTAGGTACCCGGCCGCTCTCGGTGACCAGACGTAGCATGGGTTCGTCTGCCAGGAAGTGTCTGCCGGTGATGGTCATCGTCGTCTCGATCTGGGTGGCAACATCGTGGTCGGTCCATCGTGGAGCGAGTTTGAGCTGGATCGAGGGTCTTGTGATTCCCACCACCTCGTGATGGTCGGTCAAGGTGCCGGTGGTGATCCAACGTAAGATGAAAGCAAGCAGAAAGCCGAGGTTGAGATCGAAGGGCGAGTACATCCTGGTTTGAACGTCGGCGGAACGCGGTAGACATGTAGGTCAATTCACAGCCGTTGGTGCTGGATCATCCCGGGTCGATGTCCATCCTATTATATCGTCTCTCGATCGACCAAGTACAACGGCTCCCCATGAAGTGAACAGCTCGGAGGGGGGGGGGGGGGGGGGGGGGGGGTAATCCCTGGCCCCTGATGCATGAGCGTATGAGCCTCCGTCTAGGCTATTTCGGGGGATGTGTACCGCATTGACCGGGTGCTTCGTATCGTATCATCGTCGCTCCTCGGTCCTCGGCCTAGACAATGCCTCGATTACAATAGAACCCCACTGAGAAAGCCGAAACTGCAGGTGACGCCATTTTGAACTACAAGAGTCATATCATCACCGCCCTCAAGTCCGTCGTCACTCGTCGGTACTCCAACTGGGACTGGATTAAATCCTATTCCACGACGTCTGGTTCGAACAAAACTCTCTACAAAAACCCATTCAGCCGTCAGCTTGCTGTTCAGGTTCGAGTGAACATAAGCAAACCCACTTACGTCATTCGGAATCTCCGTGACGACACCAAGTACCGCTGCATCAGCAAGTTCTTTGGAGAACTGTTTGTAAAGTTGGTCTTTACAAGATTTGACAGCCAGAGGCGAAGCCGAAACGACTACTGGTATGATGTCGATCCTACACGAACCTTGCAACTGGTAGAAAGTCTAGGGGTGTACGATAGAAGCCAATTCAGGTGATCCTCGGAGATGTCCAAACACACTCATTTGATTGATCGTTAGGCATCGAAAAGGCTCCTAGAAAGACCGGCTCAAGAATGTGTATGCCTGTGGCCTGTGATCCTGTGAGGACATATTATCATTGGGGAGTTGTGTAAAAACATATTCGTGTGTCCTGCCTGTATCAAGCGTCGTAAGATTTCGCTTACGGAACACAGGCTCGCGATGATCTCCTCATGCATTAACATTCACCCCTGAACTCCTTCCTGAGCGCTTCTAATTCTAAACATGTTGGTTGTTTTGCGATCTGCCAGTCACCATCCACATCATCGAGATCCATCATCTATCCTCAGTTTACGTTGCGTAGGAGCGAGTTCTACTGCCTCAATGGGGTTACGAGCCCCAGACCCGGCATATATGCATATATCGAACCGGCACGTAGATTTTCCATAATGACATAGCTCAGCTACTGCTGGCAATCTCGCTCATCCCGGCTGCTCGTTCCCCCGGTCCGGTGTACATGTCTTCATCCCCAGACATATCTCGTTCGCATTTACCGCACATCGACGATCCTGACCGCCTCATCCGCCTTTAGAGCGCTCTCCATCTCGCTCGTCATCTCCCTGACCACGTCCACACCCAACGTGACCACCTTCATCAACTCTTCCACTCCTAACGGGTTCCCACCGGCTTTGGAGAGCACGCAGAGTTCTCGCTGGGCGTTCAGCGTTAGGGTGAGGGTTCCTGAAGCGATTTGAGACTCTTGTGATGTGGGATCGAGCAGGAGGAGGTTGCTGGATAAGATGGGGACGAGCCGGGGAGGATGGTGAGAAATGATTGCTTTAACCCTGATACACGAGGAAATCAGGAACGATGGGGGCTCACCCTTCCAAATAAGCAAACGTCACGCAGAGCGGGGTGTGGTGGATCGATAATGGAACCGGTGCCCTCTCATCCGTCGGATACTGTCGTTGCCGCCGGTCGCCAAGTAGTTTGGAAGAGCAGATCGAAATCAGCTCTCTGCAGGCAGGCGGGCCATATACCATACGAAGACGACGACAACGACGACGACGACGACGACGGAGGACGACCCTGCACTGGTCATCGGACAATCGGACTCACCACCTTCCAGATCGCTGCCATCCCATCATCCCGATCCAACCTTTCCACCTCGGGCCGCCGGAAATGCCTCAAGGCCGTCATCCCCGCCAGACAGCCCGCGTCGATCAGATTACCGTCCGAGGAGAGAAAGTGGATGTGCAGCTTGATGTGCCAGACCTGAGGGTCGGTCGTTTCCGAGCGTGATCGTCGAGGTGGGGGTATGTGTCGGGTGACGAGATCAAGGTAAAGACGGTTACCATCGAGAAGAGAGGAGGGGGGTATGAAGAGGAAGAGCGGGGTAAGGGAGGTTGGGGATACGTCAGAATGTCATCGTATGCCGATCCGATAGAATGACGAGGAGAGATGTGAAGAAAGTCCCCGGGGGATATAGCATTCCGAAAGAGAAACATGAGAGAAATATCGTGTATCAGCACGCATCCCAAGGGACACCGAGGTCAAGATGAGGTGCAAAGCTATCGGTCTCCACATCTCAAGAGCGAGTGATGTAGCATAAAAGCCGTAACTCTAATGGAATGGGAGAGAGTCGGAAAAGACGGGAAGCGAAGGGAGGAAAGGCCCGGAACGTACCTTCTCCCCAGCGACCACACACAACGCCTCCCGATCCACCGCTTCGCTACGCCTGATGGCCTTTTCCAGCAGTCGGGTGAGGATCACTTCTTCTTCGGTCGTCCTGTATTGCGTCCATTTCCCCGTCATTCCCCGTCGTTTCCCCGTTCGTAGGTGCGGGTGTGTACGCCAGTACGAGTGCGAGTGGGGGTTATACGTGTGAGGTGATTGTGGTGGTGGTGGTGGTGGTGGTGGTGGTGGTTGAGGTTGTGGTTGTGAAAGCAGTGCGAAAGTGAAAAGAAGGTGGAAAAAAAAAGAGAGAGCGACGGATTGATCGTCCATCTCAGCCAACTCTTTCACTTTTGTACAGTGACCGCCGAGAGATCTAGAGTCAACGCTAGGACTGACCTTCCTTCCCCATGAAAAGCTTCGCCAGCCAAAGGCCCGATCTCGCTGGTGATGCTCAACAACCCCTCGAAAGGTCGATCCGTACGTGGGTTCGTCAACTCTGCCGATACCCTCGCCAACACCCTCGTCTTGCCCAGCGAAACCTCGACCCGTCCCAGGCCTGATACCGACGTCTCCTCCGGATCGGGGAACTGGATGAGCAGTCGACGGCGTTCGAGAGGTTTGCGGCCGTCCAGACGGTGACCCTTCTCCAGCGCGGCTTGGACGAAAGATCTGTTGATCGTAGGTACTGGGATATCTCGGGGCATGTTAGGGATGAGGGATGTCGAATGTCGAGTGGGTTCAGGGTCGAGAGCTTTCGAAGGGAGTTATCGTCAAGATACGAGATGATCGTCGTCGTTGCGAGATGTTGTAGTCAACAAGCGGCAAGGAGATGTACAACAGCTACAACAGGCCGAGAGGGAACAGAACGTGCATGCAACCTTGATATGAAGATGAAGAACAACCTCGAGAAAGCAAAAAAAATAATAGATGGAAGTCAATGAGGGGCAGCGCGCCACAGCTCTGCAGTTTGGCCAAAATGGGTGTCCAGAGTCGGAGTCGAACGCGAGAGAGAACGGCACTAAGAACCGCTGCACAGTTAAAGTCGAATTCAAACATGGCGCGTCCTGTCGTAACCGTTGGACTATTCGCGGTGTCGTTGCAAATAAAAGGCTACTCTCAACATCAACTGCAAATAGCAGCGGACTTGACGCTGGTCCTGATGTCCGCGAAGACGGGGCCACGCCACGCGGCATCGGATCCGAGCACGTGCTTTATGTCTCGGATTCGCTACGCCCGGATTCCAGTTAGTTACCATGCCGTAATAGTGCACTTGACGTAAGATCTCATCTGGTGGCGGCAACTATTACTACCCTGGCGGTAAAAATATAGCGTTTTTGAGAAAACGCGTCGGAAGCGGCACAATTATAGCGGAAGTATCGCCTGAATTAGCGGTTTTGAGCTGGATCAAGCGCATCAGCACAAGGAAACAAATTTGCTTCCTGGAATAGCGATTTTTGAAACTAGCAATTTCTCAACTGAGGCGGATTAAGTCTCACAGGTGACTATAGAACACTCAAGAATGGTAGGCAGCAAGTAGGAACATGTTACGGCGGATGTCGCTAATGGGCGATAGGTCCTAGGTCGTAAGGCGTCGGGTGCTTATGGGTAGATCGCAGGTAGTCGGGAGAATGTCGCAGGTTCGCTTAGATGAAGCGGGTTCGGGTAAGGGATACGAATCCAGAGATGTATGGATAAGGAAGTGATCACTCGGTGTGAGGTACCGGATTCGGTCTAAGGTAAAACGATGAAGCGTAGATACTTAGCGACGTCCTTGAGTTGTAACCTCTCCGCAACACGTCTTGAAGATGTTGTAACAAGTCAGATAGGCGTGTATTGAATGTGATATCGGAACTTGACCTCTAACTATTACAGAGCGTCCTCTATCGAATTCGGTCAAGTTCCTCTAGCTATTTATACGGAGACGAGTACGTAGACGGGCTGGCGAACACTGAAAAGACCCAAGAGAAAAGAATGGCGAGAGATGGCGAAACTGGAAGAACGAGATGGCGAACAGACGAATCCCGTCGGGAGCAGCCGGATTCGGTAGAGGAGGCGAGTTTGAGTTCTCATTTGTCCCTAGGTACGTCGAGTAAGGTTGTCGAGGTCCTGAGTAGAGTGTCGTGTACCTCGAGGTCCCTGTACCTGTTTGTGATATGTGTCGGGAAGGTTTGTTGTTTATAGGGGGTTCCCACCCCGGGGTATGAAACACACTTTTGAGAACCGCTCATCCCAGCGCTCCCAGGGTTGTACCAATGGATAGAGGCACCTTTGGACAGTAGAAATGAACTATCCAATCTGTGGTTGGGCCCTTGTTGTGACTGCTACGGGTCAAAAACACGTCAAAATGACCTCAAAAGTCAAAAAAAAAAGTTAAAGTTCCCAAAAAATGAAATTGTCTGAAAGTTCCAGAACACTATCCCGCTTGGTTGGACCATTTTGAAGGTGAATGACTTAGAAATCACGCTGGGCAGTTTGGGGGTGAGGTTGTTGACGTGACTTGAGCATATCCATAGGAGGTCTGTCCCGCGCGCTGGTGGCCACGTCATCAGGCTGTCTCGCGCGAGGGGGGCAGCAAAAAGTAAACAAACAGCCTGTCACCGCGCGTGCAAGTCCCCACCCGTCCATCAACCTATTCTCACCATCCACATGAGCCATCCTTCACACAGCTGTCATGTACATGCCATTCAGTCAACAAGGTCATTCTAATCATTACATGTGTATTGTCCAAACAGCAGAGTTGTTTGCCCAAGTGGTTGTCTGTCACGTCACGCGTGGGGCATCTGAATGACAAAGTAAACAACATGAGCTCAGCAGTCACCGCAGACACCGCAGACACCACAACCCGTCACTCACCAGACCCGGGTGATGTGATGAGCAGGGTACAGGTTCTCATAGTGGTTGTTACTGAGATAGAGCCAGAGGCACTTGGTATGCTCTGGCTGACCATGGTGTCTCCAGAAAAGACCCCCGTCCACCCGTCTCTTCAGGACTGAGATCCTGACCTTGTAACACGCGCAGATGGCCTTGATCTCTGGCTCATCACCCCACTCACCCGACTGGCTCATTCTTTGCCAGTACTCCCTGAATGCTGCTGCCTGTCCTTCTTCTCCATATTCTATGAAGGGGAGGTAGTCTTCATAGTGCACACGTATCCACTCAACAGCCTCCTCCCTGACCTTGGCTGCGGTATAGCCATGACCGAGGCCAAATGCTATGGCTCCAAACATACAGTTGCCGTCCTTTGCAGTGTGACTTGTATGGTATGCTGGGGGGTTGGAACCTCTGATCAGACTGACTTGATCTGAGTAGATGGGTGTGTGAGGAGGGTGGGATGGTGATGGGGCAGGTCTCTTGGGTGTCGTCCTGAATGCCAGTAGTTTTGCCTTTTTAGCGAGATGGCTCTGACGCGCGGCAATCAACTTGGCACGCTCGGGTGTGATCCTATTGACAGGAGGTGGTGGGGCAGCCACAGGGAGACCTTCAATTGGAGGCAGACCAAGTAGATGACCTGGTACTTGTCCCGTAGCAATGAGATTGGCAAACCAGATGTAGGAGTTGCCTGCATTGAGGTTGTGCTTGCACGTCCACTCGGCACACCTCATCCTGAATGGACCCCAGCCGTAGATGTTGTAGGCGTGCTTGCTATCCTTCTGACAAGGGATGTCACGGTTGGGATGGTGCTTTCTCAATTCCTTGACCAGATCCCTGGTACCTGCATCTCCCGGGTAGATCCTGTTGAGCTGTAGCAGGACTTGGGAAATGACAGTGTCGGGTACCTTGGTTGTGACGCGCTGGCTGTGGTGTGTTCCCGTACGTGCTTCATCCAGCTGGGGGATGTCTGGATTTCCTTGTTCCCCTTCAGCACCTTTGCCTCTCCACCATGCAGCCTTGTCACCGGCTAGGGTGACCTTGTACCTCCCTGCATTCCAACCAAAAGAAGCCAGCACGTCTGCGGTGACTTGCTTCTGCAGCTTAGTTGGCAGATCGGTATTTCTCCCCTGGAAGACCTTCAACGTGGTTGCTCTCTGCACCATCCAGTTGGCATTAAGGAGTATTGCATCCTTCTGGTGACCATCATGTTGACCTTAGGACCAGTGCCACCGGGACTTGGGTTGGTCCAGAATCCTATCCCAGTGAATGGACTTCTGTCCATCCACATGCACGCGGCACCGAGTGTTGGTGCAGGCACGGTGACCTCTATCCTGAACCCTCCAATCTCTTCCTCTGGGACTTGAGACAACAGCTGCACCATGTTGACAGATGCCTTGAACCGTTTCTTGGCACAGCCAGAGTAGTCAAGATCTCTCCCTGCAGTCGGCTGTTGTATGACTTGATGACGTGGACCAGCCGGGGATAGATTTTGACCTTGAGCGTGGTGTCATCCCAGACAACAGTGGTCTGTACCGAGCCAAAGTCCCTGGAAGCTGGAGACAGCATTGGGTAGTGCTTGGTACCCGGGGAAGCACCCTCTCCAGGCCTGAAGAGGATGATGTAGGGTGATTGGTAGGTGACTCAATGTCCCACTCGTTGGTATTCCGTTGGGGATGTGCCTTGTCCTCGGGCTCAAACCCCTCATGAGTGTTGCATGGACAGGAAGCTTCTGACCATACGCCTTGTACCTGATGGTAGGGCAGCCAGCTTTGGTGAGACAGGATGCCAGGATGGTGGTAGGGATGTAGGCACTCCCGTAGCTGGACACCCAGGGGTTCTTGGCTGGGTTGATGGTACGCGTCTTCTTGAGTTCCGCAAAGAAGGCATCTTTGTACCGAGGGTCTATCCAGAGCTGGTAGCATGACTCTGCCAGTAAGGAGCCACTCTGAGAACTCATGGGTTCTGTCCCCTGGCTTGGTCCTCTTGATCCTCGGTGCATGAGAGGACAGCCTGACCAGGGCTAGCGGGTTGTTAAACTGCCGGGAGTAGACCGCGGTGACATGCAGATCTCCATCTTGTCCACGTCCTTGGCACCTGGTTTTGAAGCTGTTCATGACAGTAGTCCTGAACTCGTCTGAGCACTGTGCCATTGACAGGAACATGTTCATATTGGGAATGACAAAGGGTGTCACCGGGGCATCCTCCTACACGTAAATGGGACATCAGTCACTCGGGACATCAATCACTTGAACACCCCAACAGTACTCACCTCTACCGGTCCATCTCTGTCACTCTCCTCATCACTATCAACCAGATGATCACTGCTGCTATCACTACTGACATCAGGGGCATCTCTGACTGCCGGGACATGCTGTGATCACGTCCAAGTCAGCCATGCTACGTGACGTGTCAAGCATCCTGGGTGACTTACTCTCTGTACCACAATCAAGTCTCGGTCACTTAGGGGTGTCTCTGGTCTAGTGAAGGTAGCCTTTGCTCGCTTTTGACTTGGGCTTCATCTTGGGAGCAGCCTTCTTCCTGGTTGCTCGTGGTCTGGACTTCTTGACAGCAGGGGTCTTTGCACCACGTCTCGGAGGTGGGGCATTCTTGTTCAGAGTGTCTCTGCCGTTACGTAGTACAACCATTACTAGGGACACATCTGTCATCAATCAAAGCACCACCCGTCATGTACACACTGTCACACTCACTTGATAGTGTAGCCTAATGTTTGGTTGATCAGTTGTTGTTGATGAGCCGAGGCTGTTTGTGTTGTGTTGTGTGACAAGGGTTTGTTGATACGTGTCTATTCCGCGTGTAGACGTGTCTTGAGCGCCCAGTTGCCCGCCCACTTGGTGCCCAGTCAAGTGGGCGGGCATAGTGGGCGCGCTTGGATGACGTGGCACACACGCGTGTCAGGGGGGTCACTATTGTCATGGTCAATCTTGTTGGTACAGTGATTCTGAGAGCACCACTGTCATGGCAGAGACCATTCTGGCCTAGCTGTTTGTTTCCCCATCTGAT